CGCCTAAATGAACCTTAATGCTTACAAAGATAAAGTATGAATTATAATACTGTTTCCTAGCTACTTATAATGTTGCACATTAGTGAGGACTAATGTGCAATCCGTATTAGAGCATACTACGCTATGCGGCCTTACACACACCGCGGGACCTAGCGTTACAAATTCTTATTCCAATTGTTATGCTTCGTTGCGAGGCCTGAATCCGGTTAACCGAGTAGTTTTGAGGGCAAAACGGACCCTGTTGTCCTCGTCTAATTTCTGCGCTTTGCGTAAAGGTCCCTCCGCCGGCCGCCTATTGACCACCCAACCTTGTAACAAGGGAAAAGGCCGAGGCCGGAGCATTTTGGGAACCATCCCGAGGCCCCGTAGATAGCTCAATGAAATTGCTCGACCCATACACCGAAGAGTCAAACCAAGGGGAGGAGGAACAGAGGGAGTTGGAGGTCAGTTTTTAACTGGTATCAATTGCGCCGGCAGTGTCATCACCACCACACAGGTCAACTGCGAGCTGGAAGGCCTCCCGGATACATGGTGCTTGATATACCTCTTGTTAAACAACTTCGTCAAACGGCACGAGCTGAACACACTCGCAACGGAAGCACGGTTGGTGCAGCTCGCAATGAAGACGGAGGAACGCGGGTACATCATGGAACACACGTTGCCTCTTTGTCTACGCGTGGGCGACATCGAGACACGAAAGAGTTTCTTTGTTGCCCCAAACGACTTGGATCAAGATGCCATCCTTGACACCACGTTTTGGAACCAGTACCGGAGGCAACACTCAAATAATTATTACTAATTCTAAGCCTTTTATACAAGCAAGTACGAAGTGCAACGCGTGTTGCAATAGCTCGCGAATAATAGTTGACCGAGGGTCAACGTACCACATTAATTGGGGCCAACGTCTGTAGTTCTGGAAAAGGAAAGTGCTAAGCCGTTACAATGATCCCTTGTGAGCGTTGCATCGAAACCAAAATTCTAATTAAGTGTTATTAAATACCCATAAGTGTCCGACCCGTGCTTTTAATGAAATGTACACTTTAAGCGCGGGCTTATGCTAAGCTATGCTGAGAGGGCTCACAATGCTGTTCACGTAAGCGTCTATTAGCGTAACACGGTTGGCGTAATATAATCCTTTGTATCCACGCGTAACTGTCAATTCAGTCTCAATGATTACATTCGCATTACAGAATTCAATTTATTGACGGTACGAAAATGATTCTCTTTTACGGTAGTGGTGTAAAATATGTTAAAATAAAGTAAAACATTTTTTTCAACGATGTCCAAGTTATATCGGCATTGGACGAGACAAATTTTGTTTTTCTAAACACACATTTCTCTACATAAAGGATCCTGACTACTCGTATTCATTCGATAAGCCTTCAGTATGGCCAGCTAGCATTGTTACATTACTAGTACCTTTTTTTACGTTCCTACTTGAACCACTTTCTTCGTTGGAGCGCAGGACGCCACGTTTAAGCCAATTTCCCTAATTTAGTATTCGCTTTTATTAATAATCCCACCCGTGTTTTCCAACACAAACATATACCAACTCATATCCGTATTGAGCATAACAAATAAGATATCTACTATTATACGCGTAAGCCTAGGTTGACTTTTTTATGACAGTAAAAGATATAGTTATGAGGACTCCAAAATTAAGAACTTCCAGAAAACGGGTAATGTCCTATTCTTCCCATTCCATTCGTAGTTATCATAACCAACAAATAACAATTTGCAACAGTTTTTTGTTTTTTTATGAAGTTATATACTTTAAATAAGCGCAAAGCAGTTACCAAAGATTTTTATCAACAAAACGTACTTCAAAGGCTGTACAGCATGAGTGAAGAAACAAGTACTGTAATAAAATTAAAAAGAAAGAACTAAGTCTGGACCCATTGGTTAACAAAAAAAATATTTATCATTTCTTGTAAATCTATTAACCGTAGGGTAATAATAACATGGGCACTAACATCCTAATCCCAATTGATTTATAACAAATGCTTTACGTGTTACTACAAAGCTCAGTGAGTAGAATACATCCTAATCCCAATTGATTTATAACAAATGCTTTACGTGTTACTACAAAGCTCAGTGAGTAGAATAGTTCTGATAAGCTCTAAACCCTTTCAAAATTATTCTTTATAAATCATTTACTAGTTTTTACTTACTTTTTCATGTGTATAAAAATATAATTCTATTGATACAGCTGTATTATTTTAATGAAGTGATCCTTAATCCTGCTAAGATTGAGAAACTCCTACCCACTTGACCGAAGGGTGCTTGTTTTGGAGGGTAGTTGTGTTTGAGAGTTATTTTTTTTGGACTTGGTTTTCTTTGATTTCCGGTGTGTAACTTTTGAGCTAAGCACGGTTTGAATGCAAAGGGCTAGTGTGTAAATCTTTTCTTCAAAATCCATAGTGTTGATGCTAAAACAAGTGTATTTATATCTTTTCTTTATCCTTTCTGTTCTTTGTTTTGTCTTGACGTCATAGACAATATTGTTTGATATAAAAACCCTTATGAGTTGTATTTTGAGTGTTAAAAATATGTGGGCATTACAGAATTATTCAACAAAGGAGGCTCTTAGTTCTATAGAGAACGGATCCGGGTCTGCATATTTTGTTCCATCTGGTTATGTTCCCGTTCTTATTCCTTATTCTGAGGCGAATTTTCAGGGTTTAAATATTGGCCTTAATTTTGGTATTCCTGTATGTGAGGAGATTAGTCGATGCAAGGTCCCACGATACATTTACAAGTCAATGAAAGAAGTGAAGGATGCCGGTACACGTAAACGAACTCCGAGACCTGCTAATGCGTTTATTCTTTACCGGCGGGATAAGCAGGCAAAGATCTTGGAGTCTCTACCCGGTACAAGCAATGCAGAGGTTTCTAGGCTTGTTGGTGCTATGTGGAAGAATGAAAAGGTTGAAGTAAAGGTTCAGTACTTTCAAAAGGCTGAGTTACTGAAGGTTCAGCATAAGCGTCTGTATCCTGACTACAAATATCAACCTCAAAGAAATAAGAAGAAATATAGAAATAATATTACGAACGAATTTTAACAATATTTTGGTTAGTGGTATTAGTCCTAGTGGTGGTTTACTGAAATAGAAACTCAAATGATGTCACAACCAATTGAATAGCGGCAAGTAGAAATGATACCTCACATACTTGTTTAAAGTTAGGAAATTGAACATTTAATCGTACATTCTTATAATGCAGTTCGTATTTCCTAATTCAATATATTTACATAGTTTTTTTTTCTCTGATTATGTACTTCAAATTTTTTTTTTTGGTATAATAAATGCATGGTGTTTCTCCTTTGTTTCTGCCCTCTTGTTTCTATGTTTTGGTTTAGAACTAAATCCTATTAGCGTTAATGAATTCATTATTTAATTTTACGAGGAATGTTGATGATACTTTTTGCAGAATATTATTAATTATGTCGTTATTAGTTTGAGCATTTATAATTTTTTTGGAGAGAAATGCAGTATTCATTTGATTTTAATATATACCTGTGAAACACTTCGTTGGGATTCATTGTCTTTACTAAAGTGTTCAATAAAGTACAGAATACTATGCAAAGCAACGCATTTGCTCTATCTGTCCAAACAAGAAGAAAAGCCAAAATTATATTTGAACATAGAACGCGAAATACGAACGAAAGTAAAAAGAAAGAAAACGAAAAAAATGAATGCATAGGCAAAATAATAGAACAAAAAAAAAAAAAAAAAAAAAAACCAAAAGCAGTTGAGACGTATACACAACATTCCATCAAATGAATATGATAAAAAAACGGGTTTCAAAAAATTAGTACGATCTCAAATACTATCATCACAATATCAGGAAATTCTTAAAAAAGCGAACCTTAAAATTTATTAAAACAGGCAGAGGACTCAACCATTCTAATACTCCAATATTCCTAACAAACAAACGAAATTAAGAAAATTAAACAAAACAATATATTATAATTAAGTTGTCCCGCCGATTTCATTTGAATTGTTCTAAACCAAAACATAGAAACAAGAGGGCAGAAACAAAGGAGAAACACCATGCATTTATTATACCAAAAAAAAAAATTTGAAATAAGAAAACAGTTAAAAAAAATACGAACGTACATTAGTTTTGGGATATCAAAACTACATTATAAAGCCTCTGATGAAAATACAAGAAAATATTCGCCTCAACATTAAACCGACATCGCTGTCACAAATATGTCATAACCTTATTTTATTTCTCTACGTCTATTGGAGAACCAGTATCTAATCTGCTGCACACTTAAACCAGTTAGGTTACCCAGCTTAATACATTCTTGACTTGAGGGTAGGGATGCCTCAAATGCAACGCAAACCAAAGTTGCAAAATAGTCTTAGCTTTCGCTTTCAACTCATTGTTGATTCCTCTTAAAGGACGTCCTCCAACATTGAACAATCGGTTCTCAATCGCCAAAGCTTGAACCTTGTCACAACAGGATCCAAAATTTACAGACACTGAGAATGAATCCCTCCGCAATATCAGCTTTGCAAGCATCAATTGTTTCAATGACTCCAATCTTGTAATACAGTTGCTTACAATCTCTAAAGAGAAATTCCTACGGGAATATAATAGCTCAGTTAAAAATACTGTAAGTGTTTCATAAACATTTTGACAATCAGAAACACCACATCGTAATTCGTTTGTTATGAACGCTTCAAGGTTTACAATTAATGACATGTATTGGTAACAATTTAATCAGTGAAAATCGTATTTAAACCACGCTTCAGAAAACAAAGAAAGGGAGAACAAAGAATAATGACGTTGAACAAAGTATAAGAACCAAACTACAACTGTTCTTCATTCACCAACACCATGGAAAAATTACAAAACCCAGTAACTTTAGAGACACTTATTTTTTTACCAGTACAAACTCCCAAAACACTTCTAAAGAAGAAATCATCCAGATCACTACTAAAGAACCAGAGTTTCAATAACGGTTTTATACTCTTCAGGAGTCGACTTCATAAAAAACTATCAGAAGCCGGAGACTGGGCCGGTATTTCAGTCGCCGCAGCAAAATATTGGTATTCATTACCTCAATCTACAAAGTTATCCTGGCAAAAGCTGGCAGAACTAAGCAAGTACCAAAGTATTGATTATTTGGCTCAAAAATTAGAGCAACGCCACCGCAGGAGAGCTTAAGCAAGGAGAATACCAAACAAGCACCCTTCGGTCAAGTGGGTAGGAGTTTCTCAATCTTAGCAGGATTAAGGATCACTTCATTAAAATAATACAGCTGTATCAATAGAATTATATTTTTATACACATGAAAAAGTAAGTAAAAACTAGTAAATGATTTATAAAGAATAATTTTGAAAGGGTTTAGAGCTTATCAGAACTATTCTACTCACTGAGCTTTGTAGTAACACGTAAAGCATTTGTTATAAATCAATTGGGATTAGGATGTTAGTGCCCATGTTATTATTACCCTACGGTTAATAGATTTACAAGAAATGATAAATATTTTTTTGTTAACCAATGGGTCCAGACTTAGTTCTTTCTTTTTAATTTTATTACAGTACTTGTTTCTTCACTCATGCTGTACAGCCTTTGAAGTACGTTTTGTTGATAAAGGGTATGGCACTTCATAGAAAGGGTATGGCAGAACAAAGGAATGAGGCTTATCCTACTACAAAGGATAACACTAACAAACCCGCTTTACTAACTGTAACCCCCACACCCCACAGAAAGGGTATGTCAGCTCCTACGGATAGGAGCTGTTCTCTTTGTTAAGACAAAGAATTTTCTCTACGTCACTTCCGTTACCACCCCAACTTTACCGCCACTCTCGTTAAAGTCCCCCACCGGTACCCCACCTGCCAAGGGTATGTCCCATCACAGAAAGGGTATGTCAGGTACGACGAAACACTTGGTTTAGACATATTGAGGCGTTATTCTTCTCCGCCATGACCGCCCTCGAAGACAATGAAGCTTTCGAATTACTTAATGACAAAGCTGTTGAACAGATAGTCTACAGCAATGTACGCGACGCAGTTACAAACTCATACTAACTTTTCCCACAGCTCGGTCTTGTAACTTTGAACGATTGTGTCAAATCGTCCATTGCCAATGCTAAAGTAAGTAATGCATGTACATACAATTTCAACTAACGTCCGTTAGGAAATAATTATTTTCCTCAAAAAGCAAAGCTCTATTTATGAAGACTACAGTCGAAACCTAGGCCGCTTATCCAAATCTACAAAAGACACATTTAAGCACACACAGTTGCAAACGTAAGTAACAAACACTGCAAACACTTTCGGCAACCAGTTTTTTGCCCGTGATTGCTATCAACAGTTCTGAACTCAAACTCTAACAATTCAGTTCTTTTCACAATGTTATGAGCTCTATGATCACATTTCATGAAGACATATCTCAAAATGCTTCACTCTACGCCAGAGCTTCAGAAAAATCTTCCAACGAATTTGCTGATTTTCTCAAAGCAAGCGAGAAGAAACGAAAATCAATCAAAGAATACGCAAAGAAACAAGAGTTCGTCTACACAGACGCCATGTCTCAGTTAGAGAAAGCTACCGCACGTTTTAAAGTGGCCGAACAAGACTATAATCGTGCTACGGAGATTAAGACCGGCGAGAAAAAACCTCTGTCGTTCGTATTCAACAAAAAATCCAACGCACAGCTACTGAAGCACGAAGACGATACACGCGTAAAAGTCGAGATGGCGGAAACGGATTTAGCAAGCAAAACGGAGAATGCAAAATCTGTTCAACGTGAACTGCTTCTTATTCATAGGCCAAACTACGTGAAGCGATTCCTTAGTTTGCTTCGAGAAATTGATGCCGCTTTAAGAGCGCACATGATACGTTATACTCGTTTGAGCGAGAGTTACGTCCTCCACAACGGTTTGACTCTGCGACCCCAACCAACGTCCATTTCAAAACAAGCGATGCAAGACATCTTCAACGATTTGAATATGACCGGAGACATACGTTCCTATTTATTGTGGTCTGCGGAAAAAAATAAGAGTATAAGCAATGCTGCTGACGCTGCCAATACGAACATTGTGCTCCCTATCTCTACCCTTAAAGCTATGCCAGGCTCTGAACTTACGCTCGGCGGTGCTAGCGCCGCGGGACAGTCGGCGGAGAGACTACCGGACTCAGCTCAGGCGGCTATGCTTGCCTCGCCCCCGAAGCCAAATGCCCTACTTTACAACGGATCTGCATCTGGAAGAAACAGCTTGCGCAGCAGTGCTTTCTCTACTTCTGAATCACTTAGCGAGACTCTTGCAACCGTTCCAAATACAATTGCCGCATCAACAACCCCAGTTCATTCTACAGCAGGCACACCGGAAAAGCCTGCGACCAGTAAGTTTTTCGGTGTACATTTGGAGGCGCTTCTTTTACGCGAACATGCAAATGTTCCAAGCATTGTTCGTATATGTACCACAGTGGTCGAAAAGCACGGACTTATGTTAGAAGGTCTCTACAGAGTTTCGGGATCAACCGCAAAGATTAATCACTATAAATCACTTTTCGAAAACGGGGATCCGGAAATGCTTATATCTGAAACTCTTGAACCAACGGAAGTGTATAGCATTGCTGATATGCTGAAATCCTTCTTTCATAATTTGGCTGAGTCTTTAATTCCAGACTCACATAGACAAGATTTTGTACGTGCTGGTAATGTTGAGGACGAAGCACGTAGACGTGACGCTGTACACAAGGTTGTCAATGATTTGCCGGATGCAAATTATTCCGTCGTACGGCACATGTCCATTCACTTGGCGAAAGTGAAAGAGTGTCCCAATGTTAAAATGTCTACCCACAATTTGGCAATCATTTGGGGACCGCTGCTGTTACGTGATGTCTCTATTCCAGAGAAGACTAGTTTTACAAAAGTGGTCGAAATTCTGTTGGATTACTGCTTCACTATTTTTGACTAGACATATCCATTCCACAAATCTACACTTTCATTAAGCATAGCATCAACAGACATTATAGTACATTTTTAAGCTTAATATAATCTATAATTCATTGTCTTACACTAAACGTGAAGTGCATTTTCAAGCGAATATTCTACTGGTGTGTATTGTTGCATTCTGTTCCATTTTAATTTTCCGTGGCGGAGATACCTCTAGGCCTACGCATTTCATTTTCTTTTGACTTCAACGCAGCAAAATGACAGAAGTATCGGTTACAAAAGAACAAAACAAACAAGGTTCACGTTCTAAAAGAAAGGGTGAAAACGTTGATAAATTCAGTCGTAAAAAATTCAGAAAAAATAAAAAAGAACAACTGAGACAACCGAAAAAGCCTTCCGAGAAAACATTGGAATTGGCTGTTGTGCAGGATTGTCGCTATCTCGATGTTGAAATTGCATTAGACGTCGTCACAAAACTCATTAAGGATGCGAATCCTGATATTTCGTATATTGAACTGCACGATAAGTTGCCTGCAAGTGTGTAACTATCTCGCGAAACAAGACTAACACCGTAGAAAAATCGTTCCTTGATCTCTCTAACTCGAGTACTCTTCCAAAGGTAAATGACTACGAGAAATTAATTGGCTCCTTAAAAAAAGATTCAACGAAAGATTCCTTTAAGAGCTCAATCAAGGGTGCTCCCCAATATATTATTGTATGCTCGGCGGCCTTACGAGTGACGGCTATCATCCAAGCGCTCAAAAAATACCGTTCCAAAGACTATGATCTTGTCAAGCTTTTCTCTAGACATTTTTCATACGAAGACCACAGGAAGGCTCTTGAGTCTGCTACGGTCGGTATAGCTGTAGGTACTCCGAATAGAGTACTGACCCTATTAAAAAGTATGCCCAACCATATTGTTATGCTATTGTTACTAACAAGATAGATAATGATCTCAAGCTCGATAACCTCGACTGCCTGGTTTTGGACGAGTCCTTCCTCGACAAGAAGCAGCAAAGCCTGCTTACCTTAAAACAGAGTACACCGGATGTTGCAGAGATGCTACAGCTTCCGCAAATGTTGGAACGGTTCAAAAATGAATCGTCGAGACTTTTGTTGTTTTAACATGGTCACTAAAGAGAATAGATTTTATTTTTTGTCAATAGAGCAGGCTATGGAGCCTATTACGTTGAATTAAGAGAGTTGTGTTTCGCTTTCAACTTTACATAACAAAAATAACGATGATGAACACAGTTTTTGCATATACACCACACGAATAACTATTTGAGTGAAATAGACAAGTTAGCAACATGCCTATCACTCGTTCAGAAAGTTGTGCTATGCGGCCAATATGAATGACGTAAAGCATTATAACGAGTCCGTTTACTTAACCAATCTTCACCAATTCTTTCAACGAACATAATTGCAACATTCTTTCTTCTCATCTCGGTTTAACTAACAGAGATGTGGTTGTCGTTTGTAATCGTTTACGTTTTAGGTGGTCTCACATTTCTCCCATTGTGCGCGCTCATAGGGTTTTGGCTACTGTCAGCACATGATAAAGATGAAAAACAGCCAACAGAGGAGATTCCTTACCCCATAGAAGATGTAACTCAATTAGTCGGTACTCAACGGCAGCGAGGGTATTTGCGAATTCTTTCGGATTTGCTGGACAATAAACCTGGACCTGTTTTATTAAAGCACGAGATAGTTAGCAATAACGCGGTACCATTACTTTATGAGGATGGGAATTCTGAAACGAAAACTGCACCGTCAAAAAGTCTATTGCAAGTTAAGAAGCAAAAAAACGTTTATAATGCCGTTTTAGATAATGGCGTTTTAAACATAACCAATCTCTATGAACCTTATAATAAAGTTGATGCGATAAATTTGTCAGAGTACTCCGTTGGCTTTTATCCGGATAACCTTCGTGAAGGCGAGGTTTTCTCAAGTAAGATTGCAATTCTGCTGAAGAAGAAAAAATTCTCAACCCCAAAGAATACGGCAGCTGGAGAGAGCATATTATCACAACAGAATACGCTTTACATTTATACATGCAGCGCTTTTGAAAAGGAAAACTGGTACCATGCCTTATTACAAGCTTCTTCGGGAACTTCGAACCCTTCAGAAACTCCAGTGTACATGGATATTGAGTACGCAAACTCACAATTGCAATCAATGGAAAATCCCGATGATTGTTTGTGGATTAACGCATTGTTTGAAAGAGTATTTATGGCTTATTTCAAAACCGAATCTTTAAAAGACAAATTAAGATCAAAACTTAATAGGAAACTAGCAAAAATTGAAACTCCAGGAATATTAAGTGACATTCTAATTACAAATGTTAACGTTGGCAACACCCTTCCTGCGATTAAGAATCCAAGGCTAGAACAATTTACTAATGACGGAACTTACAAGGTGCATTTTATGCTAGCTTACAAAGGGAACTTTCAGTTAACACTTGAAACGAAATTGATGTTTAACTTTGGCTCGAGAATAAAAAAACGCAGTGTTAAGTTGGCTCTTCGAGTAACGGTAAATCGAGTTCAAGGACCCGTTATTGCTGTTATCAAACCGCCTCCGTCAAATCGTCTTTGGTATGCATTTACTCATGATCCAGCAATGGAAATGAAAATAGAACCAATTATCAGTACTACTCAAATTACTTCCACAAAAGTTTTAAAGGCTGTTGAAAACCGGTTCCGACTTATGCTTAGAAAAACTTGTGTCTATCCTATATTTAACGATGTTGTATTCTTTAAAGGAAGCGGAAATTCAAAACTTGGAGGGGCTTGGGAATCCTTAACGGCTATGAAAAGGGCATTTTCACACGAAGAATTGCCAAAACCTCAAGTCCTAGAACAGCCCCTTGTGCAATTGGAAGACACTGTAATTTCACGGCAAGATTCTATTAATGCTGATACGGTTAGTATTGCTGAAACTGAAATGACAACTATCAGCAATGATGAAAGCACAGATCTGTCACCAAAAAATACGACCGAATTGAGTACAGCAGAAGACGAACTTGCGCGTTTTGAGCAGGGCTTCGATCAGAACTTATACGAGTCTACTATGAAGAGCCTCTCTTTACACGAGGCTCATACATCAATACTTGACAAAACTAATGTCGCTGTTAAAGATTTAAAGCATAGAAAGGCTTTCGTTGATTTGAATAAGGAAGAGCTAGATGATTCCTCAGAGTCATCAGAAATAACGGAGACACAATCCATAAACTCGCAAAGGAACGGGAATACTATGTATTTAAACTCGTTGAAAACAACCACTTCCAAAGGCTCATTTATTGAAATGACTAATGATAAACGGATGCAAAAAGTACAAGAAATAAAAGAGTCCTTTAAAGGAGGAATGACAGACGCGAAAAATTCATTCAAAAAATGGGGAAGAGAATACTACCAGAAGATAATCAACAAAGTGGAGTAAGCGAGACCCATTCAATTCAACCGCTCAGTAAACATCCCGTACGGAAGCCTATTACAAAATCCCTGTCTTGACTAGACATGCGACTACACTTTCGTAACACCTAAGAATAAGCTTCACCCTCCCTCACTATTGAAATAACACTTAAATAATAGGAGCCCTTCTGAATAGTCCAAAAGGGAAATGTATTTCTTAGCAAAGCACACATTGTATGAGTACGTCTAGAAACCGTGAATTTTAATGTTTCTCTTTTGGAGACCAAGTTGACTAGTCAAGAACTCCATAACCTTAATACGTTGGTCACCTTGAAGTTGAATGACTTCGCCAAGTTCATCGTCCTTGACGATAGTACCGTTACAAGCAAAATCCTGTAAGTTAGTATCCACGAAGCTTCAAAAAGAATTACAAAACACTTACTTTCTTCAAAGCACGCAGAATGCGTTTTTGGTCGTACTCTTGAGGAAGACCTTGAACGGTAGTCAAAGTTTTACGTCCGTTTCTCTGTTGGATACGAATGTGAATGTAGTTCAAAGGCTGAGCATCATCATCACCAGTATCAGCAAAGGGATCTAATATTGTTAGCTTTGGCAACTTATTGCATAATTTCTCTGACAACAAAAGCCGAAACAATCCAACTCTCGATATTTAAACTATATAACAACATACCAACGATATTGAAGTTCTGAATAGCGGACATAAAACGTGAAATTGGCTGCTTTTCCTCTAAAAATGAAGAGTGTCAAGTATATGTGCTCCCGAAAAGGTGTACGGTTTCTGGCAGGCCGTTGCAGAGGAGGTTCTTTATATCGAAAATTTCCATGACCTTGATTTGCTACAACATAAATCCTAGCGTGGCGTAACGTTGCCACCGTAAACTTACCCTTCAACAAGGATTCCGTCGAATAATTTGTGCTTCAATTCTGCTGCAGTTATGTGTTTCTATTAATTAAATTGACAAAGCTTAATATATATATCAAAGGGTTAGGAAGCTACTGATGGATTGGTTTTACGAATCAACTGAAAAGACTAATTTGACAGTAACTCTGTGTGCAGAAGTAAATCTTGTTATGTTCTTTTTGATAAGCATTGGGTTATAAAAGCGGATATCGGTTGAAATTACTGCTTTTATGGAATGGTCTTTGAAGGAAGAATATTTTCTTTAGGAGGATACGAAGCTTTGCTTAAATACTGCTTTATAGCAACGAACATTAAATAAAACTCTTGTTCGTATTGTAATATGCTTATTAATCCTAATTATGCTCCTGAGTTTCACTGTTCGTTAAAGCGCCTAGATCGGCTATCCTTCTTGCCATGAAAAAGTGAACTATCAGAAATGCGAAACGAAAATTAAAAATTTAAGTTCAATGAAAGGTCTTTTATGGAAGTCGTAATCCCTCCAGAAGTTTATTTGTTAGCATGCGAAAGGCTTAGCAAGAATGCTAGTTCAAATAAATTAATCGTGATTACCTTGTGGGTAATTCAGCTTCAAGAAATAAATTCAAAATTCAAAAAAATTTAAAAAAAAATTTAAAAAAGTTACTCTGTAATAAACTGCTAGAAGCATTAAGCAAACATATAGAGAACACTCTTCAAATTCTAAAATCCTGCAGTAAGAAGCGAATTTGTGCATCCTGGCATTATACTACTTTTAGGTTCTGAAACTAATTAAAGTACTCGGTTAATTGACAAATAGCTTTTATTTAGCGTAAATTTGAGTGTACTTAGCTATTTGCGCCTCGAATGAAGCATGAATTGTAACTTTATGAGTGAACTAAACAAAGGGATTGTCGGCCAATTTAGCTGTGATTACAAGTTCTCATATAATTTTATTATTAAGGAACTAAAACTGTCGTTATTTATTTCATAAAGTTTAGGAAAAATAAATAGTAAATTATCACAAGATACATTAAAATAAACGAAGAAAAAAAATATGATATCATAAGAATTAAAAGGATCATAACTTAGTAATGAAAGATGGTAAACTCTTTCAGATGAAAAACGTATTCAGTGATAGGGCGATAGCAGCTTTCTTTGAACGAATTGCTGGCGAACAATGTACTTAAACAATAAACTCACAGACAACTATACTCATGAAGGCATTTCAAAGCGTTTATGTCTCAGGCTAAACGAGCATGCTGTGTTTCTTTGTCATGAAAATTTGGGGCACCCTCCACCTGTTGACACCACAACATATTCCATTCGCACCCTCAACAAGAAAGATTTCAATGGTTTTTGATCCCTGATCTCAAATTATATACTGTATTTGCGCTCATCTAAGTTACTTTTTTTAAGGATACGACTTTGTATCAATTAGTGCTCTTACTCTGCCTTTTTTCTAAGTTCTTCGTCTCTATACTTATTTTGATACATGAAGGTGTCGCAAACTCGGATTAGCTCTTTCTTATTTATTTATTGGACAATATATTAGCCAACGTTCCAATTTCTGTGTTCTTTCTTCTTATTTTTTTGAGTTTTGACTATTCCAACGACTATTTTTTTTTACGTTTTGCAGGATTAAACCACTATTTCCCTGTTATCCCTTTCCTTCCGGCATCCCTCCTCGTGTACACGTGAGGTTTCCTTCTTCGTTCACTTTTGGCTTTCTTATCTTAGTTTCCGTCTTCCCTTTCATTGTTCGTAATATTTTCTACTCCCTTAACCCAATGCTGCGTCCAGAATCTTTGCCCAACCTTGATGCGCAACTTTCCCAATCCCCTCAACGTGAGAATCCCCAGAAGCAAGCTAAATTCCCTAGATGTTACCATGGACTTTCTCCGCTAGATGCCTTAGCTGAAAAACATTCCCATTTGACGAAACAGTTAGCAGCTGAGGAAGAGAACTACAAACAACATTTGTTAGGTGAAAGTGACCTTGCCGGAATTGATGAGAATGTTCAGACTGAATCCTCCATCACTAGTCCTTTTCTTTCATCTTCTGCAAGACCAACGTTAGAGAAGCGCAGCTATACATATGACCAAGCGGGTTGGGAGCACAAATTAAGCAATGTTTTTGCAAGTTTTGATCTTGAGGATGACATTTACGCGCCTTTACAAGCACATGATAGTTCCACGACAATCGAATCTGATGTTGAATCCGCGTTAACTTCGTATTCTGAGAATCGGTTTACGTCGTTAGAGCACTTTGATAGCAACGACAACGGTACGGTTCGATCGTTTCCTTCAGATCCAGATTACTCATCTGGATCTTCTTTACTTCAAAACTTCTCTTCCACCTCTTTCGAATTACCACAAACTGGAGATGATCCATCACATGATGAAGATTCTCGTCGTTTCAGCGGTGAAACGAGCTCTCAACATCGGAACAGTTCAGGCGCAAGTCCAAGATTGCAAAGACCACGGTCACAGCAGCAAAGAGTAACACTTCTTCAGGTTCAGTCACCTTTTCTCAAAAAATCAGATAAGCATCGCGCCAACTTAACGAAATCTTTAGTGTCTATTCAGAAGGCTATTAATATACTACAGACGATGCAACTACCTACGTCTTGGCCCCTTCCATTGTCCACAGATTGCTTGTACAGTCTTATTCCGCTAGCTCATCGTTTTGAAAATGTTATTCTTAGGAAGCTTGAGTTAGATCTGCAAAAGTTAACTCTTCAGCTAGTGGAACATGTTTATGCTATGGTTTTTGGAAAAGAGCTACCAAAAAATCCTTTTGCTAAAAGTGACGAACAGAACTATCGGGATTTGAAGGAGGAGCACTTTATACCCGAAAGATCAATATCCTTGGTAACGGATTTACCAAGCAACGATTCTTCTAACAAGCAACACGTACACATGGGTGTACATTTTCATTTAAACAATGATTTTGTCCGAGGCTTCTATCATTTGAAAATTGCGGCAAATGATATGGACCCATTTGCTGCTTTAATTTATGGAATATATCTCAGACAAGGAATTGGCTGTACAAAGAACAGCAAACAATCTTTATATTGGATACTTCAATCTGCCTACATCGTTCTCACAAAGTTGCGAGCTGTGTTTAGGAACCCTGAAGAATTTAATGTCTCTGGTTCGACATTTAATTACTACCGAATGCTGCTTGCTATATCCATATACGAGATCGGCGTGGTGTTATTTCACGGCTGGTCCATACCCCGAGATAAGAACTTCTCTATGTATGCTCTCTTGTTAAGTGGTTTGTGGGGTGATGTTGATGCACAATACGAATTAGCATTACTTCTTTCTTTAGGTGCTACTACTGACAAAGACCCGTCTTTGGCAGCCCAACTTTTTCATTTAACGAACTTTCAAGGAGTTACTACTCCCTCCAAATGCCAATGGGCAAATAAGGATAAATACAGATTACGAGTTATAAATGCGGTGCCCGCTCCCGGTGAAGTCACAATTGTCAGAAAAATTCTTACATCTGCAATTGTTAATTATGATCTTTTGGCTAAGAAAAAAAAGCCAAAGATTAAGGGTATACTGTCACTAAAAAAATAATGATAGCTCAAATAAAAGATTATATGTTTATATGTCTTAAGGGATTTTTTATACTGGCGTCGAAGCATTGAACGTTGAGAGTTAACGTATAACATAAAGGTACATACTCTATATAAGTTGTAATACAGACCATCAATAGTAATTTTAATGACAAGCACAGTCAGGACGTCGGGCTGATACAGGAAATACGCGGTAGCCTAAGACACCCCCAAAAATAATGGGAATGATAACGAAACCCTTCACTGGTTAGCACGAGGTTGTTATTTGTGAGCATACATTGAAGGACATAGCACAGAGCCTGAAGAGAAGTGTTAGTATAAACTTATAAACAAGAAACATACATAAGATATAGCGATAAACAAGCTTGCAGTGCATAACTTAATGTTACATAAGTATTTCGGTATCTTTTTTCATTGGGTTTTTCTTCAATATTAAGTCGGAAACTTCTTAATGCTTCATATAAAAAGCTTAATAGAAACATTCCTATTGCCGCTAATATCACGGTGAAAGGACCCTGAACATGAAGCGACTGAAAACCTAAACAGTAACTAAACTGGTTAAAACCCGTTGTAAAGATTGCTGGAAGTCATACTTATAATCCCAATTAAAAGATGTCTAATTAGTCAGTATATTCATATTTTGTTTTAAAAGTCATTTCAAACCTTCATTGGACAATTACTTCCGCCATGACTAGTGTGTTCCATTATTCTTATTTCGTTTAATGTTCGTATTTTTGCTCTGAAGTTGTACAGGTACTCAAATATAGGCACAGCTGTTTTCGGGTATCTGCTACGAGATATTGTCATGAACAAAACTGTTGCAGAGTTGGTATTAGCCACACATTACAAAGAAAATATTAAGGACGACTTCGTTTTCTATCTGATATCTTTGTAGTTTCATCTATGATATACCTTTTCTTCCTTTTATAAATTTCATTCGTAAATAATACAGAGTGTGCCTAATGTCATTAGCTATTAGTAACTTTAAACGTAATCCGTTTTCTTACCCATCCAGCATATTCACCCCAAAGAGAACGAAAATAAGTGGATATTTTTTTATACCCATTTTGATTTAAACTCACATTTCGTGGCCATATTTTGTAATCTCTAACAGCCAATTGTAGGACATGAGTATCTACTGGGATAGATTCAAACTTATTTAAACTCATCAAGCACTATTTAATGTTAATATTAGTTATGTTCAAATCAATCTTACCACACAGTCGGCAACTTTGGGGCCCACTCCGGGCAATAAACAAAGCTCGTCACGGCAAGCCTCATAACTGAGAGAAGATAAATTCTCGAGAAAGCCTTTGTTCTTGGAGAGATACAGAACAGATTTGTGAATAAATTTCGCTCGATAACCAAAACCCAAATTTCTTAATTCACGTTCCAATTCAGATATCGATGCTAATTTTGATAGAGAAGGAAAACTGTAGAAATCATGTCCAAACCAGTAGCCTAGCCAAGTACCATAGCTCGAACAGAGCTTTTGTAGCATTTGAGAGATACGAGGAATATTGTTATTAGAAGAGCAAATAAACGATATTAGATTTTCCCAGGGATCCTGTTTCAATATTCTTACACCGTAAAGATTTTTACAATGTTGCGCGAAAGTGGGATCCTTTTCCTCCCATAATTGAAACAGATTTCTCGTGTCAACATCAACATTTAAATACCTGAAAAGCAATTTCCGAGATTTTGATTCATTCGGGACTTCATTTTCGGGATACTTAAAGCAGTATTCCACAACATCTGTTTCATGCTTTTGTTTCAAAAGCACTACACAGGACCATAAGGATGCCGCGTAAATCTTCTCTTTTTCGTCTACACATACCCAACGGAATGCTTGTCCGTTTGTGAGTGTGACAGAAATGTTAACTGGTTTGTTAGCATCATTACATCAATACTAACTTACGTTCTTCTGGTACTAATGGTATCTTTTTCCACATATTACAATAGGCAGTACGTGAAGTACATGAAAAATCAAACTTGAGACGAACTTGATTGGCGTGCTTATATTAGTAACCAAACCGGTAGTAGGCTAATAAGAACTGCTCATCGGAAAAGATAGCGTGTGGGTAACCTTCTCAAATACAGCAATGTATGAACTATTATCAGGTTTAAGAATTCACTGGTTGATAGACATTTGTGGCAAAATTATTATTTCTCCAAGAGCCGTTCGAAAATAAAAATATATCAATACGAACTATTCAATTAAAACTTGATACTAATGAATATAGCATTTGTTTGTTTCCATTACTAACGATAAAGTCCTATCTGTTTACAGACAATAATCCTTTGGGAATTAATAACAAACCAAGAAAAACGGAAACAATTAAATGGGCCATTAGAGCACCGTTCTAAGAAATTATGTGGTAACGGACAAGTTCTACAATATAAATGATCAGCTAGTTAGACAACGTTCAATTTTCGTAAACATATTACATTTTATTCATTCTTAGACTTTGTTGAGCGTCTTTCAGCGAACCGTAATTGGTTGTACATATAGGGATTTTGAAACCGATACTTCATGAATTGTCGTTGGGTCTCTGACACATCCAACTCTTCGGAACGAATAACAGAACCAATAGACATGAAGAAACCGAAAGTAGCCGCAGACGAGAAGATGTAGCGACCCATGGTACGAACGAAACCATGAGGACCAGGTCCATAACGGAGTACGGCCAAAGTACCGAAAACTAAACCAATACCCATACCAGCGGTAGAACCCATTAGGGCACCCATTTTAACTATTTTGTTAGTAAAAGCCTGGCGGTAATTTTGAATACAAGGAATTGAAGTCATTAAGTTATCATTTTTTTTCAAGGTAATCAGTTTAAATGAATCTCTGACAACAAATACTTCCAAGTTTTGCAAATAACATACAGCGGTCCCAAGTGGAAGGTTGTACCATAGCCATTTTGATGATTCTTTTTTTCGAGAAGAACTACTTTGATGTTAATTCTTGCCGAGAAAAGATGTTCGTTGGATGCGCGTTGTGGAGCAAAAAAATAGAAAGGACCTTGCCGGCAAAACAAAATGGATAATAACGTCGTGCTTTTCATAAACTCAGGATACTAATACAACCAAACGAGCTACGTTTTACTTGGTGCACATAAACAAGCCATATCTCAATGTCCGTTTTCATTTTCTGAAAACATCATAATTTAAATTTCACCAGTTCCCGAATCTACAGTTTCTTGTTAAAATGCCCCACCTTCACCACCGTTCTAAGTCTTTAAAGCTCACCATTGACCATATACGCAAGGGAACAACCGACATAGTTATTGTTTTGTGGAATAAAAGGAAAGTATTAACAACCAGCAAACGTAATGGAGGGCTGTATAAGCATAGACGAAAAATCATTTTGAGGAAAACAAACCGACATAAAAAACATAGTAACTTTTAAGAGCGACGTAACCTTAGAGCACCGCTCCGAAACCAAACGTAGTCTTAATAGGACGCACATAGTAATCCAGCAAGTTGTTTTGAACAATCTCCTCTTCGCCAATGGGAACTCCACGCATTTCAATACGAAGGACTGTGTAATCACTGCCTTGGTCGAAGACCATTTGCAATTGAGCGTAATGACCAGTAGGCCAGCTGCTGAGGCGCCATTTTTGAACAATTTTTTTAGCAGGCAACATCTCAACAAAGTGACCAACGACGTTGCCATTGAACAGAGAGAAAGCACCACCTGGACGAGCCTCAATCTGAGGAGGTGCACGCGACCAAGCGGCAACACGAGGAGGATCAATGAAAGTCATGTACAGCATGTCAGCAGGGGCATCAAAGTTATAATTTTCAGAAATAGTAGCGGTGTTTACGACCGAGTTGCTCCCAGAAGAGGACGAAGAGACAGGCTTGTTCAGAGCGCTTTTAGCATTGCTTTTAACGGCACTGTGAACAGGAAGACCCCGTGCAGCATCACCGTTATGTTCTTCCGTGGGCAAGTATACATCAGCACCATGCTCATCAATAAGAACCTTAGAAAACCCAGCAAAAAGCTTGCGAATCACAGGAAGTAATTCCTTACGTACAAACTCCTTGACGGGTTCCAGCTCCTTTGAAGCGTTGTACAAATCAATCTCAAAAGCGTAATCATTTTCACCCAAATCGTACGAGACTTCAGGACAGGTAATGGAACCACTTGCCTCAGTGCCATTGACCGTACCTGAATAAGCCATTTGGATCTTCAAGTCAAAAATGGTAATGACCTTGCGTTTACGCATAGCGACATCAACGTCGCCCTCGCAACTAATCAGCCGAGTAACCTTTGCATGGTCATCCCCACGGGAAACAGAAAGCTTGGGCAATTCCGTTTTGAAATAATCCTTACTCCAAGAACTGCAGTCCTTGCTGGTCCAATGCCTAAAGACGTGTTAATTCCTTGTTTTTCAGAGAATGTTCAGCAAGAGGAGGGGAGCACACAGAACGGCTTTTTTATCGGGGAGGGAACAAGTATAAGATACAGGATCTAGAGCATTCCACAAGTAATAATTCGTCAGGCTGTAGAGCAAATCTCCAATGTTTTCACAGTCAAGTTAGCATGTTCCTTTTATGCTCGTATTGCTGACTAGACCACAAAACGAACGCACTAGTTCAACGTTCATTTTTCATTCAGGTACTCCTCGTCTGCTCACCAAACGCGTGGACATTTGATTACATACCAATTGTTAGGATTCACCGAAGTAGCAGACATGTTTAAAATCTCCTAGACAACGAATAACTACGAAGGTCACGATGTTTAGTATTTCAACAGCGCGCGAGGGCGTGGTGGCTTTATATACAGCAAGGTTGCGCAAGAGGCATCGAACAGCAAGGAATCTTCGAGAGCAGCGTGTTCGACAAACCACCACACCAAAAAATGGGGGTAGCGGGGGTCTTGTGGAGGAACCGACATTGGCAGCAGAAGAATATAGTAAAATCATTACCGCGGCTCTGCAAACGTTTCTACAAGTCCATCTTGAGATTTATGTTTGCGAGAACAATTCAGAATTATCAACGAGATGGTCAGCTACAGAGAGATTTCAATACTCAGGATTATAAAATTCGTGCAATCCCTATAAACCCGTATGTTGTATATAGTACTTAAAGACAAAATGAATGACGATCCAAAAAGAAACTTAAAATGAAATACTTTTGTATACGTTAATTCCAGATTGGGCGGTGGAAATAACGACACCAGGAATCTGGCGATGCCAGTGCAGTTCTTTGATGTGCTGCTGGCCCATATGAACAAACATAAGTTGAGGAGGCAATGCGCCCATACCCTCTGAAGTGCGAACTTGCTGCTCTTCCACATCCAGTTCGACAGACAAATCCCACATGGATACCTGGTCGTCAGCACCGGCAACAGCAATGACTGATTCCTCATTGGGGTGCCACTCAATAGACGTGATGGGGGCCTTATGCCATTTGAAAGAAGCAACGGGAGTAGCAGCCGAGGTAGATTGCTTGAGTTGGCGCAAATCCCAAACGCACCACATTCCATCGTCGGCTCCGGTAGCCAAAAGATAAGGTACTTTAGTATTCCAACTCAGCACATTGATATCAACGCCAGGATGAGCATTGACCGTAAGTGCAGGTGTATGGTTTTTGTTGCGAATATCCCAGATACGGAAAGTACCATCACTGCTGCAGCTGGCAAACACTGTGCGTTCCGTTGGAGACCACTGAATGTCCTCCACGGAGGAAGCATGACCCTGGAAAGGCTTGTTGTCAGTCACCCAATGACCACTAGCGTCACGCTTTGTCAAATATATCTCGCCCTTATTGTCTCCCGAAAGCAGCATGGACTCAAACGGAGACCAGTCCAAAGCATAGCCTTCAGTGGAGTGATTGTTCACTGTGTACACAGGATCATTTGCACCTGGAGGAATAAGCATACCGACTTGCTCCATAGAACGGAGCTGAGGAGCAACGTTCCAAATATGAACCTTTCCAGTTTCATGGAAGGAAGCAATAAGTGATTCGTTTGTGGAAGGCTTGGCGGCACAGACACGGTTGCAGGAGCCCTCGACGGGCAGGGAACGGAACTCAAGCAGTGGATCTTCTTCAATATCAGAATCATCAGAAGCATCACTATCGTCATCATCGTGCTGTGTTTTGTACAACTGACTAAGCTTCATGACTGTTATTTCGTTGTCCTTTGTCTTTTCTGCCTGGGAACCGCCCACAAGGTACATGCGATGAGGCCATGAACGGCGTTCCTCGCCGAATTCATCGGGAATCACATCAATGCTAAGGAAAGGCCATCTAACTTGAATGTTGTGAAGCATTTCGTATGCACTCTGGTCGACGACCAGATTTTCATTTTCTTTTATTTCTCCACCAGGCAGCCAAACCTCCTGTTGCTCCTCAGGAATAATGTCTTCTTGGCCGTGCTCCTCCTCATCCGCTCCGTCAGCTTCCATATATTCCTCCTCTTCACTTTCAACTTCATCATCCCAAGCATCCTCAAACTCGCCCATATCGGCATCAACAGCGTCCTCTGAAGAATGATTGGCGCTAGGGCCATTCTTTCTTGAAGTTTCATAATCCTCCTCTACTGCACGTTTCGACATCGCTAAATTGACCAATGCAAGCCGAAAGGCCGGAGACGGATTTTGTGTATGGAAAAGGTCTGTGACCTTCTCTCTTGGTGTACAGTTTTCAGTTTTAATTAAGCTTTTTCATAACCGAGTGCTTAAAACAATTGTCATGACGTATGTAGCAGTCATACCCTACCCTACAAAAAGAAATAGTATATATAGACGTTGAATACGAGCTAGTTCTTCACAGTCATCGCCTCTGCATTTTTTCTCGTTAGGTGTATCAATATTTCCTACCGGTTGACGTGGGGAGCGTAGAAAGAGCTTTGACGGGCGGAATGGGCATCCATTTCGGATTTGTGTTATGAAGATTGGAAATCATTTTGCCCACATCTATTTGTCCATAGTGTTTGTCTTTAGCATAAAATGAATTGTTTGTTTTCTTAATTTGTGATTTTTACTTCATCTGGTAGCGTCGTTTGAAGCGGTTTACACGACTTTCCTCTGCGTAGATTGCCTTGGCTAGTCCTGTACGAGGGTTGTAGAGCGGTTGGTTTGTTACGTCCTTGGTTGATGCAATACTTCCTCTAGGAAACGTGGAATTGAACGTGAACGAAGCTCCGTTAGCAAGGACAACGGATTGTCGAAAAATCATTGGAACTGAAACACGTTTGACTGCCAGGCGACAGAGGGAGACTCTCATAGTTGAGACAGTGACTGGGAGAGGGATAGAGTACTGAATAACGGGTTTCGTCCAAGGTCACGGACACAACCATAAAAAAAAGCTACAAACGCAAGCAAGTAACACAGATGCCATGTAATAACTGAGTCCCATAAAACAAACCATATTTCCAAAAACCAAAAAAAAAAACATTACAATACCCACGCAACACTTACTTTTTTAGGATGTCCAAGAATTACCCAATATTAACTACTTAAACAAGGAGCAACAGCTTCACAGCAGCAGCCTAGTTCTCGGCAAGAACAGCCAAGAACTTCTCACCGGCGGCCTTAGAAGTCTTAGCAGTGTTGATCTTAACGTTAGCCTTGTAAGCCTTGGCATAGGGGTTAAGACGAGCCATGATAGCCTTGTTCTTAAGAGGGTTCTTCTTAAGAACGTGAGAACGCTTAACACGGGCAGGGCCAGCGGCCTTGATGCTGCTTTGGATCTCGTCAGAGTTGATGAGACGAGTAACGTCAGCGTTAGCCATGATGTTAGTAGGGAGGAAGTAGTTCTTCTTCAACTCAGAAGCCTCGGTAGCACTGCCAAAGAGGGCATCAAGGAGGCCGAAAGCGGACTTGGTCCACATGACGAAGCGGCCCAAATGTCCACCGGGAGCCAATTGAAGGAGATTGAGGCGACGAACATTGACGAGCTCGACACCGGGAATGTTGCGGAAGGCCTTGGTGATACCAGCATCCTCGTTGTAAACAACAAGGGGACCACGACGTTGAACGTAACGGCGGTTACGCATCTTACCCTTTCCAGCACGGAGCTTGCGAGAGTTGGCAACCTTAGCGACGTCACGGTAAGCCTTAACAGCCTTGAGAACAGCAACAGCCTCCTTGGTCTTCTTGATAGACTCGACCTCATCGGCAAGAACCAAGGGAACCTCAGCGATCTCCTCAACGCGGTGACCACGAGCAAGAAGAAGAGAAGGAACACCGGAAGCAGCAACGGCAGAAGCAATAGCATAACGCTTTTGGTTCTGGTTGACCTTCACATGCCACTTACGCCAGGTCTTGGTAGGAGCGAACATGCGACCGCTACGACACATGTTACCAAAGGCAGCTTGACCGGAACGGTGAGTACCACCACCACCGACACGGGGAATACGAGCTACAGCACGACCAGTACCCCAGGACTCAGCAGAGGTTTGATGGCCAGCCTTCTCGGAAACGGCGTAAGCTTGACGCTTGTTCTTGGCGACGGCAGTGTGAACAGAGCGGACCACATCAGGGCGGATGGGAGCCTTGAACACGAAGGGAAGAGCCAAGGCGTCCGTGGACACAGCGCCTTGGGCAGTGTAGACATTCACGGTGGGACGAGCAGCTGCCATTTGGTCGTTTGGTTTTGGTTATGGTTGTCCGAAGGCTTTACGGTTTGTTGGTGATGGAGCAGTCACAGTTTTAGGGTAGGGTTAAAAACATGAAAGTAGCTACTGATATTCAAGTCACGTGTAAATAAGGTATGTACACGTGTTTATTAAGCTATGCTAACTCCTCTAGCAAGTACTGCACGGTAAAACGAATGAATGAGGGAATTGTTAAACGTAATTCTTAGGGTTACAGCTAGCGAGTAATTAGAATTTGAAGCTCCGAATTTGCGTATCAATTCGTCCACCGCGGTAGCTGCCTCTCTTTTTTTTGTTTTTCTCTTGACGGAAACCCTTACCACGAGTAACAATAAGATCCTTGTAAGCCTTGGCACCATAACCATCCTCGGGACCATTGTAACTGTTGTCTTTCAGTTTGTCAGAAGCAAAGCCCCAACGAGAAGCGTCTCCGACACGAGAGAAAGGACGCTTGCTCTGACTGCCAGAATCTGAAGACACGCTAGTAGAGTCGTCGCGCTTACGCTTCAATTCATTATCGGCAGACTCGGAGGAAGCACTTTTGGAAGCATCATCACTGGCTGAAGAGCTAGACGATGACTCGGACTCAGAATCAGAATCCGAATCCGACGAACTAGAGGAGCTAGAGGAAGAGCTGAAGAAGATTCAGACTCGGAGTCAGAGTCTGACGATGAAGACGATGATGACTCTGACTCGGATTCCGAAGAGCTAGAAGAAGACTCGGATTCAGAATCCGAAGAGCTAGAAGAAGACTCTGACTCGGAGTCCGAAGAACTTGACGAAGACTCGGATTCAGAATCCGAGTCTGATGAGCTAGAGGAGCTCGAAGACGAATCCGAGTCCGATTCTGACTCGGACTCTGAAGAGCTAGAGGAGCTCGAGGAGGACGATGATGAGTCGGATTCGGATTCTGACTCGGACTCGGACTCAGACTCAGACGACGAGGAAGAGGAAGATGACTCTGAGCTAGAACTAGAGGAAGACGATTCCGAATCGGATTCGGAAGAGCTGGACTCAGACGAGCTAGATTCAGATTTGGGTGCAGACTTGGCCTCAGTCTTTGTCTCGGTTTCTGCCTCAGATTCCGAGTCAGAAGAGCTAGACGAAGAATCAGAATCTGACTCCGATTCTGAAGAGCTAGACGAGCTAGATGAGGATTCCGAGTCGGAAGACTCTGAGTCAGACGAGCTAGATGAGGACTCGGACTCGGATTCCGAAGAACTCGAAGATGACGACTCAGAATCCGACTCAGAGCTGCTATCGGATTCTTCCTTCTTAGATTCTTCAGCTTTAGACTTCAAACTGTTTTGTAAAATGTTCTCGAGTTTCACTTCGATCTCGACTTTACTCAAGTCGATGCCACATTCCTTTTCAAGCGATTTAGCTGTTTTTTTTAAACCATTTTGTTCCAAAAAATCCTTCACAAGTTTCAGGGCAGTCGGTTCCGCCATCGTTGAAATTACTCACCAGTTGGCACTGGGTTGGCGAAGGTTCAGAGAGAATGTCGAAAAGAAAAAAAAAGAATAGATGCATTGAGACTCGAACCCGTAACAAAAAGTGGTTGGCAGATTAACATACAGAAAAACAAAGGATCAAACATAAAATAACTATATTCCTAATAAATTAAGCTGTTTCGACAAACGCTCTGTACAGCTTGCTCCTTTTTTCTTTATCTAAGTTTTGACTTACTTAACCATGGACACCCTCTCCTCATAAGGATTGTATTTCATTTTCGTTTTATTTGCCAGCTACTCAGTAGTAACCTTACACACATTACAAATTAAGGATATTGATCAAATATAAAATTATATTTGATTTATTTAAAGCTGTGTTTTTTGAGATGGGAATAAAGAAAACGGTATCATACCGGAGATTTTTTAAGGAGTACAGCGCAAAGAATACTCAGAGAGGGGAAGGTGTACCATTTTGATAAGAAGCGAGACGAACGAGGTTACGCAAAAGCATGGCGATCGTAACTTTTCCAATACTAGGAACATAAATACCAGCATGTTGCTTAACAGTGACAGAGTCAAAGTTCTTATCACTTGAGAAGCAAATGCAGGTAGCACCGTCACGAATGAGTTCCGAAGGAAATTTGTAGTTAGCAGAAGGCACACCGCAGATAATAACGTCGGATTGAGGAGCGACATCCTCTAATTTCAGGTCGACATCAGTAACCTCGTGCTTTCTCTTGCGAATACCGGCACCACGGGTGAAGAGCTGGATACCCTTGATATCAACAGAGTAGACCTTAGCACCATCATTAGCCAACAAGGCAGCGAGAGGACGGCCGACAATTTCACTACGGTTCACCACTGTGATTGTCTTTCCGTACAAACGGTTACCGTAGTTAATAATCTTGTTGTAGACTCCCAAAAACTCAAGAATTTTTACTATTGCGAGGGGAGTGCAAGGGAGAATAGACTTCATGGTCTGTTCATCGTCCAAAAAGCGAATGTTGTGATACATGTTCATCACATACTGATGACACAAGCCCTCCACATCCTTCGATGGAGAAACCACTTGCTGAAGGTATTGATCTTGACGGTTGCCAAAAACGGGGAAGTAGACCATAATTCCATTGACACCACGGTCCAAATTCGCGTCCACAATGGCATCTTCAAGGTCGTCTTTGTCGACCTCACGGAGCTCAAAATCGAAACCCACTTCGGTAACTGTTTTACCAGTCCACTCCGCATACATACGAGCCGCAGGATCCTTGTTGGCAAGGAAGCCAACAAGCTTCAGAGGTTTCTCAAACGTCGAAGAAACTTTCTTCAGCTCTGTTATGAAAGGCTCGGCAACCTTACTGGCAAAGACAACTTTGCAGTAATGAGAGGGCTGAGCTTCTGAAGATGCCATAATGAATGATGAAATAGGGCGACGTGCTATAAAGCTGACTTTTTGTGGTATGGAATAGAGAAAGGTGAAACAACCAGTGAAAAAAATTTATACTTTTCAGAAAATTAAAGTTTTGCGGAGGCAAACCTTATTTGTTGTGTAGCTCTTAAATGGTCGGATAAAACAACAAAATGTGCCACTGAGAAGTCGACTGTGTATTGATTGAAAAGTGTTTGTGTGAAGGTTTGGGGGATGAAGTTTGCGTGTGTAGGTGTTTCTAGCTAGTTCTAGTGTGTTTTGAGTTTCACATGGTTTTAACTGCTCCTCGCTTGTAAAACGTTGATAAAAATAGCTTTTGGGTTTACACAAACGTGTCAAGGTTAAATATCTCTAGGATAGTATTCCATTATTGTTTCGTTGCTCGTAAGAATCCTGTTCCTCTGTTCTTGTAAGTTGGGATTCAACAACGAAATCATTTTACAAGTCTACAAATATCCAGTTTAAGCTTTCATTTCCGTTTCGGCACTTTATAAAAGTGGAATATTGATAGAATAACGGATCCAATATTTTTTTCAGAATCAATTAACTAAAGCAATTTACTTATAAACAATATTGCTGAAAATTAGTGTTTCTGTCTTATGTTTTATTAAAGGGACAAGTACTAGTATTTTGCCGTAGAAAAGCTTCACCGGTCCCTATTAAACTCCAAGAGACTAGTATAAGTGGTTTTAATATTTATTGCAATCGTTAAGTTTTAATTACCTCTCCTTTAGCAATGATACAAAAGATGACATCGGTATTGAGTATGCTTTTCTCCTCGGCACACACACAGTAATATACTTTCATATTGCTAACTGAGATAAACAGTTATTTAAGACGATAGCGCTACAATAGTAATGTCAATCTCTATTCAATAATAATACGATAGCGAATGCGATAACGGTCAGTATTGTTAAGCTCTTATTCTATTACTAATGTTAAATTGCTGTAGAATTGAAGGAAAATAGCTCGCTTAAGAAGAAATCCCTGTTGCTTTAAATGAATTCGTTCTCTATTGGAAGATTGATACAACAACAAAATAACCCAAGTTAAAAGATAATAATATGTTTTCCCCTATTAAAATAGTCAATATGGCAATCAATAAACCTAGCAATTTATATTCCACGGAATAGTAATGTTGGAAAAAATCATTGCACTATAGTTACGCTAACCGATCATGAGGCTCGGGTTTTGGGCTCGTGTATCGAAAATAAACAAAGAAACTAGTGCTTAGCTAAAATAGATAACAAGTGGTTACAAAAACAATCTTTTAAAAACATAAACCTTCGGGGAACGCGATTTTTAACTATAAACTGAAGACAATGAGTTAATGTGATTAAGCAGGTTTTAAGTTATTGACCGCTGCAATTTCATGGTACAAATGAAAACGTCTTTAGTTTTACGAATATGATTTAATGGTTTTTACTTGGTTTATGGAGTTAAAAACCGAATTATCCTCTAAAGTTCATTGTTGCTACTAAAAACAGCTACATGCATAATCACATTGGAAAGTATTCTAGTAGCTTATTCATCTTAGATGAGGTATTGAGATACACTATACAGAAAAATGAAATGCGGAAATATCCTTAAAGCAATATTTTATCTTAACTTTAAGTGCATGGCTGTTGAGCGAAGTTCAGTATAAAGACTAATTTGGGGTTTACTCTATGGTAGGCATCCTGAGCCAAATTATAGCGTCTAAAGCACTAATGTAAATACTGTAAGGTGTACACAATTGCATAGCTACATCCGGCTTTTCAAGTAGCCTGGTTACTTTGAATTAATCTCAAGAGGAAGTTAATCTTATATCTAACACATACAGAGGCAACCTTGGAGTGGTTTAAACAGCTTAGCTTCTTTAAGCTTTCCAGTTGGTGTCTCCAAGTCGTACCTTGAATAAAGATAATCCTTAATCAAAGTTTAATTTACACAGTAAACAACTTCAACATAAGATTTGTCTTTTGCAATAAACATAATGACTTAAATTAATTCCGTAAAACCCCTATATCAAGTGAACTAGGATGCGGAAGAAACATTTACCGCTGAATGCCGAGCGAGGAAGTGGTAATGTATACAGCTTTTGGCGATATGAACAGCACAGTACAAAAGCTGGCTATTTAACAAGTGAAAACCGGTTTTTTAGTTAACGGCATTATGTTGTAACGTAAATAGTATCTCCCGCTTTTACTTTCGAAATGCTTCCAATGTAGTGGAGTAAATTGGTATACTGGCCTGTCCAGAAATTATCAATTGTATCTGTGAGCATTAAAATTCAACATACATGAACAACACATAACGTCAGCGCATTTTCGTGTTTCTTGTTTTCGAGAAAACATGTTGTGTTCTTAACCCTCTGTAAGCTCAGGAAACACAACTTCGTTACGACACTCAGGCGTTGTATCGTTCAAGTATGCGACTTTCTACCGAGTCGAGAAGACACTTGTGATCAATGATGTGAATGCTCTCCAGTTCCGAAAGCATCATTTTTTTAGGATCTTGACCAGGTTGAAGTATTTGACCTACTGCCGGATTGGCCGGTTCAGAAGCCGCTAAATAATGAGTAAAGGTCCAAGGTGCGTATGTGACATACCGTTATCGCTGCCGAGGAGAAGTGAATAAACAGATTTAAGGCCAAACAAATTAATGAAATACCACGAAATTGAAGAAACCCACTGGACAGGAAGATCAGTGGTAGCAACGCCAGATTGAAATATCGACTTAAAACGAATAGTGAGGGGGAATGGAAGTTTTACTAGCAAATAGATTAGCCTGAGCACAAGCATGAACCACATACATAAAATGAAGCCAGCAAAAAACTCGCTAATCCAAGTCATGATAATTGTCTGTGGAACAATCATCATCATATTGCCCTTCATAGACTCAACAATCCCCTCCAGAGCAGATTCATCGGTTAAGAAGTTCACCGGCTTTCCGGCAGAAGCAGGGTCTTTCAAGTACTCATCAGAACGGAGAACATTGTTGAAGAAAGCCTTCCGTTGCTCGAGTGCATCAGGCAACAAATTGTTTGCATTGCCTCGCAAATTAGCGGCACGTAGGATGATACGTCTGCAGTTGTTAACGGACATTCGTCCAATATCACATGTCGCACATACTGTTCACGAAGAGTTTTAGCGTCTAAAGCCTTTGGTTTTGATCGTAAAAGAATTGTAAGATTATGTCTTAAAAGACCAATAAGGATCATAATAACAAAAATGGGAATCAAAACCCATGTTCGAAGTACTGAGATGTCAATACCGAGCACACAGAATCTCAGCTATATGTTTTACCTGGGTCAAGCAACAGATCTTGCATTTTCAAATCTTGCTCTTGACGTACAACTGCTGACTATGTACACCAGAGTTCACGTTTGTAACTAAGGCAGTGCGGTGTACCTCGTAATATAAAATACTGTATGCTAATGCACCACTATGCATTGTGTTCCTTTTTCTTAAAATTAGCGAAATGCACAGTGGTACATTCGACTACTGTGTATCTCCTTAAACACATTAACGCTCTCGACGATATTCCAACGTGCTTCTTTAAAGTTTCTTAAAGCACGGTAAACACTTTAACGATGCGTTTCGCTTCAGTTCGCTTGTGTTCGCTTCCTAAACATAAGCAAGCGTACGAAACTGTAACGTAGTACTTCGTAATTCAGTATTGTATTTAGCATTTTTCAGTATACATCCGTAAACAATTTTAGTGTTGTATCCTTGCAGTTTATTAAAAACTTTACCGTGTATTAGTGCGCCTTAACGCGACTTCACAAACCGTTTTCATTAAATCTAGCCTCAAACGCGCATAAAGATTCTAAAAGAGAAGCTCTTGTTTTCGCTTCGCTAGCAGCTATATATGCAAAAACAAGCCATTACCATCACAGGCTTCCTAAGCTTTCAGCACGTTTTGCTGAGCGAATATCCTAGTTTAGGCTTTAGGGTAGGGTATGTGACTGGGAAGTTTGTTTCCGTATAACAAACTCGGCCGTACCGTAGAAGTTCCCTTGAGACAATTTCTGCGAAGTTTCCGGCTTGCTTAAATCGATTTTGTTCCACCCTTAATAATGAAGTACCTCGCTGCTTATCTTCTTCTTACTGTCGGCGGTAAGGCCGCCCCTGCTGCTGCCGACGTCGAGGCTGTCCTCTCTGCTGTTGGTATCGAGTCTGAGACTGACCGCGTTGAGTCTCTTATCAGCGAGCTCAAGGGCAAGGACTTGGAGGCACTCATTGCTGAGGGAGCCGAGAAGCTCGCTACTGTTCCTTCTGGTGGTGCTGCCCCTGCTGCTGCCGCCGCTGCTGGTGCTGCTCCTGCCGCCGAAGAGGCTAAGGAGGAGGCCAAGAAGGAAGAGGAGGAGGAGTCTGATGAAGACGTAAGTGTTTGCATTCGTGTTCCTTTCTGTATACTAACATGTTGTAGATGGGCTTCGGCTTGTTCGACTAAGCTAGTCATTTGTCTTCGTAGCAACAAATCAAAACCATTTTTTAAAGTATGATGCTCGTGTGTGTGTGTGTGAGTGAACGATATCTGTAGTGTTCCCGCAATTGCTTGTAGATTCGTATAACCGTTAACATTTACTTCTCTGTTAGGATGTTTTCAGGTTGAGGACCACAACACTGTCAATTAACTTTTTTTGCTTCGGAACAAGGAACCCACCTACCTGAGTTCCAGTTTTTCAGACGTCAAATTGTCAAGCAAGTGTATATACGCTAAGACAGAAATTAAACCCCAGAGTAGAAACCCCAAGACTTAAACAAAATACTACCAATGAACAATGCACTCGACTACTAACCCGCTTACTCACAACCATCCTCCGCACCATCACATAAGGGTTCATTTCCCAGAAACGTGTTCCATTGGAATTAGTCATCTAGGTGGAGCGATCCACCAAATAAGAGTATTGAGAAACGAGAGTTGTTGGCCGCCGACGATTTAGAAAGAAAGTATCGCTAATGAAATTCGCATCGGCGACCTTAGTGAACTTTAAACAATCTATGTAGCATAAAATAGCGAACCGGCACTTTGCCTGCGGCAAAATGCTGCCGTCCAAAAAGATAGTTTGAACAAAAAGGCGCGGGATAAGGAAAAGAACAAGGAACAAGAAGGCAACGTATAGGATATTAGGATCCAGCGCAGTCAATAAGGTCGCCCTCCAGCTCACAAGCTCAAAACTCCTGAGCCATTTAGTTCTCCTTCTCGTGGCGAGTAGAAGTACGTTGGAGGGCAACAACAAGATCCTCGATGCTACGAGGATCCTTGGCAGGATGAGCGGGCTTGCCATTCATCAAGCGGTCAAAGGAGGCGGACTCGGAAAGAATGTAGTAGAAACCGGCCATGATGCAGAAGATACCGAAAGAGTACATCCAGATACGGATAACGGCAACAATGGAGGTTTGGTGACCACCCTTGAACCAACCGAAAATACAGAAGATAGTAGAAAGAATATCGACGATCAAGACAGCACCAGACAATTGCCAAGAAGGAAGAGAAGACCAGAAGGGACCGTTGCAACGGGTAATGAAAATCAACCAGTTCTCAGTAAGGGAGATTTCCAAGAACAAGACCTCGTCTTGAACACCAAAGTGTTGAACGATACCACGGTTTTGACCTTGAGCAATCATAGTAGTGTTGGTAATCCAAGTACCGACGGCCAAAACAATACCAACGACGGTGGAAAGACCCCACAGACGGGGAAGGTTCCACTTGACGGGCTTCATAGAGTAAGGGGCGTTGTCGTAAGCAATGGCCAAGGTAGCAACATCAGCGAAAATGGCAATGAAGACAATAAGTTCCAAGTTAAGAAGACGGTTTTGAATGATAATCCAGAGACCCAAGAAGATTTCCAAGTGAAGAGAAAGAGCAATACGGTAAACAACGTAAGAGTACATACGATGGAAAATTTGACGAGAAGTCTTCAAAGCATCAATAATGGCGGAAAGACCAGGAGCAAGGAAGACAATATCGGCAGCAGAACGAGCAGCATCAGTAGCACCTTCGACAGCAATACCAGTATCGGCCTTCTTCAAGGAAGGAGCATCGTTAACACCATCACCAGTCATAGCAACCAAGTAACCACGTTGTTGAAGAATATCGACGACAGCATACTTATGTTGAGGGAACACCTCACCGAAACCATCAGCAGCCTCAACGAAATCGTAAACTTCAGAACCAGGCATGTCACCACCACCAGTAAGACCAAGACGTTCAGCGTTGTAAATGTTAGAACCCATTCCCAATTGACGAGCAGTTTCCTTAGCAATATCGACAGCATCACCAGTAAGCATCTTAACACGGAGACCCAAGTGCATAGCTTCGTTGATAGTCTTAGCAGTATCGTGACGAGGGGGATCAGAACAGGGCATAATACCGAGAATCTCCCAGTGTTGACCATCAAACTTGCGAGCGACACCAAGGGAACGGTAACCACGGGAAGCAAGATCACCGACCTTGTCCTTGTAAGCAGTAAGAACCTCTTCGGGAATAGGATGGTCCTCCTCAACAGTCTTCAAAACCCAGAGAGGAGCACCCTTGACACAAATGCAGCGACGGCCATCGGGGCCTTCAACGTAAGCAGTAACCTTCTTGGAGACGGGGTCGAAGGGTTGGAATTGGATGATCTTGTACTTGGAAAGCATGCTCTTGGGACCGGGGTAGTTCTTCAAAGCCTTAAGGAAAGCCTTGTCAATGGCATCCAAACCCTTGCGCTTACGGGAAGCGGCCAAACAGGCAGTCAAAACCAATTCATCACCAGAAACACCAGAAACAGTGAAAGGCTCACCCAAAGAAAGCTTGTTCTTGGTCAAAGTACCAGTCTTGTCAGAGCAAAGAACCTCGACACCAGCAAGAGACTCAATAGCGGAAAGCTTTTGGACAATGGCCTTCTTCTCAGCCAAGTAAGCAGCACCGACAGCCATAGTGGTGGTAACGACAGCGGGAAGACCGACGGGAACACCAATAATAGTAATAGCCAAAGTGTATTCCAAAATCTTGACAATACCAACGGAACGGTAGAAAGCAGCAGTGTAGATACAGAAAAGAGTGAACAGCACGAGAACCAAAAGAACAGTACCAATACCGTTCAACACTTCAGTGAAATGACCAGTGCCACCGGCGGCAGCATTGACCAAAGAGGCAGCGCGACCGACGAAGGTAGAGTCACCAGTAGCAGTAACAACCATGAAACCCTCACCACGCTTGACACCAGAGGAGGCAAAGGTGGGGTCGTTGTAGTGCTTCTCGACAGCCAAGGACTCACCAGTAATGGCGGATTGGTCAATTTGGATCAAAGCATCGGGGGAAACAACGCGACCATCAGCGGGAATAATAACACCTTCTTCAAGACGAAGGATATCACCGGGAACAACCTCGTTGGCTTCGACGTCAACGAGTTGACCGTTACGAACGAGAGTAGCCTTAAGAGCAAGAGTCTTCTTCAGCTCATCGACAATAGAACCAGCTTGGTATTCTTGGACGAAACCGACAACAGCGTTAAGCAACAGAAGAGCACAAATGACACCAAAATCGACCCAATCTTGAAGACCAGCGGCCAAACAGGCGGCCATCTCCATAACGAATTGAATGGGACCAACGAAGAACATCATGAATTTGAGGAAGGGGTTCTCGACCTCTTCGTTCATTTGGTTAAGACCGTACTTCTTACGACGGGCTTCGACCTCAGAGGTAGAAAGACCCTGGTTGATGTCGGTCTGAAGAAGTTCCTCGGGGACAGGCTTGGCCTCACCAGCGGCGGGCGCATTGTCATCGTCTTCGGCTTCCTCTTGGATATCCTCAGAGAAAAGATCCTCGATCAGGGCATCAATGTCCTCATCAGGCTCCTCCTCCTTAGGAGGTGCAGAGTAAGCGGGTGCTTGGGGGACCTCCTCTTCTTGAGGAGGGTATTGTTGTTCATTATTAACGGGCTCGGCCATCTTGCAAAATGAAGGATGACGGTATTATCCAGTAACTTGCGATCACTGTGAAGTCTCTCTTTCTTCACGGAAACCGGTGTTTTCCACACGAAAGATGATCTCCTTTCCTACTCAAAGCAACTTGCAGTGAGACTACGGGGTATGTGCGTTCGATTAAAAGAGAGTTGGCTGCTATCAAGAAGCTTTTGCGGAGACCATAGTGCATTATTTATAGCAAGTGACTGCGGTTTGGGACGGCGCCTGGCGGAGGGAAAAATGTGCCTATTCGCTGAAAGCGTGACGTAGACGGAACGTGATTCGGTAGATAGTCGCGGGAAGGGTGAAGCAGCTGAAGATAAGCCGGCACGGGCGACGGAGGCGAACGGCACGTGCGGGAAGCTGTGCAAGACCGGACAAGTCAGGAGTCAATCGGAAGCGACCTGCTCGGCAGCTGACGAGCAAAAATCGAGAGGGAAATTGCAGGAAATGCAGCCAAAAAATCCAAACGAAATGCTGGGGGAACGCGTGCGGTCTGAAAACGATCTCCGCTCCTGCGTTCCATTGGCTTGCCACTACGGCATCGGTAAAGAGCCGTGTGTCGCCATCCCGCCTCCAGTTTAGCTCAGAGCCAATCAGCGTGCGCGCAGCAAACGAAAAATAAACATGAATTTTAGAGTCGCGACAAGCGAGTGATTGGCCGTCGATTCTACTCTAGAGCGGTCGGAGTCCCCACGTCATCCATGGTCGGCCAGTGCCCGGTCGACCCGACACGCTGGGCAGATAGCACAGTGTTGCGAGATCAGCGGAGGTGTAGCGAGGTGTGGCGAGGTTTAACGAGGCCAACGAGCGCATCACAAAGCTCGGCTACGGGGACTGGGCGAGACGGTGGAATGCCGGAGGCTGTTGGGTGGTGCAGTGAGGGTCAGCGATGAGCAGCATCGTTGGCTACGCAACCGGTCGGGCAGGAGAAGTGGTGGCAGCGGTGGTGCCGGTCGCTGGCTGGCTGGACTACGGTAGAGCTTTGTTCAGTGCATCCGTCCGTGGTGGAGCCATGGTGAGTAGCGATGGCCTGTTGTTAGTCGGCACGGACATTCTCCGGGGAGCGTGTGGTGTCGTCTGCTGCTGCTGCTGCTCCTCCAGTACACAGCGAAAGAAAGCTGGACAGTGGGACCTGCTTCTGGAGGAGATTCTGTCGGCACTGGCGTAGAGTTTGCCGATGAGAGAGTTCGTTGGCACGACGACGCTCGGCAACAGCATCGGGTGAAAAGTGCTGCAATTCGTTCTGCAGCTCGTGTTGCTCGAGAACAAACCGTCCGTGTTCCGAAACAAGATTCTCCTGGACACTTTGGACGCGTTGGCGGAGTTCGTCGAGCTTCTGTCTGCGTGCGAGGAGTTGCTTCTGAGTGTTTAGGTTTCGCGTATTTAACTCAACCACTTGTAGTCGTTGGTTGTACAGCAGCTGACCCTCGTCCGTGCTCCAGAAATACGATTCAGCAAGAGAAGTCATGAAAGGGATGAGGGGTATCAATTACGGGGAGTCGAGAGTACAGTTATTGTATTTCTGTTCCTTTTTCTGGCGTTTGCGTATTTTCGAAGTGCCGTAGGGGAAGACGCGTCCAATGCTTGCGTCACCACCAGGAGGTGAGTTTAATTGGTTCACGCGGACTTTTGGCAAATCAAAAAATAAAGCGCAGGATAGAGCCCATAATGGAGCGCAGTTTATCCCTGTCGCAAACACCGCTGTGGTGGCAGCACGTGTCCGTAAGCGAGAGGGGGCAGAGGTAAGAACCAGGAGTCTACTTGAGGTGAGTTGAAACTCGTTGTTTGTTCAGCCAATGTCTTTATCGTTTTGGTTGGAAGGGATTCGTTGAGTTGAGTTGAGAGAAGGTGAGAGGAAATGAAAGAGGGTGAAAGAGGGTGAGAGGAATTGCGAGAAGTTGAGGGAAGTTGTTTTATTATTATTGTTTTTATTTATTTTATTATTATTGTTTTTATTTATTTTTTTATTAATTTTTTTATTAATTTTAATTTTAATTCTTATTTTCATCTTTAATTTCTAATTTCTAATTTTCTTATATATAGTATTTGTACTTATATAGTGCTTCCCTTTATTTTATTTTTTATTTTTCAATTTTTTATTTCACGTTATACTAATAAAGCAACATTTAGTTCCCTTTTAATTTTCTTTTTGAATCGTTTCCTTGCTACAGAAGGACACAATTAATATTAATTGACCTTCTTTTTACTCGCTCATAATTTGCGCAGTTTCTTTTATACAATGTTGTACTTGATGTCTGGCTTGCTCATCCTTCAGTCCTACCGGTAAGATAAATTTTATAAGTGTAATCTGTTATGCGACACAAACGATGCACGATACTTTCGTAGACGCTGGAAACCCCCCAAATGGAATTGCATAGTTGCTCTCATTCGAATTCCCTTTTCATTTTTCATTCCACGTTTCATTATTCTCCACGCACACCCATCTCTGCCAGTTAAATTGCTCTTCTGCACACACTGCCCGTCTTCCTCCAGAAACAGTTCTCTTCCATAGCGCCAAACAGCAGCCGTACTCGTCTCGTCCATACGGAATTGTTGTTATTGTACTTCACTTCTTGTCGCCTCTCCCACATGCCCCACTCAGGCCCCCACTATTCTCACTCTTCCTCAACTGTCACCGACCTCGACGAGCAGAACCCTCCTTTTACCAAAACGCCCACAAAACCGAGACTCCCGGGATGACAGAAGTCTTAGTGCCCACGAAAGATACAGAGAACAAAAACCTGGTGCAGGTAAGGAGGCACACGCGCCGACACGCTGCTGTAGTGGTATTTGGGTGCTAACCGTGACAACAGTACTATACCCAGAAAATCCAGGATGTTGAGGCTGCAATAATTCGGAGAACACACAATCTTCGGCGTCTAGAGGCTCAGCGGAATGAGCTTAATGCAAAAGTTCGCCTGTTGCGCGAAGAAATCCAATTGCTACAGGAACCTGGAAGCTATGTGGGTGAAGTTGTGAAGATGATGGGTAAAAACAAAGTCCTCGTGAAAGTCCATCCGGAGGGAAAGTACGTCGTTGACATTGCTCCCGACGTTGACGTTCGTGAGATAAAGCCTAATATGCGCGTCGCGTTGCGTAACGACTCGTACCAATTGATTAAGGTCTTGCCCAACAAGGTGGACCCTCTTGTCTCTCTCATGATGGTGGAAAAAATTCCCGACTCTACATATTCTATGGTTGGTGGTTTGGAGAAGCAGATTAAGGAGATCAAGGAAGTCATCGAGCTGCCTGTCAAACACCCTGAGCTGTTCGAGAGTTTGGGTATTCCACAGCCTAAGGGTGTCCTGCTCTACGGTCCTCCTGGCACCGGAAAAACGTTGCTGGCTCGTGCCGTCGCTCACCACACCGATTGTAAATTCATCCGGGTAAGCGGTTCAGAGCTTGTTCAAAAATATATTGGTGAGGGTAGCCGAATGGTGCGTGAATTGTTCGTGATGGCTCGTGAACACGCTCCCTCTATTATTTTCATGGACGAAATTGACTCCATCGGCTCCTCTCGTTCAGAATCCGGCAGTGGTAACGGTGACAGCGAAGTCCAGCGTACCATGCTCGAACTCCTCAACCAACTTGATGGTTTCGAACCAACGAAAAACATTAAGGTTATTATGGCATCCAACCGTATCGATATTCTCGACCCCGCTCTCCTTCGTCCTGGCCGCATTGACCGCAAGATTGAGTTCCCCCCACCGTCCGCCGAAGCTCGTGCCGAGATTCTGCGCATTCACTCTCGCTCCATGAACCTTACTCGGGGTGTCGACTTGAAAAGCATTGCCGACAAGATGGAAGGTGCCAGTGGTGCCGAGCTGAAGGGTGTTTGCACGGAGGCCGGTATGTTCGCCCTTCGTGAACGCCGTGTGCACGTTACCCAAGACGACTTTGAGCTCGCCGTTGCCAAGATTCTCAACAAGGGCAACTCGAGTGAAATGAGTTTGCAAAAGCTGTTTAAGTAGTTTAATGATGTGTCAATAAGAACGTTACGACAAGCAAGCAACGAACAACAGAAAGAACAGACAGTGATACTTTAATAGACCTATTTACGACAACTGAGCAAAGAACTGCTAGAAGAGAGAACCAACTTACAACCAGAACAACCAGAGAGGAGAACCCGGCAGCTCCTAAGGGAGTCGTGACTTAAAAATACAAGAACACACCAAAACCACCCACATCTCTCGCACAAACAAGATGACAGTACTAACCTTTTTTTATTAAATTTCTTCACTACTAACTAAAGTGTAGGTCGGTGATTATAGTCCTCAAGCGCTGTGGGATGCAGCTCACGAGGGTGGAGACGACGCTTCTTCTCCCCGGTATACAAGTATACCGACGTCTAACGCTCCGAGGAGCTAGGATACGCCGGCAGGCAATACCTGGTTTTGATTCTGGTGTATAGAGAAGTTGCGTCCTCCCTTTTATAGCTGAATATTGTGGGACTGCTTTTTTCTCACCACCACACGCAGAGCTAATGAGGCGGCCTTCGTTGGAATTCGTTAAAATACATTAATCGCAAAAATTCATAGTACGGTAATATCAATTTAGCGATACCTTACAATTCAGTAAACACGAATCAGCAGCGTACTGCAGTGCGGTAAAACACAAACTTAAAAAAAATTTCGCTATTTCTGCTACCCCACTGTGCACCTACTGTATATTAGGGTAGGGTTTGAAAAACAAAGTCACAGTGTATCAAAATCAAGAGCCGGTGCTAACCCTCTCGCCAACCAAACATCCAAAATGGGTCGCATGCACAGCAAAGGAAAGGGTATCTCCTCGTCTGCTCTCCCCTACGTCCGCTCCCCACCTTCCTGGTGCAAGGCTGACGCCGAGGCTGTCGTGGAGCAAATCATCAAGTTCTCCAAGAAGGGTATGTCTCCTTCCCAAATTGGTGTTACCCTCCGTGACTCCCATGGTATTCCTCAAGTGCGATTCATCACTGGTCAAAAGATCATGCGTATCTTGAAGGCCAATGGTTTGGCTCCCGAGATTCCTGAGGACCTTTACAACTTGATTAAGAAGGCCGTCAGTGTCCGTAAGCACTTGGAGCGTAACCGTAAGGACAAGGACTCCAAGTTCCGCTTGATTCTCATCGAGTCTCGTATTCACCGCCTTGCTCGTTACTACAAGAAGGCTGGCGCTCTCCCTCCCACCTGGAAGTACGAGTCTGCCACTGCTTCTGCTTTGGTTGCTTAAACAAAACAAGTCGTGTGTGCACCATTTTAAAATTGATCGGTTCGGTAGGGTGTGTATGTGTTCTAGGGTTGTGTCTAGTTGGAATTCGTGTAGTATTGGGGTGTATGTAAGGTCGTGTGGCTGCAGTCATGATTTTGGTTGTACGTGGAAGTCAATGTGTGTTACGTGTAAAGTCATGTTTTCACTCGAGCATATGCGTTCGCTAGGAAAACAAGTTCACACAACAGAGGAGAGAGTCATCGCGTTAAGGGAATCGTAGAAAGGCATGTTATAGGAGAAAAAATAGAGTACTGCATGAGCTGAGGATATGGACTGAACGATAGACAGACAAAGTCTCTTCGCCGTATATCCTTAAATCTTTAAATCTAAAAAGTTCCGTAAAGTGAAGGGCGATTAAAGGCGAAGGAGGGGGAGAAAGTGATGGTGATTGCTGCTTCATCAGCTTGGTGACAGATTACGGATTAACGAGGTCGCAGAGTTACAGAAGCGGGCGATTTAAGTGTCTTTTGTCCTCCTGGAAGGGTGTTGCGATTAAGTAACAGGTCTTCTGACGAAGGATCTTCGTCGGAGATGCTGAGCTCTGTGGGGTCGACCGAAGGTGTTTGCAAGTAACGACTCGTCCGGAAAACGTCTTGTCTAGAAGGAGTTGGTGTGGGCATGTCATAAGTGACGAAAGGACTTTCGTTAAGCAAAGAAGTGCTGGAAGCGTTGGATGGATCGAACAAAGACGTCAAAGGAGCTGGCTCGAGGGCTGTAGGAAGCGGCAGCTCCTCCTCCGCCGAGGAGGCTTCGAGTCGTTTGTAACGGAACCAAATGTACAAGGCAGTGCCGGCGGTGATAACGATACACAAGATAATACCCACGGTATTGGCCGTTGTCGTTTTTTCGCGTGCTAAACAGATACCTGCATATACGGGCACAAGATATTTGAAACTCGAAAGCCAGTAGGCCAACGTCCATCCGACGTAGCTAACGCGCGGCATCGTTGCAAAGAAAACTGTTGTAAGATGCGTGGGCAGAAAACTCAGACGAATAAGCCAAATGAGAGGATAACTGCCTTCCTCAATAACTCGCACAAATGTTCCATAATGCTTCTGATGCTTCAAACGGAACTCGTTGGCCTTTTGTTCCAGACAATGTCGATACATCAGGAAGGCAAACGATTCACCAGCGAAGATACTGACGACAACGACAATGAACCCTGTTTTAAAGCCCCAAACAAAGCCTGCCAGCAATGACAGCGGGTCTTGTCCGAACAGCGGAGGAATGGACGAGAGTGTAATTAGAGCCACAGCAATGAGCCATGAACATTTGTAAGACCTCAGTCGCGCGGCGACAGGGAGAATAGCGTCTAAAATTCGTTTGTGAAAAATGTATATCCGCAACAATGCTACCTATGATAGCAAGAGTAGTGAATGCAAAAGAAATCTAAGAGAACGATCTTGTTAGTATGTAAGAGTCATTAAGTTGTGCACTAACAGAAATGTCCTATTCACAAGTTTTCAGATTGCCGCCAACTTATGCTAGCACCCCAAATATGTTCATACCTTTTTTCGTCTCGAAAACGCCATTGAGAAAGACAACTTATGACAAAAACGAGACTGTGTAATTTACTGTTTAAAGGAAACAACAGCTAAAAATACCGACCGAATCAGCCAGGCCGGTGAACGACGCCGTTTGTGTGTGTAATTTACACCACAAGAAAACAACGGCAATAAAACAGAGAAAATACTACGAGCTGATGGGCGCGAATTCACAGAAACCGCCAATAATGATGCTGTAGTGTAAGTGTTTGGTCGTGAGTTACTGCCCAAATCGCTAAACCCGAGTGGTATCACGTTGGGTGGTGTCCGGGGGTTCCGGTAAAACTTTAGAGTATAGTTTGTGCGAAAAAGAGGCTTGAAAAGCGGCAAAGAAATGTGCTGTGCAAGCACGTTGTATAAGCGATAAACAGAGGCATTGTTGAGGCAGATGGATCGAATCCGTAATAGGTGCCAATTAGTTCGAGTTTTAGTAATTAAACTAACTGCCGACGTGAGGCGAAAAAGGCACAGATCCGTCATTGCCCAAGAGCAATTTCGTAGACCTCTAAGTCATAAACCCCTCTAAGTATGGACCACTTACAGGCTACTTTGAAGGATGGCTAGGAGCGTTTGCCAATTGGGCCGTGCATTCAATTCAGCCGAATGTTCATGGGATGGATCACTGGCAAATGATGCGAGGACTCTCATATCAGTCTAAGTTTGTTAGTAATGTTATGCAATTGAAATTGTGCTCCCTTTGTGTGATTAGTGTTGTGTGTACTTACATCGTCAAGAATGCCCATTTGTTGAATATGCAGAAGCACATCGAAATTAGAAAGGCTACCATTGTCCAAGGCAGATGGCTCAAACAGTTTGGCCAGTTGACGAAGTCGGAATGTTTCGTCACCGGCATCGAAGTTGGCAGCCAGAGGCGAAACTGTTGATTTGAACATCGGGCGTGGATTCTCTGGAAATCCATGAGTCAAAGTAACAAGTAGGAAACTGACAGGGAACGCGGGCTTCGCGTTCACTGATACCGCCTTTCCATATTCGTTTACCTCACTGTACATCACATCTGGCACATAACGTCCTGGTTCTTCCAAACAAACCATCATACGGTCTGGATCCACGGTTGGCTTAATCAAGTCCGCTTGCAGTAAAGCAACAGCAGTGTTAGAAACTTGATACGCCATCACTTCAATTTCGCCTTTCTCGTTGCCCGAAAGAACACAAGTAACAAACTTAGAGCCAAAGTGTCCGCTTTTGCTCCATTTGCTGGGATTAGGCGTCTGACTCTGGAAGTACGCCGAGTTGTATGTCTCGAGTGAGGATAAGAAGTAGGAGCCAGCATGGCGCTTACAAAGCACAGTTCCCTTGCCCGAACCATCGTCCACAAGGTCTGTAAAAATGATACCAACTCGCCGGAGACCACAAGCGGCAGCAAGTTTATCCACTTCGGCCTCGCGGTCCCAAGGGTTTTGGAGTGTAACGCCGTCCGATTCCGAAACCTGAGCAGGGTCGATGATCAGCTCCACGACAGCTTTGATTCCAAGAAGCACATTCTCATATTTTTGGTAGCGTCCATACATGTAGCCAATGCGTTGTTGTCCTGTTTGACGCCAGGAATCCAGGAAGGAGTTTATGACTTGAGAGGAGGAAAACTCAACATGGTCAACCATACGAAACGACTGCTGTGTCAGCGTGATAGCTGAAGGTTGACATTTTGTGCAAACACCAGCGGGCCATGGAAGATGCCCGGATGGACAATGCTTTTTTACACGGTAATCAGGTTCCTCAAGGGGATGGATAAAGGACTGACTACTGTTCAACTTATTCGTAGTAGCATTCAGCTTTCGCAAATAGGCGTGAAAAGAAAGATGTTTGATTTTTTGCTCCTCGAGGTATTTAGGATCGTATGCTTCTAGAGGAGAACAGTAATCGCACATGCCCTTGTCTCCGTGATGACAAAATACACTGCGGGGACGTTGAATAAGACCTCTTTCTTTTTCTAATTCGTTATCAACATCATCCTGTTGAACTTGAGTAGGAGCTGATGTGTTGTTTTGTGAAATAGTATCTTTCCGCTCAACATTCTTGGTTTCAATCTTGGCAGTGGACGGAGCAGCAGCTTGTACGACGTCCTCATCTACCGTAACTGAATACATATCTCCGTGTTTAAAGCCTGCATCACCAACGGTCTTTCCTTCGAATGATGTACAGGGAACCTTCTCCTTAGATGGTTGTTTGGACAAATAAATCGCCTTAACTGGCACTGAGTTTCCAAAAAACTCTTGGATCTAAGGAATGGAGCGTTAGCAATTGCAATTGGCCCTGTTTAGAGCTGATTTACCTTCTCAATTACGCGTTTCACCGAATCAGAGGGTTCAACAGATACACGAAATAGACCGCGTTTTGAACTGAATCGTAAAATCTTTTATATAAATACTTAGTAAATGCTAGTGGAAAACAAACGTACCATAATAGTATACTCGTAATCTGTTTTTGACAACTTTTCTATATCAGATGCTTGTCTGTAGTACGGCACTGACTCTTGAGATTTTGGTGGCAGGGAGGTAGTACTGGCATCCTCCTTACCAAAGACTGTCCTATAGTTTGTCAACTTTATCGCTTATACGTGCAGAAATTCGATTTTAGGATGCTCCATTAGCATCTTCATTGCATTTTCCATCAATTACTTGGTTTGTATGGTCTTCATTTGCCGTGTTGCTGATCCTCAATTTGAGAAGCCTCTTTCGGGCGGCAATGTTTATATCTCCTACTTGATCCTTACAAAGACAGAATTGCATACTGGGCAGGAAAATGAGTTACATGCTCGCCGGCGGTTTCGCGACTTTACCTTGCTGCACGAGCTTTTGCGTCGCGAATATCCATTGCATTTCATTCCTCCAATTCCACGAAAACACGGTGTAAAACAGATTACTGGTGATGCTTTCTCACCGGATTTCATTCCGCGCCGACTAAGTTCTCTCCAACGTTTCCTTGACAGATGCTTGGAACATCCTGTTTTAAAAAGCAGTCTTCATTTATATCAATTTCTTGAAGTCAGTGACTGGCAACACTACTATGAAAATGCATGCCTGCAAATCAACAACAATGCCGAGTCAGGTTTTCGAACACCCAGCATTACTGGCAACAATAATGGCAGTGGGATATTCCATCTTGTTTCATCCCGGAAAGCGGTGTCACTACCTCCAATGCTTTTACGTGAACGCGAGCTTTGTAAGAGTATGGAGAACGATTTAAGGCAGTGTGAGCACTTAGCGACTCAGTACTTATCTCGTCTACAGGTTACGACTCAACAGGACTGGACAATGCCAGACAAATACACACCATCATTACTCGCAGATGTGCAAAAACTACTTGCCTCTCTTCAACAACCAAACATGATTCTGTGCAAAGATTGGAAACAAAAATCCTTAACAACTATACAAGACATAATTGATTGCTTTGATGTTCTAAAACCGATGCTCGCCTTGCGAGAGCAAAAACAAACGCACATTGAACGACTGCAACGACAACACGCTCATCATGACACTTCGGGTGCCAATGGAAATGCATTAACCAAAAATAAAGAAGCCAGTGGTACCTTTCGTTGGACTGGTTGGGTTACTCGGAAATCAAACACGGTAAAAGGTGAAGAGGCTGCAATTCATGAGGAAAACATTGACAACCTACTTCAGAATCTTGCGAATTATGATTCCCTTTTGCTTCAAGAAATATCGTTTGTTCACGCCCGTCTTTCCCGAGAACTTTGTCAAATGCTACATGATATATGTTCAATGCATATTCGTTTCTATAAGAGTTTCTTGAAACGGCTAAATCGCCGTTGACTACGTTAATCGTACTTTTAATTTCATGAATCTTCCTCAGAACTATTTACCTTTGTGGTTCTAACTCTGGAAATGGCTTATTAACATTACTTCATTCATTCTCATCCAGCCTTTTATGCTCCGTTTTTTTTTTAATTTCTACCTTTTACTAAAGTTAATCTTTTTATTTATTTCATGTTGTTATTTACATTCATCTACATTTCTTAATATACTATTTTATCTTGTCTTGGCATGGCATGTATTACTTCGTTATCAAGGCTTGCTAAAAAAGGGAGTTACTGATTGGAACATGTAATGATAACGGCTCAATATTTCGTTCATACCGACCGTCGTACTATTATCGTAATCAAACATATTTGCAAACCTCATTCGCGCCTTACTTAGGTTGTATCGTTTGATGTACCAGCCAAGTTGCTGATACCTTATTACTGATATAAACCTTCATTATTCGCATTACAACTCAACGATTATCCGCTGTGCTTTTTGTAAGCTTAGGATATCGTTTTAGTCCAAATGCTTTGTTTCATATATCTAACCTACTTATTCACGACCATCCGTGCAATGACCGCTGATTTATGTTTTCAACCTCAAGACATGCTGGAAACGCCTCGGCGAAGTGCCATATCTGTTAACAGTTATGGTACTCTTGCATTATTCACTGAATCTGTTTATAATTTCACCGAACACAAGTTCAACAATGGTCTTTTCTTAATAAACACATCTGAGCCAGAAGCTGTCTCTCCATTAGTTTTGGGAAAGAGTGCAAAGTCTCCGCAGTGGCTCGACGAGTCTAGTTTTATCTACATAAAGGATGATGATTCAGATGTTTCTTCGTTAGTTCTTTACGATGTCGAAAGCCTCTTGGAGAATACAATTTATACACATTACGCCCCTATATATGACCTGAAAATTACTACGCAAGACAGCACTGTCCGTGTTGTGTTCAGCGGTCTTTCTGAGAAACCGAAAAAAAATCCGCCCAAGGTCCATGAATATGAATCTATATTTGCTCGTCATTGGGACCATTGGATAACGTCGGAAAAAAACACAATCTTTTCTTTAGACTTCAACAGAACATCCAGTCGCTCTTGGCTGCTCCCATTGTCTGATGATGCTAAGAATTTACTTCTCGGAACGAGTTTAGAGAGTCCTATGGAACCATTTAATGAAGCAACTGACTATTCATCTTCGTTTGAAAATCTCGTTTTTGTTGCTAAAGATCCTGACCTTAATCCCGCTCTTAATTCAAGAACCATTGTCTACTTGTTCAATTATGCAGCATCTACTTTGACAGCATTGAGTGAAACACAAGGAGCATGCAGCAGTCCGGTTATATCTCATGACAATACTATAATCGCCTGGTTGGAAATGAAAACCGCGAAATACGAAAGTGATCGCAACAGAATTGCTATCTATGATCTAACCACGGGAAAAAGAAAAATAATTGCGGACGACTGGGATCGGTCTCCCAGTAATATTTTTATTGGAAGAAACGGCGATGATATAATCCTTTACGCGATTGCAGATGACGAAGGCCGTCAACGTTTATTCTCCGTGAATCCTTCCACTGAAGCGGTAACACAATTGACGAAGGAGCACAGCGTAATTGCAGCTTCATATGCAAATGAGCGTCTCTGGCTGTCACGCGCATCCTTTAAAAAACCCACATACTTTACGGTTGCTGACTTGCAAGGCAACGAAAGCATCCTCTATGATAACAGGGTAGGTCTCGACAATTTAGGTGTGGAGGAACTTTGGATCTCGCGCGGTTCGTATCGTGTTCATTCATGGGTTGTCAAACCATCTAATTTCGATGCTCACCGTAAGTATCCCTTGGCTGTTTTCATTCACGGAGGACCGCAGGGGTCGTGGCTCGATGGATGGTCTTATCGTTGGAATGCTGCTGTCTTTGCTGAGGCTGGATTCGTCGTACTGGCTATCAATCCTACAGGCTCAACAGGTTATGGTCAAGCTTTCACGGATGCTATTCAAGGAAACTGGGGCGGTGCCCCCTATAAAGATATCGAAGCCACTGTTGTCTATGCGGCCAAGTCTCTTGGTTACATTGACGAAGACAAAATTGTCGCACTAGGTGCCTCATATGGCGGTTACATGATTAATTGGATTCAAGGACAACCGTTAGCAAAGAAGCTTAAGGCAGTCGTCTGTCACGATGGTGTCTTCAGTACGCTTAACACTTTTTACACAACCGACGAAATCTACTTTTCTACTCATGATTTTCTTGGAACGCCCTGGGAGGCGAGAGAAGTGTATGAACGATGGAATCCTGCTAATCTTGTAGACAAGTGGTCCGTGCCAGAATTAATCATTCACAGTTCGAAAGACTATCGGCTGCCGGAGTCAGAAGGCTTGGCAGCTTTTAATGCTCTTCAATATAAACAGATTCCTAGCAAGCTTGTCATCTTTGAAGATGAAAACCATTGGGTTCTTTCTCCAGAGAACGGGCTCAAATGGCACCAAAACGTTTTAAGTTGGATAAAACGTTATACGAAACACCCATACACCTTTATGAAGCAGAAAGAGTGATACTAATGCTATTTTATGTTGTAATTTTCTTAATAATTGCTTAACGCGGCAAAGCCGCGGCGTTTACCCGACTTTAGATGGAAAAAGTGATGGCATAATGTGTACAGTCTGCGAAGCACTTTCCTCCTACCAAGAGCACATTACATTCTTTTAGGGCATACCTTATTCCCTGTAACTTCCGCCATTGTTATGGATCAAGCTGATTTCTTTTCTGTGCCTACGTATGTGGGATCTACACTGAGCGCTGAGGAGCGCTCGGCCCTGTTGGCTCGTCCCATCAAGAATACCGAAAATATTCGCAAACTCGTTACTCCCATAATTGACGACGTTAAAGCTCGCGGTGATGCTGCTCTTATTGATTTTGCCAAGCGTTTCGAAAAAGCCGACTTAAAGCAAGCCGTTTTGAAGGCTCCTTTTCCTAGACATCTTATGAATATTTCCGAGCAAACAAAGCGTGACATTGATACCGCTTATAACAACATCCACGCCTTCCACAAAGCACAATTGAGACCTTCTATTTCGGTAGAGACAATGAAGGGCGTCGTTTGTCAACGTGTCTCTCGTCCCATCGAACGTGTTGGGCTTTACGTTCCCGGCGGTACTGCCGTTCTTCCTTCCACAGCTTTGATGCTGGGTGTTCCTGCCAAGGTTGCTGGCTGTCCTCACATTGTGTTTTCGACGCCTGTTCGTAAAGACGGCACTGTTGCTCCTGAAATTGTGTACATCGCCAACAAACTCGGTGCTGAGGCCATCGTGTTGGCTGGTGGTGCCCAGGCTATCGCTGCCATGGCTTACGGTACTCAATCGCTTGTTAAGGTTCATAAAATTTTTGGTCCTGGTAACCAATTCGTCACGGCTGCTAAGATGCACGTTCAAAACGACTACAGTGCTTTAGTCGCTATTGACTTGCCTGCTGGTCCCTCTGAGGTTCTTGTGATTGCCGATGAGAGTTGTGTGCCTGAACACGTTGCTCTTGACTTGCTGTCTCAAGCCGAGCACGGTTTAGACAGTCAAATCGTTCTTCTGGCTGTTAACCTTTCTCCTGCCAAGTTCGCTGAACTGGAACGTCAAATCCACGAACACACCGTCCGCCTCTCTCGTTCCACCATCATTCAAAAGGTTTTGACTCAATCCGCCATCATTCGCCTGAACACTGTTGAAGAGGCATTTGAATGGTCCAACTTGTATGGTCCCGAGCATCTTGTTCTCCACCTCGTCAACGCCGCCTCCTACATCCCCAAGATCCAAAACGCTGGTAGCGTTTTCGTTGGTCCTTGGTCTCCTGTCAGCATGGGTGACTATGCTTCCGGTACGAATCATACTCTCCCCACTTACGGTTATGCCAATGCCTACTCTGGCGTAAACACTGACAGCTTCCTGAAATACATCACTACACAGGAGTTGACTCGCAAGGGCATCGAGCTTCTTGGTCCCACTGTCGTTCGCTTGGCACACTTGGAGGGATTGACTGCCCATGCTGACTCTGTGCAAGTCCGTCTCCGCACCAAGCTTTAAATATTCACAGTCCATGCATCCGTACACCAAGTCTCTGTGAAGGCAATTTTGTGAATCTTGTAGACATTCTTGTAGCTAATTTGTTATCGTTTTTCCACCATTTCAACAACTTCTTTCCCCCTTCGACAATTTCTACGCGTCGCGTCCCAGACGTACAATAAGCTTTTCAATGATGTCATAGAATGCGACGCGACAATATATAAGAACGAAGAGCCGCCCTTCCTTGTCCCTTTCACGTAGAAAGCATATTGTAAAACAAACATAGAAATTATGAGTTATTCCGTTTCAGCTGCTCAATTATGGTCACGGAAACTGGCGTTGCAAGCAGAGGACATCTCCCGTATTCACAAAGATCAAATTACCGGTGTGCTCCAGACGCTTCAGACCATTCAGTCTCACCAGCAACAGAGTGATGAATTTCTACAATCCTGGAAACAGGATCAACAACAGAAGGATCAAACGACACAGAGCTGTATGAAACAAAACAAACCGTTCAAACCCCGTTGAATTGCCGGAACATTCTTTTCACAACGGACACTAACCCGCGTAATTATAGTGATGAACGATATTAAGACACTGAATGAACAAGTATCGAAGCTAGTCAACCAGCAAGAAGAAAACATACAGAAGCTGAACGGGCTGGAACGCGTAATTAAAGAATTACAGTCAGAGGTTCGTGATACCTCTGTTCGTCAAGCGCTTGAAACCCAAAAATCACTCTTACAAGCCATGGATAATCAAACGAAAACCCTCGCGAAAAGAATACCACGGGCTTCGACACCCAAACCCGCACCCTCCTCCAATTATCTTAACCGGTCCCCAACAAGAAAGACGGCAACACGAACAGCAGACGCAAGCCAACGTACATCGAGACAGCGCGTTCGATCTACGACAAAACGACGGATGATCGCCATTGATTTCCTTGACGATGATAATTATTAAAATTAAAACAGAACTACAAATCAACCTGAAAGCAACTGTTAGTAACAATGATCTGCCAAAGCAAAATGCTCAGGAATTGAGATGGAAACAAAACCTGCCGAGACAAAATCAACAAGCCGGAATGAACCGACAGGACTCGGTCACGTCGAGAAAATGAAAATTACCCCGAAACAACCAGGTCCTGCCAGGAACATCTTCAGTGACATTCGTTTTATCCATCGTGGAGCAATATAACTCTCAGACGGCACTTCCTATATAAACGTTCGAATCGTGTCATCATAGTATCCAACCAAGATGACTTGTCCCGACAAATGATTCCATCCCCACTGAAGAGCACCAAATATCCTTACCCTTTCACCAAAAGCCTGCCTGCCGCACTGTCACATCCCCATCGCCATGGATAAGAACGAACAGAGCGCCAAGCAGTTGGCCAGTTTTGTCGAGGACCAGCGCTACATTTATACCATTTCACAAGCGAGGCATCAGGAGAAAAAAAAAGCAAGTCACCGTACCCGAAGATAACATCAACAAGCACACCGTGGTACACTGAAATCTGCAGCGCCGCGCCAAACGGCCGAATTGGCCGACAAGAATTAGCAGATGTACCGACAATGTCAGTTCAATGGATTCTGGATTCGTCAAGGCGCGCGTGTACAAAAAATAACAAAATGGACATTCAAACCGTGAATGAATAGCTGGGAAATGCAATTGTGCGTCTATATTCATTACTACAGTTGACAGTTCAATTGCTCGAATCTGTATTTACAAAAAAAAGAGCGGAATTTCATTTCATCGTTAAGGAGCAAATCCTCATTATGCATTTCTTGCTTAGTGCTGAAGACGAGCTGTGTGCATGTCCATGGCGCGACGAACAATGTACTGCTCGATTTCAACACCGCGTTTGAGCTCTTCATCCGATAAGGTAACCCATTCCACCGCATCCAATGTTACAAACGCGACGGTACGCTTGCGAGTGTGCAGTAAATTAGCGACAACAAGTTGATGAGAATAGCGAAGGAGTGCAGCTCTCGCCTTTTTTATGAGAAGACTTTCGTCAGTCTCGAGCTTGAAGGAAATAATGCTCGCTTGAGGTGCCCAGATGTCAACTAAGTGACGAAGGAATTTCGGAACTGGCTTCATGGAGATTTCAAGAGAGTCTTCACCGCTTTGGATTTTATGCTCACTCATTTTGTCGGGGGGCAGATGAAAGTCACTCACTGCTGCCGCGAGGTAGAAAAGTGCACGGCCGTCAAGCTTGCTCATACAGCATGCAATGGAACGCAAGTACCAAACGTACTCGTCTAGGGTCACAAACGGTACACACAAAAGCTGGTTGTTACTTTGGACCACGTCCATCTCATTCAGTGTACTAGTCACTCGTTCACTGAACTCAGACTTCATAATCCAGCGATGGCCCGCATCGCCCAAGGAGGACGACGAGTCTTTCTCAAACAATTCTGTCCACGGCTTCTCGAGTCGACGAGTGTACGGCAACAAACTAAAGGTACGGTGCAAGAAAATGACCGAGTAACCAAGCTGGCAAAACTGCTCCGCAGACACGGCACCTCGAGAACCGGCGCTAAAGTTATCGATGAAGCGCACCGTGTTCCGTTCAAGAGGTACCATCGTTCCGCCACTCGTAACCAAAACAACGCGCCGCTTTTCATCCTGTTTCGCCAAAAAGTCCGTTACTCGTTGAACCACGGCATCCAACGAGGCAGGAGCAGGGTGATCAACAAAAAACTGCTTAGCATGGTCCTCTTTGATGGATTGCTCGATCGCGGCAGCGTCTGTTTGCAGCGTGCTCATGTTTGTGAGTGTTCAGCAAAAAGAGGTGATGAGCAGCGTCTAAACCTCAAACAACGTTCACTGCCGCGGCTACCCAACAAGGGCAAGAAAGTCTCATAGATGAAGCGAGCGCCTGGTGGTGAGCACGAAGCGTATCAGTAACGGCTCGTGCTGTCGCAGCCGAAGCGGTGTGGGTTCTGATGACATCGCATGGGGTGGGGACCCTGGTGAAAAGACCCACTTGCTCACGAATACACGTACGTAAACAAACGCAATTTGACGCATATTCTTTCCATTCTCTATGTCGGCAACAAGAAGCGGCTCTCAAGAAGAAGTCTCGGTTCGTGAAGGGTACCAGCGGGTGCTCAAAGACGCCTGTCGGGAAGAAATTGAGGCATTTGCCCGATGTGCAACTGGAAGGACACTTAGTATTGTCTGGAAATGCCGACAGGAGAATGAACGCATGAAGAGTTGTCTGCAAGCATTGTACGTATATTTTGTGAGGAGAAGCTCGTGTTTTGTTGCAATTGAAAATTGAGTTAACACTTTTTTGACCAGTACGGACAAAGTCTCCGAATGGGAGTATCGATCTCAGCTGCAAGCTCAGGAGCAAAAAGAATTGAAAAAGCAATTGCAAGAACAAAAGGAACAGTGATTTCCCAGTCAACCAGTTACAAGAATAATGAACGACATGATACGAAGTTTGAGAATGCTTACAATTGAGCTACAAACGAATGAAAAAAAACTTACGACGCATTCTAATGATTTACATCGGCGTGAAAAATAAAGTTCATAAACAGTCTGTGTATGGATGACTATGAATATTAGACTCCAAGAGACGTCTGCGTTTTCATTCATTAAAGGGCTCATTGGAATACACGAAGCAAACACACAATTGGCCTTGTTGAGCAGAGGAAACCCGTTTCCCTATGCATTTTCAGGGTGCACGGCATTTTCCAACGAGTTGATAGGGATAAACAGTTGAGGCGTCTCATTCATTAGGACTGAATCCGAAAGATTGCTTAGGTGTGTTACGTTTGCACGTATATATGCCACAATGAGAGCAAGCAGGCGCATGTCTACTTCCTCAGACGAGCGGAATAAGTTTCGCCAGACAGCGGCAGCCATCTCAGCATCACCGCTTAAGAAGCTTTGATCGTACGCATACACGGCGCCCGATCGCTGCTGGTTAAAGTCTCTTAAGTACGTTTGAACCATACGGTTACTGTGTATTTCGAAGTCAAGACTCATGCGCCGCTCCATGTCTTCAAAAAACACGTCAGCGAGTGCCTGCGAGAACGCTGATGCCTGGTCCTTTGGGAAGCATCGGATACGAGTTGTGAGAAGCCAAATATGCAATTGTGCCACCTGGAACCATGACTGAAACGACATAGACAGTCCACATTCTTTATACCACCAGCACGATTGTGTTGTGAGAGAGGATGGCGAGTAGTCGCATTGTTGTATCACTTGACGGTAAAACCGATGAACAGCAGCAACCATGTCGATGGCACGCAACGTCGATCTCGGCAAGAACCGACTGGCCCATCGTGAAAAACGTTCGCGAAGTGGTGCCTTTTCAGACTGAAAGCCATTGATGCTGCTTTCGATACTTTGAGAGTTGCTGGTATTTGCACCTTCTGAAATAAATCGGCTCTGTGGTAATGCTAGCCTAAATACTGCCGGGCGATAGATCCAGCGAAGGGATAAAAGTTTTGAACTTCGTCTTTGCAGTGAGGACATGATTAGTGTGCTATGTATTTGCGAACAAAGCGAATTCGTTGTTGGTAGCTTTGTTCACGTCGCCCAAAGGCTCGACATCATCGTCACTTGCGCAAGCCTAAGAAAGTGAAATGCAAATACTGCGGGGGCGGGGCAGGTATATAAACATTGCGGGGAAGTAAGAGCTTAAAAAAGATCATCACGTGCATCCACACAAAAGTTGTTGGAAGGGTTGCTTTGCTACCCCTGTCGCATGCTTTATTCCCCCGCATTATGCGATTCGGCTAACTTCATGCACCACCTGGGGAAGCACACTGCTCAGCCAAACAGCGTCATCAAGCTGGCTGCCGATGTCCATGCCAGCAGGAATTCGTGAAAGGACATCGCTGTACGCTCCTTCCTTCTTGCGGTAGTCCCGAATCACGACGTTGGAAGTGAGATTAACGTAGACACGTGTTTCGTTGATTCGCACCTCCACATTATCGAGTCGAACCATGCAACGTGCAAGAAGCAGCAAATGACCATTGACAACACGCACACGGACGTCATACACCGACTTTCCATTGTCAGCCAGTTCATCCTCATACAGAAGTGTTTCACCGTACCACAGGTTTTCGCCTGCTTGGAGAATCTCCTGAATCGGGATAGCCACTGGTTCGTCGGCAGGCGACGATGGAATAGATGGATTGAGCAGTTTTAAGTCTTCTTCTGCAGACTGAACGGTTCCCTGGTACTCACTGTAGTACGTCCAATCGTATGGCTTCAGCATCTTCATGTCTTCATGCTTGTGTTCACGCGTTTGCTTCCATTCCCGTGCAAACGAGACCTGCCGTAGCTCACTAGGTTCCTTAAGCTGTACAAGACGGAGCGCGTCGAGGGCCGTAAACTCAATACTCCATGCTCCTTGTTTCCAACTCAGTCCAAGCACATTGTCTTTGAACGTCATTTCTGGTGCGGGAAACCCAAAGTCCTTGGGGAATCTGTCCACGTCCCTCGACTTCATGATCGGTCCCTGACGGACATACACGTCCCAGTCGTTCACGCGATAGTGTTCTTCCTTCTCGTTTTTGTCACTCATTACGCTTAACCAAGCGTCAAGGAACGACGGAGTTTAAGCATTGAAGTAGTGATCTACAAAATCGCGCATGTTGCAGATCATGAAGGGGGATTTACCGAGCCGGCTCCAAACATGCAGATCTCCCACATCTACCACCACTATCCCATGGATCTGCTCGGTCACGCGCCAGAACTGATCATCTCAAAAACACAAGATCGGCGATGGAAAACATCAGTTCATTCATTATAGAATTGCTAGCAAATAAGACATGTTTCCACAGAAAAACACGGATACCAAAGCTAGACCGTTCCAGTAAAACACTAAATCAAGTAACATTTAGTAGAAATCGCGGCAGTTTCATCGCCTTTAGCGGCGGCTTTGTCGGTTGGTTATATGGAAATAGGGCGAACGGAAGTTGTACATTGTCGAAGACGGTGAAAGAATAGAAAAAATAAAGACAAGAAACAATAAACACAGTACAACAAGACCGTGAAGAAAGCGATACTGACTGAGAAAATGAGAGTATGGATTGGTGCACCAAGGCGAAAATAAAAAATTCAGTATGTGCGTAATTGACGTTAAGAAAGAAAGAAACAAAAAAGAGTGACAAAAAGTGGGAAACATTAATGTGAAAGCTTTCGAACATGTCACGAAAAAGATTAACGTGCAGTGTATGACTGCAGAAAACACACGAATTAGGCGTTCAAGACACTGACTAATTTTTGCAACCACAACTTGGATGCTTTCGATACACGGGCAGCAGGCTTGTTTAATGCGTCTATCCAGGATTTCATCGCTTCTGCAGAACTGGCAAAGCATTTCAATCGTTCCCCTGAAGGACCATACATTAAAAAGCCAAAGGCATTAATGCCATTAGGGCCTGCCTGCTTTCCTTCAGCAAGCGGATGAGCCAGAAGAGACGAACGAAGTTCGAAGCTGCAAAGTTCCGGGCCACCTTTGTCTTCACTCATAACGAAAAGCTTGCCAGTAAGCATTGCAAAACGCTTTTGCAATGCTCCCTTCTCATCAACGTACAAGTAGCCCTCCTTATTGTTTTTAGACCATTTTACAAGTTGCAGGTCTGCTTCAGCTTGTTCGAGTGAGTTAGGCAATTCGTCTTCATCCATGTGCAAAGGTGGCACGTATAAACAGCGCAATGAGATTCTACCAATCACACAGGGAACGCTCAACGACTCCGAGGGCAACTTGCTGGCACCTGCGGCTTCCACCTGCTTCTCATCAACAATGGGAAGAGCCAACTGGTGCACCTTGCCAAGGCATTTCGTATGCAAGCGGGCCAACTCCAATCGCAAGTGGCCGTGCTCTTCCGTCTCCGTAGTAGAGACGGCGACTTGAGGAGAAGCGGGAGTGCCCGCTGTCATGGAACGTTTAAGAGGTGAAGTTGTCGCAGGACGAATGTCCTTGGTAGAGACCTTTTGCTTTTTGTGTCCACGACGGAACAAACGGCTGAAGAAACCCCGTTTCTTTGGCTTCTTTTGCGAAGCCGAGGGGACTTGTTCTGACTTGGAGCGTGTGTGCGCTACTGCAGATTTCGTGACTTTTGTGCGTGTTCGTAGACGAGTGAACGTAAAGGAAATATCAACAACCATGTCGTCGCTGCAACTAAACATGAAATCATGATCCATTTTCATTTGTTCACCAACCATTTGCCAAGGCAATTGAATAGTGTGTTCGCCCGTACTAATAGTACACTTGAACTTCTTAATGCGCTCGCCACGTAACAAACGAACATCGCTAATATCAGCAAGGTGAAGATAAAGCTTGCCTTTCGTAACTTGTTTTACAGGATTAGGGGTTGCATACGCATCGGTACAGCACATTGCCGTATGCGGACGCGCATATTGAGTTGCTGGAAACGGAACATCAAGAGCACGAGCCCCGGCGGCCGTACGAGCTCTTGGAATGTCAAAGGACCTTGAGACAGGTACAAAAGCTTCATCACGTTTCAAAATGGGAGGAGCCATACTCCCGTAGGTATGTATGCTGTCGGGATAAGCCGATGTAGCAGATGTACAGCGAAATCTGACAGTGCCAGTATCCGAACCACTACGGTTCGCCGAACTGTACGGTGAATCGCTTTTCGTGTATTGATCCACGGACTCCGTGGAAGGATGAGGAGTGAGATTGCTAAAGACACGCTTCGTACCCGATACCACACGCTTTTGGGGCATAGGTGGGGAGTTTTCATTGCTGCCAATGATGGCACTCAAATTGTCAAACGACGAGCTACTACGGATGCGTCCGCGAAGACTCACAACCTTCGTGCTCATGTTACCGGCAGACATAGGATGTCGAGGTACCTCTTTAATGACAATATCCTCCATTTCATCATCACTTTTGGGTGACATTTCATACATGTTAGATTTCGTCTCGTCGGCATCAAAACCGCGTGCAAGGTTGATCGTAGACGAGTCAGCAAGTGCTTCTCTAGATGCAGGTGCGCTAGACTGGTTGTTTGATTGGAGATGACTGAGTATGGAGTGGAAAGATTTGTTGTCGCTATAGAATTTTTCAATTTCATCAAGAATCTCCTTCTCTTGCAGGGATATACGGGATTCAGAAGTCGTGGCTCGTTTTGACTCGACGCGAGCCAAAACCTTGCTTCGGGAAATTAATGGAGTGTGAAGGTCAGTCACAGGTGTGGTATCAGATGCGTCTTCAAGAGCCGCCTCTTGGATAGGCGTCAGCGGCTCCAAAGGTTTGTAATCAAATGGCAGAGGCGATGGTTCACGCTCTTTCTGTTCAACGTTTTCAGCAACAGTAGTGGTAGTAGCAGCAGCAGCAGCAGCAACGGGTTCAGGGACGTTCGGCAATGCACGATTCTCGGGCTGCCATGGTTCATCAGCGGGGATGGGAGGTAAAGGCTTGGAAGAGGTAGAAACGTTGGAACGTCGACTACTCACACTTTCGCTACGGCAGCTAGGAGCCCAACTGCCGCGATGTGAAACGCGGGAGCTGCTTCGCATGGAACTGTTACGAGAGGGGTCGAAATCAGACAGTACCTCCTCAGAGAGAGACTTTGATCGAAGTTGATGGCGGCGGTACCAAGTATCGTATTGCTGTACTGCATCCAACATCGCATCAGATGCTGAATCAGTCGACGAGGCTGAGGTGCAAGTGCCACTACACGAGAATGTTAGGCTTGGTACTCGCTTACTATTAGGACGCTGTGGAATGTCTTGAAGAGGCAGACGGTCAGTAGAAGACGGGAGCTCTTGATCGTTCTCGTAGACGCTATCATCTTCGTCTCCGCTAATAGCATCTTTATGTCCATAGCCCCTCATGTACATGCTTCGAAGGTCCAACGATTCGAGCAGGTCTGTTGCGACATTCAAAGCCGACATGTTTCCCATAGATACGTCCGAAGTGCTGGCCATATTGTTCTGCGATCTCTCGTCAGCACTTTGGTCCATTTGATCGACAAACGACGCGTCTCTCTCGATAAATAGCGGTGTCTTCTCGCTCGTAAACGAGTAGTCGGAAGGCAAGGCATCGTCCGCAGAATCATAAACGGCGACGTGTTCTGCATCGACAGACATATTTGCTCCCGAAGTAACGATTATATAGTCAAAAAAAGCCTAAGCAATTCTGGCAAGCAAGTAAATCCGTTTGCACCAGAACGAACCGCACAGCGTTCGGGAAAAAAAGGGATCCAACGACTGAACACGTTCTTTGACGGTTCAGAGCTTGTAGAAGCGTTTTTTTGTGAAGACAGCGACAAAGTAAGAGTAACTTGTTTTGGCGAAGTGAGCCGTTAGCCTTTGACAAGGGTCCCAGATTATGTGGTTGCTAGGGAAACGATGAGGGTCATGATCTGCCCGCGGTGAAAGAAAAAGGAACCGATGCGGTTGGGAGGGTGATTGAGGCGTAAGAACTGTATCATGTGCTGCTGATATGTTTGTTTTGATTGATGTAGGAATAGAGTTGCGGATGCTGGTCGAGATTCCCTTGTGTGTGACATTGAGGGCCTAGGTCGTGTTAGCTCTTACCGCCCGTGTAATAGTAGCTTTGTGGAAAGATGTAAAAACTCAGTTTTACTGGCCGAATTGTTTTGGACAATGTAGTGAAATGATTAATCGACATTGACCATCATTGGTCAGAACTGATCGCCGTAAGCGACTTTTAGAAACCATATTTCTTGGCGGTGTCTCGTTTCTTTTGCCGTTCCTGGGCAAAGTGTGCTTCAAAGTTGTCCTTTTGAAGGGTAGCCATACTAACAAGAGAGGAGAGTTGGTGACGACCCGGAGCAACACTTTTGATGGATGCCGAAGCAATAGGTTGTGACATAGTAGCCATGTTTTGTTCGTAAATCTTGTTCATGTCGACATCAATAAAACGAGCATGTTTAGAAGAGGCCTTGGGGTCAAGCTGGGTTATACGGTCCTCAATGGACTGTTCCGCAGTTGTTTCTGTCAAAACCTCCGGAGTGTTGATAGGCATTTGTGCGGCGGAGCGTGTACGCTTTGTTGGTCGCAAAAACACTGGCTCGTAACTTGAGTGAACAGTTTGATCAGAAGGGGATTCCTTTTTCTGGGCGGTACTAGGGACAATTGGAAATAGAGTTGATGTTTGTAAGGCTTGTCGTTTGTTTTTTTGCCGATTAGACACAGACGTTGGGAGAAAGCTTGTAATGTCGTCAAAATTTTCAGGTTCGGCTGTGCTAGTGTCCGTTGTTTCACCAACCAAATCTGTTCGAATAGAAGGTTCAGGTTCTAAGTTTATGTTTTTCTTAGGAGCGACAAGGATACTGGAAAGGGAGACGTTGTCAGAAACAGAGGAAGCAATGGGAGCCGACGCCGACTCCTTTTCGTCCAAATCCCCGTATTCGACCGCAATTTTTTTAACAGACGTTCGTTTATCCGAAATCTTCTTTGGAGCCTGCACGAACATAGACTTTTCCTTTAATTGCGCGACAAAAGCGCTTGATTCTTCAACTTCACTGTCCGAGGATTCATAATCCACCAAAGAGTTCATTTTTTAATGTGTAGAGTAAATAATGCGTTTCTAAATACCGTATAGACCAAAAAACATGAAATCACCCGCGAATTGGAAAATTTAGAGAGTGGTTTTTGGAAGAAGATAAGACGCGCGTCAGCGATTTCATGTCTCGCGCATCGCCAAATTCACCACCAAAAGAGGTTAAATCACGTGCAGTAAGCTTAATTAAGACGGGCACGTGAATATTGCAGCAGGTGTGCATATCCTAATAGAAGACCAATAATCACTGAATTGTATATTCGTAATTAGTTTCCTCAAGTGTTATCCCGTTTTCAAGTCAGTCCTTCCTAATTTATTTTATTAATTATAAAATTATTTTTGTACGTTGGTGCGAAATCCCTCAGCACCCGTCAATGTATGTACCGAATCCTGTCATATCATAGCAGTGAATTAAGTGTGTGAGGAATGTCAGGCTTATCATATTCCATGTACAGTTCAAAAATGGATCATGATGAAAAAGAGCTTAACCAAATGCCTGTGGAAGCATAGCAAATGGAACCACATGCCAAACTTTTTTCAAATGCAAGCCAAACTGAAACGTAGAAAAATTTAAACAATCCCCTTTTTTGTTCGTTAATTGTTATGAGAGTGTGTATGAGTGTGTATGTGTGTATTACCAAAAGAGCGTAAGCAGACCGACGTTTAAAGAAAACCTTCTTTGAAGAATAGAGTCCTGCAACTCCTTCAAATCAAAGAAAAACAAAGAGAACACAAAAACTTGGATTATGAGAAGGAGGAAAAGCAACACGATAGACGACTCAGCTCAAAAAGCAACAATTAGGTGATAACTATGCTGCATCTTCCTCCATTGCGCGCTCCGCTTCTTCAATTTGGCGTCCAGCGTCGTCGATTAGCGCTTGCCAATCGATCTTGAAAACGAAATAACACTCGATGATGGCAATGGCACCAGTTGCAATAGCGATACTGAGCCACAAACCAGCAATACCATATCCTGCCTTAAAACATAAAAAGGCAGAGAGTGGAAGAGAAAAGGCATAGTAAGCGATAAAGTTTACAATACCACCGATACGTTGGCGACCCTGGCCACGAAGAAGACCACCTGCAACACACTGTGTGTTGTCACCAATGTTCATGATTGCTGTGAGCGGGATTACTTGAGCAACAAGGCTGACAACGTCAGGCTCCGAGTTGAAGAGATAACCCCACTTGTTACGCAAAAGCAATAACACTACACAGTTGATTACACCGACAGCGAAAGCGATTGTCAAGGCAACCTGTGTCGAAAGTTTAGAGAGTCGAACATTTCCAGCGCCGATAAGGTTTCCTACACGTGTGGCAGCAGCAGCAGCAATACCGAATGCCAGTTGGTATGAGAGAGACGAGGTAGTGGAAAGAATAGACATGGTTGCCAGCTCCGTCGTACCCAAAATGCCAGCAACAAACGTGAGAAGCTCGAAGGCCCAATACTCACTGCAAATCATTACGATACCCGACGCGGCAAGACGACAAGTGGGTAGCCAATTTTTGAAGGCTTCCATGGTGAATCCGCACCAAGCTTCACGACCATCAACCTTCACGATGTATAAGAAGACGGCACCGCAGGCCATCCACAATGTCACACAAACAGCGACGGGAGCACCCAAAAACCCAAAACCAAATGTTTTGCTCCAAACAAGGAGATAGTTGAGAAAAACGTTGATCGGAACAATGCAAGCCAAAATCACAGTAACCGGTTGGAAAATGCCTTGAACTTGCAAGAACCGTTTCAGTGCTTCAAAAATTGCGTATGCTGGAGAAGCAAAAAGAAGCACTCGCATATACTTGCCCGCATATAACGCAGTCAAAGGGTCCTGACCAACAAATATGAGGATGTCTTTGATATTCCACCAGATGATGACAATGGGAATTTGAACAACAGCAAGAAGACACAGAATTCTTTGCAGATGCAGACCAACGAGTTCTGGGTTGCCGGAACCGTAACTCTGAGTACCAAGTGTATCGAGCGAAGAGACAATGCCTTGGAATATAGCGAATGCTGTAATAGTAGCCGTCATATTAGCCAGACTAGCCGCAGCCAGTTCAGTCTTTCCGATGTGACCTAATGAGAACACAGTTGTAATAACCTCACCGTACTGCAGCAACGAAGTAAGGACAACAGGAATACCATAGCGGATCAGCAAAGCAAATTCATTCCACCATCTGTTGTTATGGTCCTCGTAAACCTCGTCGTGCGAATGTCCGTAGAACCGCATCTGAGGCATGCTTATGGTCGACATGTTGTCGGTATCCAATTCGGTAATGGCTCCATAACTAGCATGCCCAGGTATGGATATTTTTCGTATGCCTATAATACGTTCACGACGACTAGGAACTGTGTTAATGGACGAAATTGATGTTCGAGGGATATTGCCAGTGACGACATGAGGCCTAGAGTGGCCGTAAACGAGACTCGACCTCCGTTTACGAGGAGCATTTTCTCCCTCTGGTGCCGTGTGTGGAAATAACGAATCTGTCGGGAGAGACATCTTGCAATATTCGTTCGCTCTTGTAGCGGCCGAAAATGGCTGTTTATAGGAGTTTTGTTCCGGGATACGCTTGAACAGTGGTGGAACTGGTCAGTGCAACTCCACCGAATTTTGGCCAGTATAGCGGTAGCGGTAGCGGGAAGTGTAGACTCTGGGAGCAGCTGCTCAAACATAAACAGATGAGCAGCGGCAAACACTTGCGCTATTAACGAATCATTTAGTATTTATGTAGCAAGAATAAAATTACGTATAGTAATTGTCTAGAGTAGCACTAATTGAACTAATGTACAAGAAAATGGGTCAAAGCAACCATTAAGGGAATGAAAAATAAAGAAAAAAATAAAGTGAAAGAAAAAAGGGGAACGGACGGAAGATATAATGAAGGGGGACGGATGGTTCAAAGGGAAAGCAGTAAACGATCTTGATCGAACGACATCGCTATTGCAAGATGGAAGGCATTGGGACGGGACACTGGACAATTCAAAGGGGATAGAATCAAGACAGCTCCGCATAAGAAACATTGTTTTTTGCTTTCCTCTTAAACCGTTTCCGACGTTTTCGAGGCAACGTTTGTGCTGAACATTCAAATTCAGACCCAGTACTTTCATCTGTTTCGACGGAAGAATCTATTTCGATGTACCGTATGGGCCAATCATACCCATACAGACATCGGTTTCTATAACATTTAGGGCATTCACGCTTTGCCTTCGGTCTAAGGGGTTTTGAAAAATACGAGTGCTGACATGTGCGACAAATATATTCACACATGTCTTGTCGTTGACGGAGTTGAGCAACACGGTCACGCATGATGTATGCAAGTATTGAATGTGTCGTTGTTTTGAGGAGAGTGCTCAGGTAATTTTGTCGCTCGTGAGCCCAAATTCTCTTTTTGTGAAGGGGAATGAAGAGTTCCAGCTCTTCATCCAAGTCGGAACCTTTTGCCTCAGAAAGTTCACCTCCGGAATCCCATTCAAGAGGTTGATTTGCTGTGCAGTTACTAGCATTTTCAGTGTCATTGAATAGAGGTTGCACATTCGGAAGACATGGGAAATACATGTTTTGTACATCTTCCTCCTCGCATTTCGTAGACTCTAATGCTACATTACTCTCCGCATAAGTGGATGAGGAAGCGGATAAAGAAACCGGTGTCGTCGACAGCTCTTCCTCCTTCACAAGCGCTTCATTCCCTGTGTTTTCGGCGACGGGGTTTGAGTAAGTTGTTTGGGAAACAAGGAAATCAAGGTTATTTATAACAATGGAGTCTCCTAAAAACAACTTAACATAACCGCCGATTCCTTTTCGTTCACATGATTCGCACAAACAATCGCGATTGTTCGGACCAAAATACCGCGAAGAGTAGTATGTTGTCAACTCCTCCCCTGCACGAACGGGACGCACGGTCTGAAGCCACACTTTTCTGCCTGAGATTCGAAACATACAGTTGGCATCACAGTCATGATTTACAAAACGAGCGGGACCGAGAAACAAACACATAGAACGAAGCCGACTTGAGTGGAGAACGCTAAAATCTTTATCATCTCCAAGCCGCTTCTCTTCAGCTGGAGTGAGTTTGATGATGGTACCGCACAAGTCGTGCAATTCATAGCCTGCATCTAAGTCTTTGATGGATATGGCAGAGGCTTCAGACTTTTTCGAACCAATAAAGCGGTCAGTAGATGCAATTTCAAACTCACAATTTACAGCGTAAAGCAAAAGATATAATTTAGCATGTCGGACAAACTCTTGCGCTAAAGAGTCATCAAGATAATCATAAACTTTCTTAATACGTGGGATACTAAAGAAGGCTTCGACAGCAGCATCCAGATCAAACTTGTTGATGATATGGTTCTGAATTAACTCAATGACATCGCCAAGCCATTGCTGCCGACGAGGTCTTCCCAGACGTCTTCGCATCTTATGAATACGGGTCCAGTAGTAAACACCGTCAATGAGATTGTCCGTGCACATATCGTCGAACAAGGAAAAAGCCTCCAACCTTGTTTCCGGGATGCGCATGAGAATGGAAGCTGGATACAGGAAGAAGTCAAAAAAAAAAGAAATGAAGACCAGAGATGTAGTTAAGAATTCGTTGAGTCGCGTACGAACAATCCAATAAAATAGATAGTTGGAATGCTTATGAGTGATTGAGAGTGCACAAAAACTATGTAATGTATCTTCCAAAAAAAAAAAAATAAGAGATCTTTACCAGGTAAAGGAACACGAAAACGATGAAAGATAATCAATACATTGGCCGGTATTTCTGAGAGAAAAATAAAGAGAATGATAATATGTTTTATCAACAACTCAACGTTTTAATGTTCAAAAGTGTTCGCTGCTGTATCAAGAAGTGCGAAGCCATATAGTCGCATAAGAGAACTGCTTTATACTTGGTAAAATAATAATTAGAACAGACAGCAGGATTAAAGAGATCAGATGCGAATTTTGGGTTTTTTTCTTGTGAGCATGTCTTTGGGTTTATGCCAATGATTTGCAGAACAAACACTGACCAACACGGTATTAAAGGGTTTTTAAAATAAGAAACGGACGAACAGTTTCTTTTACAGTCTTCTAGTTTAAATACTAAGACTAATCTTTTGTGTAAAGGAGCCCTGGAAGATATCGAAATTTGAATTTTGAACCAATAGGAACACTTTCTTTGATTGATTTTTTTACAACATTATAGGATTTATTTGTCAATTCTGAAGTTTACACAGAGCAAAAACATGTTTTTGTCTATGCTGAGAGGAAGATTGGGATTCTGTTGGAAATCATCCGTTCAGCGTCTTCGTTATTACAGCACAAAAGGTGAACAATCAATTGCAGAAAAACTGAAAAATGCTTTCCAGCCCACCCAATTGCAAGTAGAGGACATTTCTGGCGGCTGCGGCAGTATGTATCAAATAAACATTACTAGTGAAGCTTTTCGGGGAAAGCCATTAGTCAAGCAACATCGGATGGTCAACGAGGTTCTTCAAGAAGATATAAAAAATATGCATGGACTTCAACTAGTCACAAAATCTCGGTGAAAGGGTGTGAAAATCTTCACTAAATTTTCATTTTCTGCTTAAGTCACAGTTATGATTTACTTTACGCATTGGAGCATCCAATTCCGCTGTTGAATGAGCCTATTTTCGTGTTCTTATGCTCCAGTTGTTCACCAATTAAGCTTTCATTTATGTCTGTCATCTTTGAGCTTCTCGAAGAGCGCTTCAATGCTTACTGACTTTCACATATATTAGTGATTTCTTACTAAAGGAGCTTTAATAATAGAGATAATTAATGCTATCAGACTGCATGTCAATAACACATATTACATTCACTACAATACAAAATCTCTTGACCAAAACGGTGAGTATTTATCCTGAAAAAGAAAAGAAAAAAAAACGATAGAAAATAAACAGTGAAGCCTGTTAATGATGGTTTCATTAAAGATAGTAAAAATTGTACATTTTTAAATACAGAGTATTCTGAAACTAATCAAACTATTTCTGTATATTTTTCATATTCAGCTTTTTTAACAATATCCGAATTCTTGAAGCTTATAACAACAATGGTAACTATTAAATAGTCGTCAATTTCATATAGCAACGTCTTCGTGCACGCTTACGCGCTTGTATGCGAAGACTCGTATTTATACATTTGCGATTAAGGCAATGCACGCATTACTCCTACGTTTCGCACCACGACCAAAATTCATCGGCCGTATTTTTTGGCATAGTATCACTCATTCCTTATTAAATAAGGCTTGAATTACCTCAGAGTTTTCTTAATTGTAAGAAAACAGGGCTTAATTGAGGTCCAACTCTAGATTCTGCTTTTTTGGTCCATGGTACAGGTTGACCCGTAGACAATTCCTTTAACTTAACGTGAAATGCCTAGTATCGGTAAGTGTAACGATTCTAAACGTCATGTCTATTTATCTTTAAAAGACACGTTTGGTTGAGTGAATTGTTATTTGAGGATTGTGAAAAAAAATAATTCGTCATTTTAAAGACTTCAATTCTCTAACACTTTACAGGATTTTGCAAAACTAGCCCAACCAAAAATGAAAAAAATAAAGAAGACACACAGAAACAGTTTCCTGTTCCTGTTTCGGACGCTCAAGTGAATGAGTGGGAGCGACAGGTAACGAGCCTGAACATGTCCATACGGGCCCTTATAGAGAACGCTAGACTCTTTCGGGATTCTTGGAGATGCGTGGTGTGTACAGGACCATCATTAATTGCCGCCTGGATTGCACTGTATAGACAAATACCTCCGGAAAAGTCATTAGCAGCTTCGGTAGGGACACTCGTTGAATGGAATAAAGCACTGGAGAGCCAGCGTAGAGAAGTACTACTCCTACTCCAGCCTTTCGATTATAGCATCTTAGCTCCCTGCAAGGAAGTAAAGCATTACATGAAAAAGGCGGATGAACTAGTTCAAAAACGCACACGGAAGAAAGCGGAATTTGACAAGCTACAGAAGGATTTGCTGTCACTCTACGAATTGCATGAACCGGAATCACAGCGTCACAAACTCAAATCTTTTCGTTCGAGTTTGCAACGTGTGAACAAAGAGTTGGATGAGCTAAATAGGGTCTTGGCTAAGAACATCCCGGCAATAATTTCAAAGAGCAGAACTTTGTTCCAGCATCTGTTGAAGAGATTCTATAAAACCCATTTTCAAATAGCTCGCAAAATGTTTATTGCAGTGCGACCTTGGGATTGTTTTCAAGATGATATCTTACAAACATGGAATGAAGAATTTGGAGAGATTCGTGAAGCTATGGAACGTTTGCAGCTATTGTCTGGTACACTAAGCAGAACAACAAGTTTAAGTTCACTACCCCGAATCGATACGTCTGTATCGTCGTTGTCTCAAAACAACTCACCTCTTTACAATTCTGCAATTTCTGAATCGTCATCAGCGAACTCGTCTTTTCTGTGGCTGTCACCAAATGTTCCGGATACTCGATATAAAGATAAAACACTAAGAACGGTTAAAGACTTCGCTTCGTCCCCAGTGAAAAGTTTATCGAGTACGAGTCTCTCTGTGAAGTCCGTAAACCCACCCACTTTTAGTTTCCAACAGAGCGATTATTCTGTGTTGCCTGAAGAGTCTCTCAATAATGTTCAACTTGTTCCTGAAGATTGGTCGTTTTTGGCCTCTGGAAATGCAAATGCCGTCTTTGAGTACACGGGAAAGGATCCTTATTTCCGTGGAAAGGTTCTTCGAGTCCGGAGACGCGGGCAAACACTACTGTCGCAAGATGTCCACAGCTATTTTTACTCTACTATCCGACCGCTGTTTCAAGGATTTGAGAAACATCTCTTGGATATTACACTATTGCCGACAACCCGTGAGTTTTTGGAAGCCTTACAGAAAACAAGTAACATGCTACTAAACCTAAATGATACATCCGGAATCATTATGCGAGATCTGAATGAGGGTTTGGAAATGAAACCAAAATGGCTTTCTCAATCACCAACAGCCCCTACGGACTGGGTTGTTTGTCGGACATGTGCTATCTGTCGAATGCGAGGTAAGCCTGTTGGTTTTTGTCCGTTGCGTCTTGATCCAGACAATTGGGAACGTTTTTCGTCGGCTTTAAGGAATGTGGTTTCCGGCAATGTCGCTCGTCGGATTTATAATTCTGGCATACTTAAACGTTTACGAAGTCTGCAGAAACAGTTTGAGACAAGCAACATATCACTTGCAATGACTTTACGGGACGTTACACTGTATATTGGAGTTACAGGAATCACTATCATCGATCTTGACCCCAAGGATGGCAATGTAAAACAAGCGCGCTGGGAAAAAGACGAAAAGGATTTAATTCAAGGTGGTTGGTATTATGGACGCGGCATGAAAGCTAGCGATCAACCTTGTCGTTCTGTTTAAGCGCTTAAACTAATTTTTCGTTACACTTTTTTACTCTTTACGCAATCATCGACTGGATCATTGTGCGTGGAAAGAACAAATTCATCATCATCTTTATCTTGGTTACTAATTACCTCCCTTTTATTTTCTTCACTTCCCTATTTTACTCCCCTTCTTATTTTCGGTTTGCGTTTTCAAGCACAATTACACATACACTTGGCATACGTTTCTACTGTTTCATGCTTCATTCAAGTTGTCCATAATTACTGTTTTTCCGCTCCATTGAACGACATGTTATTCGTGTTCGTTCTATTCTATCCCTCTATCCTTTCTCTTTCACCAAGGCATCATCCTCACACCAGGTCCAACCTAGCCAACCCAAACGCTGTTACTGGCACTGAATACGCGGTTGTTACACAGCAAATTGATTCAAATACACTTACTATACTTACAAAATCCACAAAGAAGCGAAATTGGTTATTGAAATCGATTTCTCGTTATTGTTGTCCCACACACTAAAAAAAACATGTTGAGATCCTACTTAAAACTCATGTATGGATATTGTTCGTAACATGCGACATCATTAGACAGATTGTTCTTGTTTTATTGCAATCCTGTGCTAACGTCTAGTAGGTCTTGGAGGACTGCCGCCAAAACGCAGACAAGAATTATAGCAGCAGCTCGTTCAACGACAATTCGCACTTTCAGTACTTCTCTTTGTTTGTTTCAACAAGAGAACACAAAGATCGAAAAGCTTGTTGAAGATATCAGTAAACTTACACTGTTGGAAACTTCTCAGCTTGTCGACCAACTGAAAACAAAACTCAATATCCAGGACGTAGCTCCAATAGCCTTCAATCCATCTGCAGTATCTGCAACGGATGCTGGCGCCGAGGAACCGGCAAAAAAGGAGGCTGCAGAGGAGAAAACATCTTGGACTGTTCGGTTAGACTCATTTGACGCCGGTTCTAAAGCCAAGGTTATTAAAGAGGTCAAGGCCATGCTGGGTCTAACACTTGTGGAGGCCAAAAAGACGGTCGAGGCAGCACCGAAGGTGCTGAAGGAGAACGTCTTAAAAGAAGACGCTGATGCAGTCAAGTCCAAACTGGAAGGCTTAGGTTGCAAAGTGACGCTGGAGTAGGCTACACATTTAGCTATGATAAAACTTTGGTACATGAGTGTCTCTTAAGCCCATCTATCACGCATCCCGTCTCGTTTTTCAAGTTGTGTTCACTGGTAACTCCATTGTATCAGGAGTATATGATCTGTTGTTGACCAATAGAACGATTCTCCCCGTCGCTATGAAAATCAATCCTTTTACTGTGTACAGCTTTTGTATTTTGCATACTCATCACGAATTTTCTCAAGGTCATGATCATTAAGTGCAGGAAGGGATGCCCAAGTTTGCTGCCATTCCTCTTCCGGACTGTCAACTGCCCAAAACGTTTCTCGAAGACGCTTATGACGTTCGCGGTCCTCTTCCATTCGACGGAGAATGTCTTCGCGCGAGAATACTGCTGTCTTTTCAACGCTATCCCCGTCTTGGATTTGTGCGGCAGCGTTTTTCTGCAGAACAGCGTTTGCTTCCTCCCACTGCTCATCCGACAATAGACGCTTTGTATGCATGGACTCTAGCACTTTACGCACCTCTGGAGCATTTGCTGCTCCAACCTGACCCGGTGGTACTACGCTCCCGACCAGTTTTGCAATGTCACGACCGATCATCTCAACATAACTGCCTTCAATATTGTTTTGCCGACACATATCACACAATGTCTCGAGAAAGTACATGATGTTTACACGCATGTTAAATGTCCCTGACTCCATTGCCTCTCGTATACACGAGTACAAATCCTCCTCCAACTCTCTATGTCTCACAGCAAATTGAGCCGGCTTTAGTTGCGACAGCTGCGACGCGCTGAGGCGTCTCAATAGCTGCAGAAACGTCAATCGCCCTTCGAAAGGGTCCATCATGCAAGAGGACAAGGATGGTAAGCGTTCCTTTTGTGCTACAAAAAATAATGAAGCAACGGTAGACTTCGGTAAGTTCTAGTAACACGCTTCAAAGCGTTGTAGTGAGACATTCATAGGCCTGCTGCGCTTAGTGAGAGAATTATTTTTCCGTACGTTTCATTTAGCGAACCTCGCTAGAAATCACAATATATATTGAGTTACAAACTCACTGCAGTGCTTTGCAGTGCGCAAATCTTACTTTACACTATTCTAACGAAGCCCAGCGCAAATTCCAGCACTGAGTACTGCTGCCAGGCTTATTCGGTATAAGCTTTCAAAAACTCAGCATAGTCCTCAGGCAAATCAGCGCCCATAGAATGTGCCTCGCGAATACAGTCAGCAGCCTCCTGGAGGCATTTGTCCTGTGCGTCTTCCCCATCGAGGACGTTGGCCAAATCCATCTTTAGGTCAGCCTTACGGAAGAGCAAGTCCGTAGTCTTGTTAAGCACATAGAGAGCATCCACTTGATCGATTGCTTTGCTGAGCTCAGTCTCAGCCTTTCTCCGTGCACTTGTAACGACACTCTCTGCGTCGTCAGTGTCGGCCAGGTCGATGTAGTATTCGGCGACATTGGTCGTAGCAGTACATAAGGCCTGCTGAGCATCCAACTTGTGGGCAGGCGTCAAAGCAGCCTCAGCTACCTTTGTTAGAAGAGAGGTAGTGAGAGCGTACACATCAAGAACGAACTGTTCACTGACGGGTTCACGAGCTGCGTACGTCGACATGGCAAGCACAGGTCGCTGCAACGTAAACACAGTAATGAACTCCGGAAGCTTCTCTAACTTGTCAAGAGCTTGGAAACAGTTGTAAGCTTGCTGAACCATTTTGGTTGCAGTAGCAGAAGCCGGAGAAGCCGTTTCGGTTTCCCCGGAAGAATCAGTAGCCAATACAGAACGGGCTTTGGCTAATAAACCAGCACCCAAAGCTAATTGTAAACGAACATTGTCCTCGCCTGGAGCGTCTTCACCAAGCTTAGCTCTCTCTAATGCAGCGTCAATGTACGCCTCTTCGCTGCTTTCATCTTTGAGGCGTTCCTTTGCATAATCGTACAACTCAGCAACTGCCAAAAGAGCTTGGGAGTATGCCGCATGGAATTTTTTGGGCAAAGCTTCAGGTTTTTCGGTGTTTCGAAGAATCCGATCAGCTTCGTGAATTGTACCAAAAACAAGACTCACGCTTGCCTCGATGTCTCCCGATTCAAGCTTCTCTCTAGACATATCATACAATCCACACAGTTGCGAGACTTCATCGTCGTCTGAGTACACAAGAACCGTTTCATCATCAGCTTTCTCTTCTTGCGAGTTTCCCTTAACGGCATTTTGTACAGTACATTTCTTCTTCAATGAAGCAGCAGCTCGAAGTCCTTGTGGCCTTTTGCTCATAATGATACAGGGAATCTAAAGTAGGGTAATGTAGAGAGAGACGAGTCCACGTTCAGAGCATCTATAAGGTACCGAAGGTCAAGGATAGCAGACGAAGTGGTGTCCGACCCGTGCGTAAACCCCAGAAAGAAACATACGCAAGAAAACAAGAAGTGAAACTGATCTCAATTTGCTCACTAACATGGTTAACAACTGTTCGAGAAAAATATTAAAAAAAAAAAACCACACTTTCATGTAACGAGGCTCTTTATAAAACCGTCCGACCCGTCCAGTTTTAGCACTCTCTCGCTGATAAAAAAGAAGGGACCAGCCGGGTTCGAACCAGCGACCTGGAGATCTGCAATCTCTCACTCTACCACTGAGCTATGACCCCCTCGAAAGCATATATAATGAAAGAAATATAAATAGATAACAGTTTAAGACTTTTTTGGTAACGAAACTCCCCCATTTTCTCGTTACCGCGCTTCTAGCATTTACGTACGTTTACGTACTATCCTCACCCAACATGGATCCTTTGGTACAGTTGCGCGAATGCATATCCAAAAATGGTACAATTGTGCTTCTATCATCTGAAAATCCTACTTCAAAAGTGTCTGCTTTGCAAGATGCTCATTTTGTACAATTTGGATCAAATACACCCATGAACTTGTCCCTTCCGACGCGTTTCATTCGCACAGAAAACAAAGAGGCATTTCCTCTACAAGCAGTTGTTTTTGCTTGGCTGCAAAAAGAAAAAAGTATCGCTGATTACATTCAACAGTGTTCCGAACTAGGCATTAAGAACCTTACCTTTTTGGAACGGACTGACTTGATCAGTTGGCTGGAAGGAGCCGCTGAAAGCGAACATATTGTCTCATCAGGTATTTTCAAAAGGTGTATTCCATTAATTAGTCTACTAACAGTGTCCACAGAAGACGATAAAAATAGTGCTACGAATGAAGTCGCAAATACCGACGTCGCAGCATTAAAAAGACAGGCCACTGGACAAGCTGTAGCAGAAGGGGCTTCCTGGTTGAAAAAACATTCCCGAACAGTAGCAGATCATAATTCGATTTTGCATGGAACGAAACCAACAGTATGTCGTCCTTTTCAACGCAAAACATTGAACCTTGGTGACTAACATCAACTGCGTCTATTAGAACTTTTTATCTCTTAGAAAAGATGTTCTTGAGTACTTGAACAGCAACAAGCTTTCAGCTATATCGGCTGGCGGTCGTGATGCAAACACTCACCGTCCCGAAAAGCCGTCTAGAAAGAGTAAGTTGGTTTCTATCTTACTGTTATTGAACTTTGTGAAGCCTGTTTTTGTGCGTTCTTCAGACTAACTTATGAAACAGATTGTGACCCAATTATTCTGCTATCTCCTTCAGCGTCATCGTTGCTTACGATGCAAAATGTTAAACGATTTCTGGAAGATGGTGTCTTTGTCCCGCCTGCAGAAGCTTCCAAACTTGTTGGAGGTGGCCGTGGTCCCGAACTAATCGCTCTTTCACACAAAAGCTCCCGTGCGGAATTTGGCACGATGCGTTTCATCGTTGTCGAAGGCGTTGAAAAGTTCAAGCCAGATTATTGGGACCGTGTGGTGTGTGTCTTCACCACGGGTCAGGCATGGCAATTTAAAGACTACAAGTGGTCGGAGCCTCACCAACTGTTTCACCATGTGAAGGGCTTCCTTGTTCAGTACGTAGGTGACCCACCTCATCCTGCAACTCGTGATTGGAATGTTGAAGGCATCTCCGTCGAACGCCTTCGTCGTCACACAGATCGTGAAGTTGTAAGTCAGCTCTGGGATAAACTTGAACGATGGATGGAAACTCGGTGGCCGCTCTGGCACAACCGTCGTTAAAGTGATTTTGTAGAATGAAAAAAACATTTACGAATTTGCCCATGTTTCCTCTTTGGCGCATTCTCACATCACGACTTGGGATTCCATACCTTACACCTACGTTTCACCATAAAGCTGCATGTGCAATTCCTCTCAATTGTCCATAGCTTCTATATACACATAAAGAATGAATGATATTTACCAACCTACCGAAACAAACCCAAACATTAAAATCCATGTATTCTTCTTGCCGGTTTCGCCCGGACGACCCGACTTCGAGGTTTCGCTTTGACCTGCAAACGCGCTCTTTCCTTTTCCTCCTCTTCTTTTAGACGGTCGTTTTCTATCTGGTCTTCCAGTTCCGTCTTCTTGGAGTAAACAGTGTCTACTATTTTCGAGCCTTTCTTCACTCGTTCTTTTAAGGTATAAAATGCACCTCCAAATTCTGCGAGCCAGTATGGGTCAACACTGGTAACAACGTTCATGTACTCCTTTGAAGTAAGCACCAGCTCGTGATAGATTACATAGTCCGGGAGATAACCCAAACCATACAATGAAGAAGTAGCGTGAAGGTGACAAGGCATACCTGTGCGCAAATGTACATACTCACCGATTCCCTTTGCTGTGGCAGCCTGGTTGAAGTATGCAGAACACAGCACCTTACGTATTACATCCCAGTCGGATTTGCAAGATACAATAGGTAATTTCTGGAACTTCATAATGTCCAATAACTGATCGCGAATACTTCGAGCACGGCTGAGACTTCGCGAATGCAAAAAGTGCTTTGTACACCAAGCAACTGAGCAATGATTTCTTTCCCATTGCAGGTAGATATTGAGTAATGTCAAATGGTCACTCTCCGGAACATGGAATTTCTCTCTTGCAGCGTCGCTTTCCTCTAAGCGCTCCTTTGGTCGATAGAAAACTGACGGGACAGAAAGCATAGAAACTATGGTTAACACTTCATTAGAGCAGCCGTATTCAGCAGCAATGATGAGAAGCTTGGCTAAAGAAGGATCCATAGGGAAGTTTGCCATTTTAGAGCCCAAGGCGGTCAAATTACCAAAATTATCAAGTGCACCTAAGGTCCATAATTCATAAGACGAAGTAGTGAGCGTTGCAGCCGGTGGTCGATCCATGAAATCGAAATCCATTATGTTCTTCACACCCAATGACTTCAGAAGAAGCACAGTGTTTGAGAGATTTGTTCGTTGAATTTCTGGCAAAGTAGTTTGAAACATCTCACGAACAAAAGCAGATTCAGTGTAAAGCCGATAAGCAACACCTGGTCCCGTACGACCTGCACGACCAGAACGTTGATTTGCGTTTGCTTGAGAAATAGGGGTAATTTGAAGCGTATCTATACCCATTTTTGCATTGTACATCTTCAATTTGCAAAAACCAGTGTCGACTACGTATGATATACCATCTACAGTAAGCGAAGTCTCAGCAATATTTGTAGCGACGACGACCTTCCGTACACCGGGTTCTGCGGCATCAAAAATCTTCGTTTGTAAATCAGCCGGCATTTGCGAATAGATGGGTAAAACCGACAAGGGTGCAGCATCCGTCAATTGAGCAAGGCGCTCTTTAATAACATCGCAAGTAACCTCAATGTCCTCTTGACCGGTCATGAAAACAAGAATGTCACCAGCAGGTTGAGAAACGTGAATTTGAAGAACTTGTCGAACAGCAGCTTCCACATAATCCGAACATGGTGCCTTAGAGAATAATACGTCCACTGGGTAAGTTCTTCCGGGAATTGTGAATTGAGGTGCACCTCCAAAGAACTCAGAAAATCGTTGAGCATTCATCGTTGCGGACGTGACAATCAATTTCAAGTCGCGGCGACGACTTAAAATAGTACGCAAAAGACCCATTAGTATGTCGGTATTCAGAGAACGTTCATGTGCTTCATCCATGATGATGACGCTGTAACGATCAAGGTCATTTTGAACAAGTGACTCACGTAACAAAACACCATCAGTCATATATTTAATGATTGTTTGAGGGCTGGTAACATCCTCGAAACGGATGGAATAACCAACTAGCGTACCTAGTTGTACACCCATTTCTTCACTAACACGTTTCGCAACAGACATAGCGGCAACACGACGAGGCTGTGTACAGCCGATCATGCCCAGTTTTCCTTGACCGTCTTCGTAAAGGAATTGTGCCAACTGAGTTGTTTTACCGGAACCCGTCTCACCAACGACAACTGTTACTTGGTTGTCGCGAATGATGGACAGTAACTGTTCACGAACAGCAAACGCCGGCAAGAGTTCTCTCTGCTCGCGCAGAGACTTCACTCGCGCAATGGGTAACTCTTTTTTGGATGGAAGGTCATCGTGATTCTTACGAGCACGACTCGGCTCTGGAGTTTTTTTCATGTGCTTCTCCATGTTTTCAGAAGGCTCTTTTTCACGAACACCCATAACATTTCCGAGCGCTGTTCCCGCCAGCGCTGTTGCGGCGGTAGCTGCTTTCTGACGTTCCTTAAACTCGCGACGTTCACGGACAAGGGCTGATCCTTTTTTCGAAACAACAGCTAGATCACTCTGTGGATCTCGAACTGCAGTAATTGTATTCTGCTGTTGAAGCGTAAACTCTTGACCGTCAAGAAAATGAGGGCGCAATTCATGAACGAGCAAGTGAACACGACGTTCCTCATTAGTATCCAATTCCATCGACACATCCGACAGCTTTGTAATACCAGACGTAACCATTCGGTTTGTTTCCCAAAGATTATTTTCACGGGCCCGTTCTACGGAGCGCATGGACATTTTTTTTTTCTGCTGCAAACGAAGCAAATCTTCCCGCTCACGGTCCAAGTCTGTTTCGAACTCTGCAAAGGGATTGTGGGACTCATCACCAAATAAATTGTTCGTTTCTGAATTCATGTACCAGTCGCGATCCAGCCGAGACTGTTCCATCTCCCAACGAGCACGATCTCGAGGAGGTTCAGTATCCTCTTCCGGATACTCTACGGCACGCTCGTCCCAGTAACCGCTGTGACGAGTTGGAGGATAGCGATTTCGCGTCGACCGGTTGAATCGTGATGGGCGAGCTGAAGATGCTCTGGAGTTTGTCCGATCATGTCTCGAACCATTCTCCCATGATACACCCTCGTCCATCCGCCGCCGTTGTTCTCTGTAGGTCTCGTATTTTTCTCGGGCTTTTTCACTAAGACCATGACCAACGGGAAGAGCATTTGCAGTTCGTGGATTCTGGACAGACGAATGATGGTCCGGAGCAGGCTTCGGCTTTTTAAACTCGACGCGTTCGGTGTTAGGATCTATTGAAGTAGTCCCTCCATGAGACCTTTTGTTGCTGTAACCATTCTCATCAGAGGAGAGAGAGTGCCTAACTGGTGACGAGCTCGCTTTTTTCTGGCGTGCTAAAGACTGAAGTCCCAGCGATTCTGGGCGTGTAGCAAGCGTTTTGCTGGCATTAGGAGGAATGATCAGTCCAGCTTTTTGGTATACAGGCTTATTTTCAAGTACATCGGCATTTGATGTTACCGGTGTTACTGATCCACTAGACTTTGATGAGGCGGATTCTGACTTTGCAAGTTCGTAAATATCGGCAGAAACTGTATCATCAAAGCGTCCAAAACTTCGAATTAAAGTAGAAAAGACAGTTTGATTCGGTGATTTCTGAGCAATGGCGACAACACGTTCTGCGAGATTCGGTGCTAGTTTTGGGTCAACCGACGATGCAGAAAGTTTTTCTATGATTTTGTGAAAAGAAGAAGACATTATTTCTCAATTGTATGAGGTTTTTTATTAATAAAAATGGACAATGGACAGCATTTGGCCGAAAATGATTTTTTGGTTGTTCGTTAGCTAGAGAGATGCATTCGCTATATGTCCACCAGAACTGAGGTGAGAGGAGATTAGCGGCAAGTATTTAACATAAAAATTACTACTGCAGGATGGATTGTAGAGACGAAAAATGGAATATAGAGAGCGAGAATGAGTTGCAGGAGCCGAGTTTTTGAACGGTGACTCGATACAGTAAAACTACGTCGAAGAAAAAGTTGGTAGAGAAGAAGAAACACTAACAAAAGCCCCGAACTTGAACAAACGAAAATAGTTTCATGACATTAGCATTTACAGTAATCACAATACTACTTCCTTGTAGGCCCTCTCCCCAATCCACCGACATATCTTGTTATGTGCATTTCCAAAAATCATTCCTGTTAAAACAACCGGTAACCTATGCAAAACATTTTAAAACAAAAAAAGAAATAACTCTATACAGCCGATAATGCAGCTCTCAGGACACCGTCTGCATGCATTATTACGGGAAGAAGCGAGCGAGAGAGCCAATTAGTTCCCTTACTCCACATTCTCGTCTTCCTCTTCTTCTTCTTCCTCGTCCTCATCGTCGTCCTCGTCGTCCTCGTCATCATCGTTGGCAGCCTCCTCAAGCTGCACAATTTTTTCCTTCACAATGGGCGTTTGGCCCAGACGAGAGTCAAAGGCACGGCGAACGCCAGCGTTCGTCGAGGCATCCCAAACGCGAGCAACGCCCTTGCTACCAGAAGCAGCAAGTGTGAAACCAACAGCCTCATCGGGAGCAAATGCACAGCTGAACACACGACCGACGTCCAAGTCGCGCGAAACAACCAAACTAGGAGCATCCGTGCCGACGTTCCAGAGCTTGACCATCTTGTCCGTTGAACCAGTAGCCAACAAGCCAGGGACGTTGGGACTGACGCTCATGCAGGACACAGGGCCATCGTGAGCTTGAAGCGTCCACAAAGGCTTCGCAAGGTTGCGCGCATCGCAACAGTACACGGTGCCACTGTCTGCACCGATGTAGAAGGCGTCTGGACGATGGAGGGCCCAGGCAACATTCTCCACATCGCTGTCGATAGTGAACGAGGCAGGAGCATCCGTGCTACGCAGATCCGAGAGCACAGCACGGTGATCGTAGCCACCGGACAGCAACGCAGGGGCTGTCTGCGGGTGCCAAGCCAAGCTGGACACCTTGTCCGTGTGATGAGAGTCGAACGAACGCACACACGAGCATTGGGCAAGGTCCCACAACTTGATAGTCGTGTCGGCTGAACCAGACACGAGAAGGTTGTGAGCGTTACGATTGGCAGCAAGGGCCAACACGGCGTCAACATGGCGGTCAGGTTGAATCTTTTTAGTCTTGCGTTTGCTGGAGGCCTTGCTGCTGGAGGAAGAGGGAGCTCCTAACACGGCAGCAGGGTATACGGCATCAACAACGTCCAGGTCCCAAATTTCAATTTCCGGATCAAACGTACCCACGGCACAGAAGTTTCCAGGAGTGTTTTCAGACGTACCAACACGGTAGTCGATCCACTCCAAACACAGTGGGAACGAAGGAAGCATAAAGTCGTGGTGCACATACAGATTGTCAGCCTCCGACTCGTAGACGTACACGTCGACATGTGAAAGGTTGTCCTCCGTGCGAGCAGCCAGCAGCATATTGTCGGTAGGGTAAATTTGCATCTCCTCGCGTTCCAGCATTTCCTCCTCCTGCTGAGCTTCCAGCGTCACGTACGGGTCGTTGTTGCCTCCGTCGTGGTAGGCAAGACCTTGAATATGCGAGAAAAGCGGGTTGGACGCGTCATCCACGGCGTCGTCTTCGTTTTCCAACTCGTCGTCGTCGTACGTGTCCAAGTTGTACTCCTTCAGCTCGTCATCAATCTCCTCCGACGACTTGAGCGGCTCCACAGCATCAGCAACGGCAGAATCCTCGCCGTTCGACGCGTCGTTGACCGACTCTCCAGTCGCCTTTTGTTGTTCTTCCTCTTCTGCCTCAAGGTCGGCGCGAGCATCGTCCAAGCGCATCTGCGACAACGCGTTTATGCGCTCGTACTCTGTCTCATCGAGTTCAAATTGCCTGGGAAACTCTGCAGGAAAGCCCCGAGGCACAAAGGCCACCGCTGAAATGATCGAAGACATGGGGAGAGGGCAGGAGTAGTTCAATGCGAGCTGGGAGGTTTAGGAGTAGTGAAGTGAAGGGTGGTGCAGCGAGGAATGGTGGGGCGCGCTGGCTTGCGTTAGTCTGCGGTACGATGTGGTATTTGTGTTTAGCGCAGTACACAGCACTAAAGTGAACTACACTCGATTATCCTTGCCTGCGTTACATCACCTTAATCGCTTCTACGCACCACACTGAGCTGCAGCGAGAGAACGCGTGCCTACTTCCAGAACGAAGAGAGAGGGGTTGTACGCCCGTGGTCTCCACATTTCCCTACCTCTACCATCCTCCACACGACATCCGTCGTGATTCGTTTTCTGCGTTTATCGCCGTCAACACTGCTCAGTATATGTTCAATGCATCCATTCGTGTGGTAGACACAGCCATGCGTGTTACTGGCGGTCTGCAAGCAAGTTTTCGCCCGTCGACCGCTGATTTTTCGTGAAACACTCGGATCTGCAGCTGGAGAGCCAAAGTAGCAGGCGTCGAGCAACAGGATGTTAGCACAGGCGCACAGAACGCGCCGTTAAACGTAACTCTCGCTGATTCGTGTAGTTTCGGCCGTCCGCGTCGCCAAGATAAGCTTAAACTTCGTGGTGGGCGACTAGAGCTTATTGCCTCTACACACTACACACAGCATTCAGGCATGCCCCACATGTACCCCACGCGTCCCCACTCGCCCCACAGGCATCCCCACACCAGACCCCATTTCCCCACCTCTCCCACTCCTCCCCACCGTCGCCCACTGCATCCCCACCTGGGTCGCCCACTTCGGTCACTAAGCTGTCGGAGCCCATCGTAGTCCGCCGCCGCCTGCCGTAATCATCAGAGCCGTTGCCTCTAGACGCAACCTACCAACTCCCATTTCTTACCACCAGCGACATGGTAGCGTCCAAGGCCATGCTCGAGAAGAATACGAACATCTGTGACCGCATAGAGGGCCGGTGCTGCTCAGAGGACCCCGCAGATGTCAAGTCAGCCATGATCACGGCTGCTTTGCTTGGTAAGAAGTCGTCCACAACATCCATGATGGCTACGTCAGCAGAAGCTGCAGCAACGATTTCAGACCCGCCAAATTTCGGCGTCGTGTGTCCCGGACTGGTTTACCGTTCAGGATGCCCTTCCCTGCAGGCTTTCCCTTTTCTCCACCAGTTGCACATACGGAGCATTCTCTCTCTGCGCCAGGAGGAGTACACAGACGAGGAATTGGCGTACATGCGGCAGAACAACATCCAGTACTTCCACATCGCCATGCCCGGCAGCAAACTGCGCAAGAATGGCAGCAGCACGAGCTCCTCAAGCGCTACCAGCACAAGCAACAGCACGGAGGTCGCAGGCGAGTTTAATGACATAGACATAGATGCTCTCGTCCACAAGGCGCTCTCTGTTCTGCTCGACTCGAAGAACTTGCCCATTCTCGTGCATTGCAGCGGTGGGAAGCACAGGACAGGCATTGTCATCGGCTGCTTTCGAGCACTGCTCGGTTGGCAGCCGGAGAAACGACTCGAGGAGTATAGTCGTTACTCCCACCCTAAAGAAAGGGACATTGACGAGGAGTATATCCGCAACTTTACCCCCGACTGGTCCAAACACGGTTATCGCCGTGCTCCGCTGTAACGCCGTTCCCCTGTGCGTTGGGAGCGGGTCTGTGTGATAGCATTCCTTGCTCCTTGTTCCTTTTTTTTTGCTCGGCCTTCCCTGCTCCCACGTATGCTCTCACTGGTGACACGTTTATTTTCTCGAGACTCGTATATGGTCTCCTCTAGTTTTTATGCGCCGGTCCCCCCAAAACCCCCTGCTGCTGTCATTCGTCACCAGTGTCTGCTGTTTGTTTCCACCTCCGTCGTCCCCTCATCTTCCCTCCCCTTCGTATTTTGCGCTGTCAACGCTGTCGTCACTCGTTGTTTGTTTTTTTTTTCCTCTTTTTTTTCCTTTTTCCGCCTGATTGTATGCAAGCCGCTGTAACTCAAATTCTACACAGTGTGGAACGTGACTAGCTGGTGTTCCTATTCGATGAATTCGATGACCTCAATGAATTCGGCTATATTTCGACCTTGCGATGCCCTAGTTGACGGCCGCCAATGTTAGAGAAACCATCCTCGCGTTTTTCGCTTGTGTCGCTCGTGTCGCCCGTGTCCCTCGCATCTGCACATGTAAAAAAATTCGGCTGGGGTTCGCCTCGCTTCGAAAGACCCTTCTTCCCGTTAGCCCTACTTTTAGTTGCTCTTCTTGCTTCGTTTTAGCGCCTGAACGCCGTAACCGGCCGCGTTCACCAAGGCGAACGCAGACAGTGCAATGGGGTAGGGGCGGAGAGACTGTAATGCGGGTTTTCCGTTCATGAGCAGGTATGCCAGTGACCACGCTGTCGCGATACCGGCTCCATTGGTCAAGTCTGATATGAGTAAGCGTTAGCTTCGGTCGGGTCTCGTCTGCGCGCAAGAATGCGTGCGCTTTTTGGCGCACGCGAACTCTCGCCCGGAGTTACCTTGGTCGTGAATTGCAAATCTGTTTGTCCGTGTTAGCCGAAACTTGTCATGTGAACTGTGCACGGGCTCCTTACGCTCCTACGGCATTCATCCCTCCACAGAGCAGGCAGCTAGTCATGAAGGGGCCTCCTTGAGGCCTTCTCCAGGCCCGTTTCAAGGAGGCGAGCACTGCTGGTGTTAGCGAACGGCCCCTTGCGGTCGCGTGACGTACATGCTGTGCTAAATCCTAATAAAGTTAGCACGTGAGTTAGTTACCGAAATGCACTCATTTCCCGTATGTCGGAAGCAGTGTGTCTGCAGCGGCATCTGCTGCCTGGCCGTCGCCTGTTTACATACCGAAAGCAGGGACGCTAGTTGTGTATGCCTGCGTCCACATGGATGTCGGGTTTGCCGGTGCTGCAGGCGCTGTTGTTGCTGTTGGAATCGTCATCAGCGTCGGCGTCGTCTTCGTCGCTGTAATCGTGCTGCTGTCCATGTCTGAAATCCGCTGTTCCGCAGGCTCTTATTGGATGGATGGGTGGCCGACGGTGTGTGTTGAATGGTTATGTATATGGTGTATATACTACGTACGTGTGCTTCGTGTGCTTGAGCCTTCTGTCCGTTGGTGCTGACGGCCTCGACGAGATGTCCCCCACTCTGCAGTGACGTCGTGTTCGTGGGGGCGACAGGGACGGTGGGGGCTGCTCGGAGGAACTCGATGGGGGTTCGAGATGCTCCTCGGTGTTTCTTTGTCCGCGAGGTGCAAACGACCCGAGGACGCGACTCATCGCATGACTCTTTCTTGCTGCCGCGGGCCCGATCGCTCGTTTTGTGCCAACGCGTATCGTCTCGCCTAACTTTAAAAGACGCGTGACGTAATGATCTGCATTTGCGACCATAGGTCGCGTCAACAGAGAGCGGGCTCCTGTCCTCTGCAAACCACATTTCACGAACCCCACGGCGAATTGTTAGCGTTCTCCCACGATTGCTCGCGGTATAACAGTAGTTCTGTGTCTATAATCATCCTCTATTTCTGTGTTTTGATTTCCGTAATGATCCGGTACTTCGCGACAGCAGCATTCATTTATTATACCATTTGGATTTTGGTAATGGTAAATCAACACACAACACACACGCTCTCGCTCAACACAGCTAACGAACAAAACTAGCCATTTGTGGACTCGTCCAATCCGACGCAATTGTTGTTTCTCGACCGTGAATGGGCCATCCGGATACCGGTGATTCTCATTTTGTTTGTTATCTGCGTTGTTGGAACTTTTATTTCGCTGGTTATGATCAAGTCGAGCAGACTAGAGAAGAAGCCCAATGGCAATGACAAGTAAAATGTGTATGTGCGGGTGAAACGCGTAAACAAAGCGCCTCGACGCGTCTTTTTGTGCAAACACTCTAGGGTTTCTTTTCTCTTTCCACATTCGTTCAATCGTTCAATCGTTCACAGTCGTCTTCATGAAGGTTTGCGTGAAGAACGAGCAGCTACGCGTCAAAGCCGTTTGTCGCTTTTGTCACCGATGGAATACAGAGTTGGAGTATTGTTCGGCGACGAAGCTAACGTACCATTCGATCGCATCTTCGAGCTTAAAGGTTTGTGACTTTTGGCAGGAAATGCCAGACGTTAACCGTTGAAAAACAGTTGGTGGTCCAGATAGAACAGCAGCAAAACACATTTTCGTCTTCTCAGTTATTCACAGTCGGGCGTTTGTTTCAAAGGTTCCAAATGTGGAACACACTTAGTCTTGTACCTCGTTTAGAATTGGCTTCTAATGAACGCGAGTTTTTGCGTATGTCTGTACTGTAAAAAATGGTAATCGCCCTAACAATGTACAGTTACGTTGGCACCGCAAGACAGCCGTGCTTGGCGTCCAAAACCTGTGCGTGAGCTGCTGAAGATTACTATGCAGTGTGCATTGCTTCCCATCCGAAAAGGTGCGGACCATTTTGAAGGAACGTGGGATCTGATGGCTGTTGCCGCTTTGCTTCGAGATGTTTGGCTGAAACACGTCCTCCAGTGTCTTAGCCGGTGCTGTCCCTTGTCTTTTTTGCCTCGGTTTTATGAGGTATGTCGAATACGGTCGCCCCTCCTGTTATATCCACTCATACTACTAACACCTGTTCACACAGAAAGTCTCAGGTGCCATGCTGTACAGCAAGCCCGTAAGCTCTTCCATCGCCCAGCTGCTTTCGCGGTCGGAGCGCACAGAAGCGGGTGAGTGGGACGAAGACTCGGTGAACGAAGTGCTCTACAGCAACTGTGTCCGAACGTACATGCGTCGTTCTCACCGGAAAGAGTTTCCCAATGAGCTTGTCGAAACTAACAACGAGCCGCCATCGTCCACGTCTATCATAGTGGGTTCCGACGATGAGGCTACGGCCGTATCGTATGCAGAGACATCAATCGCATGCAAACTGCCTCCTTCTTCACCGCCCATTCCAGCGAGTGACGAAGTGTTTCCGCAGGACATAATCTGTGAAGATGTCGAAGAGGCGGCCGACGCCGACGAGTCTATGCTCGGGTCTCTCCCCTACCAACAAACTTCCGAAACAATTTTGTCTACCGATGCTAATGCTTATGAAGAAATGCTGCTTGAGCAGACGTGACGATGAGGACCGGGAGGGGGGAGCGGGGCAAAACGCAAGACAAATGCTCAAACAGTCGTTGCCTGTGAGTATCAAAGCAGGGCAGAGAGTTGGACTTTTTGCAGGCTGTGTTTACCGTCTCCTCCTGCTCCCTCCTGCTTCCACTTGTGTAAAAGGAACTACTATGTATATTGGAAAGGACGATTATGAAATCAGCGACAGAACGCAATGACGAAACAAGGAACAGAAACAAATGAATGCTATGCTAAAAAGATGAAATGACGGTTCAGATGGCTCACTGGTCGGACGGTACGGACGGGTTTTGCTGGTCAGACTGAGTACTGGCTAGACGGTGTTCGCTCCCACAGTCTGCTTGAGAGCTCATTCCAGTCCGTTGCGCGGTCCCTGTTACCGCTGCTGAAGCTGAACAAGACTTCGAGCACACTCTTCGAGGTCTTTGGGTGTGACTGGAGACCGCTTTTTCATCTGAGAAATCGGGGTGGATAGACTTCGTGCTGCTGTCGCTGCAGGAACGTCTGGCTTTCGTTCTAAACGCCCAGTCATCGAGCCTCCTGCCGGGACATCTCCTCCAGCGACTGTGTTGGGTCGAGTGACACTAGGAGACTGTCCTATCTGAAAGAAAACCTCAGCTTGGCCGTTCTGTGTCTCGCACAGTGCGAGACTGGGTCGGTGATGGAGCCGTTGTAGGGAAGCACTGACTTCTGATTTCGAACGGGCGAGTGAATTGCTCCGTCTGAGGGATTGCCGTTTGTTTTGAAACCAAATTTGGAGCTCTCTCGGCGTCATACAAAAATTCATTTCCCGAGAGAGCTGTTGTCTTTCAGCAAGTGTCGGTTTTGGTGTCTTCAAAAAGTATTGTTCCAAAAAACGCGCCTCAGCATCCGTTGTACGGCGACGACGTTTCTTCTGACGTTTTTCTTCTTCCGTCTGTGGTGGTTTGCTCGTTGTGATTTGGTCTTTCTCCTGCGAACTCGCCGGGCTTGCTGTGTTTTTCTCTGCCATTCTCGTTTTTGTTGATGCTTTTCGACGCGCGTGTACGTGACACGCGTCTCCTACCGGTAAATGCAGTTCCTGTGTGACGCGTCGCGTCGCCGCCGCCGTCGCTAATTCCGAGGCTCGCTAAACTCACCACTCCTCCACCTTCTTCTCCCCAGAGATCTGTGCCACACTTTCCCTCACATCATCCTCGTCTTCCACAACCCAAAAGGCCGCCTCCTGCCCAGAGCCACTACTCGGAACCGGTACTTGGTGCTAAACTTGCATTGCTTTTTTTGCATCGTGCAGTTGCTATATCTTTGCATATCCTTGCACAGGCGACTGCAAATTTATTAAACACTTTTTCTAACCTCGCTGTATTTTTTTTCGGAATTTTTACGATTTTTTCCGTTTTTTTTTGTTTTTTTTTTCGTTTTCTCGTCTTCTCGTCCTTTTTTCCCTCTTGTTCCTGCAGAGGATCTCCTTACGACCATTTGTGAACGATTTGGTACATTCGTTTGCCTGTTACTGAGAACGTCTGACCGATTTTCATTAGGTTTTCTCGTTTTTCTTCATCGTATGCTCTTGCTGTGCTCGAAACAGACTGCTCCCTCGTTGTTTTAGCTTGGTCCTTCTCCGTTTGTGAAAGGTAGCAAACCGCCCGCCAGGCTTTGCTGAGTGATTCCTTGATTCTTGTCCAATTCCCGACATTGTCCCAGCCACGCTACGCAGAAACCGCTTTTACCGCCTTTGTACTGCCGTGGGTGTCACAGTTATTGTCTGTCTCTATCGTGTATCATCGTCTTTCGTTTGGCCTTGTCGACGCCCTTTGTCTGTACGACTAAAATATCCTGTACTATTGTTTGCATTTGACATTTAGATTTTACTAACAGTAAAGTTTTGTCATTCCACTGCTCTCTGTTCTACTTTTCCTAAAATTTAAAAAGAATTCTCAAAAAAGACGCCACGAATCTCACACTGGCTGTACTGATTGTCAAGAAACCTTTTCTGTAAGCTTACTCTTGCTACTATTACCGTGCACGCAAACGCACGTTCTAACCTTCTGCTTTTCCACTGTCTTTCTGCCATCTTTGCAGAAGCCCCACACTCTTTACTTTTACGACTTACTTAAACAAAACTTTCATATCTGCTATTCGTATGGCTGCTACTATTGCATACTGCTTCATGGATGAACGCATGCAGCCTTCGGTCGAAAAAATTTCCACGATCCCAAGTCTGAGCGTCCCGTCCCTATCAAACAACGAACCCGTGAAGATTACGACCAGTTTTCACCACGATGCCGACGACTCTCTTGGGGATTCTGCCGCCGTTGTCGTTCACAGTAACGAAAACGTGAACGCCTGGACGGAGGACGCGAGCACCGGAAGTGGGCACCTGCTTGTCCCTCTTGATGCTTCTGAGTGTTTCGAGCGCCCGGGGAGCGCTCTCGGCTCCCACCCTAACCGGCGTCGTCCGCCCGGTGGCCGGCATCGCCGGTCTGCCATTTCTGTAGACTGGGCCCAGTTGGAAAGCTACAAGGCCCAGTATCGTCAACCACCACCTCCTCCCCCTATGACTTCTCCTTCCCCTGTCCCAACGACACATCACAAACAAAAATCGCCTTCCAAGTCCTCGTTACACTCGCCAGGGTCTCTTCACAAACGTTCGCCTACGAAAGTGGCCTTTGTGGACAAGGTACAGATCATCCCCCGAGTGAACATTCTTGCAGACTCTGGTTGGCTTGGTTGCCGTACTTCTTTTGATTCTTTTACTCGCGAGTTTCCTCTTTCGAACCACTTTAACGATGACGACTCCGCCGCGGACATTGACTTGAACCGCATCGACCGTGTGGCGCCCCTTGATCACAGCAGCACTTACAAATCAACTTTAGAAGATCTCATTCCACAGGTGATCAGTCATGGCCCAGCAGCTGGCAGCCGGGTCATGCCGACCTCCGTTAAAAAAGCCTTTGATGACATGGATCCTTGGGGCGCCCCAGGTCCAACTCTCCCTACTCTTGCGGCGGCTCGTGTGTCAATGGAGTCGCCTTTCTCTCCTGCTGGAACTTCGGTCATCCTTGACACAATAAAACAGCGCGGTCCAATCTCCCGAAAGGGAAAGGTTCGCTGCGCCAGTATGTCTTTACCGTCTTCTAGCGCTCCGTGTAGAAGAGAGACTTCACACGCAAGACACGTTAGTGTTATGGCGCCTTCTGAGGTTGCACGTGCTTGTTACAATCATCCAACAGTTGCTCCAAAAGCTACTTTCTCCTTTCGCTCATTTGTCACTCGTTTCTTTAAAAGGAAGTCTCATCCACGTGCGTGAAGCATGTTACTCTACTAACTTGATAAAGAGTAATCTTTCGCTATAACCACTCAAATCTCTGCTGCACACACACTCACACACTCTTTTACTTAAACGAACGCACTCTTCTTCTTTTTCTTTCTCTCTTAAACGCACGCATTTGCCCTCTCTTCCTCTCTCTTTCATTCTCTGCGTCTGATTTCTCGCTCATTTCCTTTTTTTGACGTATTCAGCACACTCGTTTTCTTATATTTTACGTGGTTCTTTTTGATTATCGACTTCCTGAACTGCACCTTACGTTCTTTACTCCTTGCAGCTTATGCTCGCAGTGCCCTTCGCAAAGTCGCGTCAAGGAAGCTAAATTCATGAATATTCCTAGCTCCTAAATGTTTGTATTTTCTTTGCAGCTCTTGATGATACGGATGCCAATTTCTAAGCTTCTTTTACCTGTTATTGGTTCTGCATTCCGTCAAAAATATGTTTTCATTTTTTCCTCCTTCATTTACTTAAACCCTTGGCCATGCGCGCGGTAGCTTAGAAACAGCGCGCTATTCGCCGTAATCATTGAGGCAGGGAGGTGAATCGTGTTCTGTCGGCTCGCTACTTGGCGCTTAAAAGGCTACTTAGATTGGATCGAAGCACGGAGCTCTCCCTATAGTCCTCCAATCGTTTTTGTCTTTACTCGCAACTCTTCTAATATTGGTTTTTGATGTGTTAAACAGGCTTAAAATAAGATAATTGGTAACTTGCCACTTACTACTCTACTATACCCAACTAGCCGTGCCCTGCGACGGGAAGGCGCAGGGTAGCAGCTGTCACTCTTGCTTTTAATGATGAAGACACGCACTACGCTGTCTTGCCTTTCATGTTTTATGATTTGCATCTCATTGCATTTTCTATATGGTATAGTAAATGATCGTGTCCAAATTAATATCAAATTTTTTGTTCTCCTGTAAACACACACATGCAGTGATGCTCTCCTCCAATTCCAAAAAGTAAGGAGTCGTTTATCCAAAACGTAAAGTAAAGAAACAAGAGCCCTTGCTCATATCGAGTTCAGTTCATCTTAATGGTAAACTGCTAGCTTACTTTTGAGAACCACCGTACTTGCCGCGCCAGACCTCTTCCATAGACTCATCAATACGAGTGAAGAGATACTCGGCATTGCCAATGCGGTGTCCAGGAAGCAAGTCCAGGGTCCACTCGTCGGGAATGGCAAGAGCGGGAGCGTTGAGTTGCTTGTAGATACTGTCGCTCGTAGCGGGGATGAAGGGAGAGAGAATAGAGGCGAGAAGGTATACAAGGTTCAAAGTGTAACCAATAGCATCAGCACACTTCTGTCTCTCGTTCGTGAACAGCTTGTTGTCAACACGGTTGTCTTGCAAGAACTGGTTGCCGCGGGCAGAGAGCTCCATAGCGATACGCAGACCCTCGCGAAGCTTGACGGCTTCCAAGGCAGTGTTGTACTTGCGCAGGATGGCGTTCACGTCCTTCACCAATTCAGTCTTGAGCTTGCCAGAGCCCACTGAAGCATCTTCAAGATAGTAAGGAACCAAACCATTGTACTTGGCCGTAGTGAACTTGACCACACGGTTGACCAAGTTACCGATGTTAGCCAACAACTCAGAGTTGTGGCGAGTAATGAACTCCTTCCACGTGAACATCGTGTCGGAAGTCTCGGGTCTGCTGGCCAAAAGATAGTAACGCCAGACGGAGGGTGAAAGACCAAGCTCCTTGGCATTGTTGCCGAAAACACCGATTCCACGAGACTTGGAGAACTTACCGCTCTCATAGTTAAGGTAGTCGGTAGTGTTGATGTGATGGAGCATGGTCCATTTCTCATCGGTACCCAGAAGCGAACCGGGGAAAATGACAGTGTGGAAGGGAACGTTGTCCTTACCCATGAATTGATAAAGCTTAACGTTCTCGGGGTTCTTCCACCATTGCTTCCATTCATCAGTGTAGTTGGCCGTGATACTAATATAGCCGATGGTAGCATCGAACCAAACATACAATACCTTGTCCTTGAACTCTTCAAGAGGAACGGGCGTACCCCACTTGAGGTCACGGGTAATGCAACGAGGACGAAGTCCCTCCTTCAACCAAGAATCCGTAATGGCAACGCCGTTGTTGGACCAGTGACCTTCTTTCGAAGACTTTTGGAACCACTCCTGGATTTGAGGTTGGAGCTTGTCCAAGCTCAAGAAAATATGGCGAGTCTCACGCTTCACGGGAGTAGTCTTGTCAAGCTTACAGGTAGGATTGATAAGCTCGAAAGCGTTAAGTAACTGACCGCAACCATCACATTGGTCACCGCGAGCATCATCAAAACCACATTTGGGACAAGTACCTTCAACATAACGATCAGCCAAGAAACCCTTGTGCTCCTCACAGTACAATTGAGTCATAGAGTCAACCTCCATATAATCTCTCTCATACAATCTGTTGAAAATATGTTGAGAAATTTCGGTTTGCTTAGGGGTAGTTGTACGGCCGAAGAAGTCGAAATCAAGTTGGAACCAGTCGTAAACCTCCTTGTGAAGCTTGTGGTACTTGTCACAAAGCTCCTTGGGTGAAACACCCTCCTCGAGGGCCTTGGTCTCGGTAGCAGTACCGTATTCATCAGTGCCGCAAATATATAAAGTAGTGTTGTTACGGGCACGGTGATAGCGAGCAAACACATCAGCACTGAGAGTACTACCAATAATGTTACCCAAGTGAGGCACATTGTTCACGTAAGGAAGAGCAGACGTAATCAGGATATTACGGCTGTTGGGCTTGGGCAAAACACCGCTCTTCTTGCGCTCTTGCATCAACTCAATTTTGGGACGCAATTTACGAGTCTCCTCGGAAATGGGAATCTGCTCAGAGGAGATCTCGGCCGTTTGACCCTTGGTCTTCTCAATAGCCAAATTCAAGGACTTTTGGAAGAAGGGATGGGCGGCGAACTTCGAATAGAAAGACTTCAATGTCTCGAAGGGCTCCAATTCTTCGGGACCATTAATGAGGCTGTAAACATCGGCAAAAATGATAACGTTAGCAGGAGTCACAGAAGCATCAAGTTTGAAATTTTGAATGGCATTATCAAGGAGAGTGAGAACAATTTGACGCTTCTCGGGAGCATCAGCAGCAATCAAGAGGGGAGAAAGGTTCAAGGAATCCCAATCGAGAAGCTTGTGCTCAACCGACAAGAACTTTTCTGCAGTCAAGTTTGTGTTCTTCCAGTACAAGTAGCTGACGATGGCATTAGCGTCAGAAATGTACTTGCTGGCGTCTTTGGCATCAGTCAGACGAACGGAATTGCAAGGAGCAGCTGGCGAACGCAGTTAGTAAAAGAGAAACATAGTGAATATTTGAACAACACAACTACAATCATAGTGTTCTGATATGCTGAGCGGCATATAGAACAACTTTAAGCACACAATTGTGTCAATTCAAAGATTGAAAAATGTACGAACCTCCTTCGACCTTAGTTTTGGGTGCAAAAGCCGAAACGGCAATGGCAGCCTTCAGTGCCTCATGAAAACCAAATGATTCTTTGGAAACTGCAGGAATTTGTAGTTTGAAAGTCGCCATGTTGTGTTGCCGACCGCTGGTAACCTCACTGCGTAAAGGAAGGAAATGTGACGGTAGGGCGAAAATTTCTTCGCCAAATTTGTGCGGCTCTTAATTTCGCTATCATAAGCAATCAACGCATTTGATTAAGTTTTGCGCAACTTAGTAAGCGAAGGCGAAAGTTTGTTCGTCTTATTGTAGCATAAATTGATCATTGCGGAGAGAGCGCAAATCTTTGCCAATTGAGCAAGTGGCAATACCTAAACGTTGATATGAAGGTAGCAGTAGATGCAAAGAACGAACAGATATTGTATACTTGGGAAGGCGGGTTGTAGCCGTGGTAGTTGTGAGAGAGTGTGTGTCTATGTCTATGCTCCAAAAGTCCAGCATAATTGCGTTGTACGTATAGAAGCTGAAGCTGATATATAAAAGAATGAAACAAAATGAAAAAGTTAAACGGAGGGGTTGGGCCAAATAACGGTTGCCATTATAACGAAAACGAAGTAAGCCTTCAGACTGTCTCCGCACTTGAAATCGAAAATTTGTGCAATTAGCCTTTTAGAGCCGAAAAACCATTTATCGAAAAAAAAGAAGATTTACATCAACGCAGTTCGCATTACGCTGTTCAGTTCCACTCTTAGTTGTATTCATACAGTAGACGGGCGCCAACAATGAATACAGACAAAACAGACAAGGCAGTGAATGTTGCTCGTGAGGAGGTGTGTGTATCGTTCCTAATACGGAATGTTTAAGTCATTCAACATCTGGCAACTGTCACGAGGCATAGCTCTAGCGCGAGCCAGAGCTTCCTTGTCGGTAGAGAACCAGCCATAGCTTCTGCGAATGGCTTCGCGACGGACGTCGGATTCATGATCGCATTTCATGCGCAATTGATGGACAAACTGGCGTTCTACCTCACGATCCATCCGCGACAATTCACGCTTAGAATAGCGCTTGATATCTGTCGGACGAAGATAATAGGGTTGACGGTATTGAGGCATGTAACGAGCTTGTGTGTAGGGTTCATACGGTTGATACGAAAAAGAAGGGAGTCTTGTTGAGCCATCATCACGAAGAAGGTTGGTCACAATGGCAAATATAATCATAATAGCAATCACAAGTACTTGTACAAACGATGATCCTCTTTCCTGCTGGCCAGGCTGAGCACGTCGGGCCCCAGCAGGTCTACCGCCCCCGAAGCGATGCATTCTCACTCTTGGTCCACCCATTGAGCCAAAGGAGAAGAACGGGCCAGAGTCAGAGAACATGGAGTTACCAAAGAACGCATTAAATAAGTCCTCGGGTGACATTTCTGCATACATTCCCGGACCAGCACGGGCCTGAGACGCCGAGAAGCCACTGGAGGCAGAAGGATACGACCTAGATTCTGGGTCTCTGCCAGTTCTGTCATAGTCCGCTCGCAAATTGGCGTCCGAGAGAATCTGAAAGGCCTTACTCACCTCTGATGTTCGTTAGTAAAAAGAGTCGGAAAGGCAGCCATCAGGAATTGAGGCTGCATACGCGAACAACGTACTCTTAAAAGCCTCATCTGCGTTCGGGGCATGATTCTTGTCAGGATGAAGTTGCAAAGCCAGCTTTTTGTAAGCTTTCTTTATGTCCGAGTCGGTGGCTGTTTTCTCGATATCGAGAATCTCATAGTATTGATGATTTTTAAGACGAGTAATTCTCTGTACGAGTAAAACTTGTTTTTCTGTGTATGTCCTGCCAGACGAAGGTGCTGGTTTCGCTGACTCTTGAGTACGTTTACGAGTAGAGTTTGCTGAAGGTGTCTCAGCACTCGAAGACGTGGCAGTTTCTGGTTTTGTCGACAACAAGTCCTCTATGCGTTTAATAAGTTTTTCTGCCTCAGGTGTTTCGAAGAGAGAATACGATTTACGAGCGAATTTTAAGGCGCCATTGAAGTCATTGTTCGCCAATCGCTTTTCTGAAAGCTTTATACAGCTACACACACTGTTAATAATCATATTCTACGTCAATTCTTTCATACCGAATTGCTTCATCCTTGTTTCCCTCCATTGCAGCTCTCTCGACTGTTTGGTAGAAGGTTCGTGAAGCGTGGGCGTTTTGGATGGATGCCTACCACGTGGCCTAATACGTAACTTTAAACTTAATTTCGGCTCACCAAACTCCTTGAAGGCGAACCGCTACAAAGTTTGACCGTGGAAATTAGTCAGGACGGTTTGACGTATAGCTTTATTGCGTCTAGAAATTTTTTTTTTTTTGGGTTGTTATTAGTTTAGGGTTTTCGTGGTCGGACGCGTTTATTATTGTTGGTTTTTTCTACATTACCGGATTTTTTTTATTTTGACTTTCTTTTGGAATTGCTTCGTACAGATTTTTACATCGACTTACTCGAGTTTGTTTCTCTTTAAGGAACAATATTTCTTTTATTTTTGTATTTTTTTAGGGTATTTTTTTATTTTCTTCTTTTTTTTTTTTTGGGATTAATATGGAAAAAGAAGATTGGGCACCAGACTACTCTGACCTGCATGGTTCCATTCAAGAGGTAGAAACGAGTCTTAGATTAAAATTGAAAGACAATGCTTCCGCTGGGGCTCCTTCAAAAAATGATGACTTATACCCAACCTCCTTGGATTGCATTTCTGAAATCGAACCTGGTTTGTATATGAGCAGCTGGAAATGTGCTGCGGACTCAAATGCGCGAGAAGATAGAAGGATTACTCACGTTGTGAGTGCTATGAGTCTTCGTCCACAGCTTGAAGACGTGGATGAAAAGAATCATCTCTGGTTTAATGTGGAGGATGCTAGTTCTCAAAACATGATCCAACTGTTTGAGGAGTTTAACAGCTTTGTCCACAACGCAATTGCGAGGAATGGACGTGTTCTCGTTCACTGCTTTGCCGGTTACTCTCGTTCCGCCTGTCTTGTCGCAGCTTACCTTATGAAGCAACATCACTGGACCACTTCCGAGACACTCCATTTTATCGCAGAAAGACGGCCCGGGATTAGTCCAAACCCAGCGTTCTTGCGTCAACTGAAAGTTTTTGAAGAATGCGATTATGAGCCTACACGCGAAAAGAAACCTTTTCGTTTGTGGCTTTTCAAACAGTATGGTCATTTTGCCATGCTGAACACACAAACACCCTCCGACGTGGCTTACAACGAATTGGTAGCCGCCAAGACCGGTGACAGTGAAGCACGGTGCAAAAAATGTCGATTTATTTTAGCCGGCTCAAACTACATTGTTCCTCATGAACCGAAGACGAAGAACAGTGCCATGAAATGCAATCACATCTTTCTCGAGCCGCTTCGATGGATGCAGCCTGAACTGGAGAAAGGTGAGCTAGAAGGTCGCTTTCACTGTCCTAAATGCTCTTCTAAATTGGGCACATACAAGTGGCAGGGTATGCAATGTAATTGTCTTAGTTGGATTTGTCCTGCATTGAGTCTTCAACTGTCACGGGTTGACATCGTGAAGCGTATCGCTGTAGCTCCACGAGGAGCTACAGCGACAGGAAACATTCTCCAAGCACTTCAGAGACGGTAAAAAAGGGGGAGGAAAATCACGTTCTCACATCACTTTTTCTTATAGCATGTTCTTGAGCTTATAATGCGCCAACTTTGATCTGTAGGACTCTCGCCTCCTCTTTCAATGAACTTCCCAATACTATCAGCTTTCTATTAACAAGTGTACTCTACCTATCGGCGTCTATTACAGTTTAACCATCGGAAAACACCTACTGTTTCTGATATACCTCATTTCCACTAAACCACATCCGCAAGCCATTGATGTCGGCCGAGCTACGATATTCTTGCTAACAATTGCGAGAGATGGAACAATCGCTCTACGCCTGTCTCATCAATTATCAGTGATTCAGAACCACTCCCTGTGCCTACGTTGGACTACGCTGCTGACACATAATGCACCACCATTCACCTAACATAGGTAGACCCTGGATTGAATAGGCGAATATCGTACTTGGAATTTACCTACTACGGTTCGAAAGGACACAGGATGGAAAAAGTTTCAAAGACATTTGATTATTTGGTTATTGGAGGTGGAAGTGGTATGTAAACTTGTCCCTAAACAAAAGGAACATCTCTCTCGTTTGAGCTCCGAAATGACAAATTTTGGACGTTGATTTATCATCAACTGTTCACTGTGGTCTTTTTCTGTTTTTGTGCGTTCTCCGCTCTTAAACTAACACAACACTAGGAGGTCTTGCTTCTGCTCGTCGTGCTGCATCCTATGGCGTTAAGGTCGGACTAATTGAAGGCAGTGGCCGTTTGGGTGGAACCTGTGTTAATGTCGGTTGTGTTCCGAAGAAAGTGATGTGGAACTTGGCTGACTTGGCTGAGAAACTAAAGCTTGCCAACAAACAAGGTTTCTCCATTCAAGGGGAAAACGCGTTTGATTGGGAATTCATTAAGAAGAAGAGAGACGCATACATTACTCGCCTGAACGGTATCTATGCACGCAATGTGGAAAAGGAAAAAGTGGATTACATCTCCGGTCATGCCACGTTTCTTTCTCCTACTCATGTCGCCGTCGAAATGTTAGATGGTTCAGGTACACAGATTTACTCTGCCGAACGGATTCTTATTGCTGTTGGAGGTCAGCCAATTTGGCCGTCTCACATTCCCGGATACGAGTACGGTATCGATAGCGATGGATTCTTTGAACTCGAGAAGCAACCCAAGAAGGTTGCCATTGTTGGCGCTGGTTACATTGCCGTCGAACTGGCAGGTATTTTCCAAGCTCTCGGTTCTGAAACACATATGTATATTCGTCGTGACCACTTTTTGCGTGCATTCGACCCCATGCTGGGTGAAAACATTATGGAGCACTACGAGAAGAGTGGCATGCATGTTCACAAGAATACGCCAGAGTTCAAGCGTATTGAAAAGCTTGATACCGGTGCCCTTCTAATTCACCACGACGACGGAACCACTCGTGAGGTTGACACACTTTTATGGGCAATTGGCCGTAAACCTAAGATTGCCGGCCTTAATTTGGATAAAATTGGCGTTAAGTACAATGAGAAGACAGGCTATGTAATCGTTGATGAGTATCAACGCACCAATGTCTCCAGCATCCTCTCACTTGGTGATGTCTGTGGAAAATTTGAGCTGACACCCGTTGCCATTGCCGCCGGTCGTCGTTTGTCTGATCGTTTATTTGGCGGCATCAAAGACGCTCATCTTGAGTATAACCAGATCCCTTCTGTTATTTTTGCACATCCTGAAGCTGGTTCCATTGGGCTCTCTGAACAGCAGGCTATCGAAAAGTACGGCGAGAACCAGGTGAAGGTCTATCGCACACGCTTTTTCGGTCTCAATTACGCGATGGTTGATCCGGAGGACAAAATCCCTACTGCATACAAGATCGTTTGTGTCGGTCCTCTTGAGAAGGTTGTCGGCTTACACATTGTTGGCGACTTTTCCGGTGAAATTCTTCAAGGTTTCTCTGTAGCTATTAAAATGGGTGCTACAAAGAGCGACTTTGACAACTGTGTTGCTATTCATCCAACTTCGGCCGAAGAACTTGTGACCATGCGTTAGTTGATGATTCTTACTAGAGTATTCTAATGATTTTCATGTCTCAACAGCTGAGAACTCCGCTCGGTTCCGTTTGGCCATAACATTTGTGTTGCCTATCTGTAACTAATTTATTTTAAGCTGTCTTTCTAAAAAATATATTCCCTTAAAGCAGCAAAAAAGCTGTTTAAATCATATGGCATGTCGTGAGGGCGAGTTCTGTAGGTTGATTTGTTTTCTTTTGTTTCAGCGCAATCGTATCTTCCATTTTGTCTTCTGTTTGGGAAGATAAAATGCGAAGTCTGTCACATTTTTTCCTTCGTACACCCTCGAACAGGAGCTGTGTGTTCCCAATCTCTCGCCTGCCTTATTATCGAGAAATAAATCGTTTCAGCATGTCGACGAGGTATGATTAGGAATGAAATGTTGTTAAAAGGTTTATTTACTTAGTTATAGCCTTAAACTTTATGATATTGGTTTCAATGGAACCGACCCAGTTTTTCGTGGAATTTATCATGACAAGCAGCGCCATGAAGATGATTTTGGAGCAATTATAGAACGTGCTAAGAGTCAAGGAGTAGAGAGAATGATGTTGACGGGAGACACACTTGAGCATTCTGAACATGCACTCGAATTGTGCGAAAAATACGGTACGAATTAAGCTCTACATTATTTGCTGGGAACAGAGTCTCATACAAATACTAGATGGATTGTTCGCTTGCACTGCTGGTGTGCATCCATGTCAGGCAGAAGTTTTCGACAAATATCCTGAAGGTTCTGAGGTTTATCTAGAACAACTAGAAAGCTTTATTCGTCAAAACATGGCCAAAGGAAAGATTGTTGCTTTTGGTGAAATTGGACTGGATTACGACCGTCTTCATTACGCAAATAAGGAGACGCAACTCAAGTACGTCTTCAATAAAGCATGCCAATACAGGAATTCGGCTTGTTCTCTCTTTAGAATTAGTATGGCTCACATTATTTAGATGTTTTGAAGCACAGTTAGGGATTGCTACGAAAGTGAAGCTCCCCTTGTTCTTGCATTCAAGAGCGGCGGCGGACGATTTTGTTTCTATTTTATCAAGATATCTTCCTGACTTGCCTAAAGGAGGTGTGGTACATTCGTTCACTGGCAGTTTGGAAGAATTGGATATGTACTTAAAGCTTGGTTTATATATCGGCGTCAACGGCTGTTCTTTAAAAACAGAAACGAACGTAGAAGCCGTTCGCCGCATTCCTCTAGACCGATTATTGCTTGAAACGGGTATGCATTTTGTAACTTATGAAAATACCAAAATTGTGATTTATGACTCTATGACTTTTTCCTCTCCAAGATTTAATGCTAACACTTAATAGACGCACCCTGGTGCGAAGTACGTCCAAGCCATGAGGGATACAAGTTCTTAAAAGACTTCACGCCTCCGTATCCCTCCTGTAAGAAAGAGCGATTCAAAAAAAATTGTATGGTTCGCGGAAGAAACGAACCATGTAACATGGTTATTGTTGCAAAAATTGTGGCCGAAATCAAAAATATTTCAGTAGAGGAATTGTGTGAGACTGTGTGGAAGAACAGTGTCTCTTTGTTAGGTTAAATTGTTCTTGCTAACCAACTCACAACTGCTCGCACATCCTCTGATGGAGTGTGTTGAAGGAGTATTTGGTTGACGGATCCGCTATCGTATCTCAGACCATTCCAGTCGTATGTGGACAACTCATCACTAAGCTTTTTGTCTTCCGTCACAAATTGAGCATTGTCAATACGACCATGTAAAACAGATATATTCACGGTCAGCGGATGTTGAAACAGTTTCTCTTCCTTTAAAGTTTGTTGGAATTTCGGTGTTTGTCCGAAAGTCCAATTCCAAGAACGTAACTGTTCCTCCATTTTAGCAATATCCTCGATACCCATAATATCTTCTGCAGTAATACTTGTGATCTGTGGTACCTTTTCCAAATGATACGTCTCTAGATATGTGTGAATAGCGTCGTATACGAATTTAGAAACAGGAACATTCACGTTCACAACAGGTGAACGGACACTTTTAACTCCGCTGCTTCGTATACCCGTGGTATATGACCGAAGATACTTTGAAATGTTAAGCAAGTCTGTGTTAAGCAGCATGGTACCATGATGGTAGCAACGGGATCTTGCAATTTTGTAAGCGGATCCGCTTAATTTTTCGCCCGTTGATGAAAGAACAATGTCATGTCTGTTGTTCACACTAGCATCTATGTTCGAACGCTGTAATGCTTTTGCCATTATCTGTGCGTTTCTAGTGTGTGAAAAGTTTTGGCGATCCATAATTACACTGTAATTCACGTTTCCGAGATCGTGAAACACTGTTCCTCCGCCTGATTGTCTTCTGACAATATTCACCCAGTCCTTTCTGCATTGCCGGACATTTAGTTCGGTCCAAGGATTCTGATTTCGACCAATAATAACAGATGGTAAATTTGAATAAAACAGAAGACACTGTTTAGCAGTGCTGTTCTTAAACAAAAAATCTTCCAATGCAAGATTTAAATAAGGACTGACACTTCTACTTATTATAATTTTTGCATTTAGTAAATTTAGAACGCCCATATTCTGTTCCTAGTAGTTTTTTCCCCCTTGTTACAGTAGATGAAACAGTTCTGAGCAAAATTGAAGTAGTTCTTCGTAAACTAGATCCAGTTGTATATATTGTGCTACTTTAATTTACAAAACGATGTTTAGGATTCTTTTTGCTTCTGTTTCGAGAACTTTGCCGTGATAAGTATTTTCATTGACAAATTTTCAATCTTTCAGCATCATTTCTTGTAAAAGACAGAAATGCAACACCAGGTCTCAAAAATCTCTGGCATCAGTCCAGCAGGCCCTGAGCAGCTATGTATGAACAATTAGAAACATTTTTTTGGCACGGAATTGTCTTCAGTATACATTTAAAATACTAATACTAACTGACAAGAAAGTTCTTGCAAATGAAGTTGATGAGCTTTGTATACAGCTAGTTCATAAGCAATTTCTTGCTCTCACGACTTGCTTCAGTCCCCAAGTGCAACAGCGTTTGAAACCGTTTACAGGCAATTGGTCTCAACCATTGGCGTCTTTGCTTTACCATGTAGCGTGTCTAAAACGTTCTACAATTGGTGAAGAAACCAGCGGCATCGTCTTAGTAAATGATCATCTTCAAGTCGCAAGTTCATTCTCTCGTCTTTTGGAATCCATTCTTCGACTGCTGCCAAGCTTTGTATGTCTACCACCTTTGAAGTCAAAACTTGCGTCGATGATCGACGTAATTCTTGGCTTCTTTGTGACCACTTCATTAAAAGACAGTATCTACGGATTTGCAGAACGCCACTGGAAACGTATTCAAAAGATTCTCTTTCTATACAAAGTTCTTATTCTTTATACTAAAAAGTCTTGTTCGTATTTGACTCAAAACTTGTTACAATTACACTACGTATGTGGTGAATGTCCACCAAAATGGCTTTCAGCTTCTAGCATAAATATGCTAACGAACATCTAGCGAACGATTAAGAGTGTCAACACTGAAAATGGGAAGTCTAGAAGACTCATTTGGTCAATCTTCTTTCTAGAAAGTGTTCGTATAGCTTTAGAATACTGGGGTCCACAAAGCCGCAACGAAGAAAAACATAACACAGAGCAACTTCCCGAAGTCAGGACACCTGACAGCCCAGAATCCTTTCCTTTTATTCCCGATAAGTCTAGAACTTGTGCGTTGTGTATGGAACTTCTTCACCAACCTACCGCAACCAGTTGCGGTCATGTTTTTTGTTGGGATTGCATTACGGGTTGGACAGAAAGGCAGCCAGAATGTCCCATGTGCAGAAACTATACCGACCCGTCTAAGGTCGTCCTTCTGCGCTAAAACGACCCGTGTTTGTATACCTATAATTAATTATCACGACTCCAAGTGTCGACTCTTCTATACAAAACATCGAGTGACTCGCTAGGACTCAGCGTGTTTTCTGGATTAATAGTCTTCAGCGTCTCGTAGTCTCCATTGTTAATTTGTCGAAGAAGATCCTTAATACAAAGCTTCTCAGTTTGTTCAAAGGTAAGCAACGGCAAAGAGCTTGTCAGCCGTTTCATCTGAACGAGAGGATAATCAGAGAATGCTGTAAGAAACTGCAAGCTGTCGCGAGCGAACTGAACAGCACCCCGATTACTGAATTGGTGAGTATGCATTATATGCAACAACCAGTCTTCCACAATATCAGCGATACGGCAAACAATTTCAAAAAACGGGGCTCCAAGAATAATCTCATGAATGGAGTTGATAAGTCTTCTCAATGCAATATCGAAACCCACAGCTTCTGGTGAAATTGAGCCTTCATAGCTTTTGTCACTCGGTGGCTTCTCTTGAAGCGTCCATGTATTTATAGAAGCGAAACTATCAAATGTGGCTTCAAGGTATTGAGTTACACGATGCATAAGCAGCTCGAATGTTTGATTACAAAGCTTGGATAGCCTTTTTCTTAGTGGCAGGAACACAGAACTTTCCTCCGCAAGGACTTGCTTGTCTACGGGTTTCTCCAAGTTCGTTTCCTGAGACAATATGTAAACTTCTTCATCTTCCAAGTCGAGATGCCAGTCAAGCAAAAGCTTAAATGCGCCATACAGTTTACACATTCGTCTCACTTCCGAAAAACTCTGCTCAGATGTAACATGCGCACCTCCGGGAATGAGAGTTGTAGAGCCTTCATGATTCTGATAGTACGATTCGAGCCAGTCGACAAATTGAATAGACGGTTTCAATTGAAGTGTATGAAAAAACCCACGGCAAAACTCTTCGCAAGGTATCATTTCAAGAATGGATTTTAAAGACGCCATTGCGTTCCGATACAATACGAAGGATTTTATGGGCACAGCAGTGTAAAGCTCTTCCACATCATCTCGAGCCAATTCCCATGCATCTTTAGACGACTCTATAGCATTCAATTGCATTTTCACATCAGCAGCTTCTATATCCAACCAGCGGGAATAAACCATGGGCTGCTTAAGAAGGTATAGCGATAAAGAATCCTTCTGAGGGAAATTGTACAACTGCTTCAGTTTTGTGGAATAGTACAACGTTTCACGAATTAGATGCGCTAAGTGAACATCGAGGTCCATTATTAGGTTTATTTTCTCCTTCATTAACTCTTGCATAACCTTCATAAACTCGTGGACAGCGATCATTCCCTCCGGCATTATCTGTTGAAACAACTGAATAAAACTCAGAGACGAACGAAATACTTTAAGAGCGAACTCATAAAACCACTCCGGTTTTGATGGAGTGTTCGTCTTCTTCTCAGTCATAAAATGATACTTGAATTGGATGTTGAAAGGTCTGCAAATGCATTTCATTAACAGCAGTAGATTCTCTTTCTCGTCTGTTGGGTCGGCAACACATAGAAGGGATGCTTTCCGGAGCAATTCATCTATGGTTTCTTTCGACAGGGATTTGACATTCGTATGCGGCCAATTAAGTTGTTCCTTCACAAACGTATTAAAAGCTTCCGTATCTCGTTCGACCAGATCATTCATAGTATTAGTCATTAAAGTTTTCGTGAGCAAGCCGAAACTTAAAGCTGTCCCTTCGGATTCTCTAGCGGAGGCACACAAGTTATCAACATCACTTTTCAGAGACGCTAATTCTGTTATCGTAGAGGAATTCTGGATTCTGTTGACAACACTCTTCAATTGGCGCAGAAACTCTAGCATACGTTCATCAACAGGTGCTGTTGTCACTTCCTCATCTATCCAAGCACTTTCTATGCCATCGTTTATATCTATAGAATGGTTTTTGTTTGCTTCCACCGATATTGTTTCATTCACCGACGACACTTGTGAGAAATCGAGCCGGGATACGTCGTTAGCAAATCTGCGGATGTCCTCCAAATTTCCTGAAGGAGCTGTCCACGATTTAACAAATACTAAGGGACTAATTGACATCGCGCCGCCTAACGTGCCCATTAGTGAATTGCTATGTGTGTTTTAGCTGCTGCCTGTATGCCCGAGGTGGTAGTGAGGATCCGCGGAAGAGCCGCGGAAGACCAAAGACAAAGATGAAGAGCAATTAGAGAGAAACGTTATTAGGCGTTGAAACTGCGTGATAATACGTCTTGCATTATTTTGGCAATGCAATTGGCAATGTCTGTTTGAGTGCTTCGCACAGATACACGAATTAGCTAGATAATTAGTTAGTCATACAGACGAAATGAAGAAACACAATAAGGAGATCCTAATAGCGTTCAGAGTAGTTATACATACGTCTTTTTCGTAGTTGGGTTCCAATCTGAGCAAACATCCAGGATTGGAATTATTCAATTTCACTATACCGGCACCAACAATGTTTGTCTTAATTGAATCCACATTTGTGCATATACCCCATTGCATACCAATGACAACCTTAAACAGTTTTACAGTTTCCAGCTTGTCCTTTGGATTTTCAAGAGCAAAAGTAAGCTGTGCTTCACGTTCCTGGCCCATTTGGCCCCACCGATGAAAGAATGTGTATGCATCCAATGTAACAGGTTGCATGAACTTTGTTATGATGATAGGAATCTTCAAATTCACTGAATGCAAAACTCCGGCAACGCATGAAACGCGGACAACGGGTACTTCGAAGGCCCCCTTGGGAAGTGCTATAGTAATTTCCTCAAAAATCTGTGCTTTGGGTTTCAAAACGGTTTCCGAAAATGTAGAGGAAACTTCTAAGTTTTCACTCTTATTCAAAAATGAAGAGGTAAACGAAGTGATATCCGTAGCAGAGCGGCTACCAAAGTAAAGGAACACCGTTGCATATTCTTTCTTTACGCTTATACGAACGCCGATTTGCAGCAGTGCATCTTGAAACAAAACGCCCTCATTACGCCAGCATAAACGTGCAAAACCAGGGTAACAAGCCGAAAGATCCAACGCGTCTGTACGGAAGATATTTTCCGTTGACATACTTTGGGTGCGGGCTAAAGAATACGTAGATAATCTTGCCAAGTCGGTGCGCAAGGGTTGAGATTTCTCATCGATTGGCGGCATTTCATCACAAACTGTTTTTAGAACCTCATTTGGAAGTCGAAGAATCAGCCGATATTCGCAAGCTCTTTGTTGTACTTCAGGATCCAACATTGTAGCATACTTGTCGAAAATGTTCATTATACGAGATTTCATGTCAGGATAAGTATTGCAAAATTTCAGCATGGTTGTCAACAGCAATGCCTTTGTTGAAGTCGAATGGGAGGTGCACAGTTTACGATATATAGTAGTATATTGGTTTATAGGCAAGCTTCCGGTTTCCTCAGATATCAAACGCCCGTATTCACCGATGATATAGCCGCCAATCTTGATGAGACTGTCGTAGACCGAATCGGATTGAAGAAGCTTGAAGAGACTTGTCACGGCGTACTTCTGAATTTCCGGCCGCTGCATAATTATGACTATAAGCCTTTTCCAAACCTCATCACTCACAGAATCCCCTCCAAGTCGTAGAAGTTGCAAATTCACGTCTACATACCACTTGGAATCTTTAGAGTGTGTTTCCGTTAAGACCGAAATCTTAAGTACCATATCCTCACGCGTAGTAGTATCCAGGTAGGGGAAAGTCTGCAGTAAATCTGAAATGATGACCTTGGAGTTCTCGGAATCACACATTGCGTATAGCAAATCCAGACTCTTTTTACGCATTGACACATCTTTGTATTTCAAAGATGAGAGGATTAGGTCCTTGTGCTTTTTCAAGAAAGGCATCTTAAAACCATTGCTGATTAGGGAGGCGGTCAATTGGAACGAAAGATAACGAATGTTTGTTTCCTTGCTGGCAATCATTTCACTAAGTAGCTTAGTGGTATTTTGTGAGAGTGTCTCATTGGGTTCGTTAATGTAAATGAGCCGAATGGCGTCGAAAAGAATGGCATGCAAAGCATTGGTTTGCTGGATGTTAGATGGTATAACGTGAACTGAGATGATTCGAGCGAGAACAGTGTGAAGACTTTCCTGCAACGCCTTATCATCAGTAGGGGAACATGCAATAAGCACACGAAGTAACCGGACTTGTAGCCATGGACACGGAACGGCATAATACAAATAGTCAGGAGTGTAAGCTTGTTCAAAAACAATGTTCTTTAACCGATTTACGGCTTGAGAAAACAGCATTCCATGCATGGCAGGTTCTTGTTTTGCAATGGCTTCCATGAGAGAAGCTACTGAAAGAGAAACATCCAAATCCTCGTCGCTCAACATCATAGCCAGTCTCTCAAGCCACTCTGGATGTATGAGATGGGGATATTTACGATAAATGTGAAGCATTGCAAGTGCAGCTTTCTGTCGAACATAACTCTCGGAGGTAGGTGAACAAAGTAGTTTATGCACATCAACATAAACCGCCTCACACATCTCTTGCCCGCCGATGTTAGCAACTGCGTTTAGAGCAAAGCTGTTGTGAATAGGATTGGTGCTCATAAGGTCTTTCTTCACAGAATTAATAACAAGTTTAATTAGTTCATGGTTCTCATGAAGAAGAAAAGCTGTTGCTAAATAACCAACTTGCTTTTCTCTCACTTTATTCGAAGAAAGAAGATTCACAGACTCTAAATGACCAAAAGTTACAGTATAGCCCATCATGTATATGTAAAGTAGTTTACAAATATACTTCTTTTTTTGATATCCATTGAGCGTAGAACCTTTGAATTTGGCACGAATTTTCGCTAATTCCACATTCACGCGTTTTTCTTCTTGTTCTTTTGAACGCAGATTCCGGATATCAGTAATGAAGGTATTTAAACCTTTCATATTGTTGAATCCCATTTTGAATAAATAATGCTAACAGTAGTCGAGAAAGACAAAACAATATGATCGGTGATAGAATTAATAAGATCCTCTTGAACAAAAGTTACAGTTTATATACTTAATACACTGTTTTGTTAGCCAACATGTGGGTGTAGTATGCAAACAGGCAGCTCCGCCAGAAGGAAGTAGTAATTCCGCAAGAACAGCCTGACTTACGTTCGCTCCTCTAGGAAACTGTTTTATCTACCAATAGCACGTTTTTATGTTTGGTTCCGTGCGTCCTTCCGCTTTAAATTTATAATATTTTTTTTGAAAAAAGCGATGGAAAGGAGTAAGACATTGCTGTTTGGAACAGTAGAGGCACTGCTCTTACTTTCTATAACATTTCTGCGTACTTAGTTTATTTATTAATTTATACTGTTTAATAATGCAATCGAAAAGTAAAGCTTTTTACATCATATGTAAAAAATCTTATGAATTTAGTAAAACTGATAATGGAACTCGGAGACACACAATTCCTTTGTCATGTTTATTTAGATCTGTATTTTGCGTTACCAATTTTGAATATCAAATTTGCTATAAGCATAGAATCTGCAATCACAGTAAGTATTTATTCGTACTCAGGAAAGATTCTAAAGAAAAAGAGTTACTACAATCCCTTCAAAGAAAAACTAGCTTACAATACATAATGCGAAAATGCTTCAGCTCCTTGGTAGTTTCAATAAATTTATGAATGTAAACTAGTCCTGAGAATGTGGAATCAAAACTAAGAAACAAAGTATTAGTGAATAACTTCAACAGGCTTATTTTTTTAGGGTAGATTGCTATCAGGAGAATTTACAGAAAACTGTGATGTTCTTCTCGGATTTGACATGTAAATCCTTTTTATTACAAACGTAGTAAACCAGGTTGTGTCCCAGAGTTTGCATTATATTTTGCTTAGAAACTGCCTGCAGTTATATCGTCAGTTAACAAATTTCGTTCACACTACTGGAGTGTAACTTCGATTTTTTTTTTATTTTAACATTATCACCGATCTTTCTTCGTTTCCTGTTTTAAATAAACATCCAACACCTTTTCCGCGTCAACGAAAACAGATGTATCGATCTCTTCACTCTTTTCCTCAAGTGAGCGTTTCTCGGCAGAAAGAGGGTGCTCCTCGAGATACCGCTTCCGTGTAGCATAAGGCTGTCCTTCTTCCTCGTTTACTGGCAAAATAGACACTGCGAAGTAACGAAGCAATACCCAAACGTGCTCGGCGAACAATGCAATCAACATCGCAATGGGCATACTCTTGGAGGAAAATGCGTCATTAGATGTGTAATAGTAACACAGAGATGTCAAGGTCATGCTACCGAGCCAGCTCAGCAACTGCAAACACTGATTCCACAAACCAATACTATCTTTCAGAGATGGAAGAGGACGTTGCATCTCGTTTGTGATTTTGGCCATATCACCACGAATTTCAAAGAAATTATTGACAAGGAAAAATACTGGCGCCAAGGGGAATATGGGGGAAAACATAACAACATATCCGAATTGGATTATCATTTCCCGATAATCAGTATACGAGTCGTATGGAGGCAATTCGGATTGTGCTCTGTAAGACTCCAAAACCTCATGCTCAAGTTCATCATCTTGAATAACAATAGAAGGCACACTTTTTCTCTTTTGCTTAATCAATTTCTTAACCGCACGTAAAACCGCCGGAACCAACAGATTGGTAATGAAATTAATCAGTTGCGCATTAGTAAGAAAGTAGAGAAATTGGCTTCGTAATCTCAAGGGATTTCCCTGAAAGCTGTCAGTGTGGAACCTGGAGAAAACATTAAGTTTTGAACTATAATGTGCAACAATGCGTTTGGAAAAGGGTCCGTACACATATGCAGTGAGGAATAAAGCGGTGTACGAAACCATAAAATTAAACAAGAATACTTTACGACTGAAGGACATAGCATATTCCTTCTCAGTGCGTCGGTTCTCCAAATCGGTCAACTTCTTAGCAGCCACTCTATAGATCATGAAGAATGGAATTGTACACGCCTGGAACGCGACAGTTGGAAGCAATGTAAGCAAAAACTTTAGGGGACCATTGTACAATTCAACAAGGTACACCTCCAAGGCGAAAATACCGGCCAACAAACCCAGCAAAACACCACCTGAAACCAAGAGGAGTGGAACTGTAGGTAATGTTCTCAGCACGGTTTCCCACTGGGGAAAGAATGGGCGAGCGCGGCCGGTGAAAGAGTCAACTTTGAAACTCAAAGGCTTAAATTCCTGCACGCATTTCTCCTTGCGGTCACATCCGTTGATTGACCAACGTTGGGAAAGCGAGCGTTCGCGCACTTTCCAAGCTTGTGCGAAAAATATTCCCCAAAGAAGGATGCCGAACGCAAAAATAAAAGAATAATCACCCAAAAAATAGTAACAAAATACACCCCAAGCAGAGGGGACAACTAAGTTTAAGAAATAGAATTGCATAAACGCAAAGTACAAAGAAACCTGTTCCAAATGTCAGTTTTAAAAAGCGATTTACTACACAACAAATCACTTACTTCGGAACCTAAGTGCGCTTTAACATTGTCTAAATCAGCATCAGAAAGAAAAAGTTTCTTATTCCATTTATGTCTCCAGTTGGCATTGTACGTTTTGTTATGGGGTGCAAAGATTTTGACAATGTCCGGATAAGCCTTGCACCCAGGGCCCATTCCCAAACAACCTTCTTCTGAAGACCTGTTAATCTTTCAAACACAACACGGAGAGCTTCCGAGGGTTCAATTAAACAGCTGCCATAGGAGTCCATGTCCTCAGGTCTGTTCAGTAGACCGCAAAGAAAAGATTCCTTTCTGTCTTCATCAACCAAGTCGTGAATGAGAGGCTCTGGAGCTTGCACAAAAACAAAGATTGTCGTCTCAGAAGCAGGACGAACAGCCACACGAAACCCAGCGGCCTGTAAGTTCGCTAATACATTTTTAACAGTTTCCGAGCTTGAAGAACTCGTTGACTTAACCTCAACAATGAGGTGACACTTTTTCACGATGTCTGTGTTCAACGTTGAATACTGTTTTTCCATCTTAAACAGACATCGAGCTTATGAATAATGATATACGCGAAGGACAAGTCCGAGCATGGCCGTGCTGTTTCTTTTCTTCCTTAAGTCATAGTCGCATATATCGCTGCCACGTGTAATCCGTACGTCATGGGTCTGCGACATATAGACCAATTAAACATGTTACATAAACAGAGTAGTCGCTCTTAGTTGACTAAGCGAGAACTAAACCAAATACAAAAACAAACAGAACAGGAGAGAGTTGTTACGTTAAGGAATGTAGACGCAGAGAAATGTCAAATATGAACCCGTAACAGTCCAAATACACCTTCACCGAGCATTTAGTTTATTAATATTTGAGAACGATAATCATTCACTAACTTGAAAGTACCAGGGAAACCCGAAATCCTAAAACCATGAAAATGTATCAAACGAAAAATGAAAGCAGATCAACATATCCTTGCTTGTTGACCTGGGAGTATATTCAGCAAAAATTAAATGCCAAAAAGTATGAGGGAATATGTTCCAAAAAAAAACGACACACATAAAATTCAAAACAATGAAGGCCAGATTAGCCCGGAGAAACGCGATTGAACAGCGTTGGCATAAGAACAAATAAACAGGAGCACGGAAAACCTACTCTTCCTTCGAGCCAGCTTCGATGAGACGTTTTCCGTGTTTCAAAGGGGCGTTAGCTTCTGCAGTAATTTGTGCCGCAGCCTTCTCCATGGCCGACTCCATATCATCCAAACCAGCAGTCGATGCATACTGCAAAACAAGATGACGACCGAGCAAGTGAGTATGTTTCAGAGCCTTCATCGCGTTCTCTGCTTCACGCGCGGTGACAAACTCAGCAAAAGCGAAACCACGAGCAGTGCGATCAAATTTCTTGGGCACACGAACAGAACGCAATTGCCCATACGCACCAAACAAGGAAACCACATCCTTCTTCGTGGCCTCGAATGGCAAGTTTTTAATAAGGATCTTAGTACCCTTAACATGACGTTTCTCATCGGCCTTCCGTGTCTCGGCAGCAGCGTCAGCACCCTTGTGCGATAGTTTGATTTCCAGCTTGTGTCCATCAAGCAAGAAACCTTGCATGGCATTCATAGCAGTGACAGCGTCCTCCTTCGAGCGAAATTCAACAAAACCGAAACCCATACTCATAAGCTGACCAGGACGCTTGGAGGGCTTGGCGCGAATAACAGCAGAAAGGAAACCGTTGAGGGAAGCGAAAATTCTTTGGAAATCGGTTTGTGAGGTGCTGAAGCTGATGTTTTTGACGAAAAGTGTGGATGTTTCGCCGTCCGCTGGTTCAGTGACAGCTTCGTCCACGGCAGCCTTGTTTTCGGTGGAAATACCGTCGATCTTTTGAACAACCTCAGGCTTGCCCGCCTTCTTAGCGACTGCAGTGTTAAAGACATTTTTAGGTGCTTTCTCTAAATACAGCACAGAGCCCTTAATGCGCTTATACGCCAGCTTTGCGAATGCCTGACGAGCGTCAGGAGTGTTAAGAAACTCAATAATAGCAATCGTGCCAGCAGGAGGAATTAACACTCGTCCAAGCTCTCCAAACTCACCAAACATCTCTGCTAACTCCTCGGCCGTCGTACCGTAGGGAAAATTCTTAGCCAAAATAACAGAGTCGGAACGCTGGCTGTTTTTGAATGCTTCCAAATCGACGCCATGCTCTTCGAAGAAATTCTTCGTCTCTTGAATTACATGGGTCTCTGCCATAGCCTGCTTCACAGCTGCATCCGACGACGTAGGGTTCAGGATGTCAGCCTTCTTAACGCCCAAACGAGAAGCAAGCGAGCTTACCACGGCATCTGATCCCATGTACAGAGTGTTCCAGCTGAATGTGCTTGCAGAAGCAGCCAGCTTACGCTTAAGTTCACGTTGCTTCTTTAAAGGAAGCTTATGGAAGGCCTGCTCATCTTGCATAATATTTGTTCTCGATTTCGCAGGCAGAATGTGAAGCAAACGACCCTGGAAAGCCAAACCATCCAAATCCTGATAGGCGCGAATGGCGTCGTCCTTATTTTTGAACTCGACATATGCAAAACCCTTTGGCGCGTTCGTTTTCTTGTCCACTGGCACGTGGACTTGTTCCAGGGCACCATAGTCTTGGAAGAGCTCCACTATGTCGTCCTCTTGGCAACTGTATGTCAAATTCCGCAAAAAGAGTCGCTTAGACTCACTAATTTGCTCAATTGCCTTTTCTTCTTCTGTAGGCACCCGGGGCTCTTCTTCCACAACTTGTTCCTCTTGTTTTTTCGTTGTCTCCTCAGCGGCGTCATCGACGAGCATATCCTCCGCCTCCGGGTCAGCGTGATCCTCCGTTGCCTGCTCCTTTATTCTCGTGCGATGAAGACGCAACCACTCGTCGTCAGTCAAATTAGAAGCAGCAGGGGCTGTTGTGTTGCTTGGGCATCAGCATCAGCATCCGACGCATCTGCATCAGAAGTTTCTTGAGCAGCCAGTACCGCTGCTCGTCACGACGTCATCACAGTAGCTTCAGTAGCACGACGCTTCAAAGCCGGCAGCTCCTGATACTCATCGTCGTCTTCTTCTTCAAACGCCCGAACGTCGGCAGCAGTCTGTTCTTGTTGAGTTTCACCAACCAGTGGTGTACCATTGTCCCAACTACGAGAAGTAGACAGAGATTTAGAAACGGACAGGAACTCCTGAAACTTGGTCTCGTCCTTCACCTCGGCCTCTCCATGCTTGCGTTTGTTTTTTTTCTCCGCTTTTTCCTTCTGATCGGCAGCTCTCTGAGCGAGTAAAAGCTCCTCCTCACGTTTTTTCTGTCTTTGCTCAACATTCACTCTAGAATGCTTACTTTTCGGTTTAATTCTCTGGTCAGCCGTACGTGGATCGAAAGCCAGCTGCACATCCAATTTGCTTGTACAGACAAATGTTTTATTGAAGAACTTCACAGCATCCTGAGCATCTTCTGAATTTTTAAAGCCAAGGAAAGCGAAGCGACGACTTGTTCCATCCCTCAACTTGGCCAATTTTACGTCGGTGATTTCGCCATTGTAACCGGATTGTGAGGTGAAGTGCTGTTTAATCTTCTCCTCGTCAAAGAACGCAGGAAGGTTTTTTACGATAATTCGAGACATCAGAACGTGGATTCCTCCAAGATACCGTCGTCCAGTCCGGAATTGTGTGCGTGGGGAAGGGAGAGGGCGAGTGAAGCGCGAGGGAGGGGGAGCTTGCTATGGGATTAGTGCACTGCGGAACAATCCCTTATATGCTATAAGCCATCACTGTACTCCCTTAACGCTCGTTGAGTTTCACTAAATTTACTGCACCTCACTAACCCTCGCTAAACACATTTCCTCGGGCTTAAGCTCGTACTGACGGTACAGAGGTCACGGACCCTCTAGACCCTGTGATCTTGCTGCACGACTGACGTAGCTCATCGTTGAGCCGCAGCAACCGCAGACGTCTCCACCGTTGCAATCATCGTCATTCATGGTGTCGCAGTCGTGCCAACACCCAGTGCCAAATTTCCGTGGTGCAGGCTTATTGTCACCCTGCTGCGGGACAATGCCACCGAACATCAACGATAACATAAATCCTCGCTGTTACACACATCGCTTGATCGGATTGGTTCAACGCCGGTTACCACCGACATCGTCTACTAGCTTTCTCCTCCCTTCCGTAATCAGCAGAGTTTTCCATTTCCTCGTCATAGTACCTCCCTCCAGTCTGGGGTCCAAGACTTTTCGTTCTCCCGTGGTCACTAAAAGCGCGGGGAGCCGACAGAAGCGAGAGACCCCTGTTCGCTTAGATGGTATCCCTGAAAACTTTACACAATTTACAGGGTTTCGCCACTGCTTATAGTGCGCTAGCCGACAATAAACCGTGTGTTGATTTGCAGATGCGAAAATTGCCGGAGTATTTTTTTTAAGTGCGCGTCAAGTGGTTTAAGCGAGCCATGCCGCCACTGAACCGTCCAATCAAAAGCTCGCTGGGATAGCTTAATCTGCACATCAGGGTGGTTTTTCAAAACTTTTTTCAAAAATACAGAACGTGCATTAAATTTAATAATAACATTGTCTCTAAAATCTATTAAATTTGTTTCTCTTATTTTACTGTACGCTGATTTATCTCGGTGTATCGATTTTTTCGGATGCCCGAGAAGCGTCGCAACAGGAAGACGCTGCCCTGGGGACGTTTTACGAGCACTAGACGTCGAAAAACAGTGCCAACTGCAGCAAATTGTTGTGGTAACGTGCACAGTTCTGTTTTCACAGCCTTTATTACACATTTTGTCAACACTCTTGCCTTTTTGTATACGCAGCCAGCCATGGATGCGGTTTTTCCTACCCCACATGCGCAATTTTTCATTGGCATGTCCCAATTAGAGGCGAAGTTATTTTTAGAAAATCCGATGTTGCGCGCATCTAGAGCCGCGATAGCACACTATATATGGATGAGCGACGCTCCCTGCTTCCGCACCCTTGGTCCTTTGTTTCTCTGCCTTCATATCCTACGTGGGGTTTCTTTCCTTTCTACTTCGTGCTGTCCACACGTCGATTCCCCTATTGAGGCTGCAAATTTTGCATCTGTTCTTGCTATTTAATTCATATCTAGCTGCTGCTTGGTGTTGACGGCATCTCAGCTGTTTTTCTATCCGTCTCGCTCTCTTGTGCTCGTGTTTTCTCGCGATTTCCAGTCGACGCGTCTCATTCTTATAGACGTACCGTTCCTTTGTAAAGACAATTGCACAGACGGACCTTTTTTCCTGTGGAAACTGTCGTATTCCTCGTAAACCGTCTTTTTTCATTTACATATCAAAGAACCGGTTCATTCCTTATTTCTCGCGCTACAGCAAAGTTTAACGAGAAAAACACGTACGGTTCATTTCTCATCATTCAATTGCATCAGCTACAACGCTCAATTGTCTGTTAATATCGTTCTTTTGACGGTATCCCCTTCATTTGCGCATTTCTTCGAATAAGCTTTTTCGCTATGTTTCGCGTTCTTTTTGCTCTCCTGCTTGCTACGGCTTCGCACGCATTAACTATCGGCCGTCGTGGCTTCGACTACTCCTCTGACAAGGTTCGTGGAGTCAATCTTGGCGGCTGGCTTGTCCTCGAATCCTGGATCACACCTTCGCTCTTTTCGGACACTTCTGTTTCAGATGAATGGTCATTGTGTGAGACTTTGGGTCAAACTGCAGCTGCTGAGCGTTTGACCAACCACTACAACACTTTTATCAACGAGTCTGACTTTTCCAAAATCGCGGGATATGGTTTTAACGCCGTTCGCATTCCCATCGGCTACTGGGCTTTTAACGTGTCGGATGGAGAACCGTTTGTACAAGGACAAGAGGCTTATTTAGACTCGGCTATCTCGTGGGCCAACAATGCTGGATTGAAGGTTTGGATTGATCTCCATGGTGCTCCTGGAAGTCAAAACGGTTTTGACAATTCTGGAAAGAAGGGTGACATTGGTTTCCAAAAGGGCAACACCGTTGACCGCACAGTGGAAATCCTCGAATACATCATCAAAAAGTACACGGGTTCGGACTATGTGGATACTGTGATTGGTATCGAGACTCTTAACGAGCCTTTGGCTTCTGACCTTGATCTTGATGGTTTGAAGGAGTTTAACGCTGCTGTTTACTCCAAACTTTACTCAACTTATTCCAACGTGGCCACCGTCTTTCACGATGGCTATATTAGCATGTCTAATTGGAACGACGGTATGGTGGATCCCTCTTCTTCGGGTATTGTGATGGATACCCATCAGTACTTTGTTTTCTCCAGCAATGATTGCAACGAGACATTTGAAAACGAGTTGAGCAGTGTTTGCACAGCTGGAAATGAGATTGCTAGCTCACCCTTCAAAGTCGTTGTTGGCGAATGGTCTGCCGCAATTAACTTTTGCACTTCTTGGCTTACAAACATGTGCACCGGTAGCGGTTATGATAATGTCACTGAGGACAGCACTTACATTACCAAGTGTCAAAATGACATTGCCAGTTGGTCTGGTCAATTCAAGAGCATGCTTCGTCGATTTGTTGAGGTTCAGATGGATGAATATGAACGTGGTGCCGGTTGGATCTTTTGGACATACAAAACCGAGTCGCCTAGCCCACTTTGGGATGTTCGTTTGCTTATTGACTACGGCGTCTTCCCTCAACCTTTGTCGGACCGCCGCTTCAGCTCGGTTTGCTAAGCTATGCTCTACTGTTCATTTATTGGAGAGTCACTTCAAGTGACTGTTCGCCCATTGTTATCTATCCTCTATATTCGTTTTTCATGTTTTCATTTCGTTACCTAAATACTGTTTTCAGAGACTGGCTCTGTTTCTTCGGACTGAAGAGGTTTTCCTGGTATCGCTGGTTCCCCTCCTTTCCGTTCGCATATGTGCTCTGCATTATACTTGCATTCCGTCTGGCTACGTGAATGCACTCCACTTTATTACCTTTTTCCTCTTTCCAATACTGTTCTCTTTCCGATTTCATTGCATGTTTACAGACTTGAATGGACCTTCCCGAGTGCTGGTGTGCATTGTGAACCAGCTATTTGTTTTTTTTTTCTTTTGTACTTATTGTCGTAGATAGTTTTTTCCTTATAAATGTAAATTGAGTATACTGAAAGTGTTGATGGAAGTGGAATGGGTACATTTATATTTCCAAGTGGTTTTAAGGTATTGGAAGCCTCATGTTTACGGTTGGGAATTTCAAAACTATCTGTTTAACAATAGGCAGGAAAAAAGAAAAGAAAGATATTTAATCAAACAATGACCAGCAAGTATTAGAGTATTCGTTTCATTTCGAACAACAGCATCCCCGGTAGACTCACTCACGTCTTTAATTTTCATCACTTCATGGTGTACTATTGAATATGGTAGGAACAGTTTCTTCCTTAACCAAAGTTTCAAGTTCGTGGCTTTTTAGGCAAAAGACCCTATTTCCCGGGAACGTTTGTTTCACTTTACGGTTCTTTGCAATGTTTCGGCGTCCTCCTCGTGATCCTTTAGAGAATTGTCAGTATGTGTATTTGAACGATGGACTTCGTCGCGTTCCTCCATACGAATATGTTTATATCACATTTGCGAAGCTTCGGTGGTACGGAAAAACGCTACTTGAAGTATTTAATTCCGAGTTTCGTGACAGAGAGCCTGGTTATTATGAGAGAGCAATTCGTAATGGACAAGTCAAAGTAAACAACGAGCCTGGGAATGTCGATACTGTCATTCAGAATGGTTATGTTATTTCACACGCTGCACACAGACACGAGCCTCCGGTGACGGACGAACCTGTGCGAATTGTCCATGAAGACGAAGAATACGTTGTCATCGATAAACCAGCCGGCATTCCCGTGCATCCTACCGGTCGTTACAATCACAATACCGTTCTCCATATCCTTATGCATGAAAACAAGTGTCCCTTGCTGTATCCTTGCAACAGACTCGACAGATTGACATCGGGCTTGATGTTCTTTTCTAAAACTCCTAAAGGCGCCGAACGGATGCGGGTGCATATGATCAGCAAGGATTTGCAAAAGGAGTATGTTGCTCGTGTCGTCGGAGAGTTTCCCGCAGAAAAAACTATTACCTGCGATGCGAAGCTTCTTACTGTCGCACCAACACTTGGACTAAATCGAGTCCATCCAGACGGCAAGGATGCCGTCACGATTTTCAAGCGCCTGGCCTTTGATGGGCACACATCACTTGTTCACTGCAAACCACTGACTGGTCGGACCCATCAAATTCGTGTTCATTTGCAGTATCTCGGCTATCCTATAGCCAACGATCCCATCTACGCAAACCTGCGTGTTTGGGGACCGTCGCTTGGTAAAAACGGAGAAGCCAGTACGGAGTCTATCATGATGAAATTAAACGAGATGGGAAAGACTGAGACGGCTTCTCCTCTTTATCAATACGAATGGTACACAAACGAGACTTCTGAAGAGGCAAAGTCTCGTAGGGACAAGCGCATGGGCGAATTGCTGACTGGTGAGCATTGTTCGGTTTGCAAGTCTCCATTGTACAGTGATCCCACGGCTGAAGAACTGATTCTTTGGCTGCATGCTTGGCGTTATACAAGCGATACGTGGTCATACCAAACTTCTTTGCCTTCGTGGGCAAAGGCCGTACTTGATAAGGATCCAGCAGCAACTCCGCTGGAAAGCCTCGAACAAAAAAGCACATAGACATTATTTTTGTAAGCACAAAAAAAAAATAAATTGGTTAGGGGTGAAAGCACTGCGACGAATGCAATAAACCGTAGTACAAGACTCGTTAAGACGTTTTATCTCTAGTGAAGGAGTTTAACTCTTCGTACCTTGAAAATCATCTCCATCTTTTATTCACAAAAAGATCCTCAAGAGACCTCCTTCGTAGCGTGTTGCTCGATGCAAAGTACAAATGCTTGTCGGGTGAAAAAAGCATGGGAGTAAATGGATTGCTGCCGTTTATTAGAAAGTTTGCAGGTCATTCCATCGAGTATTGTGCGCCGAACTCGTTTCATTCAGTTATTCCAAAGGTTGCAATTGATGGAACACTCTTTTTACATAAAGAGTACAGGTCTCCACAGGTATCCAATACGGGGAAGTCAAAGCACCTTTACTGGGCACTCAAATTGGCTCGATATTGTCGCAAAACTCATGTTTCTCCAATAGTCGTGTTTGATAGTGCAAGCAGATCTGTCTTAAAACGAAAGGAGCACGCTCGGAGAAAACAACAAAAGGAGAGGAATGTCTCGCTCTTAAACAAAATTAATGCTAGCATTACGGATCAAAAATCTCTACTTCGTTCTACGGAATACGCCAGTCCTCAGGAAGAGCAGACGAGAATTGCAGATCAACTACTTCCATTAAATTTGGAAGATGAGCTGGAAGGCTCTCAATCCGTGTTGACAAATGCACTAAATCTGCTTGGTGAAACAAAAGACGAAATTACACAAGCGTCGTTTCAGTCATCATCTGCCTTTCTTACGGACACTTTGCAGCGAACAGTTGAATTAAGAGAAAAGGTAGAAAGACGTTTGGCCCGTCCTTCCATCAATGAGGTTAAAGAAACCGCAGCCTTACTCAATTTCCTCAATATTCCTGTGTCATTCTCCCCAGAAAACGTTGAAGGGGAAACGCTTGCAGCTTCCTTGTACCATTCAGGCCTTGCTTCTGCAGTTTGTACACAAGATACGGATGCGTTGTTACTTGGCACCTTAATGATTTACGATTTCTTCAATATTTCAAAAAAGTTTGAGTTAATGCCTGCTCAATTCATTTCTTCTTTACGGGTCCAAAAAAATCTCGGTCTTACATATCCGCAGTTTTTTGACTACTGTTTGTTATGCGGTACTGATTTCTGCGAACGAATAAATCAGATTGGACCAGTCCGTGCATTAAAACTCATTCGTCAATTTGGTAGTCTAGATGCCATATTAAAGTATGCATTGAACGACCCCATACTTTCCAAAATTCTTCCTCAGGATTACAACGAGGACTTGAACATTGCCCGGAGCGTTTTTTCTAATATTCCTAATGACCGGGATTTATTGAGTTTTGCGTCTAAGGCAAATAGTTTCAGCGAAATTTCTGAATCTACCTTCAGGAATATAGAAGAAGGTGCGCTGCGAACCTTTCAGTTACATAAAGACGTTTTAGACATGAATTCCCCCTGGTATAACGACTCTATTCCGCTAGATTTTTTCATCTTGGAAGACTAAGTTTACGCTCTTCTGTACATGTTCCATTGTTGCGGTGTATCTTCGTTTAATTGCAGCCTTCCTACGTAACTATGTATGTGCTTTTTCTCTAAAGAATGAGTCTAGCTGTGCCCTTTGTGATGTTTCTCCGAATTAAAATTTCGGCCTGCAATTTTGTTAGTAAGAAAATCCATAGACGGAATACCTCATGTGTGTTACATACGGCAAAAAATATGACAAATAAAGTCATTAGAGAGATGATGATTAGAGTAATTCTGTTCATTTTTTTGTCCGCGCTTGATTCAGCGAATATTTCAAGCATATCGGAAATGACCTTGCATCGGTTGTTTAGGACCTGTGTCCGGGGTCCAATTTCAAGATACTCACAGAAAGCAGTGTACAAGGGGAGAAGCAGGGGCTCATTGTTCCATAACAAGTCTGGTGTATCGAGTACGTTACTAATCAGATTAACGTCAACACGAAGCTGGAAGAGTTTTCCGCTCATTTTAGCCACCTGTTCTCTTCCCAATCCTAATTCTCCGTAAAGTGCAAGTTTTTTGGGATATACCAGTGCAGAGTTCATGGTCTCATCCATGCGAAATTCGAAGTGTGAAAGTTTCACGGATTGCGCTAGAGCATGAGACATAGCCAGTTTTGTTTTTACATCAGCACTCGGAATGTGAATCATGTCATTGTAAATTCGCGGGCGCTTTGTGTTTGGAGCGTAATGAAAGTGCAAGTCCTCGATCTCGCACTCTTCTTCGGAAAGAGGTTTTGTCATAAGAGAGCAGTTACTTGCAAATGTTAAGTCCGCCAGTACATCTTTTTCTTGACGTTCTGAGAAGTTCCAAAATACAACGACACCGTAGTCAAAAATAAATACTAAATCAGTTTGTTAGCAAAGGAGCTTAGTAATCAACTTTTCAACTTTGACGTACGTTCTGCATGCTTATACATGTGAGAAACGGGATTAGACGGAGACATATAGTAGTATGGCTCCGTGCTATTTGTTAAAGTTTCAGCGCTTGCGTCCAGTTCTGAACTCGTAGCTGTAGTAGTTTGGGTTTTCGACTCTGACGGACCGCTGCGCACACGACAATTATCCGTTATGCCATATTGCAGGGGAAGGTTGTACGAAGCATATAACGCTTCGTCGTATTTCTTAGTCCGTACTTCATGATAATGCTTAAGGAAATGCCGCACCTTGGAGAGATTGAATGCCTCACAGATACAATAAGCCGTTACCCTAGGAAAGCCCAGTTCTTCCCGCTTGTCTCGAGAAAACTTTTCGGCCTGTAAGAGTGTGTAAGCTTCTTTCGACCGTATCAAGTCTTCGTAAACACTTTCGTCTTCATCGAATGATTCAACTTCGTGATCCTCTGGAAGCAAAACCAGTTTTTGAGATGTTTTCGTTGTACGTTGCGGAATGTGGGAAGCTGCAGCGTTTCTGTTTCTGAGCAAAAAGCCCAATGGATGGTCTAACTTTTGAGCATTTCGTCTCCGTTGAAATAAGTTGTGAACCTTGGGGGGTTTCTGCCGATTTCTTGTTGAACCATCAATAATGTTTGAAGAAGGAAAATGAGGTTGAGAACTACTAGTTGATGTACTTGGCTCAATTCTTACGGGACTTGTCAATCGGGTGTTGATAGCATGTTTAGGTGGAAGTGGCCGTTTTCGTTGATCCGACATGTATAGGAAAGCGATGCTATGAACAGATTAGTCTCGGGGTTGTTTATTTCCACAGTAAACTCAAAAAGAACAAAATTAAGTAAAATAACCTTAGAGATTCAATTTTCCAAGGCCTCAAACAAAACACAAACTAAAAAATTACAAGACACACTGATATTTAAACGAATTGCTAGTAAAAACAACGCAGTTTCTGAGTGTCTGAGGTTATGGGAGAAGCTATAAGCATGTTGGTCGATCATTGGAGGCAGTCTCGGGATGGTGTAGAGAATATAAGTTCGTTTTTCACTGTTTAAAACAAAAACTTCGTAAGTTTTAGTTCGTAAATAGGCAAGAAAGCCCAGTACCTCTACACGATGCTGCTTTTTAGCATTTTATATGGGACAATGGTTGAATTCTTGCAACTTTCCAAATGATCGGCACATTACGTAACACGTGAAACCTTATTTGTCGCACGTGAAGGGATCGACACGCTAGAAGCTGTGCCGATTCCTTATGAAGGCTTCAGCGCTAAGCACTGTTTACCTGCTGCTTAAGACATAGCAGACTGTGACAAAAGGACACCATTCGGAACGCGGTTTGTTTGTATTTTAACTGTGTTTTCTTCGTTTTCTTTGTTCTGTTTCGTTCTTGGTTTTCTAATATTTACTCTAAAACAGTTTCTGTTTGTTCGTCTATTTTAGCACATATAGCATTACGTGAGTGTGTACTGCTACTAAATACAACCGAAAATCTGTTTATCCACACATTCTTCGCATTTAACACTTTCCGCGGTTCCTTTCTTTTTTCACTTCTTTCTTCGTTCTGGTTAACGAATTCAAAACTGGTTTAATTGCCATTATACGACTCATTTTTCATAAACGAATTGCTCTCACGTAATTTAGGATGGAAAGAGCAGAAAATGCACGTATTATCCAGAAGCCTATGACCCGACGTACGGTCGACTATGGTTCTGGTGTGTCAAAATATGTTACGGACAGACTAGTTCGGTGTAATCCCTATCACATTGTTCGCCCCCGTCCAAACGCGAACCAGATTATCAATCTGTATCCTCCATACGAGTATCCCTTTGACAGTGCTGCAACTTTCTGTACAAAATACATCCATACGTCTGCAAACAAAGCGAGACATGTCATTAACGTCGTCCGCTGGACTCCAGATGGTCGTCGTTTGCTTACGGGATCGTCCACAGGTGAGTTTACTTTGTGGAACGGTCTTACATTTAACTTCGAGTTAATTAACCAAAGTCATGACTATGCCGTTCGCTGCGCAGAATGGAGCAATGATGGACGCTGGCTTCTTTCTGGTGACGGAGGCGGAATGGTCAAGTACTTTGAGCCAAATCTCAATAACGTAAAAATTGTTCAGGCACACGAAATGGAAGTCCGTGACCTGGCCTTCTCACCCAACGATAGTAAATTCGTTACCGCGAGTGATGATGGCAGTCTTAAGGTATGGAACTTCCACACCAGTGCGGAAGAACAAAAGCTTACCGGGCACGGCTGGGATGTGAAAACGGTAGACTGGCATCCATCAAAAGGCCTGCTCGTTTCTGGTTCCAAAGACAATCTTGTCAAGTTTTGGGACCCGAGAACGGGCACGTGTCTTGCTACCCTTCATGGACATAAAAATACAATTATGCAAGCTTCCTTTCAACGCGATACTCGAAACAATCTTATTGCGACTGTTTCCCGCGATTCTACTTGCAGAATTTTTGACCTTCGCACGATGAAAAGTATTCGTGTACTGAGAGGTCACGATAAAGATATTAACTGTTTGGCTTGGCATCCGACAAACCCGAATATCGTAACTACAGGTGGTTCTGATGGCAGCGTAAATCACTACTCTCTCGATGAACCTCCTTTGCTTTCTCAAAAATGGTACCATGACCGTCATCCTCAGGTTACGCTTTCCGCTTCAACTACACTTCTATATCCGTCAGCCAGTATTCCCCATGCGCATGAACTTGGTTTATGGAGCATGCAATATCATCCTTTGGGGCACATTTTGTGTACCGGTTCCAACGACAAAACTACCCGTTTCTGGTCTCGCTCCCGCCCAGAGGATGAAGAGTCGTACTTGGATCGGCATCATCTCGGCGAAGAACAGTCAGAGGTTGTTTTGGGTAAACGGAAACAGCCTTCCAACAACGAAGAAGAAGACCAGGAGTCAATGGATGGACGTTCGCGTGCTGTGTCTCCTGCTGTATCGGCTATGGGTGCCCAACCCGCAGGGTTGCCACAGCTTCCTGGTTTAGGACAGATGGGAACACAGCAAGGTCCCACAGAGTCTAACGTTTACGATTACTCCAATGGCCATTCCTCTTCACAAGCACAATACCTTCCCGGCTTGGGTTTTCACAACCGTCATCGTGGTGAGCGATAGGTAAATAATCTCGTGCCTGTCAATTTTCATATCCTTGTTTAAAACTTTCGTGTACAGGATGCAGAAGACACACGTTTTTAGGAACAGTTTTTGTCTTCAATCCCGTATCTTCTTCGTGTACTGCTCATAATTCATTCTCGACATTCCCTTGTTTTTCCAATCTCTTTTTTCACTCCCTTTAAAAAAAATATAGATTTTTCATACGGTTTTTCAGTTAATGCTTATGAACTGTGTACTAAACCCATCTATGATAATTGCCTACCTACCTGATGCTTTCTGCCGCAAGGTCTATATATGTTTCATAAATGGTGTTAAACTGCTGCATGTTAGTCTCCTAGCCCGGGTTTCCACTAGACAGCCTAGTACCCAGGCATAACCAAAAAAAACAGAAGAGACATAATTTAGCAGCAAGCACCGGTCAAATTTGGAACATATTTTACGGATAAGGTTTTATTCTGGTTTGCTGCAACTCTTCTGGCACGATGTCTAAGAAGAAGTCAAAAGACTCTAATTCAAAGAAAAACCGTCCCAATTCCTCCAAAGGTGAATCAAAAGGCTCCTTGGCACGGAGAATATTTAAAAGGGGATCAAAGTCGAAGCGTAAATCTTCTGAAAGCAAAAAACACAAGCGAACCGTATACGATGACTTGTCTGGTGAAAACAATTTTTCAGTTTTAGATAACCAGGACCCCGATGTTATTGAAAAATCAGAAACTGAACCCGAGTCATCAAACGTATCTTCGTCAACTGAAACAGCCGTTTCTTCTGATGTTTCATTTGCAGAACCGCGAGCTCAAACTCATGGAAAAGTCGACCCTCTGGATGTTTTGGATAAACCCGATTTGCCTGATGAAGCTATAAAACGAGGCGAACCATCAATTCTTCTGGGAGTTCCCAAAGTGAAAAAAAGAAAATCGATTGGAGATGCATCTGTGGAGGGAAACGCGGACTTCATTAAGTTTGACTTTAGTACCGACGACGAAGAAGAGGACAAAGAAGACGAAACATCCCGTCGAGAAGAAAAGAAGTCCGCAATCCCTGCGTTCATGCAAAAAATGGGTCGGTTTTTCCGCGATAAAGTGTCAAATAGAAAACGCAAACGCAATGCAATGGACATTGAACCCATTTGCGCTTGGCACAAACCATACCCTGAAGAGCCCGAGGTTGCTCGGCTGTTGCATCAAGATATTTTGAATTTCATCAACTACCTTGAGCCGACGCCTCAAGAACATGCTGTTCGAAAGTCATTAATCACTAAACTGGATCGCGCCATTCGTGCTAAATGGCCCGAGGTTACGGTTTATGTCTTTGGAAGTTTTGAAACTAGACTGTATTTGCCTACCTCAGATATTGATATGGTTGTTATGTCGTCTGATACTGTACATCGTGGAACCAAGAAACATATGTATTCTCTTGCCCGTCATTTGAAAAATTGCAAACTTGCAACTGAGATTCAAGTCATCACTACCGCAAATGTTCCTATTATCAAATTTGTGGATCCCTTTACGAGAATACACGTTGACGTCTCGTTCAATCAACCCGGTGGACTCAAAACTTGTCTTGTGGTGAACGGTTTCCTTAAGAAGTTCCCTGCTGTACGGCCATTAACGATGCTCGTCAAGCATTTTCTGAATATGCGTGCTCTTAACGAGGTTTTTCTTGGCGGTCTGAGTAGTTATGCAATTGTTTGTCTTGTCGTCTCCTTTTTACAAATGCATCCTCGTCTCAGCACAAGCTCTGTACGCCAAGAAGATAATTTGGGTGTATTGTTTCTTGAGTTTTTGGAACTTTATGGAAAGAGATATAATTACGATGCAGTTGGTATTGCTGTTCATAACGGTGGTTTTTATTTCTCCAAAAAGAAAATGGGTTGGGTTAAACCGAGTCAACCATATTTGCTTTCGATACAAGATCCGGTTGACTACGACAATGACATATCAAAGTCTAGTCGTGGTATACTTCGTGTTAAGGCAACCTTGGGTAACAGTTTTGACCTGTTAACGAGCGAGCTGTATTCTTTGGCTGCTCGTATAGAGCGCGAAGGCTTACATATATTGAAGGATGAAAAAAGCTTATTGAGCTGTATTATTGGTATTGATGATAATATTACTAAGCATCGTGAGCATATTCAGCAATGCTATGCCTGTGACCCGGTACCGCTTGAACCATTAACGAGCATCCAGAATTTGACAAGCATTGATGTTGATGCCGTTCAGCTTCCAGCAATGGAACTTGAATTTGTCGAGGGTGAGTCGGAATCCGACGATGTTGCAGAAGTTGCAGCTCCATCAAAGATTGCTAATCGTATGATTCACTCAATCGAAAACGAAAAAAATGAATCTGCTTATTCATCTCAAGAATTCTTCAGCATGAATGAAGCCAGTTTTGATGACGGTAATTCTCCAGAGAATGCCGTCCTTGTTGATGATGAGGAGGAGGAAGAGTCCCGGGCGTCTTCTTTAGGAAAGCGTCGGCGGACGGATTAAACACAAAGACAATAGGTTATATAATATGTTTGGGTTATTTTTTTGAATTCATTTTCGGCGTTGAAACTAATGCGGCTTCTTACAAATTTTTGCCAATGTCGTGTGCATGGTTCACTTTTTTGCTGTGTAATATAGATGAAATACATTCTTTTCTTTTTCTTAGAAGGTTGGGTTATTCATTTACTAAAATTATTACGAAATTATACACAGGTCTGTATACATAAAGCAGTTAGTCATCATGTTAGAAAGAACATTATAAAACAAGAGAACAACAGAAGCACGAGCGGTAGATGGATTATTCTAAACCACACTTTCTTTCTTGCGTACATTCAAGAAGGGAAGGATATCATGGTAAGTAAGGATACCGTAAATCAAGATAGTGAAACCAATGAGTTGGAGAAGATGGAAACTCTCCATTCCCATAATCAAAGCTATGATCCAAATGCCAAATGTTCTTGCGATATCCAGCAGCGAACGCGTCGTTGCTGAGAAAAGTTTAGTGATAGCTAAACCAGAGCATTAAAGAAACTAGGAAATGTTAGCATTGAGATACTTTCGTTAGAAATAGTAAACCATACGCAATGGAAATAAGAATAACACCGGAAATAACATAGAGCATTGGCTCTTCGTTGAATCTGTGGAATACATGGGTAAAGTCAAACCAACCGTTTTTGCCTTCAGGAGTTCTACCAACAAAGATATAAGAAACAACCATAATGATCAACACAAAGATGACGCCGAATGTGCCTTCATAGGCCACAACCTCATTTGGTTCGATGTCGATGGAAGACAAGAGGTACTCCTCAACAGTGAACTGAGTAGCTAAAAACATTTGGCCGACCAAAATGGCAACAAGCCCGAGTGTAGGATCAACACCGGCATTTACTGAGGAGCCAGAATAGCCTACAATTGCGACACCCAAGACAACAAATGCCAAACAAAGCCACCGTTGAAGGGTGAGACGCTTTTGCAAGAACAGCATGGAGAACAACGCAACAAAAATAATTAGAGATCCCCTGGTCATTTGATAAACGCTAGCACTAGTGAAAAGGAGTCCAACGTTCATAAGGGTAGAACCACAAATGTCCATAAAGGCTGGAATGGCCATTGACATCTTCTGGCCTGTAGTCAAAGGTTTTACAGGAGCGTAACCAAAACGGTTCTTCCAGCGATTCCAAATAACATAGAACCAGAGACAGGCTTCACCCATAAAGATATTTAAGCTTTGGAATATAGCTACACTTTTAACAGGTCCATTTTCTTCTGCTAACAAGTCTTGGTATCTTTAGAAACATTAGTACAAATTGATTAATCATTGGTGTATTACTTTGAAAGAACAGTGTTAGCTACGCCAGAGGCGAGCATAACAATGGGCAATGTTACTTTGGAAGTCATTAAAGTGTATGGATGCCACTGTGTGGTGAAGGAGGGATACAGGCAGTAAAGCCTCTTGATATAGGCCTTGTCAAAACGATAAAGATAAGCAAACAAAAAACAGTCAATCACTCATGCGGGAGGGTCTGTAAAAAGGGCGAACACAAATTTTATTATATGGACAAGTTGAAGCAAGAAAATGAAGGACCGTACTTATAATGAATGTGCAAATAATTCTCAGATAGTAAACGATCAGTAGACTATTTATATAATTGTATCTCACACAACGAAATAAGAAGGGGGAGGATATTCTTTTTTTTTTAAGCTGTCCGTAATACATGTGTTCGGAAAGGTGTGAATGCCACTTTTGTAAGATGACTTTCCGAATGATTGTGGAAGAACAAGCGCAATTAAATACGTAGTTAGAACCCATAGCTTCTATATATTACCTTTGTACCAAGAGATTTCCGATTCGTTTTGAGCATCCTTACAAGAGAGTACTGATTACCTTTTGTGAAGCAAAGTTCCAGACAGCAACACTCACATAACCTAGAGAATATTAGCGAATTATATCCAAAAAAGACGTAAAATCGACTAACGTACCAGTTTTCGCTTTAGGCAAGGCTAGGAACCACAAAGCCCAAGTAGGCAACATGCCTTCAGGAACAGCAAACACAGGATTGCCAGAATTCTTGAATTGAACGATGAAGCGGTATCCCCGAGTCACAATCCAGAATGTTAAGCTGATAAGTTTCTTTACACCTTCGGACTTTTGGCTGACGATCTTTGATTGCTTCTCCCATTTCACGTTCAGTTGATCAAACTTTCGATTTAAACGAGCCCACTTCGCAAATTCATCTTGAGCACTGACATTATTAAGATCCCTCTTCGTAGATAATAACTGCAAACGAAGATCATTATAGCTTTTGAATTCAGGACTGCCGCTGAATCTTGCATATACACGGAAACCCTTGTTAAATGTTAGTATTCGATTCGACCGAAGAATTTACTATTTGAACGCCTCAGCTTCCTTTCTGACGACGCTCAACATCTTCATATAGCTGATCTTGTTATTCGTACCTGGTTAACCAAAAAGGTTTTCACATATTTGTCAAACAAGTGAATAAACAAGTTAAGACAAAACAAAAACAAAAGAAAATCCATTTTGGATATGAGACGTTGAAACTAGGTAGTAGATTATCAAAGTTCCAACTCAAATTGCAGAAAAGGGGAGCGGTTTAGGGATACGGCAGAAGTTGAACAGGGGACCAGGTTAGAAAGTTGGTGCATAGAAACACAGAACAGAACTACAAGGAAGATACTAATAAAAGGAGAAAGATTACGAGATGAATGCGAACGAATGTTCAAGAACTGTTACACAAGTGAAACCCGGACCTCTTACGTTTATTTACTAAAAGTTCACTCTCATGCACAAACAATTTTTGAAAGTAACCTGTCATTAACGAATTTATTTTAATGAATGGACATACAACAGGCTGCTTCTAAGTAATTCACGACAGTTGACGGAGAAGGACATAACACACTACTTTTTTGGGGAAGACATAATGGGATCCTGTAGCAATTACTGAAATATACACGTGGACAACTCATCATTATCATAATAACTGGAGGCAAAAATGATCAAAGAGTAAAGAATTTCTAAGGGCTCTTATGCTTGCGCATAATTTCAGAAATGTTCATATGCTTGTCGCCGTATGGACGAGGCCCAAGAATCTTTTCGACTTCGGTATAAGTTATAACCTCCTTTTGCTTGAGACGTGCAGCAATTTTTTCCAAACCCGTGCGATGCTCTTCAAGCAATTTGCGTGTTCTTTCATGTGCACTCTTTACTAAACTTCTCACTTCCTCGTCAATTAATCGTGCCGTCTCTTCAGAGTACGGTTTCTGAAAAGTCTCCCGACTTTCCACCGGATAATATATTGTACCAATGTTTTGAGACATGCCGTAAGCAGTAACATAGGCAGTTGCCATTTGTGTCACTTTTTGAAAGTCATCCGCTCCGCCAGATGTGATTTTGTCCCGGCCAAAAAAGATTTCTTCTGAAACCCGACCAGCCAGGGCCATACTGATACGGTCGAAAACCTGAGCACGGCTCATCAAGTATTGGTCTTTTGGAAGATAACTCGCATAACCGAGTGCCTGAGCTCGTGGAATAATCGAAACCTTAAGTAAGGGATCAACATGCTCCATAAACCATCCGGCAACTGCGTGTCCAGCTTCGTGGTGTGCGACAACATTCTTTTCATCTGGGCTCAGTACACGACTCTTTTTTTCCAAACCAGCAGTGACGCGCTCAATAGCCTGCTCAAAATGTTCCAAAGTGACAGCAGCAGCACTTTGACGGGCAGCGATAAGGGCACCCTCGTTACAAACATTGGAAATATCAGCACCGGTGAAGCCTGAAGTCAAGATCGACAGGCTTTTGGCCAAGTCTTGTTTGTTGCTGGCCGTGACAATATCACGCAAATGAACATTAAAAATTTGCTCACGTCCGTGGATATCAGGACGGTCGATGATAATTTGGCGATCGAAACGGCCTGGACGTAAAAGCGCAGGGTCCAAAACGTCCGCACGGTTTGTTCCTGCAAAGACAACGACATGCTCACTAGGATTGAATCCATCCATCTCAACCAAGAGTTGATTAAGTGTACTTTCACGTTCATCATTTCCACCAAATTGATTATTGCGACCTCTAGCCTTACCAATAGCATCAATTTCGTCGATAAATATGATGCATGGAGTATTACGACGAGCAACGGCGAAAAGATCACGGACACGGGACGGGCCAACACCCACAAACATTTCCAAGAATTCAGATCCTGAAACACTAAAGAACGGAACACTTGCTTCACCAGCCGTAGCCTTCGCCAACAATGTTTTACCGGTACCAGGTGGACCAGAAAGAATAGCGCCGCGAGGAATTTTGGCTCCAAGACGTTCATAGAATGCTGGATTCTTCAAAAACTTGACAAACTCCATAATCTCTTCTTTGGCTTCATCAACACCAGCGACGTCAGCGAAACGAACCTTGATATCAGTTTCATGACTGAACATCTTGGCACGACTCTTTCCTATACCGAAGATTCCGCCTTGTGTACTACCGGCTGCACTACTTGCTCGCCGCGACAACCAAATGACACTTCCAATGAGAAGCAGGGTTGGGGCAAAAGACAACAGCGTAGCGAGTAGCGATATTTCATCATGGTAAGCCACAGGGACATAATCGTCAGGTGAAAAGCCAAGCTCCTTTTGTGCTTCGTCGAGTTTCCTTTCAAATGCATCGACAGAGCCGATAGAGAATACATAGTGTCCTCGAGTACCTCCTGCACCAGACCGTAGTACGACACGGACGCGGTTGCGATTAATGACGACAAGTTTCTCAACAAGCTTTTTCTCAAGGAATGATTGTCGGAACTCCTGCCAAGTAATTTCCTGAACATTGGCGTTTGGCGATAAGAGGTTATACAAGATGTAAAAAACAATCATAGAGCCGATCAACGAGTTTCCATTGAGAGCAATTTCGTAAGTTTTTCTTGGATCATCCTTGTTGGGATCATTAGGATCCGTACTGTCCGAATTATTGCCTTTCTTATTCGGTTCGGGACCAGACTGTGTACCTCGATTGGGCTGAATAGGTTGGTTATGCAGGAATGAACTATGTGAGAATAATCGTTTAGCAGCAGAAAACTGGGATAGTGAGGGAATCGCTTTAGCAGCAATCAAATTTGAAGGGGCATGAAGAGCGGAAGAACGATAATTCATAGCATAAGGAAACCTGGTATGTAAAGCGGTGGAAGAGGAAAATGACCGTAGTTCAGAAACACATTTGTTAAAACGAACGTGAGCGGAACGAGACCGGGAGAGCCTTACGAACAGAAACATTGATAAGGTCTAGCAGTGAAGGTAATTCGGGCTAAAATAATAAGTTTTAAGATTTGTTAAAGGGTTTTGTCTACCGCGGAAAATTGAGAAGTGAATTAACGTCCCAAAGGTCAAATTAACAGATATACAGTTGAAAGGCGGAGATGTTTAAACGAAATTAAAGAATTCTCAGCAGCTTAAACCCGTTGATTTCACAGATTGTTGATTTTAGTACCAACAGGAAAAGCATTTAGTTACAAAACAGATTCGCTTCCAAAAACAAGAACTGCAACAGCGAGAAAGCGTCACGAAGAAGTACAGACGAAGGCAAAGGTATCCTCTTATGTTTAATTGTCAGTAATTCTATATTGAGCAATTTAGTAAATGGGTGGTGGTGCTTTATGAAAACAAGACCAAGCAACAAAAATGCAGAGAACGGGAATAATCTCAGAAAGATGATTCACTAGTGAGAAACACGAAAGAGAGTTGGATCAAAACGGAAAGAAGCTTCGAAAATAATTGAGTAATTTTCATTCTTTAGCGTATTAAAAAAGGTTTTCGTTCATAATGTGCAAGAATTCAAAGATACACATGATTGTAGAAACGCATGGTGCAGCAAGAACAGAAATTCCTTGATATTTTTGTTGTCTGTAGTTAAGAGATACAAATTACTAAGAGTTTTTCGTTTCACAATGAAAAAATGATTGCGAAAAAACAGACATAGTGAACATAAAGGGTAATAAAGAGACATAAATTTTTTCCAAGCAAATGTAGGACATAAAAACGGGGCTGAAAGAGAAAATGAAAAAGAAATTCAAGGTTGGTTCATATAAGCCGTTCAAAATTTGACTAAGGTCTTTTAAAAATATGCCTTGCTTACGCATTTATATCAGACACACCGAATAACGAGTCCAAGAAGGGAACACGGGGAACGATATCATACATAATGGCCCATTCTGTCAAAGCCGCAAGGAAACCAGTCAATTTTTCAAGAAAAGTATGATAATGAATTGCAGTCATGAAAAGCATCCACCACCAAAATGCCAATAAACCAACAAGAGTACTACTGCTCTTGGTCTTAAATGGCGCTTTGGAGAGTGTGGACCAAAACTCGGAAATTAAAAAGAGACTTGCATGGGTCAAAAGAAAGACATGACCAGACAAGTCATGACCTCCATGCCACAAACCGTTAGCAGAGCGACATAATGCCGATGTGCGGGGAGAGATAGACAATACAGTAATATCGTAACCTTTGCAGGATCCGCCAGTCCAAGCAAACGCTCTGTCCGTGATGGCAGGTCCAAGAAACCATTGAGTTATGAAGAACCACCACATTGTTGCTGCTCCATAACGAAGAAGAACACGCATGTCATAGCGATCCTTATAACTAACAATAGCATGAACGAAGTAGACAACCGTCGTCCAAAACCAACCTTTTTTGACGAAAAAAACATTCAAAAAGTTTTTCGAGCTTCCGAAATAATTGCCCAATGTAGAATTAACAAATACGTTGTATAATCCACCAAGAAGCAGTGTGGCTGCGTAGAATCCAGCAAGGATTATATTCCTTTTCCTAAGGCAACAATGACGTTCCTGTAATTGAGTAGTAGAACTTTGTTTTTCCATTTGGACAGAAGAAGTGGATGAAGTAGAAAGAAATTGATAGAAGGGAATTAATAATGAGTTAATAGATGTGTTTTGTATATAGTAATGTATGTTTTTAAAGAGTTTAGAGGTGATTGACACGAATGGAATTATAGTTGTGGAGGAGGGGGGAGGTCTGACCGAAAGAAGGAGGGTTACTATAACGAATGGTAGTAAGCTTTGCAGGCACAGGACTTGACGAAAGTGCTGAAGACAATCATGGAACCCCTACTACTCTTGCTATTATTTCCTTCCGTGACGCCCCCCTATTCATCCAAGAAAGAGTAATATTTATCATTAATTATAAACTTCTTCTATAAACAAAGACATGTCAACGTTGCAAGCGGCAGAACCCTTAATCCAGGGATGCAACATCATTTTATGCGGGCCAGGACGCTTGGTTTTGTCCTTGATTAAACTGTATTGGTTAGCAAATGCGGCAAGAAGAGATTGTTTAAGTAACTCCATACCAAACTTGCAAAAAGTGTCGAAATGCTTGGCTCCACTGAATGCCAGCTTCTTCAGGGAGCGTCGGGGGAGGCATGTTGATGATATAGGAAAGGAGTTCAATAGGCATTAGCGGAGGTTCGCCTTCTGGAGGAAAGGGAAACCGATTAGAAGCTACTTCAAGAAGTGTCAGTCCTAGCGACCAAATATCAGAGGAGATGGTGTACGATTCGCCAGAGATGCGTTCAGGCTGTAATGAAGTGTTAGTACGATGTAAGCAAGTGTGCGTTTCGTGCATCTACATACCGCCATATAGTAAGACGTTCCCGTAAACGTACCGGCCAAAGAGTCGACAAGCTCACCGGAAACGCCGAAATCGCAGAGCTTCACATGGCCATCGGAAGTTAAGAGGATGTTAGAGGGTTTGATGTCTGCTTCGTGTGAGCAATTGGTTTGCCAACAAAGACTTTATCAGTGAGTGGGACGTACCTCGGTGCACAATCTTTTGTTCGTGTAAATAACAGAGCCCATTCATAACACCGACAGCGATCTTTCCCAAGGGCCGTTCACCCGTACGGCCACCGCGTGAACGAATGCGTTTGTAGATAGCGTCCAGGGAGCCAGCTCCACAGTACTCCATTACAAAGTTTACTTGCCCCGAAGAGTCATCAAGGAAGGCACCGTAGTACCTAGCGATAAATTCAGAGTTGCAGCTCCGATTAATCCGCAACTCCCGTAGCAGTTGTTTCTGAACCTGCTGATTTGAGGCAACAGGAATGGTCTAGAGGAGAGTTAGCAAAGGAGAGAGAGAGAGAGAGAGAGAGGGAGGAGGGTGAGAACAGAGGGCGGATAGAAGGACCAATGCCAATGAAGATGTCCGTCAGCGTCCGCTGATGTCCTTTGGAAGCCCTGCAATGCCCTCTAGTTACCCATGGTGTGCCCTCCTTTATACCATACCTTTAATGCAAACACAAGATTCGAATTACGAAGCTTACACCGTCGAACAAACCCTCCGGCGCCTTCTCCAAGCTTGTTTAAGTGTAGGATTCCACCCTGTCGCTGTATATTCTGCCAATCGGTGTCGTCCAACCCTTCCAATGACTCCGGCGGGACAAACTGTTCTACATATGTATTCTCCTTCCGCGAGTAAGGATCCCGAGAATTCGCAAACAGCGGTTCTGTGACCTCCACGATACCCTCACTCGCAAATGCACTGTGGTTTGTGGTTTGTTCGTATGAAGTTGCACATGAAATGTCTAATTTGAGCTGCTGTCTTGGTAATCTGGGTGAATTAGGAATCTGAAGCATAGGAAGGCCCATTTTAAGGCTTCGTGGAGACGAAGAAGTCATTTCTCATTCGATTGCCTTCGAATTAAGTCGAAAAAAAAGACAGCTAAGATTAAGGGTATGGAAGATGCAAAAGATGGATTCAAAAAGTTGTTTATGGATAAACGAATGATAGCAAATATGAAGTACAAGTGGATAAAACCTCGGAGGAGACGGATGGGGGAAACGGACAAGGCTTCCCACCCCGGGCCACTAAATTAGGGGGGATTAGCTTGGGCCGATCATCTACGTCGAGTGTGGGGGTGTGGGGGTGTGGGGGTAATTGAGAACGCTCGAGCGTGGTCAGTCTCGGTATTTGGTTTAGTGAAGGTTACGTAGCACACTAAACTGAATATGGAGGGTTAACGAAGTGCAACGCAGGATAGTTTCTCCAGAGCAGGAATCTGGTGCTGGCTCATTGTCTGCTGCCTGCTGCTTGTTGCCCGCTCTCCAAATAATAAAAAATGACAAACGAACGGAAAGAGACGTTCGGCTCGTTGGGAATATCGCCTTGGTTAGTGGAGACGCTACAGGCTGTGGCTATTCAAGAGCCGACGCCCATTCAGAAGGGCGTTATAAAAAAAGTTTTGGAAGGTCCGTTACAGACGCGTCAAACACTCCATTCGTACACGATGGACTAACAGTATGTGCAGGTGCTGATTGTATTGGAGGCGCTAAAACCGGTTCTGGTAAAACAATTGCGTTTGCTCTGCCAATTCTCGAGAAATGGGCAAGAGACCCCTTTGGCACATTTGCTGTTATTTTGACACCAACGAGGTATGAGTGTGTGTTTGTTTGGGTCGAGATAAACCATTGTCAAAGAGGGAAGAGAATGAGTAACAGTTCCTGCAATGACTGCTCGATTTTTCCACTCACTTCTCATTTGTACAGCTTTTGCTAACAGCTTTTGTGTTTAGAGAACTTGCAATCCAAATTGACGAACAGTTTGCTGCACTGGGTGCTCCCATGAATTTGAAGCACATTCTCGTAGTCGGTGGAATGGACATGGTAGCTCAAGCAATTGCTCTGTCGAAGCGTCCACACATCGTTGTTGCAACACCTGGCCGCTTGGCCGATCTGATCCGCAGTAACGGGGAGGAGACCTATGCCAGCTTGCATAGAACTCAGTTTGTTGTATTTGATGAGGCAGACCGTCTGCTTTCACCCACGTTTGCCGATGATCTCGACGACTGTTTAGAAGTACTGCCTCCTCCAGAGAAACGACAGACTCTGCTGTTCACGGCTACCATGACAGACGCCATCCGTGCTCTTAAGGACCGTGAGCCGCACCCCGGAAAGCCGCCTTTGTGGCTGTACGAAGTTGACACAGAAGGTGTATCGATTCCTGAGTCTTTGGAACAACACTATTTGCTTGTAGCGTCTCATGTTCGGGATGCTTATCTCGTGCAGTTGCTTTCTAGCCCAGAGAACGAAGACAAGTCTGTCATCGTTTTTGCCAACCGGACATACACAGTAGAGCTGCTGTACCGGATGCTTCGTCTGCTCGACTTTCGTGTAACCTGTCTGCATTCCGAGATGGCTCAACGCGAGCGTGTGAACTCGCTGGGCCGTTTCCGTGCAGAAGCTGCTCGCGTTCTCATTGCCACTGACGTCGCCAGTCGTGGTCTGGATATCCCGTCCGTTAAAATGGTTGTCAACTATGACATTCCCCGTGACCCCGATGACTATGTTCACCGTGTTGGTCGTGCAGCTCGTGTCGGTCGCTTTGGTGAGTCGGTATCGTTTGTTACGGAGCATGATGTTGATTTAATCCACGCAATTGAAGACCGTGTGGGAAAACAAATGACTGCCTATGAGTCATTCTCGGAAAACAAAATGCTCGAAAAGCTCAAACAAATAAACGAGGCTAAACGGAAGGTTTCCCTCGAGCTTGTCGACGAGGATTTCGGAAGCCGTCGCAAAAAACTGAAGGAGAAACGGATGATGATGGCTAGTAAGGTTCAAACGACACGGAAACACAGTGCTCGACACAGTAAGAAGAAGGCATCCGTTAAAACTAAAAAGTCGTTATAAATTGGGTTTGTAAATGCAAAAGTAAGCGGTTATTACAGGGTAAATTCGCATTAATATATGGTCCGTCAATGACTAATATACAGTTTTGTTTTGTATCCTATCGCCCTCATATTCCTGTTTTTGTTCATTCGTATGGTTGCGAAACCTTAATTAATTAAGCTTTTCACGAGCATGCACGTGCAAACTGTAATTGAAACACTACCACCATGGCACTTAAAATACAGTAAAACAGAATGTTGAACATTACGTGAAGCCAAGTAAAGCCAAGCTGTATGGCTCTGCAAAAATGGACGACGGGTTGTCGTCCCTTCTCCGGGATGCTTCGTGATTTAAAACGGAGGCTGCGCTACTACAAATCAGATTGGACAGATGCTTGGGATTATCGTGTCCTTCCAGCAAGTATCAATATTTACTTTGCAAAGTGAGTGTAAACGAATTTCTTATGCCCTTGGTCTAACAAGAATTATTAGTTTGCTACCTGAATTGGCGTTTGCGTTGGACATGTTCAGGAAGACAGATAACAACTTTGGCGTAAATGAAGTTCTGTTGGCAAGCGTCTTGGGTTCTGTCGTCTTTGCTTTGTTTTCTGCTCAACCCTTGTGCATCACAGGTGTCACCGGTCCCATCACCGTTTTCAATTATACCATTTACGAGATAATCCGTGATCGCGATACTCCATACTTCCCGTTTATGTTTTGGATATGTTTCTGGTCTATGATTATGCACATGTTTATTGCCATTACTAATGGCGTCAATTATCTGAAACATATTACAAGCTTCAGTTGTCAGATCTTTGGCTTTTATGTGGCATTTATTTATTTACAGAAAGGTATACAAATACTGATCAGTCAGCAAGACCGGGGACTTACGGATCTGTTTTTATCGGTCGTAGTTGCATTGCTTGTGCTATTTTTTGGTTATGGTTGCAACATACTCGGAAAATCAAATCTCTTTAAGCATCAAATTCGAGTTTTTCTGCTCGATTATGGCTTATTGGCGGTTGTCATTTTCTTCAGTGGATTCCAGCACATGGGCAAGATGAAAGAGGTTCCTTTAGCAAGACTTCCCACATCAAAAGCGTTTGAACCATCGGAACACAGAAGTTGGTTGGTTCATTTCTGGCGTATATCTGTGGGCGATGTTTTCCTCGCAATACCTTTTGCAATTGTACTGACCATTTTATTTTATTTTGATCACAATGTCTCTGTATGTACATATCAGTATTCGAAATCTTAAAATTTGATACTAACACTAGCAGTGTATCATGTCCCAGTCTCCCGAATATCCTGTTAAGAAGCCTTCTGGCTTTCATTGGGACTTTTTCTTGCTGGGTATAACGACGGGCATTAGTGGTCTACTGGGCATTCCTGCACCAAATGGCCTTATTCCTCAGGCTCCAATGCACACGGAATCACTTTGTGTAACACGAGTGCAAACTGAAACAGAAGCTGGGGAGAAGCACAAGCCCATGATTATTATGGACCGTGTGGTTGAACAACGAGCCAGCAACCTTATACAAGGTTTACTTACTTTGGGCACTATGACGGGACCATTTTTGGTCGTTTTACGGCAAATTCCACAGTGTGTCCTAGCTGGTCTTTTTTGGGTTATGGGCTTTTCTGCTATCGAAGGCAATGCGATAACGCGAAATCTCCTATGGGTTTTCGGGGACAAAAGACTCATTCCGGAGGACCATCAGCTTAACGGCTGTGTAAAGCGAAGCAGCCCATATTATTATACGCTATATCAGTTAATTGGATTTGGGTGCATCTTCGCTATTACACAGATTCCCAAAGCATCCATTGGCTTCCCTGTCGTCTTAATGATTTTAATACCTTTTCGAAAGTACTTTATGGAAAAGTGGTTCGTCAAGGAAGATTTGGAATTGCTTGATTCACCAGTCGGCGAAATGATTTACTCTTGATTTATTCAACATTTCATCCACTCTTTCACACCGTCTGCATCATTCTGTTTCTCTTTTGTTTATTTTGGCATTTTTTTTTAACATAAAAAGCATGTGTATATATCCGAAATGTTATAATCTTAAGGCGTTTTTTTTCTCTATAATAGTCATTTTACCAAGAATTCCATCGAATTAGGTATAGTTTGTAACGTGAAATTACATTTCGGACAGCTTTCCTTGGAAGTCCTTCTATAATCGATATTGTTTGCAAAGCATGTCGTCCATTAAAATACTTTGCAATTTGTAAAAATAGAGAAGCAAGGTCTGGTTCTTGTTCGTTTGCGATCGTAATAAGCCATTGCTGCTCAAGTAGTGATGCAGAATGTGGGTCGTTAATGATACTCTCTTGGCCAGAATCGGCATCTAGCTGCTGTAGTAACTGAACATCTGTACCCTTGTCTTCCCGAAGTATTGTACTTGCTTTCTGCTTTATAGATTCTGGAACACGTATATACAGATATGTGTTTTGTTCATATACCCATTTTCGACGATATAACCAGGCCAACATATTAAGATAGATTGACTCGTGATCTTTTGACGGAATAATGGACATAAATGGCCGTGGCTTAAACGATAGTATACCAAGAAACACTGAAAGTGATGGCAAACTTGGAAACACTTTTTGAAACAGTATAGAATCCGATGCCAGTTTGGATAAATCAGCTGTAGGAGATGTTACATATGTACCACGAGGTGTTATGGGAGGGATTGCAATTGCTTGTCGCCAGTGAATCAAGTGCTTCGCAAGCATAAAACACTCTGAAAGAGGAATTGCTAGTGTCCTAGCCAACTTTATAAAACTGCGTAATCAATTAATAAAGATGCCAAATAGATTCTTAAGAAACTTACGTTGTGCTAGGTTTTGCATTTGCGATAAACGAAGCGAGAAGAGAGTTTTTTGAAAGTGGGAGACTCTTCATTAAAACTTCGGGTTCCTGCAAAAGAAGCAGGGACCAATGAGGTGCTAAAAAGGGTTCGATGGGAGAGCTTTCTTCTTCAGAAAATATTGTTTGTGAAGCCAAAATCAGTGACGGTCTGCTTGGAAGCTCTGGATGCTCAATTGTTGCTGTTGAAACTGGTTGGGGCCACAAAAGTGAGAGATCAATGGAGTTGTTGATTAGCAAATGGGCTGTATCCGTTCGTGAAATAGCTTCAAAAGTGCTTGCCAAAGCTGCCGCGAGATTAGAATGATTAGGTATTTGACTTGCGTATGTATTAAAAGGAATGTTTTGGTTAATGCACTTTTCGGTAAGTCGAGTGATTTGTCGACACTCACGAGCCACATAGTTTCGTTTAGCTTGTTCATATTTCAATGCAGTTGAAAGTTTCACTAGAATATGTTCATACATCGTTGTAACCATTGGAAGATATTCAGGTCCAGTAGGAATATTGAGAACAAATACAACGTGAAACATAGAAATTCTGGATTCACGTTTTGATCTCGAGCGTGTCACTTTAGGAGTGCTTGACATGTTTGGTTCCACTTGTTCAGGTCCTGTCGAATTTTTTGATTCCATTGTTGCTTCCGGATTGTGCTTTCTTCTTTTAACCCATTCTCCATCGGCTCCGACATGAATTGGACATCCCAAAAAGGTCAATCCATCAACCCAAAGCTCAAACTTTTGATTACAGAGTTCCTGTTTTGGCGAAAGAAAATTCGCAAGAAACTCTTTCTCATAACCTAAAACATGATAATCATCTGCTTTTGTTGAAATTAAATCTTCATCATTCTCAACATTAAGTAGGTCATCCAAGTTCGTAGTAGTCTGGAAGCTGTAAGGATTTTCGCCAATTTCGAGTTTTGGCTGGACAGGCCAATGAAAGACAAAACTAGAACCAGAACTCGACTTTTCAATCAAGAAAACAGCTATAATCGATGGACACTCTATTGATAATTTCATTTCCGCAGTTAGTTAAGCCATTGAGAGAAAAAGTCAAGTATTTGTTCGATACGCCGCCCGACGATCGTCTACTGTGTGAAGTCGATAAGAAAGTGCTGATAGTCAATGTGTTCTAAATAAAGACTATAACAAAATGAAACACAGCTGTTGCATTAGAAACGTAGTAGAATCGTAATTTGAAGAGTTAATGAAGCATTAATGAATACAGCCGCACAGCAGAAAACATCCATAAAAAAAATTAAACACTAAAGCAAGAAATTAGCTTCACCATGTGTTAAAGAAAACGTTTTTTTCCCTACCTACCTATAACATAAACTAATTCATAGAAACCTGACTTGTTTGTAAAGTTTCGATTACTGAAGGCGAGAGATAATTCTCAATCATAGTACCAAACATAACCAGAGAGGAAGCCTTTTGACGAAGTTGCCAAAATTCAGAGCTTAAATCATGCACATCGGCTACAGTGATGTCCCGAAGTTGTTTAAAGAGAGTAACGAGACAAGACATAGCCATGAGAAGAACGACAGGAAGCACACGAACAATGGGAACAGGGACAGTTCCCAACTCCATTGCACGATGACGAAGCAAGGCCGAAAGCTGGGTTTGAGTGGAAGGATCTGATGGGCACATAATTGGGACAACATCAACTTCCTCCAATATCCGCAGACAGTCTTTATAGCGTTCTTGTTCAAACGCTTGCTTGGCAGCGACAATGGACAGTAATTGTTTGCAAAGAATGCGTGTCTTGTCACTGATTTTAACATTTTCGTCCGTGCTTTCAGCATATCTCTGATACAACTGCTGCACAAGAACATCTGGCGCTTCATCCGCGGCAATGACAACGGACAGTCCCACTAAAGAATCGGGTTGCGAGTAACTAGAAGCCCAAAGTCCTTTAGCAAGAATATCTTCACCAAGCTTTCGAGCGGCAACAGACAAAACGGTATCATAGTCACCAAGCAAATGATAAAGAAGTACTGAATCGCCATAGCGGCCATCATTATCTGCCTCAGTTGCACCTTCGGCGTACACCTTTTTTAAGAAATCTTCATCAAAAGGAATAATGCGATGATACACCTCAAGGTAACCGGATGAGTGACTACCGTCGCAGTGTACATCGCCCAACAAGCGGCCAAAGTCGCATGAATGCAAAATAAGTAACTTCACAAGTTTCAAACAATAAGACTTGTAAGAGGGTATGAGTGAAATGCATGACAAGTAGTCCAGACATTCCAATGTTTCGGAAGGGCATTTGTAGTTGAGATAGGATAACAAAAGTAACGGATAGTTGAGGCGTACCAAGTCATCTCGTTCTTCGTTAAGCAAGCTTTCGCTTTTTTCAAAATTGCATGTAGAAAGAAGTCCATAGTATGCAAGAACGATTGCGAAGTGCACAGCTTCTGCGGGGAAAAACCCATGCAAGTAATGTATGGCTCGTTCAAATTGGCCGCTCAATAGGAGAACCAAAAAGTAATGGAAAGGGTTATTGTTTTTAGGGTTGAAATGACGCGCTCCAAAGGAAACAATTTTTTTCTGAAAGGCAACAAGGTCGAACGCACCAGTGGTGCCTACGGCACTAGCATTCTTTGATTCGCGACAAAGCATGAGCTGTATCCACATGTAGTCTTCAGTGGTTATGCACACGTCCGGTAGCGTGCTCCGATTAGGCTCACATTGACCAAGAATTTTGTAGATCGCATGCTTGAATGGATCCTCTGGAGCATATCGAAGTAGCTGAGAAAATTCTGTTTGTAAGCGTTCAGCGAGCTTTTGCGGCAGTGGTTCCGTCGGTGCATGCACAAAAGCATTAAAGTATGCGGAGAAGGAATGTGCCTGCTTCTCAAACTCAGTGCCCCAGTTTCGAACAAAGTCCATGGCGTCCTCTAGCAGACCGGCACGCAACATGTAATACAAAATTGCCCAGATGGGAACATCATTAACAATGGTAAGATTTGTGTTCGTCCATGCGTTGTTCTTGAAAAAACGAGCCCGAGCAAAGGCATGAATTTTCTTAAAAGTATCCGAATTAAGAGGTACAGTGTTTCCGATTTGTTGGTGAACAACAGTGAGGAATTGATTCTGTAAATAAGACAACGAACCTTGAACGATACGTAAGCGCAACTCTGCTGCGAGACTACTGTTGTGGGGTGCTGACTTGTTGGCAGCATACACTCCAGCAGGGACGTACTCGGCAGCAACTGGGTGCGTGCCCACGATTCGTGCAAGCAGCATCCAGGCATCGTAAAGTTGCGGTGTGGCAGAGTCAAACTTTTGTGCAACAGAAGAGAAAAGAGAAAAGAGAGGACTGTTTCCTCCGCTGATCCGATGCTCATTCATGATGTGGATAACGCTGTATAAAGCGTCGAGTTTGGCTTGCACAGTGTACGAAGGGATAGTTCCAGCAAAACGCGAGCTCACATCATGAGCAGTCTGCAGTTCAGTGGTGCGTAAGAATGACAAACCAGCATAAGAGCCAGCAGTACGAGAACGGACAGTGCTGGAAAAAAAACTGCCTGCACCGTTAACGCTTTTAGAGACAGATCCACGGAAGGATAGAGACATTGAAGCTCCAAGCATGCTGTCCTCCTTTCCCTGAAGAAGACGACCTATGTCACACATAAAGTCTGATTTCAATTTTTCCCATTCACGACCACTGGATTGTACAAGGTTTTTTTCAAAGTCAGCAAGACTTTTATTCAGGCCATTCTCTATGCTTGCAGTAATATTTTGTTCCTTGTATCTTTTTACCGGATGCTCAATGATGGTTTTTTTGTCGAGTTCATACTGCTCAGACAAGGGGCCTAAGTGAATCGATGTTATTTTTTGGCGCGTTTGTTCAGCATTCATTCCACTTTCAGCAAGCAGATAGTGTCTAGTATAAGTCAGTTATTCTGCTCATGAGAACTGAACTCTTTCCTGCTAACGTATCAAACGCGTATTTCATCGTGCGACTAGAGAAACGAGTTTGCAGGCCATTTTACTTACGCTTTCGCATCACCGTCCCGCATGGGAAGCATCTTTTCAACCATTTTATGGGCGTGAGCCTCAAGCTGATTAAGTCCATATTCAATTGGAGGCACCTGTGGTTTAATTAGAACCTGAAAGAGCTGACGCGACTTTTGAAGAAGATCAAACAGCACGCTGTGTTGAGACGTAGAAGCGGCCGCATCGTGCGTTTCACCACCGTCTTTCTGCGCTGTCGACATGAAAACCGTTTAGGGGAGAAGACAAAAGCGTATCGGTCGCGGCAGCTAAGACATGAACAGTATAAAGTTGGAGAGTCGCTTAGATTGAAATTAACGTTTGGACCCTTGTTCGTTAAGATAAGATGTTATAGATAAACGACAAAACAACAGGTGTTAGTCTAAATACGAAATGAAGATGAATCAACACAAACAGAGTAAACACTTGGAGAACGATTGCCATTCCTATATAACAACGCGCGTACTGAACCACCACCGGCAACACAAGCAAAACCGCCTTACACCCAGCACTCACTTCAACATTCCTCACAAGCATGTTTATGCAATATTAATAATACCCAATGCAACTGTTACCCTGAATTCATCTATTATTGTACAGTTTTAAGGGGAATACCAAACAACGCAAAAACATTTTTCCAAAAATCAAGTGGACCTCGTTTAGTCGACCTCCTCAACCTCAGGACCGTTGTCGGGAGCAGCACCAGGGGCAGCGCCAGGAGCGGCACCAGGCATACCACCGGGAGCAGCACCAGCACCAGCTTGGTAGATCTTAGCCATGATGGGGTTAGCAACACCCTCGAGCTCCTTTTGCTTGGCCTCGAACTCCTCCTTAGTGGCGGTTTGGTTGCTGTCGAGCCACTCAATGGCCTCCTTGACGTGCTTCTCAATGGTCTCCTTGTCAGAAGCATCAACCTTGTCCTTGATGTTGTTGTCCTCCAAGGTGTTACGGAGGCTGTAAGCGTAGGACTCCAAGTGGTTCTTGGCTTGGATACGGGAGGCCTCGGCCTCATCCTCGGCCTTGTACTTCTCAGCCTCGGCAACCATGCGCTCGATCTCCTCCTTGGAGAGACGGCCCTTGTCGTTGGTAATGGTAATCTTTTGGCTCTTACCAGTACCCTTCTCCAAAGCGGAGACGTTCAAGATACCGTTGGCATCGACATCGAAGGTGACCTCAATTTGAGGAACACCACGAGGTGCGGGGGGGATGCCGGAAAGCTCGAACTTACCCAAAAGGTTGCAGTCCTTGGTGCGGGCACGCTCACCCTCGTAGACTTGGATCAAAACACCGGGCTGGTTGTCAGCATAGGTAGAGAAGATCTCAGACTTCTTGGTGGGAATGGTAGTGTTACGCTTAATAAGAGGAGTCATGACACCGCCAGCGGTCTCGATACCGAGAGAAAGGGGAGCGACATCAAGAAGAAGAAGGTCTTGAGTCTTCTCAGAAGTGTCACCAGTAAGAATGGCAGCTTGGACAGCAGCACCGTAGGCAACAGCCTCATCGGGGTTGATGGACTTGCAGGGCTCCTTACCGTTGAAGAAGTCAGAGACAAGCTTTTGGACACGGGGGATACGAGTGGAACCACCGACCAAGACAATCTCGTGGACGGAAGACTTGTCGATCTTGGAGTCACGAAGGACCTTCTCGACAGGCTCCATGGTGCCACGGAACAAGTCAGCACAAAGCTCCTCGAAACGAGCACGAGTGATAGAGGTGTAGAAGTCAATACCCTCGTACAAAGAGTCGATCTCAATGCTGGCTTGGGCAGAGGAGGAAAGAGTACGCTTGGCACGCTCGCAAGCAGTACGAAGACGACGGAGAGCACGGGCGTTGCCAGTGATGTCCTTCTTGAACTTGCGCTTGAACTCTTGGACAAAGTGGTTGACAAGACGAGAGTCGAAGTCCTCACCACCCAAGTGAGTGTCACCAGCAGTGGCCTTGACCTCGAAGATACCGTCCTCAATGGTCAAAAGAGAGACATCGAAGGTACCACCACCGAGATCGAAAATAAGAACGTTGGTCTCGCCCTCGTTCTTGCGGTCCAAACCGTAGGCAATAGCAGCGGCAGTGGGCTCGTTGATGATACGGAGAACGTTCATACCGGCAATGAGACCGGCATCCTTGGTGGCTTGACGTTGAGAGTCGTTGAAGTAAGCAGGGACAGTGATGACAGCGTCGGTGACCTTGCCGCCCAAGTAGGCCTCAGCGGTCTCGCGCATCTTGGTCAAGACCATGGAGGAGACCTCCTCGGGAGTGAAGGTCTTGGTCTCACCCTTGAACTCGACTTGGAGGAGGGGCTTGCCGTCCTTGTCGATGACCTTGAAGGGCCAGTGCTTCATATCAGATTGGACCTCGGGGTCGGAGAACTTGCGACCGATCAAACGCTTAGCGTCGAAGATGGTGTTGAAGGGGTTCATAGCGACCTGGTTCTTGGCAGCGTCACCAATGAGACGCTCAGTGTCGGTGAAAGCGACATAGGAAGGGGTGGTACGGTTACCTTGGTCGTTGGCAATAATCTCAACGCGGTTGTTGGCGAAGTGACCAACACAGGAGTAGGTGGTACCCAAATCAATACCAATAGCCTTGCTCATTTTGCAAAATTTTAAAGTCGTTCAAAAAATATCGTTCGTTAAAACAAAAGAAAGAGATGCTCAGTGAGTATCCTCGAATCACAAAGGAATCGATGAACTATAGGGAATTCCTGTAGTATGAAAGATAGAGTAAAAAACTCCGGGATTCTTAAAGAATGGTTTTTGACAGTTGTCGTACTGCTGCGAGCGGACGCGGCAGTATTTAAGCTTTTACAGAATTCTGGAAGATTCCCAGTAACCCTAACCCACGTACGTCATTGGAAAGGGGTAGAAGAAATTGGAATGAACGAGGAGCAGTGAGAATCAGTGAGAGAAGACGAGTTTGGTCGAGCAGCATAAAGTTAATTTAAGCGAACTTTTTTCGATTACGTAAACGGGGTGACCATTTGTGACCAATAAACAATTGGCATTAGCTACACGTGAATCCTGGAAGACGTCTGATTGGCTCATAAGCGATGTCATGCTGAATAAGGACGATTCAACTGTGTTCTGTACTTTTGTTTTGTAACAGTGCATAGTCACCATAGATGTGCACATATACTTAAACAAGGTTATGTATATTCTATAATGGTTATTGCATCTAGGACAAAAAGCCTCTCGCTTAGCACCGAATCTGACTTTTGTCCTAATGTTCTCCTTCGCTTCATAGTCTATTCGTAGAGCGTTGCTCTGAAAATTTCGGGGCCCATGTTCGATCCAGCGTTGGGGCTTTTTTCCCTTTTTTTTTCTGAATCATGAATTCCCCACATTCTGGTTCTTGCACGTGCTTAGCTTATTGTCTCGATACGAGAGAAGCTTCGATTCGGATAGAATTCTCCGCCAAACTTCCAACCACCACGCTGGGCTACTGAGCACAACGTTTCTACCGTTCGCCTTACCCAACATGGTTGAACTGGATGAATGGATTGCTACGGTCAGAAAATGCAAATACTTACATGAACATCAGCTGAAACGGTTGTGTGAACGCGTTAAAGAAATTCTCATGGAGGAATCGAATATTCAGCCCGTTCGGACGCCGGTGACTGTGTGTGGTGATATCCATGGACAATTCTACGATTTGCTGGAGCTCTTTCGTGTGAGTGGTGAACTCCCTACGACAAACTATATTTTTATGGGCGATTTCGTCGATCGGGGATACTTTAGTTTGGAAACATTTACTTTGTTTATGTTGTTGAAAGCACGGTATCCCGACAAAGTGACTCTTCTTCGTGGAAACCACGAGAGTCGTCAAATCACACAGGTGTATGGCTTCTATGATGAGTGCCAAACAAAGTACGGTAATGCAAATGTGTGGAAGTATTGTTGCCAGGTGTTTGACTTCTTAACTCTGGCCGCAATCATCGATAACAAAATTCTCTGTGTTCACGGTGGTCTTTCGCCGGAGGTGCGCACGCTGGACCAGATTCGTATTCTTGCCCGTGCACAAGAAATCCCCCACGAAGGATCTTTCTGTGATTTAATGTGGTCGGATCCTGAAGACATTGAATCGTGGACTGTGTCGCCGCGTGGTGCCGGCTGGTTGTTCGGTAGCAAAGTAACAACCGAGTTTAGTCACATTAATGGTCTCAGTCTCATTGCCCGTGCTCACCAGCTTGTGCAAGAAGGCTACAAATTCCATTTCCCCGAAAAAAGCCTCGTTACCGTTTGGAGTGCTCCCAACTACTGCTACCGCTGTGGAAACGTTGCTAGTGTAATGAAGGTGGATGAGACGCTGGAACCCGACTTCCGCATCTTCTCTGCCGTCCCGGACGAAGAGCGTTCAGTACCTCCTAGTCGAAAAAGAAGTGAGTACTTTATTTGATGGATAGTTATGACAGCGCAAATAGTGCACGAAATATCCCGCTTCTTCAATTTTGTTGCGTTCCCATCAGCTGTCAGGAGGCAGATTGTTCCGGCTTTGGACTTTGTTTCCCTTCGGCGTTGCATCATATGTGTCCCTGTGTGTATATGCGGACTTTCTACTTCTCTATTTCTTGTTTCTTCGGTTTCAAGTGTCTCATCTCAAATGTGCATCCGTGTCTTCTGAGTGAAACTGGTTCTTTTTACGACTATGAAGCACTGTCTTCATCCGTTCTGTCCCCTCCCCCCTTTTTTCGTATGCGCACTTTCTCGTATAAAATGAGTTCCACGTTGTGGGCACTGTAGGTGGAAATTGGTTTATTCTCTCTCTCTCTCTCTCACGCACACTCTCTCTCCAGTGCGACGTCTTGTTGCGTTCAACTCTGCACGATGATATGGGTCATTATGCCTCCTCCGTGAGCGGTTTTCTTACAACAGCTTTCAGTAACAAAAAAAAAGTCTTCCGTTTGTGTTGTAACGAGTTTTGTTAATCGTGTTCCGTTCAGGCGTTTACCCGCCGGTTTTGGATTGGACTGAGAAACGACATTAATTTAAATGCACTAATTTAATTCCATGTTTCTATGTGGGTGAAGGTCTAGTGTGCAGCAATGAGTCTTCGGATTCGCGCAAACGAAGGGCTGCGAATGTGTACGATGGCTTTCGACCAGTTTGCATTGCTGTGAACATGTAAAATCACTTCGGGATTCTTAATCGTAGGGATCGAATTCAGTCTTGTGGATTTAAAAAAAAAAAAGGCGCTAATTTTCGCCTGTACGATGTCGCCGGGCATGGACTCATGTAATCAGGAATCCTGTCTTGATATTAATTTCGTTTGGCTACTGGTGAACTGGAAATCGTGAACAGATTGGTATTCAATGATTTAAACAGTACTCATCGCTGCCGTATATTGTGTGAGTCCACATGTTGCGAAATGACCTTTAATGCATTTTCTTTATGATTGTTGTCCTTTTCACTAGATCCATTGGTAGTAATGATTGAGTAAGTGTTAGAGTGAGAGAGATTTAGTGAAACTGGTTATTTTCGATTTATGTTCATTAAAACAACGAGGGATGTTCACTAAGGTATTTGCTTACGAATAGTACTTCATTAAATATTATTTTGTTCAAATGATCGAGATAGGACAACGCACATACGTACTTTGAAGTTTGTATCTAAAAGCGTATATGGTTGATGCTTATTTAAACATCTTGTACATTACAAATCTATTGGTATTTAACAATTCGTAGAAAGAGAATTCGACATTTATATAATGACAATACAAGTAAAGTTTTTTCTATATAAGAAATAAGAAATAACAAAAAACAAAAAACAAAAAATAAAAATAAAAATAAAAAAAAGTAAAAAATAAATATATATATATATATATATATATTTGCAACAGAGACAAGCAGACAAAAAAAAAAAAAAATACACGCAAGCACAACGGCGACCGCACCGAGCTCATCCTTTCTCAGCAACTCCCTCTTCCATGTTTCTCGTACTACAACACGCTCTATTTTGACCAACTTCGTTAAATAAAATAACGCAGACTTACAAACTGTAACGTATCATTCACCCTAGGAAGCTGGCTACGCAGTTCGTCTTTTACAAGAGGCATTTTAGTGTTTGCAATCGCTCGACACTTGCCATGTCATGGAGCAACTGTGGTTAGACAACGATCTTAGTGAGGAGTGGATACCTCGCGATCCTTCTCCATCTGGCCATGAGAGCACCGCTGATTCTGATAATCCGAAAACCAACACGCAAACATCATCATACCGGCCTTCTACCGCTGGCCAAACTGTGCGTGGAAGCGTAAATAATCCAGTGGAGGAGGAAGATCAGGTTCCCCAATGGCGTCAAGTGAACGCAAAGAATCCAATTGCAAAAGACATTTTTGCTCGTCTTGATTTAGAGAGTCTTTTCGAAGACGGGAACAAGAATCTTTCTCGTCCGCTTTCCAGTACTCCAAAAAACAACTCAAACAATGCGAAATACTTTGAAGACAATTCTGAGGCTGAAACGGATGACCAGGAACATGGAACTGCCTCTTTTCATAGCAATTCCCCACAGGTTTCACCAAACAGAAGACCAACTAGCAGTTTACGATTTCCACGAACGGCTCAGCGTGCTCAGAGTATGCAGTTTCGACGTCCTTCTATAGCCCCAGATTCATTTGCACATGCATCAAGCAATCTTGAAACTGGTGCGCGACGAGCAGAATCAGGACATGGCGGACCAGTTACTCCTAAATCATCTTCGAGCAGTGATTCTAACGACTCGTCCTCTTCTTTTCACACCCACTCGGCAAAGGGTAATTCGTCCCCGTTAAAACTATTCCAGGGCGCGAGTGACACATTCACAAGGGAACATCTTACGAGACTGGCCGAACATGTGGAACCGCACAATTCCCTAAGCTCTTCTGGCTACGATGACCCACCGTCTATCCCGGGCTCTAGTCGGATTTCGCAACCTGTGTCCGTCAGCGACCGGTGCACAAGTTTCAATACCCGTGATCTTTATGCCGAAGCAGAACTTATTATGGAAAAACTGAGGGGCAGAGACAGAAAAGCGCCATCGGCTTCCCCCTTTCGTTCACGCCCTCTTGACGATCTGCAGGAAGAAGACGAACAAGACCTCATCAGCCAGAATACTGGCAGCAGAGCATCCCAAAAATTCGAACCTTCCACCGCAAGTAGTTCCAGAGCTTCACGAAAGAATGCTCCGCCGGCGGAGCCGGAAGACAGCTGGAACGTTTCGTCAACAAAATCAGAGAGTATGTTCACCGGACGTTCTAAAGGTTCGGCACGTACAGCTCCTCAAAACTCACTCTCAAATAAAAACAAAAGGAACGTTGTGGGTCCAAGCATGGGTGTTATTACGCCAGCTGATTTACCTCGGTACATCAACACGGCCCAAGGATCTATGGAATTTGATCGTGAAAACAATTGCTGGCGTCGAAAGAGTCATGAATCTGATACACCACTTGGTTTCAGTGACAACGAGTCTGGTTCACAGTCAGATGCATCTTTATCCAGACACTCAAATGAAAATACTTTCTCGGAACCGGACCTTCTCCCGGATACACTGACAGGGGAGAACTATGAACATAGCCAGTCTCGGTCATACCCTGTTCGGCAAGCACAGCAGCATCGTCGGTTAGAAGGACGAAAAACATCATCGTTGCGCACTCGAAGGTCAATTCCATCTGCTTCCTTTCCTGCGAATCAAAACATCACTCTGGATGAAACCACAGAACCTTCTTTCTCAATACAAAATTTAAATGGAATGGCCAGACCAGTTCCCTTTCGTAATCATCTCGAGGCCACTGATCAGGTGAACCTTTCCAAAGCAGAGGATTGTAGCTTTTCTGTCTCCAGAGGCTCTATTATACGTTTACTTTCAAAGGTGGAGCCATACGAACCATTTTGGGAACGAATTATTCAATTGGATATTAGCCGTCGGCATTTGAGTTCAATCATTGGCATTTCAGACTTTTGCCCAGCCATTGAAGAGCTCAGCATTGAAGGGAATGAAATTGCTTACCTGACAGGTTGCCCGTCTTCTGTCCGATCCCTAAACGCTATGTACAACCGTCTTAGCTGTTTGACTTCTTTCTCCCATCTAGCAAATCTTCAGTATCTTGATATCTCCGGAAATCAACTGGAGAACCTTTCGAGTCTCTCCTCTCTCGTCCATTTACGTGAACTTCGTGTGGATGACAATACTCTTATTTCGCTTGACGGAGTCCAGCAATTAGATGGGCTTCTGAAGCTTAGTGCACGAGGAAACAAGCTTCGTAGTATCAGCTTTGAGGGTATGAATTTACATCGACTTGAAGAATTACTGCTGGCAGATAATTCAATCGATCGCATTGATGGGCTCGATTCTCTAAAAAATCTGATGGTTTGTAACTTGGATCGGAACAAACTATCAAACATTGGTGTGTCTGAACCTATGCATCAATTACGAACTTTACGAATTAGTCATAACTTACTGTCTACGTTCCCAGTGGACGACTTTCCAAAATTAAGAACTCTATACATTGATGAAAACTTATTTAAAGAAATCCCAAGTGTTCATGAACTGCGATACCTAACCAACTTTTCGTTTTGCAATCAAAAACCCCGAAAGGTCAACTTGACCTGTCGCTTGCCGCTTGACATAAAAAACCTTTACATTTCAGGAAACCCTCTCATCACCTTTACTTCTTCAGGCCTATTTTTGAATCTTAAATACCTTGAGCTTGTTAATGTTCAAATGTCACAAATTCCCGAAGACTTGCCTAAACTCCTCCCTCACTTACGCGTGCTCGATTTGTCGTACAATCTTTTGGAGGACATAAGCCCATTAAAACCACTTAAGATGCTTCATCGTTTATACCTATTCGGAAACAAACTAAAAAAGGTGAAGCCTCTGTGTGATACCCTTGCCAATCTACACCGTTTACGGGCTCTTGACTTGCGGCAAAACCCATTAAATGTGCACTTATACCCATACATTGAAGAACGAAGCTCACTGTCGCCCGAAAAAGAAAAGCAAGAAAAGCCTCATCGTGGACGAGATCACGAACAAAACGCTAGACGGAGGCTTTCACAAAAGGAGTGGCATGAACTAGATCTTATGTTCAGCACTTCCATGACAGAGAACTGGCGACTACGACGATCCATGTACCGAAAGGCCATAAACTTAGCGTGTCCGAAGTTGCAATGGCTTGATGGTAATGTCATTCATGCTTCTGAAGAAGACAAGGGCAGAACTGTCTAAGTTATATAAGCAACCTTGTTGCCTAAGCAATGTATTTCATTTCCTAAAGTATTCACGAGTAAGAACGTCACTCAAGCACCACCGAGTAACCATTTACTAAAAACTGCATGGTATAGCAAAAGGCTTCTACCATTCTCCAAGTCACCATTAACTAGTGTTTGTTATTAAACCATATCGTAATCTCCCACTATATCAAAACTGAAACAATCTATTAGAAGTAGGAAAACGGGGAATGCTAAACGGTGTAAACGGGAAACTGCAAGAAAACATAACGGCGCCAGTTGGCATTGTAACACGGAACGAATGTAGTAATACATATACAAAAACAACACAAAACCGGTTGTAGGGTTGCTCATAAACTTAATTCATAGCAAGCTTAACGTCCCCAACGGAAGATGTTCGAGGCCTTGTTAGTGGAGTTACGCTTTCCTTTTGCTGGAGTGGACGAGGCGTTGTCAACAGGCGGTATATCAGCTACCGACCAAGGATTCTGCGATTCATACGAGGGTGGCTGAGAACCTGGTTCTTCAGACACGGACTTGTTGTTGCGATGGCCGAACGGGAAGCGATAACCTCCAGACTCACGGTTTTCGGTTTCGGCATCGACAGAGCGAACACTATTGCTATACGTGGGCTTCAACTTTGCGGGAGAAGCAGCGTTGTAACGCAATGGCTTAGAGGAATCTTCGGACGCTACAGTCATTGCGTCGGAAGGCTTTTCAAACGATAACTCGGCAAACTTGGGCAGACTAGCGTTTGTAGTGAACATGTTGCTGTTGTCTTGCAGCGTGTAAGGATTGTCACCAAAGGAAGCAGAGCGACGAATGTGCTTGTTCTGCAACTTGGCAGCTTGTCGGCGTGCGATAAATAGGGTAAACAGTACTATCAGTTGGATACCAGTGTTTGCTAGTACGAGCCAAGAGATCCAGCGAATATGAGGAATAAAAGTAATTACGCAGATAATAAACGAGATTGCAGTGAGGAAAATGTTGAAGAAGATGACAGCGGCGACTACATTGAAATAGGAGGGTGAACGAGCGACAAAACCCAAATGGGCAAAGAGAAGCATGAGGAAAGCAAAGGCGCAAACACAGGCAGAAACCGGGACAAGAACGAGACCAAAGGAAGCACGATAACGGACGTTTGCCGACAATCTGTATCCGGAGGCAGTGTTTGTATTCAAAAAGTCATAGTTATATCCAATGCGAGGATCAATACAGTTGCTCACATCTGTACAATAACCAAAGATGCCAAAACGGATATCGTCAAGCTTCGACAATGTAAGCCGAGACGATACAGGTGCTGTACAACACGCAAGAGCAAAAAACACGACCGCAATACCTAACAAAACAAATGATGGAGTAGCGTTACGGATCCTCATGATGAAAGCACTAATTTGGGATTGGTAAAGGCGGACAAAACGATGTCTCTGGGTGTTGTCGACGAGACGGATACGAGTTTAAGAAAGAAAAAATCGCTAATAAGAACGTGATAAAGCGACGTGTCGTAAAACTTAAGTAAATTGCAGCAAAATTTACATGTAATTGCTCGCACAAGAGCAAAGAACACGGTTCTGATAGTTATATGCCCGAATTTAGCAAATTCAGCCCAAAACGGTTGGAATTGCTATTAATTCGTGGCAAGTGAATGGGAGAAGGCAACTTCTTAGGCCACTGTGAGCACCCCATATACCATTGTCCAACATGACATCATTCGAGTTTCCAATCGCAGCACGCCGCTGCACGTTGGCTTTTCCCCGCGTTTCTACGTCATCGATCATCACAGACTTACGCGACGCGTCTCCACTCTCTGAACGTGCCTTCTACAAACCACAACCCAGGGCCAAACCCCAAAATTACACGAATTTACGACGTTTAAGCGCTTCAATTCGCAATGTTCAGGAGTAATTTCATGCGTGTATTGTCTAAACGACCAATTCAACAGCTGCGACTAAGTTTCCGGAGGTCTGCAGCGACTTCCGTCGGCAACACGCCAGTGAAATTGACCGCCGAAGAAGCAGCCATCGCAAAACGTTTGCCAGACGTTAGTCCGGAAGAAATTGTCTCTACAGAAAAAACCGCAAGTACGGAATTCAGGCGAAAACTTTAACTGGGTCCGACACTAACGACAACAGACTTTTGGAGGAACGTGTCGCTGTAGTAAGTGGGAAAACGAAATGGAAAGATTCTCCTTCAGTCTGCTGACACCACAGCCTTTGTATACCGGCAATTCTGCTTTCAGTACTAAATGCTCGTTACTTATGTATGCAATTGAAGTGCAGGCACCTAGAACGACCCATTCTCACCGCCATATCACAGATAAGAAGCACCAAAAGCACATGAAACATTTGGAGGAGTCCGGAGAACTCGAGGAAGAGCCGATATACGCGTACGTGCTCCTACAGAATGAAATGAAACTAAACGGCAGCTACGAAAACATCCGGAACACCAAATATCCTTGGGGAAATGGCGAAAAGACACTCTTTTGGTAAGCGGATGGAACCATCATCATGCATTGTCTAATGTACGTAGGAACGACAAGGTCAATCGACTTAAAAAGGAAGAATAGACGGGACTGAGACGTCCACGACGAGGAGAACACAAGGAAGTGTCACAACAAAGGTGTCCAGCACCTTGTTTTTGTATTTTTATTAACAGAGTTGCACTTTGTGGAATTGCACTCCCAAGTCTACTTGTTTTTGCCATTAAAGCGAATGTGTTGACGAACGACACGGTCTGCCACAGCCATGGAGACGGGGGGACGCTGATCCTGCTCGGAATGGTTCTGTTTCTGCTCAACCTTTCTGATTTTCTCAGCATACTGTTTCAAACGCTGCAGCTCGACCATGATAGGGTGATCGTTTGTGTCTACGGCATTCAGTTTCAAGTAGGAGAACAGCGATGAAGCCAGAGCATAGCTGAGACTGACAAACGTCTTTGCCTGTTCGAGATCCGACTTTCCCTCCTTCAGCTCGAACACGGACGAGACTTTCTCGAGTGGTTGAATGACCTCCTCCACTTGCCCGACCTGCTCTTCGAGACGCTTGAGAATTTCCTTGTAATCCTGATTCATAGCGCTCGCTCAAGGTAGAAAATCGCCGCAGCTGTACTAAGACATTTGCGATTTAGTGACAGCATGCGATGCGTTATTGTGTATTAAGGAGAATCACTACGATTTACCGAGCTCCGCAGAGGCGTACGGGGTCGCAAAAATGCACTACCGTGCAGAGTGTTTAACGCGGACTAACAAAGTAAATACAAATTTCAGTAATGCGACTTTAATGAATTTCGTAACGCTCACTATTTTATTTTACGAGGTCCACCGAATATAAGAAAGCCTCAACGCGCTGCCCCGAAGCACACTATCAATCCTCACCACTCTGGCCCTCCAATCACGAGCCGGATAAATTGCGACGTTTTACGTGGCCTGCCGGTGGATCGTTTGGGCAGGGCGATGAAGGAGTAAGGCGGCGGTGACGAGTATTGCAACAGCGGTGAGCATTATTCGCAATCAATCAGATGCACTGTATTAGTGTGCACGAGCGGGAAGGGTCTCGCGTCTTTAAAAGCAAAACATCTCCCTCGTCTTTGGTCAGCTAGGACGGAGCAAAAGGTCGAATTCGTTTGTTCACTGAAATTACAGACTTTGGCCACGATTGAGCAAGTAACAGGGAAATTCTTTTTGTATTTTTTTTGTCGAAACAATTCGCTGTGTTCATAAATTTTTATTAAAATTGCCGTTATTTTCTTGTTTCCCTCTTTCCAATGTTGGTCAATTGGTCCTTAAAAGATGCCTATGTGGTCGTCGTAGGAGACGGTAACAATGCTGCAAAACGTGTTGCCATGTTGCAGGAGCAGGGAGTGAAGCAGGTCCTCTGGTTCAAAACCTTAGAGGCTGCGTCCAGTATCGCCCCAAAGTAAGTGCTTAGTAACGAGTTTGGCACGATAGCTAACCAGCAAGACCATCATACACGACTTCATACTCATCAGCATACTCGTCGTCATCATCATCATACGCTTGGGGTGCTCCAGCTTCGACTGGCGGCAGCTTTTCCTTTAGTAAACCGACAGTTGCTGAAGCTGATGCAGCAGCAGCAGCAGCTGCTGCTGCTGCTAAGAAACCCTATTATGTGCAAAACGGCAACGTCCAGGAATACGACTTTAGTTCTCTTAGAATCCCCGAGTCGCTACAAGAAATGGGAAGCCCTGAAAGGATGAATGTGGTGGATGCCGTGTTTGCCGTTAATGAACAGAAAGTTAAAATGGATTCTCTTGCCAAAACATGCCGTCGTCTGCGAATTCCTTTCAATAATGCGGAATCATGCTCATATAACACCTTCAACATCCCAGCGACTTGGTCGGAAGGCCCACTGCAGCTTGCTCTCAGCACCTCCAGAAACGGCTGCCGTTTGGCACAAAGACTGTTAAGACATGTCGTCAGTACTCTTCCGGTCGAAATGCCCGCTGCTGTTCAGACTTATGGTAAAGTTCGTAGTCTCACTCAAGAGGATGCACAGAAATCAAAATGGCTGAGTCAAATCACCGACTACTGGCCTCTGGAAAAGATATCCAAATTGACTGAAGACGATTATCATGCCGTACTTGACGACGAAAAGACGCTTACCCATCCTCCTATCTATACCGCATCAGCATTCAAGCCTTCGAAAAAGGGACAAATCGTCCTCGTGGGCAGTGGCCCTGGAAACCCCGACCTCTTGACTGTGGCTGCTCGTGAAGCAATCCAGAGGGCTCACTTCGTACTGGCGGACAAGCTTGTACCGGGGCCTGTGCTTCGATTAATTCCCCGACACACACCTGTCTTTATTGCCCGCAAGTTCCCTGGAAATGCAAGCAATGCTCAAGACGAGCTGCATGAGTTGGCTTTGGAAGCACTTGAACAAGGCCAGTATGTTGTTCGACTGAAGCAGGGCGACCCATTCATTTTTGGAAGAGGAGGCGAAGAGGTCTTGTTTTTTAAGAAGCACGGATACTCTCCTCAAATCATTCCCGGAATTTCCAGTGCGATGGTAGCACCAGCAGTTGCCGGCATTCCCATGACTCATCGAGGAATCGCAGACCGGTTCTTAATCTGTACCGGAACCGGCAAAAACGAATCGTCGCCAGAAATCCCACCGTTTGTGGCCAAGCAGACGGTCGTTTTCCTCATGTCATTGCACAAGTTACGCTCATTAACGGAGTCGTTAATAAGCAATGGGTATCCTTCGATAACGCCAGTTTGTATTGTCGAGCGCGCTACGTGCGCCGACGAACGTTTTATTCGTGGTACCATAGAAAGCATTGCCGACATTTACGAGGATATTCCCGATCACCGCCCACCTGGCTTGCTTGTTGTTGGCTTTGCTTGTTCAGCATTTGGCATTACTGAAGGAAGCATTGACAAAAAGGAAAACATCGTCGAGCCCAGCAATGTCGCAAAAGAAGACGTTGCCAAAAAAGATGTTGTCACGAAGGATAATGTCATTCAAAATGACAATTCTGTCAAAAAGGAAACCGCAGCGCTTGCAGGATCTTCGTAAAACCTAAAATTCCCCTTTTCGCTTAATAGACCACTCCCTTTATGTTTTTCTTTTTTGTAACACAATAAATATTTTATGGAAACCCGGAAATCTTTTGAAGTATGCAGGCTCGGTCCGACCAAAGTTGGGACAAGTTTGATTTGGCGCATGGGATTGTTGAATTGGATAAACTGCTAATTTCCATACAAGCGTTTTGTACCAATTGATGTAGGGGCCGTAGTCTGGCTTGGAGAAATTCGTCAACTTCATGCTGTTCCTTTTCACCATCGTAGTAGCCATTAACAAATAACTTGCATCTGCGAACGTTTGGATCCGCTTCATCCAGTAAACGCGTATCTGGCTGAATGAGTAAGGCACGAATGGCCACTTGTGTCCGGAAAGACAAATCATCAGCCATGCAGGTGTAGTCATCAAGGTATCCAAGAGAGTCCAGGAACTGACGCTGCAAGACGCTGAGAGGAAGATAGTGATCTAACTGAAGGTAATTTTGTGTATTATTTAGCATGGTAAATCCGTATTCGGACATTAAGAAATCATTTGAATGAGGTCCGTAACGCAGATACAATTGCTCTCCCTGTCGAATGGGTTTGTCGAGGCGTATCTCCACACCGTGAAAGGTGATAGAAACGCTCGTTTGCGCTTCGTTGGAATGGTTAAAATATTCAAAAACTGGTGCCAAAGTCATATTTTCTTCGCTAGTTGCATCGGCTTCCAGTTCATAGTACAAACATCGTGTGTTTACACACAACCAAGCCAGTTGAAACTCTCGAAACTCTAGTTTTTCAAACGTAGATACAGCGGCGTAATCTTTTTGTAGTAATCGCCGTTTTTCTTCAACCAAGCCTTTGACCTCATCTGGCAAAAGTTGCCATTCCTCTGAATCACAGCACCATGTGAGAGGATGAAACGAGAAACTAGCTGGAAGATGTTCGGTATAACCAGGGGATATCTCTTCCAGAACCTCTTTCTTTTTACACAGGCACCAGGCTAGGAATTGATGCGATGTCCATTCGTCTCGTGGAACCAGCTGTCGACATGTTCGTTTGTTGACAAGGTATCTATGAGGAACACGTAAAACTAACGTGTTGGCCTAAAACCACGGTCAGAAAATGCAATGCTATTCCGATTTTCCTTGCTCACCTTTAAATCGCAAGAAGCATAAACGCAAACACCTTCCGACGGAGTTTTTACAAAACGCACGCCCGGAGAAAGGAATACACCGGAGGGAACACTGATAGAAACCTCCATCTCGTGAAAATAAAGGGTTTTTGTAAAGTTACACTTAATACAGTAAATTTTACTGCATAAACACTTCAGAATGCCAACTTAATAACCCTGTTTCTGCTGAAGCTGCAGTTTATAGCGTTCTAACGTGTATAACAGCCTTTGTCTTTTCGCAATAGTAGCTTTTAACTGGTCGGAGAACTGCTCAGCTGGTGCAAATGCAGAGGAAGGTCGATTCCTCATCGTGTCCAGACGAGCACTCAAAAGCTGGCATTTACTTTTTAAAGAGCTTTCTTGTTGTTGAAGAAGCTCTACTGCGTGTTCAAGTTTGCAAAACGCCTGAAGAAGCTTAGGTTTGACGAGATGTTCAATTTCTTCTCGCTGTAACTGCAATTGTGCTTCCGAAACAAGCTGGAAGTGACGTTTGCTTTTTAAAATTTGTGTAATTCGATCGAAGTCATAAGTCCCGCTGTCAAGAGTTTCGACACTTGTGGAAATCTTAATTGTAAGTTAGTTACGAACATGTCATATGCAATATTGAAGTACATACAGAACGAATGCTGGAACGCAGTGAATCACAACATCTATCAAGTCTAATAACGGTCAATAAACTCAATTCAACAGTTTAATCGATCTTCCTACTTGTCTAAGTACGACATGTTTCAAAATCACAAAATACAAACACAAGTAACCGTTTCAAAGAATCCAATGAATGTTCTAACAACTGTAAATGTCTCTGTCTAAAGTTTATTAAGCATCCATGCAACAGATGGAACAAGACAGCAATGAACTAGAGAGAGGGACTGACGAAGTCACCCAACGACAGCCGCGAATACCTTACCCAACTTAAAGTTTAAGGTTGACCGACGGAGGAATTAAAGTTATTTACAACGCGAACAACGGACACTAACACGAAGTCGCGTGGACAGAACACCCAAATTACAAAACACACTCACTACATGATCCAACGTTATTGCAACCATGAATCAATTGACATTTCGAAGACAACGATTCTATGAAACACAGCTGAGAAAAAGTTCTTGCCATTTTAAGCGAACCTGCGCATCTAAGCAGACTCAGCAGCAGCAGCAGCAGGCTTACCGGCACCTAAATCACATGTTAGTTATAAACTGTTTGCTGCAAATTTGCGTAAAACACGTACGGAAACCATTGGCAAAGCGGCGGTGAACCTCCTTCAAGTAGCGCATGCGACCAGTACCAGTAGTCTTTCTTCTCTTGGCCTTAGGGTTCCAGTTGTACTTGCGAGTCTTAGCAGCAGGGTAACCGCAAGAGGCACAGGTGCTCTTTTGGATATGGAAGGAACGCTTTCCACAACGACGGCAAATGGTATGAGACTTGTTATGTCTCATACCGAAGGACTGAGTACCCTTGGTCATTTTGCTAGTTGGTTGCTGGTAGGTTGGAGCGCAAATTCCGATTTGTTTGGTGTTAAAAAAGCCGTCACAGTCAAGTGTTAGGGTAGGGCTAAATTAAGGTTCGCCTTACCAAATGCAAACGCGTACGCGTCCAAACTGAACAACAAAACGACAGGTTTCGAGGTTTTCCTTCTCCCACAAGCAACCACACTCGTAGTGCCGAACTTTCCGTTCGTATTTTGTGTTAGGTCAGCTTATCAACATTTTATATTGGACTGTTGGTATTCATGGGTACCAAATTGTGAACTACTGCCTACGAAGCCACTTGACGGATTTTGTGTTTTACCATTGCCGGTTTCCACGTTTCGTGTTCAAGGAGTTGATATTCGTTTATTTAAGGATTAAAGTTTTTAACGGTTCGGTTAACCTACGGTGGCTGGGATAGGTCGAATTCAGGGAGCAGGGTCATTCAGCTATTTCAATCTTATTCACTTCGAGCTTACACACCCTGTGCAGCTTGAAAGGTTTTACTTCTTTCTATCCATTACACGACTATCAATTTTGTCGGTCTAACTTTTGTTTGCTTTGCGATACATACGCCAAGTACTACGTTGACAGACACCTTGACCACTACATAATAAGGCCGTCGCATCTTTTGTGTGCACGACTTTGGTAATAACCACGCTTTGACTCACCTTTACGTAACGACCCTTCTTTAGGTTGTACCTAGTCATTTTCTCTCCTTGTTGCGAGCTAATTTGTCTGGTTTCCTTTGTTTTCTTCGTTGAAAATATAACCTTGCACTTTGTCTTGTAATTTCTCCGTTCCTTATACGACACCTTTCCTTTTTCTTTTTTGTTTTTGTTACTGGGATTCTGTTGGGTTAAACTCTCTCATACTGTTTTGTTCTTTTCCCTTGATTTTGGCTTGGTCTATTGGGGTTTTGTCTCATTTAATCTTTTTCTTATACTCATCACTCTAATGAACATCTCCTAACGAGAATGTCTTTCTTTTTCAAAAAAAGCAAGGCTGCACATAGCGCGAACAATAATTCCTCTAACGGCAGCAAAATTCGGTCCCCTAATCTTAAACGTTTAGAACCTCATGTGGCTCCCAATGCACATCTGAATCCAACGGTAACGCCCCATGTCAATAATGCTGCTCATATGACGGCTTCCCCTTGGTCAAAGCTTACGGTCCGTGGAAATGCCAATGTCTTACCTCGCTATGGACATTCATCCCATCCTGTCGCTGAAGGCGGACAGGACATCTACATTTTCGGAGGAATGGCCGGAAAAAATGGGGAGAAAAACGACTTCTGGGTTCTGAATGTGAATACGAGCCAGTTTAATGCTCTTCGTTCTCTCGGTGAGGTGCCTTCTCCTCGACTTGGTCATGCTTCGGTATTAATTGGAAACGCTTTTATCGTTTTTGGAGGCTTCGTCCGAAATGCTAGCATGGAACGTCAAGACAATGCATTATACCTATTGAACACCACGTCTTTAGTTTGGCAAAGGGCTTTAGCTTCGGGGGCTCGACCAAGCGCCCGTTATGGTCACACTCTCAACACCTTGGGAACGAAGATTTGTATCTTCGGAGGCCAATTGCGGAATTACTTTTTTAATGACTTGATATTTTTTGATTTGGATAATCTAAATACGCCGGATTCTCGCTGGGAACTGGTAACAGCTGTTAACGACTCACCTCCTGCTCGTGCAAACCACATCGCTGTTTCGTTTGCTGAGAAGCTTTACGTTTTCGGTGGCACGAACGGAGTCCAATGCTTTAATGATTTATGGTGTTTCCATCCCAAGCAGAGTGCGTGGTCTCGGGTTGAGGCCTTTGGTGTCTATCCAACTCCTCGAGAAGGTCACTCTGCAGCTGTGGTCAACGACGTTCTATACGTTTTCGGTGGTAGAACGCACGAAGGTGCGTTTCTGAATGATCTGATGGCGTTCAAATTTTCTACAAAGCAATGGTACAAGGTTTCTGAACTCCCATTTACTCCCTCCCCTCGTGCGAATCACACGCTCTGTGCTGCAGGTGCACATGTTGTATTAATTGGTGGTCAAAGTGACAGAGACGTCGAGGATGTGAACATTTACATGCTTGACACGACTCGTTTACGATTCGGAAATATTAATGCTACTCCCGCTGCCAGAGGTTACAATCTCCGTATGTCCTCTATACCACAATTTTCGAAAGCTCCTTCGAGGGGTATTCCCGGCAACTATATGCACCCGCAAGGCAGATTGGGTCCTAAACCACAATCCGCATCCCGTTTTGCTTCTGCATTTGGTGCATCAAATCCTGCTACCACACGTTATCCCGCTACCACGTCTTCTGCTCAGCTGAAACGTCCAGTTAGTGGTACGTCTTCAAGACTGGTTCCTAGAGCATTGTCTACAGCGCTACCCGCGGGAAACTATGAAAACCAACCCCCCAATTCAATTCGTAACAATCAAGTGGACTTGGCAAAGACGTTCGATGGGAGCCAAGAAGCAAGTGAACCAACTTCACCCGTCATGTCTTCTGATACCGCATCTACGCCTTCACCAAACCACACAACTCAGTCCGGTAGCCCTCCACGTAGTGCTCATACTCGCCGAGTCCCAACAACTTCAAATGCGAATGCAGGAAACGTTCCCCTCCGTGACTTTTCTGCGGAGCTTGAAACTCCTCAAGAAGCGTTTATGACAGCAATTTCTTCGCAGCCGGACGATGACAATGATGCGTCGCTTGAAACAAACATGCCTCGCATGAATGGAAGGCAGGTCGCTGAGGTTAATGAGCACGGGGCTTCTGCCATGCCAAGTAAATACGGCACCGAAGCTGCACCTTCCGATGAAAGAGCGCGCAACAATGCACAACTAATGAACTGGTTCCGTTCCAAGCTTTCTTTGTTAAAAGAAGAAACGGATTCTCGCTTTGCAGCTTTAACCAAGCAACTTGAAGCGGCGCAAGCTGAACGAGACGCCGCATTAAAAGAAGCAGCTGTCATAAAAGCTGTTCGCGCTATACACGGAGATGAAGTTGATGACGATGCAACTACTGAATTGCAAGCTAGCTCTATCAGTTCAGAGAAAGTTGCACACGTCATGCAAGAGAATGTAAAGTTACAGGAAAGCCTTTCTCTTTTGAAGGAGAACTCGGAAGAATTAAATCAACAACTTTCAGACATGAACGTGAAAAATCGTACTCTTGTCGAGAAAGTTGAATCGCTAGAGAAGCAATTGGAAGTTGAAAAAGGTGTTCGCCAGACATCTTCATTGCAAATTATTGATGCAAATATGCACCTTCGACGAACGGAGGCTTTAGTGCGAGAGCTTGAAGATCAACTCGTTGAGCAAACCACTGAAACCAATAAAATTGCCAGTGAGCGGCAATTGTTTGAGGAACGATGCACTATCCTGGAGTCTACAATTAAAGAACTTCTAGAAAAATTGGCTGCTTCAGATACGCTTACCACATCACTACATGAAACTGTAGCGAACCTGAATGATGATAATGCACATCTTATTGAAGAAGTTGCTACGCTGAAGGCAGAGCTTACAAAGAAACAGTCGTTGCTCGACTCCAACGCCAATCTTGTTCAACAGTTGGAAGCATCTAGGAACTTATACGAGGAAAATGTAAAGGCAATTAACGAAAACTTAACCACATCGATCGAAAAATTACTTGATAACCGAAATAGCACAGCAAATGTGGAGATTGAAGCGTTGAACGAACAACTTCGCCTCAATAAGATTAAGCTTGAGAACAACCTTCGGCTGGTTAGCGTCAGCAAGTCTATTGAAGACGCCCTTCGCTTGAAGATTCAACAGGCAAACGACAGAATTTCAATGCTCGAGTCAACCAGCACTCAAGCTAAAACCGAAAACAACAAATTACAGATCCAGCTTATGAAAGCATTGGAGCAAAGAAATGATGGTGCGAAACAGCTTATATCTTTGCGCGTCCAACTTTCAACTGCTACATCTGAACTTGATTTGCTGAAGCTGAAGCTCGAGGCTTTGAATCTTGCTTTGAAGGAGCGACCCATCAGTGACGACCTTCAGGGTCTCGCCAAAGCTAACTTCTCGGGAATTTCTGAGTTGATGAAGCAAGTTGTTCATCTTACGAATCTGTTTGATGCAGCGAATAAACGGTTGGAAGAGACAAAGCAGAAGCTGAACACGCTTGAACCTGGTACTCTGACTCGCTCCAGAAGTCGTGATGGACGAACTTCAGCAAGTTCTTACGCTTCTTCCATCCATTCTTATAATAGTCATGTTGAGTCAAAGAATCCGGAATTGGAGGCTGCCGCAAACTCGTTAGCTGAGGCCTCTGAACTATTTCTGAAACTGAACAACGACTTGGCTCCACTAAATATGAGACTAAAGACACTTTTATCACAGCCTCAACCTGCCGAAGATATGTCTTCGCGACTAAAGACATTTTTAGCGTTCTCAAAAGTCGCAAGCTCTATCACTCAAGAACAAACATAATAGTTTCGATTCTTGTCTTTTCTTCCTCAGTCATTATCCTTCTATGTTTTTTTGTATATAGTCAATGAAACTTCGCATTCATATAAATCACGGGAGGCCGCCTACATTTTCAACATTGCACACAAAAAATCTATCATTTTGTACTCTAGCATACACAAGTCTACACTCAATGCTTCATTTATGGAATAGCTTAAGGAAGAAGACGCTTAGGATCACGGGGGAAGGCACTGGCAAGACGAATGTTAGGCAAATTCAAGTAGAACATCAAAACACGCTCCAAACCAATACCACCGCCAGCATGAGGAACACAGCCGAGGCGGAAAGCATCAATGTAATCCTTCAAGCCGTTAGGATCAACACCAAGAGCATTCATACGCTCAACAAGCAACTCGGGGTCGTGGATACGTTGAGCTCCCGACATAATTTCTTGACCCTTCATGAAGAAATCGTAACTGTTGGAGTAACGAGGGTCCTCAGGATCGGGCATAGTGTAAAAGGGACGTGCAGAAGCGGGATATTTGTCGATAACGTAGAAGTCAGTGTTGTGCTTTTCACGAATAATAGCACCCAATACACGTTCCTCAGGAGTACTCAAGTCCTCAAAGTCGGGGTCCTTAACGTAACGGAATTCGTCCTCCTTGGGAATTTCCTTACCGGGCTCCAATTGTTGACGGTAACCTGCGCCCTTCAAAAGTGCAATAGCCTCCTTGAAGTGGAAGCGAAGAGGTGCTTGGTCGGGAATGAGGAAATCTTCCGAAGGGTATTGGCGACGAACAATGGCGACTTGCTCACTATACTCGGTTTTCAACACACGGAAAATGTGCAAGAAGAGATTTTCGATGAAGCCCATAACTTCGTGATAGTGTTCATCGAAAGCCATTTCAAGATCCAGACCAGTGAACTCGGTCATATGACGGTAAGTGTTAGACTCCTCGGCACGGAAAACGGGACCAATCTCAAAGACGCGGTCAAAGTCAGCAGCAATAAGCATTTGCTTGTAGAGCTGAGGAGATTGAGAAAGGTAACCAGTGCTGTTGAAGTACTTGATGGAGAAAACATTGGAACCACCCTCGCTGGAGGCACCAGTCATTTTGGGGGTGTGGATTTCAGTGAACTTGCTGTTCAACAAGTAATCACGGAAAGCACGGCAGATTCCGGCTTGGATCTGAAAGATAGCTTGGTTCGTTGGAGTGCGAAGGTCGAGGACACGGTTGTCCAAACGGGTATCGAGCAAAACACGAACGAACTTAGAGTCACCTTCCTTGGCGGACTCCTCAGAAGCCTTGATTTGTTGCTCCGAACGAGCAGCATCTTCAACAAGGAAAGGTAACTGCTTCTTAACAGAGGAAACAACAAAGACGGAAGAGATTTGAATCTCGACGTCTTGGACAGTCGTACTCTTGATGAGTTCAGGACTCTTCTTAACAATACCTTCAACAAGGATAATGGTCTCAAGAGGAATGCTGCCACAGAACTTGACCATTTGCTTACTGATGGTTTCCTTGTTCACAACAACCAAACCTTGGACAGTGCTGAACTTTTGGCGAAGAGCAAAGAAGCACATTTTGTTGCCTTGAAGACGGGAGGTATACACACGAGCTCTGATGAGGACCTTTTCGCCATCCTTAGCAGCAGAAATGTCGGAAATGTTGGTGTAAACCTTTCCTTCACGCTTTGAGGAATTGTTCAAAGGAAGAACACCGTAGAAGTCTTTGGCGTAATCAACCTCGTTAGCTTCGCGCTGAGCACGCTCAGCGGCTTCGCGAGCTTCACGTTCCTTTCTCTTTTTCTCCTTTTCACGCTCCTTTTCGAGCTTTTTCAAAGCCTTCTTCGACAAAGGCTTTCCATCAGGACTATTTATTCAAACTGTTAGTAATGAAACCACGAGGAGACGAAGACAAAGGCCAACGGAAAAAAAACATTAAATACTGAGTCAATAGAAGGCACCAAAATCAAGTACTCAGATCAACGAAGAGTTTCACCACATCGTTTTCACAAAGAACACGCCAAAACTCAGTAACAAACATTTCCAAAAATTTGTCTTTTTCGTAAAAAAACTCACCCCAAAGGAACGTCCTTCTTTTCAACTTCTTTCTCCTTCAAGGAAAGGTCTTGAACCTTGTTTTCAAGTTCTGCCATGTTTGGTTTATTCCAAGTATGCAACCCCAAGATAGTGTTGCTAAATTTTGAATAAAGCGATTTCCACCATCTCGATAAGTGATAACTTTATTTCATTTACGGTTATTTAACGTTAATTAAAGTTTTTATTCTCGGAAACTCGGAGATCACTCGTGGACGGCTGTGCCGCCTCTAAGAGAAGGTGGATACATTTTGATTGGTAGAAAGTTTTGCGAAGATCGACATGTGATGAAAGGTCGACTTTTTTTGATAATCACGTTCCATTATGTAATCCGCCTGATCTCTCGGCAGAGTGGCACTCAATCCGACGGCATGGCAATTGAGTTTCGCATAAGCGGGAATGATATCATTCTACCCACCATGATTGCGGGAAAGCCCTCAGGTGCTGATTTGCTAATAAGGGAGAACACGAACAAACAAATATTGTTGATTATTTTTACACAAACCGCTTTGTTTCATTTTTCCCCGAATGTCCGCGTTATATGCGTGTGTTGTATGCACGATGCATTTTTGCGACTTTTTCTTTTAGTCTGCGAAAAGCATTTAAGCTTCGCTTATCCCCCGAAAGGAAACCTGACCAGAACCAACTACATCTTGTTGTTAATAGTGTTTGGCTGAGGGAAAATAGATTCGCGTCTCAGTTGGGTTTCTTTTTTTTTTGTTTGGTTACTTGCAATTCTTTCTTTTTTGATAGAGTAAAGGTTTCTCTTGGTGATTTTTTCCTCTATCCCTTTTATTCATTAGGATTCACACGGTTTTTCTTGTTCCAATACCCAAAATTATACATATTCTCGCGTAATTTTTAGAAAAATGAGCAAGTCTTTGAAGGTTCTTTGTTTGCACGGCTACGTCCAGTCTGGCCCAGTTTTCAGCAAGAAAATGGGAACTGTTCGTAAGTACTTGTCCAAGTTTATGGATCTTCAGTTCCCCACTGGCCCCATTTCCGCTGAAACGACTGAGGGTCTTACTGAGGAAGAGAAAAAGGCTCGCCTTTCCCAATTGGGCGGTGAGGGAGCTAACCAATTCGGTTGGTTTGAGGTCGAAGACTTCAAGAACACGTACGGCGGTTGGGAGAAGAGTTTGAAGTCGTTGGATGAGTACATGACCGAAAAGGGACCTTTTGACGGTATTATCGGTTTCTCTCAAGGTGCAGGTATTGCCGCTTGGGTCGCACACCTTCTTGAACAAGGCAAGCCTAACCCCTACATCAACCAACCTCCTCTCAAGTTTGTAGTCTTCATCGGCGGTTTCAAGGCCGACAAACCCGAGTTTGCCCACTTTTATGAGCCCAAGCTGAAGACACCTTCGTTGGTCATTTCGGGTCTTTCGGACACGCTCGTGCCTTTTGCTCGTTCAATGGAGTTTGCCAAGACCCTTGAGAACCCCAATGTTCTCACTCACCCCGGCCAACACATTGTGCCTCAGCAAGCCAACTATCGTGTGGCTCTTCGCGACTTTATATTCAGCGCTCCTTCGACCGGTGAGCGTACGAAGCACCCTCGGCCTTTGACTCTCATCGTTGCTTCTGCTTCGAACTTGTCCATTGGACAAAAGAACAACCTTCCCTGGCACATCAAGGACGAGATGGCTTACTTTGCCAACACCACTACCAACGCCAAGCCCGCTGGCGTTAGAGAGGATGGCAAGCAAGTCATGAACGTCGTGCTTATGGGTCGCTCTTGCTACGACAGCCTTCCCAAGAAAAACCGTCCTTTGAAGGGACGCATCAACGTTGTTATCACCCGCAACCCCGACTACAACTTTGGTTTGAAAAAGGGTGCTGAAGCCCCCGCCAATTTGTTCAAGGCTCCATGCATTGACACTGCTCTCGATCTCTTGGCCGAGAAGTACCCTGAAGACGGTGATGTCCAGATTGGCCGTGTGTTTGTGATTGGCGGTGCCCAATTGTACGGTTCGGCCATGTATCATCCCTTGTTGAAGGAAATTCTTTTCACAAGAATTCACCAAGAATTCCCTGGTGACACCTACTTCCCCATTGACCCCGCTACTTCTCCTTTGTGGGAGCGCGGTACGACAGAGGAGTTGCGTGCTATCGTTGGTGACGATGTTGCTGATGGCCGTGTTCCCGCAAAGACTTCCAAGAATGAGGAAGTCGAGTTGGAGTTTGAGTACTACAAAAAGGATGACGTCTCTGATGTCTTATCCAAGCTCTCCGTGAAGAACTAGAATTGAACAAGAAACGCTTTGTAATGAACGACTATGAAAAGGACGGTAGAGAGACATTAAAGCAAACGGACTCGTGAAACCAGTGACATGCCGCATATCTTATTACAAGGGCAAGGTGGACCGCCCAAATAATTGTGAAAAGCGACGAGGAGCTAAACGAAAAAAGTGCATTCAACAAACATACCCTTTTTAAAACCTTATGAAGCTACCTAAAACCGAAATGCAACCAACACAATTACCATTCCACCAGACAAACCCGCTACTGCCTCCTTAAAACTAAGAACTAAGAAGAAAAAGTACATAAATTCAGGCTAAAACAAAAGTCAGGCCACGGCTCAAGCCGTGTACTAGACGGCTCCACGCAACAGCACATCAACCGGCCACAATCAACGAGCCAGAGGATACATCTTTCAGCAGATGCCAAAATCAAACCGACCCGCGCATGTGCACTCGTGGAGATGGAACTAGACGGAGCTGCGCAGAAGCCTGTATATAACGACAGATAGTACAAAGGGGCAGGCGCAACAGATGCACCGCAGCAAGAAACGGATCCAGCCAGCAGTCCTTGCTGGCAACCGCTTGAACTAGCTCAAGGTGCTGCGACCTGCTAGGTCATAATCGCTCGCCATCGAAAGAACGGAAACCGATTTAGTGCTTGGAGAAGTACTTGTCGGGGTTCTTGGTGTCGATGGTGTCAGCACCCTTGTGCCAGTTGGCGGGGCAGACCTCGCCGTGCTCCTCGACGAAGATGAAGGCGTCCAAGAGACGGAGAGCCTCTTCGACAGAGCGACCGACGGGAAGATCGTTGACGGTGATTTGACGCAAGATTCCGTTGGGGTCAATCAGGAAGAGACCACGGAAGGCGATGCCAGCGTCCTCGATGAGGACACCGTAGTCGCGAGAGATCTTGTGGGAATGGTCGGCCAACAAGGGAATCTTAATGCCGCCGAGACCACCCTCCTTGCGGGGAGTGTTGATGAAGGCAAGGTGAGAGTACTCAGAGTCGGTAGAGGCCAAGATGACTTGGGCGTTGCGCTCAGCAAACTTGGAGGCAGCCTCAGAGAAAGCAACAATCTCGGTGGGGCAGACGAAGGTGAAGTCCATGGGGTAGAAACCCAAGAAGACCCACTTGCCCTTGTAGTCAGAGAGCTTAATCTCCTCGAAGGAGCCGTTGACGACGGCGGTACCCTTGAAGTCGGGAGCGGGTTGTCCAATTCTCAAAGTCATTTTTAGTAAGATGTGATGTGAAGTCTTGAAAGGTGCGTGTGCCTTGTGTTTGTGCTCTGGAAGACGTGATCCTAAGAAGCTGATGCTGTTTCAGAGCGAGGGACAGAGGGGTGTTTTATACCTGTTTTTTTCACGCTGGGGCATACGTCAGCATTGTTCTAGGATGGGCCAGTAACGTAAGCGAAAGTGAGACACTATGCTACGTGATTGGTTGGTAATGAGTGAGTGGTCGAGAGAGCGCAGAACTTAGCATAAGCAGGGATGTGTCGAGACTCAATGCTGACAAAGATTCTTGCAGCAAAGAAGACTATGAATTGCAGCAAATTGCTGAGCGACGCGTCGACGCGTTGAACGCGTCGACCGCTTCTGAAAGCTAATATTGGATCGACATTATGACGTAGACAGCTAAGAAACGCGCGAGTCGCGGGGAAAATAGGGTGAGTTTGTCGTTGCGACGAACCTTCTAGAGCAGGAAGGTTTAGCCTTATCGCCTCACGCTGATCCACGTTAAACAGATCCGGGACGCAGCATCGTAGAGCGAGCACGACTGGCTGGCTAGTGGTCAGCTATGGAGTAGCTGGCTGGACGGTCCGGTTGTTGGTTGGTCGTTGCTATTGTTATAGCCAACATAAGACCATATTACTAACGGAACGTGCACGGCTGAGCAGACGTGAACCACAAATTGCAAATTGCTGGAAATTGTATTTCCGCGGAGCACGGCGTGTGCACACACCGCGTGCAGTATCGTACAACCCGTGCGACTGAACGGGACGGGTGAGAGAGCTGAGGGACTAGGGGACCAGCGTGTGTGTGGTTGAGTGCGGTGTGTCGCTGCAGAATTCGTTAACCTGCGTTAATTTAGTTTAACGATGCTGTAGTTCCTCCTTGATACGCACTATTCTCGTTTAACGAGGTTTTTGCGTCTCCTCTCTCCGCCTCACTAAAAAGCTTATGTCAGTCGTGTCGCGGGGGAGTCGCGCTCCATCCTCTCCCATCATGTCGTACATGAACAATACCTTTCAATCGAATTATGATTACTCTAAAGACAAGAATTTCATGTCAACAGACATTGGGCCGTCCATGCGCGAAATGAAAGCGCAGAGGCGGCGCGCCCGGCCAGCGGAGAACGCCGGAGCAGATAACCCATACATTCCACAATTCATTTCCAAGGCACCGTGGTATGCACAGGACGACGAGGCCGTCGAGAGACTGGCCCATCAACGTATCACAAAAGAGGAGACGCCCAGCGGAGGTCGGTCGTCTTTGGGAGGCGAGTGGTATGCTCGAGGAAAACGGGCAGGTCCAGCAGCAACCAAGTACCGGAAAGGAGCCTGTGAGAACTGCGGAGCAATGACACACAAGGCCAAGGAATGCATGGAGCGGCCGCGTAAGCGTGGTGCCCGCTGGACGGGCAAAGACATCCAAGCAGATGAGATTGTGCAAGACATCGACTTGAGCTGGGACGCCAAGCGGGACCGCTGGAACGGTTACGATGCAGAGGAGTACAAACGAGTGGTCGAGCGGTACGAATTGGCCGAGAAACTCGCGAAACAAACGTCGAGCGTCGGTGAAGGAGGCAAGCATTCAGATGCTACAGACAAGACGGGCGGCAGCGACTCGATGAAAACAAGTGGGGCTTCCACACCCGCAACAACAGTTTCTAAAACGGAAACAAATGCTCCTCTGCCGAGTCAGAGTCTTCGCATGCGAGAAGACATTGTTGCCTATCTCCGGACCGACCAACCAGACCTGCAGTACGAACCCAAGTCGCGGTCTATGCGAGACAAAACGGGTGCACAGTACATTGACGATTCTGCGTCCGGAGAGGGCTTCGTCCGTGCTTCTGGCGGAGACAAGGAAAAGTTTGAGCAGCTGCAACTGTTTGCATGGGAAGCCGAACGCCAAGGTGATCGTATGCATGTCGTCGCCAACCCGACTGCTGCGGAGGTGTTAGCACGCAAGAAGCTTGAAGGACGGAGTACAGATCGCAAACGCATTGACGAGTCGGTGCTTCAGCGGTATGGCATCCAAACCGAGCATTCCAGCGAGCAGCTCAATGCAGCTTCTGAAGCGGACAAAGAGACAACAGACGCTACAAAACACCGCAAGGTGGAGGGACCGGATGGCGAAGCATCTCAGAAAGAGGAATCCGCTCGGGAAAAGAAGACGACGGAAACAAAGGCGGAGGAGAATGCAGAGAAGAATCTCGTTATCGTTGAGGAGTAAGAGGAGCATCAAACATCTAGTATGCATCAACCACTGCCGTTGATCTGCGTTTTCTCCATTCCACTTTTGTTTCTCTGCAACGAATTGTCCTCCACATGACCCCCGCAGCTGTGCTCCTTTCCTCTCCACCTTATCCCACTCCCCCACTTCTACCTCCTCCCACCATTACCTGCAGCAGTTTGCGAAGTTCTTTCCCTGGGTGGTCAAGAATGGCAGAAAACAAGATTTCGAAAAAGAAGCTCAAGGCGCTTCAGTTCCGTTCGGAAAAATTCCATAAAAAGTCGGCCAAGCTTGAGGCCGCAGAGGCTGCCGTCGCTGCTGCTAAAAAGGAGAAATCACAAGTGAAAGCCTCTAAGCAAGCTGACATTAGTGCAGAAAAACCACCTTCCAAAACTGCCCAAAAAATTGCTGCTGGTGGCTCGGATGCTGACTCGAAACAAACTCCCAGCTCTAAGAAAACGAAAAAACGTCGTCGGAAGGGCGCAAACGAAGGCGCTGCGCCGGAGAACAAGGTAATTTTGTTTGTTGGTAACTTGCCCAAGGACTCTACCGTGGAGACACTCCAACTCCACTTCAAACCCTGCGGCCAAATCCCCCGTGTTCGTATTCCGACGGAGAAGGGAACAGGAAAAATGCGTGGATTCGCCTTTGTTGAGTTCCTGAACCCCGGACCGAACGTTGTTTCAAAGGCCCTGAAGTTTCATCACACCGTGTATAAGGACAAGAAAATTAACATTGAACTGACTGCCGGTGGAGGTGGTAAGGCCGCCAACCGGATGCAAAAAATTCGCGAGAAGAATGCAAAGTACAAGGAGGAGATGCGTGAGCGTGTTGCTCGCGAGGAAAAGGTTGCTCAAGGAAAGCAGGACGAACGCCATAAGGTCAAGGCTGAGGATGCCGTGGGCGTTCATCCTGATCGTCTCAAGCTTCTTGGTTAGTGCATCGGGCTGTCAGCGAGAGTGGACGGTCGGTGCGGAAGACGGAGAAGGGTTCTATGCACAATCATTCCATCCTTTTTCCCGCAGTCATCTCTTCTTCCCTCTCCATGGTCTTCTCCCTGCGGGGCCCTCCTGTCTCTCTCCGTCTGTCCTCCTTCCCTAGACACATTCTCCTCCCCTCCCTGTCTTGCTCCTTCCTCTGCCCCCACTAGGACACCCCACTTGTTTACCGAGTCATCGTTCGCCCGCGTTTTTGTGTGACTGTTTTTTTCCCTTATCCAAATTTTTTGAAGCACCTTCGTTTCCTCTGCCAACATCACGCCTTTAGCAAGATGCCTCACTCCTACGGTATCAGAGCTCGTACGCGCTACCTTTTCCAACGTGGATACAGAGAGCATGGTCAAATTCGTTTGTCCACGTACTTGAAGACCTACAAGATCGGCGACATCGTCGACATTAAGGTCAACGGTGCTGTCCAAAAGGGTATGCCCCACAAGTACTACCACGGCAAGACTGGTGTCGTCTACAACGTCACCCAGACCTCTGTCGGTGTCTTGATTTACAAGATTGTTGGCAACCGTTACATGGAGAAGCGCGTCAACGTCCGTATCGAGCACGTCAAGCACTCCAAGTGCCGTCAAGACTTCTTGGACCGCGTGAAGGCCAACGAGGTGAAGCGTAGAGAGGCTAGAGCCGAGGGCAAGACCGTTCAACTTCGTCGTCAAGCCGCTCTCCCTGTTGCTGCTCACGTCGTCTCTACTGAGGGCAACACCCCTGTCACCCTCCACCCTGTCGCTTACGACACCACCATCTAAGTGGTTTGGTGCGAGGTAGGAAGAGCAAAAGCAGCTTCGACCGTAGTAGGAATACAACGCTTGTTGAATGTGGAATAGTGTAGAGGTCGGGGGAGAGGAGTGAGCCTCGCGAGTGTGTGTTGTGCTGGTCGACGGTTTATTTGTGCGTTGTTTTAGGTTCTAAAGGCGGTCTTTCGCTTCTGTTGCGTCCATCTTTCATTTACGGTAATAGTGTGTGTCATGGTGAACAAAGGAAAGGGTCCACCCATGTCATGATCGAATGCATTGAATTCTTACTTAGACAATTTGTTCCAGCTCTGCGGTATAACCAAGTAATTGACGGATGTTCTTTACAGCAGCGTCATGCTTGGGATCAAGGAGGTTCAGATCGCTGGTGCTTTCCTCATCCATGTCCATGTCGTAGGAATCGGTTTGTGTTTCTTTGGGGAATGTGATCATACCGTTTTTAACGGTCCAGTTGCGCTCAGCAGCCAACCGTTCTGTCTCCGCCGTTCCTTTGAGGAATAGCAAGCTGGTTGCGTTTGTGAGAGGAAGCGTCGAGTACACTTTTTCGGCACAGGATGCAATTTCGTTTCGAACCATCGACATGACAATATTCATAAAGTAAGAGAATTCGAGCACATTGCACTCGTTGATAGACCGTGCAACCTTATCAAAGGCACCCTCCATCACATTTTGCTCTAGGGACATGACCCATTTGACGTAAGTGTCGTTTTCAAAGAGAGTTTTGTCCGGCATGGATTCCAGGGCCGTATGAAACTCTGCAATTCTGTTTTCCGAAAGCAGATACAGCATTTTTAAAGCCATTACCAAACCCATTCTAGGTGAAGGCGCGAGGGAAGGGCAGTAGTAAAAGGGCATTACTTGGTTGGCATAACGAGCAAAAGAGTCAATGTCGGCTATTTGAACAGAAACAAGAGCACCGTATTCATAAACGTTACCTATTTATTTTCCTTATTAGCATACGAAACCAAGTTTTTTTATGCAGCACGTACGGGCAAAACAAGAAGTGTCTTCTTGGTCTGTAGGCAGTAATAAATCGTTTCTAGCCAAGACAATTTTCAGTCTAAGCAATTCTGTCTTACAACCGTCCCAGTTCTTTTGTTCGTAAAGCTCATTAAGAGTCTTCAAGTCGAAATCTGCCATTGTTAAGGGCGTGTACAGGAAGATGTATTTTTTTGGTAGTTGGCAGCTCCAATATCAGGCACTAGCACACCTCTCTGTTCAGTGGGCACACGCTCAAAAAAAAAGAGCGTGGATATCTTTGGTAAGGGTAGAGCATATACACCACCAAACTATCTACACCGTGAAGGATTATGAGTTGCAGCAAGATGTTATGTGTTGCCGGTGATAATAGGATAAAATAATATGGCAGAGTTGTCTTCCTTACTGGCTGCGAATATCGCCCAAGGAGACTCTGTAGATGTCGTTCATTTAAGGACGAAGTTTACACCATGTAAGGGACTTTTCGGAGAAAAGGCGATGAAATCGGACGAAACACACAATGCATCTGCCTCTAATCATCTGTTTTTACTTTCCCAGGACCATCTTTTTGTGTTTGGTTTAGAAATTATTGTGTATGATACTCAAGAACGACGCTACATTTTCGTATCAAAAGCCGACAGCACGGGTTTCCAGACTTCTAAGCTGTCTGTCCTTCGTCCCGCAACTGTTGCTATTCTTCTTCACTTGGTGCACAGTGAACATGTTAGACCTGTACAAGCGAAGGAAACTGTAATTTGCTTCTTTGCCATTTCTCAGGGTCAATATTTGTTTCCCGAGTCCGCGAACAATGGCAAGAAGCATGTATGTTCAGATACGGATCTTGTGAAATGGTGGGTAAAGGTACTTGAAAGTGTGCGAAAACAACTTGAAGACAATAAAGTGAGTTCTGTAAGCAAAGAGCCACAGCAGAAGCCCCGAAAAGAGAAATCGCTTGAGGTTAAAGTGGAAGAGTCTGTTACGGGACATTTATATGTTCCGGGTTTTACCAATCTGAAACAATTTTTTCCAAATGAGTTTTGGTTTTCAGACACCGTCTTTGATAACGGTACGGCCACGAAATTAATTCCTCGGTTTCCTGACGATCCCAAGGCCCGATACTTGGACGAGTTAGAATTACAGAATGATGACATGCAAACAGACAAGTTTTGGGAAACGCTGTCCTTTCGACAGGAGTGCTGTTCAGGAAAGCTTGTTGCTTTCTTTTCCCTTTGTATTCCTCAAGTCTCGACTGTTTCAAAACCTTCTGGGTTACTTGTTGGACCAAAACTTTACCAAAAAATGTACTCACAATTGCTACAATATTCTTTCGTATCCCCTGCAGTCACGAAAGAATCAACGCTCGGTTTTCTTGGGAGTTTGCAAAGAGTGTTCGCCCGAAAGAAGGGCGAACATTTTCGCGTATATGAAACCATAAACGGTTGCAATAAAGACACCTTGAATGAAACGAAACCTCTGAACAAACGTAACGTGAATTCAGACACATCACGACCAATGAATGTACTAATACCTCGGAAGAAACAAAAAACTCATTGATAAGATTTCTAGATTAGAATTATGTTGAAAAATCAAAATTGATATGAAATTAAAAGAGAATGAATAAAGGGTATTTCAAGGACCCAGTTTCCAATCATAATTATGTACAAAACTGCCACTAATGACACACTCCGTGATCCAGCTTGACTCGTGGATCTGTTCACCTGGTTCAGAACTAGCCATTTTCAAGTCAGATATAATTACATCCCAGTTGTGATCGTCGGCGTCGCTCAGACTGACATGACTTACAGTTGCGCCGAGGCAGAAAGCATGAAACATGTAGGTTATTAAGTCATCACTTTTCTTTGCTCGTTTTTGCTGAGAGGACGTTTTCGATAAGACATTGTCAGAAAATAGTATCTTAACGTCCTGTAAAGGAAGCCTTCTATCTTTTATACGTTGATAAAGACTTTCACCTTCAACAAAATTGGTAACATTTTGGGATAGGCAACAGTTTAATCGGCGCGAGAACCCCGCCGCTAACATGTACGGAGAATGATCCAATAATGTTGCTAACCGTATGGAGTCAAAAATAAACATAAAATGAACGCACGGGACGTTAAGTGCCAGGCCTTCAAGGTATTTAACTTTTCGTGAATAAGTGTCCGAAACAACGTAAGCCTTCATCCAAGTTCTCGACACTGTTTTAAGGAGAGGACGTTTTGACCAATTCTCGTTAATTACAAAGAGTGTCCTCAAGCCATCATCCAAGACAGTACCTCCAAATTGTTTTATTAGGTTTTTCATTTCAAGACGGTTGTATGATGAATTTGATCCTGTGAGAACGAATAGACAGTCGTTAAAGAATCCGCCATTTTCATACTTTTGTATGCATAAAGAGGTACTTGCTCGGAGTTGCGGGAAACGTAAAGGAGTCGTGTTTATAAAAGCAGGATCTAACTCAGTGGCTTTACTTTCTTTCGAGGAAACGTACTCTGCAACTGTTCGGTCCTCAAATTGCTTAATATGAGATGGTGGTAAGTAGATGAGACCGACGGATACAGTCAATTCTTCCTTTTTTAGACGATAGACTGTGATTAAATTGTTTCCCTTGTTGTCGAGAGATACGTATTCGTTTTGTTGCTCTTTTGGAATTTGCCTTGAGACTTTCAAAACTTTGTAGTTCGCGTTTCCTCTTCCAGCAACACGAACTGTGTCTCCTTCCTTGAACTCCAACAAGCGCATTTGGTTCATTTTTACAGTGCCTGTAGTTGAATCGTCAAATCTAACTGTGTATACTTTATTAGCATTCGCAGAATTGTCCAATTCAGTCACTAGCGTAGCCGGGTAGTAGTAGGATGGATGTCCCTTAAAGAAGGCAAAGACGCGTAAGTCTTCATCAAAGATAGTTGACTTTCGGACTGATGGGGTGTTGTCTTTTTCATAGCGGTCTTCTGTGACTGAGTTGTTAAAGGACAAATTCTTCTTTAACGAGTTCAGGGACACTGAAACACTGAAGTCCGAGGTCGATTCTCGCGTCTTCTTGGATATGGGAGTAGTGTGGGTATTGGCATTGTCATCTGCTTTTCGCCTGAAATTCTGAGAAAGCGAGTGGAGGGAAGAAACGCGCGTGGGCGTAGCTTCGATGATTTGTGAAGTTGTGGGCAGACCTTCTGATGATGGTTGATGAAACAGTTTATTCTGTGTCCTGTTTTTTGCAATGGTATCGGGGACCTGTATTTCTTCGTCCAATGGGGATGGAAAAGAGTTTGTGTATGAAGAATGAATCTTTCGTCTCGACGGATTTTCACTCGAAATTTCTGTTCGTTCCGGTATGCTTTCGTCATCAACGTCTTGGAGAGAAGACGCCTGACTAGGGAAGTCTAAAGGTTCATCATTGTCACCTTCTTCTTGTAAAACATCAATAGGAAATGGTGCATCAGCCAGGTCTTTTGATGCAATTACATCGTTAATTGCGTTGAAATCGTCTTGACTATTCTGTTCAAATAGCTGTGTTAATCCTCCCGAACCATCTCCCATTTGATCATCCTAAGAAAATGATTTTCCGTAAGTTATTCGCAAAATTAAGTGTTGTTTATGTAACAAGCATCAATGACTTGCCCTAATTTCCCAATGTTTGTTTTTAATTACAGCAATTTCGAGCGTTATACGACAGATTTTTCCTGTTAGGGTTATCAGCGAAAGGATAAACCACGCGAAATAATTTTATTCTCGAACCCATAGTATAGAGATATTGGCGTTACGCATACTTAGCTCAGTTGTTCTACATGTTCATTGATGTTGCTAACACTTTTGGCGCATTGAATTACATATGACGTTACTTGAAGGGTAAGTGTGTTAAAGAACATTGTAAGACAATATGTTTTTCTTTATGATTCCCTAAACCAGCTTCGGTCGTCCCAAGGGACATGAATGAGGGTAGCGTATGAGGTGAGAAGATGGATACAATTCGATGGTTTAGGTGATTCACTATAAGAATGAATGCAAGTCAAACTATGAGGAGTTGATTATCTTTTTTTTTTATTATCTCTATTTTAATAGCAATTCACATAAACGGAAAAGACGTTCTTCCCTGTAAGTAAAGCATGAGTGAAGTTGAAGACTCTTGAAATATGGTTTCTTTATATTCATGCGCAAGTATCGCTTGTCCTAATACATTTAAATTAAGAACTGGCATCGCCTAATTCTACAATTACTACTAATGGTGATGTCTTTGGCTAGATAAATGTTGTTCGTAAATTGAATCAATTCGGCGCTAGTGAATAAAACATTGCGAAGCCAAAGGAGAATGCGTTTTTAGTAATGAACAGGATAACGGTGGTCAACTACATTTTCGGGAGAATGCGTGTATTGTCGGAATGTAGGCATATCATGGTCTTTCCGTTGCGGGAATTTTCAGTTTTTCCTTTACCGGTCATGCTAATAATGAAAGCGTTGAGCTTAAACTCGTAGTAAATTAGGCGTGTGACACTTGAAATTTATTCACTAACATTTTCAATTTCGTTGATTGAATTTAATTATATTATAATTTATTTTGGTCTGTCTAAGAATTCCCATGCTGTGTCGACTTGTCAGTAAATTACTTTCGGTCCTGGCTACTTGGTCAATGGTAATAATACACCACATGACATCGCATGTGTGCCTTCGGACAAAACAGTTCCAGTTCTTAAACTGGTTGTCGACACTGTCTTGGACATATTGAGCTCACCCCCAATTGCACTATATCGCAAGCACCGGCCCAAGCCCTTTTACCACCAGTAGTCCAGCTAAGTAGCACCCTCCCAACACGTTAACCTTCACTAAGACACACTAATCCATTCACCACAATTCAACGAACTCCACGACACTCCACCGCCCTTCTACGCAACGCTTTTGACTGCGGCGAGCCATTTGTGGTGGCATTTACACCTTCACTCAGCCTTCTCCTGTGATACTACACAAACACAAATATGGCATTTTTGGAAGAACTGAAAAGCAGAAATTTCTCGTACGTAACCGGTGCCGCTGAGGCTCTCTTTGTGCTCCCTCAAGTCTAACAAGTTCCATAGTATCTACGCTCAATGGCTGGGACTCCTTTCCATTTTGCGTAAGTAATTCGCTGGGTAGAGCGTCACAAACAACAAAGGAGGCCGTTAGCGAGGAATGGCGGTGTCTAAGTGAAAGAAACGTGGCTCGTTCCGTCGTGAACTTACGAGCTCCTTTGCTACCACCGTGCTTTTTCCCGTCCCGTTCAGACCGGCCAGTACACCTCCTTCTGCCCCTTGAGAGTCTCTCCGAGTCTGATCGGAGACTTCCCCTCGAGTGCCCCTCGTCCGTCGTGTCCCTCTCTCCCTTTCTCAATCGTAGTACAGAGCTAACTAAGCAATGTAGTTGACATCATTTTGGGCATTGCCAACTTGTTCCACATCAAGTTGGTCGTCTTGTTCTCAGCACTCACGCTGGTCGAGGGTGTGCTTCTCATTTTCATCGAGATCCCACTGCTGGCTCGCGTCTGTCCTGTCTCCGACAAGTTCCAGGCTTTCACAAACGCCTTTGCCAGCAACTACTACCGTGCAGTACGTCATGAACCCCACACGGAGACACTCGCTAACGACCACAGCTTATCTACATTCTTTTCGCCGTCGTCACGTTCCTCGGCTGCATTTTCCAAAACACCAGCCTCATTGCCGCTGGAGTCGTCATGGCTCTGACCGCCTTGTGCTACTTGCTTGCCGGAATCCGGGGCCACGAGTTCACCTCTAGTGCTACCCTGGGCGGCACCGGTGTCGCTGCCTCCATGGTGGTATAAACTCCCTGAGGTGAGGAGGTCCGTTGGGACAAGGAGTGTTTGTTAATAATATCATATTCACTAAAATGGACGGATGGATGGGTGCATGGATGGGATGAGGGGATTAGCGTAGTACGGTACAGTCAGACATTTCTTGCTCTATGGCGCCAGCTGGTATGTATTCTCCTCGAGTCGTCGTTCAATTTCGGCCTTTACTTGGTCGAGACGACTCTCGTTGACGAGGAGTCTCTCATCGTCAATTTCCTCAATGACAATTCCCGGACTCCGTTCGTCCAAGTTCAGGATGAGTTGTTTGACTGTTGGATCGCATTCGACCAACAAGAGTCCTTTCTGTGCACGAGGCATGTCGAGAAAAACTCCGGTTGCACGGGTGTAGTAAAACACTAAGGAAGTGGGTGTCACAGACAGGGTAAGAGCACAGCTGCTAGTGAAGGTGGTGGTTGTGGTGGAACAATCAAGAACTACCAAAGTAAAAAAGAAGAGACAAACACTACTACCGGAACAAAGCTCCACTCCAAAAGCCAGACCAAGGCAACCGAAAACAGAACCAAACGCCAAGAGATTCTCAAGACTAAACCTATAACACCTTAAGACGCTCACCACTCACCTCAACTTCCCATCACATCACAATACACTTTTAGAGCCACAAAATTCTTTTCATAAAATTCTATAAAGCATCTAACCAACTCAACTCAGGAGTCGGGGCAGCTTAGTCGACCCGGCGCTTTTTGGCGTCAGGCTTACCAGCTAGTTAGTTGTCCTTGGAAGCAGAGAAGGCAACAAGGTCAACAACACGGCGGGAGTAACCGTACTCGTTGTCGTACCAGGAGACAAGCTTGACGAACTTGGGGGAGAGTTGGATACCGGCAGAGGCATCGAAGATGGAGGAGTGGTGGTCACCAGTGAAGTCAGTGGAGACAACAGCGTCCTCGGTGTAACCCAACACACCCTTCATGGGGCCCTCAGAGGCGGCCTTGACGGCAGCCTTGATCTCCTCGTAGGTGGTAGGCTTCTCGAGCTTGACAGTCAAGTCAACAACGGAGACATCAGAGGTAGGGACACGGAAAGCCATACCAGTGAGCTTACCGTTCAAGGCAGGGATAACCTTACCGACGGCCTTGGCGGCACCAGTGGAAGAGGGAATGATGTTGTCGCCGGCAGTACGGCCACCACGCCAGTCCTTCTTGGAGGGACCATCGACGGTCTTTTGGGTAGCAGTGGTAGCGTGGACAGTAGTCATGAGACCCTCCTCGATACCGAAGGTGTCGTTGATGACCTTGGCAAGAGGAGCCAAGCAGTTGGTGGTGCAAGAGGCGTTGGAGATAACGGTCTCAGCAGGGTTGAACTCGGTGTGGTTGACACCCATAACGTACATGGGAGCATCCTTGGAGGGAGCAGAGATGATGACACGCTTGGCACCACCCTTCAAGTGAGCAGAGGCAGTCTCCTTGGTGGTGAAGACACCAGTGGACTCAATAACGTAGTCGGCACCAGCAGTGGACCACTTGATGTTGGCGGGGTCACGCTCGTTGAAGACAGTGATGGCATGGCCATCGACGACGAGCTTGCCGTCCTTGATCTCAACATCACCCTTGTAGCGACCGTGGGTGGAGTCGTACTTGAACATGTAGGCCATGTACTCCAAGCTGATGAAGGGGTCGTTGACAGCAACGATCTCAATGGTCTTAGCCTCGAGAGCGTTACGGAGGACGATACGGCCAATACGACCGAAACCGTTAATACCAACCTTAGGAGCAGCCATTGTTAAAGAAATTGAGTGAAGTTGTTGTGTTGAGATGAAATGTATTCAAATCAGTGTGGTGAAACTGGGTGCTCGTCCCAGCCTATTTATACCTGTTCCTGTCGCGGTTAGCAATCGCGATCCGTGGTGTGAGCGGAACGGGGTGGAAGCGAATGGAACATTTTGGTGAGCGGGGAAGAAGGCGGAGGGACAGCAGGATCGGCGACGAAAACTGCGATGGAGACCGTAAAGATGCGTAAAGTCACTATAGGGATATATACGTTCTGGTTCACTATTACAGCTAGTGCTTGTTTGCGCAATGAATGTTAAAATCTAATTGAGGTAGTCTTCACTATAGGTTCGCTATGTGCATATTGGATTAATGGACTTATGGCAGGGTATGTAGGTTATGCAGGTGTGTGGTATGTAATACCAGTAGACTGCTATGAGGTATTTACAGGCAGCTTAGTCGACCCGGCGCTTTTTGGCGTCAGGCTTACCAGCTAGTTAGTTGTCCTTGGAAGCAGAGAAGGCAACAAGGTCAACAACACGGCGGGAGTAACCGTACTCGTTGTCGTACCAGGAGACAAGCTTGACGAACTTGGGGGAGAGTTGGATACCGGCAGAGGCATCGAAGATGGAGGAGTGGTGGTCACCAGTGAAGTCAGTGGAGACAACAGCGTCCTCGGTGTAACCCAACACACCCTTCATGGGGCCCTCAGAGGCGGCCTTGACGGCAGCCTTGATCTCCTCGTAGGTGGTAGGCTTCTCGAGCTTGACAGTCAAGTCAACAACGGAGACATCAGAGGTAGGGACACGGAAAGCCATACCAGTGAGCTTACCGTTCAAGGCAGGGATAACCTTACCGACGGCCTTGGCGGCACCAGTGGAAGAGGGAATGATGTTGTCGCCGGCAGTACGGCCACCACGCCAGTCCTTCTTGGAGGGACCATCGACGGTCTTTTGGGTAGCAGTGGTAGCGTGGACAGTAGTCATGAGACCCTCCTCGATACCGAAGGTGTCGTTGATGACCTTGGCAAGAGGAGCCAAGCAGTTGGTGGTGCAAGAGGCGTTGGAGATAACGGTCTCAGCAGGGTTGAACTCGGTGTGGTTGACACCCATAACGTACATGGGAGCATCCTTGGAGGGAGCAGAGATGATGACACGCTTAGCACCACCCTTCAAGTGAGCAGAGGCGGTCTCCTTGGTGGTGAAGACACCAGTGGACTCAATAACGTAGTCGGCACCAGCAGTGGACCACTTGATGTCGGCGGGGTCACGCTCGTTGAAGACGGTGATGGCGTGGCCGTCAACAATGAGCTTACCATCCTTGACCTCAACGTCACCCTTGAAGCGACCGTGGGTGGAGTCGTACTTGAACATGTAGGCCATGTACTCCAAGTCAATGAAGGGGTCGTTGACGGCAACAACCTCGATGGTCTTAGCCTCGATAGCGTTACGGAGAACGATACGGCCAATACGACCGAAACCGTTGATACCAACCTTAGGAACTGCCATTGCGATAATTGAAGATGTAATGAGAAACTGGATTAAAATTCAGCGTGTCGAACTGGGTCAAACTCTTGGGTATTTATACGTTTTCCCTCCCCGCAGCGACTGCCGATCGTGGTGTGAACAGGGTAAGGGTTGCGCCCCGAAGAATGCAAAAGAAGTCTAAGGAAGCTCCAGAATACGTTCGGAGAATCATTAAGTGCCAAAGTGGACGTAAGGAAGTGAGGAAGCCTAGTGGACCCGATAACGTAGTAGCTGTTGGGTTGGCGATTTCGGAGAAACTATCAGGGGTGGGCGGCAACGTGCGAATAGGAGCGACATGTCGCGACGTGCAACAGCCGGCGTAAGGCGACAAATGACGAAAGTTACATATTGAATGCTTTGTTTTCATTAGCGCTTTGCTACAAACACACTTTGTACACAATTTCCGACTCCCTTACTCATCATTGTTGCAATTGCTAACTGTATCTAATCCCCCTATTTCTCCGAAAACGTCGCGATTTGCTTTATCACAACCGAAATGACGTCGTGTGTTTTTCCGAGTTTATCCGTAGGGGATTATGCGTGAAATACATCATTAAAGTTTTTACTACACGAAGATAATGTCGCAGGCACTAACCGGGTGCAAGGGGGTACCAGGCCTTGGACGGACTGCATTGCACACTCACAAGGGATCAACAGCACCCGCAACCGGCAAACATTATTACCACGCCCTCTCCTCCATTCTTTACTCATGAAATGCTCTTAATTCTACTCTAATATAATCGTAACTTAAGTGATAACAGTAGGCTCCTTGCGACCAGTAAAGGTCTCAATACTCAGCAAATCCAAAGCAAAGTGAATCAAGGGCTTCAAGGCATCTTGAGCGTCCATACCGAACTTGGCGGGATCGCTGTCGTACTTCTCCAAGTAGAGACGCAGAGTAGCACCACTGGATCCAGTACCGGACAGACGGACGACGATGCGGCTTGTGTCCTTGAACTTGGCATAAAGGCCTTGGTGACCGCTCACACTGCCATCAACAGGGTCGTGGTACTCAAAGTCGCCAGCATCCTCGACCTCGTAGCCAGGAGCCAACGTCTTGCCCTTGACATCACCAGCCTCGACGGTAGCACGGAACTTGTCCATGACCTTCTTGGCATCCTCACTAGAGAGGTTTTCGTAGTCGTAACGCGTGAAGAAAGTACGACCATAAGTGGCGTAGAAGTCGTCCTTCACGTCCTTGATGGTTTTGAACTTGACGGGGTCGCGAGCATTCAAGGCAGCAAGGATGTTGAACCAGCACAAAATACCCCACAGGCCATCCTTCTCACGAATGTGGTCACTGCCAGTACCGAACGACTCCTCACCACAGATGGAAAGCTTCTTAGCCTCGAACAAGTTGCAGAAGAACTTCCAGCCAGTGGGAACCTCGTAAACATTCTTGTTGTGAAGCTTACCAACACGGTCAATGGCACCGGAGGTGGGCATGGAACGGGCGAAACCGTGGATTCCACCATCGCGGAAATAGGGGATCACGTCCGCATGGTGAGCAATCATAGCAACACTGTCACTGGGAGTGACAAAGGCGCCGTATCCGTAGATCATGTTACGGTCACCATCACCATCGGAAGCGGCACCAAAGGCGATCTTCTCACTGTCAACGCGATCCACCAAAGTGCGTGCATAGGTCAAGTTAGGGTCGGGATGCAAGCCACCAAAGTCGGGAAGAGGGTTGCAGTTTTGGCAAACGGTCTCGGGAAGACCAATCTCGTCAACGAACAAAGCCTTACCATAAGGACCGGTGACACCGTGAAGACCGTCGAAACAGAAGCTGAAGTCAGGGTTGCTCTTCACGAACTTCTTGATAATTTCAAAGTCAAAGATGTTTCTCACCATCTCCACATAGTCGTCAACGGAACTGATGATTTCAACCTCAAGAGGACCATACTTCTTCGTACCAATGGCAGAAAGGTCAAGCTTGGGCAGACGAATAATCTTGTACTCAGTGATTTTCTGGGTCAAGGCGTAAATCTTCTCAGTCACACCCTCAGGTGCGGGGCCACCGTTGGACAAGTTGTACTTGATACCAAAATCGTTCTTGGGTCCACCGGGATTATGAGAGGCGGTGAGAATGATACCACCGGTAAGCTTATACTTGCGAATAACATTACTGGCAGCAGGGGTACTGAGAATACCGTTTTGGCCAATGATCAGCTTGGCGACACCGTTGGCAGCAGCAATATTGGCAATAACTTGAATGGCATGTTCGTTCAAGTAACGACCATCACCACCGACAACCAAATGAGCACCCTTGGCACTGGGCTCAACGACATCGAGGTTGCACTGAACAAAGTTCTCAATGTAGTTAGGTTGTTCGAACACGGTAACCTTCTTACGAAGACCAGAGGTACCGGGGCGTTGGCCTTCAAAAGGCGTAGTCTTGACAATCTCGATTTCACTCATTATTTCAAATAAACTGATGAATATGCTTAAACGAGGTTGAATAGAGATGCGAAATGAAGAGAATGAAAAAGGAACGAGGATAAAACGGCAAATACGTGTGCGTCAATGAAATGAGGTCGTAACAAATCGTAAATGCGGCGTGTGCTCAAGCGTCCTCAAAACAAACGATGAGAGGACAGCAATGTATGAAACACGCAAAGGAAGGACGAAAACTGCGAAACAGTTGCTGCAGACAAAGTCAGCAAAAGTGCAGATATATTAGGTTCTCTGAGCAGTAGGTGCTCTCGATGCAACGACAGTTGTGTGCAGAGGACAAGTGCAGCAGGGGCGCGTTCATTAATATGTGTATGCAATGACGTCATGTTTCCCCAACGTCAAGCGTGGTCATCACGGGAGAGGGAGGCTGGTTGGAATTGGCAGGAACGCGTACACATTGACTTTAGCTCCGCGTTTCATAGCCAATGGCAGTTAAGAAGAACAGGCGTGCATGCACGAAGAAGTGGAAAACCCTGTAAATGCCAATTACAGCCTTACAGTGAGCTTCCCCGTGAAGTTCATTTTTGAGAACGTTTTTTGGGATTCTACGAATCAAAACTAGTATCGGCGCCTGTCGGCGAAAGCGCGTAGAGCGCCAACTAGTCTTTTTCTTTAATCGGGTCATTTATGAATTAGAAGCATCTAGATCGTTCCCCGCGTTCAACTACAACGTCAGTCACAACTGCTTCATTATGACTCGTGCATGAATGAAGCATCTCCATACTTCGCAAGAAAGAACGTGCAGCAGAGGTGGGGTTTAAAGCGGGGGCAGTAATGCTCCGGCGAATCTACGAATCTGCCTCGATATTTCGACTACTACTTACATAGGGGCTGGTGACGAGTGATTATGTCTGTAACAACATGTCTGTCGTATCGACAATTGGTAGTTACTATAATGAAGAATGAATACATTAAGTGATTTGCGAAAACTTAGTATAAACAAGAATCAACGTGGAACCGTAAACAACAGAGAAACAAAATGATACCAGAGAATGACAAAGTGTGTATGTACGACGGCGAGAATGCGGACAATGGTTATTCCGGTTCACAGGCAACGTCAAACAGCTCATCGGGTAAAACGGAGGGAGAAAGGCGGGTGGAACACACAGATCTGGCAGAAATAATAAGCAAAAGCAAAAGACTGCGGACCTAAAGCCGTGAGTTGGCTAGGCACCGCATTAGAAATAGTAGATGTTCAGTGCAAGACCTGACGTCCAAGGTATACATGCGGGTAGGAAAACCTGTACCGAACGGACCCAACAGCAGACGAAGTATCGGCTTCGAGACACGTTGTACGCCAAATGGAACAATGCCGTAGTGCGTGTTTTGTATGTGTCTGTTGGAGCACTCCTTGTAAAACACAGCCGCGTAAGAAAGATGAATCTGATGAAAAGCGGCAAGCACAAAAAAGGAAGAAGACACGCGGACATAAAGCAACACCAAGACGCAAACCAAAACACCTTCCCTAAACAAACGCGACGAGCAAACTCCTTCACATCATCAACCATCATTTTAAAACGAGCGACACAATGTCCTCAATCAAAAATACTAGAAACATTTTTTGGAGAGAGGCTGTGATACTACCGCGGCAAATGGTTACGGAAATTGCGTGACGAAGACGATGGAGGACTATTGTTGCTATGCCCGCCAATATGAGTATGGGAATGCACTGGACTTGAACTGGTATCGGCGTTTTCGTTACCGCCATAACTGGACGAGAATAAGTTTGTTGACGAATTGTTAGTGCTTAGACTGCCACACGCATTTTCCCAGGATTCGGGCTGTAGCACACCAACGAGGGAACAGTCAACGGAAGGAAGGAAAGAAGGCGGCCGAGGAGGTCGCAGCTGTTGCTTCTGTTGCGGTGGTGAGTGATTCAGCGCCGACCGGTATATGTGCGAAGGTGAGGTAGCGGAACCAGGAACTCGATGGCGGGAAGGAGTAGAAGGAGGAACGTTGGTTGGGGATCGTTCATTAGCAAAAGAATGGATGGGGTTGTTGCTAGGGTGTGGGTTGTTTTCCGGTGATAAGGAGGGAAGAGTGCGGGAACGGAAAAGTAGTCTTGGTTTCATAGAGCGCAGGTTCATGTCGCGCGGCACGCTTTTCTTTACCTTTTTACCACGAAAAACATAAACAATCTCATCTGGCAAACAAGGTTCAGGCGAGCACCTCCGTTTTGTTCTCGGTGCAGTCGCTGGGCGTGAATCAAGAAAGGGATTGTTGGCAGCGTCTTCCTTTAGCAGAGGTTCTGAAAGTGTTGACAGTGATGCAGAAGGTGGCTCCGTCCGGCGTTTGCAAAAGCCGTTGGCATCATTAAACACTGACCGTTCAGAAAATAGTCGTTTCTTAGGAGTTTTTGCTGGTGTTAATGGAAAGATTTGGGCGGCATGTCCCTTCTTTTTTCGTGCAAAAGTGTCCTCTGGCCGGTGTGAGCTTTCTTGCAACACCGGTAGCAAGTCAAGACGACCGTAAAGTGGAGATGAAGGAGAAGAGGCGGCAACACATCTGTTAGGGGCAGGCGGCGTTTGGGGTTCCATGTAGAGGGAAAGCGTGTGTGTGTGTGTATGTTAAGGGGAGCGAGAAAAAAAACGTACACAGAGGATTGTACGCAGACAAATCTGTTCCTACGTTATAACTGTGTGAGGAGAGTACGTCTTCCAATTTTCCTGTTCAATTTTTCAACAAAAATCCAGTTCCTGATCGTTTAAATGACCGAAATTAGATCGTTCGTTAGCACAGCGGGCAACGACGTTTGTCCAGGCTGTATAAACAAGAAAGAGCGAAACGGCCCGTTAAAGGAAGGGAAACTAGTAAAAATCCGTGCTGTTTAACGGCCTTTCAAGTATTGTTTGGGTAATTTCGGGTTACGTTGCCTTGTATGCACTATTGGTGAGGTAGTAGTGCCTAGTGACGGGAGTGCGTGTATGAGCAACAATGGTGTAGTGAATGTGAATCTTCGCTAAGCCGGTTTTCTTTGTCACAAAAAAGCTATTGTTGTTGAAGATCTCGTGGCAACCGTTTGTTTTCAATGAACAAAGCACTTTGTTGTTTTTTAAGAAAAATAGATAAAGTAAAAAAAAAAAAAGGAAAAACAAGACGAAGCCGAAAGTTATCGAACAAAAAAAATTGAGATAACAGAGACAAAAACTGAACTGTAACTGTATGAGAAAACTTGAATTGAAAAAAAGTGCAAACCGTTAAGAGAATTGAAACAAAAAGAATATGTCTTATGAAAATAAAGTTGAGGAGGAAACCGATTAATCCTCTTCGTTCAAAATAATGAGATAAGGTTTGGACTCTGCGAAAGGGTTCTGGGGTTCTTGCTGCGTTACGTGGAGAAATGAAGTTTCCGGTTGAGGTCCTTTCGCGTTGCGTTCAGCAATTGGAGTGTGCTCCTGGTAACTTCTTTAAACAGTCGCCTGAAGACGTATTCGTTCGTTATCCATACCCTAATCTATGAGTTCTGACGTATGTTGTTCACGCGAGCTCTCGTAGCCTTTGTTATATTGCATATAGCACGTTCGTGTGTCGCAGACCTGTTAAGGGGTTTAACGCAAAGAGGCGACGACTCTAAATACAAAAATGCGAACAATAGCCCATTGTGTTCTTTATTTAGAAACACTCTAAGAACGGAGTTGTATGCTTAGAAATATTGCCCAATAAACGATGAGGCTGCTGTGAAAGTTTGCGGCTGTTTTTGCATGTGCGCCGCATTCATTGGACCCCGTCTGGGAAAAGTTGCTTCCGTATGGAGAGCCGGCCAGGGTCCGGTTGTCAACGAAACCCAGATACGTGGTTCCGACGATCTAGCGGGGAAACCACGGCTAGTTTGCACGTGCTTCTGATAAACAAACCATTTAGGTTGCACGTGTTACAAACGTGGAGAGTAAGCGAGTATAGCTTAAAGCTAAAATCGTGTCGCGTTGTTGAGACACGCGTCGTGTTTTTGCTGCCTTCCTCTTCACCAGCGTCCGTCCGGATGGAAAGACGAAATGAGTTAGAAAATGAATTGCGATGCTTACAGTCGATCAATGATGCCGTAACGAAGATACACTCGGGCATCGAAAACTCGGCTAAGAAATTGCAGTCTTTTCAAAGCACGGTCGAGGACGCAAATAAACTTGTCGACCTTTGGTCGTCCATCCTCAGTCAAACTGAACACACACAACGCCTACTCTTAAATAATACATGGAAAGGTCCCATTGCTGATGTAGAGGAACGACAACGCGTTGAAGAGGAGCGACAACGTCAAGAACGATACGCGGCTGAACAATTACGGCTACAACAGGAGCGTGAAGAAGCTGAACGAAGAAAAAAAGAAGAAGAGGAGCAAAGAAAACGAGATTTGGAGAAGAAACGCGAAAAAATGGCATTAAATGCCTCTTCCAGAGCTCGTTCCTCCATGGCCGTTCGTTCTTCTTCTTCTTCCGCTGCACGTCAAAGCATATATGCACGACGACCCACTACGTCCGCTTCAGGCCGGACATCTCGGTTTTCTCGACCGACAGGCGCTGCTCCTGGCACTCGTGCCGTCTCCGGTTCTGCTGTCGGCAATCCTGCTGCTGGTTCTCACCCAACACATTCTCTAACTAATTCTTCCATGGCAACTCGTGGACGTCGCTCAATGGCTTCCACAAACACAGCAGCTCGATCACGTCCTTCTTCAATCTCTAGACCTCGCAGCTCGTTCATTCCTCAGCCCGCTTCCTCTTCCCTTACCCATCATCCATCCACAAACACCGCAGGTCGCATAAATCGCAAGAAGCCTTCCTAAAACCCTTCTTGCATATACTTTTACCTTTCTTCATCCTTCATCCGCTTTATCAAACCTCTATTGTTTTGTTTATTTGCGCACGTTAGTGCCAATTGTTAATTAAAAGTCACCTCTCATTCTACTCGTTCTGTTGTCGTATTCAAACTTAATTCTTTTGCCTTACAGACATGCTACCCACTGCTCATGCTGCATCTTCTCCTACAAAACCACAAGAAGAACATTTACGCTGTTGGATATGTTATGAGGATTATACTGGACGAAACCCATCACGCGATGGATGGCGACGACCTTGTAAATGCAGTTTAGCCGCACACGAGAGCTGTTTATTGTCGTACATGACACTCTCACAAATCGCAATGTCCCCTCAATGCCCTTACGAAATACAGATTGTCTCGGCCCCACTGGATCAACGATCGATTCTCGTTAGATCCATTGGCCTGTATCAGAGCTTGGAGATAGGTTTTGTTCAAACTGGATTCTGTATAAGTACATGCTTTGGCATTACACGATTCATTCATTCTACTCTGTCACAAACAGGACTCTGGGTATGTCGACAAGTCGTGGAACCAAAAACCATCGACACCATGCTTAGAATTCCCGCGTTCCATCGGTTCGTCCTCCCTCTCATCCCCTTCATGCTGATTCGCAACACAAATGTACCCATCCACGATCTTACACTTAGTTTGTGTGTCCATCTCAGCGTGTACACATGTGCAGGCCGTGTGTCAAGACCAACGCTCTTGCTATGCTTACTTCCGTGGGTCAGAACCCTGTATGCTGAAGTAATGCGGAGGCTTTTTGCTCGCGAGATATCCTCTTACACACGGGAATTACAAATGGAGGATGTCGCTTGGTTTCGACAGTTTGAGAATCAACTTACTGAGCATCGAGAACAGATGGAAAATGCAGACAATGAAAGAAATCAAGTTGATACAGGTGTACTCGTGTCATTAGTTCGTGTTTTGTTGGACGCGTTTACGGGAAAATTCATTTCTGTTATTAGGCCAATATTCGTTCTACCACTTGCCGGTCGGATTTTTGGTCGTTTGGTACCAGGCCGATTCTCTCGTCTTGAAAAAAGTATAATTGGAGCTTGCGCTTCAGTCGTTGCAAAAGATTTAGCTGTTTATCTCTTTTATGTCCTACGTCGAAATTGGCCATGGCGAGCTCGTGTGTTGAATGACCCGTCTCATTGCGACTTTAAGTGAGATGGGTAATATTGTAAGCCCGGCAGCTCTTTTCATGGAGACACTAGGCAGTCGGCAGTAGTTTGTTTTCTTCGCATAGTGCATCCTCTTCTGGGGTGTTCATATTATCACCTACGGTGCTCGGCGGAGCTGAAACACTTGGACTACCAAATGATGTGCTAGGATTGGAGCGAGCAGGTGTTCCTTGAGATGGGGTTTTCAAGGAATTCATCGCGCGAAACAGATTAGAGACTGTATTCAATACATCTAGACAGTTGTTAAATTCCGATAACTCATCACGTTAATTTTCATACCATCTATTTGTTCCTGTGTTACATTCATCTCTTGCATCCACGTCGTTCCGTCTTCTTTCACGATAGGTGTTGTTTTTGTTTTTCGCAGTGCGTATGCAAAAGATGCTGCAGCAAGCACATATGAAGGATGGAGTAAGCACGTTATGCTTCTCGTGCTATCATTCAAATATGTCCAAGCAATTTTTGTTAAGTCTTTCGATTCGGGCGCAAATTGGGAGGCAAGTGAACGAATTTGCTCGTACGGATGAAGAAGAGTGAGATCAAAACACAACGAATCTAGTAAAACTTCTTCTGTGTACAGAATCGCGTCCCGCCACTTCCAGTACTCCTTAGTTTGCTCGTCAATCTCTAGGTCTAGATTTTTTTGAGCGACTTTAGCACAGTAAACGACTATGTCACGAACTTTTCGGTTCGTATCTTCAACTTTACAAGCAAGGAAGATACATGTTGCCGCAATGTCGTAGTAGTGATATTCTTTTAAAGAGTGTCGTAAATAAAAACGATGCAAGAAAATGTTGGCCGTTGCCAATGTTGATTGAGGACTGTACTCGTTAGCGAACAGTGTCCAGTTATTAATAATGCAGCCTTGATTCAGAGACAGTTAACTTACAGCTTGAGTTTTGTACCGACGTTAATGATAAAACTACATCCTTTTGATCGTTGAATTTCTTCTTGCTGAAGTGGAATCTTGTCTAATACAGACGGCGTGCAATTTAGCTGTTCTTTTTTTATGATCCATTGAGACGAATAATCCTCTGCCATTCTTAATTCATTAAACGTCGATGTTTCAAAAACACAAAAAAAAAATAGGAATAAAAAAATAAAAGAATTACTGAAAACAAAATGAGTAATTGAAGGTTCGAAGGCTTTGGTGTCTTCTTTCAACAAACGTTTTTACGTCTGTATTTCCTAATTCAATAGGGTCGTAATCAAAGCAAAAGTTACGGTAACGAAACCTATTTTCCAAAACAGTCGGTCTATTTTAATTACTTTGGCAACTTTACTTAGCGTATCACCACAAACTGTATCGTTTGAACACAAATTTACGTGCTACTGGAGTTCCTTGTTCGTGTCCAGTCAACACCATAAAGAATATCATTAATAGAGTTTGTTCTTGTTCGAAGAATATACAAAAAGCGGCTGGTGTTATTTCTTGCAGTCAGATTTATGTCTTCATATGTATGATATTGTAATTCACCTGTGTAGTATCTAACATAGTTTGCAGAAAAAGAGCTCCGAGTACAAGCCTGGAGAACGTCGACCACGGAATGTCAGTACAGTTAATTCGGTACCCGTCTGTGAAAATTACAGATCTTCAGTTGTAAAAGAAATTGCAAGGAGGATTAATCGTATCCAAAACCGTAAGTTAGCAATGGGTTATTCCAGAAGGCAATGGATAAAGAACTTGTGCTGACTAAAATTGTGCAATAGCCGTTCTTCCAGAGTACCAAATTCGAGACTTAAACGATGCGATCAATAAGCTTATGAGAGAAAAAAGAGCCTGGGAGCTTCAAATAAAAGAACTTGGTGGCCCAGATTATACACATGTATCAACAGCAAAACTATTCGATGATGAAGGCCAAAAAGTTAGTGAAGAGGATGAATATCGTTACTACGGTCGCGCTCGTGATCTTCCCGGCGTAAAAGAGCTGTTTGAAACTGACATTACATTTGTTTCAGAGCATCAGCGGAAACTCGAAATGCAACAACGTGTGCTGAATGCAGACTACTACGGATATCTTACGGAGAGCGAAGAAGCCAAGTTACTGGAATTCGAGAAACAGGCCGAACAGTCTCGGCTAGTAGAATTACAACGGTCCGCTGTAGACCAACAGCCACCAGCTGACTGGCAACGTGTCCGAATTGGTCGGATTCCGAACAAGACTGAAGTGGAACAAATCCTATTACAGCGTCGTAAGGATGCCCTTCTAAGTCGACTAGACTAGGCTATATCAGAAACGACATTTTTAGTTTTTATGTACTCATAACAATCGAATGGTTTATCACATGGAGAGATACTCTGGCTGCTCGCATGCCTCGTACTCACGAATCAAGTCTGCAACAACCTCACTAATAAAAACGTTAGTTTTTTCAGATAAAAGCAATGTGACAGGTATTTTTAATCAACTTACCGAGAATTGTCAAACTCGTCTAACGAGTTTTCAAAGATGGATTCCTTGCGATATTGATCCAGGAATGCGTTTCTCTTACGCAGGCGATCGTACTGATCAAGCGTTCTTTTAAACAGCTGAGAAAAGTTAGTACTTACGTTACATTGTCAGACACATACGGAAGCAATACTTGTGTGGTTAGCAAGCATTAGACCGCTAACACGATGATTTGTCTTTATGTATGGTGACTTTTTTGACAAGGCCACCTGTATACTGGCGGGGCCCCAAGGAATGAATGTTGCAAGCTTTCTCTCGCGAATACGCAGGAGTGATTTGTGAACATCATTTGGGTCAGCCTCACCCTGAATAATGTTAAGGATGGAAATAAAGCAACTTTGCTTTCCAGGGTTCACGGAAACCATGCGATTTTTAGGTTGCAGAAGCCGACGCATTACGTCCAGAACCGTGGTTTTACGAATAGTTCTGGCATCTTCGACTTGCTGACTTGTAAATGGAGTGTATGACGTGGAAAGAAAGTGGCATCGAGGTGTGGGTATAAGGGAAGCAATAATGCTTACAAGGTCATTATTCATGTAGCCGGGATATCTCAATGTCGTGGTACTAGCGGACATCACTGTGGACACCTAGACACATGTTTGTTAGCGAAATGAGGTACTAATGCCAAAATACGCACCAACTGATTCTGCTGATGGAAAGTGGGATTTTGAATATGAAGGCGGTCAGCAGCAATGTGAGCAAGAGCGGCGTTATCAAGCACGACAACAGCGTCAGCATTGAGTGTAAGTCGTTTCAATGTCAACAAGCTGTTGTACGGCTGCACGACAACGTCAGACACAGAACGATTGTTGGGAAACACGGAGTAGGTTTGAACAATCTTTTTTGGAAACCGATCGTTTAGGCGTTCGAGCAGATAAGATCCGAGACCGGATCCCGTACCACCCGCAATGGAATGCAAGAGCGAAAAGCCTTCAAGGGAATCGCTGCCCTCGGCTTCTCGATCAATCATATCGACGATGTCCTCGAATATTTTCTCGGCATGAGCATAACCATGAGCCCAATTGTTTCCTGCTCCACCGCCGTCTGTAGCAACGAAAATGTTTTCTGGGTTGTACAAGCTACCATAAGTATCACTTAAAATGTTGTTCACAACCTAAAATGAGAATTCGTATTAGACATCATCATCAACATATCCAGCAAGAGCAACCACTTACTCTTGGCTCTAAATCCAGCAAGATGGCCCTTGGAATGTAACGAGTGTCATCTGACTGTCGTACGTGTTCGTTAGTACATGAAGATGAGTTTAATGCAACAAAATCATAAGCAGCTTTAGGTGTCTAGTTTTTCATACCTGATAAAAAAACACATCTTTCCGGTCCAGTCCTTCCGTAGCAAAGTCTTCCAAAGTACCGTCAGGGCATATGCCGTGTTCTAAGCAAAGTTGTTGCCAAAACTGAGAGCCGACTAAACACGTAATTAGCGACTGTCGTCGTCTTCCTTCGTGTCGCGACGATTCTTGCGTGAAAAAACAAACCTTGATTACCACATTGGCCTGCTTGTAACGTAATAATCTCGCGACCCATGTTTCCTTGGAGTGGCAGAGGTCACTAATGAGAAGTAAGTACGAAGACCAAGAAACAGAACCACACACTCACTATGTAACAGTTGAACTTTTATTATAAACTAAGTAACCTACAATCTTAAAATACTAAACATAAACAAAGCGCATCCTCGATGAAAGGAGCCGCCGGTACCCAATGCACTGTTGTTGTTGTGAGCTACTAGCCGCGGAGACTACGGCAATATTCCGCGGCAAATTTAGTTTTGGTGTTGCGGAGTCCACCGAAAGTCAAATTGAAAATGACGTCCATTTCGTTTTGCCGACGTCACCATTATGTGATGCGCACCTTTTCGCCAGGTCTAGAATCCGGCAAATAATGATTCCGAATGACCTCAAGGTGGGGTATGAATGGGTACAATACACGTGCGCCTTTCCCAACTACCGAATTCCGGAGCGATTATTGCTAGTCCCTTTTCGCTTATTCATAGCTAAGATACAGACCAATACGCAAGCAGGCTCGGTCAATTTTTACCAACAAACGATCAAACTCGATCCACAATCGCTTCTCATGAACAGCCTTCTCCGCCAGTCTTCAACGAGGTGCTTTAACTCCTCACAACTTCTCCTCCATGCATCAGCCGTTCGCAGATTATGCTACGTAAAGTACTCACTACTCCACTCCACTCGTGCTCGTTTCCAAACGATGACGTGGGGCAATGACGTGGTATATAAAGGTAAACGAAGTTTCTCTGTGCGACAAACTTGTCTTCTGCCATTACCCACAGCAAAGCAGTACTCAACAACAATGACCAAGATTTATGATTTTGCACCTCTCGACAAGAAGGGAGAGCCCTTCCCCTTTTCTCAATTGAAGGGAAAGGTTGTTTTGATCGTCAACACTGCCAGTAAGTGCGGTTTCACTCCTCAATTCAAGGGTTTGGAGGCGCTCTACCAAAAGTACAAGGACCGTGGCTTCATCATTATCGGTTTCCCTTGCAATCAGTTTGGTAACCAGGATCCTGGAACCAATGACGAGATTCAAAGCTTCTGCCAAGTGAATTACGGTGTCACATTCCCTATTTTGGGAAAGATTGATGTCAATGGTGACAAAACAGATCCTGTGTTCAAATACTTGAAGAGTCAAAAGAAGCAGCTTGGTCTCGAACGCGTCAAGTGGAACTTTGAAAAGTTTCTTATCAACCGTGAGGGTGTGCCTGTGGAACGCTACTCTAGTATCAGCAAGCCAGAGCACATTGCTAAGGACATTGAGAGTCTTCTTTAAAGCATATCTTAGAACGATGTCTGACAAAACCAACCAACACCTTTTCTTGTATAACACCCGTGTTGTTTATAGTGACGACTACTACCAAATACGGCTATGTAGCTAGGCGGCTAGCTTTTTTTCGTCGTGTGCATGATAATGAATGACCCGTCGAGTTGACGGTTTCTTATTAAGGTAAAGAAGGGAATAGAAGAGTCAGCGTGAGGGGATGATGCATAGAGAATCCGTAAGACGTGTCCGTTAATAGTCAGCAAGGTGCTTGCAGATTCTGGGGCAGGAAGCTCTTTCATTGAACCAGTTACCTTCTCACAGTTCTCCCTCTTCCTTCTGAATACGGAAGTGTATGCAGGTTATGTCTCCTGTGCGAAGAACGGCCTTGTCAATGACGCCCCAGTCCGTTTCGAGATTTCGGACGGCCAGTTTACTGTCAGAACTGTCTATTGCGAGGAATTGGGCATTGTGTTCGGTCTTGTCGTGCATGTCGACGCGAATGTGGGGTTGATCGACAGCCATACGTTGTAGAAAAAACAAAGTCCTTTTGCGCTGCTTTGCAGCATGCGTAATATCGTCCTCAGTCATGAGCAAAGGGTCAGTTATCCATTACCTACGGTGGTATTTTAAAGCAGATGCGAATAAGGTTGTAACTAGGTTTCATATGAAGATCACTTAAGCGAGTTTGTTCTCGGCAAAAGCAAACTTTCTACCCCACCAAAGCCCCGCAATTTGAATACTGCCAATCACAATTAATCGCATTATCCTATTCGGCGGCTGCCGCTCTGTACCAGCGTATAGAGCGGTCTGCTCCAGCAACGATGAAGCCGGTTTTGTACCAGGCAACACTCCAGATTGCGCCGTCGGTTTCACTTTGCGTGCCGATGCATTGAAGCGTATCGATGTCCCAGATTTTGATAACGCCGCTCGAATCAGCCGAGAGAAGCAGATCCCCCACAGGATTGAAAGCGATGGCAAACACCCAGGATTTATGTCCTGAGAGTTGAGCGACTTGGTCGCCCGACATAACATCGTAAATCGTAATCATTTTTGAATCGCCGGCAGCCGCTAGCAGCTTCGATCCGGGCGAGAAGGCAACAGAGCGGACTGGCTGGGTATGACCAAGCAGACTGTGGAACAGTCTGCCTGTCTCCGAACTCACCAAGAACAACTGTCCGGTTTGATGGCCGCTGGCAATGAACCGACCGTCAGAAGAATATGCAATGCAAAGCCCGAGTTTGCCTTTAGTGTCTAAATCTGCAATCTTGGTGTTCTCTTGTTTGTCCCATATACACAGATGACCGTCGACAGTGGTAAAGGCAAGAATATTACCATCAGGGCTTGTGCACGCAGCCCAACATTCGCCAGGATGTGTCCATTCAGAACCTATAATCGTTAGCAAAAAGCTGGAAGAGAGAGGTACAACGAAACATCGTGCACGACAAGCGAAGAAGAACCCCATAAATATTTACCCAACGGTGCCGTCTCTCCGGTAGACGTATTCCATAAACAAACGTCTTGACCAAAACCACAAGTTACTGCGAGTTCGTTTTCTAAAGATGCATCCAGTTTGTGGGCACCGAGTTGATGTGGTGTTTCAACTTCGAATAACAGCTCATGTTGATCAGAAGCAGCATCCCAGACCTTCAGTTTTTTATCGCCGGAGACAGACCATAATTGATCCTTAACTATTTTTATCGCATAAATGTCCAACTCGTGTGCATCTTCTTGTACTTGCGAAACAACATATTCTTGCCGCATATTGACGTTACGGGATATAGAAAATGACAGATAACAGTATTTGTTACAGACTCTGCGAATGTAGAGAAAAAGGCTTAAATAAAGAAGAATAAAAAAAACTGCGCAATATACGATTTTTTATCACAACCAGCAGAAAAACAGACACTAGTAAAGCTCAAAAACTTACTGAATGATGTTTTTTCTTTTCAACTCACCAGCGAAGGAGGGTGTTTGGTTGTCAGCATTAAAGTTTGAAAGAATGGTTTATCGTATTGAAAAACGTAAAGTAGTAAGACGTTGTTTAGAAGTGCATTCTTAATTTGAAGTATAAATTTATGTATAATTAAAAACTATGTAACTTTCTACTCCATAACGGTAAACTACCCGACGCGCTTTTGAGTTTATACCACACCATCCGTCCGTCGCCTCCCCGGAATCCCAACTCGCTGCCGACTGCATAAAACAATCCAGTTTTGTGTCAATTGCTTCTTCTTGGCGTGTCTTTCAGCTTTAGTTGTTCCCGGAAGTCCTTCCGATAATCACTGTTTTATCTTGCAGTTAGTCGTGCTTTTTGCGTGCATTGGTAGTCGCTTCACTTTTGAACTTCTTCATTTTTGTGTACTTTTGCACTCCGTAAGTAAAATTATAGTATTAGCCTGGTCTAACATTGTATTAGGCTTTGAGCAATTTTTAGTCAGGAGTTTAGGCTTCTTGTTTATTTTTTTGGAGGAAGCAGTTCCCACACTTTTTCCCTGGATTTACCTTTTTCCTCTGCTTCGAAACATTCGTAATGACTTCAGAAAAAGCAGATAACATTAAGGTCCTCTCCTTCAACTGTTGGGGTCTTCGTTTCGTTTCCAAGTACAGAACTGAACGTCTTCATGCCATTGGTGTAAAATTGTCAGAATGTGATTATGACATTGTTCTGCTTCAAGAGGTTTGGTCAATTAATGACTATCACAGTATCCAGAACTCAACGCGTGAAAACTTGCCTTATTCACGTTTCTATCATAGTGCAGCTATGGGCGCTGGCCTGGCTGTTCTCTCGCGTTATCCGATTGTTGAGACAACGATGAACAAATATCCTCTCAATGGTCGTCCACAAGCTTTCTGGCGAGGTGATTGGTATGTAGGAAAGGGTGTCGCTACGGCATCTCTCCAGCATCCTTCCGGTAAGATCATCTCTGTGTTCGACACGCACTTGCATGCTCCATATGGAAAGGGAGAAGATACGTATCTGTGCCATCGTATGGCCCAAGCTTGGTATATTTCTAAGCTGATCCGTGCTGCTGTTCAACGTGGACACATTGTTCTTGCAGCCGGCGACTTTAATTTTCAACCCTTGACGGAACCGCATAATATTATTACAAGCTATGGCCTGGTCAGTGACTCTTGGCTGAGTGTGCATCCTGATCAATATAAGAATGCTCCTTCGAGATTCACATTGAGTGACCAAGAATTGATTGACATCCTTGGTGTCACTTGCGACTCACATTTAAATACATGGCGTGCAAATGTTTCCGATAAGGACATGGACGACTATGTGGCTAAGCGTTTGGACTATGTCTTCCATTCTCCTAATAACACAGATGCCGTTAGCAGCAAAGTTGTGTTTACCGAGCATGTCCCTAAGCTTGACTGCAGCTACTCTGACCATTTTGCCATTGAGGTGGTTCTAGAGCTGAAGAAGAAGCCAACAGAAGTTACGAAGACGCGCTTGTCAGAAACAATTGTCGATGACTTGTTGGCTGTGACATACAAGTATATGATTCGGGAAAAATGGTACATGCGCCTTCGCGTTGCTCACCTCATCCTCTCTATTCCGATCATCATCGGTTTACATGTTGCAATTGCCTGGTGCGATCCTGCATGGCTCAAGGTCATCATACTTTTTATTGCTGTCGTGCTTGCCGTTTCTGCTGTTGGTAATGGTTTTTGTATTGGTTTACTTTTCGGACGTTGGGAGTTTAGCGGCTTGTTGGAATTTGCCGCAGAAATGAAGGAGCAAAAGCTTTTGTCGAAGAAATATTTTATGGACAACCCTATAGATCTTCCTAAGTCTCTTGATTTGTGATTCTTTCGTCATGAACGTTTACGACGAAGAAAACGACCGATTTCTGGTAGGAAATTGACCGCTTGTTGTCAACCTTGACTGTAACGTGTTTTGGGCTCTTTTCATTACTGCATGGTCTGTTTGGCTTATATTTTTTTCTATTCAGCAACACAATGTACTTTTTGTTTTTCTGGGCTTTTTTGTATCTTCATTTGTTCTGCGGTTTCGACAAAAGTCGTGATTTGAGATTACTTGTACCTTAGAGCAGATGCCCTCAAGCCTCCTTCTCTCTTTCCACGCGTAATGCTTTGTCTTTCTTTCATTGAATTTGCGACGTCTTTCGTTTGGCATTTTTTTTGTTTCATTAATTCTCGTAACCTTGTTTCCAGTTCACTGTTGTTGTTAAGATAATTCTGTGTTCTTAATTTGAAGTCTGTTTCTTTCTCATAATGGGCGGTTGCGATAATTTATGTTAATACATTCATTAACTTACATCAAACATAATATAAAATTCATCAAACCTATTTACTAAGCCAATCCAGCAGCATAACTTACGCTGCTATCTTCGATGTCTACGACCTGAGAGCTTTGGTCGTACGCAATAAAGCGAAATCGCTTGTCAATGTTCGCTTTCGTTAGAGCAGCCAGTATAACAGCTATGGGGTGCTGGCCGCAAACCGTGTTCTTGGTTTTACTTAATATGCGGACAAAATGGTTGTAATCACCCTCCTCAATAGCTGACATAACAAGACGATCCAATTGGTGGACTGATTGAAAGATCTTTGGTGCTCTAGGTGAATGGCTAGACGCGGCAAGCATTTCAAACTTGCCATCATTGTTTAAGTATCCCGTATAACCAAACCTTAATCCCCAATGACAGAAATCCGAAGAAATAATAAAAACATTTTCTTCATTAGCAACGAATGGGGCCAATGTCTCACCAAATGCTTGTTCATGACTATGGGATAAAGCACCAACCATAATGGGAACTATAGACACATGTTGCAGCGCATTTTGGTTCTGTAGTGCCTGAGCGAGGATCGGGATCTGCATTTCAAGACTGTGTTCTGCTTCATCCGCATTCTCTGAAAGTAACTGAACATGTTTCGAAGAACTAAGCAGGAAATCGCAAACTGTATTTAGCAAATCATATTCACGGAATTTCTAACGACCCTCCCGTACCTTCTCTGTCTATTGGCAGATTTCCTAAATGAGTAGCATAGGCGTCAAAACTTGAAACAAGACAATCTCTTGTATACATATGATGACTTGGGCCTAGTACGAATACGCGTTTACAGTGAGAAAAATCCAGGCTTCCATAGCATTTGCCGGCTGTTGGACCGCTGTACAAATATCCAGCATGTCTGTAACGATTAGCAAAAGAGAACAGGATTTCCAACATCACGCATCAGCATATTTAGAGAAATGACTAGCGTTTTTAACCATTCTCACATACGGTGAAATAATCATTCTTGTTCCAGGCACGATTTGTGTACCGGCCATAAAACCATCTAATTGCTTTTTAAGAGCAGAGAAATCATCTGTATACCAAGTACCGGCATGCGTAAGAGGCCGGACATTTGTAGAATGGTTTACCATTGTCCTCGTGTGGAGATATTGTATTATGTTTTAGTATAAAGTAGCTTATTTAGGAAGTGTATACTACCAGGAGCTAGTCTTGCTTATAAATTGCCAAGAATAAATCCACGGTCCGTCCCGATCACTTTGCCGCTTGTAACCACTCTATTCTCTGGTGTTTGAATATAGTGACTGAGTCTTGATCGTCACAGGCGCATCATTGCTAAACTGTTCCGATCGGAAATGTACCGAAACCAGTAGCACGTAGACAAAATAAGATACTGCAGACAACAAAAGCTCAGTTGATGTAAGACAACTGGCTTTTACATTTGGTGGTTTTGGTGTTGAAGAATTGTTCCTATTGTCAACACATACACGCGCGAACAAGCTAAAGCATCATGGTGATCCAATTCTTGGGTTCTTACTAGCTGACCACTGCGAAATGGACGCTAAGCAGTACCTGGCAGCATTAAATCCACAGCAAAAACAAAGTGCTGAATCTCCTCACAAGTACACGCAAATTCTTGCTGGTCCAGGATCTGGCAAGACGCGTGTTCTGGCTGCTCGCGTCGTCCATTTATTAAATGTCGAACAGTTTCATCCAAATGACATTGTCATTGCTACCTTTACAAATAAAGCTGCAAACGAAATCAAACAACGAATTGGAAAGCTCGTTAAGGATAATCATGCAAACAGTCTAGTTTCTGGCACTTTTCATTCCATTGCATTTCATTATCTTCTACGCCATGGCAAAAAGGTCGGCCTGCCTAAGAATTGGACAGTAATTGATCGCACAGAAGCGTATGTAATATTTAAGAGATGTTCTACAATTGCGTTCATCCAATTTATTAACATCAATTTTGTGTAGTACAAACATTATGAAGCAGTTGCTTGAACGACTAAGGAAAGCAAAGAATCCTACCGCTGATGGAATAAGAGGACAAGAACTTACCCCAAATGTTGCTCTTTCTCGAGTGTCCCGGATGAAATCGAGTGGTTTAATCGCTAAACCTCACTGTGAACAATTGTCTTGTCTTCCTGGCCTTACTGTCAATACCAATCAAAGCTTCCAATCCACTGAATTGTACAAACTTTATCAAGCAGTACTTCGGAAGAATGGCTACGTGGTATGTTCTTCGGACAAGTGAACGCAAACTATCGCCTGAAAATATGTCTAACAATTTAGGACTTCGACGACTTGCTCATTCTTTTTATCCAACTCGTTCATGACCACACGTACTGTATTGATAATATTAAACACATACTTGTGGATGAGTTTCAAGACACCAGTAAAATTCAATATCTACTAATAAAGCTGCTTGCGAGGGATACCTCCGGTATCACAATTGTTGGTGATCCTGACCAGTCTATTTATGGTTTTCGAAGTGCTGAACTGGGAAACCTAGTAATGATGACCACTGACTTCCCTGATACTCGAGTCTTTCACCTTGAAACTAATTATCGTTCTGCTGATTCAATCCTGGAGACTGCAATGGCTATCATTAATCAAGACAAAGCACGTCCACAGAAGACTCTTCGCACTAGTCACCGTCTTTCCATCAAACCTTACTTTAAAGAATTTGACTCAAATGATCAAGAATCCGCCTGGGTCGCATGGTATGATATAGAGGGAAAATCTACAGTCGATTACTGCGAGACTAACCTTACAGTGAAATTAAACGCATGGTGAAATCATGTCCGGGATTATTCTCTTACAGTGATATTGCTATCCTCGTCCGTTCTTCCAGCTTGACTCGTGCAATAGAACACGCGCTTGCGGAGCAAGGAATTGCTTACAAAATGGTAGGTGTGCACAAGTTTTTCGACAGGGAGGAAGTTCGTGATGTTGTTGCGTATGCTCGTGTTGTGGCATTCCGCGATGAACAAGCATTGATGCGTATCATTAACGTTCCTTCTCGTAATATTGGAAAAGTAAAAGTAGAAAGAATTCTCCAGGAGACTGAAAGACGACACACTTCAATGTGGAACACGCTTTGCCTGCTGAATAACGGCAGCTTTTCTTTGTCGCAACGCGTTGACAAACAGTTTCAACGCGAATTGGGTAAATTTATGCATGTCATCAATACCACTGAAGCGTCTTGTGATTCGTCAGCTCCATTTTCCATCAGCTCTATGTTAGAAATTCTTCTGCGCAAAGTCAAGTACTATGAGTACTTGAAGAAAAAGCATCCTTCTACCTATGAAGAAAAATGGGAAAATGTCATGGAATTGATTCGTCAAAGTGATGTTCTTGGTGAACAGGGTGTGCTGTTTGACGATGAAGATGATATTTCCGAAAATCGTCTTGCTTTACACCGCTTCTTGGCAAATGCTGCAATTGTTGGAAGTACGGATAACAATGAAGAAACGCGTCATCAAGTCACAATCTCGACACTACATGCAGCTAAAGGACTGGAATGGCCAGTAGTTTTCCTACCCTGTTTATGCGATACCATTCTACCACACTCACGGTCAACAGATGTAGACGAAGAACGGAGATTGCTGTATGTAGGAATTACTCGAGCGCAAGCCATGCTCTACATGTCTTCTTTCCGAGGAATGCAGTCAAATTTTTTTAGTGTCTCTTCTTCCGAAACTACTCATATGAAGAGGAGTCGCTTTTTAAGTGACATAGTTGTGGACAAAACCTTGACTAGTGCTGACATTGTCTTCAGCGAAACTCTGGCACTTGAAATTGGCGCGATCTTGGGGCGTGCTAACTCGGGTCCCGTTCAGAACATAATGCCGCAGGCTCTGGAGAATGGATTCCGGTCAGCAAAAGTGATAGGATCCAAGGACATATTACGGTTTGTTACATGCAAGTCTTTGGACGAGGAAAACACAAAAAATGTGTCATCAGATAAACCTGCACAGTTTGACATGGCACAATGGTGTGGTTTGAAATCTGTACCAAAGGAAAATAAAAAGAGCTTAACTGAACAGAATAAGCTGCGGGCCATTACTTCACGTTCGCATTTCAACGAACAAACCCGTCCTAATGTCACATCCATCAGTCATTCAGCAATAAGTCGACAATCCATGACACTTTCGTATGCTTCATCAAGTAAAACATCTACTGCTTACAAATCGCCAGTCCCAAACCTGAAGCGACCAGCGACTGTTGACACACATGTGGCAGAACTAAATAGTTTGTCGACAAAGCCAGCGCTTGCTCCAACAAAAAAGCGTTTGGGAATGCGATTGCGTCGCTCTAAAATGCTCTAAAACGTTTAATTCGTTTGACAATCCAAACACACTGCTGTGGTTCCATTCTTTTCATACCTAATTTAGAGTTAGCATTAAATATTTCACGAGACCAGTAACGTCTTACATTGGTATACAGCATTGTCGACAAACACACTCCGAACATTGACTGCATGTTGCAAAATATGTTCCAGTTGAACAGAAGTGACAGTTGGGCGTATCATGTTTTTCGCCGAGATTGACCCCTACTGTAGTGTCTTGTGGTTCCTTTTTTATTGATAGAACTTTGTTTTTAGCAGCTTTTGCTGCTTTGCCTATAGTAAATAAAGCGATGAAAGATTTCACTAATAAGTTAACACTGAATCGTTTTTACTCAGCAAATGCATACCGTCTAATTGACTTTTAGTCTTTTTAGTACTCGTATATCTAAAGCATAACTCTTCATCTTCTCTCCCTCGTTTCATTTTTTTAGTGATCTACGTATTTGCACCAACCAACAGATACACCCTTGATGAAGGTACTAAACGACACCAAGCTCAGTATGTGTATGTACTCTACAAACTTTAGTCCGGTCGGCTGCAGCCGATCGCAAAAATCGCTATAAAACAGGAAGACATTATTTCATTAGCAATAGCATCGTACTGTTCGGCTGATATTGCGAAATGGTCATACATTGTTATATCATTGTTCATACGCATATTAACTTATCGCTGATCATTCGGTTTGCTGGAACCGTGATGTCCTTAAGCTTAAGCTTCGGCGTGGGGAAATCCGCGATAAGGTCCACTAACCCTTAGCCTTCTGATAATATACTTTCATAAAACAATATACATAAATGAATAAATAAAAATAACAAAACAGTTCTACCCGAAACATTAGATGTATAATTGCCCCATTCGCTTAGCTGTCCTTTTTAGCTTAAGCTCATTTAATTGAATGCTGTGTTACCTTATAGGCGGGATAAGGTAACAGCAGTCCTTCCCTCTTATAGACCACAATCTCTCGACCCAAATTTTTCTGCAACTGCCATAACCCTATAAGCAATTGTAAAACATAAAAGCGCAGTCAGAATCAGCAGAATGTCTCAGGTTCAACAAGAGGAAAAGGTAGAGGTTCCCGCAGTTCCCACCGAAAAGGAAATCTCGTCAAAGAACGGCGCTGAGACTACTACTGCTTCGACTGTTCAAAAAGAAAATAACAAGGAGAATGTGACGAAGGAGTCCACTGAGACTGAGTCAAAGAAGGAGACCACCCAGGAGAAATCCTCGGAAGCTTCCTCTGGCACGCCTTCCGATGGCAATGCTCCTAAGAACACATCTTTGTATGTTGGCGAGCTTGACCCCAGCGTCACTGAGGCCATGCTTTTCGAGATCTTCAGCACTGTAGGTCCCGTTGCTAGCATTCGCGTGTGCCGTGATGCTGTCACTCGTCAATCTTTGGGTTATGCCTATGTTAACTACCACAACGCTGATGACGGCGAGAAGGCTCTCGAGGAGCTGAATTACTCCCTCATCAAGGGCCGTGCTTGCCGCATCATGTGGTCTCAACGCGATCCCTCTCTTCGTAAAACTGGTACTGGCAACATTTTCATTAAGAACTTGGACCCTGCTATCGACAACAAGGCTCTTCACGACACCTTCTCTGCCTTCGGCACTATTCTGTCTTGTAAGGTTGCTTTGGATGAGTACGGAAACTCTAAGGGTTACGGTTTCGTTCACTTTGCTTCTATCGACTCTGCCAATGCTGCCATTGAACATGTCAACGGCATGCTTTTGAACGACAAGAAGGTCTACGTCGGTCACCACGTCAGTCGTCGTGATCGTCAATCCAAATTCGAGGCCATGAAGGCTAACTTCACCAACGTCTACATCAAGAACATTGATCCTGAGGTTACTGATGAGGAGTTCTCTGGTCTCTTTGAAAAGTTTGGCGCTATTACTTCGTTCTCGCTGGTCAAGGACGAGTCTGGTAAACCCCGTGGCTTTGGATTTGTCAACTTTGAGAGCCATGAAGCTGCCCAAAAGGCTGTCGACGAAATGAACGACTATGAATTTCACGGAAAAAAGCTGTACGTCGGTCGTGCTCAGAAGCGTCATGAGCGTGAGGCTGAACTCCGTAAGCGTTATGAGCAAATGAAGCTCGAAAAGATGTCTAAGTACCAAGGCGTCAACCTCTTTATCAAGAACCTCAGTGACGAAGTCGATGACAACTTGTTGAAAACTGAGTTCAGTGCCTTTGGTACGATTACCTCTGCCAAGGTAATGACCGACGAGAACGGTAAATCGAAGGGATTCGGTTTCGTTTGCTACTCTAGTCCCGAGGAAGCCACTAAGGCTATTGCTGAGATGAACCAGCGCATGTTGGCCGGCAAGCCCTTGTACGTTGCCTTGGCCCAACGCAAGGACGTTCGTCGTAGTCAATTGGAAGCTCAAATTCAAGCTCGCAACCAATTCCGCATGCAACAACAAGTTGCTGCTGCTGGTATGTCTGCTCAATTTGGCATTCCCGGCGCCATGTACTACGGTCCCGGCGGTTACCCCTTGCCCGCTGGAGCTCGCGGTGTCCCCATGCCCCATCCCAACATGATGCCTCCTAATGGCAAGTGGCCCGTGGATGGTGCTGCTCCTCAGCCAGGTATGGTTCCTGTTTACCCTCCTGGCGTTGCTGCCCCTAACTTCCCCGGTTATCCTCGTCCTGTTGTCCCTAGCGAGCAACCTGCTGGTCAAGAGGCTTCCAATGGTGCCGTCCCCGTGCCTGCCTTTGACATGAACGCTTTCTCTGCCGAGACTCCCGAGAACCAAAAGCAAATTCTGGGTGAATACTTCTACCCTCTCATTGCTCAACGTGAAGCCGAGCTTGCCGGTAAGATTACCGGTATGTTGTTGGAGATGGACAATGCCGAGTTGCTCGGTCTTGTGCAAGACATCGAGGCTCTTAACGGCAAGGTTGACGAGGCTCTGTCCGTCCTCAAGGAATTCCAAGAGACCGAGGGAACCGCAGATGCTGCCGCCGCTGACGAGACTGCTGCTGCTGCTACTGCTGCTGCCGCTGAAACTTCTGCCAACTAAGCAGCAAGACTATAAGCTGTCGATGGTGTCGTCTCTACCGCTTTTTGCTTAGCAAAGATTCGTATATACCATGGATTCGTATATGAAACTCAGCACGGAAAGTGGTCCTTTCTACCGATTGATTACCTTGAGTGGGGGTGGGTGAAGGGGAGGGATGCATCATGGATGGTTTCCTTTCTCATTTCCAGCCCATCTGCGAGTGTCATTGGTAGTTTGCATTAGAAACTGTCTTCTGGCCTGTTCGTTTGAAACACTACGGGACTTTGTTATGTTGGTTTGGGCTTTGTGTTAGGATGTATTGGTATTAATTATCTTTGTTGTTCGTTAAACTATAGCGCATGTGTGTTCGATAACCAAGAAACCATTTCTTATTTTTCTTCCAAGGTGGCTTTGTACTGTTCACGTCGTTTCCGAATGTCCAAGAAATTTGGGCGGTAGCTCAGGAAAGCCGAGTCGGGTTCGAGGTGTGATGCTTTGTGTAGAGAAATTGGTTTCAGTTCATCCGAACTCAGCACCGTGATGACCACAATGGCAGCTGTTGATAAAAGGCATTCAGCTACAATCTAAATTACATAATATTAGCAACGTCACCACGAAAACTGTGTATGCACATACATCGAATGGCAGGTTGTTCCTCGAAACACCTTGGGTCTTCCATACGGCCTCGTAAGCAGAATATGCCGAATGTAGTAGCGACCCAAACGCCAGGAGTAGAAGTGTCTTTGCTGACTTGGACACCATGGTGTTAGGAGTGAGAGGTGGCACAGAGGAAAGAGAGTGGGTAGAGGGGGGGGGATCTTATTATACGCTGTATATGGCCTTGCTTGTGCTTGTTCAATGAAGACGTCGGTGGTGGAATAACGCTTCGCATTAAAGCATTATAATGAAATTTAGTGTGATAGCAGTAAAGCACATAGCGAAACTTGAAGCATCAGTAAATTGAATAGCGAGAACTAGCCAATGTCCCTTTATAATTATATAACGACACCCGCAATTTCTTTAATCAGTTTACTGCAACTCTGGTAATGCACTCAATGTATTTTAGCGCACTTTTTCTCAATTATCCTATCATACCCTATTTATCGCATCGTTCTCGTCACTCTTAATTCCCATTACTGATATTTACTATATCGTTAAATACATTACCAACGTAGTGCTACGCAGGTGCCTCGAGCGTGCGTGCCCCAAGGATGAACTAGGGCGACGGGTGGGTAACTGAGTCAGTCCATTTGGGACAGCTCGACGTCAGAACGTGTCGCAGCCGATTTACGGCCTCTCTACGAACGAGTCATTTGTTGCAAACGTATCATCCTCCATCACCAGGTCAGGTTTTTCATTCAAAGATTCCTGCTGCTCGTGCTTTTGGAGCAACCGATCTTTCTCATCTTGCAGTTCGAAGCTTTCGGGGATTGGTGTATTTTCGAAATCAACGCAAAAAGCATTCGTCTTTAACCCATACAACAAGGAAGAAAAGGCTTCGTTAAAGGAAACCAGATTTTTTCTTGTCTGAGACAACTGATCTACGCGTTCACGAAACTCGTCTAAACGCTCACATAACACCTGTAGAGGATCTACCAGCTGCTGTATAGAAGATAGCTGTTCGGGGATTTGGTTTGAAGAAGAAAGAGACTCTTTTGAGTGAGCAGTGACAAAGTCGCTCATTTCACAGTTTTGTTTTGTGCTGATTTTTTTTTAATTACTTATCTTTCCTTTATTTTGTTTGTTAAACCTCGTTTCTCTACTTAGTCACGGTTTCTTCTGGTTAATATGTTCTTCCCACGAATTTGGTTAAGGTGTAGAGGATCGCGAACACTCGCTGCTACGGCGCTTGCGGGATCGTTTTTCTTTCGTCGAAAAACAACATCAGAATCATCGCATAAGAATTCTTCTGGGCATCATGACGAGACAGGCAGCGATACTGTTACCAGTACTACAACAAAAGATGGTGCTGCTGTTTCCGGCAATGAGGAATTTCGCTCTCCACTAAAGAAAATGATTGAGGAGACATGGGTGTCGATACGAAAGATTCCTGAGTATCGAGAGGCGTTCAAGCAACTCACTAAGGCAGATGCCCCAGACGCTGTGTTGACTCGCTTCCTTATCGCTTGCAAAGAGGAGCCCTCAGCCGCAGCTCGCATGCTCCTGAACACGTTGAAGTGGAGACTGCAGGAAGATGTAGAGGACATTGTTCAGAAGGGTGAGCTCCATGCCTTCAACAGTGGTGACGAGCAGTTTTTGAAACAGCTTCGCACTGGAAAATGCACATGTATGGGAAACGACCTTTGCGGACGTCCTATTTGTCATGTCCGTGTGCGGCTGCATCACCCTAAGGAGTTGACGCAGCATTCGCTTGAGCAACTCACGCTTTGGATCATGGAAACTCTGCGTTTATTGGTTCGACCTGTATACACGCCAGCTGAGCTGTGTACGGAACGCAAAGTCAACGTCGTTTTCGACTTGACTAATTTTGGAATATCCAATATGGATTATACTTTTGTGAAGTTTCTTGCGACTTGCCTCGATAACTACTATCCAGAGTCGTTAGGGTGTTGCATTGTCCATCATTCGCCTTGGGTCTTTCGCAGTATTTGGCGCATCATTAAGGGGTTGCTGAATCCACAAATCGCTAAAAAAATTATATTCACTCAGAATGTAAAGCAGCTCTCCGAATACATCTCTATGGATGTAATTCCAGAGGATATTGGCGGTAAAAACCCCCATCCTTATCACTACGTCGAACCTGACGAACACGAAAATGACTTGCTTGCTCCGACAAACGAGGAACGACTCCTTGCACTAAAAAGAAACGATGAATTATTTACAAAATGGGAGGAGCTCGCGTTACAGTGGAGCAAACTTCCCGATAACGATACAGAAAACGATAACGTTCGGAGTGCTTGCGACGCCGCAGGCATTGAATTCGCCAAGGATTACTGGAAACTGGACCGCTACACACGTGCACGAACCGTTTATGATCGACTGGGCTTAATAAAGGCCCCAAAATTCGAAAATGATTCCGATTAACGCATATTAAACGAATTTATTGATGTATGAACATGAATAATAAAGCTAATTTATAGACTGAAAAGGACCTGCGTACAGCGACTGGATGCAACCACACTGACAAACTCGCACTCCCAAACAGCAGGCACCATCACCTGCACACACTCTCCCCTCCTTACGCACACTCAAAATATCCCACTTTTTGTACCGCACGAACTTTATTCATTCTATGCAAAGAAGCTACCAGCCTAGGCCTCCAACTTCAAGGTCAAGTGGCACTTACCGCAGTAAAGACGGTCCTTGTGGACAGCCATGAAGACGGAAGCACCACAGTTGGGGCACTCACGGCGGAGACGCTTAATGCTACCATCGTCCTCGACCTTGTAGTACTTCAACACAGCAAGCTCAACCTTCTTGTGCTTGTGCTTGATCTTCTTGGGGGTAGTGTAAGTCTTCTTTTTACGCTTCTTGGCACCACCACGAAGACGAAGAACCAAATGAAGAGTGGACTCCTTTTGGATGTTGTAGTCGGACAAGGTACGACCATCCTCGAGCTGCTTACCAGCAAAGATCAAACGTTGTTGATCGGGAGGAATGCCCTCCTTATCTTGGATTTTGCTCTTGACATTGTCAATAGTGTCAGAGGACTCGACCTCAAGGGTGATGGTCTTGCCCGTAAGGGTCTTGACGAAGATTTGCATTGTGCGGTTGCCAACTTGCAAGAACCAAACGCTTATGTTTTGTTGTGCCCGTGACTGCTATTTTCTGTTTCCTCGCACAGAACTTTATACTTCGTTAAACACGTTTTGCGCACTTCAACGGGCTGTAACGTGGACAAGCTGAGTGGGGGTAGTATTGTAGACAGAACAGAACAACAGACGAACATCTTGGACAATGCAGGTCTTCCGGACGATATGGAAAACTGGACGCATTTTGCACAATTTTACTGTTCGATTACCAAGTGCCCGGTGGAAGAGTTCTGATGGGAATGCGCACGACCGATATTCAGATTTAACTCCATTTCTCCAAAGAACATGGAAGGTAGAAAAATGTACGTGACAATGGAAGCAACTTAGTCATTGACTATTTATAACTTAAAAGCTTGCATAAAATTTACTACAGCAGCTAGCCGCGGTCCAGGAGGTCAAAACGTCAATCGTGTAAATTCTAAAGTCACCATGTCGATTCCGTTGAATGATCTTCGTCAGCAGTTGCCCGAGAAGATATTCAATTACTTAACCACAAACTCTCTTTTTCGACCGTTCATAAAGCAGAGTGTGATTCAAATTGTTTCAAAAACATCAAGAAGTCAATTTGTAAACAAAAAGTTGTGTTTAGAACGACTCGCTCTTCTTGTATCTCAAGCAGCTCAACATGTCACACCCTCAGATCCTTCTCCAGGACAGGTGAAACGTGTTGAGAAACTAAAAAGGATGCATAATAAGCAGCGTTTGCTTGATAAAAGCAAGCACAGTTTGAAAAAGCAGGCCCGTAGAGAAACAATTTAATCCTCGCGACGCGTTCGTCGCAAGAATGTTAAGTATGACGTAGGGTTAACTTTAAACGAAATAAACTTGCATGAACGTGGTCTAATATGTTTACATAGCGCTGGCTATCACCCCGATACTTCTCCAGAGCAAACCACTGTTCTGAAAATCACAAATTCAGTATGGCAGTTGCTGGAAAGGACGTGGTGATCCCGGCACGTTATATTGCCGTGGTTCACACCATCTTATCCTTCACGGCCTTTATAATCCCTCTAGCGCTTGCTCTCTCACTGCATTACAAAAAAGTACGTGTTCTAAAACTACTGCACCTCTGTTGCAGGTGTCACTTGATACAAAATTCCGCTCTGTGGACCTGAAATGACTAACATACTGATAGGTTGTTAAAAATGAGTTTTACGGGTACCCTGAAGAATGGTTTCCATCTGTTTCTGCTACCATTGGAGATTGGTATCCTGAGCGCTCTGTCTTCCAATTCTTGATTGCCTTGACGGCGACACCACGTCTTCTCGTTCTTTTACTCTGGATTGCTGCCTCTGGAAGTCACAAAAAGTCTGTCTTGTTCACTGCATTTGTGGGCCTTATTCGTACGGCCTTCTGCGGTGGATGGGTATACGTAACCTCTACGGATGATCATGACAAACACGACATTTTCATGATTGTGTACCTTGTGTACAACGCACCTTGGTTTTACTTAACTTCGCGTTTGTCGCCTAAACATCCGATGTCCACAAAATGCCGTCGTATCGGCGCTGGCATGTTTATTGGCACCGTGTTTCCTCTCATTTATTGGTACATTCAGCACAAGTTTAAGCAGGTTCCTGGTGCTTACACAATTTATGCATTCTTTGAATGGACGCTTATTCTTTGGGATGTCTCCTTTGATGCCGCTCACATCTGGGATTTCAAAGATATCGACCTCATTTGCTCTTTCGGTGGACCTTCTGGTGCATCTGTTGCTTTAAATAAAAAGAAATCGGCTCAATCGGATGCGAATGCTGTTCCTAAGGAGAGCATTTTCTCCGTCCTTGGTTTCTTTTCTGAAACATATATGGCTTTCGTGTTCTGGAGTGTGTTCACTTCCATGGGATTGCTTATTTGGTACTTCCCACTTTGGCACATGGGTATTTCGGGACACGAGGCGACTATTTTCGTTCTTTTGTCGCCTGCTTTACTTTATTTCCCATTTGTCCGTTGCCTCGTTTCAAAGGTGCCTCTTCTTTTTATGTCTTTAAGTCTCGTCGGTGTAGCTTCGTACCTCGTGCAGGATCCTGCCAATCGCCTCTTTACGACCGGCTTTGCAGCTGGTATGGGTTGCTTGGCTTGGGCCGGCATCTTTTACAATGCTCGTAAGTCTCGCGTCGCTTTACAAAGTCATATCACGTCGTTTCTTCTGGGCCTTGCCGCGTCCTCTGTCGCTAAGTTTTCTAACTTTGCTAACAATCCCATCTGGCCCATTTTGCATGAAGAAAATGGTGGAAAGAACATGTTAGGTTTGATCGTTGGCACTGTAAGTTGCTTTATTCTTCTCTGCACTGGTTTTGGCAAGTCGATTCCAACCTCTGAGAAGCGTGAACGTCCCGTATTTTCTTTGCCCATTGCTTCTCTTTGCCTTGGCACAGTTCTTTATGGGCTTCACGTTCTTCTATGCGACTCATCTACCATCATTCTTTGGAATTGGTCTGGTTACCCCGTTCGCGGTCCTTTGCCCCTTCCTCATGGTCTCATTACGATCGTCACAATGATTGCAACCATCTTTCTTGCACCAAAAATTTACAGATGCCGCCGCCTTGTGTTGCACGGTTTTTCTGTTTTCGTTTCTTCGGCTTACCTTTTGCACGTTCGTGATGGATGGATGGGTTACTTTGCTGGCCTTTATTTTGCAAACTATCTCATTATATGCTTTTACGCCGTAATGGTTTCTGCCGTGCATTTTAATCCCGGTGCATTTTACGGCCTCGCTTTATTCTTCTATATCATCTATGCTTTGGCTCATGTCTGGGTTGTTGCGTACGAGTTTGTTCCAGGTGGTAAACTGATGCGTGAGAGAACCCATTTCATTACTGCTGCCGTTTGCTTCAGTATCAGTCTTGTGCTTGTTAGCTATATCACTCGCGTTAAGAATCGCAAGGGCAAAGCTGGAAAGTGCTCCTTCACTGATTTTGAGCTGTCTGAGAACGAAGGAAAGGTTCAAAAAAAGAGTTTCATCAAAACTTTCCTCGTTTCTCTTCTGCTTATTGCATCAGCAATTCATTCCACTGTTACTCTCTCTCCACCTTATGATTACACTCCCTATCATCCGGAGGAGAAGTTATTTACTGCTGGTATTTGGACGATCCACTTTGGTTTAGATAATTTCATGTGGGCTAGTGAAAGACGGATGCGTGATGCATTCAAAGATATGGAACTGGATATTGTCGGTCTTCTGGAATCCGACACCCAACGTTTAATTGGAGGATTTAGAGATATTACTCAGGAAATTGCTCATGATTTGGGTATGTATGCTGATTATGGACCTGGTCCTAATAAGCATACTTGGGGTGCTGCTTTATTGTCCAAGTTCCCTATTATTAACTCCACTCATCACCTTTTGCCCTCTCCTCGCGGAGAGCTTGCGCCCGCCATTCATGCTACTCTTGACATTTACGGCGAGGCTATTGATGTTGTTGTTTCGCACAATGGACAATATGAAAGCTTCCTTGATAGACGTCTTCAAAGCACAGAACTTGGTAGAATTATGCGTGAAAGTCCTCGTCCCTTGGTGTTTTTGGGCTATGTTGTGTCTAATGTTGGTCAAGAGCCACAGACTCTTTTGACTCATGAAAATGGAATGCAAGATATCGAACCTTCAGATTGGGATAGATGGTGTCAATACATTCTTTACCGTGGAGTTAAACGTGTGGGATATGCACGTCTTCACAGATCTACTATTACTGATACCGAGTTACAAACTGGTAAATTCGTTGTTACGAAGGAACCCGCCAGAAATGTTCGAGTGGATGCCAGCGAAGTACCTGCAGGATATCGTTATCCCGATAAGTTCTTTGGATCAGGTGTCCGTGGACATTATTATGACAATAACAACGTGGTTCATGAGCCTTGGTATTACGACTAGGCCCCTTTCACAGTCTTTTCAAACTTTGCATTCTTTTACATGAGGATTTTCATTTTCACGTTTTATTAATGCTCCGTTTTAATGATGCTAATTTACTTATGCGCATAAATGGAGCATTTAAGGGTACTAACAAAAGTCTTATGTAGTTACGCTTATAACATTAATTATACCGTTACAAATTTTACGAGTCCAGAATCGTCCTCCGCAACACTTATGAACGTCTTAATTTTCTTCATTCATAAGCCGCGGGAATTGTAAGTTCTCTTCTAAATTAGCAATTACTTCCGGTATCTCCTTCGACAAAATAGAGACGCTTTTTAGTGTATCTAAATATCTTTGTTTCATTGTCATAATGAAGGGGTCGCCTGTTGTGTTCGACGCTTCGGTTTCTAGAGGATGTAATTGTTGTTCTGGTTCGTTAGCATTAATTTGTTTCCCTGACACGGCTTTTTCCAAAATTTCGAGTTCATTTTTTATTGTATTTGCAAATGTCTTCTGACATATGTCAGGAACTCTATTTCGATATTGCGCAATTTGGGTGTGGGCATTCTCAAGGTCGTTGTATAAGTTCTGTACTTTTGCTCTAAGTGAATAGTCAAAAGGTTCAATAGTATCAGCAACGGAAGGATCAGAGAGAGCATCCTTTGCTTCGAATCCATTGATGGTTAAGTTTGGAAGCATTTTTTCATAGACATTATTTAAAAGCTAGATGTTAGTCAATGAAGATGAATGATATTCCTTTTATGTTGAATCAAAAAGCTTACCTCATTTATCATCACTTTGACTCTTTTCCTGAAAACATCTTCTTCCCCATGTCCAGCTTCTCTTGATGCTTGCTCTGGAAGATGCAGTTCTAGCTTTTCATTTGTTTTCTTTCGCAGTAGCTCTTTAATAAATAAAAAGTCTTGAACACTTCATCCGGTTAGTTTGTGAGATTGTGATGATATTTATAAGCTAAAGCTTGTCATACTTTTCTAACGCAATTTTAGGCAAAGAAGTTGCCTCAGACATGTTATAGACGGTTGCTGGTAAATTTCTAATAACCCCAGTCTTGGACGATTAGCCTTTGAGTAACAAACTAATATAGAGTTTAGCAGCATGAAATTGGTAGAAGACAAGATGTATCATGAATAACACTTGATTTTTTATTTTCTAGTGTCTTTATGATGTATGAATGAATTGGAATATTAGGCTTATATAGACTTGAGCTATTCCTGAAACAAGGCACTATAAATATTTAATAGCACTGTTTTAGGATGTTTGTCAACAGCTTTACGGGTTTCTGGGCCTTGCCAAGATGATAGTTAAATAATGAAATGTAAAAACACGAAACTGTAGTAAATTTTATTTAATTTTATTTAATCAATTTCAGCAATTTAAAACGTTAAAGTCGTACACAATTTTATTTGAGAATATTGCCGAAGCGTTTTCTTACAGAAAACTTATTACAATTTATGCTCATAAATTCTGTAGTCAAACGAAAAAGACCAGACAGAAGGCAGGTTAAAACTTGGGAAGGTAAACAAAACTCTTTATCATAATTAAATTTATACTTAAATTAATTCTTTTATCTAAGTGTTTTTAATTATTAAAGAATTGGGATTATGAAAATTAAAACATGAATCATAACATAAACTGAATCGAGTATACACAAATTTTGTTGCATTAAGAAAAATAGGACTTTTGATATGATCATTAAAAAAAGGTCCTAGTGAATTGAGGCTGAAAATTAATTAGCTGTCTTGCTTCACTATGTGCGACAAGGCTTATTCATCCTGGCTGTAAGCAATACTATGCTTGAGAGCCGCAATGACATTTTGTATCTTTGCAGCCATATAATTCCGTGTCGTCAAATGAGAAAATGAAAGCTGTTTCGTTTGACCTGAATAGCAACAGTTAGTAATCTGCGTTTGTTATAAAGAAAAGAAAACTTACCAACAAACTTCAATATCAGTTTGTCTTTCACGATATGAACAGACTCCAACTCGTCTATATCGCGTTCTTTAATTGTACGAAGACGATTGGTTTTCATAAAGATGATGCGTGCGTCCGTTAAAATTACAACTGTACCGTTATCGGTGATGGCAAATGCTTTATAATAATCGCGGAAGTATCTGCCATTCTTTAAAGTCTTCATCCAAAATTGACCTAATGCATCACGACTGCTGTATGGATAAACAATGCCATCCTTACTTATGAGCCGTGACATTCTCACTCGTTGAATGTTTTTACCGTCAAAGACTGTAGTAGTATTTCGCACGCCTTCCGATAAACTTGAAGCACAATCAAACAAACCCACCAAGGGCTTTGTTGTAAGGCCCAGGATTCCTTTTCCGACTCCTTCAAAAAATCCAGGAACTCCATGTGCGCGAGTATTAATCCACGGTTGCATTACAACTCCAGTTATTCCACTTCGAAAACCAGTTATTAGAGATATTGCGCCAGCAGTAACACCGTAAAGAACATGCTCCGGCCTGTTTCTGATTCGAGCGTTTCGCCTACGAGTCTGAAACTTTTTGTCTAAAGTTACCATACTGAGACTTTTAGATATACTTCCAGTAACTTTCGATATACTGTCGGAAATACCAAATACAGTCTTCTTTACGAAACTTGCTGTTCCTCTGGCAACACCCATTCCAAAGTCATAGGATCCTTCACTCAGTACAAAACCATGGTAAGGTTCGTAAAATATATCAGCAATGCCAGAAGAAACAGTATTAAACAATCCAACTGGATTTCCCAATAGGTCTGCAGAACCAACAATTTTATGAATTTGAAATGTCAGCTCTTGACTGTAGTGATTTTTTATAAGTTCCGACATGCGTTGAATTGTTAAGTGAACATTGTCCATTAGTAGAGAATTAATGCGCAGAGGTGCATCATTAATACTGCCGATAGCCATCGATAAGACATTAAAAAGAAATACAAAAGGACTTCTTGAAGGAACCTTGTCGGATATATCCCTATTTATCCGCTCAGTTCGCATGAATGACAAGTTCAATTGAGCAGGTTGTAAGTGTATTAACTCAAAATAAATTGCGTTACCCTGTTCAGAAGAGACCGTCGAGTCTACCTGTAATGCATCATTAAAGAGTTCATCATTCTCATTATCGTTATAGTTTTTCCAAGCTGATTTCATGAAGTCCAACATAGCAAACGCAAAATCCTCATCAATTTCGACGCTTAATTCCTGTAGAAGCATTGTAGCATACTTGACATATGTCACTCCGTAGGTAGTATTTTTCAAAATTGAAACCATGGCATAAAAAGCCGGTGGATATGATCCCGTATTTTCAGAAGTTCCAACCTGAGGAATAACTGTAGGATACAGTACAATCGGGTAAATACCACCGTAAAGCTGATTGTCAATCTGCAACCACTTGACTTCAAGTCTATATGTTTGTGTAGTAGGCGAGTCGTTAAAAGCGAATATAATATCTCGAAGGCTTAAATAAAGCAGTTCCTGGGTCTTATCATTGACCAAGGAAATACCCAGTCCTTGAACTTTCAGCTGAAAGCTAAACTGGACGTCATTTCCAACCTTTTCCAACTCAAAAACATGCTCAAGCGCAGCCTTTTTCTTATTCACACGCTTCTTCTGCTTGTAAACACTCGTTTCAGAGTTGTAATTACGCAAAACAAGTACAGTTTGGCCTTTCTCATTATATATATCACGAGAAATGAAGAATTCCTTTCCATGTTCGTCGAAGAATCGAAGAGGCAATAGCGCTCCGATTTCAGCTAGGGTAGTAGAATATTCTTGCTTTCCATGCGACAATAAGATATCCTTATTCTGTGCCGCCGGAAAATCCCATGAGTAGTTCAATCTTGAATTCGGACCAAGCACGTAACGTTTTCGTCTTGAATTGGTCAGTCCAGTTACCCGCAACTTTTCGTTGTAATCCGGAACGGCTTGCCAAAACTCAAATGAATAGTCGGTCTCATTGCGTATTGCAAATGGCCATTGCTTTGTTTCTTCTTTGAGTTTTATCATGATCGCACCCTTAACCAAACTGATATCGGCTTTTATGAGTGTGTCCATGCTGTTTTGTGATAAAATAATGTGTGTTGTTCCCAAATTTTCAATGCATAAGGGAGAAGTCCAAGAATCCGAACCTTCAGCAGCAAGCATTACAAAATTATCTGAAGCCTTATTCATAAAGCGAATATAATCACAAGAACCAGCCTTTAGCAGCAATCCATTACCGCGTGTTAAGTCAGAAATCTTCAGATTTAGAGGGCACAGATTACGCAGTATAAACCGGGGTGTAATTGTAATAACCTTGGTCATTCTGTATATACCTGGTCCGCTTTCAACATCAACTCCAAGCTTCATTATTCCCAAACCTGATATGCTCTCGAGTTCAACTTCATAAGCACTTCCAATAGCGTCAAAACTAATTTTCTCACTCCACCTGGAAAATTCACAAGACAACATAGCACGGTTTTTTCTATCATCCTTCCAATAAGAGAAAAGAAAAGGAACAGCTTTCTCACCCTTAGCAGCGGGGACTACACAAGTACTCGTCCTTTGAGAATGAGACTCATTCTTGTAACGAACATTGACCGGGATTCGACATTTGTTCAGGATAATATAATGGCTATAAATGCCAACGCGGTAAATCCCTGGATGGATTTCAGTAAAATGAGCACCAATTCTAGTAGTTCTCCCATCAACACTTAGTAAGCTTAAAGTCTTGTCATGCTTACAATCAGAATCATCTTGGTGGGAGATAGGGAGGTAAGAACTACTGTGGAAATCAGGAGTAAATAATTGCAATTGCAGGAGCAATAAGTGATCCAGCTCAACAGAATGAATGGGAAGACAAGCACGTTTCTCGATCGAGTGTAGAGTTATACCTTGAGTTTCCTTGTCCACTATTCGAATCTGGATATCAAAAGGAAGCAGATTTTCAACTTCGAGTGTTGCGGTAATATGCAAATGAAGGTATGGATATATATAACTTGACTTCTTATGCATTTGCTTTGTGGTCACAGCAAAATTGCATTTAGACGCTGCATCTGTTAACAAGTTGCAAGTGACTAGTTTTGGCGAGCAGTCCAATAAATCTTTCCAGTATAAAGATTCATTTGACCAAGCATAGTTAAGACTTCTTGGGGGACGAACACGGACTCGTTCTTCATACGCTTCACGAATTGTTGGACTGAATGTTTCACCAGCACGAACTTTATAGATACGGGTACTTCCGCCGCCCTCGAGTTCACCGACTAAGACTTCTAAATCCATATGCGTTTCGTTGAGAATGAGAACAGCAGACCGCAATACAATGTGCTTAACATAATCTTTTGAAAGAGTAATTTCAGCAACTATATGGTATTCTTTGGTAAAATCATGAGCGATAAGAGGGAGTAAATGTTCACCAACACGATTTACGTGTACTCTTCTCAATGTGTTCCAATTTTCCGGTCCGTCAAACTTCAACCCTATGCAAGATCGCTCCTGATCAGTATCGAGAGCATTATTTATTTGTCGCCATTCCTCAAATTTCCATTCGGTCTCTTCGCCATTATTGAGCTTGTACGCAAATTGAGTTACTGTACCCTCAAAGTCTGACCAAATATTGACATCGAAACCAGTAACATTCTTTATCCGGTACGGGGCTTCACTTTTGTTAGTGCTTATTGCAGTCTCATCCTTTGTCTTCTTGAAACCGAGCAAGAGTGTTTCTAAAAGCTGTGGTGTCAAAACCACTTCAAGTGTCTTTCTTGAAATGATAGTAAATATTGTTTTATCATAAGCCTGACTTCGTGCCACATGTAAAGTTACCTTCCAAGGTTCTAATAACGGCTCCCAATGTGAGTTTGCAAAATTATAGAAACTAACATATGATGCTAAATTAGTGTTTACGTTGAATTCTGAAGACCAATCTGAGAATTCAATAACAAAACTGTTGATGTTCAGATTTAAAATTGGTAGATCAAAGTGTTCACTAATTAGAAGAATTTTAATCCCTCCAATCGAGAGATTAAATTCTTCCTTGCATATTGCAAATGTAAGTGCCATATTCGCTTCTGGTTTTTCGATAGCCCTAAAAAGCCTTAAGCTTTGTTCGAGCAAAGCTTCTAGATTTTCAGAGATAGGTGGAACTTCATAAAGTTCATAGTAGAAATAGTATACCATGGAGAGCATTTTGTACACAAATTTTAAATCTGTTAAAGTTGTACGTAAAATTAACGGGTCAAAATCTAATGCCGCAGATGTTATAATTTGCTCAGACTCAATTCTGTTAACAGAATATGTAAATCTTAGCTGAAAATCGTCGAATACACGGGTACGCGTTTCTTGAAACTTGTCCATGAACGCAGAATACACCGAAATTCTGTCAGAATTTAGCACAAAGACAGACTGTTGTGTCATCAATAATTCTGTAAAACGAACTTCTAAAGCTTTTGTCGCTTCTTGAGTTCCATCCTCTAAAAATATTAATGATAGGTCTGCGAAAGTCACTCGATAATGCCACGAAGAATCATTCTCGTCTAGCACCTTGGACCTTAATTCAGAGGGGTCGTTCATCTCAACAGCCTTTGTAAGATTCCGTAACTTGACTAGTTTTGTGTACGTGACATTCCACTTCGAAAGTAAATCTTTTAAAGATAGGCAATACTCCCGGTTGACAACAACTGAGGCAGAATCAACATCAAGGAGAAGTATTGTTCTTTGTACCGGATCAGAAGGCATGTATAAACTCATCATTAAATATTGTTCCGTAGGAGATGACGGTCGACATAACAAGGGATAGCAGTTATTAGTTTTGTATCTTGCGTCAGTCACTTCAGAGTCTCTCACTTTTACTTCAGTGTAAGTACTTCCGTCAATACGAACATCGAATGATACGGTTAAATCCAGAAAGTTAACAATTGAATGAATCCTCTTTCGAAAATCATCATTCAAAAGGGAAGACTTCTTGAATAACGAGAAAGAAAGACGAGGAATTCTTAATTTTGTTTCGATAGAATACGGTTGCTGTTCTAAAGGAATTCGTTTAGAGATTTCCGTCTCCATTAAAACGACATTTTGCAGCTCTCCAATTAGTACTTTATTACTCATTTTTTCCTCATCCACTTTGTAAAATCCCGTTATTCCATAGAAAAAATCCCAGAAAAGGAGATACTGATCTTCACTTAAGTGAACATCAATTGGCGCAGTTATTCCATCAATACTGAGGATGTCGTGTTGTTGACCTTCCTCATGAATGTATATAAACTTGAAGGAAAAATTTGTGTCTTCCAGCAGAGCTTCCACGTCATCAGAATTAGCTGGTTGTGTACATGCATTGACATTATATATATCGATGCACACCAATTGCTTTTCTTTGCTATCAAAGTAGTCGAAGGTATTGTAAAACTTGAAGACTCCTGGCTTGATAATCAATGTTATCGTGTCATTGTTTTTGTGGGGAAGAACAGTCTCAAAATGCACAATTGGACTGTGAAGCTTGACCTCAAATGTAAACTTTCCTTCTTGATCTTCTGTTGAAAGCTGGTTCAATGTCAACCTTTCTGCAGTATCCAGAAGAGATTTTAACTTCGACAATTTTAGAAGGAAAGAGTAAAACGTTGAAAAAAAACGTTCTTCAAAGAACAGATTCAAAGAACCAACAGTTAATTTCATATGGGAATCATAGACAGGATACTGGGAAGGAACATTTATCTGTTGACTTCGATACTCTAGATCGATGAAGTTATCATTATGAATTGTAATAACAGGTGTTCCCTTTGCACTATGTTCGTAATCGAAAACAGAAATCTGCGAGAGTTTAGCAACATAAGCCAAATCATTAGTAAGCTCAAAATGAAGAAGAGCTTCAATCAATGAAACGGTCGAAAAATGACCATCTTCATTGTAAAGAACAACATCTAAACGATCAAATCGAATATTCACATCCATTTGCTGCACATCATTTGCGTTCGCAGGCAACTGCCTTCTTAATTCAGGGGGCTCAACGTAACGTAATTTTAAGAGAGGATTCTGTGAATTTGGAAACGTAGATGTAATGTATTCATAAATGACCAAAAAACTGGAAGGAACAACATTAAACTGTATTTGTTCAATGGTGATATTGACAGTTGATTCAATTCCCTTATAAACTGATTCAAATTCTGGAGAATCAAGATCGATGCACGTATATTCAATTTTAACACTGCTATTTTTCTCATTACTTGGCGAAGGCAGAGATGAGATTAATGCATTGTTAAATAAGTTTCCACTCTGAGCAAATTCTCGAGCAGTGAAACGACGTAATTCAACCGCGACTGAATAATCAAAATGGCGAATTCGAAGGTCCACGATAAAATGAAAGGTTGCCCGGAGAATCGGAACAATTTTGTCGTTGTCAAGTCTATAAGCCGTCAAAACAACATCACTCACGTCAAAATCAAACGCAAATAGCTGCTGAGCAAGAAATTGAGCTTCATTGGTTTCACTAACAGCATCCACAAATTCCGCGTTGTCTGAGCCAGACTCTTGTTCTGTTGTTAAATCAGTCAAGGATCTATATGAAGGAGTTCCAGATGTACTCTTTGTGATAAGTGTATTAAAGAACTCAATGTCAGTAACCTCAGCTTCCGGAAATGTCGGTAAAAGATTTAACATAATACTAATGAAAACTTTATACTGAATATCAGTGAAACCGATTTCAGCAAAGTCCATGTGACTGGAAACTCGGAAACGAGTAAAGTTTACAGCCAAGGGAAGAATGCAAACTTCAATCAAAATATCCAAAGAACATTCTTTCAGTATATGATGAGGCGAGGGCTTGTCAATGGCTTCCAATGCAATATCAAAAGAAGGGGCGATGACACATTTCGTGGATATTAACGATACTAGAAATTTATCGTACATAAGATTTTGAAGTTCCACGAACTGTTCACGATTGATTTGTTGGCTCTGAAGACTTTTAAACTTATTGATTGTTGCAGGATCCAGAAGCTGAGAATGTACAATAACACGACCGATATCAAGAATCAGACAATCACTGGAATCTGAATTTGGGTTTTCTCTAACAGCAATAAGAGGTGCTTGAATATCGATAAAGACATCAATTGACTTATGATTCTCCAACGCAAAATCCAAGCTTGCTCTTGATTGCTTAGCATATGACATTAATGCCTCCGCGGCAGCAGCTCCCCAGACGGAGACATGTTCAAGCTTCACGCGGGGAGGTTTAAGGAATAATATAATTGATTCCACGCAGCGGCGATGGTACAAGACCAACAGCCGTTTCAAATAAATTTCGAGTTTAGAACTGGCACTTTTGTTGTTAGATAAAGTGTCAAAATTGAAGTAAAAGAGACAATTTTGTAGCTGCTTAGGCAAAGGCACATTTCCAATATGGCGTCCACCTCTTTCTTTCACACATATTACAGTCATCGGCAGTTCATTCGACCGCGTAACACCATCAATCATGTTTAGATCAACAAGTGAAGCTTCAGCCCGAATTGAAGAGTAGCGCGCAAAAATATTGAGGACAAACTCTTGGAAGGTTATTTCCATCAGTAGGCTTTTCTTTTCTTTGCTGTATCCCGTAATCAAGGAAAGTCCCCCCTTATGTACTTTTAGAGAGAACTCAGCAAGCACATAACTTGGAGAATGAGAAGATGCAATATTATCAGTTTCGTCGTTATATTCAATGGCCGAGTAAAACTCTTGTTTCTGAGCGTCTGTAAATACGAGAGATGAATACGAATCATCACTAGTGTCGTCCGGATCTCGCTGTTCAAGTTCGTGTGGTTCCTTCTTTCTTGTAATAATAGCAGAAATACGGCCCATCCAGGAACCCTGCTCCCTTGTGTCTGCAACTTCTCGTTCAAGTTTTTTATAGACAATAGAACGATACGTTATTAAGTCATCAGCAGAATTATCATGTTCAAGTTCATTTAATCGTTGTTTTTCGGATTTTGACAAGTCCTTGTGTTTAATCTTTTTGTAATATAGTTGTACATATTCAAGTCGGATGTCCCTACGTTTCTTAAAGTATTCCCATGTCCATTGGTAATTCCGATTATGTATCGACTCCTTGACGACAACTATGGCATACCGAAACCATGCCAAGGGGTCAGCGCGAGACGAAACTTTCGGCCGAAAATGAATATACTGTTGGTGACATAGAAACACCTTGAAATAGTCAACCATGTTAAGAAAGTTGCTATACTGACCATCATTTAAAGTGAAAGCCAATTCATCGAATTCCACAGCAAACCGTAAACGAGGTTCACTCAGGCTAGGTTGACGAGATATAATGATATAACCAGAGCCCATAACAGGGTTGAGAATATAATGATGATCACATGGATGTTCCGATCGCGGGATACTGTTTTTCAGATTTTGCAATAAAGTGGCACTGTCTTCTGAATACACAGACCTTGAATCCGAGTGACAATAAAGAGAAAAGCTATCGAGAAGTAAGTTTTTAAAAATATACTGCGATGGATCCAAGCCCATTGATTGTAGCAGCGTACTGTTATTAGTGGACAAGGCGGAAACTTCGTGTAAAGTGATGCCCAAAGCAAATGGACGTTCGATGCTGCTTAGGGTATCCTCATATCGAACATGGATGCGTTCAATAGAAAGTTGCAAATTGTCCGTTAATTTTGTAATAAGAGATTCAATGAAAGAGACTTTCTTGCTCGCCGGAAGCTTCTTCGGAACACCCACATTTCTGCGAACTAACTCAAAGCGCCCGAGCTTTTCTTGCTTTAGACTTTGTTTGTTGGCTTCGATTTGTTCTTCTGAGATACTGTTTTCATTTCGAGCGAAAACAAGTAAGTAGATATCTTCTAACCGTACTTTAAGAGGCTTTTTTCGTAAATTTTGCCATGGAATTTCCAAGTTTAAGGTCCCAATGACTCCAGAAATAATCGATACTGGTAACCCAAATTTGTCGACAGCCTAAACCATGGTCAGAATACCGTTTTCTTCATCAGAAACCCACCTCCGGCTTGATCTTTAGATTGTGTAACTTGACATTGCCAGACCATACACCGATGTTCAGCTGTTTAGGATCAAAGTTGTCTACGTAAGAACCAAGAATTCGATTGAGGATGCCTACAAGTTAGAAAAATGAATCAATTCCTGTTTATCGAACCTGAAACAAGGCTTTCAAGCATTCTGTACCGTCCTGTACACGAAGAACTTAAAATACAGTAACTTTCATAAAGTTCCTGGTCTTCAGACAGGTGTGTTGCTCTGGTGTGATGAAATTGTGCCGGTGGTAAGTAAACTCTACTGCAAATAAACTTTTATGTTACCGAACGCCAGTCCCAACAAGCGATCTGTTGGTGCTTAACACATTAATGTGGTGACGTGGAAGAAGGAAGGATTATATATGTTAATAGTTTACACATTCATTAAATTATGAAGAAAAGTTTAGAAAGACTTCCTTGCGGGTTAACCAAACAAAAGTGTAGTAGTAGTAAATAATATCTTTTGGCCGTACTGTCCACACATCGTCAATGACATGTTCTTCTTCACGAGTGCTATAATCATTGCGCCGGAAACGAACAACGTGGAGTGGCAGAGAGTGCAGTTCAAAAAAGGTATGAACACAAGGGACACGGGAGGGTAGATGTTGTTAAACATCGGACAGAAATTGACGCAGGGATCAAGTATGACAAACTGTAAAAACGCAAATTTTAACAAACGACCGTAAACCAAAAATGCAGGAAATAAAAAAAAAAGAAGTGAGGTGGAATATAAAGAAGCGAGAAGGAAGAAGGATTGCGGAGAGAAACAGGCAACTCACATGTGTCAGGTCTGTCCAAAACAGCATCACAGGGAGAAGGAGCATGAAAAGCACTAAGTAATGAAACAAGCTGGAAATAGCAACTGTAGTGTGCTAACTGAACAGAAACATGGTGAACTTTAAGTAGAGGGGTGGATTGATGCAACTCTGTGTCGACGTTGTACTGGACAAGGGGAAACGGTCGAAAACGAATGAACCTCGAATGCAACAAAAGAGTGAAAAGAGCACGAGATTGAGTAAGCTAATAAAAGTTTAAGAGCCATCAGTTGTTAGTGAAATGCCTAGTTCCCGCAAATCACTAGCGGCTTCCTCGGCCGAGACACCTTCCAATTGAGCAGCCGCAGGAAAGCCAACTGCATTGTTCAGTTCAGACAACATGGCAGCTTGCCGTTCAGACTGTTGACGGAACATAACTGCTGACCACCGATATGGGTTTGGTGCATTGGCGGACGGCGTTCGAGAGAGCGAGCGACCCATGTCACGCTGGAGCTGGTAAATTCGAGCGGATGTCTGGTTCAGTAACAACTGACGAAGTTTCCGTAAATCGTGCCGATATTGAAAATGACGTTGTCGGACAACAAAAGCAAAAAACTTGTCAATGCTAGAGAGTTGAAACTTTAACAACTTTGACGCCATGTCGAGACGTTTGTCGCGTTTTTTCAGAAAAAAATCCATACATGCATTCAAACGTGGATGCACGTCTTTTTCAATCAATCGTTCTTGTTCCGTCAGCCGGGCAAGTTTTTTGCCGAACAAGCGTTGTCGGAGAATCGAGAATTCCATTTCAAGTTCAACTAAAGCATCCAACGCTTCCTTTCTCTTTTGAGTTTTTTCATCTTCCCCATCATGAGAGTCGTTAGCCACCTTACTATCGGTAGCACTCTTTTCTTCATCAGACGAAGCAGCCGATTCGGCAGACGTGTGTTGTCGTGTCCGTTTGTCATTGCGTCTTTTCCGCTTACGGCCCTTCGTCGAAACCATTGAAGGCGTTGTAGCCTTCGGTATCGTATCCTGCGTGTCTGTAGCGCTTTCCGCAGTAGTCATTTTTTCGTCGGTATCCTCTTCCTTTACAGATATGCGAGATCGTTGTTCAGAAGTTGATGAGTTTAAAGCAGGCTCATCATGAACACCTTCTGGAATCATGACTGTCTCTGCCTCCGAGGCAGCACCATCACCTGCCATTGTAATTTCACGATTCATTGTTTTTGTTTCTTGCTCCACAAGTGATGTAGCCTCAAAACGCTTCGAGTTCGGGGGCTCTAAAAAGTCCTGGGACATTCGTTTTTTATGCAAACTGTTCGCTGACAGAGAAGTCGTTTGACGAGCAGAAGAATTCATGTTGTTGTCGAGTGTTGGAACATCCACCTCTCTGTCCTTTTGACCACGGCTAGTTGAGGACGTGCTAAAATCGTTCTGTTTTCCCATGTTTGTCGAATTTTGGATCACGATGGACTCCATTCTGTTGATAGAGTGTAATTCACTGATCAATGAGTCCAATGACTCTGTTCACCTAGGGTACACGCTGTGTTTTTCTAGAACGGAACAGATCCGTTCAGGCTACTGCTATATGAGTGTTTCGCGCAAAATTTGGACTTGGATGGGTGAGATTGGAAGTTTGTAGGTTCGCAAGCAGTTTATGGGTAACAAAATGTCGCGCTCCAAGTAACCAATCAGCTTCGGGCATGGAAAAATGCCCCGCGGGGGATGCGCAAACTGCGGGGACAGTTTAAAACGTCCCTGACAAACGAGCCACATCCAAAGCTTCAGGGAAGCGCGCCAGAAAGCACTGTTGCTGAGAAGAGAGGCAGATGTACTTTTTATTAGATCCTATACTTACTGGTCAATAGCGACCTCAGGTGCTCCTGTCACGGAACGTTCTTTGCAGTTTTCGGGTATTTTTGATCTAGTTTTTCACCAGTACCGAAAAACACCCAATAACAAGAAACGTGATGTATTACATCATATTTACGAATGCACCAATTCTCGAGTTACTTGTAGCTGACATGAATTGCTCTTATTGGACACTGCAAGAGTAGGCCGAAGCACGTGGTGCCAACTACGTCATAAATTACAGAACCGAAAGCGACTGAATTAAACTGCAAGCGGGGCACCTTCCACTCTACTGACAAGAAACCAACCAGCAGGCTCGGTGGAACGGGATGTGGTGGACTTATTAATGTATGCGTTTTTAGAAAGAATTACGCGAGTTCTTACTCTTTACTCCATACGGGAGCGAATTTGCTCACCAAGCTCAGAGAGCTCCTCCTTGGAGATGGAGAAGGAGGGCCAGCCGACGACCAAACCGAATTCGGTGTTAGGCTTGGGGATGACGTGGACATGGACGTGGCCGACTTCTTGGTGGGCCAAGCGACCGTTGTTTTGGAGGATGTTGAAGTTCTCAGCACCAGTAGCCTTAGCAACACGCTTAGCCAATGGAAGAAGATCAGCACATGACTCGTCACTCAGATCGGTAAGTCTCTCACCGTGTTCCTTAGGGATAACGAGAGCATGACCTTTGCTAGTGGGAGCAATGTCCATGAACGCGAGAGACTTGGCTGTCTCGGCGATTTTGATGCAGGGAATTTCACCTTTGATGATACGACAGAAAATACAAGACATGGTGTTCTGTGGGTGTGTGCAGACGGATAAACGAGATTGGTTACATGGTGGACATATATGGTGTTGCTTTGATCGACAGTAAATCGTTGAGTTGATCGGCACTAAAGCGACAGAGCAAGTGGAAGGGTGAGGTCGAGGATAGGTAAGCACTGGGACGCATTATGGAAATTTCACCACCGTAGATCTACGATTAGCCGCATTTTAGTTGCAGATCCTCCACACCACCACAAATGTGATCGACGGTGATACTTGAAAATCATTGCTTTTTGAATCGACCTCAACACACTAAGTCAATTGTTGGTGCCGTGCACCATTTGCCTTGGTTTTTGTGTACTTGTAATATTCTATATCAGGAGCAAACGAACACTCGTTACTCGTGAGAAATCTACGAAACGCACGAAGCATACGGGTGTTCTTTTTTTTATAAAAGACACTATCTGATTTGCTACTAATACTTTTTTCCGTGAAAAAAAACAGTTTTCCGGTGTGCTAGAATTTTTATTTTTATTTCTTTCATTTTTCGATTTTTTTTATCTTTTATTCAAGTCTTGGCTTCACGCAGTTTTTGGGCCTTTTCTACCTTAATCTTTTAATATTTGCATTTCCTCTATTTATTTGGTCCAGTCTTATTCACACGTTTCTCCTTTCTCTCTCGTGATGGTCGTTATCGAAGACAATACATTTATAGCATGGGCTAATATGACTGCCTCCATGTTTCAGGCCCAGGCTGCCTATGCAAACGCTTACCAACGGACTCAGCCTGTGACACAGACTCCTCAGCCCTCACAGAATCCACCTACTATACCGGGTCTTCGTGCATTACAGAATCAATTGCTGCAAGGTACGCCTCCATTCGAGGTGCCAACAACAGAAGAGTCCACCTTACCGAGTTTAGAGTGTTTACGAGATCCTAATCTGTCTATTCTTCAAACTGAGTCTACCACAAAACCACCTGTCTCATTTCCAAAGGCACCACGTGCACTTTTGCATACTCTTCCGCCACATGTAACTGCTCCTTCCCGGTCAGATGAATTACATACGCTAGTGGAAGACTCGCTCAAAGAGGAAGAGGAATCGCTCGATCAATATAAGGCACTCTTTTGCCATAAACGTCCTCTCGACGATTATGTAAATACTTTGGAAGAAAGCGGTTACCGTGTTGACGAGACGAATTCGTTTTTAAAACATGTTGAGGGTGATCGTTACCATCCAATCGATGTAGATGTTGCTATGTCTAAACGGTACAAACTTACAACTACCACGAAAACCACACGGCGGGTGACGGAAAAGAAGACGACGTCAACAGCAACGGTAGCGACGACAGGCCTAAAACCCCGCGTTCCTGATGGCACTGTTGTGGGAGCCAGCGCACCACCTTTGCGTAGGGGTAAAGGCCTTAAGCTGCTTCAGAGTATGGGTTGGTCTGAAGGCCTCGGTTTGGGTTCCAGCAACCAAGGTGTAGTCGAGCCTGTTAAGGCTGTCGTAAAGAACAACAAGAGGGGACTTTCAGAAATGAATGCTGAAGGGGTACCAGTCCAAGCATTAAGCGTTGCTCATCGGAATAATATGCCTAATTTTCCAGAGGCACCCAAGGCCAAAGCGAGAAACGGAATGATAACAAGAGCAAAGCCGAAAACAAAGCCAAAAACTCAGGCGAAAACAAAAGCAAGAACAAAAACCAAACGCAAACAAACCACGAGAAAAGTTACGAAGAAAACTACAAAAAAGGCAGCTACGAAGAGGACTACAAAGAAGACTACGGGTAGAACTAAAGCCACCAAGGTAAAAATTGAGAAGGGTGCTTCAAGAGCCAAAAATAAAACGTCTGCTGCAGCTACGAAATCCAAGGGAAAACATCACATCTGGGTGTAATCCGCAAGTCTCTTTTTACTCAGCTTCCCTGACCCAGCTTCACTCCCTTCCTCTTCCTTCATATCTTTTATAGAAATGTGGAGCATTTCCACAGAGTATTTTCATTACTGTGTTATACATCCGTGAACTGTGATCCGCTGTGTTAATGTATATTTACATGCTGGCAAGGGAGAAACGGATCAGACTGAAACAAAGAGTTAGTAATGGACTTGATGAAACTCATATACACTGCACAGTGCATGTTCGTCACATACGTTTAGGTACACGGAGCTTCTTACTGGTCATGGCGAAACCGCTGATGGCGAAAAGGAAGACCATGGGATGAACCTTGAAGCAAGTTTCGGCTGCCCAAAGTCCACCGGGAAGCTGTTCATGAATTTTTCCCCGGAGAGTACACAGACCGAGGACGAAGACGAGACTCAATGTCGTGGGAATTGGGGTGCCCTCAAAGAACTGAGATTTTCCGTTTTTGTCTTTGGGAATGTAGTTCACCGACACATTAAAGCGCGCAAGCCGTGAAAGACCGCATAAAACGAAGAATGCCAATACGATAGTATCCAAAGTCGTGCGAAAGCCACAAACAAATGCAAAAACTGCAGGTGCAACACCGAAGGAAATCTGCTGTGTTAGAATGCGATCGGGACAGCAGAGCGGCAGAAAGACGGAAGGAAGTGTTGAACTCTTTGAATTCCATCTACATCTCAATTCTGTCAATCCATGTAACATACCAAATCTGCCAAACTGTCCAATTCTTGACCCATTAAAGACGACTTTCCACGCCAGCGGGCCACTTTACCATCCATGAAATCAAAGAGCAAACCACAGGGCATTAAAAGCAGTGCTTTCCACAAGTTGCTATAGTCGTATTGATCGCCCAAACAATACCGCAGACTCGTAAAAATGCTCATAACGCCACAGAATCCATTCATTTCTGTGAGTAAATCGGCCAGATGAAGTGCACTGCACGAGAACATGTATTAGCCATTTTGTTTCGATTGTCGACGGATACAACACTTGACATACCGGATCAAAGAGAAGTGTCTATTATCATTAACATATTGGAGCATCTTCCCCTCCTTCTCAGCCGAAAAAGCCTTCGTCTTAGGCGCGTCCTTCTTCCATGTTTGCATATTGAACTGTGTCTAGCAATATGTTGTTGTAGATCGGCAATAATTGTCGTGCCCCGTCCCTTAGTCGCGGGAGACTTTTGCTGGAAGGAACTCGCTAATATTGCTTTGCCATCTCCTTGATTGGTGGTCTTCTCTCGTAAGGTCTCGGTTACCGGACCAATAAGGAACTGCAATTGCAGTAAGCGAGCGAAGGGCACGTGATAATGGCGAAAAGCAATCACGTGCTCTATCACGTGAAAGGGGTGCCTTCCACGCGGTAATAACATTTGTGTAAGCGAAACCTTAAACTGAAGCAGATGAAATGAATGCATTCACTTTGTGGCTACGAAGGAAGACATGACTGAAACTAGTTGTATACAATTAACATCCTGTCCATAAGCTGTAATAGTATACGTTCCTGACCGACATCGCACCCGTCTGCCGTCCTCCCTACTCGTCCCTAATCGGCTCTTTTCGACATGTGTATTTTTTTCTGTACAAAAAACTAAGGGGATGATGACTGGGAACGATTGTCAGCAATGGCCATAAGTACCGGTCACCGGTAAGCAAACGAAACAAACAGTGGCTGCTAGAGGACAGGAATAAGAGCGACAGACCACAGACCCATGAAGAGGAGCGCACGTAATTTGAACTGACGAATCCGCCCACATCGTTGGTTTACGAAGTAGACGAGTAACGCGGAGTGCGCACCAAGGGCTTTTTTGAGGGGCAAGGAAAGGGTGTGCATGTGTTTGGTATATGCAAGTGATCAACACTTACAGAGTAAGACGGGGGAACACAAGGAAGGTAGATGGGATCCGGTTATTTGGGTGGAATCGGGTTTTGCATCCAGGAGAGAACTCTCACAGGGAGAGCTCTATTCCATTCCACTGGGGACATCAATAACGAAAATTGATCGCTTAGAAACGTCCACGACCACCGTAACCACCACGAGAACCACCACGGTTGTTGAAACCACCGCGGCCACCAAAACCGCCTCGAGAGCCACCACGACCACCAAATCCTCCACGGTTTCCGCCGAATCCACCGCGAGAACCTCCACGACCACCGAAGCCGCCACGGCCACCGAAGCCTCCGCGACCACCGAAACCGCCGCGGCCTCCACGGCCACCAGCAGTCTTGGGTTTCTTAGGACCAGCAACCTTAGGCTTGGGCAAGAAACGCTCCAAGGGAAGAAGCTTGTCTCCACCAATAAACACCTTGTCACCGGGCTTGAAGGAGCCGGCAACAACACCATCCATGGGCTTCACAGTGAAATAAACTTGGTTCATGGGACCGAGAATTTCGTCGATTTTTCCGATTTGAGACTAAAACTTGTCAGTAAAAAGGTTCAGAAGAGGAGGAAAAGAGAGTAAAGAGCACAAAATAAAAAAATCTTTGAACAGATAACGCTGAAATCCTCTTCACTTAACCTACCTTGTTCTCCAAGTAAATAGGGGCATTAAAGTATGGAATCTTAGGGTTTGTAGACTCACAAACCATATCTCCTTCACAGTCATGGACAAAGGTACCCAGTTCTAAAAAAAAAGGTTAGAACCCATTCCCAAAACTCGAAAAAAAAAACCAAAATCTCGTCTACCGCTTGCCAACTAGACAAACATACCCAAAACTTGATCGGGAGGACCATAGGACATAGGCTGCCGCGAGCCACCACGTCCGCCTCTAAAACTGCCGCCACGACCACCTCTGAAGCTCATTTTTATAGGAGGTGTTTTTGTTGTTAAGGGTTTTGGCTCTGCGCAAAAATTTCCACCATTGCTGACTGGTGTTTCGCCGTCACACCTCCGGTGAGGGTGAATGGTAGGAATACCACCACAACACCGACAGCCGTAACTGCTACTACTACCACAGAACGTGTGTAAAAAACTCAATTCGCGGAACGTTTTGACCCTTTTTTGTTAAGTAAGTAGTCAATTGACGGAAATTTTAATTACGCGCTTTGGAATGAACAAAATTGGCAGAAATCGCGACACGTTACGACTGTTAACGCATTTCGGCACTCTTTTACCGCGGTTCATCCATTGATGTGGCATATAATGACTGGAACTTGTTGATTTTGAAAGTCCTATTTGCCCTTTGTGCTGATTTCCAACCGCAATATTTATTGAATTCTTTTTACTAACGAAGATTTTAGAGGAAATGGCTTCGGTGGAGAAACAACTGAAGAACATGGCTTTGGAGGAGCCCGAGTACATTCAGTACCGTATTGCTATGTTTGAGCAGCTCCAAAAGGAGTACAAGGAATTTATTGCTGCTCAACCCCGCAAGACTATTACGGTTACTTTGCCTGATGGAAGTACTCGTGAGGCTACGAGCTGGGAGACTACGCCCATGGACATTGCTGTCTCCATCTCCAAGGGTCTGGCTGACCGCACTGTCATTTCCAAGGTGAATGACCAACTTTGGGATCTTACTCGTCCCCTCGAGGACTCTTGCACTTTGAAGCTTCTTGACTTTAACGATCCCGAAGGCAAGCGTGTTTTCTGGCACTCTAGTGCTCACATTTTGGGTGAGGCTAGTGAGTTGCATTTTGGATGCCATTTATGCATTGGTCCTCCCACTACTGATGGCTTTTTCTACGAAATGGCCATCGATGACAACAAGACCGTCACCACTGAGGATTACCCTGCTTTGGAGGCTTTGGCCAAGAATGCCATTAAACAGAAGCAACCTTTTGAGCGTTTGATCGTCTCCAAGGAAAACTTGTTGAAGATGTTCAAGCACAACAAGTACAAGCAACACATTATCGAAAGCAAGATTCCCGACGGAACTAGCACCACTGTCTACCGTTGCGGTCCCCTCATCGATCTTTGCGTCGGTCCCCACGTTCCTCACACCGGTCGTGTGAAGGCTTTCGCCGTTATGAAGAACTCTTCTTCTTACTTTTTGGGTGATGCCAAGAACGATTCTTTGCAACGTATCTACGGTGTGAGTTTCCCCGATAACAAGCAAATGAGTGAGTATAAAAAGTTCCTTGCCGAGGCCGCCAAGCGTGACCATCGTAAGATTGGCCGTGAACAGGACTTGTTCTTCTTCCACGAGCTTTCCCCCGGTAGTTGTTTCTTCTTGCCTCATGGTGCTCGTATTTACAATCAACTTATCGCTTGGATTCGTGAGCAATACAAGATCCGTGGTTTCCAAGAGGTTATTACACCCAACATGTACAACGTTGATTTGTGGAAGACATCTGGTCACTGGAACAACTATGCCGAGAACATGTTCTCTTTTGAAATTGAGAAGGATAAGTTTGCCTTGAAGCCCATGAACTGCCCTGGTCACTGTCTGATTTACAAGAGCCGTGACCGCAGTTACCGTGATCTTCCCTGGCGTTGTGCTGACTTTGGTGTTCTCCACCGTAATGAGTTTTCCGGTGCTTTGACTGGTTTGACTCGTGTCCGTCGTTTCCAACAAGATGATGCTCACATCTTCTGCCGTCCCGACCAAGTTCGTTCTGAGATTGAGAACTGCTTCGACTTCCTCAAATACGTTTATGGAGTGTTCGGCTTCACTTTCCACTTGGAGCTTTCTACCCGTCCCGAAGAGAAGTATTTGGGTGACCTCGAAACCTGGAACAAGGCCGAGGCTCAATTGAAGGCCGCTTTGGATGCCTCTGGTTATGAGTGGGAGTTGAATGAGGGTGACGGTGCTTTCTACGGTCCCAAGATCGATATCACAGTTTTCGATGCTTTGAAGAGACAACATCAATGTGCAACCATTCAATTGGATTTCCAACTTCCTGAGCGCTTTGAGCTCGAGTTTCATGGTACTACCGAGGGTGATGAGGCTGCCGACTCTACGAACAAGAACAAGTACATTCGCCCTGTCATGATCCACCGTGCTATTTTGGGCAGTGTTGAACGTATGATTGCCATCCTTACTGAACATTATGGTGGTAAGTGGCCCTTCTGGCTTTCTCCTCGCCAAGTCTCTGTTGTTCCTGTTTCTGCTGCTGCTTTCGACTACGCCAACAAGGTTCAAAAGCGCTTGTTCGACGCCGGTCTCTTCGCTGACGTTGACACCTCCGATAACACTTTGCCCAAAAAGATTCGTAACGCCCAACTCTCTCAGTACAATTTCATCTTTGTTGTCGGTGCTGAGGAGGAGAAGACGAACAGTGTCAACATCCGTAACCGTGATGATCCCAAGAAGCAAGCCAAGACGGCCACTGTTCCCCTTGATGAGGTTGTTGCTAAGCTTGTTGCTTTGAAGGAAACTAAGAACCCCGTCAACCAAATCTAATTACGTTCAAGTGATCACAGTCTTTACGGGATAGGTAGTAGTAGATAGAGGACTGCATACGTAAGCTATATCTTTTAACATAAAGATGTATGTTAAAAATTGTATTCAATACAAATCATGGTTTGTTTTTTTGTGCGTGAATATTTCATTTCAATCTTGAATTATAAACATTTGTATCTAGTTAAGTCTCGACAAAACATGCAATAAATAATCAAAACAAACGTGCGAAGCTATTTAACATGTTTTCCGGAAAAAAGCTCACGTTTCTTCATTTCATTGATATTTCCGTTCGTGAGCGCTTACGGTACCTCCATTGTAGTATCCGTTCACCAAGTCCTATAATTCACAATTCTCCTCATAGAACATACATGTTCCCAGGTACTTTCATTCTTGACTGACGAATTCACTGCCAATACTTTGTATTAATCCTGTACTTAATAATTACAGAGTATATTCAAACCAATGGGTACGTTTCGACTTCACAGACGGTAACATGTGAAACTAATCGCTACAGATGCTTCTTTAGTTAGAGGATTATGTAATAAACTCTACGAGAAGCGGAAATCGACCGCTTATGAAGTTGAACAGTAAGAATGATTATTGATCTCAAAACTTGAAGGATCGATCGCTAACTATATGATTTTCATAAAGACTTATTCGTATTAAGCTTGAAGACGAAGATGAGGAAGGCATTAACGAAGTAATTCGCCAGCTTTCGAATGATTTTATTTATTCACCTTCTCGGAGTACTTATGCTGCATTTGGCGGTTTGATTGGATTAGCGGCAGTGGGAATTGCTCTCGGGTTTGTATGTTTTTTGCAGCTTTGTCTGTCTATAATCAAGTGCAAGTATGTTAATATGCTAGAAAATAGCAACATTTCTAGAGTCGATTTTATTACCTGTCTTATATTGCCTTAATGACACGGACTCTAAGATTCGTTATTATGCCTGTGAGAGTCTGTACAATATCGGAAAAGTTGCCAAAGGCGAGCTTTTTCGTTTTTTCAATCCCATTTTTGATGCTCTTTCGAAACTCTCCGCTGACCAAGAACTAACAGTTAAAAATGGAGCTGAGCTATTAGATCGCCTGATTAAGGACATTGTTTTGCAGCAAGCTGCAACGTACATATCTTGTGTTGATGATCAGTCTTCCACACATACTTATGAACCGCCCGTATCAGAAGTTCAAGATGTTCCTGTACTGGGCAGAGAACCTACCAGATCAGGAACTTTTTCTATTGCATCAGTCATTCCTTTGTTTGCGGAGAGAATTTATGTACTCAACCCTAATACACGCATGTTCCTTGTTTCGTGGATTCAACTGCTGGACAGTATTCCAGATCTGGAATTTATTACTTATGTGCCAACCCTATTAGATGGTTTGCTAAACTATTTGAATGATCCAAATGAGGGAGTGCGAGTCGCAACTTCCAACTGCTTGGCAAACTTTTTAGCTGAAATTCAAAAGGTCGCCAAAGTGAAGTATTACTTTTTCGAAAAAGATGAAGAGCGGAAACCAAACTATTTTGAGGATTTAAAGAAGAAAGTTTTGTTGGAGAGCATGTCGCCAGAACTCATAGAATATGTGGAAAACTCAATCAGAGAAGGTTCCTATATACTTGAAGCGCATGTAGAGGTAAACTACCACAAAATCTTAACTGTGCTGCTCGAGCGACTGAAATCCGGTGTTCCTCTTATCCAAATTACTGTTCTTTCCTGGATGTCCGAATTGTTACGCATCTCTCCTCAGGATTTCATCACACTCATTCCAGACATTTTGCGCGAGGTTTTTCCTTTGTTCTCAAGCGTAGGGAATGTCGCACAACTTGCTAGAGATTTAGCACAGAATCTTGCCGGATTTTGCACAAAGATACTCGATCTCGAAGTCAGTGATCCAAAAGCGTTGGGACCCGAGGTCGATCGCATTGATTTGGACGCTGTGATAGACGTCTTGAAGGAATTGCTGACGAACGAGAATGAAGAAACCCGTGTAAAATCTTTAGAATGGATTATAATGTTCAAGAAGAAGGCCAATGGAAAAATTATTGACGTAGACGACCCTGCATTTAAAGCCTTTCTCCGCCGACTTAGTGATTCCAGTGATTTGGTTGTATCAAAGAATCTCGAGTTGCTTTCACACATCGCAATATCTCAGAAAGGTGCTAATCTGAAACATTTTCTTAAAAGCCTTCTGTCTATGTTTGCGGAAGACCGCGAGTTTCTGGATAATCGGAGTGCTTTCATAATCCGACAACTTTGCGTGAACATAAACGGTGAAAAGGTTTATCGTGGTTTTGCTGAAATTCTCGAAAAAGAAGAGGTACGATTTGGGTCTCATAAAAAGTGTGTTAACGTCGTTTAGAATCTTGAATTTGCTCAATTGATGGTGGAAATACTTAATGGAACTTTATTGACTGCTTCGGAACTTTTTGATTTACGGAGAAGACTCAAGTCACTTTCCTTAAAAGTAAGTTTATTTTGGCATTCTACACTTCCGCTAACTGTTTCAGGATCAATCTTTCTTCGTATGCTTATATCGCGCATGGTGCCACAATCCTGTAGCACTTTTTTCTTTATGCCTTATTGCTCAAGCATATGAGCTTGCAGCTAATCTATTAACCGTGTTGTAAGTTTCATTGTTTTGCGAACTCTTGGTCTTAACATTTTTCTCAGTGGTGAAATCGAAATGAATATGCAAATTCTAATTCAACTTGACAAGCTGATTCAACTCATTGAGTCTCCGGTATTTACGAGTATGTGTAATCACATTAATTGTTATCTTGAATGTTGAAATAATTAACACTCTCAGGTATGAGATTACAACTGCTGGAACCGGACCGGTATCCCAGTTTAATTAAAGCACTGTATGGCGTGCTCATGTTATTGCCTCAATCAAGTGCTTTTCGTACACTTCGGGAACGGTTGCAATGCGTATTTCCCTTACGGTCGGGCATGTCCATCTCAAAAGACCGTTTCAATCGTGGAAACCGAGATGATCAGAATTCTATTGAGCTGCTGGAATGCTTCAGACATACACAGAACAAACATCAAATCACTATCCGGGAGAAAAACAAAGGTAGACTTGCTCTTCCTGTTGCTCTTACTCCCAATCCTACTGCAACGACAACATCTACGCCTACCTCTGCATCAGGCATCACGACAAATACAGCGCCTGTCTCATCTATCTTTGCAAACCTTGCTCCTGTTGGAGGTTCCGCAGTGGGCCGCAAGAAAAAACTGTGAGTTCTCGCGCTATGTAGACTTCAATGACACACTTCAACACTCGGTATATATTCATGCCATGTTTCTCATCGCTCTGTTAAATCCCACCTCTTTCTCTAAACCTTAGATATTAAACGGCATTGCTTAATTTATTATGAACTGTTTTTTCTTTTTTCAATGTATGTCATCGTAATTATTTCTTCTCCACGGCAACTGTCTTACCTAAGCAAAGTTTCCCAAAAAGTAGAAATGGCAACAAAAGAACATTGTTTGTATTGTTTGGAAATCGTGAATTCTTCCTTACAACACAGACTGCCACGGGATCTTTGGAACGTTGATTCCTGGACCAAAAAGTATCCCATTTTTGTCAAATTTTGTACAATTAAAAAGTCCGGAAAAGAACTACGCGGATGTATTGGAACATTTCAGTCGTTTCCGCTAAACATTGCTCTTGAACATTTCGCAAAGCAAGCGTAAGTAGTGCTCTGTCGTTAAAACGGTCCATGTTAAAGAACATGACTATTAGCTTTCGACACCAAAAAAGGCCAAGAAAGTAATCCGTTAACACTTACACAGCGCATTTAAAGACACTCGCTTTAAGCCTCTCCAGCTGAACGAATTACCAAAGATAGAATGTCAAGTCGATGTATTGGTCCATTTCGAAAAGATCGCGAGTCCATTGGATTGGACCGTCGGTGTTCATGGCCTCTGGATTAAATTTGACGTAAAGAAGAAACACTATGAAGCTACCTTTTTGCCTTCGGTTGCCGAAGAACAAGGCTGGAACCAAGAAGAAACATTGGATGAATTGGTCTATAAAGCCGGTTACGCCGGCTCCTTGACAGGAGTTCATATTGCTGCTGAACGTTACCAGACGTCTATTGCAAATGCAACTTTTGAGGAATACCTTTTAGCTGCTTCAGAGGCTATGGGCGCAACTGGTATTTAAGTGTGATGAACATGAATTACCGACACACTACAAGCAATTGACAATTGCCTAAGCAATTAGACACCCTTTTTGCATTCCTTTCATGACTCTTAGTAATGACTGCCACGATTTTATGTTTCTTTTCCCTGTTACAAACCCTCTTCACACCATTACCAACTGATATTGATTTGTTTTCTTATGTTATTGTACTCTGAAGAATATAAAAATAACAATTGAATTACTTGGCTATGAAAGTAGTTAGTAGACAGCGAGTTGAAGCATGAAGCACTGAACATACCATCTTTAGCGTTGGAAATGTATTTAATGGCGTCGCTGACGGACTTAATCTCATCGGCGTCATTGTCCGGAATTTGAAGACTAAACTCTTCTTCAATAGCCATGACAACTTCTACACTGTCCAGCGAGTCGAGCCCCAAGTCTTTCGAAAATGTGGAGTTGGGTGTCACCTTCACGCCGAATCGTTAGCAACAACGGTGCTCTCAAAATCAAATCAATCCAATTTGAATGGAGTAAGACGTACCTGAACACCGGCATTCTTGACTTTGTCAAAAGAGGAAACGACCTTAAGAATTCTAGACTCTGCATCGGGACGTGCAACGCTGTAGTACCGCAATGAAGTTCTAACAGCAGGAGCAGCGCGGAAACCACGAAACAGAGATGCACACCGGGACAACATGGTTTGCACTTTTCGTTACAGTAGATGAGGTCTGTAATGTGTTACACGACTCGCGCGTTCCTCTTCCAAGATGCAGATCTTTTTGGTGGTGAGGTTGAGTAAGAATAAACAAGGCGGGGTGATTCGCGGGGTCAGGGGTTACAAATTACGTAATCGTCTTATCGCCACTCTTTCATCATTCAACGTTCCAAAAATTGTTGCTCCAACGGAGAGTTGCTGCGGCTGTCGTTTCTTTCTGGCTTAATTCTTTGTAAAAATCTTCACTTATTCCGAACTTTTATCGAACCTAGCTTGCTTACTATGCCTTTCCGGAGCATTCAGCGGTTTGTTTCTCCGGGTTCCCCTATATCTCGTCTTCTTAGCATCCGCCTGTTTTCCCAATCGGCCGTCATGCACGAAATAGCTATACTCAATTATCAACAAGTGAAAAAACTGAGTGAACGGAATCCTGCCGATTTAAACGGCTCTTCCGTGCTTGTTGACGTTCGCGAACCTGACGAGTTTAAGGCAGGTGCCATTCCTACAGCTGTCAATTTGCCGCTGAGTGTAATAGACTCAGCCATGAGAATGGACGATGCGTCCTTTGAGAAGAAGTACGGATTTCGGAAACCTTCCGTGACCGATCATGTCATCGTTTACTGTCGTTCCGGTAAACGCAGTACCAATGCCTCTCAAATACTCGAACGGCTTGGTTACTCGAATTTGGGAAATTACGTCGGTTCGTATCTTGATTGGGCAAGTCACAACACAAATGCTTAAACAACTCCCTGAAGCCTTCTCGCTTAGATAAATAGCACAACTACGCAAACATTATCACAACCTTAAAATCCCCCGCAGATTACCCCACAGTGAGCACGGGGGACTTGCTTCATTGTACCCTAATTATAACCTAGGGTTTGACCGGCGTGGGATCGCCCTTATAGCGGGCTCCTCCACCATATATTGTCAGGCCAGCTCTAACACACAGCCTACAACTAATACATACGCCGTCAACAGCCGTCATGTCTCTCGAACCCTTGCCTGGAACGTTGGAAAACTTGCTGGAGCAGACCAGTTTAAAATGGATTTTTGTCGGTGGAAAGGGTGGTGTCGGTAAAACGACTACGTCGTGCTCGTTGGCCATTCAAATGTCCAAAGTACGCAAGTCTGTGCTGCTTATTTCCACAGATCCGGCCCATAACTTGTCTGATGCTTTCGGAACCAAGTTTGGTAAGGAGGCTCGTTTGATTCCCGGCTTCGAGAACCTCAGTGCTATGGAAATTGATCCCAATGCCTCCATCCAGGAGATGCTGGAGCAGTCCGAGCAACAAAACCCTAACAATCCCATGTCTGGTATGATGCAAGACTTGGCTTTTGCCATTCCTGGTATTGATGAGGCTTTGGCTTTCGCCGAGGTCATGAAAGAGGTCAAGTCGATGAACTTTGACTGTGTCATCTTCGATACTGCTCCCACTGGTCACACCCTTCGTTTCTTGAACTTCCCTACCGTCTTGGAGAAGGCCCTGGCTAAGCTTAGCGGTCTTACAAGCCGTTTTGGTCCTCTTATCAACCAAATGAGTGGTATGTTGGGCACCAACACCAACCAAGAAGACATTTTCGCCAAGATGGAAGGTATGCGCGGCAGTATCTCTGAGGTGAACAAGCAATTCAAGAACCCCGATCTCACTACCTTCGTATGTGTTTGTATTTCGGAGTTCTTGTCCTTGTACGAAACGGAGCGTATGATTCAAGAACTCACGTCTTATGAAATTGACACTCACAACATTGTGGTGAACCAATTGCTTCTGGACCCCGATACAAAGTGTCCCCAATGTATTGCTCGTCGGAAGATGCAACAAAAGTATCTTTCCCAGATTGAAGAACTTTACGAGGATTTCCACATTGTCAAGGTTCCCCAAGTGCCGTCTGAAGTTCGCGGTACTGAAGCTTTGACAAAGTTCTCCGACTTGCTCATTCACCCTTACGTTAAGGAGTAAAAGAGTACGACGACAAGCGTTTCACGCCGATGATTGCATGCCTTGGTGAACTATTTGTGCCACGAATGACCTGTACGCTGATGTGCTGTTCGGGCTCAATACTAGTAAACGTAAAATTTATAGATCGGTAAATGGATGAAAACATTTAGCCAGTAGTGATAAAATAGGATCGATGCCCATGTTCTCGTAGAGATTGTACAACACATTCTTTACGCTGTAAACCTTATTGACTGATTCATGTAACGGTAAACGAACGTCTTAAATCTTGTAAACAAGCGCTGCTCTGAACTGTGTAAACAAAATCTATCTCCTCCAAAAGTCGTTCAACCACCAACAGCCAAATTGTATACACTTTTGAATTGCTAGAATACCCAGGAGTTTTTGATAATCGTGCTCGATTGCACACGACCTTAAAGCAGCCCGTACATTTCCGAAGTTGGAAAAATGAGCAAATTGACAACGATAGCCACTGTTGCCTTTTGGTTTTTATCTTGCAGTCTAAGTGTGATCTACTTGAAAGTTTTACCAACAACAGGTTTGGCTCGATGGGTACGAATCTGCTATTGGGGTACTTTAATATGTTTGCCCTTGCATTTGCGTAGTATGTCAAAACGTTTTTTGCTGGTGGCCTTTATTTCCACTCTTTTCTTGCAGGGATGCATTCAAGATTTCCATCGTCACAGCTTTAAGGAAACAGATAACTTTGTGAATACCGAATTCGCTCGTGTCGGCTATGTCAGTGCGAACACCGCGAAGTTCACCGTACGGTCCAAGTCGCCAGCTTCATTACTCGTTGCTAAGCGCTCTCTTCCCGCTGCATTGACGGCAAATGTATCTGTTGACGCAGCCGGCGAAGACATTGATTTTTTGTCGACTGTACATGTTGAGGGTTTGCTGCCGAAGACTGAGTACGTATATAAGGTCGTTCGACAAGGCGACAACGAGACGACTCCCCTTGATTTTGGTGCCTTCCGTACGCCCGTGAATGAAGATGAGGCAACGGCTTTCCACTTTGTCACTTCCAGTTCCATGATTCCCAACTGGCCATACACATTTACGAGTCGTGGAGATTATCTTTCTATTCCTGGTGCTGACGTATTGGCCGACAGCATCAAGCAACACAACATCGACACCCCCGACTTCCTTCTTTTCCTCGGTGGCTTCATTGATAGCGCAGTGGGTCATGTCAACGGTGACGATGCCGTGGACATTTGGAGAGCGCGCTACCGTCAACGGTATGCTTCACCCTCGTACAAACGTATCTATCGCCAAATGTCTACGATTCATACATACGACGACGCTGATATCGTCCATCGTTGGGATCGTGGCAATGAACATCCTTATCCAATGGCAAAAGAAGTGTTCGTGCGCTATCACCATGAAGCCAATCCACCTGTAGCCGCTGAGGATAAGCAGGCATTGTACTATTCGTACCGTGTAGGCAATGTTCCGTTCTTCATAATGGATACGAGACGTTATCGGTGCCGCTCGATATGTCAGATGGAGGCTTGAAGACGATGTTGGGTGGTCAACAACGGAGCAAGTTCATTGAATGGATCCATGAAAAGAGTGATGTACAGACGCCCTTTAAGTTTGTCGTCTCTAGCGTTCCCTTTGCTCCCCCCAGTAGCGACCCAGTGCTGTCGGATATGTGGAATGGTTACCAGTACGAACGAGAATTGCTCTTGAAGGAGATGGCGAAATCAGAAAGTGTATTTATCTTCTTGACTGGTCACCAACATGACTTTGGAGCATACAAGGTTGCCGACAACGTATATGAGTTCTCCATCTCTCCATTAAGTCACTACGCATCGCGTACCAATCTTCCAGAGGAGCCGCAATTCACAGTATTGGCTCATGAGAACAAGGGGATGAGCAAGTTTGGAGCGTACACAGTCAATACAACAGCAACTCCCCCTTTCGTTCGCTTCCAGGCATTTATTGATGGTGCCCAAAATTGGGAAACTGTTCTTACGAATTAGATGTGGTACAGGGCATCCTGCACTGCATCGTACAAGACACAATGTTATGCTGTTTTTCCTTACTTCAGTATCAAAAATAGCTGTAAGTTTTCGTTTTCTGAACAGCCGATGTTAAACGCAAATTCAGAAAACATGTTCACGCCTCTTTCACTTAATTTCATAGCTTTAACGTGTAATTCATGATTAAAAGAGTCGGAAAAGAAGGAATATGAGCGCTCATTCTTGCATAAACTTACATCGAAAACTCTGCTTGAAGTTTGCGAAGCTCCTCTTCCTCGTCTAAGACTTGGGGTTTCTGCACACTGGGCAAAGTTGGAACCTTTCCAGTAGAAGGCAACGAAGGTGCATGGATAGGAGGCTTTTCGGCACCAAGCATCTTGTTGTCCAATTCCACTTGTTGCAGCTCTTCCAATTCCGCCGTGAGTTCATCTTCATCCATATCGGCATTCAATCCAATGGGGGTGCTAATCATCGTAGAAATCTCTTCTGAAACAGCTTGTTGATCCCGAATCCGGTCCATGATTTGGTCAACCTTGTCGGCGTCCATGCCCTTCTGGATCTTCTTCATAGCATCTGCACCTTGGCGCATAGCCTGCAGAGTTTCAAAGTTCAGGTTGGCATTCTGGATTGTGTATAACTGTTGTTCGATGTTGTTACGACTACCTTCGATTTTGGCCAATTCCGCTTCATACATCTTTTTTCTCTTCAATGCCGTCAATGCCACTAATTACATCGTTAGTAAGATCATTCCCTTTCACAGTAGTCATTGTAACACAAAACTGTTGCACAAACTTACGTCTCTTGTTTGCTGTAGCATTTTTGCGGGCAATCTCATTCTGTTGTTCAATTTGCTTTTCCAGCTTCTCTTCTTTCTTGTCGAATAAAGACAGCATTTCCTGGAACTTAACAATTGTGTCCTTCGCGGTATCCTTTTCCTTATTTCCGCCGCCAAACCATCTGAAAAATGAAGACATGGTGTTTAAACGTACTAAAAGCAATGTAGAGTTTCTTAAAGGTCGTAAAATGTGGATGCAAAGCAGTCAATATAGCTAGGTGTTTGTTCAAACTCGTCCAGCGACAAACCACGCAGGTTTCTATTTTATTTCTGAAAAAAGAAACAATTAAAATACCACACAAGAGAGCAGACAACGATAAAAGAAACAGTTCGTGTGCGGGTTCACTGTTTCTTTAGTAATACTGTAGCTGTAGTCGGTCAGTGGGTGGAACCGGCTTCAACAAGGTTTCGTTCGCCAACCACCCAAAACATCAGCGATTTGAAGCTTACCCTATATTTGGGATAATTAACGCCCAAAAAGCGTATCTCAACCTTTTTTTGAATGAAAGAAGTGTTTGAGAGTAAAATTGAGTCAATTGGAGGAAAGACTCTTGGCTTTGTGGGCAAGAATTTAAACTCCTTAGAAGGAATGCAAAAGAACGAAGTACAGAATGAAGTTCCGGAAAAAGGGTCCAAAAAGCATGTTCAGGCTTATGCGAAATTAGAATTCGACAACTTTTCCTTCTTTGTACAGTCATTACAGGTCACAATTGGAAGAAAAGCCAAATCTTCGAGTCATTGTGACCTGTATATAGACGACACGAAGGCTATTTCCCGTGAACATGCAAAGATATTTTATAACTTTTCTACACGGCGATTTGAATTTGTCATACTAGGTAAAAATGGAGCCTTTGTTAACGGCGAGTTTTTTGAAAAAGGTCGGACTGTGCCGCTGACAAACGGCGCTCGAATACAGATTGGACGAGTGCCGTTTTCTTTCTTACTGCCACAAGCACCAAGCAAGGTCTCGCCTGTTCAACGTCCCGCAACTCTGTCTAATGGGGGCGTTGCTGGAACGACCCAAAATGAAAAAAAGGAACCAGGTCTGCTCCGCCGGTTAGTGGTTCCGCCGTCGAAGGAGCACTTCAACGAGTCAAACCCACTTGCTCAAGCTTCAACAGCAAGTGGTAATCTGACTCCCCTCTCTATTGCGCCCGAGCAGCTGCGTCATAAAGAACCGTCATCGCAAAACCTTCCGCCTGTAGCTGACGCTATTAAACATAGTGAAATAGCTACAAGTACAGCTCCCGTCTCCTCTATTCCATCGACCGCATCCTCTTCCCTTTCTCCTTCGTTGTCGAAAACCCCTCTCTCCGCAAACCAGAATTCAATCACAGCCGTAAAGTTGGAGAATACCGCGACTACAGTCGCTGCTTCCGGAGCTTCTCAAACAATAAACACACCTGTACAATATAGTAACGGACATCCGGGTCCTTCTCAGCAAATTGGCGTAGCTGCACATAATGGCGCTAATGCTGCGCTGTTTCAGTCGCAGTCTACGGCCATTACAAAACCCAATCTATCGTATGCGAGCCTAATTGCCCGAACGCTGATTGCGAACTCAAACCGGAAAATGACACTAAATGATATATGCGAATGGATTTCTGATCACTGGTTGTATTACAAGCTACAGCCGCCGACTTGGCACAATTCTATTCGACACAATTTATCACTTAACAAAGCATTTATCCGAGTTCCAAGACAGCAAAATGAGCCAGGAAAAGGGTCTTTCTGGATGTTGGACCCTGCTTGCATTCCTCAGTTTGAAGGAACGAATGTTCGACGGACGAAACGGGCAACAACTCCTGCTTCCGTTTCTGCCCCTGTCGCACATCGGGTTTCTCATACAGCAGCAGCGGCAGTTAAGCAGGAGGATGAAGCGCACGCGGCCTCATCTCTTACTTCGGAAAAGTCATCAGCAGCCGTTGGAGCGGCGACTCCTTCAGCTCGCAACTCGCCTGTTGCAACAACTTCAACAGCCAGTGCAAGGGTTTCTGCGGCTGCAGCACGTCGTAATCTCCCTTATTTGCGGCCGGACATGCAGCCCATCATTCTTCGTGACGGCAAGTTTACGTTGAATCCAGACTTTTTTAAAAATGCCAATGGGGAAAGCCAGAAACCAAATCCACAGGCTTTGCATGCCATAGCGCTGCTGCAGCAGCACATCACAAAACAGCTTGGGCCTGCTGCTGTAAATAACCCACAACATGCAATTGCCATCGCGAACGCGTTAGCCATGACCTTGGCACAGCAGTTACAACAACAGCAACAGCGGCAGCAATTTGAGCAGCAGCAGCAATACGCGGCGAGCAAGCGTCGGCGGACAAGTAAAAGTAGTGCCTCAGGTGCCGGGACACCTGAATCGTCGGCATCGCCATCCTTGTCATCGCTGTTTACTGCACAGGTTCATGCAGCGACGGCTAATTCAACAGCAGCTACTTCCTCTGCAGCGGCAGCAACCGTAGCTCACGCACAACATTACCACGCCCACCCGTCTACCGATCCCCTGCCGCCAGGCCCGTTTTCAAATCGAACGCATGCTGCAGTTCCATCCTCTTCTGTGGCCACGTCCCGTTTATCGCCTGATGCAGCAGCAACAGCTACTGCCTCTTCACCGACACCGGTCCTGACACCATACGCCCGAGTCCAGCAAGCTGCTGGTACTGGTGCTGCTGCCCCCATTACCGGTTCTGTTTCTTCCGTTCCTGCCGCCGCTCCCAACATTTCCGCCTCTGCTGTCTCACCGGTTACTGATTCAATGCCAACGTCTCACGAACCTTCTCCTAACACTCATTCTACGACTCCAGTTTCTTTACCTTCTTATGTCTCGCCTAATGCCGCCAGGTCTGCTGCACCTGACACCCGTCCTAATGCCGAACCGTCCCCCCGCCAGCTCCGTTGAGTTTAACTACGTTCTCCCAATCAACGACGCTACATGACTATTCCAATTCGCATGAATTCATGCGATTCCATCATGTGCCTTCGCAGAACGCTGTGTGCCTTTTTCGATACTCGCTATATGAAATGCATTTTCGAGCCTCGAGTAACGTATCCCACTATTGTGTGGGGCCGTGGACTAATTTAATGTTGTGGGGAAGCAGTGCGTGGCGTTGGCTGTTTTCGGTTGGCGTAGCAGCGAGCGAGCGAACTCTAAAGCACAATTGCCGCGTTGCGACTTTAGCAAGTACCGACGTTATCGCGAGCAGTCGCTACAAGACACGCGATGAAGTGTGCAAAAGTGCCGCAATCTCGGTTAGCCGGTAAATGTCTTTCTGGTTATACGTCGTCGGCTTCAAAACTAGAAAGATGCGCTTGCCACCGACACTATGTGGGACCGGCTATCCTGAGATACGGTCGATTATAAGCAATGCCTGACTGTAGCCGCGCATTGTTTACGTCGCTTTCATTCCGGAATTTCCCGAGTCCAAGGGCCGAAGAAAAAGACCCAACTATAACGAGAAATCACTCGAACCAAGGACTGAGGGAACGGACCCTGATGGCTGCATCGTTGATCCGCTAGGGGGATTGAGAATTCACTCAAGCGTCCCTGAGCTGCACCCATTCAGCTTGGTTGTGAAGGCTTGACGTAACATGGGGAGCTCCGTACCCCACAAACACAAACACACGTGTAATTTCACGCCATTGAAGAGTGGCTGCAGCGAATGTGGTGGTGCTAACAGTAGTGGGAACGACACGAACTCGGGTGTCACATTACGATATCTCGTACAACGACGACGAAACAAAACAATCTCCGAATCCGAATACCAAACGCCAATATGGCTCCGTAAGCGTGTTTATGAGACGACGTTCTGAACCGAATTGCCGAGCTGTCAAGAGTCGGGATCGGACAAGTCCCGAGGTTTGGACCTGCAATTGTGCTTGTTAGTCGCGTGGATCCGTTAGTGGTCGTAAACATTGAAACGTGTCTGCGTCTTTATGTCCGGGTCCCTGTGGGCGTGATGATGTCCAGTCAGCTACTCCTCTACTCCTTCTACTACTACTACTACTACCACATGTCTGCTCCACCAGACCCTTCTAGGGTTTACGCTTCGATTCTTCTCGGTTGCGTCATTTAGTGGGACACGGGGTTCTCCACACATCCCGCTTTGTGGAGAAGGGCGTGATCGCTTGCAGATGACATAGGAGCGCGCGATCGACTGCTGATTGGCTGATCTGTTCCCTTCCACCCTGACAGTGATGTCAAATTATCATCGGTTCGAGCTGATCGCGTTCTCCGTGTGGGGTATGCAGCTCCTGAATCCGGGGTGCCTTTGAACCGATTGGATCGCGCTTCTAAAGCTCTGATTCTTATTCGCCAACTCTCGTTGACTCTCGTCGAAGCTGGATGCTTTGTGACGCATGGCTTAACACATGAAGAAAGTGATGTCATGGCTTTGCAACCCAGACTTGCTAAACCTTAGGGCTTGCGCTGGTATATATTTAACCTTTGCCAACCAGTCGAACGATCTTTCTCCAGCACCGGATTACAGGGTTTCTAACGGAAAACAGAAAGAACAGGCTTTCACTTGCTTTTTAGGATCAGATCGTGTGCTTGGTCGTGAGGGATTTCACTGTACCAACAACAATTTGCGATAATTTCTCTGGTGGCTTTGGAACTTACTTTGTGTGTCTAAATACGGCTGCGACTGCATGCTTGAAATAGTAACAATTACATTATACGGAACAATTGGACGACGAAATTAACTATATGGATCAATTTGAAGGACTCGTGGATGAACTACGTTTTGCTGTGCAAACTACACAACCCGCCGACTTACTGAATTTTTGTGCAGACTTTTTCAGAAGAAAACTTGCTCAGAGAGACCAGAACGGCAACAATAGCGCGTCAAAGGATGCAATGGAACGTAAGTGCAAAAGACAGGAGGAAAGACAGGCAATTGCGGGAGATTGGAGGCAGTGAATAGCTGTCGAAGTCGACAGTGTTCGAAATGCGCAGCAATGCACTGCTTGCAGCTTTGAACTCATTCTCCCAAGTTTCTTCGTGGCACCTGCCTTGTGTTCTGTTTATGTAGGTTTCTTGCTAATTCATTTGTAGAAGATGAAGTCAACATTGGGCCGTTAGCAGCGGCAGGCCCAGATGAGATTCTACCAAATCGGGTACGTGATATTTCTATACAACAAGCAAATGCAAACAATCTTTTGCCTTCGGAAAAGGACGCACTTAAGGAGCTGCAGGTGAAGTATCCCGAGAACTACAATCTCCTTCGGCGGCAGTCCGTATCAACCGAGTCAGTGAACCCTATGTATTTCTCCCAGCTGCCTAGCCGGACAAAGTATGCGAAAAAAAGTGACGCTGAAATCGCGAGTATGAAGCGCGCCATCAACAAAAATTTCTTGTTTAAGAACCTTGATGAGGAGCACTACACTGAGGTACTGAACCAGATGACTGAAAAGCATGTTAAGGAAGCCGGGACGCCTGTCATTGTGCAGAGCGATGTCGGTGATTACTTTTACATTGTCGCCAAGGGTGAGTTCAATGTATATAAGCGCGAGGAACCGAACATCACGCCGCAAGAGGTTCTGGCTACAGGATATGGCCCGTTGGTGGCTACAATCCAGCCCGGTGAGTACTTTGGCGAGTTGGCTCTCATGTACAATGCCCCTCGCGCCGCCAGTGTCGTCTCCAAAACGCCCGACTGTGTGCTGTGGGCCCTTGACCGCATCACTTTCCGTCGTATTGTCCTTGAAAATGCCTATCGCCAACGAAAAATGTACGAGAGTCTGCTTGAGGACGTGCCTATCCTTTCAAAACTGAGCAACTACGAACGTCAAAAGATTGCCGATGCTCTACAAACGGTAGTTTACCCCGAAGGCAGCATCGTTGTGCGTCAGGGCGACGAAGGTGAGAACTTTTACCTTATCGAGTCTGGCGAAGCCGAGGTGATCAAAGAAGGCCAAGGCGTCATCGCTATTCTGACTAAGGGCGAGTATTTTGGCGAGCTTGCTCTTATTTACAAAACCGTCCGGAACGCTACTGTTCGTGCTCGAACCCGCCTCAAATTGGCCACGTTTGACAAGGCTGCGTTCAATAGACTCTTGGGCAACGTCATCGATACAATGCGGCACCAACCTCGGGCAGAAGAGTCGGAGGCGAGATCTAATGCCGCACGCATAATGGTTCAAGAGTAGATAATGTTTGTTGCTGAATGATGCAAACATACTCGAAAAGCCTTCATGCGAAGGTCGCCGCAGCCCAAGGTGCCCTTCAAAGAGAGGCCTTCAATTGTGTTTGAATATGACTTTTGCTAGTTTAAGAAAGCAGGGTTGCGGGTAATTAAAGACGGCAGAGGGCGTATTGCATAGCCGCGAGTCTTGTATCATTCGCATCCATCCGCCTTTATGATTTGAAATCAACTGTCTTTGATGGAAGGGAAAGAGAACCGAGAGCTGCAAACCTCGGGTTCCTCCTCGATTCATTGATACTACAGAGTGCCTGTCTAGCCTACTTACTGCTTCACTTCACCGCACTTTTCGATCTCGACCTTGCACTGAGGCTGACCACTAGGGGAGCCCAGGGACTCGATGGCGCGGACGACGTCCATGCCCTCTTCAACCTCGCCGAAGACGACGTGCTTGCCATCGAGCCAGTCGCAAATGGTGGTTGTAATGAAAAATTGGGAGCCATTGGTGTTTCGGCCGGCGTTAGCCATGGACAACAAGCCAACACGGTCGTGCTTGTGCTTGAAGTTCTCGTCGGGGAAGTACTTTCCGTAAATGGACTTTCCACCGGTTCCATTGTGGTTGGTGAAGTCACCGCCTTGGATCATGAAGTCGGGGATGATACGATGGAACGTGGAGCCTGCATAGCCAAAGCCTTTTTCCCCCGTGCACAGGGCGCGGAAGTTCTTGGTGGTCTTTGGCACCGACTCATCAAACAACTTGAAAACGATTTTGCCCAGAGGCTTGCCGTTAGCTACGTTTATGAAAACATTGTCAGTGGTTGTTTTATCGGGATAAGAGTAACAACGTCGTGTGTTCCGGTGGAGAGACGACGGACTTACCGACACACTGGAAAAACACCTTGGACATTTTTGTTAATAGCGATGGTGGTGGTGGTGGTAATAGCGGTGGTTCGTGGGGCTCTCGTTAGCGGGAGTAAGGAAGGAAGCTTGCGGTGTTCGTCGTGTACTGCTGATGTCGGCGATGGGGATACGGGGATGTTCTCGATGGGGCGAATATTTGGTGGTTAGAATACGATCAACGCTAAAGTCGACTCCTTGGGGGCTTTGCTCTCGTTCAACCCAATCATGTTTCTCGCTCTTCTCGCTTCGAAAATTTAAAGCTCTAAGATTATTATATCCCCGGCTACCCCGCACCACTTTAAACGACCAGAATTTGTCAGCGCTTTAGGAGCATGGCACGTGAAGAGTATTAATCCGATGCACGTGATTGCGCGAGTGCATGTTTGAAGAACTTAAGGGAGACTATCGACAGCATTTGATTGGTGGAGCGCCAAATCGTTGCGTGCAGCCGATTTTCTTTGTTACAGTCTTATTGACACCGATAGCAAGAGAGGGAGGCGAATCTTGTAGCCGGGAAAGGAGATCGGCGCTTGTTCTGATGGCGCGAGGGCAGCGCACTAACCAAGTAATGTCTAAAGGAAAAACGCTTTCGGTTCACGATGCTATATGCAACTTATATTCGTCGCGTGCCCTCGCAGTCGCTTAAACGAGCTTGGGCTCGCGTGTTGCCTTTTTATCCCTTAAGCCCCTCCTTTTTCATTGGATGATTAGAAACTGTATTACGTCACAGATGGTGATGCAATTCGCAAGTTCAGGAATTGTTTCTGTCCATTGCTGCGCCCACTGCAATACATAAGCTACCCTCTCCCAACCACATACACACACTACACAGATAAGTGCAAGGCCTAATTCTGCCTCTTACCTTTGATTCTTGGGATTGATTTCTCTGGAATTGTGTTTGTCATTGCTTAATACCATATCCTCTTTTTTTCTCCGTTTCAAAACCCCGAGTTTGACGGATTTTACGAATTTTAGGTAATTCTTCCTTTTTCTCACTAAGTTCTTTTTCCCCTTTAATTTATACACAATGTCTGCTACTGACGCCCCCGTTTCCGATGCTCCCGCTGCCTCTGTCGAGCCCACAACCACGACGACCACTGAGACTGTGACCGCCTCTGCTCCTTCCCCTGCCCCTGCTCCTGTTGCTGAGGCTGCCGCTCCCGTTGAGGCTGCCGCTCCTGCTGCTGAGGCTGCCAAGGTTGCTGAAGTCCCCGTTATCACTCAAGAAGTCGTTGCCGACGTTCCTGTCGCTGGAGCTGCTGGTGTCACTGAGACCGTTACCCTGAAGCGCGAGTCGGTCGTCTTGGACGACGTCAAGGCTGTTGTTGCTGACGCAAAGGCTGCTGCTAGTGACGCTGCCGCCGCTGTTGCTACTGAGGCTAAGACTGAGGCTGCCCCTAAGGAGAAGAAGGTTGAGGCTGTTGTTGCCGAGGCCGCTCCTGCTGCTGCTGCTGCTCCCGCTAAGACTGAGGCTGCTGCTCCCGTAAAGGCTGCCGCTGAGGCCACTCCTGCCCCTGCTGCTGCCGCTACTCCCGCTAAGACTGAGGCTGCTGCTCCTGTTGAAGCTACTCCTGCTCCCGCTGAGGCTGCCCCTGCCACCGAAGCTACCCCTGTCACTGAAGCTGCTCCCGCCGAGGCCGCTCCTGCCCCTGCTGCTGCCGCTACTACAACTGAGTCTGCCGCTCCCGCTGAGGCTGCTACTGAAGCTGCTACTGAAGCTGCTCCTGCCGCTGAAGGTGAGGCCGCTGCTGAGGGTGAGGCTGCTCCTGCTGCCGCTGCTACTACTGAGGAGGGTGCCGCCGCTACTGATGCCGAGGCCACTCCTCGTAAGCACAAGAAGGGTATCTTCAAGCGGATCAAGGCTTTCTTTGCCAAGATCTTTGACTAAGCATACACGCATATGAGAATTTCCCGTTACATGGCTTATTATGAATGGTTCCTGCGGTTTTTACAGGCTCCCGTCTTAGATTCTTTACTCTTGTGAATCTCTCATGCTGATTATTTCCCCACACTCGAGTTTCTGTAAGTTTATTAAACAATGGCGCGAGTTCTTCTGGTCTTTTTTTTATCCTCGGTTTCCTGCATATGAGGATAGTATGGAAACGTTTTCGAATAATATGAAGAGCTTGCTCGTCTTCTCCTCCAGTATCTCCTCTTTCTCGACTTATGTGCTCCTTGGTCATGTGTTGGTAGCGCCTTTAATTCAATTATTCTGGCATACTCGAGAACGTCTACATTGAACATCCTAGCTAAATTAGTGATTGTCGTATATGAAGCGGTTTTGCCTTTGTTGGCTCTAGGATTGAGTAATACAAATCTATTTTTGCTTTTTTTAAATAGATAGGTGAAGAGCAGTTGTTCTTCGTTAATTGTAAATAGAAATTGATTGATAATTCTGATGAAGTTGAATTTGAATTTGCGTTGTAGCAGGGCCATTTTAACGGAACGATTTTGGGATATTTTTTATTCACGATTCCTTTAACTCTAACGCGGGTATACCTGACAGAAAGTTTTGAATAATGAAGGCTGTCATTCAACGAGTTACCAATGCCAGCGTAACTGGTGAGTCCGTTCGTAGAGGGATTGAATATTTACTAACTTGTTTGTCTTACAGTAAATTCGGAAGTCGTATCCTCTATTGCTAAAGGGTATGGATTTTTGTACTTTAGAGCGGGTGAACTAACGAATCTTACTCAGGCTTTGCGTTCTCGTCGGTATTTCAAGAGGTATGGAAATGCCAACTTGCAACAAATATATGTCAGACTCGGGTTAACTGAATTAAGAGGACACGATTGAAGATGTGGAACGCTTGACGAAAAAGATCACAAAGTTAAGACTGTTTGAAGATGAACAAGGCAACATGTGGAAGAAGAGTGTTGAGGATATCAAAGGAGAGATTCTCAGTGGTAAGTAATGAGTATGCTCAAATACTTTCAGGTTTAAAATTGTCATTGGTGTCTGATACATTATTAAAGTTTCCCAATTTACTCTGTATGCTCAAACAAAGAAGGGTACGAAACCCGACTTTCACCGAAGCATGAAGGGCGAAGATGCCCAAGTTCTTTATCAGCAAGTTTTGGAGCGACTTCGTAATTCATTGGGCGCCGACAAGGTCAAGGGTAAGATTACTTAATCAAAATGGTTGTATCAACTTCTAACATAAAACAGATGGGTATGAAAGCTTTGCAAAAATCTGGTTCGCTAACTTACATTAAGCGTATTTGGAGCAATGATGCAGGTTCAACTCGTCAATTCTGGGCCTACTACCATACTATTGGACACAAATGAATAGACGGTCGCATCAGGTTGACCAAGAATGTTTGTCTGCCTCGGAAAGAACGCGTAGTACGTGTTTTCCAGTGGGGTTCACGTCCTCTAAGTATTTAAGCAATTCCTTTATAATCTTTAAATGACTCTTTAGAAAGTGAACTGTGTTGGTGATACTGCCGTCCGCGCAATACATGTAACCTCGTTCTAGCGAAGCAAAAAGTTTGTCTTGTAGGGTTTTAGCGGTAGAGTGATAGAATTGATTGTTAATGAAAGAGGTCAGGACATCGTTTGTAGAGAATTCATGTTTTCCAGAGTCGTCTTGAACGATTGCCAAATATTTGCTGGCATTAAACAATGCAGTATCTAATAAATCACCTTCAAGATTCCATAAAACTCGCTTGTTCCATAATAACGAATCCATACGGAAACCGCGATCTTCTAAATTCTTCCAAGTCATCTCTATCTGAGGAAACTTTCTCCGGCTAGCTAAATGAGTAAAGTAAACGAGAGAAGTGGAATTCAGCATTGAACTGCAGCCATCAGTGATGAAAGGAATTGTTTGGATTTTGTTACTGTTTCGCGAAAGTCGAAATCTGCCAAAGCGTTGCATAGTAACTTGCACTGCTCGTTCCCAAAATTGCTGTACGAGTTCGTCTTCAGCCGTCTCGGAAAATAACTGAATAACAGATTCAAAGAGTGGGAGATCCGGTGTCGACACAGTCTTCTTTTCAAGTTGAGACAGATAATCTGCAAATATTGCTTTTGCTTCTGTGAATTGTTCGTTACTAACAAGAGTCTTTACAATGGGAGCATAAAGACCAGCGGGTAAAGCAAATTCAGGCATAGGGGTATTTATAGAAATGAAAAAGCTGCGATGTTGCAGTGTGCGTTGGAGTAAATCCCGCGCTTTTTGAATACCGTTAAGCCCTTCCTTGCTGTATGCCCAAATCAGCATAATGACGGTTACTACACTTAAAGGAACGTTTTGTTCTTCCATTTTCCTTTGAAGTTCCGGGATTTTATGGAATTGCTTTAATCGTACAAGACAACAGATTGCGATTGTATAGTGATGGGTATTGGGGTTGTTGATTTCTGAGAATAATTCGAGACATTTAACATATTCTCTGACTTTCACAAAATGATGCATTCGTATAGTGTAGACATATGGTGAATTGTAACTCCCCGCGACCTCCAGTCTTTGTAAGGTTTCATTATACAGATGTTCGTCACCGTATTTTAAAGAAGCGTCAAGAATAACTGTTAGCGTAGTCACGCTTGGTACAATATTGTAATAATCCAAGAGCTGCAACACTTGGTCAAACTTGGCTCGGGTCGGTGAGACCAAGCTGCCTTTTAGATAGATACCTAATATGTGTTCATTTGGCACTACATCGTGAGAGACAAAATGATGAAAGACTTCGTCCATCATCTGAGTATCTCCACGACGACAAAATAAAGACATTGTTATACTAAACGCCAGAACGTCTTTTATTGTTCCATATGGATAGCGTCTCATCTCTCGGTTCCATGAATCAGCATCAAGAGAAACTGAAGTAGAAAACAGTGACTTGATGCATGAGAGATCCTGTTTATGGCTTATTGATACAAATTTTTGATACCACTTAAGTGTGTTTCTAAAATCACAGAACTCAGAATAAAGTGATAAAATGGCGTGTACGAGGGGTTGCGTACGAAACCGTTTAAAAGTAATCTGATATCGCCTAAATAAATCATCCGGTTTTGTTTTTGACCCGAACTTTAATAATATGAACGCAAACATTCTCAGGTTTTCGTAAGAAGGTTCGAAACTGTTTACCAGTATCCATTTCTGTAAAAAGGATAATGATTGGCAAGCAGTCTCGGCGTCTGCTGTGATACATATTTTTAAGAGAAGTTGAGCAACTCGGTTGTCGTGATTCAGTTTACTGTTTCGAATATACTGAGAGTAGTACTGTAAAGCAAGTTTTGGCCGTTCACAATCCACGGCAAGCAATGCTAAAACAATTGGGGAATCAGATATCTTCCCGTTCCTCAGACGATTCATCAGTTTAAACAATTGAATAGCCTTAGTCAGTTCGCCATTAGAAGCCCGAAACAGAAAGCATTCGTAATATAGTAGGAATAAAGCAGTGTCAATATTTAAGTCATTAGTCATTAAAGTCATTGATTGTATCGTAGATTCAGGAGATGGGAGCCGGGCAAGAATAGATTGAATTATTGAGTGCCACGGATTCGTAACATTATAAGCGTCGTAAAACTGTTTTCGTGGAAAATATAAACGTACAGCTTCTATTAAAAGAAAAAGAGCATGTTCTGGTGCGTCAAGTCGAAGGAGGTCTTGTAATAACTGATTCAGCGAGATTGGATTAAGAGAATGAGTAGAACGAAGCGCTCGAAGATAATTTTTGTATATAGAATCAATCGTTTTTTCATCGACAGGCTGTACCGTCCGCCTAATCAACGCATCCTTATATAGAGCGGCATCCAAAATAGGATTAGAATTTTGTTCATGAACCTTCTCATATTGAGGATCATGTTTTGAACTCAACGTTCGATCCCAAGCTTGCGACACCTGAAACTTGAGGTTTGATGGGTGTGCTTTTGGTGGGATGCTTCGCAAGGTTGCCCAACTTTGTTCAAGCTTATCATCAGTAAAGTGTGCATGATCGCTGTTGAGTTTCTTTCTACGTTTTCTCAAAGCAGGGAACCAATGCGCTTCGGAATTGGCTACTGAATGAAAGTTATTTACAAAATTAAAAGTCCCAGAGTCCAGAAATCGCCGGCGCAATAAACAAGCCATTAATAAAAAAAAATTACAGAGTCCCGGATGTATACACAATACTAATTACTGCTTATGTATTCCATTAGTTAAGGCCTTGTTCAAGCATTCGTTAAACGCCTAAAATTGGTAAAACAGGTCTGTTGATGTATAAAATGACTTAAATCACAGATTCACCGACGAAAGAACGAAGACAGTGTCTTTCGGAAGCTTTTTAACAGCAAGTACACCACTTGCGGACTCTTCAATAATATATATGTAATGAATTGGTGTCGTTGCTTTAAAACTTTTAAACAGATTTAGCGGCAAGCTGGTCAGTACCTTCTACCAGCACAGAATTGTGTCGCCCAGTACAAAGCACTATTCAAGATGGCTACGCCGAAAGTTACAGACAAAAAGAAGACAAAAAAGGGCGGATTTAAGTTCAGAACTTTGCCTGCTCATGCCTATAAAGGAAAGGAGAAAAAAATTAAACAAGACTTAATTTTTAAAGCCAAGGTGAAAAAATCCTTTTATAAGTCAATAAAAAATGAGCATGTTGACGATAAGCAATTGAAAAGAAAAAAAGCAACCCATAAGAATGGTCTTCAAGCCGTTTTTGACAAACAAAAGGAAGCCAGAAAAAAAAGGGAGGAAGAACGACTTGAGAAATTGAGAAAGAAGGAGGAGATTCAAAAGAAAAAAGAAGACAGAGAAAAGCAAAAGAAGAAGCTTCGGGAGCGGACAAAAAGTGGACAGCCGGTTATGAAAAACCAAATGAGTTACCTACTGGATAAAATCAAACGTACTCAGGACAATTAGGCTTTTTTTTTATTATTTCACAAACGTTTTTTACCCTGTGCTTTATTATTGTGTCGTTTTTGTTTATTTCTGGATATCAAGCAAGGTGGTTATGATTATTTGAGTTTTTTTCATTGGATATAGGGCTATAAGCAATGTGAATTACATCTTCCAACTGTGTCCGGATCTAGTCTGCTAAAGAATGAGTTATCCTTGCAATTCGGATTGTTGTTTTGTTGCATGAAGCCGCGATTCATAAAATGGGACACATAAAAACGCAAATTTGCATTGAATATAGGACAACCAAGTGTCCAAATAGCGACTTTCATTAATGCTTAAGCTCCAGTTATCGAAAAAGGACTTTGTTTGGCAAGGATGAATAAACCAGCAAATGCCGGATTCAATAGGATGGTCCCCCATTCCTACAGCCTCATGAAGATGTTCATCGTGACAGTTTAGGAGTTGTTCAAGCTCGTCAAGTTTGCTGACAAAGTGCCCATTACAATACACTTGAAAGTACAGTACCGGGACCAAAAAAGTTTTTGAGTACACAATCCATTCTCTAATATTAATAATAGGCGCACGGTTGTGGACAACATCAAGACACTGCTCATCCTTTTCGACACATGTTTGGAAGTCCGAATATTGCCATGAAATGTACAACGAATTTGATTCGTTTTGAGTCACGATTTTGCAGTCGTAATTACACTGTTTTAGCTGTAGTTCTAACTTTTGTAATTGTTTGTTAAATGATTGAAGCATTGTTGTGGAAAAGTTTCATTGGCGATTGAGCATGGCTTTACTTATGTTTTAAAGAAAGATGATGCATCAACAGATTGAATTTCAGTCGTAAATTTCTGAGGTGTCCGTTTTATCGCTACACCATTGTTACTGCTTATGCTTCAAGTTTTCGCGTAACCTATTTAAACGCTCATGTGCTTTTAACAACATTTGAGCTTATAGGTCGTTTAAAGTAGTTATGAACCATTTCTTGGACGGTTGATCGATGCGTACGGGTCGGACATAATGTCAAGGAATGAGTTTTAGTAAATGGTTGTAAATTTTTGAAATCACTACTGCTCAAATCATAAAAATTAGTCAGAATGTGCTGTGCGTGATAACTTGTTAAGGGAAACTGACTGTTACTGCTTATAAAATAAGGGCTGAGTTCAATTGATACACTCAATTTACCTTAGTAAGTAACACTATCAATACGGACGAAAAATACATGAAGCATAAATTTCCTTAAAACAGCCAATGTTTTAACATTATCTATTTTATATGTTGAAAGTCCGTTAGATATGAGGCTGTTCAACAATCTTTACTATCAACCCTTACATGAACGGTCCAGCAAGAGAATGCTCTCTACCATGCCGTACTCTTTAATATTGCATTTGTAATTTAGTTTCATTGTACAATTCGGTGAATAAAGGCATATATTTTTTAAATCAATTAACAAGCAAGATAAAAGGAAGGAACACAATCAAGTGTTTCTAATTGCTTTGGCACGTTCGCAACTTTCAAAAAAAGCTTGATATAAGACACACCAGCTATTCAACAAGAAAAACATGTAGGGTTGAATGGAGGCAACGTCTCTTTAAACCAGACAATTACTGGAAATAACGGCGCATTACATGTTATTTCCTTTCTTATGGATTAATACTCAGTAAAATTTATTTTGTTGAACATTAGACGGATACCGAATCTGCGATAAAACCAAAAAAGCAAAATTAAATGTCCCCTTATAGCTAGTATAATTTCTTCTTCAAAGTTTTGTGTAAAATAAATACAAAATTAGTGCCTGTCAAATTTATCTCAAAGTATTAATTAAATGATTTGTAGTCAATAAACTCTTTTAACTTCATATAATTGCAGTTGTTGATCACGATAAACTTAACATGATTGACAGTAGTTGCCTACGGATATTGATTTGTAATTGATTTATTATATTTCGATATTATAGTTCCATTGATACTTAGAATACGCATGCATATATAATATAGTAAAAACAAATAAGACATTATTTGTAGTAATTTTACTCAGTTAACAAAATTGAAAGTATTCCTATCTCATAACTGATGTTTAATAAGCCTAGTACTGAAAACAGAGATTAAGATAAAACTTGAAAGGCTAATGGTAATTAAATGGAAAAACAAACTAAAGCTGACACTTAGCAGATTCCATATAGCGGTCACTTAATCGCCTTGCATTGACAGCGAGTTCGCAAAAAGCATATACTGTTGACAACCTACACGAATTTACGAACAGATTAACGCAACGTGTTGTAGGATGATATTGAATTCATTCCTGAGTCATTCAACATAAAGGTAAACAGTCATGGAGCCAAGCAACTATTTTAACGGCTAGCCTTCGCCTAATTAAACTGAAATATCAATTACGATGTCTCTTTATAAGCAGTTCTGTTAATGGCAAATTCTATGAAGCCTGGAACTTCTGTATAATTGATATTCTATACTATCCTTTAAGTAATTAATGTAAACACTTGCTCAACAATTGACTTATCATACTTCTTATTCTCACATTATACTTTTTAAGTTCAGTTAAGTGAAGCATAATGGAACTATTGAGCGATTTTCATCACTGTTTGAAGACTAGATGAAAAGCAATCCCTTTAACCAAAGATATCCAGCCATTAAACCGTGACATTAACAGATGAAACCAATTCCTTATTCATGCACTATGCCAAAGGTTGATAAAAATTGTGCGTTTTTAGAAGCGCAATACCATTGAATGCGTGGAAAGAACAAATCAGTCTTACAATGGTCAAATGATAAATGTGCAACTACGAGTCAATTCTGCTAATATCGTAGAAGTTATAGTATTGAAAGAAAGAAGACGGTCTTACTTATAGATTTTAATAACAACAAATCTACTGTAGAAAATTACGACAATAGAGGCCGTTATCATAGTAAGAATATTTAATAAATACTTTAACAATCAATTGATTACTTTTTTCGCATTCGATAATGTCGTCTAGGCACATTTCAATAATCGCTTCTATTTCTGATTGGCCATGCACTAAATCCTTAATCGCTGTAGTAATAGCATAGCAACGCAAATTCAAAGTTGTCAAAATGCATTCTTTTCCAGGCCATACAATTCTTCATATTTCTTGTGCACGAATTTGTTTTTTCTATAAATTAAACTTCTTTTTTATTAACACGATCGAAAGAATTTGCTAAACGACTCCGCCTATGAGGAGGAACATACACTCTAGCAGAACCTTTTTCAGTTTGAGATTGCTTTGCAGAGTCCCGCAACTTTTCTGTTGCGGGACTATCAGCTACCGTACCGACTTTTTGAGATTTTGAGATTTCATGATCATTTCTGTTTCTTCGTTCGCCTTCGGATTTCTTGCTTTTAGTGGCATCATCTTTTGTTTTTAATTCACCTTCCGCTCGCTTTGCGGACCCATTGCTTAATGACAGTCCTCGTAGTTGCTGTTCCAAAAAGGCAAAAGCGTTTCGACCAGACCGGTTTGGATCCCTTGGTCGATAGCGAACAATGTCTTCCGGTGCCGTGTAGCCTGGCCGTACTTTCCGCTCTTTGCGAAGAGTTCCATCATTTCGCTTGCTTGAAGGAATTACTTTTTCTCCATCAACTATAACAGCCCTAAATATTGGTTAAATAAGTATTCATCTTTAATATTTCTTTAAGAGTCTTTTTTATCTTGGTGCGGATAGCATTTTAACCCTTATGGAGAATGCAAACTGCTATGGCACACACGGTGTTTCCGTACTAATAGCATATTTCACATTCCTTTCCTATAAACACACATACCCTGAGAGCGACTTTCCAGCTTCCTTTTTTCCACTCTGAACTTCAGTACCCTCCTCCATTGCTGCTGTCTTGCGTTTGTATTGAACTATGAAGGCAGCTGTTTCGTGTTGTCCTTTCACCTAAACGCCGCCCCTCTTCTAACCAATACTCCTGATCGCACCGCACTAGAAAACAACATACACACGTTCATTGACAAGTCGGGAACATTATTTGAACGTTATCGCTGTGTGTTATTTCATTGTCTGTGCTGATTTTCCTCATGCAGAGTTTTTCTGAAGGCGAATGTCTGCAGGCGAAAAAAATTCAGCTTCGGAAACGATTGCTACATTTCCTGCAAACACAGGCCTATAAAAATGAGTTTGTATGGACGGAAGACAGTAAAATTGCTTTGTTGAAGGAACTATACTCTGCATTGCTATGTTATGATGAATCTTTTTGGACTCCATACTTTCTAGACAAAAAACCAATTATCACAGGCACGTTTAGTCTTAGAAAGGCTCAGGGTTCTGTTGACGGTGATGAATACAAAAGAGGACGCGCGAAACCCGTTTGTGGACATGTGTTTCGTAAAGGCGAAGTTATCTTCCGCTGTAAGAACTGTAGTCTTGACAGCAATTCCGCGCTGTGTGTGCGCTGTTTTCGAGCGAGTGCTCACAAAAAACACGAGACATCTTTTTCTATTAGCACTGGAAGTGGAGGATGCTGTGATTGTGGTAATGCAGAAGCCTGGAAGCAAGACTATCAATGCGAAATTCATGCTCAAGCACAAGAGCCTTTGGATTCCTGTTCCCATCCAGAGCTAATCCCAACAGTTTTACAACTGGGAATAGCGGAAACCTTCGCATGCGCCATTAATTTTATTATTGATGTTATTTCTTGCAGCCCTGAAAAATTGAAGCGTCTATCCAGTGTAAATGAGGTTTTGCAAAACGAAGTCTCCTCTCGTTTTCTTGAAAGTCAGTATGGTATGCCGGATGAACCATGTACTACATTTTCACTGGTGTTGTGGAATGATGAAAAACATTCATTTAAACAGTTTTATGAACAAATAACGACGGCTATCGAGGCACCAAATAACAAATTCGGCATGCAAATGGCGGATGTCATTAATACAACCGGTCGTGCTGTCGTTGCTACCAGTCATAATATAAATGACCTACTTGTTATGGCTCAGTGCTTATCTCAAATTAATTTGGCCGTCTCAATTCGTTCCACCCGGGATTTGTTTCGTGAAGAAGCATGTGGAGTAATTATTCATTGGCTCGATGATCTGGCAGACAGCCATACATTTGGTGATCGTAACTACTTACGCTTGATACTATGTTCAACTTTACGGAGGCCGTGGACTTGTGGACTACAAAATGTGTATGTACTTTATATTAACACATCTTTTATCAGTAACATACTAACTAACAATCCTAAGAACCCAGACTTTACAGCATGCCATCATCACTAATCCTTTATCATCTTTGGATGAGACTGACACAGATACAACTCCATCCCGTCTTAGTCAATCTTCTCAATCCAGTTCTGCAAGCTACAGTCGTTCATGCTGGGCCCCCTGTGTCAACGAAGTTGCTGCTCCTTCTTTTGCCGAATCGACAAAGATGGACTATTTATTTTTGTACGATTTAAAACTTTGGAAGAGTTTACGCTATAAATTGCAGGAAATGTACCTTGGCCATCTGGTATGGCAGCCTAATTTTCGTGAGTTCATGGGTATACGAATTGCCGTATTGTACCGGCAACTCGCCGAATCTTTTCTTCTTCTGGATCGGGAGCCGGAGCACTCTGTCATATTCTTCTCCGTGCAAATATTCACCATCCCACAAATTGCTAAGCAACTCGTAGCAAAATACGATTTTTTGACAACTGTGAACTCAGCCCTTTACACATTTTTCACGGATAAAAATGAACAAAAACCAAATTTTGTGGACGAAAACGCAATGATTCGGACGGACTCTGCAGCCTTTCATTCACGGAGGTACTTCCACGTCTTCCATCACATTCAATTCCTGCTGGGAATTGAAAGTGTTCAAGAGATCATGCGCGTAGATTTCCGTTATTTAAAGCAGTATATTTCTTTTCTGTACTTGTTTCAAGGCATGTGTCCGTATGTACGAGCCATTACTCAACATGTTGAATGGGAAAATGATTCCTGGATGTACGTTTTGAATGTGAGTTTACAGATTGCTAAACTTTGTCGCTACATTGGTAATGTTTATGTTGGTCTCGACACAGGATCCTTGGCTGCTGCTATACAGTTATTGTTTGATGTTATCTTGCGCCCTAAATTCCATAATGGCTCTTGGAATCATAAAGAGAATCTTTCTGTTTATACTTCTACAGCAAGCGGTGAAAAAACACTTGTTGACTATGATGTTGCAAGCCAGTGCGTTTCATTTCATCACCCCTTACACTGGTTGCTCAGCACTCTCCTTTCCAACTATGTTGGAAGAAAAGATACTCAGAAGCTCTGGTCTGACGAACAGTTGCTTGCCGTCATTGAACATCCTATACGGGTGTGCACTTGGCTAAGCCAAATGCGGGCTAAACTTTGGGTTCGTAATGGTACAACACTACGCGATCAGGCACATCATTATCGAGATTTAAGCTTTCACGGCTACACCTTCGCTATGGATGTATTATTAATACAAGTTGCAATGGTCTACGGTAATACTGATTCCGTTTTTGAACGGTTGGTGAAGGCTTTCCAATTGACGGACCAAATGACAGGGAACTATTTTAATGAACACAAGCACTATGACCTAACTCAGCTTACTTCAATGTTCGAAGATTTTCTGCTTTTAATAATTAGCCTGGTGTCAAATGTTGTTGGGCTTGAGAACTGGTCTGCTTCCAACTGTATTAAGTATGACCTTATTCACATATTATGTTTTGGACCGCTATCGTACTCGGAGATTGTAAAACGCGTTTCAGAACACTTGCTAGAGAGAACCGAGTTTGAGGAAGTACTTCATACCGTAGCTGACTTCAAGCCACCGGAGGGTCTCAATGATACTGGCTTATTCACTATCAAAAGTGAATGCTTAGATTTTGTTGATCCCTACAATATTCACTTTTCACGAAATCAACGTGAGGAAGCTGAGTGTATTCTAAGAAGGAAATATGGGAAGCAACAGTTTTTGGATGAGAATAATGTTGTCTACGAGTTGTATTCACATAGTTATGCCACTCCACTAACTACGCGAATTGTGATGTGCAATTCGTACTTGCAAACTATATGGCACGCATTAGTGTATGCATACTTGTTTCCCACTGATCAGTGTAAGTTTGAAGGCCTTGTAAATATTAGTTTACATGCTATCTTACTGGCATTGTCGCACGAAACTTCGGAACCTTTCGATTTCAGTCGTAGTGTGTGCGTAAAAAAGTTCTCCGTGCCAAATGGTCTTCGTTTGTATTGTTCCAAGCCGGAGGTTTCACTTTTGACTATCCTTGCTCAGTTAAAAAGCCACAAACTATTTGCGTTTTCTCGCCCGCGAATTATTGGAATTTTGCAACTCCTTCAGAAACGCCTTTCTGCAGAATTTGAAATGTGTTTTTCTGATAGTGTTGCGGCTTCAATACCAGAAGTTTCCTTGGATATTTCGTGCAAAGAAAATCAAGAGAAGGAAGAAAAACTTAAGCGCGCTAGGGAGAGAAAGGCACGGATTCTTGAACAATTTCGACAACAACAAAAACAGTTTTTGGAGAATAATGCCGATTTTAATGATTACGACTCTAATATGGACATTAATGATAATGATGAAAATGAAAGCTTGGATGAGAATGCCGATTTATTTTTGACGCCCCCCAGTGATACGTGTCTATTATGCCAGGAGGAATTAAAAGACAAAAATTCGTACGGTATATTGGTTTACGTTCAGCGCAATTCATTGTTGAGATATCTTCCTGGCGATAATGTTTCATACCTATCTGAATTGTTGGAGCTACCTTCTAGTTTAGACCGAAAGGTTTCCTCAAGGCCTTTTGGCGTTGCTGGCATGAAGAAGAAAAAGATGGACACTTTGCCCATTGAAGAATTAGACGATGATTGCTTGAAAGGTTTCCCTTCGGATTGCTTAAGAAAAGGCCTTCAGGTTACAAGTTGTGGTCACTACATGCATACAAATTGTTTTAAGACCTACGTTTCAACTGTTAATATGACCACTCGAGCTAATCCTTACCGCAATCATCCTCACAATTTGAGCATGAAGGAATTTCTGTGTCCACTTTGCAAATCGCTCTGTAATTCTATATTCCTGTTGATGTCAAAACCTCATAAGGAAAAGCGCCTGAGTGAGTGCACTGGACCAGATGCAATAAGGGACTGGATTACGAATCGTGTTTATTTAGAACGCGACTCCCTGCAAACTGACGATTTGTTTAGTTCGGATTGTTGCTTGTCTTTATTCTCAATCGACGTTTTGCAGCAGCGTCTCCGAAATACATTGAAAGAACAGTATGTGTCTTCTTTTACCTTACCGCAGGAAAACCGTATAGCATCCAGAACAGACACCTTACGTGTGGAACTTAGTTCTTGTGGAAGTGAATCTTCCGTTTCATCTTTTCTTGAAACGCATAAGAATTATGAATACGTTTATGTTACTGAAGGCGTTTATGAACTTTACAGACGACTCGAAGATGTTCTTGATTTAAATCTTACAGTATACACTGATGGATTCATAATTGCAAATGGCAAGCTTGTGAATGTTTTGGAATTGTATTCTTACACACTTGCTTGCACTGAAGTGTCTCAACGCGGAACAAATGGTGTAGATAAATCTCAAACCATGTTGTGGTTTGAAGTCTTGACTCCTAGCCAATTAGTTTTTCTGCGAGTTTTATCTGTAACCGTTATGACATATGCTGCTCTTTCAATGAACGACTTTCGGAATGGTTTATCTGGGACTTCCTCTGAATATGCCACTTTAGTTGCTGGACAACACTACCGGCTTTTTGGTGCTTCAGTCCCTGGTTTCTTTTCCACCCAAGTTCCTAATCAAGGCGCAAAGTATGATACGCTCTTGTCAAAAGATATTTTCACAGAATTCGCTGAAGCAAGTGTTTCAGGGTTTCTGATTCATGAAGAATCATTTATCACGCTTACGAAGTGCTATTATCTTGCAGATACTGTGAAGACAATTTGGTTCCTACTAAAACAACTTGATACTCTCAAAAAATGTCCTGTGCCACGAAATTATCCCGTTCGCACGCCCCAAGCCCTTCTTGGATTTAAGCATCTAGTGTACTATATATGGCGATATGTATGTACATCTGAAAGAATGAATCAGAGTCCAGAGGACTGTCCGGAATTGAACAATGCGTCTTTTCTCTCCATGCTTCTGGATTTGACTGAGAAGTTTGCGCTTGTATTTTTGCGCAAGTGTGCCCTACTATGGTACGTTCGCTATGGTATACATTTCGATACATTTCCTGCTGAGGACCTTGATAAGTCGGAAATGGATCGAATTACAAAAGCCCTCGATCTTCCTACGGTCACCGGAAACTGTAACACTTTGTTACAGAAGGAAAGCTTGACAGAATGGAAGTTAATTGAACATTGGTGCCAATCTCACATAGCGAACAGCCCTTATCGAGAGTATTCACGCGTATATACTCCGTCGATTTATGAGTTAGTTCCGCTGCCACGAGAACAAGATTTGCTGTTTGAGTTGTTGTTAGGACGAACCTGCAGCAAATGTCAAACTGAACCTTTAGAACCGGCAATCTGTTTGTTTTGTGGTCAAGTGCTTTGTTTCCAAAGTCACTGCTGTTCATTCAATGGTGTTGGCGAGTGTAGTCTTCACCTCCAGCAATGTGCTTCTAACATTGGCATTTATTTCATCGTTAAGCGCTGTTGTATACTATTCTTAAACCCACCCACCGGTAGTTTCGCTGCAGCACCCTTTACTGATTTATATGGCGAAGCCGATCTGGGTTTACGAAGAGGACGATCGCAATTCCTGCGACAAGACCGGTATGATGCATTTGTTCGCAATGTTTGGATTCAAGGTGGAGTTTCCTCTTACATTGCACGTCGACTCGACTTGCAAGTTGACATAGGCGGATGGGAGACTTTGTAAAATTAGACTTTCATCAAGCATGTAGTAATAGACTTACAAGAAAAATATTTCAGATACTATGTTTCCAAAAAATGACAATACTAAATTAATACTAATAATGAATTGTTTTCAGAAGTTAAGATGTAGACATTGTGAATGGAACGTTATTCTTATTATATACTGCATTGCCTATTGCATTTTTTAATATCTACGGTATGGTAAATTTAACCTGTTCATGTACACATAAAGACAGTATAGAATTGTAAGCTTAGAAACAAAAACTGACCAATTTCTTACTAAAGAAAGATGATTATAAAACGAAGAGTTTAAACTCTAAAATCACTAAATCTTATTCAAATTGTCGTTGATTTTGAGAGTGTTACAACATTCTTAGCATAACTCGCATTTGGTGACCTTTTGCCATTCTTTCACGAACGGGGTGTCACTTCTTTTTACTACCACTATTTTACACTACAACTTCTATTACTGTTTGTTTAGTGGTGGTGGTGGTGACCGAGGACTCATCTCCGAATAAGCATCATAACAGCCTAGGTCGGAACGCCGTCGTCATTCTCCTCTCAGGGCCAGCCGACACCTTGAGTTCTTTAACCATGAACTACTAGGAAAACTTTTGAACAAAATTGCAGGCATTTGTACTGTTTTTATGTTGATTTCCCCACAAACTTCCCCTTAAAAACATTATTCGTGTCTCGACATCTCAGGCGAGACCATTTTTACTTGTATAATTGAAGTTCTCTTGGCGATATTATATGTAATTAAGTATTATCAATGTTTTCGCCTCCGTCCAGCAGTTTTAAAACCGGAATTCCTTGGCTGGATGTCTCTGACAGCGAAGATGAATCCGGAGACGAACATATGAATCCTTCAGGATTTTTCGGAAAATCATACAGTGATCTTTCGCCAAATTACGAGGCCTTTTCTCCTCTTACCACTCCGAAATCTGTGAAAAACTCAGTTTCTCAAGGTCGTGTGCCGGCATCTTCCCATGACAATGACAGTGATGACTACTTTTATTCTCGAAGTCCACGTGCCGTTTCACCTACTGGAAAACAGAGTAGTGACTTCAGTCGACAGTCCTCATTTGCTTCGTCTTCATCTTTAGGGAAGAGTCCTGTTTCTGAACACTCAGCCAATGGCTTTTCATTCAAAAACTTGTCATTTGATCACAACATTCCCATGGACAGTAGCTCTAGTACGGAGGAAATAGAGACAAGTGAGCCAGACAGGCAAGGTGAATACAGTGATAGAGAGGCACAAAAATTATTTTCAGAAGGCACATCAACTCCTGCTCAAACAGATGGTTCTCAAACACCTACATCTAATTGGGTGTATGGCGATGCATCCGATCTCTCTGGGATTCATGGGCGAGGTTCATACGACGATAGTTCTCTTGGAACTGATTCTCTTCTCGGTGATACGGATAGTCTAAAAAATCTTATGAGTATTCCAAATCACAACCACACAACCGCTGAAAACATTCCTTCGGACGAGTATTGGGAGCCGCCAGAGAGCTGGGGAACAATTAAACCTTATGATCAAAGTCACGAATTTACGCCGCACGTCTATACTAAGCCTAAGGAGCCCGAAGATACACAACCGTTTCAGTTGCGTATATATCGTGCAGACAAATCAGTCGTTTCCTTTACGTGTCCGATGAACATTCGTGCGCATGAGGTTATTAGAATCGTCGCTCAACGCTTTTTCCTTCCTTATCCAGCTCCTTACTATTTGCTCTTAGTCTTCTTTAATCGTGAACGCATTTTGTTGCCTGACGAACGACCCTGTTACATATACAAAAACTTCTTAAAGGATTTTGGTTATGATTTTAATTATAGGGACTCGCCTGAAACGAATGATGATTTTGGAATTGCTCGATTCGTGTTTACTACAATGGACATTGGAGCATCTCTTGGCAAAAAAGTTCCACGTTTTACTTCTTACGAAAACATTGATGTTTCTGGCTTAAATCTTGAGGTTTTACCTGTAAAGTTACATCGGCATGCTGCAGAGATTCGAAAACTCAATGTCGCCGATAATCTATCACTTAAAATTCCAAACGACTTTTTGGAAGCTTGTACAAACTTGGAAGTACTAAATCTGTCAGGAAATATGCGGCTCCCGGAAGGAAAAAGCATTGTTTCATTAAAAAAACTTAAGGTCCTAAATATATCTTTAAATGACCTATATGAAGTGAATCCGGAACTACTTGCAGAAACAAAGGCCACTAATCTTAGAAAACTGTACTGTTCCAGTAATAAGCTTTTCTTCCTTCCCTACCCTCTTTTATATCTGTCTCGTCTAACATATCTGGACCTCTCTTTTAATAATTTTACGACAGTTCCTATAAGTCTTGTTGAGATTACAACTCTTCAACATCTTGATATGTCTTATAATTACTTGTTATACATCCCACCCGAGATTAAGCGGTTAAAAGAATTGAAGACTTTTTACTTTCAATTCAATTCGGTGTATGGTGTTTTACCTGAAGAGTTTGGCTCCCTTAATAAATTAGAAACAATTGACCTGAGAAACAACAAGATCAGCGATATATCTTCGTTAAGTGGATGTTCACGTTTAAAGCAAATTTTTGCAAGTGGAAATCCAATTTCTCAGCATGAATCAAGTCTGTCAAATGCTGTCCGGTTAGACTTGTCTCATTGTCCTATGACAATATTCGATGTTCCGACATCTGAAACAACGCCTTTACGCTATTTGGACCTTTCCTACGGAAAAATCGTGACAATTAATCCCTCTACTATTCAATGCTGGTCTCAGTTGGAGTATCTTAACCTTAGTTACAATCATTTTAATGCCTTGCCAGGCGTCTTCTCAGAGATGATAAACTTAAAGCGTTTATTATGTACCAATTGTGAGATTAGCGAAATCTCTCCGGATATTGGAAAATTAAAGCATCTCGAATTGCTCGACTTGCATTCTAATAATTTGAAACATGTCCCGGAAGAAATTTGGATGATTCCGTCCCTTACAGAGGTAAATCTTTCATCGAACATATTGGAGCAGATTCTGCTTCCTGCGCCGAAACCGACGGAACGTGCTGTTCACCGACTACGCTTGGTTCGAACGCTTTCAGGCCGTTCCCTTTCGGGTTCTGATTTCGATCAACACTCCATCCCCCCTGTGAGAGAGTTATTGCTTGTTGATAACCGTTTAAGTGACACTTGTTTTGCGACACTGAGAAAGTTTAAGCATTTACGATTGCTAAATCTGTCTTACAACTATATAACGGAAATTCCTAAGGGATTTGCCGAGAAGCTTTCAAATTTACAGCGATTTTACATTTCCGGTAATAGGCTTTCAAAGCTACCTATTGTGGAACTTCAAAGATTGAATTTGGAATTACTTTACGTGAATTCAAATAGACTTACACAAATGATTTTTGAAGATACACCGTTTCCGAGTTTGTTGGCTTTAGATTTAAGCAATAATAACCTTCAAACGGTTAATGTTGGAAGAGACACCCAAGCTTCGACTACTCGTGTGTATACAAAACTTCGGTATTTTAATCTTTCGGGCAACCCGTGGCTTGCACCGTTCAAAAGGCGTCGGGAACATCAACGGAAGGAACTCATAAACGTTCTAAACAAGATACGCGTGCTCTCGCTCCTAGACATTGAAGAAAATGTTTTTACTAGCACTACCGACATTCTTAATCGCATTGTTAGGACTGGCAATACGGAAGACAAATTACTAAGCTACGGTGTCTGTGACAGCTTTGGAACCAATATGGACGCTTTATCATCCGTGGAACTTGTTATTAAAGAGTTTTTAGGACCCATGTCTTCCCTGTACTGTGTGTTGGACAGTGGCTCACCCACTGAATCTGCGGCAAAAGTATTACGGTTCGTTTATGATAACTTGCCTCAATGTCTTGCTGAAGAGTTATCTAATCACTATTCTTCTACCGAGTGGATTTTTCGGGCTATAAAGAATGCATTTTTAAATCTCAATAAACTGTTAGCGCTCGCGTTTTATGACGATTTACATTCAAAAGGCGGTGAGATCGACCAGGGTCCCAAGAGGTATGTAAAGAAAGGATATTTCTTCGACAAATCATGCGTGGACTATGGCTGCAGCGTCATCCTAGTGTATCTTCGTGATACTCGTGCTTTTATCGCAAATGCTGGAACTGCAGAAGCCATCATATCAAAACGAACTGATTCTGAACCCACTGCAATCAGTAAACCGCACAGCTCTAATGATCCAATGGAGATCCGGCGCGTTATCGATCAAGGTCAAGGTTCTTCAAGTAACGTGGAATTCATTAGAAAATACGAAGTGACCAGAGGCGTTGGTTACCTTTCACAAGTTCCCTTTGTAATTAGTGATCCCTTCATAACGGTCGAAAATCTCTCAGAACTGAATGACTTTATCGTACTTGCAAACAGTAATCTTTGGAAAGTCCTTTCCACACATGCGCTTATTGATATCGTTCGTTCAAATTATCGCTCTCCAATGCTTTCTGCATCCAAGGTTCGCGATTTTGCTTTGGCCTATAATTCAAAAGAACCATTTACCGTCGTGGTGATTGACCTGAAACGTCGTTTCGGGACTCAAACACCGGTAATCCCAAAACTCGGTGAACGTGGTACTATGAAGGAAGAAGAAGAAGCGGCGTTAAACTTACAGGCGCTTCATAATTTGCCTGATGACTCTGCGTTAGCGAGATTAAGTAAGGAAGTATCACCTCCTCGAGGGTGCATCGCTATGGTATTTACAGATATAAAAAACTCAACTCAGCTTTGGGAGCGACATCCAGTTGCTATGCGATCTGCCATCAAAACACACAATACTATCATGAGACGCCAGCTCAGAGCTACAGGAGGGTACGAGGTGAAAACCGAAGGTGATGCTTTTATGGTATGTTTTCAAACCGTTCCTGCTGCTCTTCTTTGGTGTTTCTCTGTACAATTACAGCTTCTTTCAGCCGACTGGCCGAAAGAGATTGTCGAGTCAATTCACGGAAGAGAAATTCTCGGTGAGCGGAATGAACCACTGTATCGGGGACTAAGTGTGCGTATTGGCGTTAATTGGGGTGTCACAGTTAGTGAAATGGATCCTATCACACGCCGTATGGATTATTACGGACCAATGGTGAACCGTACTGCTCGCATTGTTGCAGTTGCTGATGGTGGACAAATTGCCATTTCTAATGATGTTGTCAATGCCCTTCAACAGCTTGATAGTGAAAACGCACCTTCAGAACGCTCGTACGAGACGGAGATGGAACTTCGATCTCTGAAACAAATGGGTTATGTGGTTCATTACATGGGCGAATACAAGCTGAAAGGTTTAGAAAACCCTGAACGCATTTCCCTAATATATCCACTGGCACTCGAAGGACGATTGGAGCGCATTTTGAAGAAATCTAGTTCAGGCGTCCAGACATCGTTTGATAAGGGAATAGTGAACCGACCTCGAAGTCGAAGCAATAGTCTTCGTCCAATTATCGGTCGGCTAAGCGAATCACGATCCGTAAGTGAAGACTACCGTAGACGGTCAGTTTCATCTCTGCGCGGTGAAACGTTTAGCGATCCAAACCTTCGCTTTCCCGCCGGCATCTTCGATAATTCTTTGTACCAGCATTTGCTTGAACTTTGTGAACGTCTCGAGGATTCGGCAGCACTACTTCACGGCTACCCCGAAGCGCCAGAATGTTCAATTGGTCTTGCTGCTCCAGAGACAATTGGTGAGGAATTTGCCATGCTTTATCGTCTTACTCTTCGGATCGAAAACACAATTTACTGTCTGCGTAAGATGTTACGAAACATTTAGCTCCCAATGCTCCGTTGAGCTGCATTATTCTTTCTCGCGTTTTCCCATCAAGCATACTCTTTGTTTCTGTTGCTATTATTACAAGTTCTCATTGGCATTTTTATTCAGTCTTACTTATCCGCCTGTTGTTATATTCGTTCTATCTCCTTCATTGATTGAGGCCTCCCTTAAGGGCTCTCCGTTTTTTGGGTAATCTTCCAATCTAATCATCCACAAAGTCAAAACTCTTCCTCATGTCTATCAATCGCGCACGTACATCCATTCACCTCCCGCATCGCACCCCATTCTTCCAAGCAACGCGAGTGCACACAACTCCTAGCTAGTAATCTACATTTACCACACCCGTACAAACCCCCTTGCCAACAAACCAACCCTCTTTGACGACCATCCCATGTAAATATCTTGTAAATAAATCCATAAAATTCATCATAATAAACAAAAACAGAAAGGAAGAGAAAACATTGAAGACTTGCGAGGTGCACAAGCACACGTGGAAGGAATCAAGCAAACAGTCGGCGTCATGTCAATTGCTAGAGCAATGGAGCTAGCTGCTGGAAGCGCCGCGTTAACAGAGTGAAAGAAATAATAACACTGTACGAAAGAGTGGAGCGAGTTGGAGAATAAAAAGAATGCTGAAGAGAGAAAAGTGAAACAGTCAAAGCAAGAACCATACAACATAACGGGGAGGATAACCAGATATCCACTCCATGTACGGATGCCAAAAAGAATTTTAAGGAAATGAAAGTCAGCCATTTATGGACAAGCAGAACTTATTGCTCCATGGAGACATCAACATTGCTGCCGGAGGAACCGCTAGTAGCATGCGTCAGGTCGCTGCTACCGACACCGACAAATGAGATTGGTCGGAACGACTGAACAGTCGGTCGATAGTGCGAGCTTTCAGGACGAATGCTCCTTTGCGACATTGGATGAGAATCCACGTCAATCAGCTTATGCCATGCGCGAACCGTGTCCAACGGCCGCTCGAATTTCCATCTTGTAGGGTTGTTCACGTCGGGCTCATCAATTTTTTGACCGTAATAGTCTTTAGGGATATGAGTGCTTTTCGGGCGATCAGAGGAGACCGCTTGCTCGTAGGGTTCAGGCTCGGTAATGGCAACAGACGGATTTGCTGGCGTACCCAATTGCACGGAAGTGCTTCTGATCTTTTTGGGCAACTTGTCCTTTGACTTCTTCTTTCCGAACGCCATTTTAGTTGAATAGAGAGTGCTTAACGGTTAAAATATCCAAGAAGCAACGACGACCCTGTGATTTCGTTAAGGGTTCTTAAGAGTATCGGCAACTGTCAAGTTAAGACGGCGGTAACGACAATTATAAACGTGCGGCCGACGACTTCTTCGCTGAATTTCTGTTGGTAGCGGTCGAGTGGAGACAGCCGTCGCTATTTATGCTGCTTGGGAGCCACAGTGAATTCCTCCTTGATAGTGCATGCGCATCTCCTTGGCCGTGCGTATTCCTTCATCAGCCGATTCCAGAAAAATTCTTGCCCCACCTACAGCCTCCCTGGGTCGAAAAGCATCGAGATGTTTTAGCGAGGGACCCTGTGAGAATTGCGCCTTCCTAGCGAGAGACAATTTTCAGAACGCGACTACGACCCGCGGGGACTTCGAATACACGCCTTGCCAAAAAAACACGCCCTATGGCCAATTGATTCCAATCCACGTGGCAGAGAAAAGCCCCCACACCCAGCCATGGTAGCGAAGAAGATGAGCCATAGGAACGATTTACGTCATCGTTTGCGAAAAATGATGCCATCTGAGGGAACCACTGTTTCCGGTCGGCATTCGTTCGAAATCCGACGGAGGAGCCACAAACCAGTTCTGCCGTCATCAAAGAGGGCGCCAAAACAACGAGGAAACACTTCACATGTTGACTTGAATTCTGAAGATATCTCTAGCACCGCCAATGAGCCATAATTCTTCCGATACACTCGGCGCATGGGGCAGTCGGCGGCGTCTCTTATATGTTTCATTCGGTTGGTTATCATCTTAAGCTTATTTCATTTCTACGTCAGCATTACGGAGTATCTTGCTCGCACGCGAAAAATAAGGTACGAGCAGGCACTTCGGTTATGCACTGTGCATCCTATTACAAAAAAACCCGACTCGGCTAGTTCTCGCATACGCGCTTCTTTTAATAGCTGCGCTCGATAATTTGTTGCAGTTTATAGATTCCGAAGAACACCATGTGGAGCCCCTTTGAGAATCATGCGAGTTTTTCGTCTCCGAAGGGGGGCGCGGTGAAGGGGACCGATAAGGAGTACGATCTTCAAATTCCTAATTACCACGTTCTCGCTAACCCCGCGCGCATCTTGAAGCAAGTACAGCGTTCGTATTGTGAGACACGGTGTACTCCGCTAAACAGCTTAACGCGCGCTACCATATTTTATTGCATTACTAAACACTACTGTAAAGTCAATTGCGGTGTGCACCGCCTTAGGAGGCTCTACGGTTCGTGCAGCGTAGCTATGTCGCTTGAATGACAAGCATTGAACTAGTACTGGCAGCTAACAGTGACTAGGAAAAAGTGCTACCAGTTTGCATAAGGACGAATGTTTTTTGATTTGTCTATGGATAAATCTGTGGCTGACGAGTTCGTACGTTTTTGACTCACCACCCAAAATCACACTCTAGGAATTCCAACGTACTCAGAGAACAGAGCTTTCGTAGGGCTCTGAGCCGTCTCATTACAACAACGAGCTTCTATATTCAGCTATTGATCGGATTGGGATAGTTGCTAGCAGCATTGTTTTGGTGGCAGCAGCACCATCAACGACATTCTTTTACTGGCTCACAGCAATTCCACCCATCTACACGCACAAAAGGCTAATTTGCGTATTTTGCAAAAGCCAGATCAGCGATTGAAACCGCCCCTGTGTCTTCCCTACCTCGCTGACGGTGAATCGTTTTATCTATTTTCTTTTATCTCTGTTGATTTTTTTGGGTTTTTGCCTTTTATAATTTGCCTTCTTCCATTTTCATTAACACAATTTTGAACTTCCGTTTGTCCTCTTAATTTGTGTTTTCTCATTTTTGTCTATATCATCTTGCACATAGTATCGTTTGCGAATTTGTCGTCTGCCTTCACGATTCTGTGGTCCATTTTTTGGATTTAAAAGTTTCACAACATATTTTCTGTTATTCCTTGTTACTCTCCAGACCTTTTTGAAAAGCGCACACATACACACATACGCACACATCGTCTTTTTTTGTTTGACATTTAACATGCAGAGTTCTTCAAGCTCAGACGATTCGTATGATACCGAGGTTCCAAACTGGTACATTTACGGCCGGTGGGTTCTGTTTGTGTGCATTATTGTTGCTGCTATCTTCACAATTGTGAGTATAAGCTTCATTAATCGGAAACGTGCACGCTCCGGACGGCCTAATCTTCCCTTCACAAACTTCTATCCCCTCTCACAACCTCCTCCCTACACACCGTCCGCTGATATGAACACGCCAATAAGGAACGCCGAACCTGCTCCTCCGCAATTTTCGTCCACCGGTGAGGTTTACTATTCGCCCACCGTCCCCGGCGAGAATCCTCCCCCTGCTTACCCAAAGGCCGTTGCTTATCCATAAGAGAAAGCAATGGCTGGCCCGGAAACCACTTCGTAAACGGGTAAGTCTTGGTCCCTTCACACCTCTTCCGCTCTGTCTCCCTCTCATCCATACATGTACGGCTATGTCGGGTATCTACATCAATGGTTCTGTATTAAGTTTGCTGTATCCATTGGTAAGAATGTTTCGTTTGCTCTACTTGACTGTTCAGGGTGACACATGTTCTTGATGCCCTTTCTTCGGCACAACTAATTGTGTCTTTATCATCCTATTATCATTCTCTTTCACTCTGCTTTGTCTTAATTTTCAATCTTTCATTTGCTCATTGCATTTCTTTTTTCTTCTTCTTCTTCTTCTTTATTCATCAATTCTTCTTTTATTGATGTGAATCTTTTTTTTATTTTAAACGCGCGTGTTGTGTGTGCCTGTGTGTTTCTTCATTGAGATGAGTTGACTTAAGCATTCAGATGAACCTTTTCTCAAAACAATTTTTTTTTTGTCTTTTTTACCGATCTCTTCGATCTATACTGTCAAACGTTTTTGTGCATATCATTATTTATCAACTAACTCCTTAAATTTCGATACCTTTTATCTACGGAGAAAACCAAAACAAATGAAGGGAGATTTAAAATGGTTTCAACACCATCAAAACATTATCGGTCTTTCCGTCCGTCGAACAAAAAAGCAGCCTTAAACATTCCCGCTGAATTTCAGCCGTTACTGCTGTATCGTCCACTCTCTTTCTCTCTCTCCTTTTACAGCAGCACTTTTTCACACCTGTCTCCTGCCCTCTTGCTCCTGCCACTAAAGTTCGCCGGATTGAAATGGTGGTGGTAGTGGTGTTGTGTGCGTGGTGGAGCACTTTTTTACTTGAGGTTTCTGCAACCCATACTGTCAAACGTACCTCCTACCACCAATCCAAATTCCCAAAAGAAGGATGTCCGTGGACAAACTTGTGTCTAGCCTTAAGCAGATTCACCTTTCTGAATACCCCGTCGTCTCTCACGACCGTGTGGAGAACGGAAAGGAATGGGCTGCTGCTCTTCAAGCTGCTAATGACGTTCCTGCACACAGTCTTACGAAGACTGTCGTTTTGAAGCCCAAGACTCCCAAGTCTCAAGAACCCGTTTATCTTGTTGTGGTCTCTTTGGATTCTACACAGAGTCCTTCTTCCATTGCCGCCAAGAGTGCCGGTTTCAAGGAGGCACGTCTTGCTGCTGCAGACGTTGTCGAGTCCGTTCTTGGTGTGAAGCCCAGTGATGTCTCTGTCTTCTCTATCACTAGTGGCAACAATGCTCAAGTTAAGGTCGTGTTGGATGACGCTCTTGTCAAGAGCGACAAGCCCCTGGCTTTCCACCCCAACACTGCCGACAAGACTCTTATCGTCCCTGTCGCCGCTGTGCAACAATACCTTGAATCTGTCGGTGTGAAGCCTGTTGTCGTTGACTTCACTGCACCCGTTGCTGCTCCTGCTGCTAAGAAGGCCCCTGCTCCCAAGGCTGATGCCTCTAAGGCTGCCATCGAGAACGCAGCTTTGATCGGTGTTACTGTGCGCAAGGACCTCGACTTCCCCGGCTGGTACCAGCAAGTCTTGACCAAGAGTGATATGATTGAGTACTATGACATTTCTGGTTGCTATATCCTGAAGCCCTGGTCGTACTTCATTTGGGAGGTTATCCAAAAGTGGTTTGACACCGAGATTAAGAAGATCGGTGTTAAGAACGGTTACTTCCCTCTTTTCGTTTCCTCCCGTGTCTTGGAGAAGGAGAAGGACCACGTTGAGGGTTTTGCCCCCGAAGTTGCTTGGGTCACTCGTGCTGGCAGCAGCGATTTGGAGGAGCCCATTGCTATTCGTCCCACTTCTGAGACCGTTATGTATCCCTACTACGCCAAGTGGATTCGCAGTCACCGTGATCTTCCTCTCCGTTTGAACCAATGGAACTCAGTCGTCCGTTGGGAGTTCAAGAACCCTCAACCCTTCCTCCGTACCCGTGAGTTCTTGTGGCAGGAGGGTCACACTGCTTTCTTGACCAAGGAGGAGGCTGACAAGGAGGTGCACTACATTTTGGATCTGTACTCTCGTGTGTACAGCGACCTCTTGGCTCTTCCCGTTGTTAAGGGTGTGAAGAGTGAGAATGAGAAGTTCGCCGGTGGTTTGTACACCACTACCTGTGAGGGTTACATCCCTACCACTGGTCGCGGTATCCAGGGTGCTACTAGTCATGGTTTGGGCCAAAACTTTTCCAAGATGTTCAACATTGCCGTTGAGGATCCCGATGCCGAGCTTGTGAACGGTGAACGTCCCAAGCGCTACATCTGGCAAAACTCTTGGGGTCTTTCCACCCGTACCATTGGTGTTGCTGTTATGGTGCACGGTGATGACAAGGGTCTCAAGTTGCCTCCTGCCGTTGCCAGCATCCAAGCTATTGTTGTCCCTTGTGGTATCACGAACAAGACGACTGATGCTCAGCGTGCCGAGTTGGAGAACAAGTGCAAGCAAATTGCCGATAGCCTCGTTGCTGGAGAGGTTCGTGCCGAAGTGGATCTGAGAAGTTACACTCCCGGCTACAAGTTTGCTCACTGGGAGTTGAAGGGTGTTCCCCTGCGTATTGAGTACGGTCCCAACGATGCCAAGAAGGAGCAAGTCACTGCCGTTCGTCGTGACACGTTCGAGAAGATTGCCATTCCTCTTGCCAACCTTGCCAACGGTGTTCAAGACGTGTTGGCAGCTATTCAAAAGAACATGTACGAGGTCGCCAAGAAGGCGCGTGATGCCCACATTGTTAAGGTTAAGGAGTGGAAGGACTTTGTTCCTGCTCTTAACAAGAAGAACCTTGTGCTTATTCCCTGGTGTAACACTACCCCCTGTGAGAAGCTTATCAAGGAGAAGAGTGCTCGCCAAGCCAATGGTGATGAGCCTGAAGACGAGAAGGCCCCCAGTATGGGAGCCAAGAGTCTGTGTATTCCCTTGGAGCAGCCTACTGGTGAGGACGCCATTGTTCCTGGCGTCACCAAGTGCTGCTACTGTGGTGAGGAAGCTAAGGTTTGGGGTTTGTTTGGTCGTAGTTATTAAGAAAGGGGCAAGAGCTAGAAGCATTTTTGTTTTTACTTTCATTCTTTCATTTAATAAAAAAAAAAGGAATCTATTTAGGGAACAAAAGGTATAATGTATTTGAGTAGCAGGCCGAGAAGCGTGCGAGTTGTTTGTTAGCCAAAGCCCGCCCATTCCACGCTGAAGCAGCGGGTGGAAGCGGTGTCGTTACGTTTTGAGGAGGACGATTTTGTGCCGCACATGAGCCAGGCCTTTTTGACACCGGTGCCCAAACGTCCACCGGCGATGATGTTCACGACGGGAACCTCTTCGTTCCAGTTGTAACTGTTTACCAAGTAGTGCGAATGATAGCGCAAAGAGTCGCCTGGGTACGCAACAAAATGGCATCCAAAGCGGAGGCCCGGGTTCAGGCAAAACTTTCGCGCAAGCAGGTACTCGAACGCATGATAGCGCTTCATCTCGACTTCGGGAAATATGTGAGAGTCTTGAGGAGCGTACAGTTCGCGGTTAGAAGCAGTACGAACGGGGACCATGAGCAAGTCGGAGCGTCTGTCCTCGGCCGGTGACGGTTCAGGAGGAGGAGGACGGCCAAGCTTTTGCATTGCAAGACGTTTCTTCTCGTACTGACGGCGGTTGTTCTCGGTATGCTGTTCTTGGGCGAGTTCGCGACGCTGTGTGTGAACTTGCTCGACATGATACTTTGTAATTTCAGCGCGAGTCGACTCATGGGACGCAACGTCGTCGACAAGGTAGGCCAAGCCGTGTTTGACAAGGTAGTAGGCCTCTTCATTCATCAACTGTACCGGTAGACCAAGAAAAACGTTTTGCTGAGGCAGTTGGGCCAGCGTGCCCGTGAGCATGCCTAGAATGCCATATTTACACCGAAACTCTTTGACTGCCTCTAAATCAAACAGCAGGTACTGCCCATTGAGACAGGCAATGGGGTATGGTGGCATACGACGAAACAGGTGCAGGGAGCTTTTAAAGTACGCAGCGAAAAAATAAAAAATCGATTGAGTGAGCAGGGAGCGAGGAAGAGAAGTGCGTGAATATGCCGGTTAGACCCTGGCTACGCCGTTCTAGGTCGGCTTTTCCTTTAGAGCAGCTCAATCTTTGGGTGGTGTAGAAAGGCAGAAGAAGGAAGAAACACCAAGGGGAAAAGAAGAACGGCGAGGGAGAGGGAAAAAAAGGAGAAGGAGAGGGAGATGGAAGGGGAGAGGGAAAGGGAAAGAGAAAAAGAAAGAGAAGTTGAATTGTAGAAAAAGACATCTGGAGAGGAAGGTCTCTTCTTTTGAAACAAATGAATCCAGTAATCATGCCTCTACTAAATCCATCACTCACACCCTTTTTTCTCTCCCTTTTCTCTCCCTTTTCTCTCCTCTCCTCTCCCTCTCCTCTCATATCCATTTATTTTTATTCCTATTACCTACATAAATAAAATTTACAACCAATTCAAACATTCCATTCTATGCTCCCTCTTCTAAGGTCACCTCGACAAGACCATTGTTGAAAAGTGAACCGAAAGAAAAGGCATTGCAGCCACCACCTAAAAGGAGCAGTTTGTTAGGGCTCACAGAGACAGCTTGGAAGTCGACGAGCAAAGGCCAAGACGGGAACTCGTCCTCGACCTTTTCACCAGCGTCCATACGGGCAGACACTCGTTCCACCGTGCGCCGTTGCATGTCAATGAGAACAAACAACTCATCCGGCGACAACGGGTGGTCGTGCTGGGTGCCGCCAACGAAAAGTGGCCGAGTGTCATCACTCTTCACACCAAGCACACTCGTGCGTGCGCCTATGCGGGAGACAAGACGGACAGCCGTCGACGGCAACTCCCAGCGAGTCGCATGCAGAACAAACGGACAGCTGCCGCTCGCGGCCGTCGTCGTCGGCCGCAAGGTCCACTCCCAGACACCAGCGTATGCTGGATCGTCTGTGAGCGTGCGGCCGCCGATCAAGAGGCCCCGGCGTAACGTGTGCGAGTAGTGCATGCTTGTGCCCCAGAGCGCCTCGAGCTCGGGCGCCGTGCAGCGCAGCAGACTCCACGCACGCGTGCGCAGCGTCCACAGGAAGAAGCCTCCGCTAGGCTTGCCCGCCTGCACGACCACGTACCATTCACCGTCTGCGGCCTTTACGGGCACGGCACAGCCGTGGAAAGAGGGGTGCGGAAGCCGCGGCAGTTCCGTCCACTCGTCTCCACACAGGAGGTAGCAGTCGTCGAGCGCCTTTGCAGGAGTCGTGCGGCCGCCAAAGACGAGGCATGTCCGCGGCTCGAGCGGGACCGCGCAGAGACAGACGCGGGGTGGAGGCGGGGCGGCGAGCACGTGGGGCGGGGCGCTGGGATCGGCAGACGAAAACACAAAAGCGTTGCCGTTGCGGACGTTGGAAGCACCGTAGCCGCCGACGGAGAGGATGCGCGTGTTCCCGTCGGCTGCCTCGTAGACGCAGCTGGCGTGAGCACGCAGATCCAGCTGTTTCGCGCACTCGCGCCGACGCAGCACCACTGTGTGGGGTGCAGGGGGTGTCGGGGAGCGGTCGATCAGCGGCCCCGGCGGGGCCGCTGATCGACGGCCGGCCAAAGCTGTCGTACTGGCCAATTGCAGGGCGTAGTGCTGCAGAAACAAGGAAAGCTCATGCCACTCGTCAAACAGCTCGACATGCGCGAGCTGCGCTTTGTATGCCTCCGGGATGAGCGTGTCGTAGGCGGCGGCGAGGTCGAGAACCTGGACGTCGGCCCAGCCGGCGTCCGTCCAGCGACGCGTGAGGAGCGGGAGTGTGGGGTAGCGCGCGGGGCTGTGGAGGGGCGAACCCATGCGGGCGAAATGGGCGAGCATTTTGTCGGCGAACGGGTGGTGGGCCACAGGCAGGATCTGCTCGAGGAAGCACGCGTGGGCGTCGGGAAAGCGCGCGGCCCAGCGGACAAGACGGTCGGAGGTGGCGAGGGGCATGTAGACGGCGGCGACCTCGGACACGAACAGCACGGCCGTCGAGCCAAAGTCGAGGCCGTGGCGCGCCAGCTGTGCGGTGAGCAGGTCCAAGTCGCGCAGGTCGCAGGCGACCGTGTGGTACGCAGCGGCATGGGCGGCCCCGCACGAGCCCCCGCACGAGCGGGCGCCGGAGGGCAGCAGCCAGGGGTTGGCGGCGAGGATGGCCTGCTTGTGCTGGATCAGCGGCTCAAAGTCCACGTCGTAGAAGGAGACGGTGGGGGCGCGCGTGTCCCCCACCTCGGCGATGTCGTGGAGGAGCTGGAAGGCGAGGGGGTCGAAGCCGGCGCCGAGGTTGACGACGGCGCGGGGCTTGAGGCAGCAGTGGGAGAGAAAACGCTGCACCGCCTGGCGCACCACGACCGTGCGGGTCCAGTAGCCGCGGTTGAGGGCGGGGGCGCGCCGCGGCTTCCCGTGCACAAAGGGGAGGAAGAAGTTGACGGCACCGGCGCCGGGGTAGCGCCGCTGCTCGACGGAGCACTTGCTCGCGATCGAGTAGTCGTTGGTGTGCTGGACGGGCTGCATGGGGAAGACGGCGAGAGCAGACGTGCGAGAGCAGGAGGCGAGGTAGTCGAGGTAGTCGAGCGCAAGCGAGACTACCGAGACTGCCGAGCGCACGCGAGCTAAGCGAGCTGCTCTCGTTTCACTCGCGACGGGGAACACCGAGCAGTTGAGTACAGGTCAGTTCAGGTCAGATCAAGTCAAGTCGCCTTGGGTTTTGGTTTTGGGTTCGGTTTCCTCCTGCTCGCCGCTCGGCCGCTCGCGTCCTCCCTTCCCTGCCATCGCTCGCCTCGCTCGCTCCTCCCTCGCCGCTTCCGTACTCGCTTCACTCGCACGGTCTGCTCGCTTGCGCTCGCTTGCACTCGCCTCTTTCGCCTCCGCTTCAGCCGGCCCTCCTCTCCCTCAGGGTACCACCCCTGCAGCTTCTCGTCGTACTCCCAGCCCAAAGATTTCCGCGGGACACCCGTCCATTCCGTGGAGCTTCCGGAGCTCGAAGACGGCCTGCTCCTTCTGCTTGGCCTCGATCATCAAGTCCATGTCGCTGGCACAGGGCGGCAGCGCGCGCACGCGGTCCGAGTGATGGCGCCGCTGGTGGGGCACCACGGCGCCGCGCATGGCGGCCTCCGAGTAGTGCTGTTTCTGCGTGATGCGCTTGCGCGTCCACGTCGCTGCAATGCGCTCGGCCAGCGGCAGGACGCCGCGGACGTCGGCGCTCAGCGTCCCCGGCACGATCGTGTGGTGGTGCCAGTCGAGCACGAGCGGGATGTCCAGCTCCTCGCACACCGGCAGCAGGTCCTCGACGCTCCACGAGACGTCATCGTTCTCCAGCACCAGGCGGGCGCGGATGGACTGTGGGAGCCGCGCGTAGTTGCCGCGGAAGCGGGCGAGGGTCGCGTCTTTGTCGCCGAAGGTGCCGCCCATGTGGATGACGAGGACGGCGTCGCGGTCGATGGGCTCGTCGAGCTTCATGCGGCGGAGCACCTCGTCGTGGTAGGCGAGGTCGCGGACGGCGGCCTCGACGACGGCCGCGCGCGGGCTCGCGAGCTGCGTGTACTGGCCGGGATGCATGGTGACGCGGTGCCGGAACGCGTTCACGACGCGGCCGGCCTCCTGCAGCGCTTCGTCGGCGAATTCGAGCGTGTAGCCAGCCTCTGCGTGGCTCGCGAACGGGAACAGATCGGAGCTGAGCCGGAAGAAGCGGATGCCGAAATGCTCGTTCCAGCGCAGCACGGTCGCCAGGTCCGCGGTGTTCTGCAGGCCCAGCGTCTTGGCCACCTCGAGGCCCTCGCGGCGGATGCGCTCCAGCCTGCACGTGCGCGCGCAGAAAACCGCGGGGTTGCGCGCCCGCAGCAGCGTGTTCAGGCAGGGGTAGCCGAGGCGGCCTCTGAAGGAGGTTGTGGGGGCGTCGGGGTAGGTGGGGAGCGGTGCGGGGCGAGCGGGGGATGCGGGGGCTGTGATGGCAGGCGGAGAAAGGGGACGGCACGTACGAGGGGGAGGACGAGGGGGAGGACACTGGCGACACTGGCGACACTGGCGACACTGGGCGACGACACAGACGACAGCACCGGGGAGGACAGTTTCAGCGGGGGATGTGGGGGGGCCGGCGACAGCGGGCTCGGCTGAGCGGGCGTGCGCGGCCGGTTTCGGTTTTCTGGGCGGCCCTCGATTTTCTGGGCGACTTTGGCGCTCTGCGCCAGGCGGGTTGCTCTTCTTGTCAGCACCATGAGGGCGGGAGATGGGAGAAGGCGGGCAGGGCCGGGCCCTGCGGACAATACAAGCAATTGAGGCAATCGATGCGAGGAGCCATGATCGCACGGTGAGGTGGGAGGGGGGCGAGGAGGGGGGAGCGCGCAGCGCAGCGGCTCGGAAACGTAATTAGCGCGAGTTACCGTGGTTTTCCGCGCTCCTCCGCACCCCACCGAATCTCTCGCTATTCCCGCTTACCGTTGCGCAGCGCGCCCCCCACTCCCTCCTCACCCTCCCCCCTCGTTGGGGTGCGCTGCCGCTCTCCACACCCACCCACCGCTAACAACATGGTCAACACGAGAAGAACGAGGACGCTGCCAAAAGAACGGTACGGCACCTTTCGTCAACGCCCGCTAACCTCAGAAACTCGCTGTACAACGATCCCGTCGAAGATTGTACGCCTGCTCTGCCCGTTCCCTGCTAACAACAGACACCACACTCATCACGAAATGTCGCGCCCAGGTCATTGACTTTGCCGACGGACCGGCCACTTTTGTGCGTCTCAAATGCACCAGTCCGGACACCAAGAAGTAAGGAAGAGACGGACGAGACGGAGTCCCCAAACGGACGCTACCGCGTCCGTTTGGGAAGAGCATCGAAGGGAGAGAAGAGACGAGAGAGGAAAGCCTCCAACAGCCTTGAGGCTGTTGGAGAGACGTTGCTCTAACGAGGTTGCATCGGTCTCCCCAGTCTCCCTCCCAGTCTGCACCGCATCTGTTTCTCAGTACCCCATGGCTCACCTACCAGTCCCCATTTCCTCATGAGAATGGCTAAAAACTCCCATATCAGTGCGACCTCCATGTACGTTCCTCACTTCGTTCGTCGCGCACATGTTCGTCGCATGCTAACCCACAGGTTCCGCTCTGCCTTCCCCAAGGCAACGCCCGAGGAAGAAGAGGCCGAAATGTCGTGGATCCAGCAACACCTGCACCCCGTCGAAGAAAAGCAGGTTTCCGGTCTCTGGGTCTCGCCCGAAGACGCCCTGGCTCTTGCAAAGGATTACCACATGACCCCCTTTATCAAGGCTCTCCTGGAGGCCTCTACTGTGCCCTCGACGTACGCAACTCCCTCCCGGCCGTCCGCCGTCGTTGGCTCCCACAGCGCTCACAAAAGACACGCTTCCAAAACTCGCAAGCGTCTCATGGAACACATCACCGCCGCCAGCTCTGCCAGCTCTGCTTCTGGCTCTGCTTCCGGGTCCGCGTCTGGGTCCGCGTCTGTCTCGGTAGAAGTCGATGAAAAGGACGGCGAAACGGCGCCCATGGACACCAGACACCACACTGTCGTCGACACGGACGAGGAGACAGAGGTTGTTGTTGAGGAAAAAGTTGCGTCAAAACGGTCGCGCGAGTCGACCGACAAGACAGAAAGCCGTCTGCGAGATGCACGTGTTGAGACAGACGACAACGAAAAAACCGACAAGGAAAATGAGGAGGACAAAACGGAGGACAACGAGGACGATGACGAACTTGTTCAACAGACCCCCAGACGCACTGCGAAACATGTTTCCCAGCAGGACACTTCCGTATCTGTTTCCGTCTCCCAACCCGCTGCTTCCCGTCCCACTCCTGTCGTTAAACTACCTCGCAGAACTTCCAGTATCACTCCCCAAACAGGCATTCCCTCTGCCGCCATTTCCCGTCCTCAGCGCTCGGCAACCACCGGCTCTTCCAGACTCTCTGTGTCTGCAGCAGCAGCTGTTGCGGCCGCAACAGCTCCCGCTACTCCTGCTCGTTCTCGTAAACGGACACGCGAAGAGTTTGACGAGGACGCTACAACCGAAAAAAATGCTGTGAAGCCCACACTTGTGCCCGTCAAGCGCGCTCGCATTTCTCATCTGGAAACGCAGATTAAGCAGGAGCGTCGGAAAGTTCGCGCTCTCACTGGACTTGTCGTCGGTTTGGGTGCTGGTGCAATCCTCCCGTTTTTGTTTTAATTTTCGCAAACTTGTTGGCGTTCTCTGCTGCACACAAACACACACACACAGCAATATCAATCTCTCTCTCTCTCTCCCTCTTTCTCTCTGTTCCCCGACTTGCATTGCATTCGAACGACACCATTCTTGCGTTGCAATGCTCGTCAAAAATACTGGTATGGCCTATATAGGGCACACACCGTTTCCTTTGCTTGCATGGATGAAAAAAAAAAGAACAGGGGAATGATTGTGAATTATTAACGCTATCCGCGTATGCATGTGCAGTCAATGGCGCCTTCCTATACAAACTCTTCAACCATTCCTACCACACTTTTATTACGAGTCCGGTGTATTTCAGCTTCTTACTCTCGCCGACAACTGTGGGATCGCCCGCTAATGCCGGATATTCCTTTTTTTTTCCCACTTAATTTGTGCACTGTTTATCTTTTGTATGGGCCGTTTGGCCGCCATGAAAATGTCGCGTTACGAAACGGGTTTGCAATTTGTTCAAGACTTATTCACTTTACTACTACAACTTATTTGCTGCTGCTGCTGCTACTTTCACTTACACATACATACACAAACATAAAAAGGGCGAACAGAGCAACTGGGAGGTGTTTCGGTGCAATTTTACTAATGAACCTACAAACGCTCCTTCACTCGACACTAGCAGCATTCTTTTTTTCTTATTGTATTCGCCCTGTGCAGGCCTATTGACAGTTGGGCTCCCTTCCCATAGCCAGCCGTGCGTCGTCTCGTAGAGCATGGCAGGAAATGAAATGTTGATAATGCAAGCAAAGAATTTATATATCGTTTAGCGTGAAGTGTTGTTGTTGTCGTCTTGTTGAACGTTTTCATCGTCCGGTCTCCGTACTGACACACATGGTTTCAGTGTATCATTCAAGGTTTTGCAATAAACGTAGACAACAATTTTCACATTTCTTAGCAAAAAAACAAAAAGGCAGTCAATGTATATGGCATGTGCGCATCACAACCAGCATGATCTCACAGCCGCTTTCAAAAGGCTGCCCAAGAAAAAGAGAAAAAAGGTGTTGTGGAAAAGCGTAAATCGGTACGAGTCAAATTCACTTTAAACAAAACGGTAGAAATTTTAAAAAAGAAATGAAACGGGGGGCATATTCGTACCCGTTGGTGGTCAGTAGCATCCTGCAAGACTTGACGGGCAGGCTGTTTTATTTGAGATAAAGCTCGTAGTTCTGAGGGAAAGGAATGTTCATCACCTCATACCAGTGCTTGTTGCAACTGTAACCATTGAAGTCAATAGTGTCAGATGGTCTGCAAGAACACTTAGAACGGAACTCGTCTTCAATAGGGCAATGGGTAATACCGGGATGATAGTATCCAATCTCGTTGAAGAAGTGCAAGTGTTTACGGTCCATAAACAAAGCAGCAGCGATACTGTGAACGGGAGCATCTCCCCAACGTTCATAGAAGAAACCGCCCATGCGATCCAAATACTCGAAATACGAGGCATAAGGCTCACTTGTCCAAAAGTTGACACTAGCAATTTCAAAGTTGGACCAGAAATGACACATGTTGTAGGACTGACCATTGTCGTCAGAAATGAACTCCAGCGTGTTGTTGGGATGAATGGCTGTAGGGTGCTCAGCAACGAAAGCCTTCGTAACATCCCAAAGCGTAGTAACCGTTTCAGCATACTCGTGCAGAGAAATGGTGAAAGCGTACAGCTTCTCGTTTTCTTTCATGTACACAAAGGGATCGAAGTCGATGTCACAGTAAAAGTCGACCGAAGGCTCCACGCGCCAGTAGTACTCGTACTGAGAAACGAGGGGATGGCGGTAGAAGAAACCAGACTCGAATCGGCACATGTGACGGTAAGACTCGGAGCCGCCGTAAATGATATTGTTTTTTTCCATGTCTCTCCAAGAAGCGTGCATCTTGTCTTGGTCAATGTGAGAGGGAATACTCCAGTATTTTGGTTCAACGAAGCCAAACTCAGCACCGCCGGAGACAGCGGCGCGAATGGCCGTCTTGAACTCTTCCGTGAACTCCTTGTCGTTCAAAAATACCCAAGGGTAATGGTAACGCTTGTTGAAGCGGTTTTCGAGTCTCTCAATGGACAAAAGCATGTCGTGCAAGTCCTCATTGCGAACCAGAGTAACGAATGCTGCGTTGACCCGGCCATCTGGGAGGTAATCCGTGTTCGGTTGCGACTTGTGCGTTTTTATTTCGTAGTACTCATGAGGAGCCTCTGGCTTCTTTTCGCTGTTGCCGCCCAAAATACCGGATTTTTGCAGATCCAAAGTTTGGCGAATCTTGTCCGTCTGCGTAAATCCAAGAAAAATGAACGTCAAGACGATGGACGCTACGATCGCAAATCGAACAAGTCTATTAGGTAAACCGATCATCGTGTGTCGGCTGGTGCGTCTAGCTCCCTTCCAAAAGTTGTTTTTTCTGTTTCACAGGTCAACCGACGTTTCGGTTTAAGTAGACGCTCTAGGCAAGAGGAAGAAGACAAAAGCGTGGATATTAAAGCCGCACCAATGCCACAATGACCATGCCGTGCGGGCTGTGAAGTCAGACCGCTTGGTGGAGTGGTGGAGTGGGATTAGCAGTGGGGGTAAAGCGCCTAGTCAGAGTTTGTGCCGGAATTGGATGCAACAAGGAGAATTTGTGGTCGCCGATACGCGGAAAATGTCGCAAAAAAGTGCGCTCGTTTCGCTGGGGCCAATGCCTTTGATAGTACACAACTGAGTCCAGAAGAGACGATATCTAGAAATCGCCTTTACATCGCGTTGACTTGCCATTGGTCGGTACAGAAAAAATGATTGGTATGTGGCGCCGGAGATACGAGAGAGGGCTGTGTTTGAAGGCGCATTGGTGTGAACATGTGTGAGGGAGTAACGTTCAGAAGATTGCGCAGGTTCCGGTGTGTAGGAACGAGTCTTGTTTACTTTTTTCGTGTCTCTTTTTTGGTTTGTTGACAAATGTGTTGATGACGGTTAGGCAGTTGGACGGCAAATTTTTTGGGCCAGCTTCGTTACCCCAGTACAGTCGCCAGTTCGAACCATCCCTCCGTCCTCCTTGCTCCATCTCCACCATTAGTTATGGTTCGTTTTTCGTTGTACCTTAGTGCTGAAGTGAACGGGGTGACGGATCTTGCTCCTGCAGACGAAACGAGTTACTCGTACACATTTCGTGTGAAATGCAATTCGTGCCGTGAAGTGCACGACAATTTCATGGGCATGTGTCGCTCCGACGAGCACGAGCTCCCCTCAGGTCATGGAAGTGCTCATCTCGTTTGGACATGCAAAAACTGCCAGCGAACTTCCACTGCTGTCATCGAAAGCCCCTTCTCTCCGTACACCGGCGAAAAGCATCCTCAAAAACTGCTCACCCTCGAATGCCGTGGCTGTGAACCCGTTGAGTTTGTCCCTCAAGGCGTATGGACAGCCCGAGGAGTGGATAGCAACACTTCTTTCGCGGAAATTGAGCTCGACGAGGATTGGTATGATTACGATGAAAAGGCCGGTGAGGAAGTTTCCATTGTTGAGATGGAATGGTCGATTGAGAGAAAGTAGAGGATATTGAAGGGGTGGACTGTGTTGATACATTTTGGTGCATTGGGATTGAACGGCCCGAGCCGATGCAAACTAATACCGTCGGTGGGTCTTCGTGTTCAACTACGCGGCCATGTCAACATCAGCAACCTTCTCGCTCATGTTTTCGTTCTTGGTAGTGCTAGTTTCATCAATCAACTCATAAATGGACTGCTTCCAGGCATCCAAACGTAAAAGGCGTTTTTCGTAGTCAACTTGGATCATGCTCACAAACCCGCTGAGTGGTTTGTACGGTTGTTGCCGACCGGATCCGTAACCCTCGTCAGTGCCTGCTAGTACGTTTTCCCATTCCTCGGTCTGGCTCAGCATCTGCATCCAGTAATGCAGCTGTGAGGTTGAACTGGTATCTTGTAACACTCCTTGGACTTGATTTTTTTCAGTGGTAGATATTTGAAAGGGATCCTTACTCGCCATGCGAGAAGTTACTAAGAGATATGCTGCTGTGAGTACTCCTTTTCGATGCATCGGCCGCATATCGTCTGTGAGTACGGTAGATGCGAGTTTACTAATGAACGGAGCAGCAGACAGGGCTCCCATTTTCAAGCACACAAGCTTCACTTCATCACCCAAGCTCGTTTTCAGTTTGAGTTTCTGTGTGACAGGTGTAAGCAGCTCCTGGAAGAGAGCGTACTGTTTCTGGTATCGTTTCTTTGGGAGAGGAAGTCCTTCAAGAGAGATATCCAATTGCAACGATGGCCGTAATAAGTCGCAGGCCAAATGAGAACACATGCAGGCACGAGATGGCTCTTCAGCTGGACGCAGATGAACGTTTGTTTTTGACCACGCCAAAAATGACTCGGCTAAGTTCACTAACCGTTCCTCAACGGCATGTTTCTGACCAGGGAGAAGCAATTGGAGAGAGGATAGAATTTGCTGACGTTCCATTGAAGGGGCAGAGGCGTTGTTGGACGCTGTATTTATGGTTTCAATTTACAATATTTCGAGTCGTTAAGAGATGATGAGAGAAAGACTAGATGTGTCCTAAAACCGTAGTTCATGTACAATGTTTTATATGTATCCTTTCGTATAGTCTATTTACTCCACTTCACCCCTAAATATCCCGTTAGAAAAGGCAATTGCAGAAATAACGCTTACACTAGGAACAATTCCCAAAGGTTTTAAGTCGTATGCCTTTATTTTGAGTTAAATGACAAATACGACGCGTCCCTACACGTTCGGTGAATACACGGAACTAATTCGAAAGTGGTTTAGTGTAGTCGTGGCCGTAGCGGCTTACTTCGACGAACCCTCTACCACTACGGACTACGTTGAATCCGTACATTCTCCCTAGAAAACAATATGGCAGCAGCTTCAAATGTTCCCATTATCATGGATAAGTAAGTGCATCTTATTAATTTACGTATACCGTTACTAACAATGGATCCAGTGGTACCGGCTACAGCAAGCTTGGGTATGTGGAACACAAACACAATTAAGACCGCGCGACTCTGGATGCAGCAAACGTTCTTTCTTCTTACTTAGACTTGTGTTTCCTCTTGTCGTTTTCGTCTGGTCGTGAATACTCTCTTATAAATTTACTAACATTCGATCATAAAGCTATGCCGGTAACGATTCCCCTTCTTATGTCTTTCCCACCGTGATTGCTACTCGGTCCACCGGACCTACGGCTTCGGGAAGACCAGCGGCTTCCAGCAAGCCCTCTTTTCTTGCTTCAAAGTCGGGTGGACACTTGTCGAGCAAGCGCGGAACGGAGGATCTTGATTTCTTTATTGGAACTGAAGCTTTGGGAAAGGCTACTGCCGGATACTCGTTGGATTATCCCATTCGTCATGGTCAAATCGAGAACTGGGATCACATGGAACGGTATTGGCAGCAATCACTTTTTAAGTACCTTCGTTGTGAGCCAGAAGATCACTATTTTCTCCTGACCGAACCTCCTATGAACCCTCCAGAGAACAGAGAAACGACTGCCGAAATTATGTTTGAGTCTTTCAATTGTGCCGGTCTCTACATCGCCGTTCAAGCTGTTTTGGCATTGGCTGCCTCTTGGACATCTTCGAAGGTTGCCGATCGTTCTCTGACTGGTACGGTCATTGATTCGGGTGACGGTGTTACTCACATTATCCCTGTGGTATGTTTTTACGCTGATATTTGTGTGCCTATAGCATATTTTGTTATAGCTTTTTTGAACACCCCTATTAACAGTATCAGGTCGAAGGATATGTCATCGGCTCCTCTATCAAGACGATGCCCATCGCCGGTAGGGATATTACTTACTTTGTGCAGTCGCTGCTCCGTGATCGTAATGAGCCCGACTCAAGTTTGAAAACCGCCGAACGCATCAAGGAAGAGATGTGTTATGTTTGTCCCGACATTGTAAAAGAGTTCTCTCGCTACGATCAGGAGCCTGAACGTTACTTAAAATACACTTCCACTTCGTTAACCGGACACGAGACGACCATCGATGTTGGTTTCGAACGTTTCCTTGCTCCTGAAATCTTCTTCAACCCGGAGATTTCTTCTTCTGATTTCTTGACTCCTCTGCCCGAACTCGTCGACACGGTGGTGCAAAACTCGCCTATTGACGTTCGACGTGGTTTGTACAAAAATATTGTTTTGTCTGGAGGCAGCACCTTGTTCAAAGATTTTGGTCGCCGTCTCCAGCGTGACATCAAGCATCTCGTCGATGCTCGTATTCACCGCAGTGAACTTTTATCAGGTGCCAAGAGCGGTGGTGTCGAGGTGAATGTTATTTCGCACAAGAGACAGCGTAACGCTGTTTGGTTTGGTGGCAGTTTGTTGGCACAAACGGTATGTTATTCAGCCATTTTTTTCTGAAGTATGCTAACAAACACATCTTATAGCCCGAATTTTCTTCTTATTGTCACACGAAAGCTGATTACGAGGAGTATGGCGCTTCCATCGCCCGTAGATACCAAATCTTTGGAAATTCTATTTAATGATATAGCAGGGATCGAGCAGGCTTCTGCGGGAGCAGCATGAAATGACGACTAGTTACACACCTTACAATGATTTTGATTCTAATCAATTTGACGCAAGAGCGGAGGTAATAAATTTTGTAGTGGGAAAATAATGAACAAAACAAAAGGAAGTAAAATCTGTTTGTTTGTTTGTTTTTTTACAGTTGTGCCGACCGTTTCATCTCAATGGCCTTTTTATAAGGAGGGGCAGTCGGAGGCTGTACGGCATCTAGAGGTTTTGAATTTTTCGAGACAGCATACGGGTAAGTAGCATCTGCATCTGGGCTGTTGAGGTCACCGCATGCCAGGAAAGGTGCAATGTCACCAATGCACTCATAATCGGTTATGCACATAGGCTTCTTTAAGTTTGGTTTGAATCCTTCAGGAGGACAGAAATCTTGACACACTACAAACGCTTCTAATGAACTGGCTCTCGAACTTCTTGGCTTTGCACACGTAACGTGCTTGAATAAAAGTCGAAGTTGAGAATACAACAACGAGACATCACGACCCCGAAAAATCTTAGCAACAAACGTTCCTCCTGGACGAAGCACACACGCAGCTAGGTTCATTGCTGCCAGCAAGATTTGGGCCTGAATGTATTCGTCCAAGTCATGTAAACCTGTAACGTCGGGTGCACCTACCAAAGAGGTTAGAGAAAGAGTAATAGGAAGTAGACCAAAGCCCCATAAACCGAACTATAGGTCTCTCTTTTTCCTGTGTACATACCATCGCTCACAACTAAATCAGCAGGTTCATCGCCAAAATGAGACAGAATTATGGGCAATGTATCAGGATGTGTAATGTCCAATTGTAGAGTACATACACCTTCCAATGGGGCCATAGGCTGCAGGTCTACGGATACAATTGTAGGTCTTTCGCTAGCAGGGACATTTTGTCTAGGCAGGGTTAGCAAAGTGAAAACGTACATTACACAAATTTAGAGCAAGACTTCCTCTTAGAAAGTTTTCTTAATAACTTCCTAATCATGGATCCTCTTTACAATCCTTCTTTTCCATTGGAAAAAGAGTTTTTACTTACACTAGTTCCCGCGACAAAACTTGAGACCATGAACCTGGTGCGGCACAAAGATCAACAACTCTTCTAACCCCCTTAAAGAGATCAAATTGCTCATTCAGTTGTAGCAATTTGAAGGCAGAACGAGCTCTCCAACCTTGTTCCTTAGCCATGCGATAATACGCATCTCTCTGAGCAAAAATTAATAAAAGCCTTGCAGAACGATTAACATACCTTGTCTTTGCTACTACGGCCCATTCTGTTTGTTTATTAAATGAACTGGTGGTTGTTGGCGAAGGGGACGACACTGTGTTTTCCTCGCGTACCGTTCCTGTCTTCCTCCAAGTCGATCACGGCTTACAAACTTAGTATATTTTAAACAATTGTTTGGTAAATACAAAACGAAAATGGATGAACCTGTTCCTAAAGATGTCGAAGAAAAAGTAGTAGCCGTACAGACCGAAAAACTAAGTCCTGAAACACACTTTTTTCAACCGGAAAAGTTGATTGTTGAAGCACATGATATGCCAGCTTTTCGTAAATCAATTGCCTATGCTAAACTAGTTGGTTACATCTCTGCTTTAGATTCTGCTGCTAAAAACCAGAAGACTATACCGAAAGAGTATTCTGAACGTGTGGAACGGATCATGAATTGTCTGAGTAAAATAAATGGCATTATCGATGAAACCCCGCGTGTCCCTGGAAGCCATCGGTTTGGAAATCCGGCGTTTCGAACATTTCACAGCAAGATAAACGATCAAATTCGAACGATTTTGCTTGACATTGTCACTGAAAAGTGGTCATCCGCTATCGTTGAATTGACAGATTACTTGGAAGGCTCTTTTGGTAATCCTCAAAGAATGGATTTTGGAACAGGCCACGAACTGAGCTTTGTTGGCTTTCTTAAAGCTTTGGAGATGCTTTCCGTTCTGGAGGAAAGTGATCGAACGGCCATTGCCTTAACTGTCATGAATCGTTATTTTGAGGTGTGTCGTAAACTCATTATGACATACAGACTCGAACCTGCAGGATCTCATGGAGTCTGGGGTTTAGATGACCATTTTTTCCTGCCATTCATTTTAGGATCATCTCAATTGGCAGATTCGAGAAGGCCCAAACCTACTAACGTCTTAAAGCCCGAAGTTGTTGATGATTATGCTTCTATAAATCTTTATTTTGGTGCCGTTCAGTTTATTAATCGCGTGAAGAAAGGTCCGTTCTTTGAACATTCACCAATCCTTTACGACATAACAGCTGTTCCGAGCTGGTCCAAAATTAATCAGGTATGTGCAGTACAAATATTTACCAGAGATTTAGAGCGATTGCTAACAGTTTTGTTAGGGTCTTCTTAAAATGTATGACAATGAAGTTTTGGGAAAATATCCAGTCGTGCAGCATTTCCACTTTGGAGCCCTGTTTTCCTTTCAACCCGTTACTACGGTAAAACTACCGCAGCCTAACCATTGATAAACTTTCATTTTTTGGACATCGTATTCCATAATGTTTTGATGAAATAGCTTTCTACGTCTTTTATGCTTACAGAAATACCCTGCTGCTCAAAACTTGTTGTCCGTTTTCCTTTCAAACCGCATGCCACTATAGAATCAAACCATCGAAGGTCTGTATTTACGTTTATGGCAACTCCATGACTTGTGATGTATCTTCGCAGGTGAATGCCAATAGCTGCAATCTTATCATCGTCCGTGACCCAGACCCCTGTATTCTCTGTTGTATGCGTTCCGTGGATTCCAAAATGCTCACATGTGTTTATCACTGACTGTTCAATCATAGAGACATACGTCCGCGGTTTGATTTGTAAGTCTATCAAGTCGACAATGGGATAAACCACAAGTTGGCCTGGCCCGTGGAACGTAGTCTGGCCTCCACGAAGTGCTTGTACGACATCCGCCTTGCCAGCTTGTAGACGGTTTATCAATTCAGTATTTCGTTGCCTGCGGCCCAACGTGTAAACCGGATGAAATTGCATAGACAAGAATGTCGCTTTTGGATGCTCACCAATTTTTCCAGCTTTAAAATCGAGAAATTGTGAAACAATTTGATTCTGAAACGAGTCAACATCGTTATATGACACACAGGTTGTCTCGTCTTTTATGAACGAGATATGATTTATAGATTTTTTCGAATGAATAAATCGAAGGAAAGAACGATTAAATCCTTGCATCCACGGCTTGTAAACTGTCTTACAAAGTAGCATGATCTACCGTGTATAACTGAGCTCGTGTTGTATTGTTGAAGACACTTAGTTATGAATACGTAAGATAAAAAGAGGAGTTAAAGAAGCGGTGTACGAAAACAAGAGCTAAACCAAATTAAATAAGTATTTTCTTAACCATTATTCACGGACGTTCTTGGAAGTCAAAAAAGTCAAATTGTTATTCTTGTGATTCCGACTAATATGTCTTGTGTAATCTCGCGTAAATGTTCGCTTGCATCGTTTAACTCGTTTAATCTCTGAACAGCTCGTGGACATTCGTGAATACCTGCCCGTCTTCCATCGTTTCCCAATACCCATTGCTCTACAATTACTTGATAAAATGCGTCAAAATCGTTCAATTAAGAGAAAGAGAGCTCAAAAGAGTCAGAAATTCCCTAAAGAACAAAAATTTACCGCAGAAAATGCGAAAAAAAGGGTCGAGTCTATAAAAAAGATCATAACTCAATCATTGAAAAAGGCACTTGGATTCGAGGAACAGAAACTTATTAGAAGAATTAAGAATGCCAAGGAGAATGAAAAGGAAGAGGATAAAATACCACGTTTGGAGGAAGAACTAAAAGCTGCAAAGGCTTTAAAGCCCAGTGATCTATGCGATTATTGCTATTTTTCAAAAGTTTTAAAGAATCCTCGTATCAGAGAGTTTCTCTATGAGACTCTGTATGCTGAATCTCCATTAAAATCTGCTTCAGAACCTGCCAGGAATGTAATTTCTCGCGTTTACAAGACGAAAGCTGTTGTTGATGCAGTTCAGTCTATTATCATCCAGACGGAGCGTCTAATGGCCACTGTTGGGGGTTTACGAGCCCATGATCCCGCTGACAACGCGAACGACTTGTTGAAGAAAACTCACAATGAGTCTCAAGCTGTTAAAGCAGAAGACAAAGTCAAGGGTGTGACTGAAAATCCCACGTCTGATGACAATTCAAAGCTGAATGAATCCCAACCTGTTGAAGGAAAAGGTGATCTAAACGAACAGATCTCCGTGGAAACAAATGCTGATCAAGCTATGGTTGATGATACCGAAGCAACTTCGAGTATGCAATCTCAGAACGATAGTGAAGAGGAAATTGAAGAAGATCCAATGTTTGATATTCCGAGAAGACAGAAAAAGGAAAATGCATCTACTCTACCTGAATTGATGACCGGTTTTATTGATCCGGGCGAAGAGTCCGTTGAATCAGACATTGAGGCAGAAGCAGGAGAGCTTTTAAAGCCACAACGCAAAAATAGACGTGGTCAAAGAGCACGTAGAGCTATTTGGGAAAAGAAATACGGAAAAAAGGCAAATCATGTTATTAAAAAGAATGAAGAATTTCAAAAGAAGCGTGAGGAACGTCAAAGGAAATTTGAGGAAAGAAAAGCGCGCTATGAAGCACGTATGGCTCGTCGGGGACCGGAAGAGAAGGCGAAGCCTGCTGCCGACGACAAGCCTTTGCATCCTTCCTGGGAAGCTAAGAAAAAGTTACGGCAAATTCCTAGTGTGCCATTCCAAGGAAAGAAAATTGTTTTTGATTAGGGGATTTGTTACATTTGTATTTATAAACCATCGGTTGGAGTGGTATCCCATAAAAGTCATTCATTGTGTCTGGTTCTCTCGGACAACTTTTTGGAAGATCGTGTTAAGTTTGCAACAATATGTTTTCCAATCATTCGTATTGAGAGATGCTTGGAAATTATTGCTGAATTCGTCACACAGCTGTTTTAAAACTTTTGTTCGTGACTCTTTTAACATTTTACCTCTTTGTTCATTTTGTTCCTGAGTGAAAGTGATTTCTTTTAGTTGTTGTTCAACATTATTTAGTCTTTCTTTGGTTGTTAGTAGCTCCTTCATCAATTCTGCTCTTTTTAAGAGATGTTGTTCGAAGAAAAGATTAACGGCACTGAGTTGACGGCTATTTTGCTCAATCATACTATGATATGCTTCTTGCGTGTTACGCAGTTCTGCTTGAATGTTGCTCAAAGTCATCGACTAACAAACAGTTAGACTCGACTTTGTTGACCAAGGAACGTACCTGATTGCTGAAAGCCGACTTTAACTGGTTAAATTCAATTTGGGAACGTTCAAGATATTGAACATAGCACTGGCAAGTTAGTAGATGTCCCCTTTATTGAAGTCTTACATCTTTAACCGACTTCATTCCTTCCACTGCGGCCGTAAGTTGAAAGTTTGCCTTTTCCTCGGTGTAATGGCTCTGTTTCAGCTGTTCTTTGAGTTCCTGTATTTCCTTGTTTTTTTGGTCTACATTCTCAACAAGATAGTCTATTTCGTCAACTAATTGACGAGTAACATTTTTGCAAGCGCTTCTTGTTTTCGGTGTCATATTCTGGCTTGTGTTAGCATGCACTTCCTACGGTTCAACAAATGAAGTCCTACTTTATCGTCAGAGAACAGCTCTAGTATTTTCATTCTTCTTTCATCTCGTTTTTCTTTCGTGAAAAGGTCTTCTTTGGAGCATATAATCGGTATTCCAGACACCGTTGTATGATTGTTTACAAGGGTTGGAGCATTTTCTGTGTTGTTCTTGTCTTTGGACCACGGATGACTGTTGCTTACGAATGTACTAGGACTGCTGTTGTCGTCCCTTAACGGTTGTCTCTTGTCAACTCGGGGGAACAACAGTTCTACTTCCGTTTGCATTGTCGTTTCGTCCGAACGTGTTGGTATAAACTCTTGCTCTAGTGGGCCATGTTGTGTAAAAAGTCCTCCTGTAAGCATATCCGTTATGGGATCGTCTAATCTATGAAATCCTGCCGGACCACGACCAATGTGTCCGCCCAACATGCTCTTCTCGAATTCTTTTCGAGCTTCTTCTGGAGAAAGACGTCGTTTGTTTTTTCTGCGAGTATCGTTTGCGTTAGTACTCGGGGATAATGTTTTCTTGTTAATGCACTTACCGCTGGAGTCTCCAATCATTCAACAGCATGTTTTCAGTATTATCTCTTATTTTTGGTCGGTTTTGGGTACGTTTCTCAAAAAGAGAATCTCATTTATACTATCTTTCATATAAATAAACAATCCATTGTAAACAATCCCACATGCAATTTCAAAACAAAAGGGGGTACGCTTACAGGAAGCGAGTTTGGGATACAGTAAGTATGAAATCCGTTTACTCAGGTTCTCAGTTTCCTAAATCTATATATTATCATTATTAAACATTGTGTTGACTTCAGGATTCATGTCAGTCATCGTAAAAAGTAGGTCATCATCAAAACAAGAATGTCTTTTTCTTGCATTGAGCTCATCAAGACTGGTTTGATTCGCTCCATTGTTGTCTCTCTGTTCGGAATCGTCAACTTTACCCGCCGAATGACAAGCCGATAATTGCGAGTTCGCATTAGTATTCAGTGCATTATTGTTATCGGCGTGTTTGCCAACATCGTCATTCGTTTCGTTGTTACCTGAGGCGGATACTGCTGTGTCTTTATAATCTTTCAATGAGGAGGAGTTGGAAGCGTTCAAAGAAGCCTCAGCCCGAAACTGCTTCATGTACATAGCTACATTTGAAGCGTCTAAATAAGCATCGTTAGGCGGAAATGTGTTTGCGGGAAAAACGTCATGCGGTGCTGTCTTCTGCTGTTGAAGAGAATTGGGTCGAAGGGGTGAACCCTGAAGAGGTGATGGTTTGTCAGAAAAGGACAAACGAGAACGCAGACTTGCCAAACTATGTTTTGGTGCACAGTCAAGTTTCTTTAAACTGGCAGAGTCAGAAATTGATTTGCCAACATAAGAGTTGTCAGAAAAATTGGAAGCCTGCAGAGCTGGGTTTCTTGCATCACTAAGCCGCCGTTGAAGGGGATTTTGCGGGGGTTCTTGAAAACCAGACTTATCTGAAGACGTTAACTTGTGTGTGTGTTTCTGCTGAATCTTGTCAGCATGCGTATCAAGAAACTGAACAAATGCAGAAATATCGTTCTGTGAAGAGTAACTGCTGTCAAAAAAGTTTGACTTGGCTGGTCCCGTAGTAGTTGGTGTTTCCTCCTTCTTGAAAATGCCCTTCATAGCTGAACCTAGTAGAGGAATTGATTTCTGATAAGACGCACTTTCAAACTTATCACGTGGCCCAAAGCTACTACTGAATCGTCTGTTCCTAAAAGACGGTGTTCGTGTCATGGTCATTGCATCGGTTGGGGGAGGAAGCGTATTGTTACTCGGGATATGAGTTTCTGGAGATGTATTGGTTTCGCCATGAATATCGGTTGAAGAAAGTTTTCGGAGAGAAGTGTACGAAGGACCGCGATGAACAAATTTGTTCACGGTAACCTTTGGTGATATAGAACTGGCATCAAAGTTTTGACCAGGAGATGCAGAGAGGGACGGGGATTTGAAAGGATGAATTGAAACAACAGGCTGGTATCTCAGCGGTAACTTCTCGTTTATACTCAGCTTACGAATACCATTACTCAGAATATAGGATGCGTCATTTGGATCCAGGGACTCTGGTAACTCAATTTGAGAAAGATAGTCTTCATACTTTGGTGAAGACAAACCGTAACCACCCCCGTCTTCCAACAGATGAGAGTGCGGACTAGAGGAAGGTGATTCTGTGGGTACACTATCCCCAACAGTAAATGTTGTCGTGTTCGCGTGTGCATTGGGCATCAAATCTGCCGTGTTACGGACGTTGAAATCGCAATGAGTCCGATATTGAACAGAAACTTTAAAAATGCCTACTGGGGTTTCAACCTTTCCAAAAGAGAACATTTCGGTCTTACTGCCGACACCTTCAATTAAAGAACAGTTCACGGAGACGTAATCACTTTCATCAGACGGGTCCGAAACAACCGCATAGCCAAGTTTCAGCTTACTGCAATGTACATGTGACCAAGACAGACGACGCTTCAGCTGCCACACGGGCATAATACGAGCATACGTGTATAATGAGCGAAAGAGCACGGTGCATCGTTTGTAAACGTTTGTAAGTTCCGGAGTGGGAACGGGTACGGTGCCGTCCAGACATACAACCCAGCGTTCCAAAACGATCTTGTTGGACGAATTCCGATCCAAGTATACGCTTTTCGCTTTTGCACCTTCTCTTAATTGTAATACCTGCGTTGAAGACAACCCAGAGGTGTCAAGATAAACGTGGATGATCATAGGAGGTGGGACGGGCTCAGTAACTAGATTAAATGTTTTCCAGTACTTGAATTGGTTCATCACCACATCAATTTCTTCTATCTCAAGATTAAACCAGCGATTTAGCTTTGACGGTCTTTTCGACACGAACGTGTCTTCCAGACTGACTCGTGCATCGACAATTATTTCAGATGCTTTGTTGAAACAGCTCTAAATCTGTTAGTGCTTGTGTTCTCTTACAAAAATTACAATCAGCCAGCATACGTGTATCAGCTGTGAGATTTTTGATGTTTTACCCTCAAGAGGCGAGTGTTCGTTTCTCAATCCCCCCGGAGGAGCCGTCTCTTTCGCGACGGCTCGTTGACCAGGAAACATTGGGGGAACCTTAATGTTATTTCGTTGCATGCTTAATGATCTCCATTCGAAAGAAAAGAGGGCAAAGACGTTTTACTAAGTCTTAATTGTAACAGAGTTTACAACATAGTTGACGTAATTTTGTTCTGAACCAGCAATTCTGTGCTCGCGATAGATTGTTGGTTTTAATGAGGACGTTGGTTAAGGATAGGCGCGTAAGACAAACACGAAGATGGTTTAAGCTATAGATAGGCTGCGATTGTTTGTGGTGGTGAGTGGTGGTGATTTTGACGGGGCAGCTGGCAGTCCAGGGACCACCCACATCACACTCGGGTAGCACGAATTAGCACCGAGGGAAATGTTGTCTTATGGCGATAGATAATAGAAGGCTGAGAAATTAGTGACAAAAAAAACGCAATCAATGAAGCAGAACAGAGACTGACGGAAACAGGACGATGCAAAGCTGAATATCGTAAACACTAATTTGTATGTGAAGCTAATTTACTTGTTTTTTTTAAGTATGTAATAATTTTATTTGATAATTACCATGGGTCAAAAACCTTTTTAACCACCCAAAAAGAAGAGCCAGTATTAGCAAACCAATGAATGTATACCCAAAACATATACAGTATTACGCAGATGAAGCAGTCTCATTGTATGAGCACCGTATAGTAAAACAAAGTTTCACCATAGAAACTTCAACTGTGCCGAAAACAAGCGGAAAATATAAAACAATACCCTTATAAAACTTAAGCAAACCACTTTATTAGATCCATTTACCAGCTTCAACTTATTCATGATCAATAAGGTGAGCATAGTCTTCAGCGGAAGCAAAAACAGGCATATCGTGGAACGTTTTTCTCTTCTTCTTCTTCTTAGATGTAGTGTCTTCTTCAACCGGAAGATCCTCAATTTCGGCGTCAGAAGAAAGAATGTCAGACTGGTTGTCAATAAAGTCCATCTCTTCATCAAAACCTTCAAACTCCTCATCTTCAACACCTTCAGCTTCACCTTCGTCGTCCTCAGCCTTCTCTTCATCAGAGAACATAGGAGCTTCATTTTCTTCCTCCTCGTCTTCTTCTTCTTCGCCTTCTTGCTCTGCCTGTTCTTCGGCAGAGGATTCTTCATCATCCAAGTCAGCCATAGCTTCATCCATAGCCTCCGAGTCGAAACCATCGTCCTCATCATCTAACTCCAAATCAGGCTTCGAATCCACAAGAGCCTTCCAGACAGCGTCCTCGTCGAGCTCACCATCTTCGGCAGACTCACGCTTTCTCTTGTTGACAACCGACGACGTATTTAGCTTATCAGTAAAGAAGCGATGGAAGAAGAGCTCATCCACAGCAACATCTTCCCGTTTCTTCTTGGCAAAGTCTTCTGTGTTCACCGTATCCGAAGTAGTTCCCTGGTTCAAAAAGAGGTTACCACGAGACTCCACACCAGCCAACGGCTGCATGATAGATTGTCCTTTGTTGACGGAGGCCTTCTTTGATTTGCGGTATGCAAACTTATCCAAAAAGTGGCTAAGAGTATGAAGCGACAGGTCAGGTTTGGTCTCAATCTTATCACCTTTCAATATGGTCTTAGCATACAATGACACAGTGGGATGGAAATGATTTAGCATTGGGAAGATTTCCCAGACGCAAGACTTGTCGGCATTACTGAATTGCGGTTCACGTTTCCGACCATCATAAGCATCGTCATGCTTAATACTCTTTTTTGCTTTTTTGGATAATTCTTTTTCCACAGGTGTACCAGTGGTTTCATCCTTTTTCTCGCCTTCCTCAGCTGTTGAATCGTCGTCAACATCCTGAAAGTTTTCTTCTTCATCATCATCAAACTCGTGCAATTCGGGATGAGTGAACATTGTACGAATTTCGGGAATTGTTTTCACCAACTCGCCGATAAGGTATAAGAGACCGGAAACGAAAGAAGGTTGATGCCAGGTAGAGATTTGAAGCATTCTCTTGACAAATGCTTTCACGCGCACAACATTCGTTTCCACAATGAGAGCTTTAAACAGTAAATTCAAGTATAATGCTTGTTTTGATGAGTCAATCAAACGTTGATCCAACAACGATTCATACAAAGTACGATAGAAACGATCGGGAACAGCATCGCGGCTCGAGTATGCTTGGAAGATAAGCATCAGAACACGAATAGAAGTGCTGAACGTGGCAGAATGGGTAATTTTAAACAGAGTATTAATGTGTCTCTCAAATTCCTCACTTTCCACTTCAGCGAAGGGGAAAGCTCTATTGACACCAGTAAGCACGGCAGAAATAAGACGTGAGTTGGCATTCTCTTGTGCCTCCTTCTCCAGCTCGTCGTTTGTGGGCTTGTTTTTCTTTCCGTTTTTTCCTTTGTTTTGTCTCTTTAAACCGGCATCCACCTTTTTCTCTTTCTCTTCAGTACCCTCTTCATCCTCTTCTTCTTTCTCCAATCCAAAGAGAAGCTTTTTGAAGAAAACGAAGTAAATACGAACGAGATGGTTGGCAACACCTACTTCCTTTTTGGAGAGAATGGTCTGGTTCAGGGTAATCACTGCATAGTACTGGGAATTACGAGTGGTGGATGGAGCAAAGATAAATCTTTCAATTTCGCGGATGACAATTCCTCTCATCGCAGGATGAGCCAATTGCAATTGAAGCAAAAGGTATGAGGTTTTGGAGGCGACCTTTCTTTCCTTGTCCGAGAGCTTGTTTACCAAAAGACGCAACAGGTTTTGTTCTTGCTCAGGCTTAGCCTTGAGTAGATCAAACATTGTCGAAACCATCTGGCTTTTCACGAAAAGAAGAGGGTCAAAAGTAAGAACTTCAATGGCCTGCAGGTATTCGAAATAAAACTTCTTCAAAAAGTCTTCAAAAACCCAAATCATGAGGTGTTCATCTTTGATATCTTTGGCACCAAGACACGGTTGTTGTTTGAAGGTATGAAGTTTTCTATCAGGCAAGAGACCGTTCATGAATAAATCCTTTAACGTCGTGACACTCTGTGTAGCCTCATTACGAGACTTCTTGGAACATAAACGAAGGATAACGTTCAGTGATTCTTTTGCGTGAACAGGGGACTCTTGTACGAGCAAAGTCAAAGCTGAAATTCGATCGCTAACAGTACCAGACTTAATAAGGGTAGTCAGAAAATGTTTGTCTGGATGATTACGTTCCAAATCTTCCCGAAACAATTCTGAATCTCTCTGCAAAAGCGATTCACCCCGCTCAAACAATTCCTTCACCTTTTCAGCAGAAGGTGGTTTCGATGGAGCAAGATCAGGCAAGGGAATATTGTACCAGGCAATCGAAGGATCAAGTCGAGGACCGCTGGAGTTCTTAACTTCCTTCACGACAGCAGTTCCATCATCGTCGAAGACAATTTTCGTCTTTTTGCTTGAGGTAGATTTTTGAGTCCTTGCTGCAGAAACCGTTGTAGCCATCGTGTTGTTTCTTAGAGGCTTTTTATGTAAATTTTTTCTTTAGGCCTAACCTTCCCAAAATTTCCAATATATGCAAAAAATAAAACAGCAGCGAGCTTAAAGCTAAATAATTCACACCTAAGCTACGAAAGAAATATGCACCCTTTAAAATTCCAATTTATCCACCTTCTGGTCACGGCCAGAGGTTCAGTTCTCGGTACGTGGAAGTGTAGCTGCGGTGAAGTACGTCTGCGTGGTGGATGAAACGAGAAGTCTACTTTCCGGCTTTCAAAAACAACAAGACCGCGATACTAAAATAGTAAAGTTATATTATATAGTTAACAGTTTCGTTATATTATTTAAAGATTGTTTGTTTAAACGAATGGAACAAAAAGAATAGCGAGCATATGTACACTTCCCCTCGGTAACGTATTGAAAGAAGAACATCACATGCATAAGCAGAACTTGAATTGTTTGCTTCATTGAAGATGCACTCAAGTCTTGCCCTCAACGCAAACCTCTTCTAAACCGTGAGTGAGTTTTAAATAATTCCGTTTCGAATAACATTGTCACTTCAACCGAATGGCCTAGTTGAATTAGAAACATATACCTCATAAATGATCCCAAGAAAGAACTCTAAATTATTCTTTCATTGTGTATGGCCGTCTATCTCGCAACATAGGAACCTCAATTCTTCGCCTAGGGCGATCTTGCGATCAAAGACGAGGAGACGACATACGCAGCAACCGGGCATAAACGGGGCGAGGGCTGACTGAACGTATATGTGTTTGCACCGCAGTTGAACCGACCCTAGCCAGCGTCCTTTAATGAAGCTATTAGCGGTAAGATAGCGCAAACAACGGCCCATCCCAACAACCAATTTTGCCAGAAACAGGAGTCAAAAAATGACAGAATAAAAGGTGAATAAAGAAACTTTTCATACACAATTGCCCTCCTCATTAAAACTCAAATGTGCTTTTTTACCACACGGAAACGAAAAGGCAGGGCAATGGTACTTCGTTTTTGTATGAACATAAAGCACGCAAGGAGAAATATTCAATCAAATGTAAAAGAAAATCGAATCTTGCTGAGACTATTCATTATAATGATAAACCAAGTAGTTCGGAAGACCCCAAACTTGGTAATTCAGTCGCTTAGCCATTTTAGCGAAACCTTCACTTTCAATAAGATGGTAAAAGGGGAAAGAAGGGAACATCGCACCGTCTCTATGAACTTCAGCCTTCACCAGCAAAGCGGTAGCTCCGACACCATCCAGTTCCATTTCTCTGTCAGGGTCTCCATTTTCTTCACGATCATACACGAAAAGAGGACGATAGGTTGCGATTTCATGATAACCCTCCACGACAATTTCGTCTTCACTCATTCCTTGAGCAAGTTCAATGGCAGTCTGACTTTCACGCCAATTGTTAAGGTCATACTCACGAATTTGGTTCTTGCCGTAACGTTGGTAACAGTTAGCGACTAGCACATCTTTGTTATGAGAGGTCATATCTTCAATGATAGTTGGAGGCGTCTCCACAATGTCGGAGTCCAACCAGAAAACCCAAGCGGTTGTAGGCGTCAGAGTTGCCTCAAGCAATGTGTTTCTTGTGATAGCCATACGGCCACGACGTTCCTTCTGTGCCGCAAATTTATGCCGCTCGCTTTCAGATTGCTCTGTAGAGATCTCCTGGTCCTCAATCATAATAGTAACCTCAGCAAAACGCTTGTTGGCGGGTCCACTTTGGACAAGGTTAATGGCCTTGCGCAGCTTTTTGCTTGTCTCACGACCCTGTTTTCCACGAGGAAGAATGAAGCCAAGAGAGATTAGGTCACGAGGATAAGAAAGTTTTAAGATGTTATTCCAATACTCCTGATAAAAACGGGCAATTGGGGTAAGAATAAGGACTTGTTCTTTGTTTCGGGCAGCATCACCAGTAGCTTTAATTACATTCATGTCGTAAATGTTAATCGAGGAGGAAGATTCAACTGGCAAGTCAATTGAATACGACTTTGAAGGGGAAAGAAAGTGATACAGCAGTGCCATGGAAAGACACGCCGAAAGAATCAAACCGATGATTCTGGGCTTGTTTGCACACCTCATGGCTGTAACTGCGTGGTTTGCAAAAGGAAGGAGGCAGCGGAAAAGGCGTAGTGCATACTGTCGACACAATTATGGCGTAGTAGACCATGGAACTCTAATTTCCAGTGTCGAGAAAAACAACGTGAATTATTGACGCAGTAATTCCAAAAGTAATTTCATTCAAATCAGCTTGGATTCAGGAACAAATTGAATGGTGTTTTATGTGTGCTACAATTATGAATTAGCTGGGATGCACTTCAATAGTCAGTACCTTTTAATAAATAGAAAATCAGCGTTTAGAGGGAATTTTTAATTTACTAGACTAATAGTATTAATCATTTAAGACAATATATCAACACGTTCCTTACTTTTTGTTTTGTTTCCTTTTTCACCTTTGCTCTCGCTCCATCTCCATATACAGTTATAGTGTATCTTAGTGAATTATAGCGCGGTCCTTTCTTGTAGCCTGCTGTACCAAGGTATTGCTTCCTTCACGTAACAAAGAACGGAAATCATGGCAGAAGGAATAGCTGTGGAGAACGCCCAACCAGCTTCTGAAGTGAGCGCTTCTATAAGACAAGAGAACATGATACAGGAAACTCCTACAAAAGAGTCCGCGACATCAAATTCGACGGCTGAATACGACAACGCGTCATCAGATTCTTCACAATTTGTTGAAGCCGAAAATGAACCATCAGAGCCGAATGAAGAACAGCCTGTTGCAAGTGAAGAGCAGGTGGAAGTACGAATTTCTACATCGTGGGAGTCAATTCGCTTGTTGTGAATTGGTTTTTCCAGAACGACCAGTATCCGGAGATTAAATGCTAATATCGTATAGCCTGTTCCAAAAATCATTCGTCGCCGTCTGAATGGTTATGTTGGTTTTTCCAGTTTACCAAATCAATGGCATCGACGTTGCGTGCGTAAAGGTTTCTCTTTCAATGTGATGCTTCTCGGTGAATCTGGCTCCGGAAAGGCCACTCTTGTCAACATGCTATTGAACCAGGACCTTTATGAAAAGTGCTCCACTCCTTACCTTGACGATGATGCATTCAATGAAGATACCAACCAGGCACCTTGCGTGAATATTGAAAAACGACAAACGGAAGTTGTGGAAAATGGAGTTAAGCTACGGTTGGAAGTTTTAAATGTCCAAGGCTTTGGTGACTATATCAACAACGGAGACTGCTGGCAGCCCGTTGTGAAAGAGATTGAGTCAAGATTTGACGACTATCTGGACGCGGAGAAACGACTTCCTCGTTCGGCCATTGAGGATAATCGTATACATGCATGCATATTTTTTATTCAACCGACTGGTCACTGTTTGAGCCAGCTTGAGTTGGAGACGTTGAAAACCTTGAGCGACAAGGTCAACTTGATTCCCATTATTTGCAAAGCAGACTTAATGACTGATGAAGAAGTTAACGTTACGAAGGAAAGAGTAAGTTCATGTTTTTTTTTTTTTTTTTTTCTATCTGTTTTTATCTTTTTGCAATAATTCGGAATACTAACAGGTCAACATAGATTTTACGAGAGTTTCAAAAAGAAGGCATCAAAATATTCGTTCCTCCAAACTATGAAACGGATGATGATGAGACGAAGGCTGAAAATGCCGAGATCATTAGTCGTATTCCCTTTGCTGTTGTCGCCTCAACAGATGTAATTGAGCGACCCGACGGACACAAGGTTCGTGGACGCTCATATCCCTGGGGTATTGTTGAGGTTGATAATGAAGATCATTCTGATTTTTGCAAATTGAGACAAATGCTCATTCGTACACACCTGGAGGAACTTAAGGAGAAGACGCATGTTTTATATGAGAATTATAGAACAGAACTTCTTCTGAGTAGGGGTATATCTCAAGATGTTACTGTATTCCGCGAGATAAAGTATGTGTACTCACAACGACGACTGTTTTGCAGTGTAGAAAAGTCTATGAATGTTTTACTAACTCTTACAGTCCTAATGCCAAGTTGGAAGAAGAAAAGGCATTGCATGAGGAGAAACTACGCAATATGACTAAAGAAATGAAGGCGATTTTTGCCCAGAAGGTTGCTGAAAAGGAAGAACGCTTGAAACAATCAGAGCGTGAACTTTATGATAGACATCATGAAATGAAGATGGCTCTTGAAGCACAAAAAACTGAACTTATGGAACGCAAAGCACGGTTAGTGAAAGGCACTAAAGCGACCCACGATCATGAGAAGCCGAAAAAGAGATTCTTTAAGTGAGCACTTTATGATTATATTGTATTGTCATATAGTACATTTTTGCTTCTCGGGTCTATCGCAATTTACGTTAACATTTTGTTTATACTAATGAAATATAATAATATGCATGCTAAAGGTCTTGATCCTATTTTGTTTTGCAATTCTGTGTTATTTTTGTGGTATAGCGGTTAGGATACTTCAATTAGTATTCGTGCATTTACATTTACAGCATCCTCACTCTGTTCACCCAATAGTGTGTTATTTTGAATCCTTAATGCGACATTTTGTTCATTACCAAAATTCATTCGTAATTAGCATTCATACCCACCATCGACAAGAAATGAGCTGGTAAACCAATTTTCAGGAAATGCCTTTAAGGGACCATAACTTTTACAATGTCACGTACACCACTTTTCGTGGTACACCATGGATAGGGTTTGAACTTGATAAATTAGACTCGTATGCGAAGGAACTCTCTCTTTTTTTTCGTTACGGTAGTACTCGACAAAATGCTTTAACTCGAAATGAAGCAACATCACTTTTTACAATTGATTCTGTTGAATTCTTAAAGCTCGGAGCACCTCGTGGATTTAAGAATATTCTTAAGTTGCGAATCGTCTACTCACCGTCAACGGGATCCTATAACAATAAAGACATAAAAAAATATGGCCAACTGTTCTTGATACAGTTTCCTGAAACGGCAGCCGCACAAAGAAGGGATTCTACTCATTCCCAAAATGAAATTGATTCCTCACAATTCACTTCGTTTTCGTTAATTCTTTGCAGAATAAGTCCAATCGTTTGGGGACCAACGAAACTCTATTTGGAGCAACGTTTTGATACCTTTTTTGAGAACTGTCAGTTCCAACAGTCAAGCCTGATTAAAGTCTTGGAACATTGGCAACGAAATGTCACCCCAATCGAGCTCTCCGTGCCCTTAGAGTTCCAGTGGTTTTTTCAAAATCCCAATTTATCTAGTTGTGTTATAGGCATTCCAGCAGTTCATGTACAACAATGGTTGAAACTTTGTAGGAAGAAGAAGCTCTCATTCTATGAAACTGTACGAGAGTATTTACGAAATGGAATGGCTATTTCACTGGATCATCCTGCTGTCCAACTATCAAAAATCGTCGTCGACACAGTTATTATTTCACGTACTGGGAAGCTCAAATTCTTCACAAAATGCGGAGACGGCGTACCCACTATCCTCCAGCTATTACTCGACGATGAAACACTGCAATTTCCCTCAAAGGAGAAATAACGATAAATGCAAATCCCCCTTATGAATTTGCCCACCCGTCAATAATAACAAAAAATCTAATACGCATTAGTAACACTCTCTAGGAGGTTTATGTAAATGTGGAATAAGAAACATCATTGTCATGAAATCTCGTTCTATGTTGTAGAACACAAAACTATGGAATATATATTCAAAAAACTAAACAAAAGACAAACGCAGTATTATATATTCAAACACAGTGACCTGGTTAAGCGAGCTCAGTTGCGTTTGTTCTTTTTCTTGCTGGTCACAACCTTGAAGGCAGAATTCCATTCGGAAGCTTGTTGTTGCTTTGGCTTGCTTTTCACAACCTGGCTCCAACTGTTAGCAGAGGACTCCTGTAACTTAGAATCCGTAGGAGGTTTTCCGTTCAAGTCAGCAATACGACGAGTAGTGAACTCGACGGCAAAGCGACGACCATCCATTGTGGTACTATTCGCATAAATAGAATCCGAGATAATCTCAGACGTCTCCTGATTATTCTCAGCAGGAAAGGATAATAGCATTTGCAAGAACTCATTAATTTTAACACCATTGTTTAAGCCCTTCAATGCGTTTTTGCACCAAACAATAAACTCAACTGAATGACCAGAAGAGGTCGCTAGTTGAGCAAGCTTGGGAGGCAGCACAGATGCCATGGCAGAGGGCACAACATTAGAGGGTTTAACGCTTCCAGAAACAACTGAAGCCGTGGAAGGAGCAGGGCTGTTGTTAACAAGTTTGCCGCCTGGCCCAACAACAGTCCAGCTGTCATCAGGGCTGCCTTCAGCAACGGCAGTGGAAGCAGAATTAGTCGCAACAGTTGCCGGTTTAGGGACAGGGACGGACGAAGTCACAGGCTTAGAAGCCATTTTGGCCCAAGCATTAGGAACTGAGTGGTTGTTGGTGGCCACATTGGTTGCCGTCGTCTTGGGATGTGCTTCTTTTTGGAGAACCGTAACATTCTTCTTGACAGGACTTGTTTTCACTGCAGGAGGCTTCTTTGCACCCGTACCATTCACCGAACCCCAAACGGAAGCCGCAGGTAAGGTGGGAGTGCGAGCGGCGGCAACGGCAGAAGCCAAGGCAGCAGCTTGATTCTGCTTCTTCATTTCAGCATCCTCCTGTTCCATCTTCTGGATTTCTTCAGAGAGAGAAATAGGAGGCTCAGCGACCTTAGCCCAGGGTGATCCTAAACGGCTTTGAGCAGGCTTCGCGGGTTCCGCTTTCGGACTTGAGGATGCAAGAGCATTGCTTATATTCTTATCCAAAGATGGAACAGGCTTGGCACGCAGGGGCTTCCAGGGGGTAGTACGAGCGAGTGAGGGAGAATTCGTCTTAGATGTAGGCTTTTCTTGGGGTTGTGCATTGGTCACCAACTTAGTAGCAGGCTTTTCCTTTGCCTGAATGTTGTTGACGAATTGCTTGACCGGAGAAGCGGCAGTGACATTCTGCGACTTGATAGCAACATCAGCAAGCTTTTCAGCAAGATTCTCAACAGTGGTAGCGGTTTCCTTCTGATTGCCGCTTTTTGCGTTCTCCGTTTTCGGTACAACCTCCTCCTTGTCGGCGGACGTGGAGAAGGGAGCAGAGGCATCCGAAGACTGTTTTGCTTGTACAGGCTCGGTTGCAGAAGACAAGTGCTCTTCTTCGACCATCTTAACATTTGCAGGATGGGAGGGTTCGACCCCAACAGCATGCTTTGAAACTGATGCATAGGAAGGTGCGGCTGCGGCTGCAATCGAGGTACCTGTCTCGGGTACGGGCACACTCGCTTGAGCTGCCACCTTTGGAGGTGCATTCAATTTGAATGAGGATGCAGGCAAGTCCGTGCCCTCAGCATTCCATCCAGTGGACTGTGGTTGTACCGGTGGTAATGGAACCAGGAAGGGCTCAAACTGATTGTTCACTTGCCGAATAAACAAAGCCATGGAGTAAAACTCCTCCTCTTCTACACGTTTTATGGGAAGATTCAAAGGAAAGTACCCTGCTCGATACCACTGGTGCATATCAATACCCGTGAACGGACCTTGAATGTTGTTCTGCGGATCCTTATACAGCCAGCGCAAAAGAGCCGGAGGGATGAGTGATGGCAAAGGCTGCGTGAAGCCAGGGAAAAAATAGCCCGGTCCATTGTCAAGCTCTTGACGAACTTGAGGAGACATAATTGAGGTATCCTCGAGCCCGCCTTCAGCAAGACCAGCGACTTTCCCTTTGGCCTTGTCCAAAAGGATATTTAAAGGGATATTCGTATCACGCCCATTATTTCCCACATCGGGCGTACCCGGCATGCTAGCCAGACGCGAAGGGCGCTGAGCGGGCGAGTGGAAATAATCATTTGGCGTTACAACACTGTCTGTGACATTGTCAGAGACATTGTTTGCCAAGGCAGACGTACTCGTTACATTAGCAAAACCTGATATTCCTGAATTGCTCCAGCCAGCGCCGCCAGCGGCCATTGCAGTTCCCCCCAGACCGCCAAATGCTGAGTTGCCCGTGCCAAAAGGTGATGCAATGCCAGACGTACGAACTAATGGACTGTAAGTATTGATCTTCGGCGAAGCCCACGCTTGCGGAGAGGCGGTTCCATTCACAGCTGCTGCCGTGAACAATCGATCCCTGCCAAGCTGCAGTCTTGGCGATATGCCTTCTGCAGTAAACGCATTAGGAAAGTTGGCCGCCCCTGCGGCTGCTGCTGCCGCTCCAGAAAGCTTGGCATTTTGATCGAGAATATTAGGTATATTCGAAGCTACAGACTGTGCTGTTGCCCCCATGGACATAGTTGAATTCGTCTGATTCGATGTTACACCCATTAGACCAGGCAATCCGCCATATGTATCAAGGGAAGGGGTTTGAGCTGAAGTAGAGATTTTTTTTGCTGTCTGGATATTTGTACCGGCACCGTTTTGATCCGACAAGGGTAATCCTGATGATCCGAGACCTTCAATTGAATCACCTACACGATTGAATGCATTTATCTGCGAGTATGAGGATGAAACTTGTGGATTTCGACTGGTTTGCTGGGAGGCACGCCTATTAAAAATGTCAGTAAAAAAAGCTATTCCACAAGATTAAAAGACTAAACTGCACAAACTCATGAAGATCATCACGAGTTTAGCAAGGTTTCACTTCTTTTTGAGCGATTTTTTTGCAATTAGTTACGTACCATTCTGCCGGTTGAAAAAGTTTTGATTCCATATTCATGATTTTAAGAGAATAATATCAATTTGAACGAAAGATCCGCAGTAAACAAGCTTGATACAGACAGACACTGGGTATGTCGTGGGAGAGGACAGCTGCAGTGGTGGACGGTACTCGTAGATTTAGGACTTGACTTTAGACCGCAAAAAAACAATAAAATGACTAATTTGTTAAGATGTCGCCTCAGCCAATCACGAGCCTTCAAACAAGAAATAAAGGTGGGGTTATCCGCTAAATGTCGTTAAAGGGTCGCTAAGCCAATCACATGACCTCTAGGTTTGAGCGAGTCTCGGTTAAGGTGGCAATCCAAAACTCTCCACCAAAAACCTCCACCATAACATTTTCTACCGCCCTTACAGACTTGCTGACCCGTACTTCTGATCAGAGCTGTTTGACCAGTCGTAACCTTTGTTGAATATGGGAAGAGTCGGAAGAAAACGGAAACATCATAACAATGGAAATCATGCATTATTCCGTACGAGAGAGTACGGAAGAGACTTGGACCAAATCCAAGACGATTTGAAGGAACCAGAAAAGTTTCAGTCTTTGCCTTTGGACCCTGACCTGCCTGGTTTAGGCCAACACTACTGTATTGAGTGTGCGAGACACTTCGAGTCGGATCATTCTCTGAGAGAACATCGTCGTAGCAAAATTCACAAAAGACGCTTGAAGCAGTTACAGGAAGTTCCTTATACACAGGAGGAAGCTGAAGCTGCTGTTGGAATCGTCCGCAAGCCTGCGGTAAGCAGTGAAAAGGTAGCCGTCGAGGCAAAGTCGGAAAACGTTGTCATGGCTGATTAGTCGATTCAAATTGGCAGCGTGTATAGGAGGCGTCCGTTCCTAGGATATCCTTTTTGCTTGGTAATAGCGTACTTGTGTACTTTTTTTTGGTTCAATCATGTTTCCGTTTTCCACTGTGTTTTGGTCAGAGTCATTTGGGTTCAATTTAACCGTGTTTGTTTGTAAACGTAGGTTAATAAAAAATTTTATATGAGCTGGTGTGTGTCATTATAGAAGAACGAAAACGTGGGCGATAAGGGGGGGTTGAATGCATTCAATAGTACTTAGAATGCTTCTACCTTAGATCAACGACTTCTAATGGTGCATCAAGTTCACGAACATGGCCGGGTGGTTCGGCACTCGTATATATCCGGCCTTCATGTGGATGAAAGAGTCCGGGTTTTCTGCATTGAACCACTGTTTGTAGCCCTGTTGGGTCTAGCAAGCGAAAAATACCCGAGCTATGCATAGTTAGAAGTGAACGTAAAAACATTGAGACATACGATAGTTTCTTGGAAGGTGCTAATACAATTGCGATAGCCTCAGGCAACATGAGCTGGTAAGAGCAATGTGTGTGTAGATCTACACTGCTCATGAAACATGTTTGAGTGGGATGGGTGTGGATCCAACCGAGGGTTAAGAGGTCATGCTTGTCCTGATACTCGAAAAGACCGGCTTCATCAGTCGTTGAACAAGTGTCCGTAGTAGCTTCCTGAGGAGGGATTACTAGCTTCGTGATGAAAAAAGCATTTTGCCGCAGCTTACCACACAGAATACCGCATGTTTCCAACCGTCTATCAGTGTTTGGTTTGGCGATTCGGAGAAAAGTGGATCGTATGGAGCTGGGAAGAAATACGGTACGCAGTGGCTTACCGCCCTCCGTGTAGCATTGAATCTTAAAAGACTTGGTTTGCTTTTCCGGTACTTCGGAAGGAGGGGAGAAGTGCAGAAACTGACTTGTAAGCTTATTTAGAGGCTTATTAGGAAGCGGAGGGGGCCCATTGGTTTGGGAAGTAGGGACATTAGGAATAGGTCGTGGAGCTGAAATGGGAATGCCGGCAGCGGAGTTTTGTACACTGCTTGTCGTAGTAGCTGATGGATATGAGAAGTCAAGTGTATGCGAGTGAGCTTTATGTGTTTCGTCGTTTGATTTCGTAGAACTGGCAGGATAGAGTTTTAAGTCATCAACAGTCCATGAGGAGTGTGTCCTTGAAATAGAGTGATTTGTTTGCTGGGGTATTTTGTCAACATCGTGGTTCTTGCTCACTAAGAACTTATTCAAATTCTCATCTTCAATCTTTTGCCGTTTTAACAACTCAACTTGTTTATCATAAGACTCTTGAACCAAGGGTTTCAGCAATGTAATCTCTTCTAACGCCGTATTTACCGTCTAAGCTCGTTAGTGAATGAAGATTGGCATTACACCCGTACGTCGTAAAACTCATGGAGTTCTTTCTTGTATTGAGAAGCTTCAGGATGTGTTTGACAGTGAAAAAATAGTTCCGCATAGCGATATAATAAAAACAATCCGTTTTCAAAATCCTTTTCTCGAATGTATATACAAGCCTAGGGGATTTATGTCAGCATAAACTCTCTATGTTAACCTCATCGTCTACCTGTTTTAAAAGCGTCGTTCCAGTGCGCAGCCAATTTCGCAAGGGAATATTACGGTTAAAAGTGAATTGCGATGCCCGTTCTGCTAATGCACGAGGCGACAAAGGCACATGTTCATCAGAATTGACATTCATTCGTACTAAGCTCTTTACGTTTGTGTCCTACTAGTTGTTGGTGATAACCCGAGGTTAGTCCGTGGAATGGTGGACTTAGCCGCGGCTACTGAGAATCAATCTTCAATAATAAAAAACAGAACAATTTTCAAGAGGAACGCAATAGATGCTTTCAAAACTCTTAATTTAATTAACAAGTATTCATGATTATGAAAACGATGGATACTAAAACATCATATACACTTTTTGAATAGCAAGCAACACTAAGACTGCAACCAGGATTGCCCTCAAAAGCTGGACGACACAGTCTGTGTGCGTTTGTTCACATACGTAATCACAGTCAAACTGATTAGGCCTGTTGATTTGATTTTTTCTTGTTCTTCTTCTTCCGGTCACGTTTCTTAAGCTTGTCCATATTCAATTTACAGACTTCTGCGTACTGTGCGAAGAAAGAGGTTGCCTTAGACAGCGGAACAAAAGTCTTTCTTGACCATCCTGAAGAACGGAATGCTCTCAGCATAACAAATGGTTCAGTACAATCAGCAATATGTTTGTACTCGGGCGATACTAGACATGTTAATAGATAATTTTTACGAGAAGTAACATACAGGTTTTCTGTTCCAAATAGATGGATCCTTGACCTTGTTTACTCAATCCTTCTGCGGCTAAGGCAATAGCTTTGAGAAACTAGACATAGCTGTAATTTACATTTTTAATAGACGTTTTGTTCACAAACCTCTTCATTCGACACGGTCTCCTTTGTAATAGAAGGATCCGTACCTTTCCGGGCCTTTTGCTCGGTTCTATTTGTGCTCGACATTTTTGGATGGTATGGACGAATCTGGATCCGTTAGTAGGACGTAAAAACCGGTGTCGCTGTACTAGGGAAAACAATGGACGTGGGATATTTTTTAATTGATTTATAAAGCGTAGAATAACAAAACGAAGACATTTATAAATGTAATATTACAATTGAACGTACAAATCGATTCATGAAAATTAAAAAAAGGGGATTTTCATTGAATTAACATTATGGCCCCGTATCAATCATTCATAAACTGTTTCATAAAATAGACTTACAACTGTTCTTTATAGAAGGTACTTAAACGGAAGCAAAAGAATCACCATTTAAAGGCAACCATTTAGGAATGTACCCTGACATACGCTCAAAATTCCCAAACTGAATCTTCATCAACGCTGTCATTGTCAGGCATTGTATCGGCAATGTGAACAAGCTTGTCGAGCTTAACGATACGTTGCTCGAAGTCAGTTTGACATTCCTCTGAAGTTATGGCGAAACCAAGGACCATACATGGATCTAATTCATTTATGCGTAACCTCCGGAGAGTTGTTACATGAAATGAAGAATTCGGAGCAGGATTGTCAAATGTGTGAGCAGTTTGTGTTGTATGTGGATCCAAATAGAAAAACCATTGGGATTGACAAGCATAAAAGTAATGTGCTGCACGCGGTCGACCCCCCACGATTCCTATAGCTTGTGGGATTGTTAGAACGTGGCATAATTGTTCATAGTAAGACGTATGAATTGTATCAATACCAAGCCTTAGAGTGAACAGTAATAATCGTGGATAAGGCGTATTTCTCAGCTGATCGCGATACATTATAGCGCCATCATGAGAAACACATACATTCAATCCGACCTGCGGATGGGTGGAGCATAGATGGCTATGATGAATTAGTAAAACATTTTTGTTCATAGTTTTAATCCTAATAACTTAGGACAAACTAAAATACTGAAATGCTTACGCTGCGCAATGGCTCACAGTGGCAGGACCAAACCAGTTCCCTGGGGTGATATTGCAGAGCGTATGGCCTGCGTCAACAAACTGATGAAGAGATAGATACGCATTTGCTTCGTCAGCGAAGTAATGCAAAATCTTGTGTACAGGGAGAGAAGGTTGAACACGTCGTAAACAATTTGCTAGCATGGTTTGCATGGACCGTATCATGCACCCCCATCCAGCATCAGAGGAGAAGCATTCCATTCCGGCAATGCATTTTCGATAAGTTAAACTCAAAAGGTCATACGTATCTTGCACGAATGCTTCTGGCCATTTTCCAGTCTCCGTAGCATAAGAATGCCCAAGACTCCAAATGAAAGTACCACTGGGTTCATGATTTGTGGGGAACATGCGAAGATATCGTTCTAATATGTGAGACATCAGTTCCATAGCCAAATTCTTTTTTAATTGCAAAGGCTGTCAAATGTTGATGCAAAGATGCACATAAAATAAACAGATAACCGGCGCCAAAACCTAACTTAAAGCATTCCAAAGGGATAATTAACGGTCGTAATAAAATAGAATACAGAATTTTATAGCAATTGCTCGTAAGGAAACAAGAGAAGACAGCCGAGAACAGAAAGTAAGACAAAATGATAAAAAGAAAAGTACGGTTGGAATTTGAATCAATTACCTCTATTAAACTATCTTAAAACAAGCTTGACAATTGAAAAAGCAATTGCTTACTTGTTTAAATGATGTTCAATTGTAGAAGAGTGGCAGTTGGTAGTTTGTAAAGGTATCGCAGTTCGCTACTAGTGGGCGAAAACAAATAAGAATCTGTGATAGGAAGTATAAATTAGTAATTGTTGTAAAGTTCAGTTAATGTAAATTGGGGTGTTTTTTTTTTGTTTAATTTTTTTTTTAATATATATAATAAATATTCATAAGCTTGCTTAGAACCGTACTAGTGATTCCGTTCACAATGGTTGTATTGATTTAACAGAATACAGATCTAAATAAATAATCCTGTCTATCAAATTATCTTTTATGCGATAATATGTCGCACATAATTATTTGTAACATTAAGAAAATAATACAATAAATGAGTCCCCCATACTCTTCAATGTGATAGTGATAGGTATTATGTTCACTTTGAGCAGAAATCGTTTTTACCCTGTATGTCGTGTGTAATGTAATTATCGCAAGAAAGAAAAAGAATAATTATCTAAACCATCTAACAGATTAAATAAAAGAAAGTATATAATATTTGTTATCCTTCACCAACTGTTAAGAACCTCTTTTTTATTGCTGTTTCCCTTTCTCCTCTCCTCGTCGCATTCACTCCACATTCGTAAATGGAGCGGCAGTCGCGTACCAATCGCACCTTTTGCCAAATACCAATTGTTCTACTAAAAATGTTGCATTGTCCTAGAGACAATTCGAAATTTAACAAATTGAAAGATGCCACAGATCATCTAATTAATATACACAATTTTAATGAACTACAACATCTTAAGAATGCAACATTGTGTACACCAGAATTACTTGACGCTCTCGCAAAGGTAGATGGAAGTACAAACGACACTCTCCTTCAATTAGCACAGAAAAATGCCTTAAATCGTGTTCTGCAGGATCAACAAGAAGAAAGACAGAAAGGAGAAACTTTGAAACTTTCCTGTCTTTTTTGTCCCACAAAACATCTCAGTCGTCTTCAATGGTTTGAGCATTCATTTAAAAAGCATGACTTCAACATTGGTCGGCCAGACAATGTTGTTTACCTGAACGAATTCATCGATCTTGTAAAAATAGAGTTAAATGAGTATGCATAGATACACTTTTGCTGCCATATGCGTCCATCGAGTGACTCCATATTAACTTCTGCTTAGTCTGTCCTGCATTTGCTGTCATTCTCGGTTCTCCTCACGACATCTGTTGCTTCAGCATATGCGCCAAAAACGACATTTTCGTGTCGACCCAAAAATGTCGAATTTCGATAAATTCTACGTTGTCAATTATTTACCTCCTGAGAATTCATCAAAAGACTTAAATATAGGTGAAGAAAGTGATAAGTCTGATTCTGGGTATGAACCTCACATGCTATACAAAAGCTAATACGCAAATAGATGGTCCGATTTAGAAGATGAAATCGTTCTTGCTCAGTGCGTTTTCTGCCCTCTGAAGTTTGAAGCATTCGCGTGTTTAGATCATTTAAAAAATGCACATAACTACGATTTAATCAAAATTCAACGAGTGCATCATCTCGATGTTTATGGAACCATACGACTCATCAACTACGCGAGAGAAACAAAATCGAATAAAGTACCACCGCCTTCCGATGTAATGTGGGAGGATCCTAAATGGCTCTTTCCTCGCATTCCTGACGATGCTCTTCTTACGGTAATTGATGAGCCATAACTTAAATTCCATTTATGCAACAACCACCCACCTATTGTACCCCAATTGCTTATCCGGTGATTTTATTATTCTTTCATTAGCCGTCCTAAGCTATTTGTGAACTAATCCTCACTGCTACTTTATAATTCCCTCACCCCAGATACTACTATTTCGAACCAGGTTGGTGACATTCCCTTTTCACCCTTGTTCACACATACACCATGCAGTTGCAGGAACTGATTGATGGTTTCTTGGACCACTGTACGATCTTTACAGCCGTAATCGCCCTTATAACCGTGGTATTTGGACTTCTTGGTGTTTTGATAAATGTTGTCTCTTTCTTTGGATTAAGTGTTGAAAACATAAGTCTTTTACGAAGTACGTGTTAACATGAACGAGGGACCTTGCTTTAAGACAAATTGGCTAACTAATTTACAGTTCATTCATTGAATACTTATCCCCTTGTGCATGATGGCTTTCTTCCTTTTGTATTAGGACTCGCAAGCATTCTTGTGTTGATGCCCAAGTTTGAACGGCGTTACGGTACTCTTTGTACTATTGCCCTCTTTTTTGGATTTCTTGAAGTTATCCCAGCTGGTTTTTATCTTCTCATATGCTATCTTTTTAACAGTTCCACTGTTTATGCTGGATGCGGTGGATGGCTGTTCTCCTTTTTGACAATGTATTTGTTGAATCTGTTTGACAATTTACATCCTAAACTTATGACTTTAAGTCAAAACGTTCGAATTGGTATTGCATTTGCAGCCCCTCTGTTGATGTTGCCATTGGATTTTTCGACAAGCTTCTTTTTACACATCGCTGCCGTAGCTACCTCTGTCGTGTTTTCATTGTCTTTTCTCGACTTTTTGATTCCAAAGGTTCATTGGCTCGTGACAATTGAAACGAAACTGTCTCGTTTCATTGACAACGTTCCTAACTATGTTTCGGTCTCTGAGGCGGTTCATTACCAACGTGCAGGCGGACTCCCTGTTCACATGCAAGATGTTAATGTTCCCAGTGGTGATGTTGTATAGACATCTCTGACAATAGCATAATATATGTAACTTTAGTGCTTAACAATTTCACACGGCCATTTGCTTTGACAAACAATTTGGTCCTTTGAACGTTCATAAAAACAAATTCATCATTCTACTCTTATTAAGTGTCTTTTATATGATGTTAATAGACGCCTTGTATGGATATTCAAAAAAACTCAAATAAAAGACGCTGCGTGAGCGTACAACTACAAATAAATATATCTAACACTGTTCTTGTGTAACTGCACATTACATAGTAACGAAATTAACATTAAATAAAGATTATTCGATACGCATTCTGGAGTCTCGCCTTCTGAAGCCATGTCATCCTTCAGCGCAACCCCACGCTAAACTCATGAATATCAGCTAAAATTAACGAAAATCTAATAAGAAACTATGACAAACGGCGATACATCAATAAAGTTTCCGGGATCACTGAACTATCCTGTCGAAATATCGTCCCGGCTTGTTAAAACTGGCGACTATGTAAAAAAGCATGAACCTTTACTATTATATCGGTTCTACGGCAAAGTCGAAGAGGACCAAGAAGATGGAACCACACAATTGGTTGACAGAGTGTTTGTCGAGCAATTTGAGAGCCCTGTTGAGGGTGAACTGACACGTTGGATTGTTGAAGAAGGCGATCAAGTGAACAATGCTACGTATGTGTTCAACTACGAATTTGTGCTAATGAAAACCCCAATTTAGAGAACCCATTCTTTGCATTAAAGAACCATGTTCACATGAAGTTCATTACGGTGGTCTTTGCGCAATTTGCGGTCAAAATATTACAAAGTAAATCTTCCTTATTCTTCGCCTTGCAAACAATTAACCTTCTTTCGTTATAGTCAAGACTATATGGGCTTTTCTGACTTGTCTCGAGCCACAATTAATATGACACATGGCAGTGGAGGACTTACTGTCAGTCTTGATGTTAGTACACCTTCGCATACCAAGCGGCTCCAGACTCTTTACAATGATGTAGTACTTTACTAACCGAATGTTTATAGGAAGCAAGACGATTGGAAACAGAAACAGCAATTCGTCTTCAAAAACAAAAACGGTTATCACTTATTGTAGATTTGGACCAAACGATTATCCATGCTACCGTCGATCCTACCGTGGGTGAGTGGATGAAAGATCCTAACAACGTGAACTACAAAGTACTTCGTGATGTCCATTATTTCTATTTACGAGAAGGCACCTCAGGCTATACTTCTTGCTACTATATCAAACCCCGTCCAGGATTACAAGAATTTCTTCACAACGTCAGCAAACTTTATGAACTGCATATTTATACCATGGGAACCAAAGCCTACGCTACTGAGGTCGCGAAAGTAATTGATCCTGACGGTGAACTTTTCCAAGACAGAGTACTATCCCGTGATGACAGCGGGAATTTGACCCAAAAAAGTATTCGACGATTATTTCCTTGTGACACAAGCATGGTAGTAGTTATTGACGACAGAGGCGATGTTTGGAATTGGAGTTCCAATCTCATTAAGGTGTATCCGTTTGAATTTTTTGTTGGTATCGGTGATATTAACAGTAATTTCTTATCGAAAACCATTCCACTGCCACGGGGCGAACCGGAACCAACAGAGAAAGAAACCAGAGATGAAAACGAATCAACACCTGATGCTGTTCAAGAAGCTACGCCGACTGTCGGTGATCGCACTCTGCTGGAGGAAAACTTCATGCAAAGTCCTAATACTCTAAAAGAGCAAAGCGATGAACATATGACAGCACTTGAGTTGCAAAAGGCAGAAAGACCTTTGGCCAAGCAGCAAGACGCCTTACAGCGTGAAGAAGGCTTTGAATCTCGCGGACATACTCTGTTGCGCGACGATGATCGCGAGCTATTTCATCTCGAAAAAAGTGCTCACGAACATTCATCACGCCTACTATGACCGTTTAGAGGAATTTCAAAAATCTAGCTCCACTATTGCTCAAGAACCGACCGCAGATGTGGGTTTAATCATTCCAGAAATGAAGAAGAGAGTGCTTTCTCATTGCCGTATTCTGTTCAGCGGTATCATTCCGCTAGGAGTGGATGTGATCACGTATGCAACATTTTCATTTACTGTTCCTGTTTATATTTGCTGACACATTATAGTTCCGACATTGCGAAATGGGCAATGTCTTTTGGTGCCCACGTACTATTGGACTTGAAAGATAACCCGACACATCTGGTGGCATCAAAAGTCCAAACGGAGAAGGTAAGGCGGGCTCTGGAAATTCAAACTGTTAAAGTTGTGAATCTGGATTGGCTTCTTCACTCTATGTCCCAATGGAAGGCCTTACCCGAGGAAAACTTTCTACTATACCCAAATCAGATACTCAAACAAGAAGCTGTTTCTGGCCCGTCCGGAAACGACGGCAGCGAAATCTCCTCTGTTATCTCAGAATCGGACGAAGGCGAGGATCGTGTGACCGAAATTAATGATCGTGAACTGGATGATATTGATTGGAACGAAGCCGATAAAGACGTTGAAGGCGCTCTCGGTGATATTACAACCGACTTTAGCGGTGATGAATCAGAGTAAGTGTATACTAACGCTGCTGCACCGTGTATAGCAGTACAGAGTATTAATTGCCTTATTCTCTTTTTACTAACGAAAAACCATTAGTCGTTCCGACCTGCAAAATGGCGAAGACGAAAAACTTACACCTGCTGCGCACATGGCGAAGCGGCGAAGAGAGGCTTTGTCTCGGAAGTCAAGCCTAACTCGTGTTCTTTCTGAAACGGATTCACCGACAGCAAAACGAACCCGACATCCTTCTGAAGGCGAGAACTCGAACTCCAGTAGCCGGGCTCCTTCAGAAGGTGAAACAGATATTGACGACCTGGCTGATCTGGACAGCTTTGCAAATGATTTGGAAGCGGACCTCGAAGGACAACTGGAACCGGAGCAAACTGTCGCTTAAAAAAATGAGTTACCAAAAAGTACCTAATTACGCTAACCTATCCCATCACCACATTCATACCTCTTAAATAATCAACCATTACAAACACTACCACACACACAACACAAGAAATAGTCAACAAAGAAAAATGTATTTATCTCCAATTCTCAAGGTTCCTAAGAAGAGGGGTTCATCTGTACAGGGTTAGCAATACGAAGCTAGACAGAGACTGTTGCCAGTCTAAAGCTAACATACTCTTCTCTTGCCGCCGACCATGTTGGTAACGTTGACGAAGCGGCGAACATACAAAAGACGCTTGTAGGCACGTCCCTTGGGTTGCTTGGGCTTCTCTTGCTTCTCGACCTTAGGACATTGGGATTTAACCTAAAACACATTTGTCAGCACCTTCCCAACAACCATTAAGCGTTTTATTTACCTTTCCTGCACGAGCGAGGGATCCGTGAACCTTACCCATTGTGTATGTTGTTGGAAGGTTAAACGGGCAACCTACAGCAGATATGCAATGAAAAACGCAGTCACACTAAACACAAACAGAAGCGCAACGAGATTTTAAAACACCGAAAACCAACTCGTTAAACCAGATTACGATGTGTCTTATTATATCTTTAAAATTCGTTATCCTTAAATTGTAACGCCATTTACTGATGGTAGCAGTTGTTAGAGTGCCTCGAGGTGCGAAAATGAATTATGTAGTGGACCCAATGACCAATGTCTATTCGAGATTGCTTGTCACCTCGTTGAAGAGACACAAGCGATCTCAATACGATCATCCTGTGAGACAGCGGCATCATCAACTCGCAACGTTGTTGACGGCCAGGTTTACACACAAGACATTGGTCCGAATCGATAGCCGTAAACCAAAAGCATATTGTTAGATGTAAAATATTACAGTGTATGTTTAATAGAGAATGGGGAAATTGATTGTTCGCAACGGTTTTAAGGAATGTGAGGTATTTGCGAATCTATAAATAAGTTAGATTTCAAAATCGGAGGGTTATGAACTTGAGTCAGTGACAAAAAATAAACACAAAGAGCACCAAACTCGATTATACTCCAATTACCGTCTATGCAGATGTGTTTTTGTTTCCAATGTACGCTGACCAGTCTTGATCGGAAGGCTGCATAAGACGACCGAAGCCTTTAGACTTATCGAGCGTAAACGAATAGGACAACTGGTTGTCAAGAATGAAGGGGACGATAATGGCTGCAACGAAGAAGGCCAATATCAAGAGGAAGACAAATGAATACCGGAAGAAAATCAAACGACGAAGACGATTCTGCTTCATCGTGTAGATAGGCGCACGAATTTGGCGCTTAGGTTGCAACCAAAACAAAAGCATGGAATGAAAAACGTCTATGTAAGGAACGAGCAAAAGCGGAATAAGAGAAAACAAGATCATATGACCCAAAACAAAATCCGTGGAGAAAAGATTCAGCTCGGTTGTTTTGCAAACAAACTCACGAACCACTCTCACGAAGGAAACATGAGCAGAGTTTTGTTCAAACCAGTCACCGTTCCACCAGGACAGATTCGCATTGTCATCACCCTGATCACGAGTAAGCATAAAAATAGTTACGACCTTAAAGAAGAAACGCTCAATAGTCATGATAACAATACAACCCAGAACCGTTTTAGAAAACGACCAGGCCTCCAAAAACCATAAAGCCTCAAACGTGAAGAACAGCGCAACGATGGATACGGCATGGGCAAAAGCAGCCATCAAACTACCGTAACTTCTCATACGTTTTCTAAAGAGGGGACCACAACAGAGAGATAAAGTGGAAAAGATAATTGCTGACGCAGCACTAGCAGCAACAGGAATACCCGACATGATAAAAATACGAATAAACGAATTGACAGACTTCTCGGGATCAGGGTTTCCAGGTTGAGAGTTCATGAAAACATAGGGGGCCAACGTAAAGAATACGGCACAAGCTGGAAGGAAGAGCTCGTTGACGAACAAGTTAGAGACCTTAGCACGTGGCGAGTCCATACTAATCTTGTTGGAGGGACGACCTTTGATTTGACGCCGGAAACCAGTAATTCGCGTACGTGTGAGTTGACAGAAAGCAATCCACGAGTTGCTGTGAGACTTCGTGTTACCCCGAGTAAGCCAACGCATAAATTCACGATAATCAACAAAGAAGTCAGTCCAGGCGAATTGGTGAGGATTGTAAATGAAAGGTGACACACAGAGCGCGTACAATGTAATCCAGAAATAGATATAATGTGCGGTCCAAACTGTCAAAGTACCAAAAAGAAGCATTAACAACATTCTCGTACCAACATAAATGGAAGGAGCCGCAAATCTGGAATACAATGTCGAGAACGGAACACGCGTTGTAGCGAAACCACGACCAGTTGCAATATATCTAGCACCACCATAAGAAAAGTTTGTGATGATAGACTGAGCATAAATTTGAGTGACAAACACCTCAAACATGGGGGACAGTGAGCAGATTTGCTTGGTCAAACGCTTGATGGCACGGGGTGCTCCCTTATCGACCAAATCATGAGTAATAAGAGGAAGGAACGCGACGAAGAATACAATGAAAATTGAAATAATACAGCGTCGAAGCCAATCAAGCAACGGCTTCAATTGGTAGCAGCCAGATGGACGGAACGCCGCGTTAATCGCATCCGAAGTCGTGTAATGACAAACCGTGACGACCTTATACATTGCACCAAGGTTAAGGATAACCAACATAATAAGCTGAATAGAGACCATGATGAAGACATTATTCAAATGGAAACCAGCATGTGCATAGAAAAAGGCGAGCAAGCGGTGAAGAGGAAGTTGCGTACCAAGATTAAAGTACTCACGCGACAAGGTCTGTTCTCCCATACCCGTTCCAATCTTAGTCGTGAAGTTCAAAATAGTGCCGAAACCCAAATCACGACCCTTACCACATTGGAAGTATTCACAATGCTTGATCTGGCCACCACGTTGCAAAACCGTCATACCAGCGTAAATATCCTCATTGACATGCAAACCCTTTTGTGCCTTTGAGACACCACCTCGAGTTGTCATGAAAATCGTGTTCAGAATATCTGGATGACCATAATGCAATTTACCACCAATTAATGCAAGAGCTCTCGAAAACAGCGTACCGAATGTTTGCTCCTTACCGGCAGCAACATCACCCAAAATACCACTGTTCTCCGAGAAAATATACTCACGAGATCCAAGCATAGCAACTGGATGTTTTCTCATTAACTCCGGGGAATAAGGACTGCACGCAGGAGGTTCCATCTCTTCGAATTCAGCAAGCATGCTCCGAATCTTCAAGCATTCCTCGATATAGTTGTCCTGATTGGCATCAATAAGTTGAAGATACTCACCACGAATGAAAGGCAAAGACATGTTCTGGTTGTCTGCTTTACCATCACCCAAAATAGGATTGCCGGAAAGCCGAATACGGTACTTGGGTAACCGACGTCCGTCTTTAAATGGACAGAAACCATTGATCAACGTAGCATACAAACGCGGTTCTTCATCCGGTGATGTTACGGGATCAGAATCCAAATACGCAATTTGAAGTTCAGGATGAGCACGCAACATAAATTCGGCATTTTCATTTTCCTCCTGGTTGAACTTTGCATATCTTTGCATAGAAATACAAAGTCTAAATTTTCGGAAAGCCATTTGCTCAATCTTGTAATCAACTTTATCGGGGTCACCATTGCACTCCTCCGATAATTGGGGGTTCTCGACACGATAAAGCAATTTCAGGGCACGGGTATAATTCATCATACCACTAGCGGTACGATACAGAGTTTGACTTCTTAAAGATGCCCAAATACGAGTTCTAAGTGTGTACTCTGGCGCATTTGATTTGAAACCGATGCAGTAGAACGGAAGGTCGGTAACCTTTTCCGTTACACCACCCTTCTTACCCTTCTCAGTTTTGAGAGTTGTAGCTTCATCTGCATCCATTTCACCTGCCAGCAGCTTGGTATCACGCACAAAGTACTCCCACTCATTGGGATACAATTGCTTAAGATATTCCAGTAGCGTAATACGAGACATGGGATCTTGTTCACGAATGATTTCACGTAAACTAAGAAGAATTTTCTCACCATAATGGGGAATGAGAACTGTGAAAGTTGGCATCTCCGCAACAGAAGTTGTTGCGGGCATACGACAACTTAGAGACTGGGCAAAAAAGGAAATTCTTCTCTCTGCCTCAGAATTCTTAGGGAAATAATCCATTTTTGCTGCTGCCCTGTCCGTGTATTGAAAAAAGAATGATGGAGTCTTAAAAGTACGCTTTCCGCTCTGCTCGCTGTCAACGGGCTGGAAAAGCAACTTCTTAAGATGCTCCATGGTTAAGAGATGCTCTCGGTACATAGAAATGATAATGCTGTTCCACAATTGAGCAATATAGATCTTTGGTTTATAGAACTCAGGAAGGTGATCCGTAGCCAAAATTTTGTTATACATTCGTCTAGGAATGTTACTAAAGAGGTAACTCCAAGGCGTCCAAATGGTGATACCAAGATAGAATGAATATGCAATACTAAACATAGTGCATACCAACATGTACCAAAGATAGGAATCCAAGAAGAACAGAACTAATTCAGTAATATATACAAGAGCAAGAATGAATCTTGGCTGATGCTTACACAAAGCATCACCAATAATGTAATCATAACAATAGTATGGCTTCATGGTGTGCAAGAAACGAATTGGATCCTTCGCTGAAAGTGTTAAGAAGAAGTAAGATTCCACAAACTTCGCACCGAAGACAATAGTCCAAAGGGCTGCAGAGATACACCATCTGTGAAAGGGAAGCTTTACATAGCTTGCAGTGAAGTACTTGTGTGCGAGATACTTTCTCGAGCTTTTCCAGTAGCGTGAACCCAGCAAAGAGGATTGCGGGACGAATGATAAGTACAAAACACACACAATTGAAAACCAAAAGTGAGCATGGGATATAGACTTCGCAGTGCTCTCATACTGTTCTGTCAAATTACAGTAACCAAGAATGTATACAGCCGGTGCAATGTTCACTGCCATTAAAATAAGCATGAACAAAAGACGAGGGAAAACACTTTGAGTACCCGGAGCTGTTCTCGGAACAAACACCGATTCCAAAAGAAGGGATACGAACACAATGAATGAAGCAACCGCTCCGGCAATACCACAAGCTGTCCACCGGGCAGCAGGGGCAGGCTGAGTATAAAGCAAATGATGATAATTCTTCGTGTACATAGTCGGGGAATTATAAGCAATGAAATACCAAAAGATAGAGAGATGCAAAACCCAAATGCGAGTAAAGTTAACAATGAAGTGAGTGAGACTCCGAATTTCACGGAATGACTTATGGACAGACTGCCGCCAGTCAACTCTATACAGCATGTGGAAACGCGCCGGAGCCGGTGCGTCGATCAAACAAGTTCCATCAAAAAGCTTTATCCCTCGAATACCGCGCATGTACCAAAACGTTTGGTTGACATCGTCGTAACCAATAATTTTAGCATGGTCACGCTCCCGGCGAGTAAACTTGCCATTGACTATTTCGAACTGCTCATCATGAAGCAGTTGATATATAGGTGTAATGCAGTGATCAAGATAGAAATCCTGAGGAGCACTGTCCTTCTTATGTTTGTACTCCGCAGATAAGAAATAATCGTAAGCGCACTTATAAATGAAACAAAGACATTCGGGCATGAATCTCACGTTGTTTGCTTCACCCCAGCAAAGCATGTACAATGACAACTGCTCAACACGCTCAACATCAGTTAACTCTTCCATGCGATTGTACCATAAGTTCTCGTAGGATTTGAGGTCGTCCTTCGCGATAACCCCGGAAGAATCCTGACTGATGAAAGAAGGTGATCCGGAAGTCAAGTCGAGGCGGTCCATGCCAGCTGCAAAGTACCACTTTTTAAAGTTTGCATTGGGTCCACCAATGTAATCAGCATGCAAGGTTGCAAGAGCATCCCTCGGTGCCATTCTCGATGCACGAGAGTCCAACATAACCATGAAGTAATCGAACATGTTGCGCATGCTATCCCATTGGAAACCGAACTTTGATGAGAACTCGATAAAGATACTTTCTATGTCTTGCGTCAGCACCGGCGCGTTTGTTTCAGCCGTCCACGAGGGATACAACGCTTCATAGTGACCAGCACTGTCCGAAGAATCAACACTCGATCCCTCCACGATGTACTCGTGTCCAAACTCGTCTAAGCCAACAGATTCATAACGCTTTGACAATGGTTGGCCGCGGTTGAGGGGAAACATGACATAGCTTCGGTTAGACACGTTGGAGTCTTGCGAAGTAAAACCTTCTTGCGACGTGTAGCCGTCCGGGTTCATTAGATCGTCCTCAAGCTCATCAAAGTCCTCATCGTTGTCGCTACGGTTATATTCATCATAATCATGGGCAAAAGGATCCACTGACTCGCGACGATGCGCTTCAGGATCATAAGTCTCAGCATTTTCGAAAGGACTTTCGACTGCTGTCAACTCACTCGTCCAATTTTGCCCAGAGTGATAGCTTTGATCGTCGTACTCTCGTTCTCTGCCGTTATAGGCCATTTTTTAGTGAGAACCAAGGGTAAAACGGTTCAGAAGAATTTCTGTGGGGAGTAGAAAGTTTATACGCCGTTTTTGACGCTTTCAAACGACTTCAACAAGTCAGTCGTGTGATAACGAATGCTGTTTCCTGTACGACAGGCAACAGACAAGCGAATTAAAGTAACCTGTACCAAACTCGTTATAAATCGACTTTCAATATGTATCTCCGGCACAGAGTTTTAATAAAGAGAAAAAAGGACCGTTACTGAGGGAATTAAGACAGCTCTCGCCCTACAACTTCTGCGTATTTTATGGCACACGTTTTTATTCCGCAACGGGAAATAGCAAATAAGAATGATAAGCCCTCGCAGTTTTCGTACCACAAGACCGAAGACTGTCCAACGTTATCGTCTCCCCCAAAGTCGCTTAAAAAGAACGGTGACAGCGACAAACAGTGGTTTTACTGTCTAAGTATCTCTTGAAAACAATTGAACTCAACAAGGACGGTGTAGGGAGGGATAGGCGGAGAGCAGGTGAGATGAGTTTGCGTAGGCGCCAAGGGCGAGGCGTTTACGCTACGGATAGGTCTCGGGTGGTGTAGTAACGAGGTTGCCTGTAGTTGGCTGTCTGAGTATGAGCCATCGAGCACGCATCCCTGGTAAAGTAGTGAAAAGAGGTGCGATAAATGGTCGATAATATACACAGTTTTTATTTAATTAATATTCGTACATTTATAAGAATTGTATCAATGCAAATTTTATGTATGATTGGATAAAAGTAAACATCCGTCGTCCAAGCGAAGCTATAATTTTCAACTTTTTTAAAACGCATATACAATATAGTTATGTTTATTTTGTTCAAATGAATGTATTCGTGTATTTTGTCTTGAAGATCTCTTTTAGAAAACCATGAGGCTTCTCGTAGGTTTGACAAGCTCGGTAGGGGCGCAAGTCTGCTTTCTCCGCCTTATTGTGTTTAAGATATGCGCACAGCCAATCATGTTATTGTATTTTTGTTGGCATAGCAATGATCTGTCAAATTGGAGCCTAGTCTCGTTAGCGTAAGCGTCTGTGAACGGATGGATTCTCGCAATACGACGACGCTGAAGAACCTTGTGTCCAATAATTATCTGGTTTTATTAATGTGGTATTCGGCAATGGACGCTTTTTCATTTATGTACTGCATGAAGTTGGGGGTTTGTTTGTTTACACCCTTCACGCTAAGCCCACCTATGACGTATGCTACATGGCGATATGGGGCCGAGGAGGCTCGCCTACGGAATCGTATATAAGGGCCGGATGTCGCTGCTGGATAATCATCCCTCCACCAAACACATATTGCCTGTGAGCAGCGTTCACTGGCCAGGTCAAACTGAGTGTTGAGGTTACCTTCATTACCTATCCTTTATTCCTTTCTTTTCATTGAGTCGTAGACCTATACTTTGCATCTTGTCAAGGTACTCTCATTGCATTAATTCTTGTAAAGCATTCCTACATTTTCATCATGAAGTTTTCTTTCGTTGCTCTGGCCGCTGCCGCTTTCGCTGGCATTGCCAAGGCCTCTCTGCCTACTATTTCCGTCGATGGCCGTTACTTCTACTTTGAGAACGGTACTCGTTTCTTCATCAAGGGTGTTGCTTACCAACCCAATGTTGATACCGATTCCAACGGTGATGCTGTCTCCTCTGACTTCGTTGATCCCTTGGCTCAAGAGGACTCCTGTCTCCGTGATGTTGAGTACTTCAAGAAGCTCCATATCAACACGATTCGTGTCTATGCTGTCAACGCTTCTCAGGACCACTCGGCTTGTATGAAGGCTCTTGACTCGGCCGGTATCTACGTTCTTGCCGATCTCGCTCAACCCAGTGAGTCTATTGACCGTACTAGCCCCAAGTGGGATACCAACCTTTTCTCCCGTTATGCCAGTGTCGTTGATGCTATGGCTAACTACACTAACGTTCTTGGTTTCTTCGCTGGTAATGAGGTTACCAACAACAACACTAACACCCCTGCATCTGCCTTTGTCAAGGCTGCTGTCCGTGATATGAAGTCTTACATTTCTATGCAAGGCTACCGTTCCATCCCCGTTGGTTACTCCACCAATGATGACTCTGATACTCGTGTTTCTATGGCTGATTACTTCGAATGTGGTAGCACCGATGAGCGTGCTGACTTCTATGGTGTTAACATTTATGAGTGGTGTGGTTCCAGTACTTACCAGGAGTCCGGTTATGCTGACCGTACTGAGGAGTTCGCTAACTTTACTATTCCCGTCTTCTTCTCTGAGTTTGGTTGCATTACCAAGCGTCCTCGTACCTTCCAAGAGGTTCAAGCTTTGTTCGGTGTCAACATGACTGGTGTCTGGTCCGGTGGTATTGCTTACCAATACTTTGAGACCAACAACAACTATGGTGTTGTTTCTATTGAGTCCAGCAGCGTCGTTACCTTGACTGATTTCCCTTACTTGGCTTCTCAATTCGGTGCTGTCACTCCCACCACTTCTTCTGATGTCTCCACTACTACCGTTACTGCTTCTTGCCTTCCCACCAACACCAACTGGGTTGCCGCTGTTGAGCTCCCTCCCACCCCCTCTGACGAGATTTGCCAATGCATGTCCAACTCTCGTTCTTGTGTTGTTCTTGACAGCGTCAGCTCCAGTTCTTACACTGACCTTTTCAACTACGTTTGTGGTGTTGTCTCTTGTGATGGTATTACTGCTAACGGTACCTACCCTGGTTCCTATGGTGACTACAGTTTCTGTGATTCCAAGCAAATGCTGAACTTTGTTTTGGACCTCTACTACTCTGCTAAGGGTGACTGTGACTTCAGCGGCTCTGCCACCACCACTAAGACTTCTGCTCTTAGCGGTACTTGCGCTAGCTACGTCTCTGCTGCTGGTTCCGTTGGTACCAACTCTGTTGCTTACTCCATGGACGCTAACGCCGTTGCCACTACTTTGACTACCCCTGGTGCATCTGCCACTAACGGTACCTCGACTTCTTCTGTCAAGTCTGGTTCCACCACTTACTCTTCCTCTGGTAGCAGCGGTTCTGTCGGTAGCTCCGCCGTTACCCTCAGTGGTAACGCCATCTATGCTTTCATGGCTACCGTGATTGCCGGTGTTGCTGTTGCTTTCCTCTAAGCGTGGTGCTTTGGGATGTCGAGTGCATGCGTTGTATGTCATGCATGGATTCTCCAACTAATTTTGACCGTAGTTCCGATGAACTGGATTCATCGGGCGCGCTGGGTTTCTTGACTGAGCCTTCTCAGCATGATTGGGTCCACTCGTTCTTTCTTTGATATTATCTTCCCTGTATGATTTTGCAGCGAATTGAACTTTGTATTTTTCCGTAGTCACATTAAATTCATTTTGTTGAATATATAATTTGTTAAAGTACTTTTTTATTTTGAGTGTGTTTTTGGCGGATTGTGTAACCTTTCTCTCGTGTATGTTTGATGTGGTTGTACTCTAATGGTATGTTCGAATGCTTAAGACCGAATCCCATTGTATTGACTTGACTAAATTCGAAAGAAAAACAGTAAGCTGTGGTTGCTATTAATTCGTCTAATGCGCCAAAAATGTAGTAAATATTTTTATAGTAAAGATATCCTTCTTCCAGTTTAAGACTGAGACTTTAGGTCCTCCATAGCCTTTTGCAGCTTTTGATAGGATTCGGTTTCTTCCCAAATGCCCTTTCCCCGTCCCATCAGAGAACGCAGGACACTGCGAGATTTGAATTTCCAATCCTTGGCAACGACGCCTCCCATGCGTCCAGGTTTTTCGCCCAAATTTGTGTATGCATCAACAACGTCCAGTGCACCATCTACAGTTTTATCCCAAACGGCCAACTCGCTTGTAATGTTGGGACTCGAAAGCAACACTCGGTAAGCTTTCAAGGTGGCATCCAAAGATTCGGCCCATCTTTGACGCCAAAACATGAAACGAGCAACGAGTTTCCACAACCGAACATCGTTGGTGATCAGCGGAATAATAATGGCAAAAAGTTCTGTAAGAAGGCGAGCAAGGATATCCGTGTCATCCTTGCAATGTTGGGTTACATGATTTACCAAAAGATCCAAACATTGAACATCAACGGCCGTTTCACCCTTTGATTTTGACCGCAGCTCTATGATTCTGCGCATGGCGCGAATAACTTCTGACCATTCACCAACGTCCACGGAGACGAGCATGTAATTTTCCCATACACGCCAGTTTTCGTACATAAAACGAAGACCCTGCTGCAACGTGCGCCAAGCATCACGCTTGTTCTTTGGCTTAGCCTTCAGCATTGCACTCGCCAAGTTGTTCCAACTCTCACCATCTTCGGGATCAATCGACAAACAGCGAGTGAATGCCTCCATAGCAACTTCGAATGCATTCAGCTCAAGGGCAGCACATCCATAAGTAAACCACGTAGGGTAAGAAAGCGGATTGATTCGAAGGGATTTTTCAAAAGATTCCATACACTTTTTCATGTCATGGACAGCATAGTAATGACGACCAAGAGCACGTTGAGCAGGTGCGTAACGGCAGCCAGAAAGCTCCCATGCCTTTTCATAATGCGAGATATCGTTTTCAATATCACCGAGCATCGTCCGCAGGCGGTGATCGTTAGGGTCTTTCTCAAGCTGTGTACGGATGACATTTATAGCAAGATCAGTGCGCTCCAAAGAGCAGTGACACAATGCAACGCAATCCCACATCTCGAGACGCTCATAAATTTCAAGGGCGGAACGAATTGAACCAATGGACATGAACTTTTTGGCCAATTCATCCTCGAGTTGCCAACGAGATGGCATGGACAGTTGATGAGCATAGGCAAGACGCTCGTGTAATGAAGCAGATTCACCTTCATCTTTGGGTTTGGGCAGGAAAGAGCCACCGACTACCGCTTCAAGACCGCTGTCCACTGTTTCCGTTCCTGGAGCCCTGAGTTGATCATTAAGCTGGTCAACAAGAACTTGTAGTTGAAGCACGCTTCTTTCAACCGTTCGACTCTTGAATCCTTCAAGTCTCGTGCGAATAAGAAGACCCATAGTGTACACGGACCAATTCACGGGATGTGCCAGAACACGTTCTGCATAAGGAGACATTTCCTCACGCGTAAGGCCATCATCAGGATTGGAGTTTTTGATAATTTGACAGTAAGCCAAAAGTAATGCTGCATCGAGAGGATGTAAACGCGATGGTTCATTGGGATTCTCCTCTTTCAATCGAGGATCTACTTCTTCCCTATAGGCCAAACGCTCTTGATCGTGTTTGAAAGAGATTTTTTCCAGCAACGTATCATCGTTGAGCTCAAGAGTTCTCGGTTGAGTTGCCGTGATGTCTCCGCCCTCACGGTTCCGTGATTTAGCAAGAACAACAAGTTGAGAAGCATCAAACGTCTGAAACTTGGTACGGCGTCCGAGAGCACCCGTAAGCTCGTATGCAAAATCCATCACGTTTCCAGCGTCATTCAGCAAACGCAAAGCAAGTCCATCTCGTCCATAAAAAGAGTGGATAAGACCCAATTCAATTGCGTAACGACCCTGGACATCTTGGTCTTGTGTGACAATGTAGTCGCTAATGCTACTCATATTTTTGTTTATGAGATTGTGAAGCGAAGCAACATGCTCCTGCAAGATACGCTGTAATAAAAAGGCTAGTCGGGCTTCATTCCAAAGGTGGATTGGAGTCTGGCTTTTGGCGTACGAAAATAATGCTCGTGAGAACACAAGTAGCAAAAGCTTAGGAGCAAGATGATACGGACGCTCACCATCGACAGTCAGGGCATTCAAAGTCGCGTTTTTCAAGTCGGGATGTGAGCGCACAGCTTGAGGAAGCCAATCAACAGGTTCATCGGGCAAGTAAGGACCGGTGTAATTAGCTTGAAGAAAATATTCAAGTGCTTCCGTAGCCAAATCCGGCAGAACATTCTTGTCCAAATCAGTTTGCTGGTCCCAAAACGCAAAGAGAAACTCTTCGAAAGCAAGTTCTTTCGTAAGTAATTGGCACAACGGATGTCCGTCCTCGAGTTGTGCTCCGAAAAGATAGTTTTTGGCTGTTTCCAGCGACAATTTGGAGTCTACGTCCATTTTTTTTGTTTCCGCTGGGCGTCTTGGTGACGATAGAAGCAAGAACAATGTTGTTTTGCAGTAGTCTGCCAAGAGTGTCGAAGGAAGAAGTCTTCAGTACCAAATGCTTAGTCAGAGTGTTGAAACAAAAACGACACCATCATAGCCTCGACATGTAGTACATCAATCGAAAGAGAAAACCTCGATGATTACAATGCACACAATATCAAAAAGTTATGGTGCCTCATGAACAATGTTGTTTTTCTTCAAAAAACAACAAAGTGTGACACTCGTTGATACTCGTTACTATTCACTAACACAAATAACAAAGTCCAGCGCACTCTAATGAAGAATCATACAACGAATCACCACTACCCAGCGCACTAGCGACAGAACAAGCATAATGTTGCGAAAAGGTGTCATTGCTTCGTCTACTGACACATAGATTCATTAAGTCTCAAAATAAAATAGTACATAAACAACTTAGGCGAGAAGGTCCTTCAATTGACCCTTGCTCTTGATGGCTTGAAGGTCAGAGTTACCGCCAATGTGCTTCTTGTGAATGAAGATGTTAGGAACAGTGCGTTGACCAGTCTTTGTAGCCAAGTAGCTTTGAATCTCGTCACCGTCGTCCATGGTGTCCAACTCGTACACCTTAGCATTGGCACCCTCGTCCTTGAGGGTCTTCTTGGTAGCAGAACAGTAAGGACAGTAAGTCTTGGAAAAGACCAAAACGTCGTTCTCCTCAACGGCGGAGTCAACAAATTCTTTAACGGCAGACATTCTCGTAATGGATTAGACAGGAAAAGCGTCTCTGAATGCAAAAGCGGGGCCCGCGTTATTTATATAATTTATCAGAAAGGTATGGCGTCATGATGACGCAGTGCAACTGAATAATGACAGGCGGATACTGACTAAACGGAAGGTTGGCTGTGTTTATTTTAACGAAGTAAAGCGAGGCACAACAGGATCGGAAATGCGGAGAAGACGTGGTATAGTTTCTTAGGACTCGTTATAGTGTGTTGTACCACGGTAAAGCTCCTAAAACCCCACTGCCGCGTCTCTGTTGCTGTGTAACACGAAAAAACATATGGCAAACTGTGTTGTCTGTTCTTCGACGGCAAAGTACAGGTGTCCTAAATGTTACAGCACTTAGTAAGTACACGACGTCTTTGACTTTTGTAAGCATAAACGTCTAAAGCAACACAAGACATTTATTCGGTCAAAAGAGCTGCAAACGGGAACATCAGCGATAGTTTATTAGTAGTAGCACAGGGACGCTAACAATTGGTAGCTGTAGTGTCGTCTGTTTCAAGGAACACAAAACCCAGTGTGACCCGGAAAAGAAGCAAACGAATGAACAGGATTCACAGGCATCTTCCATGCACATCACAGTGGAGCCATCTCCAAATGTGATTTACGTGAATGGACGCGAGCCTAAAGTCGCGGAGGAAGCCCTGCCTAAAACAACAGACTTGCAACGAGCGCTGCAGGACGAAGGAATTCAAGCATACTTGAACGAGCATCCCGAACTTGTGAAGCTTATGGACCAGCTAGTACGTCTCCGGAGTCAAGAGACTACAAACGTTCCCGTAAGAACACTTGCAGCAATCCAAAGTCATCGAGACAACAACCCAGCATTCACTGAACTTGCTAACAAAGTTTTGGATTTGTGTGAGGAATTGTAGCCACCATCAAAGTGTATCATAGAAAAAATTTTAGTGCTTTGGTCGTAAAACTTAGCCTTTTTTTTGATATATCAAAAACGAGAATGAAATATCGGTGTTAAGTCACTCTACAAGCGTACCAGCTCTAGGCCCAAGTGAGTCACTACGGCAAGCTGGCGTGCAGTACTGTGCCAACTCATATCGACAATAGGCGTATTCAAAAACACCGGATCGACGTCTGTGGCATGGGGCCGATCAACTGAAACTAGTTGAAGACTTCCTCGGGCAGCACTAGCCGTTGCGAATAAACGTGCATAGTAGGGATGTGCACGGGCGCCAAGAACGGTGCCTGAGAACGAAGTACTACCCATCGCGTTGGGTAGAAGATTCCGAGAAGGAAGAGTACCATTGACTTCAGCGAACTCGCCGGCTCCTTGAGCGGAATCCTTTGAAGACCACAACTCCCAACACGACCAGTTACCATTCTTGCACATGGCCAAAATTGAGTTTTGATGTTCGCCAGACCATTCGGCACTACCAAGCGTGTCGGCGGCGTTCACTTGAACGCCGCTGGCGGAGAGACTAACAATCCACGGACGTTGCGAGTCTTCGATCTCCATGACTTCGTCGGCAGTGGATGAAGAAGCACTTGCTCCGGAGGATGTCCAGTCAAACACACGGACTTGACCATTACGCTCGCCAACAAGCAAGCGACGGGCATCTGAACGGCAAAAACGCACGGAGACACCGGGCGATGCAAGCGTGTAACCAGCGAGCACAGGTCCATTATCCGAAACACGCCAAACGATAAGCGTATTATCATCGCCAACACTGGCAATTACATGTTCGTCCAGCGTTTGGTCTGCGGAGTAAATTTCGATGATATCCACATCGTTCACGAAGTTTTGGTGTCCAGATGTACCGCCAAATGTGTGTTGTGAAGTGATCTCAGCGTCTTGTGTAAAGATTAGCCGAACTGAATTGTCTTGACAAGCACATGCAATGGACAGAGTACATGAACTGTTTTCTTCTCCATTTTCTGAGCTGTCTGGAGCTGTTTTATGGGCGTAAAACGCCAAATGCAGTGTTGGGAGGCCAGTTGCAACTGTGAAAAGCTGTCGAAATGGCCAGGCACCTGTGCTTGGTTTTGCAGTAGGTTTATAAAATGTAATTCCGGTTTCATGTCCTTATTAAACACAATGTTAGTTTCGAGAGCACAGGTAATCGTGTCTGCTACATACCGACGGCAAAAATGTCAGGCTGGGAGGATCCTGGAAGCGCCCATTTTATGGTATAAGGAAATACTTCTAACGGTTGTCTATGTTTGTTAGCGAAATTCGCGTCGTTTCTAACGTGGTAAACTACCTAATGCGATTCTGCTGAGAAATAGAAACCATAACGCCAATCTTATTTCAAATAGACAGTTCAGACGCGTTAATGTTTTTTTCTCCAGATACTGGGCGGATTTGTTTTTCGTTTTCCACTGGCTTGACAGTGAACAGGCGTGGCCGTGTTTTGTGAGGGAGGTTACATCGGGTAACAAAGTTAAATAAGGTTTTGTATTAGCGAAGCTGACGTACTCGAAAAATCAGGAATAGGCAAATGGAACACAGGTACGAGCAGAGACGGCCGACCACATGAACCGATGATGCAAGCAACCGACAACTAACGCGCCATTCACAAATCTCTTTACACCCTTAGGAAAACACCAACAAATATCAGTAACAGTATTGATTACAACTATTTACGAAAGCGGACAACTTATCTCGCTGACTTATTACCACCCGGAGTAGATGCTGTTCGGGCAGAATGAAGTAAACAGCGAATTTCTATCTCTCACCACGTTCCCCGCGCCTGATACATAAGCCGTGACAAAGGCCCGTGAATAGTGGGGATTGCGAATTTGGTTTGACTGGTGGGCGGACGGCCGCTTTTATGCTGTTTTGCAATTGAAACTCCGATACATTTTTTGTTCCAGAATGTACTGAGATCACGAGACATTGTTCAGGTTGGAGGGATTTAGTGTGCTTCACTATTTGACTTTTAAAACGTATAGAGCATTACGGTATAGTACATAATGAACGGTGACGTACTTCATTAAAATTCACTAAATCGCCTTATATCCTAGCTCAGTGAGGTCATTGACAGTGTCGGCAGCTGCTGTACAAATGATGATGATGGCGGCGGCTGTATTCCCAGTATTAAACAAATTGCTCAGTTCGTAGTTGTGAATTATACAAATCATTGATTTTACAATGGTCCGGTTGACTCCATTAGCGAGGTCTATGTAAGTAAAGAGTGCGTTTTGAAGTGTAAACAGTTTTGAGAATCGAGATTGGGGATTTAGTGATTGCAGCATCTAACAGGTTTTCTAGTTTTAAGAACAGAGTTCCATATCTTCAACGTGCGACTCAAGCATCATCGAAACCGACGCATTTAAGGGTTAGTTAGCTCGTGCTCTGAAGGACGAAATGACGGTTTTCTGGTGAATTGGTAATACTAACCTCTAAATAGCGGCCGAAAAGCAAATACTGGGCGTACACCTTGTACACGGCATTCGGCGCCAGTTGTATTATGGGTACCGTTGCAACCGTAAAAGCTTTACGAGTATGTGTTATGTTCGATAACAGAATTTCTGATACAGAGTTTCGTACCTGAACCTAATTCTAACTCAGAAACACAGAAAGATTAAATTGACTAGGACATTGATGGGGGGGTCCTATTCTCCCTCCTGTGTGTGTTTGACATGATGTAACCTTTAGCACTAAAATGCACTTACTTTTTATAGTAAACACGTTTAAACTGAAAGTGTAGACAAAGTACACCATTCTCGAAACTGTTTTTGAAACCACGGTGGCGCTTTGAACTGTAGTCCCAGTCTCGGTCAACTATTCGAAACGCAATGTCCTGATACGGTTCACCGGCAATGAAACGAATCACACAAGTTTCCTCCGTCTGCTGTTCGTCTCTCTGCTTGCGAGACCGATTGCGCTCAATACGGTAAGTAGGTGCGCGACCAGTGCCAATGAGATCAGGGTAGAAGATGTTGAAACGGTATCCCTGTACAGCCTTGGGCGGAGGATGTTCTTCGTTATAATGAGCTTGATTGTAAGAATTCCACTCAAAACCGAGTAATACCCTGTTGTAGTACTTTGGCTTTTTTAAGGAAACGCCGTTGGCGCTAATTGAAACAGGAGCTTGCTCGGTCTCCAATTCATTTTCCAAGTCAGCCTCATCGGCGTCGCCTGCTTTAAGGTATTCACGTTCAAGCCTCTCCTTTGTCATCCTCCAGAAAGTGTCTTCTTCGATGCTTGTACTAACTAACTTGCTTGTCCGTACCTTTGGTTTACTGTTCAACAAGGGAATATAAGTGGCATCCGTAACTCGTTTTCTCTTCGTTTCCTACTCGTAGTTAGTATGTATTTCCATTGCACAACCCAAACCATACCAACATGTGCGTGTACTGTTCTTCCTCAATTGGCTTCAGGCCTTGTGGTAGCTGTTCTTGCCGTAATAAAGGTGCTGGATCCAGATTGATGCGATAATATTCATTCTCTGCCAGTTTTTTCATTTGCTGTAGTTGATGTAAATCATCCTTGGCCTGCTGTAGCTGTTCTTCATTTTGTTTCGTTCTGTTTTGTTGTAACGTTTCGCTAAAAAGCTCTGATAAATAAGCCCGGACCTTGAATTCTTTTAAATGAAGCAATAGTCCTTCCCAGTAATCGGTATCAATGGGAGCATTACTCCGAAGCTTCTGCTTTATTTGATTCTCCAAACGGACAAGGGCTTCGTGTGACTTTCCCTGTAGCAATTTTTGAACATCGTCTAAAACGATTGCGATAGACCGTTTGGAATCCCGAGATGCACGGGCTTTTTTTAGTTCCAGATCAACAAAGTCATGAACTGTCAACCAAAACTTTTGTTTTTCACGATGGCCCCCTTCAAGCCGCTCCAGTTCAAGGCATTGTTGACCAAGTGTCTCAAGTTCCTCAACACTATTGTTCTCAATTAAGTCTATGGGATCGCAAACCGACATAAGATCTGGCTCAAAATGGCGAACACGTTCATCAACACCTAGGATAGTACTGATACTAACCAGCAAATGATCGATCGGTTTAGAACGATTTTGACTCAGACGCAGAGCAGCGCGTTCGTAGTACTGGATGAGAAGAAATTTATTTTCTCTTTCCAATTCATTTTCAGCGGTATCTTTGCTTGTGAGATGACGACGTATTGACTAGAGCAGGTTAACTTCTGTTTTCGTAAACGGAACACATAATACTCATCGGCTATCACCAAAGCTATGGATTGACTTACTAGGTCGTCGTCTCGTTCTCGAAATCTTTTACTATACCGTGAGGGGGAACGAGATGATGAACGTTTATTGTATGGGTAAGACATGTCTGTTATCGAAAGTAAGTGTTTTCAATAACAGAGAATCAAACTTTATGAAACAGTGGTCGACTTTGTAGATGAATGAAATAATGACAGCAAAAAAGTATTTCTTTTTTTTTATTAAAAAGCGTAGTTTGTCATGAAGCCGTAGTAATGGAAATTAGCTAGAGCAGTCATTCACGTAACTATTCGGAATTGTATGAAGAAAAGCACTGATGTCAAGTAATACTGCCGCTTATTGGCAGACGATCAATACAGATGATTAGTTTGAAAAAGAAATTAAACGTAAAGACAAAAAGAACAAGAAAAAAATAAAAAAAATAAAAAATAATTATAATAATTATAAAATAAATAAAAACTACCAATTAATAAGAAAACTCACAACCTTGATGTCCTCAAAAGCAATAATAGTACAACTGCTTCTGTAAAGAAGTTTTGCCTATGCAGTCCAATTCCCTCTCACTACTTTGGTAATTTAAAGGGTCCACAAGCTAAGGCCAAGAACAGGCCAGCGAATAAACGTAAGAATACACACCCAGTACAATCACATTCAGCAGCATTTTCTTAGAACGTCCAACAAAAAAGACCACTAACCCATGCTACCGAAACCTCACATACTTACTACCTTTCCCACCGTTACTAACGCATTCCCCTCGTAATAACGTACTCTTCAGCTACGTCTACGTTGTTAAAGAACTTTCAAATGCATTTCGATTTTACTCCTCGTCCTCCTCGATGAGAGAGTAGGCAATGCGATCCAAGTCACGTTGACCTTGCTGGGAGATGCGACGACCACCGTTCTCGCTCTTCTCAAGCACACCAATCTTCTCCAAGCTTTGAACAACCTTGCGTTGAACACTGCCAGAGCAGTCGCGGTGATGAGAAGGACGCATACCACGGTTGACGGATCCGCCGTAAACCTTGCAAAGGCGACCAACACCAACTTGCTTGCGAAGGTAGATGTGACGAGCAATGGCAGCGGCACGGACAAAGTACCAGTCAGGGTCGTAAGGAGCCAACTCCTTGTGGGTACCAGTCTTGACGATGTCAATCCACTGGGGGGTAGTCATCTTACCTAGAAAATAAAGTTAGCAAATGCCCGGGAGTTCGACGTTTAGCGGACGTTAACGCCTTAAAACAACATACCAGAACGCTTCAAGAAAGCGGCATAGGCAGTGATGAACTTTTGAGCATCAACATCTTTAACAGAAACTCCAGCCATGATGAAACTGCCGTTTGGTTAAGGTTGGTGAAGGTGGTGGACGGTAAAAGGAGACGTCTGAAAGAAATGTATTTTTGCTAGTGTTTCTACACCAACACCGTGACTGCTAATTTTGGCAAGCGTCGAGTGAACTTACCCAGAACCAACTTCCTCCACCAGCAACATTAAGCTCAATTCATCGAGGAACGGTGTTTTAGCGCTCCTTTCGCCGTCACTCCTTCCGAGACGTCTTGTTTAAGGACTGTCTGTGTTGCTTAATCAAAGATCAATCCTTGGAAACGGGAATTCGCGACTTTGCGAGAGAAACTTACTTTTACGTTTTTATTTGAGCCATTGTGTGTTGAATAACCTGCATTCAACGGTGAGTTTGCTCTTATGCTAGTGAAATAGGACACATTGTGATGTCCAAACAATCTTCCATTACAGTAACTGGTACGTGTGTTGTTTCTTCGTTCATACAGAAGATCATTGCTAATGCTGTGTAGTTCGAGTTCGTCCGTTTAATACCCAAGAGTCCGCTCATCTAGTCGCTGCTCCAGACTCTCTACAACTGCATTCGTCTACTTCCATTACCTCTTCTGTTGCAGCTTCGTACAAACCTCATCTTCAACATGCAAAACCATTACGAGGAATACGTAGAGTCGTAAAGGTGCTTGATCAAAGAATCCTTGTCTTTGACCCGCCGAGTGATTCAGCTCTCGGCAGGCGTGGTAATCGCAGACGGTCTATGACGAATTTGCCTGCCTCCCGAATTCATAGGGTATCCAAAGGCGATGGTCGGGATTTACGATATGCTTTTGACCGTGTGTTTGACGAAACGGCATCTCAGTATGATGTTTACACGGAAACAGCCCGTCCTCTTCTGGACAGCGTTTTAGATGGCTTTAATGCTACAGTTTTTGCATATGGAGCTACGGGTTGCGGTAAAACACACACCATCAGTGGAACTCCAGAGCATCCGGGTGTCATTTACTTAACACTGAAAGAGCTGTTTGAAAGAATTGAACAGCTGAAAGACGAACGCATCTTTAGTTTGCGTCTTTCGTATTTAGAAATCTACAACGAATCCATTCGCGACCTTCTCGCTACAACCGCACAAGGAAGGAGTAGGAATCTTTCATTACGTGAAGACGCCGACAGACGAATTACCGTGCCAGGACTGACGAGTCTGTCACCTTCATCGCTTGAAGAAGTGATGAAAATTATTCTGCGCGGAAACGCTAATAGGACCATGTCACCTACTGAAGCGAATGCGACTTCTTCGCGTTCTCATGCTGTATTACAAGTTTCTCTTACCCAAAAGCCAAGAACAGCAGATATTAACGAAGATCACACTCTTGCTACGCTCTCCATAATCGATTTGGCTGGTTCAGAGCGGGCAAATGCCACACGCAATCGGGGAGAAAGACTGAAAGAAGGTGCCAACATTAACCGGTCATTATTGGCATTAGGAAATTGCATTAATGCTTTGTGCGACCCACATCGCCGGGCACATGTCCCCTACCGAGATTCTAAATTGACACGTCTACTGAAATTCAGTTTAGGTGGCAATTGTAAAACTGTTATGATTGTCTGTGTGTCACCATCTTCTGTTCATTATGAGGAGACTTACAACACACTGAAGTATGCAAATCGTGCAAAAAACATCAAGACTGAAGTTCTTCGTAATATGATTAGTGTTGACCGACACGTGAGCCAGTATGTGAAGGCAATTTATGAGCTTCGTCAACAAATCCGTGAACTTGAACGACGCTTAGAACAATCAGATTTGCCCACCAGAAATACCCCGAACAGCACTAGTATTTCATTTGATGCAAAGTTGATTGAAGCACGAGACTTACTACGAGCCGCGTTTGAACAAACACTGCCTCGACAAAAGTCCGTCATTGAGGATGTACGGCACGCAAAGCGGATGGATGACTGTATTCACTTGGTTCGTTACTGGTTAACATCTTGCGAACGAACGTGCGCAGATACGACAGATGAGCGTGCGCAATTGGCACGCGCCAAATTGGACACCCTGCTTACGGAACGTTCTGTATTCGTGTCTAAAGTTAACCCGAAAGAAATTTACGGGACTTTTGAGCAAAGCATATCACCTATCATACGGACTTTGCGGGACAATGATGCTGATGTCTATGCCGACGTGTTGCAAGACGAAGTGGATTTACTCAAGTCAATTCATGAAAACCAAATTTTAGACGCTCAGAACTCTACAACACATTTTACACATACCTTAGAAACACTACTGACTGCATCCTTTCGATTGCTTCCCTCATTGCAGAAAGGTGGTTTTGGTGATGCGCATATTTTTCTAAAGAATTGGCTGATTAATCTGGCCGTGAAGAATGAACCTTTTGAGTATAATGGACCATCACTCTCATCTCTTTCGGAAATCTCTGTTCTTAATCAACAACTCCGCCAGAGCTGTCTTCAGGACAATGATCCTCTAGCAGCACTTCCGTTTTTGTCTTCGCCATCCCATCCACGACCTCGGCCTCCAGCGATGTTCGTGGTTAAGTCACCAAAGAAGCCAATTCTCCTTCCAAAACGATCTCACAAGAAACGTGTACGTTTTGAAGATACTAATAGTCCTACCGAACCTGCTGTTGATATGGAGGAAGAATTTGAAGATTGGAAAGAGGAAGATGACGAAGCCTTAAAGTCTGAAGACGAGGAACATTTGCCTCCCCAGAAACCCGACTTTCTGCAACCCGCCCAGCCTTCAAATACTCTTTCTTTCCGTGCACCAAGTCAACCATTCATTCGCATAACGTCTCCAGCTGCACCTATTAAACAAGCATCTCAAGATGCACGGACCACGGATCCACCTTCACACTCGGACAAATCATCAGACGACCAACAGAATGCATCATTCATGTCCCTTGATCGTAGTATGACCGAAATGGAAGTTGATACTAGCTCTCATAGTATCAGAAGCGTTTCGCTAGGCTCGACGCCATCCCGTATCCCTACCCCCGATTTACTCTCGTCGGGGAGACATGCAGCTCTTGCAGACTCTAAAAGGACTCTGAATTTTAATTTTGCTGCCACATCTGCCTCGTCCCTGGACAAACCATCTGTTATGATACCCCCCTCTTCTAATCTCTCTGACGCTTCTTCTCTCCCATCTCTTTCCAGCCGTATGAGCTTGCCTTTACCGTCGGCACCGAACAAGACCGTTCGGCGACTCAGTTCTCTCACATCATTACGTCTCTCTAATCCTGCACGTGTCATCCGACGCGACACTGGACTGTTTACGGGACCTACCAACGCTCCGTCTGACGCACCCTCTCATGAAACGTCTTAGAATGAACACTTCCAACTGTACTACTTAATGAATTTTACTTATCAGGGAAGTTGCAGAAGCGTCTAGACGTAAGCTACTGCTTCCCTCACACACCCAAGGCTTTACCACCGGGGAAGCACTGCACACTCTTATTAACATCCCCAATACCCACTCAACTAAGTACTGCTCAATCTTTGTAGACATACCAAAAACATTTTTTACCCAATTTAACTAGTTTAAGAAAACTGTACAACCCTTAATAGTAAACGGGATAGTAGAACAAGCACACTATCAGAAGCCACTGAATATTGAGTAGCCTGAGCCGATTAAAGCAGTAACTAAACTGCCTAATAAAGACGCTTCTCGTAAGTAGCAAAGCCTTGAATATCTCCCTCACGGATGGCAGCGCTACTACGGATCTCAAAGCGGGTTTCGCCGCTAACGACAGACTTGTGCAACTCAGGAATGGACTTAACACCAATGTCTTGGAAGGCGTGGAGAAGACCGGTGTGCAAGTAAGGCAAGAAGCGGGTCAAAGAACCCTTCTCAACAACAAGACCAGAAACACCTTGAGCGACACGGACGGCATCGTTCTCAGAGAAGTAACGACCAGTAGAGGCGTTCTCGTTAACACCAGTACCCTCCATGGCGGCGATGGAACCCATACCACGGTAAGACTTGTAGCGTTGACCGTCACGGACGTAAGACTCACCAGGGGACTCGGTGGTACCAGCCAAAAGACTACCCATCATGACAGCGTGGGCACCCAAGGCCAAACTCTTGACCATGTGACCAACGTTCTGGATACCACCGTCAGCGATGGTGGGAACGCCGAACTTGTTGGCGAACTCGGCGACTTGAGCGATAGCAGTGGCCAAGGGACGACCACAGGCCATAACCTCTTGGGTAATGCAAGCACTACCACTACCCATACCGATACGGAGACCGTCGGCACCAGCAGCAATCAAGTTGGCAGTTTGTTCGCGAGTAACGACGTTACCAGCAATAACATCAACCTTGGGGTGGGTAGCCTTGATCCACTTGATCATATCAATTTGGAACTTGGAGTTACCTTGGGAAGAGTCGATGACAATAACATCACAACCAGCCTCAACCAAAAGAGTACAACGGACCTTATCGTCCTCACGAGTGCCAATAGCGGCACCAACCATAAGTTGCTTGGATTCAGGCGACTTGCTGGCGTTGGGGAAGTCTTGGTTCTTCATCAAGTCGGTCAACGACAAGAGAGCAACAAGACGACCTTCACCGTCGATGACGGGAAGCTTGCCCTTTTTAGACTTTTTCAAAATTTCGTTAGCACCCTCCAAATCAATGCCCTTAGGAGCAGTGACAAGGTTCTCACGAGTCATAACCTCAGAGACAGGGGTGCTGGGATCCTTGCGGAATTGAACATCACGGGAAGAGACAATGCCAAGAAGCTTACCGTTAAGCTTACCGTTGTCTAAAAGGGTTAGTGAATGCTACGCACAACGCATGAACAAACAGAAGAGTCAGATTGCGAAGCAGGCTCTTCTCTCAAGTCAGTGACAAAATTGTATCTCCATAGCATTTCTGCTGTTACAGAAGAACGAAAGTTATAAGTCAAAGCATCATCCAGGCAAGCGAAGCACAACCGAGAGAAAAGAGCACTAAACCGCGCAAATCCATACACATAATCCGTTATTCTAGCAAAACTTACCAGTGACGGGAATACCGCTGAATCCTCTGTCCTTCTTAATTTTCAAAACCTCGCCAATGGTGTTGTTAACACCGAAGACAACGGGATCGGTAATGAAACCGTTCTCGTATCTCTTCACCCGGCGGACCATCTCAGCTTGAGCCTCGGGGGTACAGTTGTGGTGAATGATACCGATACCACCCAACAAAGCCATGTAGATGGCCATTTGGTCCTCAGTGACAGTGTCCATAGGAGAACTCATGAAGGGAGCCTTAAGCTTGATGTTACGGGTGATTTTAGTGTCGAGAGAAACCTCGTTGGGGATGAAGTTGATGTAACCAGGCAAGACCAAAAAGTCATTGAAGGTCAAACCACCTTGAGAGTTCTGACGGATAAGTTGGTCGATGCTAAGACCATCCTTAGTCTCGTACTTCTCAAGCTCTTTAACAGCCTCAGTGTGCTTCAAGTACGTTGCCATGGCCAAAGTAATTTAGGGTTGGGAGAGGGTAAGATACCGATTAGAAAGTGAGGGGGATCCGCTCTTTAAATACTCGTGAAAATTTTTTTATAGTTAACAAAAAATTCATTTATTTAATTAAAAAAATATCATTTGTTAAGTTGGGGCGTGGCGAATGAATATAGATCGGTTGCATACAAACTGCGATAGCGAGCTGTAGCGAGAAAGTGGGGTTCGAAATAACGCGACTTAGTGATGCATATGTTCCGAGGGCTATTAGGTAATTACTGAATTGCAACGAAACTTTACGAGCTATAATAAGCAGAAAGCAATGCTGAATTGCTGAAATGGAAAAGGAGAGAATGGCTTTTGTTGCCGTAGCCTGAGTGAGAGGCTGTCTGCAAATGTAGTGAATAGAAGACTGGAACATTTAGGTCAGTCTAGATTGTAGACGTCGTTCGAAATAAAAGGAATGAACTAAATCAGTAGAGACATTTTTGAATAACAAAAAGGAAAATATAGTAAGAAAAAACGAGCGCATGAGATGGACACCTTGACGAACATCTCGTAAATACAGTGTTACTTAAAATACCAAGGGGCGGTATAGTAAGAACAAACCAAAAAGCTTGGTGAATGAGCCAGTCGGCTCTATATGTTCTCATACCAGTAGATCATCAATCCACTCATATTGTCCCGTGTGCGGATTCCATTGCCGATTTCTCATAGCATACTGTTCCTCATCACTGCTCCATTGCTCTTGCAGCCTCAGCGGATCTGTGTACTGTTGGCGCATGGACGAGCTATTTGGCTCATCTGCCCATTCGTACATGCGATCGCCATTTTCCAAACGCTCCATGTTGAGCGGAAACTCTGTCCCGTCTCCCATTGAATTCAGGTACGGAAGGAACCAGAGGAAAACAGAGGGGCCCATGATTTGTTTCCAATTGGCAAGCCAGCCAACGTTGAAGGGTTGCGTGGTAGAAGAGTACCGCGACCAAGATGCACTCAGAGTTTCCAATGTCGTGATGTTGCGTAAAATGAGTGAAGCATGATACACTGAGAATACACTGAGAATGACAAACATAGAAAACGAAAAAATAAGCTGACCAATCCACAATACAGGTAGCCAAGAGAGCCGGGTATTTTCGTCAAGACCACTTAGGTATAGGTGCAGTGATTTAATGCACATATATGCCGTAAACATGGCATACATAGACAGGTATACGAGAAGAAGGAAGAAAAACTTCTGGTTTCGAAATCCAATGCAGTGTTGAAACCATATGCAGTGATGATCCATCCTAAGAATGCACGATCTGCACTGGGAACAATGATGAGTACGAGAATACTTTACGTATTGGCATTTCTGACATCGCCGCACATTCTTCGGCATCAAATGCTCACGATAGCCAAGCACTGACTATGCACAGAGTGTTAGTATATGTATTAAAACTGATGCGTAATGACTATGAAGCTGTTTCGAGATGGGCCCACTGAGAAGTGGATGAACGCTTGGTATTATTCATACAGATGCTCGTCAAGCACATGCCAACAATATACGACGGACGGCACCTCTCATATGGGCCACTCTGACTTACCTTTGGCGTTCCAGGGTGCGTGAAATTCACGAGATTATACGTGAGCACAGACAGCACATACATGCTGAATTGTAACACGTATATAAAGCGCGAAACATCATGTCTTAAAGTTGCATTCACTATTTGTGCCCCAGTCATAATAGAAATAGCAACAAGAAGCATGAAATGATGAACAGCAGCCTTCATAAGCCAAAAAAGCCCGCGAATCGGCAGCATTAAAAGCTTCGCCATGGTAAACGCTATGGGCACTTTGGCCAGCACACGGATTACCAATTGTAGTACTCAGTAACAAGAAAACCTGTTCGTGGATGAATGAGTAGTTGGCGAAGGATTCTGTATGGGCAGTGAAGTGCAAGGGGGGGGACGAAGAGAACAACCAAATGTAATTGATTACAGGCCTGTGGTCAATAAAAAATTGGTGGATTTTGAGTAGTACCAAAGTTTTAATAAGGAGTTTTTCGTTTAGACCCTTTAGTTAACCAATTTCATTTTCGTGTCTGTTCTGGAGTTTATGTTGACTGGAATTCTCAAGGAATGTCACTTTTCGTAAATTCAACAACGACAACCTAAAATGAAATCCATTGAACATCCGTTCAGCAATCTTTCACAGCACACTTTTGCAAATTTGTGTTTGCAGGTATTTCGCGTAGCGCGTTCCCCTGGGAAAAGAAACGCGTCGCGTGGTGACGAAGCAAATGAGCTTAATCTAGCTCCCCCACCATATCCAGACGTCCCCTCTACAAATACCCTTTCAACATGGCGAAACCAGGTTTGCAGCATTAAATAATGAAATTGCTACTAACAATGATATAGGAGTTGATCAATACCTAAAGCTGTACAATGTTTTGTCCAGTTTTTTGTGGATGAGCGTTCTTACACGCGGATTGTTGCTCTGGTACATCATCGGTGACTACCGGGCAGTCTTTCTCGGAACGGAAAGCTTTGTTCGATGGGTGCAGACGCTTGCAATTGCTGAAGTTGTGCATTGTATGATTGGTTTTGTACGTTCTTCTGTTGTTACGACTGCCATTCAAGTGGCTTCTCGAGTTTTGCTCGTCTGGGGTGTTTGCTATCCATTTCCGGAGGTTGTTCGTGATTCTCCTATTTACCTTAGCATGATCTTTGCTTGGTCTGTCACGGAGGTCATTCGTTACACATTTTACGCATGCAATTTGGCCAAGAATGTGCCTGCAACCTTGCTGTGGTTGAGATACAGTGCCTTCATTGTTTTGTACCCTATTGGTGCCGGTAGCGAGTTTCTCTTGGTTCTTAAGACCCTCCGTACTGCCGTTTCTTCATGGTTCCCGAACAAAATTATTTGGCCTTTGATTTTGGTTATTTATCCCCCTGGTAAGATGGACAAGGCCGAGATGAAGATGTTTCTATACTTGTTGCTAACACCCTCTAGGTCTCTGGCACATGTACACGTACATGCTTTCACAGAGAAGAAAGGCGATGAACGCCAGTGCTAAAAAGTGAAGCGGGAAAATGCCAATTTAAGAGGGTCTGGCTCGTCCTTGTATGCTACCAGTGAGCAACAACCCTTGTCATGATTATGCCGCACATAACCTTACCATTTTTGATACGCTTGCAGATAGGTTGATCCAGTAAGCATTGGCTTGGTTGGCCTCTTCATTTTTACTTACAAAAATACTTAATGGACATTTGTTTTCCCGCAAATATGGTCTGTTATTTTACTAATCATCAAAATAATGAATGCAAGTCGGCTCATTATAAGCAACTCCTTTTCTTGCCTTTTTTTTTGTTTTGGGATCACATACAAGCACATAAAGTCAGACAGTGCCAGCAAGTCATCACCGTCTTCCTCCGCGTGTCGGCAATGATGTACCACGCCCGCGGACAGCGGGTGTCACTTTAAACATTGGAGCATTCCTAAAGAATGTTAGTGGCCGTCGAGAGCGAGCTTCTTCGCTTCAATAAAACATACTTGAGCATGTCAGGCACAATTAGGAAACGAATGTGTGATCCTCGAATGTAAACTTGGTCTAAATGAGATACGCGACCATCACGAGCGGTGACACTGATGTCTTTTAACTGGCAGTTCATGTTGTCTTCAGCTAAATAGGGTGTTAGTTTGATCAAACATTGGCAAACACATCCACGGTATCAACGTCATTTGTTCTCAATAGGAACTGGCATTTTTCTTGCGATAAATCGTGCTTTTAACGCGGTTCTTATTAATCTTGTCTTACCTTCGATGAGTTTTCCACGGTAAGTTGCGCCGTTTTCTAATTCCATGGTGACAATGTGGCCTTAAACAGTCAGTTACACGATACATGTTTCGTTTTAAACGCGTACCTTGAGCCTCGTGCAATAGCTTGATGCACAACGACATTTTTGACGCTTTCTGTTGTGAGTTGGACGTGCCTGGTCTTTTCTTTGGGGGAGTTGGTCGCGCTCACCTTAGAGGCCTGCCACCTCGCCAGTGCAGCACATACAGTATCTTTCTCATCCACCAAACAGGTGTGAACCGTGGTGGACAGGCTTGGGTAACTCACAGGAGCAGCGTATGAAAAATTTGGTAATTCCCCAACTCAAAAATTACAGTTGGTACCGAGGACTTTATCAATTGCGGACTATTTTGCCACCGTCGATTTTGTTGTTCGTCAACGTATAGACATTATTTTTTTTTTTCGTTTCAATTGAATAATCTTGCATTTTGCTTTTTTAAAGTTCTTGGCTTTTCACGCTTTTGGTCTTTTTCCCTCCTCCAGTTGATATCGACATTTTTTTTAAAAGATTGTTAAACTTACGTACGCAATGGAGTCCTCAGAAAAGGTTCTGCTGTGTAAAAAATGCAAGGCTAAGGCGGTCATAGAAGCGCGTTCAGATGCCTTTTGCGAAGCCTGTTATATCCGCAGCATCGAAAACAAAATACGTCGTCAGTTTGAGCTGCTACGGCCAAATCTGGTGGACAAGTGCTCAAAAAAAGCACTGGTTTGCGTATCGGGAGGTTTAAACTCGATGGCTATGTTGGAAACGGTGTACTACCTTTCAAGCTATCGTGAAGACAATTATCGACCCATGTTTGGTGATTTGATTGCCGTACACTTGCAGTTGCCTACCTCGACAGTCGAAGAAGAAGACATGATCCGTACGGTCATTAAGCAAAAATACCCGAAATGCGCCTATGTCTATGTTTCTGAGCACGAATACATGTCTCAGTGTACGTACGTGAATGCTTTGGGTTCCCAAGTTCGGGAACCAGCTGTAAGCACTGCTGAGACCGAACAGACAAATTTCTTAAATGTCTCATCGACGACTTCTAGACAGGATCTACTTCATAGAATGCGTGATCGCGTGCTGTTACAGTTGGCGCATGAGAATCATTGCGACACTCTTGTGTATGGAGACAGCGCCAGTACGTTGGCAGCTAAAACTTTGGAGCTTGTAGCAGAGGGACGGGGACATGCAATCCCTGCATCAACAGGTGTGTGTACTCGGCCTGCTGTTGCTCCTGACGTTGCTATTTTGCGGCCTTTGCGTGAAGTTTTGGAGCAAGAGCTCCGAAGCTACATGGGCATGAAAGGCCTGCAGTTTGTGTCTCGGGAACTCGATTCACGACTGACAACAATGTTTGATGTATCGAAGAACTACTTTCTCAACCTTGGTGAGCAATTCCCCAGTCTCGTGAGCACAATTGTTCGTACGAGCGGGAAGCTCTCTGCACCTCAGGACGGCGTATGCTGTCGCCTATGTCTTCTGCCCATGCAAGAGAACACACATTCCTGGTTGAATAGTACGACCGTCCAGCATCCTACGAATCTTGAGCTGTCGGATGAAGCTTGTAAACAACAGAGGGACGACGTTTGTTATGGCTGTATGGTTTCGCTTGGTGGCTTGAAGGCGCCTTTAGCTTGGCCTCGGTTTGTAGCCAAGCAATCTTGAGCGAAAAAGTGTGTAAGGTTTTGAATTTTAAGAAGCATTTGATGTTAAAAAAAAAAAAAAAGAACGGATAGAAAAGGGAAAAGGAATAATTTGGGAGCTACTATAATGCATTCTGCTGTATTGAAACGGATTCGCAAACATAAATTGTATTTTTATAGACATTATAACTGGGTCATTGCACTCATATTTCGTGTGAGCTTTTTGTTTTACGTTTCTTGTATAAGCCTTTTTGAATGACAGTAGGTGGTTTTGCGAATTCTGAAAATGGGTTCCAAACACCACGAACAGAAGGATTCAATGATTCTACTGGTTGCTTGACAAAGCGAGGTTTCAGACCGTCTGATTCTGAGCACTGAAGTGCTTGTTCAAGAATATCTGAAGCCGAGAACTTTCGAGTAATGAATTCTTCGTTGCGACCATTTACTGAACTGTTAGCTAGAACACATTTTTTGTCTCTTGCCGACGTCTTCTCAACCATACCGTAATATGACTTGATGGATGGATGTTGATTAGGACGGTGAATAACATGAAACTCAATATCACCGTTCTCCTTCGCAAATACTTCTAGTTTTCGGCTTAAAAACTCTTTCATGCCTTCGGAACTACCGCCCCAATTGCAGTAATAAAAATCAATTCGCTTGCACTTAGAGAAGATTAGTTAATGAAACAATAATGCTTGTCCATACTGGCCGAAGAAAAGCACCAAGTCCGTTTAATGGTTTAGATATTTTTCGAACTGTTTTAATCATAGAAAGAAAAGATTGGTGTCGGTGATTTTTTATTTTCTTATATTTTTTTTTAAAAGAGAGGTATAAGAGAGCACCTTGTGAAAACAATAGAATAAAAATAAATCAACGGGTTTTATATAAACAGCGGATAATAATCATAAAGCACAGCTTAAGCCTGTTATAACGAAGGAAATTTCATTTATAAACTGTTACGGAAAGTGAGTGTATTTTGGTAGATCATTTTAAAATTAAAAACCAAAAAAGAAAATAAAAGAAAATAAAAGAAAATAAATAAAAAATTAAAAATCAAAGAGTAAAGGACAGCAAAGTAAAAATTGACTATGAAAGTAAATAGCAGCATCAATTGCACCAGAGAAAAGAACCCGTTATTTCCGGACGGGATTAAAAAAAACGATACCAGCAGTGATCGTGTTGATATCTGGTCCTTTCTTCCGTGCCGACCAGCGCCAACAAAATGGAAAATACTTCATGTACAGCGCCGTTACTCAATTTGCAACACTTGTTTTCGACGGACGTTGCCCAATTTCTTTAATATCGTTTTGTTTCTTCGTGTGCCCAACTTCCACTGTACCTTCGGTTTGTTTATTTTCGTGTCGCATGTATTCGCGTCTAACGCATGACGTCGTCATAGTGGAGGTGGGGGTGGTGAAGATGGCATCAACAAACTTAAGCTTATCAGGAGCTCCCCACATATCACTACATTTGTCTTAACCATACAAAACCTGCCTTTTGCCAGTTTTTATTTACGGACTGTGGACGTTATAAATTTGTTAAAGGTGCATCTATTATTGGTTAACGCGCAAAAGTAATTAAAGAATCGAATTTGGTACAGGCGTTTACGTACAGTTCGTTTTCGAACGAGCTTTTTGCGACGCGTTTTGCAATAAGTTTTTTTAACCCGTTTTTGTACACTTATCTATTTATTTATTTGTCTCTTGTCCTTTAGTTGTTTTTTATCTCTTCGTTTCTCTCTGTTTTTTCTCTATCATGTCGTTCGTTCTCAAAGACTGGAGTTCTCGCTTTTCAGACTCGTTCAAGGAACGTGCTGTGTCGTTGCTTTCAAGCACTTTAAACAAGGGAAGCACACATTCTATGATTGCCGATCGGATTACGGTCAAGGAGTTAAACATGGGCACAATTCCCCCCGATTTGGAAATACTTGAAATAGGGGACTTGGCTTCAGATCGGTTTCAGGGCCTTTTCAATTTGCATTATGCTGGTGATGCGTACCTCGTGCTTCAGACGAAAGTGCAGGCAAACCCCTTGTCCGTAAAACAGACACCTTTCCCTGGTCTTACCAGTCGGCGTGATATGCTTGCTGCTCGTGCGCCGTTGACGGTGCCCATGTACCTTCGGTTGTCCGAAATCAAATTAAATGGAATTGTAGTCCTTGTATTTTCGAGACAAAAAGGCGTCACAATGGTATTTCGTAATGATCCGTTGGAGTCGTTGAAGGTTTCGTCTTCATTCGATTCAATTCCTGCCATTGCTAGGTTTCTCAAACGGGAAATTGAGGTGCAGTTAACGTCGCTGTTCCAGGAAGAGCTGCCGGCCATTATATACAAATTGTCTCGGTATTGGTGTGCTCACATGGAGTCCCCCTTCAGCATGTCCTCTGTGATTTCTCGACCGCCATCCCAGCAGCGTGTTTCTCGTTCTGTTCCGGATGTAATCGAAACACCGCCTGACTACAACGAGTCGACAAAGCTTGACACGAACTCACCTGTTAAAATTGGACCACTTTCCACGACAACTCATCCGAATCTCCTGGCAATCGCTTCCCTGGTCACGTCTCGTAGAAGTCTTGCCCCCAACGCTTCTCCATGCATACCCATGGCCGTTTACCGTTCTTCAAATCTTGATACCCTGAACAGCCAGATAGTCCAAACGGAGGACGGTGCATTACCGGCATCACAATCTCCCACATTGCAGTTTTCCCGCTTGGAGAACTCCAATGAATCCAAATTTCCGACTCCGAAAAATGCCAGCGCTACTCCCGCTGCCTCCATCTTTGGTCATTCTGATTCTTCTAAACGGCGTCGTGAGCGGAAAAAGAAGCATCATTTTGTTAAAGTATTCAATAGGGCTTCTGGAGAAAAACATAAAGAGAAGGAAACCAAACAGGATGTTATAGAAAGTGCTGATATCAAAATCTCTACTCCTGCAAATGAATTATCGAAGATAAAAGATAAAATCATTAGTAAACAAGGGCAAGAACAATTTGCAAAGTCCTTGAGCCGGAAAGCTGCTTTGGACTTAGCGATGTTTTCGCATCGGGACTGTGCACCCTTTGCGATAAAGTTGAATGGACTGCAATGGTACATTCACTCAAAAGTTATGCTGTAAATGCAAAAAAAAATACGTCTGTCCTGTTCATGATTATCACCAGACCATTATTTAAACGCATCTGCATTTTTACCGTCGTCTCCTCCCCATTTGTTATTAGGGGTATGTATAATATAACACAATTTTTTCACCAAATGCACACATGCGAATATACTTTTAAACCTAATGTATTGTTGTTGCGAAGAATACTGATGTGCTAATACTACCTGCTTATGGTTGCCTCAGTGCTTGAATTGCGCTAGTGATAAAAATGCCGTGGTGAATAATTGAGAATGTGACCAGTGTTATAAACGTAGAGATCTTGTCTTCTCTGCGATGCGTGGTATTCTGTTTCTTGTCAGTTAGAACATAATGTTTATGATTTGCGCGTTTTCTCCAAGTATGGATTTCCGACCATGACGACCGTAGTTTTGAGGACGATTTTGTGCGCGTAAATCAGTGTATGCATCGGGAGCGCTTGGATCAATATCACGCTCGTTGTTCACGGGGTTGTTCCGCATATTTTGATCGAAGGATACGGTATTTGCATTTTCGTTTGAAAATGTGTTCATGGTCGCACTGTCCCACGGGCTTGGAAAAGGGACGTTCATGAAGCTATTGCTTTTAAAAATGTGTTCCTCGCTTAGAGCAACATTCTCAATCTCTGGCTTCAGTGACCATTCCTCCTCAAACTTCTTTTGGACTTCAATAGACTGAGGTTCAACAAGGCGGATCTGAACAGTCTGAAAGTCATTGTATGCGTTTAGTGTGTTTGCTGCAGTTTCGGTGTCCATAAGTCCTTTCTGTAGGAAATATGGGATAAGTTCGTCCGAATTTCGGATTGACTTCGTGTCATATATCACTTTAAGCCAATTCGCTGCCGCCTCTTGAATGTCAATTTCTTCTTCCATAAAGGGCAATCTAGGTCTGTAGCTTTTCACCGTTAATTCTTCCGATGATAATTTAAGTTGGTAATAATGTGCGCCAACATGTACAGTAAATCCATGATTAGCAACAACGCTAGTAATGTCCGATGGATCAATCATGTAAAGTATAGGAAGGCCAATTTTGCTGTCGGCAAATTCAGCAATGCCTTCATAACCGGACATCGTATTGTATTGGTAATACAGATAGTCTCCAAGCTTTTGCCAAATAAACTGCGTTGTCACAGAATCGAAAAACGAGCTTAAATAACAATGGGAAACAAGTTTAGACACAGTAAATACAGTATCTTTTTCCCAGACGCGTCTGTCTGCATCAGCACATTCAATCAAATAAGAAAGTGCATTTTTGTGATTATCATCAAACTCAAAAACAGAACTGAGTTCTTCATCTGCGAGGAAATTGGCGGTGCTTTGAACAGTTGTGTTGCCTTCTTGGAATGCCTGAGGTTGCAAAACTGTTGAAGAAGATTTGAAGGAGAGAATGAAATGCTGTATATGTTGAGCCAGTTTAACAAACAGCTCGACAATACCGAGAACCAAGGTGAATTCGCAAAGAATTGATGTAATGGAAGACGCACCAAATAACCACATGTAAGACATTACTGAAAACTAATGGCAGGCGACGTAAATGATGACTGGATAACAATAATGAACTCGTTTAACTTTTGAGTTTGTGGGGAACAGTAGTGTAATAGTTACTATTCCGTAGGTGATTCAATGAGTTACTCACAAGTAGAGAATTCTTTTAAACGGACCAAGGAACAAAAAATTGTTAGGGAACTTCTTGCTTTGATAAATTGGATGAATACCTGGTAAATATTGAGAGAACGGACCCATATTTATATTACTAGTTTGAGCTAATAAATTGCTTTCTGTTTACTCTAGACTGCACAGTGATGCAATTACCCGCTTGCAAAAATGGTTCTATACTGAGAGCTTTTCCAAAAAAATTGGCTCAAATAGAAAGACAACAAAGTTTGGGCTTTCAAGTACTCAATAAATAAAAACAATTCAAACAGAATACTGAAATTCAGCTTGTGTCTCTGAAAAAAGCTTCCGTCTGGATATAAACAAGCCGACATAATCGTCCATTAAACTTATCTTAACGGGTCGCCTTTTCGTGTTACCCTCACCCTTTCTCCACAACACCAAGACCCCGCATTTACCTAAACGGGACATGACATAATGATGCAGAAAATGTGCGGCTATGGCTGTAATAATAGAATCAAAATTACATTGGTACGCGAAAGAACGTAATTATGAGAAGATAAATTAATGGAAGGTTGCCGTGTAATCTACATAGTTTATTAACTTTCTGGGCAAGAAGCTTTTCGTCGAATAAATGGGTAAACGAGCAGTAGCTAAATGTAATGAGCGCAACTGATACTTTGTATCAATTCGTGAACATGGCAGCAGAAATAAAGAAGCGTAGCATGAATGTGACGAAACTATAAGGATACTGAACACTCTTAACACCAAAATAGAACTCGCGCAGCCTTAAGAACAACGCTCATAACAACGCAAGTGAGGTCCCATAATACAAGCGAGAAGGAAGAGACATATAAACTATTTTAACTCGTTGAAGCAATAGCTCGCCTCAGATGAGGAATGCAATACGTTGATTTGGTAAAAGAGGAGATGAGTGAAGACCAAGTGCAGTGATAATTAATTAAAGAATAAAAGTGTACATGACAGAAAACAAAACCACACTAAGGGCTATTGAAAAAAAAGAAAGAAAGAACTGGACAGAAACCATATGCGAACATGAAAAAAGAACCATAATAAAACATGACCTCGAAAAACTCGAGAATCCCCAGAAACGTTGTAATAAACTATGTCTGAGGCTATTCAAACCAAATCGACAAAAACTTATTAAACTGACTCGTAACCTAGGTCTTCCTGTAGCCTTTTGCCAGTGGATATACAGTACGAGACAATTTGACGACGGAATTGAATATCGCAATCCTTCATGCTTCCGGCAGAGGCACGAACGGTCAAGGCCAGCTTTTCTAAAACATTATTTTCCTTTGGCGTAGAAGCAACATGAGCAAAGGCATTGATGGTATTCCAGTAAACACAGAAACTGAGCAAATCAATGTCATAATCATCAGCGCTAGGCACACAAACACTACGCAACATGCGACGGGCATCGTCGGTTTCCCCCAAGCGGAGCAAAGCAAACGACAAAGCGCAGTGGATAGCGCAAAGTCGAGGATATGTAATGAACAAATTGGATCCCGTCAACCATGTGGCACCTTCACGGCTGTACGACGACAAAGTCGACTCATACGTCTGTAAAATCGAGGACAGATTCTCACGAGTTCTGTCTGGGAACCACAGCAACATTGCCAAAAGTGTTTCACGATGTACGAGCGAACCCTGAGGAACCATGGAAAGAACACGATCCACTTCACTCTTTCTAACTTCTTTTTGGAGGCCGGTAACCAAAAGCTTGTGCAACAGGTCTTCCGCATACCACGAGGCAACTGCATCCAACGGAGTTAAGACAAAGCTATCACAAATTTTAGGAAGCTGTCTGTGACTATCAAAGTAGCAACTGCTGCCAGCCAACTTCCAAAGACGTTTAACCATGGACGGCGTAAACACTTCTTTCGCGGTATTGCCCTGCATGAGATTGACTATATGGGTGGGTAAACGCTCGCCAGAATCATTTTTAGAGCCACTGGTCTCGTTCATTGCCTTTGCTCTTTGCCAACACCGTTCGGCAATGGCATTCACAATAGCAGAAGGAACGACCGTATCGTCAAATATGAGATGCACGTACATGGCTTGCAGCATCAGAGTATACACAGATGAGGGAAGAGAGAAAGATGAAAGATAGACAATGAGCATTCGTGTGCGGGAAATTTCGGTATCACCACCCATAAGTTGGGCATCCATCAAGTTCTCCAAGCCACGAATGTCAGCGAGCTCTTGTTCGCTGGGAACCGTGCTGGCATAACTCTCCAAAAATGTTTGCTGACGCAAAAGGAAGCAGAAAGCGGCTCTAACAGTCTGCCAAGAAAGCAAAACAAATAAGGAAAGAGATGATGAAGGAGTATGCGTAATGGTGCAGTACTTTTCAAATGACAATTGGCGGAAGAGCAAAAATGAAGGAGCTGAAACAGTGCTATGAACAGCAGCGCTCTGTACCTTTCCCGACGACACACCCTTTCGAGAGATACGTCTCCAAGCATCATACAGGAAGTATGAAACGGCTGAAGCAACCAATACAACCTTGAACATGTTCATCACCATAGGAATACTTGGTGGACTCGTAATGAACGAAGGAAGCAAGGGGAAGGAAGCTAAACCATACATGGACTGAGACGAGTCATTGCCAAAGTAGTTGAACAAGCCCAAACCAACCATGCCGCCCAGAGCAGCACGACCCATTGCATTCACCGTTGGTGACTGCATCATTCTGTGATGTGCAGGCTTAGCCTGGACGGGAATAGCGTTTTGAGGGGCCATGTTGTTCACGGGAGCCTGGTTTGCTGCAGCAGCAGCGGACATGTTGGAATCTTCATAATATGCTAACCGTTCTTGCAGACGCTTGTTATCCATGATGAGACTGCGGTTTTTGTTTTCCAGATGGCGGATGTACTCCGTAGCCTTGGCCAAGATTGTACCCTTGTTCAATTTCCGAGCAGGAGTCAGGCCTTCCAAATCTTCTTTGTCAGGAGCAGAGCCACAGCGAAGAGCAGCAGCAGCACGCAAAGATGGAACAGCATCGCGAAGTTCGCAAATGCGATCGTTCAGATTAGTGCGATACCGCTTCTCAATCATATTGTGAGCTGTTTTCTTGGGCTTATTCAAGCCCAAACCCCCGCTGGAGCCTGTACTGCCAGTACTCAATTCTCCGGGAGACTTTGAGCGCTTCATCTGGTCGAGCCCTTCAGGAAGTGACATATAAGGAACGTTACCAGAAGACTCGTTGATAGGTGAGTCTGAAGACGAATCATCATGCTTCCGTTTCCGTCCCAAATCCACATCATTCAGACCTTCGTCGCTCACATCTGCGTCTGGTTCTGTTTTGAGGACAGTAGTGTTCTCGTCTGCCGAGTAAGGAACAACATTTTGCGGCTTGCAAGCCTGCATTCTATGCATATTGGAGGGGTCAATGGTTGCTGCTGTCGCTGCACTCACAACCCGTTCTCCTCCTCTGTTCTCGTGAAACGTAGCTTGTGTCGCCGGAGCAACTACATTGTGCATTGGGTTTGCGTTTATCGAATTCGGAGCAGCCATAGGCACCATGTTAGTGTTAGCTGTGTTGCTGGAAATCGGAGCAGCAGACTCGGGGTTCATATTTGCTGTTTCTAGCATCACTGGATTACCGTTTCCCTGGATGGCATCTTCAAACACGAAAGGTTGCAACCAGCCGTTCATTGTGGACTCCATGTCTGACAAAGAGAGTGAATTGGGAGAATACGACGTATTGGTAAGAGTAGGAGGAGAGTCCTCGACAATTCCTCCAATGTCATGAAGCAAATTAGAGCACCGATTGGCAAATGGACTGTATTTGTTGTATTCACCTTCCTTCTTTGAGTTCATCTTGGACGAGTTTCCGTTTCCGTAATTGCTCTTCACAGGATTTACATTGCGGCCATCCTTCACAACCGTCACATTGGGATACATGGAAGACGATCCCATGTGTTCTGCTGACGCGGTAGCCATCGCGTTTGAGGGTCTTGGATGAAACTTTGATTTATTCCCTGGGACAAAAGAATTTCGACCACTAAGTTCTATTTCGGCCGGGGCCAAATATGCTGGATCCAGTACACCTGAAGGCGGCATTTGGGAGAAGTTATACTCCATGCTGCTAGGTTAGTAGATGTTAAATAGTACGATGGGGGTGGGCTGACACGAAAAAGAATCGAACGAGAAAAAAGCCGACTACAAAAAATGAGTTGATGTCATCATCACAAGGTGATTTGTTGGTGGTGAGAAACGGGAGTGCTTAGATAACCTTAAAAATTAGGCCTCGCTTAAAAGAAAATATTGCGAGATTGCGTTTTAGGTTGTCGGTAAAGACAGAGAGACAAAAGAAGGCACAAGCAGAGAAAGACAATTGCCGTACTGAACAACGCTGGACGGGTTCCGACGGCGGGCTGAGGGAGTGACGTATAAAGATATTACTCTCTCTTTTTCTTTTTTTTTTGTCTTTCTTTTTTTCAATAGTCCTTAGTGTGGTTTTGTTTCCCTGTTCAGAGTAGAACGCCCGCTTTCGTCCTGATCCTTCTGCTCGTCGTCGTCCTCTTCTTCACTCTCGTCATCGCTTTCCTTAGGTTCAAGTTCCTCCAAATCCTCCAGTTGGATGCGAGACATAAGAGGAGGAAGTGCAATATCACAGACGCGCTGCTCGTTAAGAAGAGCATCAACGTATTCATCCATATGCGTCAGGCCGTAACCATTCATATCAAGAGTGCGCAACTTGCTGTAGTCATTGAGAAGTGGCTCGAGGGTTTCAAAAACCCGTGCATCTTTCCATACAAGACGAATATAGAAAGCAGCTATAGCGCGTAAATACTTGAATTCGGTAGCATTTAAATACTGCAAAACGATTTCATCCTCTGGTGCCAATTGCAGAAGTTTGTACACGAGACAGATGAACTCGGTTGGTCGTTGGTGACTTGATTGGCCGCCAATGCATTGGATTTGAACGGCACGATCAACAAGCGAAGCAGCTTTAAAAAGTCGTTAGCCAACTACCCATTGTTTTTGGTGTTTTGGATCCCATCCTTGGCGGTGGTTCCTGCCTTAACAAACGTACCATTCAGTCCAAAGCACTGTTCCTTCCAGTAGGCACATTCTACGATCCGCTCTCTCAAAATTTTTTCGATCAAAAACTGTTTCGTGGTGCGTCAGAAACAAGCAACAAACTCAAACTTACCGTCGGATTCATCTCATGAACCGGCCCACCTTCTGACCGGTACACACGAGCAAGATAGTCCGAAGTCGACATCGTGATCGTCAGCGTTGACAAAGATCAAGACTATATGCAGTGTGCCAAAACCACCTGGGCTTTTCAGTGGAACCCGTCTTTCAAAAGGATGTCTTGGTGTAGCGTTTTTGGTGTAGCATTTTTAAGGTTATCTTAGCTGTTCGGTTAGTTCATGAGCCGAATTTTGCATTCAATGAAAATAGAAAACAGAAGGTTTTTGCGACGATAAGAAATAGAAACCGGGTGATTTCTGAAATGAATTATGGTGTGGATTTTCATGAAGGTGAAAGGGTATGAACTGATTCTCAAACGACATAGTTGGGAAAATCGTTTTACTTGGTGAGGATGGGCTGGAAAGCAGATGCAATAGTAACACGAGTGTCTTTGTCGGAAGTCAGGACGCCCCTTGCTTTTCACTGATCATGAGCAGTTGTAGACGGATTGTATGAACAGCATACTAAAGGTGACTTGACGTAGTTGGTAGAGATAGTCGTTCATAGTAGTAGGATTCACATTACATTCGCAGCATTTAAAAAGTTTTATGTCTCCGCTCAGTACAGTCGTTGGCAAGTACGATGTGTGTACAAAACTTCTTTTTGGCAAAGTTGTACAAGAATGTCGTGTCATAAGAATCCTGAGTGCAGCAACAGCCTCAAAATCTCCCTTCTGGAAATCCTCACTCTGCTCAAGAACCTTACGAAGATGTTCACCGCACCAAATTGCAACCTTGTCTCCTCCTGACCGTCATAAACAGCAAAAAAGTCGATAGCCTCCTCAACAGTTTCGTTTTCCTCTCCAATTCCTCCTCTTCCGTAAATCACATTCCTTCCCTTAGACTCTCTCCCCCACTTTATAGAACAAAATTATTCATATCGTGTCATTACATCGTCTAAGTAGTCGTAGTAATTAAATACGTAGTAGGATCTGTCGTAAACTCACAAATCATTTTCGAAAGTCTGCCGGCAGACTAACATCTATGTTATTTTGAGCAAACCATAAAATCGCTTTGCTCATGTCTTGAGCACGGCTTTCATGCAGTGAAGAAAGCTCACCCGCCAGGTAGGTTTGTGCGTAACGAAAAAGAACGCTTTGGTTATGATATCTCTTCTTAAGAACATCGTACCTCGAGGAGATCGCGACGTATTGCCTCTCGCGTCGTTCGGTCAATATTGAAAGACCCCAGATGTCTTGTTGCTTCTTCGAACCCTCATCCAGTTGTGTTTTTAGATGATCACACTCATCTTTCACGTCCATTATCTCTTCGAACAGAGTGCCCGCTCTTTCTAAAGCTTTCCGCATACCAGCAATTAGACTGCGACTCAAGTAGATGCGTTTGAAAAAACTGTTCGTGTGAGGGAGGAAGTAATCACTACAGGCTCGTTCCTGCAGCGTAGAAAGCGAGATTGTTCCCAACAACGACCGTTGTCTTTGCATTTTCAAGTACAGCAGCTCCAACACTTGTGCATGTTTGCGTCGCTCAGCAAACAACGCCCGCATGCTATCTTCTAGCTTGGCATACGACGCCTCCAATTGAACAAGAGATCGTTGAGCGTATATTAAAAATGCGTCCGTTTCGTCATTCAATTCCATAGCACTGTAAGTGCAGTGGATGTGCTCAGACATGGCCTGTTCGGCCTTAGTACTAGCTGACACGAGCTTCGCCTTTTCCAGCGAACCTGGAGCCGTCAAAAATTCGTGCAAAATCAGTTCCGTCTCTTTGCTCATATGGGAGATTAGATGGGACAGGTACATGTCCAGTCGATTAATATTTTCAAAAAGCACAGAGCGAACAGCGTTCATTGACAAAAGGCATAAATGTTTCGGTAACAGATTGCACTCCGGCAACCATGTAGCGGGAGAAGAACGCACGAGCGAATGGTGAAGCAGATCAAAATCAGCCTGAGAACGAAAAACCCAAAGCGGCAGTTTGGAGGGCGGGAGCACGGTACAAATTGCGTACAACACTTCATCCTCCTCTACGTACGCCGATAACACGCATGCTTGCAATGGTGTCTTAGCGACATTGGCAAAACGTTCTCGGACCACGTGGAACGCCATCTTGTTGGAAAGTTCAAAAGACTCATCTGATGGCAGTGGAATAGGAATACCAGGTTGTTCAAGTGAATTATTATACACATCAACTTTTTGTTCCAGTTCTTCCGACCAAAACTCCAAAAATGCATCCCAAACATTGCTAGGCTCATAGCGTTTGGCCAACGTGTGCATTGGAGTATCGCCGGTAATAAAGGCGCGCAAAGGAATTTTAGAGCGTTCCGTCAGTGCCTTCAGCACTGATCTGTCGGCGTCGAGTCCAAGTGTAGCGGCAAGATGTACCGCCGTAAGTCCCTGCCGGTTTGTGACACTATACCGTACCGCTGGATCTTCCAATAAACATAAGACTGCAGCTGTGTGACGGTGAATAATATGATGCATTAGCGGCGTGTTTCCTTTGGAGTCCTGCGCATTGACGATAGTTGAATCACCCGCGGCTATACCAAGAACCTTGCGCAGAAGTTTTGGTTCAGTCAGCGTATGCAAAAGCGTACGTCCTTTCTTACGGTCGATGTGGACTTTCAGTGTCCTTGCATCTAATTGTTTGTAGGCATTAAATACGGCCAGAAGCGCATCAGTAGACCGAGAGCGGGAGAGTCGCCAAAGAAGTGTTGATCCATTCACCGGATATTCCCAAGGAACGCGTAGCATGGGAAGCGCGGCAGGCAAGCCAACTACTGAGCGAGTAGTAATGGAACGGGCAACGTAGTCATCGAGCGCCGATGAGCCATCTGTGCGTGGCGTCCCTTCGGAAAGTCGATTAAGTAAAAGCGGAACAAGTTCTGTTTGCGAATGTTGAAGCAAAATACACAACAACGTGTCTCCACGCGCGTTCTCATCGGTATACAAAAAGTCGGCATCAAACAATTCGCACGATAGCAGACTCTTGAAAAGCGTGTATTGTTCATACCGCAGAGCGAGAAAGGGAAGCGACTCTGAGTACTGCGAACACCGTGCAAGCAGCACCTTGTGGTCGCCGTGTACCAGCTCACCCAAAGTTTGCAAACTTTTTCCTTCCTTTACCGCCTGCAACACCTGACCAAACATGTCACTCTCAGCGGCAAGCGTCTGTTTGTTGGAGAGCGCGTAGAAGCAGACTCCGGCGAGCGTGCTCAAAGCAAATTCCCCGCTGTCAGTTCGCGTTTCTCGCGAAGAGTGTCGACGAATGAAAGCAATGTTAGACTCTATGTTCACGAGGTCTGTACGAACGAGCGTGCACATGAGCATGGGAATGAGTGCATCGCCTCCGAGAGCCTCTCGATCCTTCGCCAAACAATGAGTAGCAGTAACAAGATGGTGCAGTTTTTCGAGTGGTGAGCGAGCTAGACCGATGAGATTAAACTCACGGACGGAGTCGGCAATTCGTTTTTCAAGTGTCGGAGACACCTCGGGCATATTCAGTTGCAGCAAGGTTATTTGTTTCATAGACGCCAATGCATTCCCGAGCTCTGCATCCTTGTCCCTGTATGCCTGAGTGTAGCGAAAGAAAACGAGTTCGTAAACTGATTCAAGGAGGTAACTAAAGCGGGAATATTAGCAAAAACGAAAGAAAAAAGAAAAGTGTCGCCCAGAGTCACTACTCGCGTGCAATGTGACATACCTTTCCACGGCACCCGTCACTTCATCATCCGTAGCGACTTCCAACAACCGTCTTTGGAGGTCCATGCTCAGGGTTGAGACGGCATCGATTCCTGCTTGGAGGTACGCATCAACGTCAGCGAAAAAGGTCTCATAGTCGCAAACTTCATCTTCAGAGGTCGTTTGTGACAGATGCACCTGGAGAAAATCATATGTAAGTTGTTCCAATTGAGGAAACAAAGCCTCATGCACCTCAGCAGCCAGAAACCGCAGGGAAGCCATTGAGAAGACGGAATTGGCTCGACGACGAGCGGGAGGGACCGGAACGGTCTGCTTGCTGATTTCATGTTTTGGTTCAAGGAAGGAAAGTGGTACTAAGAAGTCGTCGGTGAACAAGACGACAGGTGGAAGCTTATTTTCAGCCGACCTTACAACATAAGCGTCGCCAATGATACGCACTGTACGTTCCGTTCTAAAGCCTGCAGCATTAGCCAAGAAGAAAGACAAAAGGGGAAACGCAGAAACAGAGAGAGAGAGAAAGAGAAAGAAACAGGAGCAGCCCTTCGTACGAGTACGTTCACTTCTACTGATGCTTCAACTCATTGCGGTCACACTCGCCTCATACACACTCTCGTTCGCGACGCCTACCTTTTCCAGTGTGAATTTCGCCTCTAGTGACAACCACTTGTTTATTGTTGAGACAGGGGACTATAAAGTCATCACCACTTTGTACAGCAGCACTCACATGGAGCACATGAGACGCGAAAAAGTCAAAATCCAGCAGTTCGTCCTCCTGCATTGACAGCAAATCCTCGTACCCTGCCATTGCGGACGCAGACGGCGTCAAAAGCATCCATTCGTCTGTGGATCCAAGTTTCCGCACATGATGAGCGATCTGTTCGTGTTTGTCTAGAGAACGGTCCAAGAAGAAGTGAAGTTGCTGGATCGGTTGGTGCATGGAGATGGCACACGTTGTCGAAGAGAGAAGCTGACTGAGCAGGAGAAGCGACGTGGAGCGCGGCGCAGCGAATGATCTGTATGCGAATATAGTGGGTAGTAACGTAACGAATGTTATTTAAGGTTTAGCGAGCAGTAGCAAGATAGAGCACGGTGGAGGAGGAGTCTGGAGGAGAGTAAGCAGCGGCAGCAGCGCACAGGGAGGGAAGAGAGCTGGGAGGAAGAAATCGAGTCAGACCCTCGACACCGCTGTCCATGCCAGAGAAGTGAAACGAAGACTGAGACTGAGACCAAGACTGGGACTGAGCAGGACCACAACCACAGACACAACACACAAAGAGACCTCAACAGAAAAACAAAAAGCTACCAAACCTCCCACCTCGCCCAGTTTACCTTGCATAACACATCATCTATTGATCTAAATTATAAACTTAAGAAGTTTACAAGGTGTTGGTGGCATAGAAGTCCTCCAAGGCCTTCTTGACACGCTTGGTCATAGTCTTCTCACCCTCGAAAACCCAGACACGGGGGTCGAAGAACTTCTTGTTGGGCTTGTCAGCACCCTCGGGGTTACCAACGGGAGCCATGAGGTAGTCCTTCTTGTTCAAGACGTAGTCACGGATACCCTCGAGGTAAGCGTATTGGGTGTCAGTGTCCAAGTTGACCTTGACAACACCGTTCTTGATACCGGTACGGAACTCCTCGACGGAGGAACCAGAGCCACCGTGGAAGACGAAGAAGACGGGCTTGACGTTGTTGGTCTTCAATTGAGCCTTAACGTACTCTTGGTGCTTGCCCAAAAGAGCGGGTTGAAGCTTGACGTTACCGGGCTTGTAGACACCGTGGACGTTACCGAAGGCAGCGGCAATGGAGAAGTAGGGGGTGACCTCAGAGAGCTCACGGTAAACATCCCAGATGTCCTCGGGGGTAGTGTAGAGTTGGGTGTGGTCGACACCAGAGTTGTCGACACCATCCTCCTCACCACCAGTGATACCGATCTCCATCTCGATCCAGATCTTCATGGGAGCAGCACGCTTGCAGTAAGCCTTAACTTGAGCAATGTTCTCGGGCTTGGGCTCCTCGGACAAGTCAAGCATGTGGGAGGAGAAAAGGGGCTCGCCGTGGACCTTGAAGTAGGCCTCGTCAGCCTCGAACATACCGTTCATCCAGGGAAGGAGCTTCTTGGCACAGTGGTCAGAGTGAAGGACGACGGGAACACCGTAGAAGGGAGCAATGCTGCGGATGTAGTGGGCAGCAGCAATGGAACCGGCAATGGAAGCCTTTTGGCCCTCGTTGGAGGAGGCCTTACCGGCGAAGTAGGCAGAACCACCGTTGGAGCATTGAAGGATGATGGGGGAACGAGCCTCACGAGCAGCCTCCAAAGCAGCAATAGCAGTGGAAGAGGAGGTGACGTTGATGGCAGGGATGGCAAAGCCGTGCTCACGAGCGTAGGTGAACAACTTCAAGACGTTGTCGCCAGTGATGACACCAGTAGGAACGATATCGAGAACACCCATGTTGTTTGTTGAATCTGATGGAATATGCAGATGTGATGATGAATGGGGACGAACACTGATCCTTTTATACCCTCGAGGCAGGCTGGGCTCGGAAAAACCTATCAGCTGATTGCCACTGCGGAGCCGTCCTGGCCAGCCTGTAGCCAATGAGCGACGAGTGATTGTTCCGCCAGACGTCATTAGTGGGCATCGCCTAATAAGCGCGACCGTTGACATCGGCGCTCGAGCCAAAAACCCCGAGACTTTTCCACACCCGACGACGGCTGTCGCGTGTATGCATGAGCTCAGGAAGCGCGGAACTGGTTTCACTAATGACATTATGATGTTTCTATGCACGGGCATCTTAGAGAAATTGTTAACTAATGCAGTGGTGGCACGTTTTAGGGGGTGAGGGGGGGACGGATACGTTGTGACAAATTTTTCACCCGCGTCCGAACACACACTAGATGAAGCGCGACGGTGACGTGTGCATGATGACAGCGTGCAAAAGCTGCTTATCGCGGAGAAATGGTGTGCACAGATGATTTGTTGCATGTGCTGCGATTCGATCCATCTAGTAACCCTAAGACTCCGCTGCGCCAATAAGCGTGTTCCGTGCGTCTGGGTTTGCGAATAGCGTGCAGTATCGTCCGTAATAAGCGAATCTGGTTAGCGATGCTTATTTGCCCCTTCTCCGAGGGATGGCTCGGCTGCGTGTTCACGTGCCTTGTGAACCAACCAAGGATAAGGTTCGCTTTAAGCAGTGTGGGGTTCTCCGCGATGCCCGATCGTGGGGATGATGTCACGCGTTGTCTATTTTCTTGCTACAAGGGCGCCAGCGATGGAATGGCGCACATAGTAGCGAATGTTGGTCATTGGAGCAGGTCCACAGGGTGCACGAAGCTCGCCTGATAGAAGGGACGTTTAATTGAGATAAATTCCTTTGCCATGGGATGTGCAACATGCGCCCGCGTTTTTGTGTTTAATTGTGGTTGATTTTTCTTAATAGTTGGACTTGCGTTACCAACGTGTTCGGTAAGCAAAGCGAAAGATGGGCGACTATAATTGTCGCAAGTAAAGCAATTGTCTCGTATAAAAAGACAACAGATGTGAGTGAACAAGAATTGCAGACTCTGTATTTCCATTCAGCAAGTGTATCCATAACACACAGGGAAACCAGGGACAAGCGATCCGCCGATTTGTTTGAGAAACTGCATGAACGAAACGAAAAAGAGAAAGGAATTGAAAAGGAGAAACGCGAATATTTGTTAAAATAAGAAAAACCGAGAAAGAGTGCCGTTTAATAAGAAAAGATGAAATAATTAAAGAAAAATAACAGAAAAATAAAAGGAGAAAGTATAAAAAAAGAAAAAAAAAAGAGAAAAATACACAGGTACACGGGTACACGAGGATGCGCTCAGAATGATGTTTTCCAGCGCATTTAGCAATTACGCTTCACGACATTCATCATCATCATCATCAACAGAAGCAGCAGCAAGACTGCCCCGCCTGTTGCAAAGCGGGGCAAGAATTATGCAAAAGTCCGGGTCCATGGCTTTTGGACGACAGGAATTATGCTGCTCATACATCGAACCGTCGCAAACAAGCAGCCGGCGAATAACCGTTTAGAGACTGTTGGTAAAGTTGAGGATGCCATTCCTGGTGATAGGGCGAAAGGGGCATTACCTGCGGCATATTCAAACTTCGACTAAACGGTCCAGCGTAGACATTGGCTGCTTCAGGACTAATGTCCTTAAGCGAGGTGGCCGCCGTTGAAAGGCGCGTCGGCGTTCGCGGAGTGGATGCATACACAGACGTAGCTGTCGGAGCAGCAGACAGCGGCGGTGTAGATATTTCAGGTGCACGGGCTTGTGCCAGTGATGTCGGAGCCCAGGGCGACTGCGGTTGCAGCACCTGCGGTGTAGGAGGCCATGGAAGACCAATATGCACTTTCTTACCCGATTGCTGATACTGCTGCTGCTGCTGTTTCTGGACAGCGTAAAAACGCTCGGATATAAGGGGTTGCGGCCGGAGCCGTCGAGAGAAGGCCGGACAGTTTTCTACGGCGACGCGCAGCTCTGGTATGGTAATGCGTGTGAGGGGATTATGGTCGAGAATACGGTTGAGGAGGGTGTTGAGGGCATAGCTGATCGGCAGTATGGACTGGAGGAAATAGGGATTGTGCAAGAAGGTGCGGTACGTTCCATCGGTTTGGGCACAAGCGCGTTTCCAGGGATTCCGTTGGCAAGTAAGATTAATGAGGATGATCCCGAGAGCCCAAACATCATTAGCAGCCGTGGAAAAGCCCTTTTGCTGGGGTGTGGAGGCTGAGCCGTTCTGCTGTGATGGTTGAGGCTGTAGAGCTTGTGAGTTGGACTGTTCATTTTGCTGACATTCGGGCGACATGTAAAACAGGCTTCCGCACCCGTAATCCATCGACCACGACTCAGTCGTCGCCAAACCAAAATCAGCTAAATAGACTTTGGTGCTGTTATTATCAACGAGGATGTTTTCTGGCTTCAAGTCGCGATGATATATGCCTTTTGAGTGGCAATGCTCAATGGCGTCCACGATTTGCAGAAACACATGTTTGATAAGCGTATCATTTCCGGCGTACGCGTTTTTTTCCGTGATATGAGAGAATAGGTCGCCCTCTGGACAGTATTGCAATACAACATGGATTGCGTCGTCGGTGTCCAGCACACGGTATAACGAGAGAATGCTTGTGTGGGATTGGACTTTTGCGTGCAAGGCCAGTTCCCGGGCCTGTTGATCTCGTTGACTGGCACTAAGACCGGTCTTGGAAAGTGTTTTTACAGCGTATACGCTGCTGTCGTAAATATCAACGGCACGGTACACGACTCCGTAGGTGCCAATTCCGATGATTGCGACAATTCGAAGCCAGTCCCCGAGAATCAGACCAATTCTGTCTTCCGGTCGTAAATGAAGAGCCGGATTCATTTCTATGTAAGCCGAAGCTCAATATAGTTTGATGAAAACACAGTGGTTGTGAAAGTGTGTTAAATTCACAGAAACAGTATTTGTCGCACAAATCCACCACTTTCTATAGCGTTTACCAGATAAACAAGACACGTTACACGTATAAACGAGGGGTAACTGTTGAAGAAACCGTCAGAAATACCGCAGGTCGGTCACGAAACCTTTTTACGTCAACAAACACACAACCGCTAAAAACAAACACGGATAAGCTCTATACGTTTCTGACCCCAACGAGTGTTTTACGTCTTCAGTATGCGACCAGCACAGAAAACACAGGGCCAAAAGCTTCGAAGGACAGCCGTCTGCGGTTAAGAAAACACGTCAAACAAAGGAAATGAGCTTGCGAACTGTGTATCAAGGCCGTCGAGCACTCCCACAGACCTCAATTACACAAACAAAGACGGAAGGATCCTTTTTACGCGTCCTTCAACAGTTTTCGAGCACAAACTCGTGCAAAATCCGGGAATTGACGGTGGTGGTAGATGAAGAAATCTGAACGCGGGCTACACGTAGGAGACCCAAACAAAGGAACTGCCATACTTAGGTTGCAGCGATCGGTTAGGGAAATAAGGAATTGCAAGGAGAAATACGGATAAGGGCGGATTAATACTGTATTGTGCAGCACATTTCAGTAACTAGATTAGTGTAGATTACAGAAAGTTAACGAACACATTGATAAGTCTCGTAAAGTCGGTTTATTTCATTTAACGCGCCCGTACATACTGCATTAAATTAAGCTCAGTTAGTACCCTTACTAGTATTGCCCTCCCTATATTGGATCTTCTCCCATATCAAATGCAAGCTCCAGAAAATGGCCGTTAAAGGCAGTAGAAGCGGATTGAAAATGTTACTGACCGCTTTAACTGCCACTGGTGCTGCCGCTGGCCTCTGGCTGCTTATACAGCCCTCACAATCGCGAAAAGTCACTGGCGACTCAAAGGTCGTCGGTCTTTACAACGCAACAGGGAATGATTGCTTTATTAATTGTATCGTTCAAGCATTAGCAAGTTTAGAATCTCTTCTTGATGTACTCCGTTCGCGTAAATCTTTTACTCCATTGAATGAGGCTCTCGAGGAAATCCTTCATCTCTTGAACGGACAGACAAACAGAACACAGAACGTGAACAAACTTGTCCTCAAGCTGAATTATGCCATTGGACGGAGTATACAACGGTCTCGACAACAGGACGCTCATGAATTTCTTCAATGTCTTTTGGAAACTCTTCAGAACCAACCTAGAACAACGCAGTTTCAAGCTTTAAAACAGTGCTACAAAGTACCCTTCCCATGGCCATTCATCGGACGCATGAGGCAGCGTGTCACATGTGGTCGCTGTCTATCTGTCAGCGACACCTATTTCAGCACATTAAGTTTAGAGCTGTCGCTTCCTCCCGAAAGCATCAGTAAGAGCTGGAACAACTTGAGTTTGTCTCAATTGCTACAACAAAACGCATCCGACAGCATTGAAGGGTACCACTGTACCAACTGCTCTAAAAAACGCCGAGTCGTAAACGGTAGCACCGTTGAGCCAACATCATGCACGCGTTCCCTAACTTGGACACACCTGCCATCCATTCTAATTTTGTTTCTACAACGCTCCTACTACGATCCTCATCGGGGTCTTGAGCGAAACAATTGTCGGATAAACTACCCGCGTAAGCTGCATGCCTCCGATACGGACGCTCGATCTTACGTGCTGAAAGCTGTCGTTGTTCATAGAGGCAGTCCTTCTTTTGGTCATTATTCGTGCTACCGCACAGCTCTGGGCAGCTGGTGGCTTACAAGCGACTCACAAACTCGTAAAGTGTCCATGTCCTCTGTGCTCGATCAGAGCCAGAAAGTGTGTATACTGTTTTACGAACGGGAATCTTTCATAGCCGGAGTCGATCCTTAAAGGCAATGAAAAGCTGCATTAAACTGTCACATGTCCTACTTTTTTGCTCCTACTATTTTTGTGTATCCATCGTATCTGTCGACGCAGCCGTTGTCTCTAAGGCAGCGAGATTTTCAAATGGCAGTTTGCTTTTGGCGGCCAAAGTGAACCACGACAATGCAGCAGATTCACAAGGGCAGTGCCTGTCTCACTCTCGTTTGTACCATCACTCAATCTTCATTCACTCGCCAACGACCCATCCCAGCTTTACAACCTTCCCCAACTATCCCTAACTCTCTTGTCCATCGTTTCAACCCAGTCCAATTTGTTTTGTGTTATCTTTTGTTTCGAGGAAGCTCTTCCTGAAGGTATCGTTGCTTAACGAGCCTCGAATTGAACCATACGTTTCGTACGCATCTTGTACATCACACGGTGACCACATTCACGGCAACGAATGACCTCCTTGGCTTGGATGGAGTTGTGAGCACCACAATCTACATTTCTGTCAGCAAACATTCTCCAAATATGACCATTTCTGAATTTACGCAAAAAACTTACCAGCACACAAATAAATCATGGTAGCAGGTCTAGGAGCGCTGAAACCAGCAGCACCGACAGTGGAAGGGTGATATGCGTCCTTGTTCATTGTGATATTTGTGCAAAATCGCTTTTTTTGTTTTTTGGGTGGGTTTGCTTGTGGCAGCTGGTGAAATCTCCGAGCAGTCGCCCTAAGAAGGCAAATGGATGATTACGAAAACACACAAATGACCATCATTCCTCAAGGATTGCAACCACTGTGTGCATCAGAAACGGAAACAGTTGTTCAGTTGGCTTAATTTTGTCGATGTGTCTTGTTACGTTAATTGAACTACTTGGAAATGCCCAAAATTAAAATGTCGTTGTCTAAAAGCTGTTTAATTCATTAATAACTCTTTTTGGAGAGCTGAAACAACGTGAATGTTGATGCTATTTCCTAAAAGCCGGTACATAGCTTTGTCACTAGCACCGCTTGCTTGCCATGTAAATTCTTCAGGGAATCCCATAATGCGAGCTATTTCACGGACGGTAAAATACCGCAAACACAGATCATATCTGTTCTCAAGGAATGCTTTCTTGATGTCTTCGTGGTCGGACATCTGTAATACAGAACCGGAGCCTTGAACGAGATGTGTATATCCCCGTGTGAAACAACAAGAATGTGTGTCACTGGGTTTCACTATGTCTAACTGATGTCCGTACTTTTGCAGAATATCTACTGGAACAGAATGCTTCTCCATATTGACTTCCTTGTCCAGATAATTATTTATTGGTCGGATTGTCTCCGCCTTATCAGGGAATGACAATTTCGGATTCCACGAATTCTCGATTTCATCTCGCTTAAGACGCGCCAGTCCATACCAACGAAGTCTAGAATTTGGAATGCCAATTTGAAACGGACTCAGCAAGACTTCGTGAAACACATAACCGCTGGCTTTGAGCACTTCCCGACACTTTTCTGCCGTCCAGCTTGTTTCAAATCCAAAAACGTTTTCAATAAATATGAACTTCGGTTTGTATGAACATGTCGGAAGGATTTCAAGTACATGCAGAAACGCTGCCGCCCTTGGATCGGCATGACCCTGTTGCTTGCCTAAGCGTGTGTAAGGTTGACAACTAGGACTTAGTGTCCATAAATCACAACGTAAGGCATCTAATTGTTCCTTCGTCAATGTTGAAATGTCATACTTTCACCTTATGTTAGTTAATGTTACTTAAACCAATATTTACAACATATTCATCATACATGCTTTGCGATTTTGCCAAAGTTCTCATTGTATATTTGGTTGGCAAGAGGATTAATATCAACAGCTAAAACAACCTTGAAATCTATGTTCAATTTTTGTAAAGCAAAGTGCATGCCCCCAATACCAGAATACAATTCTAGCACACGAAGTTGTGATTTCTTTTCTTCCATTTGATTTCTATGAAATTTTAATACAACAGGGCCCAAAAATTTACCAGCACAATCTTTTTCCAATAACCCAATCCTGGTTTTTTGTTGTGACTAATTCAAAAAGCGTAAAATTTTTTACAAGGAGATAGAAAATAATTTAGAAAAAAAAACCCGACTGTCGTATTATTAAACGAAAGTATATCAACCTTCAAACCAGACTATTCTTCCAAAATAGCCCTTTCTTTGCAAACGTTTGTTATAAAAAAGTATCAATTAACATAATCATAAAACCCAAAATAACACTGACAAAAGTTCCTCAAGTCTGCCTCGATTGGCAAGACGTATCTTTTTTATTTCCCGTGTGTGTAAAAAATGATTGTTCGTACAACGAGAAAGTCTCCAATTCTGAGTAGAGACAAGTTTTATTTCTTTCTCGGCATGCCTTTACGGCTGTCCTGAATGTTTTCGGGCTTGAAGTAATGGGGACTAATTTCCAAAAGCCATTCCGGTTGTATTTCCATAACCTGTCGACAGTACTCCTTACTTGTGAGAACCAGTTCATAATAGATAATAAACTTTGGTCGCTTTTCCAACATAGTCGAGCTTGGATGGATGAATACAGTTTGTCCGGTTTTAATAGTTCGATATGAGTCACCCGTACGCTCCAGTCGGGCAGCGTTGCAGAAGTAACCTGCTAATAGTGCTTTTTGAATAGGTTCAAACGAGTCCAGGCCATTGCCAACAATCTCAATTTCGACACGATCACACAAACTAGCAAGTTGATCACGGACATCGCGGGCACGGCAGAGACTTCGATACTGCAAAAAGTTTTCTCGTGCCCAGGAGTAGGAGAAATCGGTATCCACCCATTCGTTCCATATATGCAATAGCGTGAAATGGTCACCAAGCGGCTGCGTGAAATTGGCCCGACACTTGTCTGCTTCCATAACTTTATCGCGTGGTCTGTAAAATAATGATGATGATTCCCCAAGCATGGCAACGACAGAAAGTACCTCTTCTACACAACCATACATGGAAGCTGCGATGAGTGATTTGGAAAGCATTGGATCGGCTGGGAATTCAGCTATTTGACGGCCGAGTTTTGTTAACTCACCTTTACTGTTCAAGGCACCCAATGCATACAGCAACTCAAGAGACCGCATAAGTGTTTCGGGGGGTGGAGCATCCATAAAATCAAACTCAAGCAGATTATTGATACCCAAGGACTTGAGAAGCAAAACGATACTCGTCAGATTTGTCCGCTGAATTTCGGGCGAAGTTGAAGCCTCAAGCTCATTATTATATGTCCACCGTGTATACAAACGGAAACACTTACCAGGGCCAACACGACCTGCACGACCAGCGCGCTGATCGGCCGAAGCCCTGGAGCATGGAACAGTCACCAAACTTTGCATGCCCGTCCGCGGATTATAAACATCTTCTTTCACGAAACCGGGATCAATAACAAAACTCACGCCGTCAATAGTGATAGAAGTCTCGGCGATATTTGTCGCCAATACAACTTTCCTCGCACCGGGAGGGGTAGGTTCAAAAATTTTAGATTGAAGCTCTGAAGGCAAATTAGCGTAAATAGGGCATATAATCATTTCCTTTATTTTTTTCCCAAGAACGCGACAAAGTTCTTGGAGGTTTTCCGACATTAACTCAATTTCATCTTGACCAGTGAGAAAAACCAGTATATCACCACTTTCTTGCGTAGTGTGGATTTGTAAGACAGTGGTAATGGCTGCCTGAATGTAATTTGCTTCAGGCTGAGGGGTATAGTATATACTCACGGGATATCTGCGACCAGGAACATTATAAATAGGCGCGTTGTCAAAGTAAGTCGAGAACTTTTCAGCGTCAATGGTTGCACTTGAAATCAGTAATTTGAGGTCTGGTCGAAAACGCGCAATGTCCTTTACTAATCCAAACAATATGTCTGTATGGAGTGTCCGTTCGTGTGCTTCATCAATAATAATCACCGAATAACTTTCCAAGTCTGGCTCAGTAAGAAACTCACGTAGCAGCATACCATCCGTAAGGTATTTAATACAAGTCTTTTCAGACGTATTATTCTCGAAACGAATAGTATAACCAACTTCTTGACCAAGACGCACATTCATCTCCTTTGCAACTCGTGCAGCAACTGACATCGCGGCCACACGACGAGGTTGTGTACAGCATATTTTTTTCCCTCCATTCGTATAACCAGCTTCGTGAAGATATTGAGGAAGCTGAGTTGTTTTTCCTGATCCCGTTTCAGCCACGACAATAAGGACTTGATACTCTTCTATTGCTTGCAGTAAGCCATCACGGTGCTGGTAAATAGGCAACGACTTGCGTGTCTCCTGAAGAGTCTGTCGTTGAGCTTCTTGCATCTTTCGAGCCAACTCTTCAGGCGAGACTTGCTGTCCTTCTGGCGGCAAACGTTCATCCAACATGAAATCGATTTGTTGCGACTCGTCAAAGACAAAATCATATTCCTCTGAAGCAACTGCGGGCTCAGTAGAAGTACCAGGAAGAACACCCTTGTTAATTTGGTACCGCTCCCACTCATCTAATTCGGTCTCATTCTTCCCAGACTGATATGCCTTTTCATTGTCCTCACGTTCCTGATATCGTTGATACAATACGGCTTCTTTCCGTTTGAGATCAAGCTTTCCTTTTTCCGTGAAGTAATCTTCGGGCATTTGATACTCGTCCGTTGACGCACTAAGCTTCATACGTTCTTCCGCCAGTCGAAGCAACTCCTTCTTGCGTTCCAATTCTTGTATTTCGCGCTTCGTCAGTCGCTCGCCAGCAAAAAGTTTCTCTTCATCCTGAATTTCTCTACGAAGAATTTCAAGACGCTGTTGCTCACGCAGCTTGAGATAGTTACGTCGTGAAACTTTTCGAAGTTCTGGTATTGCTTCTCTCAAAGCATCAGGGTCGTCAACAATTTTTTTCAGAGACTGTTGTTCGGCACTTAATTTGCTTGAATGATCCTCCACAAACTTTTGTGCTTCTCGTTCAACGTCGCGTTTCCGTAACCGCTCTTCGAAGTCTGCGCGTTCTTGCACATCACGCTCTCCATCACCTTCATCAATTTCGTCGAGCGACGCTCTGGTGAATTGGGAACGAGAGCGTTCCGAGCCAGCACGGTCATCATGCTCCCTTGTATGACTATGTGAGGAAGCAGTTTCTTCGTATTCCTCATCATCACTTTCCCATTCTCGCCCGTCTCTGTTTCGACGAACACGATTTCGTGCGTTTGAAGATTCCTCCGGGCGACGTTTCTTAATCCGCTTAGTAAGATGTGTACTCACTTCGTCAGGCTCTTCTTCTAATAATTTATAGGAGGAGTTTAGCATTTGTGCTTGTCTTAAGTCGCGTTCCCTTTTTTTCCGTGCTTTGTAATCGTCCGCCGAACGCTGTTAGGTCAATAAAAGTTCTTATATGAATCATTTGTAGCATACGTTCGAAGTTTTGTGAGGCACTCTGTGAAACAATTCCTTCGCGAAATTAGAAACGGCAACATCCGAACCTGACATTCCAAAATCGACAAGTTTTTTGTACAATGAAGAAGCATCGGACGAACTAGAGGCTTTTCATACATTTAGTAAAGTCGTTTAGATCGAAAACACAAAGATTGCATACCTTCTGCAATGATGTACTCAGCAACGGACGGCTCAGACATCCCTAGAAGCTAATTCTTCGTTAGTAAAACGTCCTTGGCTTAAACAAACACTTACGGACATGATTTTGTCCGAGACAAACGCCTGCAGAGACATATTGACGCGAATGTTGGGTATTGGCAGAAATTCGCGTCAACCGTGTCGCCGTTCCTCTTTACCCTAGTGCGTTGTCGCATTTTCCTTCCACGTGGCAAACACTATTTCTTAAGCGAAAACCATGACGTTTACCCACGATGACGTAAACATCAACACCAAATAGATGCCAAAAGGGCCCAGAGGGTGCTAGCAGAAACACAGAAATACAGCTGAAAGGATCAAAATTTAAGACATTCAGAGACGTGTACAAGTACGTCCAACTCATCTCATACAATCCATACAAATCTTGCTTTTTCTTTCGATAGTTCCTTGACGAAAAACTTCGCTGAGGCTCTATCGTAACAACTTAAAACTGGTTTTCCTTAGCTTCAAGTTAGTTCGTCTCCTTCCAAGAACAGCTTTACGGCCCCATAATTTCCTCCCTCTCAGCCGCAGGTTACAGGGACTACAATTTACGTCTTTACGAAACTTGTGTTTTTCTAAAATGGACGACAAAACCTACGAAGCATTCCTAGAGGCTGCAAACGAGCCAAGAAATACGCATCCACAGCCTAAAGCAGCGCTGCCTTCGAAATTGATGCAAAGTGCCAACTTTCCCTCCAAAGAACTGCACACCAAATTGAGTAAAGCCGTGGAGGGAATCACTTACACAAGTGAATCTGACGAAGACTTTCATCCAATTTTTCTGACTACACTTCCCAAGGCCTTGGTTGAAATTCCTCGGGATCAGTTTGATGCCGCGAACAACTATGAGGCCGTCGTAGAAGCCGTCAAGCAAGCTGCTCGCACAGCTGAAATTCACTTTTATGAGGCAGTGGACACAAACACAAAGACCATATACTACGTTCTCGCCAAGGTGAACGATGGCTGGGTCGGCTTCTCAACTATGGGTGTCTTTACATGAGCCGTGGTATGACAGCAAAACACGAGAACAGCATGACGGATCGCTTTCTCTTCTCACTAAGACAGACACGTTTCACAAACGTGTAAATAGCAGTTCAAGAATAGCTAGTTCACGCTTTTTCGCATTCACAAATACATTTCCATAATATTAACACGGTCATCAAGTTAGCCACAGAAATACTGTAGCATTCTGTAAACGTCTAAGGGTTTGTTTTCAAAGTGGTTTGTTCTGCACCGTCGGTTGCAGCAGCCGTGGCAGCAGAAGATGAAGGAGCGGGTGCATTGGGAGCGCTCGTGGATGAAGGGGTGAGGTTGTTATTGCTGCTGCCAGAATTGCCATTGCTGCTTGTGTGGTTTGCGCGAGTAGGCACCGGCTTTGGCACATTGCCCGGTTTGGGAATGGAGGTTTGAGAGGCCGAGTGATTCTTACCGACGTGGTTACCCTTCTTGCCATAACCCATTGGCGAACGCTGTTGGTAGTTGTTGCGACGCGAATCATTTCCTCCCTGGTAACGATAACCCATCATGCCTGGATTCATGGGGTAAGCACCGTACATAGGTGGCACACCATTCATTCCATAAGGCGCAATTATGGGTACACCGGTAGGGGGTGCAACAAAGTAACCAGCAGGCATTCCCCCAGCAGAGGATCCGTTACGCGGTTGGGGCGGGTAAGGCATTCCAAACTGGGGAATGAGCTGTGGAGCGACATAACCGATCATAGGAGAGGGCACACCATTAGGCATAGGAGCAGCCGTTGGAGGCACAGGAGAGCCACCATTTGGTCGAACAAACTGAGGAGGTGCACCAGGACCTGCGGCATAAGGGCGGAATGGGTAACCGATGGGCATGTAGGACATTCCAGGAGCGGGGAATGGGCCCATGGGTTTCACGGGCTGCATACCAGCAGGAACGGCAGGAACTGCGACATTCTCCACTACGGGAGAAACACCAGCACTAACCTCTTCAGTCTTCAACTTTGATGTTTGAGAACCAGCCTCAGATGAAGCGTTGGAAGGAGCACCAGTTGAGGGGGCAGTAGCAGGGGCTTGCTTTGCCAACTCACGTTGAAGAGTAACATTACCGTTATTCCATGTCGGAGAGCAGACACTGGGTTTCTCAGAAGCCTCCTTAGCGACCGACGCCTGGGCGGTCTTGGTTGCATTGAAGTCTTCTGAAACGTCCCCCTTCTCAACTGTTTCCTCATCCTCCGGTGAAGCAGGAGGAGTAAAGAAAGTAGCATTAGGTGCAATAGCTGCAGAAGCGGGCACCATAGGAGGAGGGACAAAGTAAGGCGGCATCATCTTTCGAATTGGTGAGACAGGGTAACCAATGGGCGACTTGGGCATTATGTGGGAAGATGCTGCGGGGACAACAAAGCCTGTAGGCGAAAACACAGGTGCATTCGTATGGGGTTTGAAGGACGCAGCCTTAGCATTAAGCTTGGTAGTAGGGCGAGTCGTTTGGTTTTTAGAGAGAGGTGTAGGACTGGGGGCAGATGGAATAGTGGCAGGGACACCGTTCTTACGCAGCTCAGCAATCCGTGTCACCAAACTCTCCTTCTTCGGTGAAGCAGCGCCGACGTCAGCGGTTCCGGGAGCAACCGCCTCTTCTTTACTGGCGAGGGGATGCGCTTCTGAGGTTTCTTCCTCGTCAGCATGGGCAACAGCGTTCTTCTCCGTGTTGTCTTGAGCGGCCTCTTGAGCGACTGGTTCTGTAGTTGTAGATGCAGCAGGCTTCTTAGCCTCCGGAGCGGCAGATGTTCCCTCGGCGGGCGCGTCGGTCTTTTCAAAAACCGCAGATTCAGCACTCGTGGAAGCATCCGAGGGCTTACCGGCGAGCGCATCCTTCAATATAGAACTACCCTTAGTGGTAAAAGATTCATGAGCAGCAGGGCCTGGAACGGCAGAAGATGTAGACATCCGGGCAGCAGTAGAACGATGCGAAACGATTGCTGGATCGTTAGGCAAAGCCTTCTGCTTACCAGAGGATGTTTCAGATGAGCGCCAAGCATTGTTACCAGTGTTGGGACGGTTGCGGTAGCGCGAAGCGTTGGCATCCTTGTCACCAGCACTCGGTGTTTGACGACGTTGATACGAGCGAACGACATCAATGGAGCGGTGCACACCAGAGTAAAGATCTTCTTCATCAAGGCCACTATCGTCTATCCGTAGACCACGCTCCTCGGCGATATGCAGGTTCGTAGCTGTAGACGATTCGATTTCACGGGCAATACGATCGGCCTCCTTTTCACGCTTTTTGTAAAGCGGATGAGACTTATCGATGGTTGAAGTGTATACTGTTTCGTCAAATTTGGACTGAACACCAAAGAGTTTCTCGTTGACGGCGAACTGATCCCAAGTGCTTGCAGTAGTAGTGGACGCCGTTTCCTCGAGAGAGAGCAAAGGCTCGTTCGTATTCGTCTCCTGCTCCGGGACCCAACGACGCAACTCGCGGTGCCGGCGTTCAGACGACTTTGCGTGCAATGAAATTTCCGTATCTGTCATCCATTTCTGTTGCGTGGAAGCCGAGTCAACGGTCGAAGTAGACGCGGACGCAACGGACGGTGTTGAGCCATTGGTAGTAGCAGTAGCGTCCTTGGCCATTCCAACACGGGAGGCGATGGAGGCACTAGCAGTGCTCGAATTGGAGCTGCGACTCGTAGTACGCGAAGCAGGCTTCTCACCCGGCGCATTGTTGGCCTTGTTCGAGCTAGCAACCGAACGTGAAGCAGCTGACGAAGCAGTGGATGCGACGGACGCGGGGCGAGAGTTTTCGGTCGTCGGCTTCTTCAGTTTGTTAGCAGCAGCAGCGGCTGCTGCTGCCTGAGCAGACATAGCCAATTTGTTTCCACGGGCTGCAACCGTCGACCAGCTCCGTGCCGGAGCGAGGGACGACGGTTCAGACTTCTTCGGCTCAGCAGGTTTTGTCTGCGACGAAAATGCTACCATCTAAAGAGTGTTTAGAGTTTCCTTGGATCCTCTTTCAATCCCTTGATTTGCTACCTCTCAGTAGTTTACTGAGACGAAAAGCACACGACCTGGTGGAAGTATGAAGTTGGCTTTTTGGTGGAGTGCGGAGCGTCCGAGGGAGGGGAGTATGCAAGTACTTACGACTAAGTCCTTGTATAAGAAGAGTACGTCCGCAAAATCAGATGCGAACTGAATGACAAATGCAATAACGCGTAGTGTGTGGACCGCACGAAATGTGGGCAGAGTTGAAGTAATGACAACGAAAAAGAGAGTTTACTGATCCACTGACCGTACACGTGCGTCTACGCGTATGTGTGTGTGAGAGATGTGTTTTATATGAATGAATGTGTTCGTCTACTGGTGTGAGTAAAGAATACAAGGTTGTCTCGGGAACGAACTTCGTACTCAAACGCAGGTTGGAACGGTTCCACGTGTGTATAAAAACTCAATTCTCAGAACGAAGGTTTCCAGAGATTGAGAAACAAATGCAACTGATGAAAAGGATGGAGTAAATTCAGAACGGAAATACTTTTCAACTCTGCAGGGGGCCAATGGGCGAGTTTGTCGCAAAAGTCGTAGAATGCTTGTCGGCAGGCGAGAACGGTTAAAACGCGACACTAGAGGGCGTCGCGACGTGTGGAGAGGGGTGAATTATTGCTTTCGGCGTGAGAAGGCCAGTCAATTCCCAGCGAAAAGAAGTACGAAGTCGTGAATAGCTTCCGAAAACTCAATTGCTAGTGGAATACCGTGAATACCACGTCGTCGTCTCGCGTCAATCACGAACTACAAAGTTTCCGAAACACTGCAGCAAGGAATTGGAACGCGTTGACGGTCAACACGCTTAGGGGTGCAGAGATAGTGTTTGGGAGAGGGCAGGTTCAGAATGGGCTTCGGATCCTTGTTGTTCAATCTCAAAGGTAATAAGCGAGCACGTGAATGACGTAGTAACAGATTTCCATATACTCAATTCAGCTAAGCGAGCACGTGCCGTGGTGCTCTCGACAAGCCGATAGATCTTCGTGATCATCGGATCACCACCACACACACAAAGACGCAGATCCACTTACCGCACCAAGGCGCAAGTGCCTACTGTGTCACAGCTACGCAGGTCAGACGGGAGGCGGAACCGCCGGCTGACGGCCGAGCAGTGAAGTATCAGCAACGACAGCAACGACAGTAGCAGCAGCAGCAACAGCGTCTCTACAACAACATCAACCAAGTCTGCACGCACGCGACTCATCACGTCCAACAATGGCACGGCTACATCTCCACCCGGCATTCGTAATGGGTTCCATTTTTATTATAGGTAAGCTTGAGGTGAAGGGGCGAGCGGTGAATAAAATGAGTTGGATGCGGTGCATGGATAAAGGACGACGACATTGTTGGCTGGGAATGTCGAGTAACGACAAACGTCTGGCAAGAACAGCCTCGGCAAACGCCTGTCAAGTACGAACGAGCATGCACGGGAATAGCTCCTCGTCAGTACCAGAAATCCAAGTCTTTGCTCCACTGCCTGCTTACTAACACATACAAAACAGGTGGACCGGTAGCGTTCCTGATCCTGAAACGCCACAATACTGAGCAGCAACGGATCGCATACCTGAAATCAAGACAGAGGAGAAAGTAAAGGAACGTGACGAACGCTGTAAGGCACCGTAAAAAAAATTAAGAAAAGTGACCCTACTACAGCGTTTCTTTCATCTCTCAAAAACCCAAGACAGCGGCATTCGCAGGCAGCGGTTGCATTTATGAGAGATTATTTAATTTTCGTCGACATTAGACAGCCAAACAGACCAGCAACAGTCTTATTAAAAAGAAATGTGTGTTTTCCACATCACAAACGTGTCCCTCGACACAGTCACGCAAAAACGAAAAAGAAAAGATTACTAGGTGCTAAGGAAGAAGAAGGGGATAGTTGCGTTTATACAAACATGTTCCTATGCCAGGGATGGCAACTCCAAAAAACAGGTTTGAAATTGCAGAAGCTTAGTAGAACATACGAAGTGCAAAATTAGTGACAATGGCACCCAGCAAGACAAAGCACAGAATGGAGGGACCAAGACGGTCATCGTAGGGACCACTACCTCTCCGGCGAATGGCAGAAGCTCTCCAGTGGTAGATACTGAGAGCATATCCCATCGTAGAAATAGCGACCAAAGTAAACAGACCGGCGCTGATTTTGCCAACGCGATCACCAAAATTCAACAAACCAACAGAGAGACCGCCCAAAACAACGGCAAAACTGAGCCAGGACAAAAACGTACGCTCGTTAGCAAAGAACACCTTGGGCTCCACGCGAACAGGCAGCGCAATGCGCTTATTTGCGGTCGTTTGCAAAAGAGGCTGCGAAGACATTATGGACAAAAACGAAACAGATGTTTGCGTACACGAGACAGACGCGTGCAGGGGACAACGAGAGATGTTGGTTCTGGTTAGGAGCCCCAGGCACTCTTCTCCTTCAAATAGATTCGTTTCGCCATCGCTTATAAGCGAGAGCGCGGTTTTTGTCGCACAGTCGCAGTTAAAACATGACGTCATCCAAGAGCGCAGATTGGGAGTGGGGGTTAGGCGGGGCCAGGAGGGGGCAGGAAGGAGAGCAAGACAGAAGGAGAACGAGAAGGAAAACAGCAATTGCGAGGGCGGGAGGGCGCGCGACATCGAGATTCATGCGCTGTTGTGTGCGTTCTATGTCTTGAATGTAGCCGTAACGGCTGCAGCAACAGGCGACGCTGTAGCGTCGCCTGTTGCTCAAGCGACTCGCAGTCGTCGCTGTTGCTGAGAATGGAACGTGGACTTTTGCAGGGCGAAACTAGATTTGATAATCGTTAAGAGCAACACAGACGGCTGCCTTGTGGTGTCCAGAGTATTGCCGAATTGTCTCTCCGCTCGTGAGCTCCCAAAGTCGAGTTACATGGTCGGAAGAAGCGGTAACAAGGTATGTCGAGTCGGCCGAGAACGCACAGTCCCAAACCCAACGTTGATGACCCTGCAAACGACGCTCCAGCATAAACGACATGTCTTCTGTGCTCCAGATGTTGACGGTTGTGTCGGCTGAACAGGTGGCCAGATGCTTTACATCCGGTGACAAGACACACCGAGTTAGGTACCGGTTGTGTGCCTGGAATTTGATGACGGGTTGCAGTAGAGAGACGTCTTGGTGATTCAGCATGCGCCAAACATAACAGTTTCCCTTGTTATTACCGGCAATTAACATGCTTCCGTCAGAGGCAACGGTAACGCTCCGCATGGGTACATCCTCTTCGGGAATAAGCTCGTGTGTGCATGTATTTTCTCCAAGGTCCCATGCACGAACACGACCGCTCTGGTCACACGAGAGCAATTCACCCTGGTTTGGATGAATGACCAAATCATTCACCGGCGACTTATGGTCGTAATTTCGTTGAACGGACGGGATACGCATGTCCCAAATCTTCACTGTGCCATCTTCACTCGACGTAGCTAACCATTTTCCATCACAGTGAAAAGAAACAGACGTAACGTTGTTTGTATGTCCTTCAAAGGTCATAATCTACCACATTTGAAATTAGTAGTGATTCTTGAAAGAAATAAAAAACAAGAAAGAGCGGGCGACACAGAATGCTCTTCTTCTCCACATTCATTTCAGTGTTCTGTCTTTTCTCTCGTCCTTCTCTTCCATATTCATACCGGCATCTGGCTGTTTCCATTAATGTCGTACAGTCGTACATGGGGATTGCCTGCAGCAGCCAACAGCCGCTTATCGGGAGAGATGGCCAGTCTGTTGACTTGCTTTATATACACAGTTAGCGTTCAAGCCTGCAAACAGTCGCTCCAGTTAGTCAGTAATAACATACAGAATCGGCGTGTTGGATAGTACGCGAGCAAATCCCGCTCAGGGCCTCCCAAAACCGAATTGTATGGTCGTAACCGCTGCTCACAAGCAGCACAGAATGCTGCGGAGGATAAACAGTCGACATTATTTGGCAATGTGCACGTTGGTAATGGCTAAATGTATTTCCTCTTCTAAACTCAGTTCTGCTACGGACGACGCGTTTTCAACCGAGCTTAAACGAAAATCTCGTATCGGTAAATAAGGTTAAATGCAAAACGCGTCGCGTGGCAAACAGGGGTCGCAAGGGAGGTCACACATGGAAGCTACCACTGGGCAGATACCTCTCAAAACAGGAAAAACACTAAAGGGACGCAAAAACGGGACGTAAACCGACTATTTGACCGGTTGGTGAGAAACGTAACCTACAGAGTTTCAAGTGTTTATGTGGAAAAGGGTTTACTGAACGGTTTTGGTTATTTATGTTGCTGGTTCCTCAAATTTATTCCTAGCCAAATAGACTTTCTGTTTTTTCTTTTTTTCTTTTTTTGGACTTCTTTTGTTGAGCAGTTAAAGTGAAATTCTTTCTAGTAAAACTGCTACTTTTGTTCTACTCTGTTTCGTTTTCCTGTTGCTTTTCTCCTCCCTCTTATTCCCAATGCCCTCTCACACGCCGTTTATTGCAGGTAATATACTGCATTCTATGAGAGAAAACTATGCTCAAGGTGTTGATGTGTACTATAAAAAGGTTTCTACAAGTTACAGGTAAGATGCCGTGTACTCGTTCCACCCAATCTTTCTAACGGGCAATGTTAGAAACCCACATTATGCAACAGTACGCATTCTGTTGATGGAATGCTTGAGCATTCTTTGGTCGAAGGATGAAGGTCTGCGACGAGGAGCAGAAATTGTTGATATGGCTTGTGGAAGCGGTGAAGCAACAGAAGTAATCTTAGAATGGGACACGCTTGCACGAGCTCTGGCAAATGGTCAACCTTGTTCTCTGAATCGTCGGCGGACGATTGTCTGTTCAATCGATCCAACTACTCGCAAACCACACATCGTCTCCACCGACCCATTCACTGGACCTGCATTTGAAACTCGGTTGGGCTATCCTTGTCTGCCTCTGAGTTTTCAAGACATCGCTGACGAAAAGCTCCCACCAGCACCTTCGAAGGAAGACGGTGCATACGATTTAGTTGTCTGCTCGTTTGCACTGCACTTGTTGACCGACGATTCCAGCTTGTGGGCCACACTGTACACATTATCGACACAGGCCCGCTGGCTTCTTGTGCTTGCACCTCACAAGAAGCCAACAATTAAACCTAATTGGGGCTGGACTTCATGGAACATCAAAAGTTGGGAGCCTGTGGATTACGGAAAGGAAAACGACTACGTTGTCGACCGTGTACATGCGCGTTTGTACAAAAGCACCCAGTTTTATTGAGTATGCGAGCTTTTCATTGGTTGTGCCGGATGTGAATTGTAAACACATACGTCTTGGTTTGTTTACCTTTTTCACTATGGAGTGCGTCTCTGCTTCGTGACAGACATTCTGCAAATCGGCACAACGGACAAAAATTACATTCCTTACTACGTTGTTTGTTGATTATTCGGGCAGCTGTTTTGCTGTGACTCTTGCTTCATGCGGGTCGTTTTGTTAGCCATCATTATCACGTTGGCTAACGCCTTCCAATTTGGTGACAACTGGGAACAGACTTGGAACCAAAATGTGAAGAGGACGCAACGTGAGATAGCCGTTGTGAAACATGCAACGACGTTCCAGCTATCTCGTTACCAACCCAGAGTCAACAGGGTTTTGTGGGTCGGTATCGCCGCCGATTGCGACTATTTGGCCCAATTTACGAACCCCATGAAAGCAAAGGACCACATTCTGAAGCAATTTCAGTTTGTTTCACAACTGTTTGAAAATGCGTTTCAACTCCAGGTGCGCATTTCAACCCTTCTTGTCGGACCTGATTCATGTTCGGGAAGATATTCGTGGGAGCTCGGGTATCAGGAGCTACTGATGAATGGTCATTCCATGCAAGAGAAGCTGGACATTTTCAGCAAGTGGATTGGCAACGCTAAACGCTCGCTTTTCGTAAACTCGCATTTGCTTTCCGACGCCAATAAGTATCGATTTCAACGTGCACAGCAATGGTCATTGCTTACGAAGGACAAGGATGTTAGCGGCACCGGGATGGCATGGTTTGGGCAGGTGTGTCAAGAACATATTGAGGACGAGTTTCACAGCATGGGCCCAACCAGCATTGTTGCCGCTTATCCCACTGACTGGCCCATTGTTGCTCACGAAATCGGTCACAGTTTGGGTTTGACGCACGACTGTGATCGAGATCTATGTCTCCAAGAACCACGGACATGCTGTCCATTTTCCCCGTCTTTATGTGATTCCGAGGGTCTCTTTATTATGCATTCCTCCCACTCATATCCATCAAAGAGTTTTAGCGAATGCTCGAAAAGACAGTTTCAGGAGTTGGTTGACGGGAACAACGCACCACTTCACTGCTTACAGCAATTAGAACAAGAAACTGAATATGGACTTGAAACTCTGACATGTGGAAACGGCGTTTTAGATCCCGGAGAGCAATGCGACTGTGGTGAGCACTGCGACGATAACCCTTGTTGCGATGGTGAAACTTGTACATTAAAGAAAGGTGCCGAATGCGATGACAGTTCCGGTTCTTGCTGTCACAATTGTCAATTCGCGTCATCTTCTACGCTGTGTCGGGCATCTAAAGGTACTTGCGACAAGCCTGAGTATTGCACAGGCAAACACGCTGAGTGCCCTGACGATATCCTTCGTGAGGACGGTGAGCATTGTAGTACAGACCTTGGACAAGGCTTCTGTGCCTCTGGCGTATGCACCTCTCGTTACCAACAATGCAAAGAATTTGCGAGTTTTGCCATCACTGCTTGTCACCCGGAGAGTTGTATGATGTCGTGTCAGGACAGTAAAGGGTTTTGTTTCACGACAGACAAGCCATATCGCGACGGAACACGTTGTACAGATGGGGTTTGCAGAGAAGGTATTTGTATTCCGGATGTCGCTTCGTCTGCTCCGTGGTCTAGGCAGCCCCCGCTCTTTTATTTAGCTCTCAGCACCATCTTTGGAGTTGCAGCGATTGCTTGGTTTTTTTGGTAACGCTATGGACGCAGACAGAGGTTTTTGCTTTTGCGTTTACCAAAGCAATTCCCAATTCCTGCGAACATTACTCAAGCGTCTTACGTGCAGAACAATTCGTCTTCAGAATACTCTTAAGAATGTGCGTGCCTTATTCTTGTCCCTGCACCAATTCCACTCGCCAATAATTTGTCCCCCATTCCTTTTTACAAACTTACTAGCTACCCCAAACATTACACACATTAATATAAATCCACCACATAAGCAAGGAATGTTTTATTAGCAAATCAAAAACACCGGGAAGATATCTACTCCAAATCCTTCTTGAGGGTACCCAAGAATTGCTTGGCCTCGGCAGAGGTTTGGAAGCGACCGTGACCGAACTTGGAAGAAGTATCGATCCACTTGAGGTTGATGGGCTCCAAAGCCTTGCGAGAGGTGTGAGCGAAGAGAGACTTACGGAGAGTCAAGACACGCTTAACGGGACCGGGGGTAGCACCGTTGAGCATAACGTAGTCGTTCTCAACGGAACCGTAGCGGACGAAACCACCCATGGGGGTGATACGCTTCTCGGTGGCATCGAAGTCGGTAGCACCGTTCTTAGCGTCATCACCGGAACCAATGCGGTAAATCTTGGAGTTCAATTGAGTACGGTGCATGTAACCGTTGTTACCGGCACGGGCAACGGTCCAGCCAACGTTGGAAGGATGCCAGGCACCAATACAAGCGACCTTACGAAGACCACGGTGAGTCTTACGAGGCAAACGCTTGGTACCCCAACGAGTGGTGACACCCTCAACACCCTTACCCTTGGTGATACCAATAACGTCGACAATCTCGTTTTGCTCGAAAACAGACTTGACATCGACAGTCTTCTCGAAGTGCTCACGAGCCCACTCGACCTTGTCGGCAACGGAACCACCGTTGATTTGGATCTCCATCAAATGAGCCTTCTTTTGGGTAAGAGGAGTCTTGCGAATTTGAGTGTGGGCAAGGACACGAACAACAGAGCAGTACTTCTTGATACGCTCAAGCTCACGGGTGATGGATTGAGTGGTCTCAGCGTACTTCTTGGCGTACTTGGTGAAAGCCTTCTTCTTGCTCTTGTACCAGTTCTTGTAGAAGCGACGCTTGATCTCCTCAGACAAGTGCTCGGCCCAAACGGTAGTAAGAGAACGAAGACCACGAGGAGTCTCAACGTAACCGACGACACCAACAACAACCATGGGGGGAGTCTCCAAGACAGTGACAGCCTCAAGAATCTCACGCTTGTGCATCTTGGAACCGGGACGGTCAAGATCACGGACGATGTGGGTCATACCGGCCTTGTAACCAAGGAAAGCCGTCAAATGGACAGGCTTGGAGGCGTCATCCTTGGGGAAAGACTTCACCTTACCGCGGGCGCGGGCAGCACGCTTGCGCGGCAAGAATCCCAAAGAACCATGACGGGGTTGCTCGAACTTGCAGTGAGACATGATTCCTACTTACTACAGGGTAGTGGCTGTTGCGAGGTGTGCGTAGGAGAGAGCCGAGTCAAAACACCCGGCGAAACACACGTGACTGCTTTTTGGACAAACACAACGGAAATAGCGTATTTAAGCCGAGTCTCGTTGCGGCGTAGTAAAGACAATAACGAAGTGATGCTTAACGTGTTAGGGATCACTATCCCAGGGCAAATGGAATTGTTAATAAACAGCGTGAGCAGAAAGAAGAGAATTGGCGATACACGCGGCGGGCCCGAGATGTTAAGCCAGCTAATGTAATTGCATTAATGGAACGATCGTTGCTACTTCGTAAGCCAAAAAATATATATTTTATACAGTATTAACCAACTGACCCTATCCAATTCCAAAGAGAAACAATTCGATATGCTCATTTGCACGACATCACTCCCTTCTAATTAGTCTCCGATTGGAGCGTGTAATATAACAGTTTAACGCCGTTTCTTGTTTCTGGAAAGCTTTCTGCTGTGTCCCTTCAGCCCAGCAACTTGCTTAGCAGACTTCGTTTTGGATGAGTGACGAGTAGGTTGACTGTCCTCGTCAAGCATGTCCTCGTCGAAGTCATCACGACCACGCTTATTCTTCTTAAACTTGATCTTGTTGTTAGGACCACGAGTAAAGGAGTCGGCACCAGCAACTGCTTCCAAGTATGCAGATCGTGTGTCTGCCACACGCTCAGCAAACTCGGCATCCTCGTTGTCTGCATCGCCGTCTTGGTCCTCCTCAAACACAAATTTACCATCCTCTCCGGAACGGAAAGAGTCGGCGACGCTCTTGTGCACCTTGTGAGCCGAGGGATTCGTTGAGGAAATACGAGAAATCGCTTGGACGTCAAGCAAATCGAGAGGTTCGTCCTCATCACCCATATGAATGAACGTCTCGTTTTTAGCGGCAGGTGCAGCAGCACCTTCCTCCTCACTTTCTTCACTTTCTGAATCGTATACAGCAGCTTCGTACGCCGAAGCAAACTGTCTCCTCACACGCAATGGCTCGGCAACACCCCGCATAGCGCGCTCACGACGCTTGCGAAGATGGCGTTCGCGAGATTTACGAATGTTAATGGCTAAACGTTTGTCTTCAGTGGGAACGTACTGCTCAACCTCGGTGTAACCGAAACGACGGATAAGCTTTTCTAAAATGTTCTTCACCTTGATACGCAAATGGCCCTTCGATTCATGAGACCAACTAAGAAGGCTTGGTACAAGTTTTGGCAAAAACGACTTCAGGAAATCAGCTGGCAATAGAGAAAGTGAAACCTTCAAGAAATCAACAGTCGGTCTGGCGACTTCCGCGTTGCGCGACGTTGTCAACAAGTCAATGGTTTTCAAAAATTCAAGAAGAAATTCCTGACGAATGATGCTTTTGTTCTCGGCAACCACATAAGTAATGGAAACAATAGTTGCACTGATCATGTGAGAGTTACTGCCAGCAAGACCAGCGCAAAGTAATGAAACAAAGCGCTCCAGACGCTCGGGTGCAGTCATGCCATAGTTCGAAGAGTTGAGAGCTTGTTGCATAAACAGCTTCAAAAGTTCAAAAGCTGCGTGGCGAGCTTTTTCGCTTTCCTCCTTCGTTGAAATGACAGCTTCCGGAAGGAAACTTTGCATTTCAGCGAATAAGGTTGGAGAAGAAATTTCAAATAAACATCTCAATGCCATAAGACGATCTTTCTGGGTTGCGGGGCTGATGTTATTTGCTCCTTCACGGAAAATTGAGATAATTTCACTGAGCTTCTCATTCAGAAGCTCCTCGCGCGAAGGAACCTTGAGAATAGCGCTCAACAGCTTGTAAGCCTTTTTCCGCAAACCAAGATTGATGTGCTGTGAAAGAGCTTGAACGTAGTTTAGCATGACAAACAACGCTTCCTTCGGTACAAAAGGGGCAAGAGCAATCAACACATCCACCGAAGTATATGCTGCTGGAGGAACTCCGTTATCTTCGTCTTCTCTGTTAGTGCCTTCCAAGGCATCTATAGAATCGGAGAAAGTACCATTCATTCTATCAAAAATGGATTGAATGACTTCTGCCGGAGCAATGGACAGCCAAGCATTGAAGCAGCGCATGTACAGTGCATGATACTGCGATGGGGTCGAAGAGTAAACGTTCATTAGTGTAAAGAGGAAATTTGAAGACAAGGAACCGAGATATTCGAGATTAGCAGTTGCTTTTTGGACATCTACGGGAGACAGTGCTCCATCGATGAGAGGCTTTCCTTCTTTCACAGCCTTGTTGCTCTTAATAAGCTCAATGAGTGCATTGCAGATGTTCGTGCGCAAGTCTTCTTGCTGGTACAAAACGTTTACCAAGATACTGGCAAAGTCAGTTGTGAAAGACTCAATCAGATCCTCAGGCAAGTAGCAGTATCCTGGAAGCAAAGCCCAAATCTGTTCAATTAAAGTCTGAAGGATTTTAGCGGGAATGCTGTCAGCATCACTAAGATCTATGATTCTTTGAAATAAGACTCCACTCAAAGGGACGAACACATTTACAAAGTGACCCAATTTCGTACAGTAAATGTTATCACGAAGAATGGGAAGCATCCAAGCACGACCGTTTTGGCCTTCAGAGGGGTTGACGAGATTGAGAGGCAACACACTTAAAACTGCCTCAGGTCCAAGTTCAGCAACAAACCGACCAATAGCACGATCAGCCATTGCCTTTTCTTCAAACGAGTCCGTAGCACGAAGTTCACCAACAAGCGAAAGTAAGGGGAGCATCACTGGGGAAGCAGCCTTGTGCAACGCTGTGCACAGAGATTCCACTACTTGCAGGCACTCCTTCCAAGCACCTCTAAAATGGATACTTTGTAATGCACCCATTAACTTGTCGGCAACCTGCTTAGCGGCTTCCTGAGAGTCGTTACTGTCGTCCAAAAGAATACCACGCTAGTGAGAGTACTGCTACAAGCACTGCGGATGGCAGGCGAGTCTGATCTCAAAAATTCAAAAAGATTATTGAATTGTTTGAAACATGTAGACCGCGCCTCGTCTGGTGAGTATTTTTTCATAAAGTTGGAGCAGCTCTTTACAGCGTCAAGCCAACTAGGCAAGAGTTGTACATCGTACTCGGAGGGACGAAGAGTAAAGAGAGCCTTCAAAAGTGCTTGAAAGGCGTCTGCCTCAATGCTCAGAGAAAGACCCTTAAACAGAGCGGAGAAGACAGAAAAAGCGGCTTGCGAAAGATGGGCGTTTCTGCTTTCCGTGATGCTCGACAGCAAAGAAGCAAGTTGTTCAGTATGCTTGGAAGACCAACCAGCATGCAGACAAATGTTACGAGCAAGAACAAGGGAATGAAGAGTGCGTTGAACCTCGACAGCAGACGCGTTGCCAGAACTAAGCACCATAACAAAGGAATTGAGAAGGTTGAGAGTATCAACGGATGCCAATTTTGCACCGGGATGGCCCAAGGAGGGAGAAGGAGGAGGATTACGCAGGATTTTTATAACGGCACTCAATGCAGCTTTCTGTGTGCGTGTAGAAGCCGAGGTGCCCAGTGTCAGCAAGGCATGAAGGCATGACTTGACAGTTTGGTCACGCTGCCAGGCATTCGTTTCCTGAGCCAGGAGAAGCTTTTCGAGGATTCCGATGCAATGAACAATAATAATCTTGCTGTGGTCTGTGTTGTTCATAACGGGTGCTACGCAAGAAAGAATCTGAGAAAGCTTTGCACGCAAAACCTGCACGGGAACGAAGCCCAAAACAAGTTCAACCAAACTGACTGTTGCTTTTTCTATTTCCTTGCTCATATCAGCATGCTCCGTGAGCAGAGAGAGCAAGGAAACAAGATACGCCGTAGGCGATCTTCCGGTATTTCCTTCATCTAACGACGCTTCAACGCCTTCAAGAACGAGCTTAAGGTAGTTATGCTCGTCAGCAGCACCATCGTTCTTTAAACGTGCAATTTTTGCTTGCAACGCCGCTGCTTGCTCCATTGCGAGTAGTTCGCTCTTGGTGAGTTTCGTCGGCCTTAGTGGTGAACGAGGAGAATGGGTAGCCGTGAAAGTTTTACTAGTAGTGACGACGAAAACAGAATGTTGAGGAGAAAGAAGAGAAATGGAGGTGGAAGAATAGGCACGAGAAGACTGATGAAAGGTTTAATGGGTATTTGATTGTTTTTGAGGAAAAAATGAATAAATAAAGAATGTACGCCCCCGGCGGGACTCGAACCCACAATCCCACGATTAGGAGTCGTATGCCCTACCATTAGGCCACGGGAGCTGCTACATTCAGTCGTCTTCAGTAAAGCTACTTGGCAATAAGAGAAAGAAGCTATGTTATAACATGCATTATGGGAAGGGAAAAGAGAAATTTGATATAGTAAGCTAATAGACGTTGCTAGGTTCATCTCATTCATCGTACTTTGCTAGCATTAATATACAATAATTGATATGATGCACATACTCATTTTATGAACATTGTTTGCAAGAAGAGTCTTAGTAAAAATTCCAGAGTGTCTGAAGTAAAGTAATTTATTTCTATGCTCCCTCGATTAATTTATTAAAAAGCACACCAAGTATTTGGGGAATTCTGGTTTGTATACTTTTTTGATACTCGAATGGAAGCAATTAAACCAAATTATCGTTTATTACCTCTAATGATTACAGTTTTGCCGAGAAATTCTGCACATGAAAACACAGAAAAATATATCAAGTCTCTCTACTCGTACCATTTCACATCCAACAATTGCTGCCGTAATCATTGACATAACGCCCTGAAAGCATCCTTTCGCCCGTAAATCCTCCTCATCAACGTAATGTCTCCATGTCATGCCTCTACGCAAGCCCTCTCGTCGCTTCCCCGATTACTAGTTCGGCTTATTTGACGCAGTCGGGAAGCCTTGTCCTTGCTGCACGTTTACTGATGAATTCAAACGGTTTCGCTACAAAGAGCGCGACAAATTACTGCACTCCGAACTCGCCTCTAACTCAGCGATTTGAATTGTTTTCTCAAGAAACCCCCTCTATTACTTGGCGTGAATCGCGTCGCCGATATACCCTAGTACTCCCTTGCTCCTACCTCACACCCACGAACGCGTTGCACTCACAAAATGACTAAAAATCAGGTTTTCGGGAAAATGAAATGTCTGAGACCTTTCATTTTTGTTGTTGTTAGTATCGTGAGTCATACTCTGTTTGGCCTGTACTTGAATCCCAGACTTTTGTCTTCTGTAAATGTCTCCGACAAGAATGTGTCTTCTTGGTTTGTAAGTGACTAAATGGAAAGGACGGCTTCCTCATTGTTCATTTCATTAGCAATTCCACCATTGAACTGTACACTAATGCGAGTTTTACAGCCCTTTACCTCATTATTTCTTTACGCACTTCAGTCTTGCTTGTTCTATCGTTTCCGTCTCGGTTTGGAATGGTGTGTTTTGGCGAAATACCCGTTGTACACGTTGTTAGGCACGTACTATTCTATCTCAAAACACCAAATTGCCTGGGATGCTGCCATTGACTGTTTTTCAGTGATTCTCGCCCGGGCCATGACAGGCATGGTCTATTTCCAACGCCCTAGACATGTTCTCTCTCAGGGATCCGTGCCTCTCCTGCTCACTCTGATGGCCAGTGTGCTTTTGAGCATCCTGTCTTATGTTTGTCAAAAATTATTTGTGAACCTCTGGGTAGTTCGCAACATCCGGCATCAAGTGTCCACTGTATTGACTGCTCCTCTTCCTCTTCAATATGTCATACACCTTCCCATTGCTTTCGCTGTTCAAAGAGCCGCCTCGAAGCCTCTTTCAACTTTTAAAGCCCTATGTTTGTTCGTTGTTTTGCTTTTCTTTTCTTGCTCCGTTCCTTACTGCGACATTTTCTGGCCCAATGTTCTCGCTGCTCTTCAGCTGCTCACGGCGTATATTCTCCATATAGTTCTCGTCTTTATCGCTTGTCGTGCTGTATTAATTTAGCTGACATGCACTTAAAAAAAGCACCGTTACTATAGAGAGTGCTGGTGCTCGCAAAAATCAAATTTACTAATGTAACGATATTCCCCCCTACTGAGGTCCCTCTACTGTTTTCGTTTGGTTCAATATTTGGTCCTTAACAATGACCTTTAGTTCAAATCTTATTCTCTATTGCTATCGTCTCACTTCCTTCCTCTTCCTCATTCCCCTCCCTCTGCCTACAGCGCAAATCAGGGCCACCAACCCTCAGCTACTACTGCCTGCCCTACCAACCTGCAACGGAACTCCCGCGGCCCCAGCTCTCGGTTCCGCGCTTATTATATGTATTACCCTTACCGCATTCAATTCCTGCAGAAAACCCATCTCTGCCAGAGCAGAAAGCATTGCCATGAAGGTGACGATTCCGACCACGTCCTCTGTAAGTTTGGCTTTTTCATGCGGGAATATTGACTAACAACGTGCAGTCTAGCGATTTGCGCGCACCATGGACTTGGTATCATATTCTTATCGAGTATCCGAATGGGCGAAAAATGACGGTGAAACGGAGATACCGTGAGTTCTGTGAGCTGCATGAGACCTTGGAGAAACAGTCTTCTCAATTTGACACCGCCGTTCCACCCATTCCGCCCAAGTCCTGGTTCTCATCCACCGTGACCAATTCAAGTCTGCGGGAGTCTCGACGCCTACAGCTGGAGGAATTCTTGGGACGGCTTGTCTACAGCGACTGGTTTCATTTGCAAGTTGTGAAGGACTTTCTGGAGTTGCGTGAACCGAGTCAGATGGAGTTTGTTACTCCTCAGTCGATCCAACCTCAGTACTGGTTGATTTTGTATGAGGAAACAAAACGCACCGTGCATGAACTACGTGTTGCAGTGCTCTCTCGGAGAACTATGACTCCCGCGGAGGAACGGAGCACGTTATACAAGCTCAAGAAGAACATCCAGCTTCTCGCAACCTCACTCTCCGGGTCCGAGTCCGTGTCTTCCTTGGGACCCGGTGAGATCCAGCGTCGAAATGACCTTGTTGGTAAACTTGACTGTGACATAGACTATCTGCAAGCGGAAATACGTTCGCAGGGCGGGACCTCCATAGAAGTATCGAGCCCTTGGAACTCGAGTGGTGAATACTCAAGTCCACAACGGAATCAGTTGTTCAAGTCCTCGCGACGAGTTTTGGGAAAGAGCTCCTCGACTAGTTTGCCGGCAGAACAACAGCGTCTTGATAATCATGGACTGTATGCTCAGCAAATGAAAACCATGGACACTCAAGACCAGCAGGTGGAATCACTCCTTCCACTCATTCAGCGGCAAAAAGAATTAAGCATGGCCATTTGTAATGAAGTGGAACAACAGAACGACATGCTAGATGAAGTGTCTGCATACACTGGTCATACGCAGCACAAGCTGCAGAAGACCAGAGGCCGTTTGCGCCGTCTGGAATGAGAACATTTTCGTTGTCTTGAAACCATTTACCACTCAAACTCCTTTTCCCTAAAGATTATTTGATGAATGTGATTACGACTATCTTAAACCTAATATTATTTCATTCGCAACCCTTTCATAAGTGAATTTCTGTTTTTTTTTTTGCCATTCGGAACAACCGCGGCACATCCGTTGACTTCACATCTAGTCTTCTTATACGAATTTGTGTGCTGAACGCATTAACTGAGTGAAATGTCATTAGAACACCATTTTGGTGATGGTTCTGACGATAATTATGTAGCCAAAGTTCCTATAAAAGCGGATTTTGGAGAAGAGACGACGAATGCGTCGATAGCTCTATCCCAGCATGAAACCAAGGACGTCCTCGTGAAAACAGAAAATAGTACGGAAACACTGGACAAACTTCAGTCCTCGCCTTCTTCGTCTGCTACAGAAACGGATGAAGAGCTCTTGGAGCACGCAGCAAAGCAGCATGCCGTTGATAAACCCATACTTACTACTACGAGAAGACTAAAACGTCCATCACCAAATCAAAATGGATGGAATGCTGATCAAAAACCACTCTACTGTGTATGCCGAAAACCGGATGATGGTCGGTGGATGCTAGGATGCGATGGTTGCGAGAATTGGTTTCATGGGTCTTGTGTCGGGATTCCCGAGACTTTTAATGACTTAGTCCTGCAGTATTTTTGCCCATCATGCACGAAAAACGGACTGGGTGTTACCGCTTGGCGGAGGAAGTGTCGTCTTCCTTCCTGTAGTCAGCCTTCACGGGTCGACATCCGGTCCAAATATTGTTGCGATGCACACGGTCTCGAGTTTTTTCGACAGCAGGTCCGAAAAAGCCTCATTGACGCATCTACACTTAAGACACTTGCTATGCATGTGCATGATGCGAAAGAGCTACGAAAGTTGGGTACAGAAACTCCTGCCTATCCGGACCCAGTACCGGCAGATTGTGTTCGTGAGTTTGAGAAACAGGAGATAGCTGCACTGGATTCGCGAATTGAGACTATCGATGGCGAGTTACAGTACCTACAGCGTAAGATGGCTTTGCTTAAATTTATGAAAGAGCAAGCGCGCAGACTGTCGGAGGAGCACAAGACTAAAAATGCATCTAAGCGCGATCTGTGTGCATACGATGTTCGTTTGTCTCTCCAAGATGACGAACTTGAAGTCTATATGCAGTCAAACAATGTCGATGATTTAGCTGCTATTCCTTTGGAAATGGCAGCGGAATCTGGCATCTGCATTTTGGAAAAGAACCGATGTGCGAAACATTCGGGTTGGCAAGCTATGTTTTCAGATGATATTCAGTGTCAGTTTGAAGTTGCTAATAACAGGAAAACTGTGCTGCAGGCCAAGAAATTAGAAATCCATGAGCGTCAACGCCAACGTTCCATACTGGACGTTGAACATGAAGGCCATGCTGAATTCCTGCGACCACAATTAGCGTCTATGGATATGGATCGGCTGTTATCCAGCACATTTTAGACAATCCCAAAACTAGACCCAGACTTCCCGCTCCATCGCCGCTGTCTACCTGTTCAACACATCAACCACCAAATAATTGTCTACTCCGTCTCGTCTTCTTCTCTGTTCAAACATCCTATCAAATTCCTTTTACCGTTATTCTCCATTGTTTTGTCTTTTATTCGTTTTAACGGAAGATATCGTGGCACGTTAAACAAGTTTTACGGACGTATACAAAAGTCGTTGTATACCAATTCTTACCGTGTCAAGCAGTTGCGTTTACGAACTTGTGCGTTCATTCACGCGATATAGCTACGTAAGAAATCTGTTATTTCCGAACTCTGTTCCAAGCAGTCGTTAGACAAAACATCTAACATGACACTCGCTACGACGCTTCCTGCAATATTTGAGCCGAGAGACGCGTCTCTCTGGAGTCTGGCGGTCGCTCCATTTCTCTCCCAGGCTGCTAATATTTCGCTCTTTCTGGGCGGTAAAATTGGACTCTGTGAGCTTTACATAAACACGAATCCCTTGGTATTCGGGTTTGAGCTCTCTATTGTTTTAGCATTTCTTCTATGGATCGTTTCTCTTTACACGCACAACCCGTCTCAGGTTGATCGCTGCTGGCCTCTACTCCCCACGCTGTTTTCATTTCATTACTTAGTGTATGCAAAATTGTTTAACTTGAGTTCCAAACGTTTGACAATTGTATGCTTTTTGCAAGCAGTATGGTGCATCCGACTTGTCTTTAATTATTGGCGAAAGGGCGGTTACAAGTCCGGCGCAGAAGACTACCGGTGGGTGTACGCAAAGCGTCTCATTCCTCGTTGGGCGTATCCACTTTTTCACTTGTTTTTTATTCACATTTTCCAAGTGTGTCTCTTGTTCAGTTTGTCGGCACCTACCTATTTGATTATGTTGTCGGGTAAGAATAAACCTTTTGGTTTGGGCGACATCGCCGTTCTTCAATTGTTCATGCTTGCGTTCTTCATTGAGATTCTTGCCGATCAACAGCAATGGGACTATTACAGAGCCCGTAACTTTTATCGCCGGAACAAGGTCGTACCTCAAAATGTATACTTCGACCTTTTGTCTTTGGCGCGAGGCTTTAACACATCAGGCCTATTTCGATTCATCCGTCATCCCAACTTTGCTGCCGAGCAAACAATATGGTTTGCGTTTTATTTGTTTGGCGCAGTGGCTACTAATAGCATATTAAACTGGACAATTATCGGTTGGCTTGGGCTAGTCGCTGTATTTACGGGTTCTACGTGGTTGACGGAAAGCATTTCCTCCGAAAAGTATGTTCTCTATGCAAAATACCAGCAAAAGGTTGGTCGTTTCCTTCCCAAATTCAATGGCTCTCACTGGCAAGAAGAGTTCGACGACGAGTCTCTCAAAACCGACTAATCTCATGCCCGCGATGGACGACTCGTTACATACTCCGCATACTCCTTGAATTATTGTTGCTTAATGAACTTGTTGAGACGAATCTAATGATAGCAAGTAATGAAATTTAATCAGTTCATAGATATGAACGTGTGTGTACATAAGTCACTGCCGATACCTTAGCAGAAGGGCACATGTACTTTTTTTTCTCAAGGCTTTCCGCCTGGAATTAACTGTAATCATTGTTAGTTGCGTCTGCACATACAAACTTGTATCATGTTTTCTGTACCATGCAAATTCCATTTCCGTTTAACAAAATCTCCTTGTGCTGTTCCGTAACATTTGTAATAGTGTCGCTAATACACGGTTAGAGAGAATTTCATCAACTGACTCATATCAGCAGTGATTATACGTACATTTCTGTGACATCCTTTAAGACCATATTCACATAATCGTCAAAACCGACCAATGTGCCAACAAACTCCTTTTCACCTTTCATAATCACCCAAAGATTTGAGCCAATGCATTTGTCAATCAATTCTAAAACGCAGTTAGTAAAGGACAGCAAAAGCAAAAATCACTGAAACAAGAAATGAAAGTGCAGTAAAGTGCGAGAATTTCCACTTATTTATTGGAACCTTGAGTGCTCGACTGCTCTAATAGCGTACCAAGAGGAAGAATAGTCATAGACATCTTGATAATTGGATATTTTAAGAGATTTGCTGTTGTAAAATCGAGTTTTGATGGGTGAACCTGTTGCTATTGCAGGAACGAAAAAACAATGGTTAAGTTTCGGGCACCAAATGAATGAAATCCGGTAAAGACGATGATGAAAATGAGAATTAAAAAGAATTAAGCGCTAGTGCTAAATTTGCTACAGGAAAATGTGTTAAAAGTATTCAAATCGGTCGAAGAGTCAACCGGAAAGCAAACAAGTGGGATACGACAAAGTCATGGCTTTCGTATCAATTAATATACAGATTGGTGTTATTTACAGTACATTGGGTATCTGTTTTCTCTCAATTTTAATTCACGAATTTCCCTTTTGTTCAAAGAACATAACATTTTCTCATTACGCTAATTCTCAGAAAAAACGTTTAACCGCCATAAAACAAGATACATCTATACAAAAAACAACATTTATTAAAAAGTAATCTTGCATTTCGTTGACAACTATTAACGTCATTGTTATTACGGAGCTGAGTATTGGCAGTAAGAGTTTTTATTTTGCAATCAGTCTAGTTACAGAAACTACAAGTATTTTGTAAATTTCCGATTTCATTTCTGTCTCCTAAAAGTCATGAACATTTAATGTTCAGTAAAGCAATTTTGCATTTGAAACGTTTGTTGCAGACGGTCTTGAACACAACTTAGCTCACCAAACTCGCCTTCTTTCATATGATGGATCCCAAATCAAATCCGTTAAAAGTTTTAGACAGCCTTGCTGCATTTTGGAATGCAAAGGATAAAAAAGAGACGCCATTTGACCGAATATCTCAGTTTTGTAACTCGGACATACTTTCCTTCTTGCTACAACTGTTAGAGGATTTGGCAAGTGTTGATGTTACAACCCCTATTAGCGTCAACTCCCTTAAATTGCTTCAGTTTATTGTTCACCTTACTGTGATTACTGGAGTGTATACGCAATTACCCAGCGAAGTGCTATCTGATAGAAAACGTGCTTCCATCCCTCCTCAGTATTTACCTTCTATTCCTCTTGCTGAGGTGTATCAACGTCTTCTGAAACTTGTTCTATTTGACAGTCTCGTCCAAAAACCACTATCTCTTCATTTACCAGAACTCCTAGCTACTAGCATCGTTTTACACCTTGAACGAATTCATAAGGTAGAAGGTTCTCAAAATAGTCTCGATATAAAGCCCTCAACTACTGAACAAAGTCATGCTACCGGCCATAAACTAAACAATGCTGACTTAACCGGGTTCCCAGAAGAAGGCTTCCCACTCTCAGATAATCCGGCCATGAATATTTCTATGTGTCTACAGATCTTGCTGCCGAAAGCACCTCAAGACTTTAAGGATATCGTAACAAGAATACTTACGAAGTCAATCTGTGCGCCGGAAGGAGTGAAAGCGTTTCTTGCTGTGTTTATGCAGCCCGATCCTAATTCGGTTGACAGGGCTAAGAAGGCTGCTTCCTTAATTACTTCAGTGCCCAGTTTTTTATCTACAGAGGTGTGAATGTCAACATAACAAGATTGTATCACTAATTCGTATAGGCATATTTTGACATAATATTCCCCCAACTTTGGACCTTAATGAAGTCACATTCTCGTCTAGCTTCGTACGCTATTCTGTCGCTTTTACATAATCATGCGGAGTTGTGCGAGACATACTTTCAGCCGTATTTTGAGATCCTAAAGACAAAGTCCGTTGTTGATATCTCTCCCGTTGAAGAAGTATTATCACGCTTAGACGCACTTCTTCGTACTAATGATCCTTCCGTTGGTAATTTATGTGTTCCTATTACGTCCTCTTTGTTTCATCTGTTTCAGTTTGCGTCTGTAAAGCAGCTTGTTCTAGAAATCCTCACTTCACTATTTCATATTAATGGGGTCAAGAGTTTCCTTAACCAAGAAACCGATTACGACTCTTTGCTGGAATTTCTGAACACATTATCACAGAACGAAATAACAAAATGCTTTCCGGCTGTACTGGAAGAATGGGTGGAAAGCGACCCACAGGAGCGTATTAAACTTTACGATGTGTTATTCTTCATGCTCTCTAAAGTTGATACAGATTTATTATCTCCCAAAAGCGTTGCCGCCCTTGTTTTCAGACTTAGTGAAAAGCTTAATGATGCTGAATTCGCTAAAAATTCTCTTTTTGTAGTTCCTTCTGAAGAACGTGCGGTACAAATCAAAGAGAAGGAAGATATTGTAACCGTTTTGTTACAGTTGCTATCGACTATGGCTTCTAAACGTACCTCAAACGTGTTTGAGGAAGAAACTCCCAGGGTTAAAACAATGTTAAGACAGTACCTGGGTTCAGGTCAGCCTGTTATTTGTGAATTAGCTCGAGATATTCTCCAGCACCTCGGTGATTCTCAAGATGACTATAGAACTGCGCTATCTTATCTTCACAGTGAAGACGTACCTACTCGTGGTGAGGGTGTTTACATTTTGCGAAAGTTAGTTGAAAATGACTCTCCCAAAATTTCACCAATCCAAATACTTCAAACATTTATCAATCTTCTAAGAGATGAAGATAGCTACGTTCATTTGAACGTAATATCCGGCCTTGTCTCACTTTCTGAGAAATATGACAATATTGTACCAATACTTCTACAAGAATATGCAAACTCTCACAAACATGATACTACAGAACGCTTATTGCTGGGACAAGCGATTTACCAAACAATGGAGCGACTAGGTGAACTGGTGCCAAAATTCTACTCAAATATTGAAAATGCTTGCGTGAGTGTTATTGACTCTGAGGAAACTGAACTTCAAGTTTCCGCGCTTAACATTGCCAGTCTTTTGCTAAGAACACGAGACAGTGACTTATTGATAGCTAAAGCTGTCGATATATTGAACCTGAAAGCCGAGGACTCAAATAAGTTTCAACGAAGAGCTGCTATCCAAGTCATCAGCGAGTCAAAACACCTTAATTCAACGGCAATCACTGCCTTGAAGTATATAAGCCAATTTGACGGTGATGATTTTGTTCGGAATCAAGCTGCAGTGGCTTTGCAAAACGGTATTGAGCGGAATGTGATGTATTTAGAATAATGACTTAAACTTGTCAATTATAAAAATGATTGTGTAAAAATATTATTTCGTTTCCTTAGTAAATCATGAGAACCGTTAAAATTGGGGTTTTGTGTTTAAAAAAAAATTCTCGTATAGCAAGTTCATCATAGCTTTCTTAAGCACTTGTACAGCATAAGCGTGGATAATGAATGTGACATTACGATGTCAAATAATAAAGCTTTTCACTTAAGATGCTGAAAGGCCTTTGGCCTTATCAAGCTCGCTTTTTAATTGAGTTAATCTCTTAACCATGTAGTCAGCTGCGGCTTGGAGTTCATCGGTGTTGGCATCAGCGTGATTGTCTTTTCGACTTTCAAGCGTGGGCTCATGTTCACGAACAAGACTTTTCAGGCGGGTATTTAGCCATGAGTTGAAATTACTCTCATCAAATCGTAAAGTTGAAGACCCGCTTCCTGGGAAAACAGGATTTTCCTGTTTCAACGCTGGGTTCCATGTAACATCACCTTTAATCAACTTTCGCAAATACCAGAATTGTAAACATAAGAGGAAAAGTAGGAGCACGTTGAACATATTCCTTGGTTGAGACAGCCAGTTAACAGCCGTGGTTAATACATTCACAATTACCGGCATTATGCCAGCAGCACCTTCTTCAACCACCTCTTCAACAGCTGCTTCTTCGTCTGGTTGTTTTTCTAATTGCTTACGAGACTTCTTTGACTTCTTCCGCTTTCCAGGTTTTGTGTCTTTTGCCTTGCGAATATGCTCTAACAAGGCTTTGACATAGTCAATTTGGCCTTCGTTAGCGCCCTTTTCAATGGCACCTTTAAGCCAGGAACTTTTTTCCCATTGGATATAGTAACTTATGCTGAGCTTCGTGGTATTATTCTCACCCCAAGTTAACACGTATTGCGTCTTGACGAGAAAAGATTTACCACTAGGAACCTGCGGAGTAGATGTCGTAGATGATATTTGGATGTATGAGTTTGCATCAAGGTGATCAATTGTATCGGTTAGGTAACACATTGTTTGTCGGTAAGGAGGAGCAACAGGTTTCATGTAGTGCAGCTTTCGAGTAAATAGATGATCTTTCTCCTCCCAAAGGTCAATCTGAATTTGACTCATTTTCTGACTCTGCAAGAAGTCAGCAAACCAGCTTGAGTTATCGCCAAAAAGCATGGAGAAAGTAGTTCCAAGAGGCTTGTTAATAACTTCACCGTTACACAGTACATGGTCATAAGGGGTTCCCGGCCATTCAGTTGGAGCGTGTTCCAAAGTTCTAAACGCGGCTTGCATCTTAGCAGGGCCGTCACCAGAAGTGTCCGGAGATGTACCAGCATCCGCGACTCCTTCTGCTGTAAGATCATCGTCAATATCTGAGTTAGCAGAAGTCTCAGTACTACCATCACTTTCATAAGCACCATCCTTGTCTTCATCGTCACTCTCGTTCGTGCTCGATAAATGTTCAGACGCACTGAGATCACCTCCCGTTTTGTCTTTCTTGTTTCCTGCATCCATGATGCCATGTCCGTTGGCAAATATGCTGAGAAAAGGATGCGTATGTTTCCAGATAGTGACAATAAGTTGATAAGTAGTATCACGAGAAAGGAACGACGCAAACAAATAACGAGCGTGTAATGTTGTGATTTGAATGGCATTGGGAAAGACGACAGCAGTATACTTTTTCTCCACAGACACTACTTCAGAGAAAGGAATCACGATATTGGTGACCCAGCCAAAAATACTTGAATTGAAACAAATGTGCTTCTCTGAGAGGTACATTCGTCCGTGCAAGAAAATATCCCTTTGCAGTGCACAACCGTAATCCTCAATTAAATAGTCATCGTCTGGAACAGACTTGAATAGTTGATGAAACTCCCGGTTACGTTTGCTATTGGCGTTCGCATAACCTGTAATATTGGAAAGATTGCGGGACGAGGATACACTGGAAAGTCTCTTCTGGGGGAACGAGTTTCCTTGGGCAGACGTGTTCGCTTGTGCTGATTCCAAGGCTGGAGAGGTTGATCGAAATGAATGGATGGCAGACTTCGTATCCTCCGCTTCAATGCCATCAGCTACAGGAGTAGTTACTTTTGTCTCTGAATTTTGATCATCGTCTTGTAGCACACGATTAAAGTCCTCCAAACGAAGTTCTCCTTCTCCTAAAGGTACTTGACTAGTTGAAGGCGAATGGATGGATTGGTTAGGCGGTGAGTCAGGATCATTTTCATCTTGATCCAATGTTTCGGACGGCAACGTTTCTGCGCTATGATCCTTGGAAATGGCCTTTCCTGATTTCTTATTTGATGAAGATCCACGGTCACTGAAATCACTCAAAGTTGAGCTCAGTTTATTAATAGCAGAGGCAATGATAGTAGATAGAAAACCATTTTCTTTCATTATTTGTGCCAATACCCTGGTTTCGTTACAAAGTTTGTGCACGAGCCTTTTGCGTAATTCAATAAGTTTCACACAGGACGAATTGAATTTCTGCTAAAAGCAATGTAATATGAATGCACACGGCTCTTTAGAAAGCACTTTCTTCGGCTAAAATCCTTTTTTCGTGCTATTTACGGAAAGAATTGTATGAAGGGGCAATATGAGGTAGGGTAGGAGGATATCCCACGAGGAACCGACTACTTACGTCTATTAAAAGTTATTAATAAAGACAATGAAATATCATTATTATACAGTTTAGTGGTAAATTTATTTAGGTTTTGCTTTATATAGATCATTTACAATATTGTTCGTGACTTATGGATTCGTTACTCATTACAAGAGTGGGTATCACTAGTTCATTCGGTAGGCGACTTGACAGTCGATTTTATGCATGTTCGTACTGAAGCTTCGTAACTGAACTTGTTCAGCGTTTTGTAATTGTCTTGGATCGCTATCAACCCAATCTGTAGGTACCTCACTGTCCTTGTCAGCATAGACAAGCACATTGAATGTACAGCGAGTGTCCAATTGAGGAAGGAAAGTGATGGTTGCAGTCACTTGACGAATAAGAGCTTGAATTTCGTTCTGAATTTCCTTTTCTGGTTTAGCCTCTTTAGATTCTTCACCTATTGAGTCTTCATTTTTGCATAATATTTCGACATTAAATTGCCACCGTTCAAGATCATCACCAGTGTCTTTATCTGTTATCACGACTACCAGTTTTTGAATCTTTCCTCTGTACATCCATCCTGAAAATGTTGCGTTAGAATCAGTAGTATGGAATAGTGTTCATACTGTGCAATTGTGCAATAATACGCCGAATATACGCTTTGACTTCATCATCAATGGTTATAAGCATATTGATTCCATATTTTCTAACAACCTTGAAATCCTCTGGCGGATATATTCCACGTTGAAATAGAATTGAGTTCACTGCATATTCTATATATCAAAAGTCAGTTTACACAACATCTGAGAAATAAACTTACCAAAAAACTCGCTCACAAGCTTTGCGGAACCCTTCAAAGATAAACTAGAACGTGTTGGGACAGTAGTTGCCATTTTGGGAGTGATTGAAAATTGAGGTACTGAAGATATGTTCAAAAGGGAAGACTTAATGTATACTTTGGATTTTGAAAACATAAATATGATTAAAAAAGAAAAAAATATTTGAGCTAAATGGTACTTGCTTTGATTGTAATAACACTGAACGTTGGGTTCGTAAAATTGCTTCATGACTTACAGGCAAAGCACCATTTTATGAGAAATGTAAGAATTACTTTACAGAAATAACGTCTTAAGTATTAAATAATATTACAGTTGATCCTTATTAATCGGTTGACTGCAGTAAATAATGAAACCTTAGACCTTTAGCCAAACAGTTGAAATATAGCAGATCCACATTAGTCGTCTGCTTCAATGCGTTTTGTATGGCACAAAGAGCAATGTCTGTTGATGTTAGTTCGTATTATAAGAATAACAACCTTAACTCACCTTTACTCCATGGGCAGGCTATTACGGATTCATGTGCGAGGTTGAGAGCCTCATACTTCGTTACCATTTGTAACAGCATTTTCCACAGTGCAGTACTCGACTTATAATTCGCGTTTTGGAGAATGTTTTTCAGAAACCTGTAACACCTAATTTTGTTTTTTGAATACACATTTAGTAACCAGGCAGTGTACATTGTTAGAACAATAGAATGTGCGTTCTGCAACTCATTAATTTTAAGGAAGAGAAATCGCCATGTCTGTTCAAAAGAAGTCGAAGCCTGTGCAAATGTCAAATAATGCATAAACAATGCATTATTGGGATATTTGGAAATGCCTTCGCTCACAACATGACATAAGTCTTTCTGTTTGTAGACTCTCGTGTTTGAAGTGAAATAAACAACAAGTTTTAAACCAAACATATGTAATTGTTCATGATATGCATCATCATCTGTCCATGTGTATGTAAATTGATACATAATACTTTTCAAAAGAGACATAAATCCTTGCGAATTCTTCATATAGCACCATAAAAGCAGAATTTTAGCGCGGTAATAGAACAACTTAGCATTGTCCGAACTTTGCATATAGCGGAGGGTGTTCCCTTCGTTAAAGATATCAATTTTCTCATTATCAATCAGGTCTGAAATAAGTTTACTACCAATATCAAGGGAGTTTGAAAAAATGTAGAACGGGCATAGAAGACTGTATAGATGCCACTTTTCGAAACCATTAGCTACTGTACGACCTTGCAGAGTCCTGAATATTTTACCAGCTAAATCCGGATTACCCAAAGATTGTGCCAACGTACCAAACAAAAACCATAATTCTAAATCGTTCGGATACTTTCGTAAAAGCAATTTGGACTCAGATAAAAAAAGATCATTTTTATGTTGGAATAAAAAAATTAGATAATAACCAGCGAGTTGGGAATCAAGACACTTGCTCGTTATAGCCCTTAAAACTTCGTAAATAAAAGTTAGGCGCGATTCTTCGCAATGAGTCAAGTTTAATAATGGGACAACAGGCCAGTTTGGAAACGGGACTACGAAGTTTTCCAAAAAAGAGGGGATACAAAAACGATGAAATGTAGTTGAGCATCGATTTTGTTCACTCAATATGGAAAAATCGTACCCTTGAATGAATATATCACTAAAATAGGATGAATTGGTCGATACTCCTGCTGGAATCGCGGAATGAAGACCAAGAAATACCAAAAAATTGTATTTGAAGCTAGCGATCACTTCCTTTTGCTTGAAGATGCAAAGATAAGGGCGAATGTCTTTAAATAACACTGCGCGGTAGGGATCACCATCTTTAGAAAATACGATTGGATCCAAAATACGAGGTCTCAAGAATTGCTTTGAAAAAGCTGCTTCACGATTAACCCATTTGTCGAGATCGTGTTCTTTCTCCATAATGTCATATTCATCCAAGGCAGATCTTAACGGTGTGCCGGAGTGATTATCGCACCAAGAATCCCAGCTTACAGCATTCACTTCGCCGAGTTTAGGAACTTGCGAATGCCAAAAAGCAGAGAGCGACTTGAACACTGATGATGTATTTTGTGGGTCAAGTGTATCAGGAAAGAAGTAGCACAGCTCCATCTGAAGCTGCATACACGCCAATGCCATTTCAGAATAACCAGATTCTTTTAGAAAAATACACAAACGTAATATGATATACGACATTGTTTCTTCCAGCGGTAATCTTTCTTCCACTGCTGCATTTACCAACGCTTTAGACAAAGCATCAATACATGACCGAAATATTTCCAGGCTGTGATCAACAGAAAAAGAGTGAAATTGCGTCAGTTGTTGGTTTATGTACTCAATCCAGAGACCACTGGAAGAGGGATACTCATTGATGAATGCTTTCCATTTTGTATTGAGTGCGTCGGTGTCATATTCTTCCTGAGCTATTTTCATGTACTCGATAATGATTGTCTCACGCTCATCTGCAATTAGCTCGTCGCACTGTAACGCTCTTTCTAATACATTAATCTTGACTTGACGAATCCCATAAGCTAGTTTTTTTCCCCTCAGAGTGTCGTTCGCATTTTGAGACATTGTGTGTGCCAGTTTCTCTTGAATGCTAGAAACTTTAAGCCAAGAGGAAGCAAGTTCTGGATGACTTTCAACTAATTTGTTACCTTCAACGAGTTCTTTTTTTAGATAATCATTCAGAAACAATACATTAGATGAGATATCAACATTGTCAGCTTCTGAAGAAGAATTCTGGTTAGACGGAGAAAAAAGAAGAAAGTCAGAGACAGACTCGGATTGATTTCGATTAATTTTCACGTATCCAGAATGACCATTTGATAATTTTTGAGTTATGTCCTTGTCAGGCAAATTGTTCGCATCCTTGACAGCGAGCAATACCACTTTTGATGATCTATGAGAAACAATGGTGTACAGATGCGAATATCCATAAACAAAAGAGGATTCTCGTCTGTATTTTGGAGTAGAATATCGGAGCCGTAGACCATATTGAGGAATATCAATATCGCCTTTCACGTCAACTTTTACATCCTTTAAAGCTCGTACTTGGTCTTCAATATTCAACTTTTTTATCTTCTCATGATGATGTTGTCTTGGTCTCCTTCGTTCGCGTTCTTTATTTTTTAAATGGGACTTCGTGATAGGCTCTGAACGTTTAAAACTCAAAAACTTTGGTACTTTTCTATCCCGTAGCTCACCCATGCTATAAATGGATGTAAAGATAACATTAGTTTTCAGTAATTGAGCAAATGAGATTTAATTAGCTTGAGCTCAAAGATTGTAAGATATGTGGTTAAGAAGTGAAAATTAAAACCGTTGTATTAACTGCTGTACTTTAACCACAGTTTCCTCTACTACAATTGCTAGAATTTCCGGTTTTCGTTTAAATTTCCTTGATTCTTGTTCCGATTTTGAAAGATCTATAGAACGTTAGCTTATACGTAGACTTCAGGTCACCGATTTTTATTTAGCATACCACATCTGTAACCCGCATTCCATTTCACGTATATATCGTTTGTATAGGCATCTCTTGGTGGCCACTGTTCGTCATCTTCAGTTATTGTGCAGGTTTTCTGTAAATTCTACACAATGGATCAACGGCAAATTCGTAAGAGTTATCGTTCCCTCATTAAGCGTGTACAAGGTAGGTATGAACTTTTTTATTACATGCGCTAATGATTATTCAGATTCGCGTCTTCAACTCATTGAACAGGAGAACGATGGATTGCAGGAAACTGTTCTTGCTGCGAACAGATTATTTGCTTCTGGTATGTGTGGGCATAACAATTCTAGAACTAACGAAATGCAGTTCAGGCACCTAATGAAGCAAGTCTCGATGCTATTCTTCTTACACGAACGGTTGATCTTGCATCGCTAAAAACAAAACAATTGAAAATTGGTAAAACAAAGTTTAAGATTGAGAATTATGTGAGACAATTGAAAAGAGCCCTAAATGTCAATGAAGGTGCAGCGTTAGAAAGTTATGTTCGTAACGCAGATGTCTTGGACAGCTGGGCTAAACTCGGTGAAATGGCATGGAAATGTCAGAAACGGGCATGTCCTGTCGAGTTCATGTACGTATTGAAATGCGTGTTTCAGCAGGAGAGGCAATGCTAACTTTTAGGACTGGACCTCTTTCATTCCGGAGGAAAGAACGTCAAATTGCTAGGCGCACCCGACAACAGCGAGTAGTCACTTCATTAACTAAACCTATTAAGGTAAGGACTGTAATGTTGCATGCTTTCCTAACTTATTTCAGTTAAAAGAAAGTGACTTGTCTACCCAAAAGCAAGAGACACCTGGTATTGTAATGCAAATTGCCAAGATTCTCAAAGAATATGAGCCCGTAAGCTTATTCAAATTCATCACAAATCCGGAAAACTTTTCGCAAACAGTGGAAAATCTATTTTGTGTCAGTCACTTAGTTAAAGAAGGAAAGGTTGGAATTCGTGAGGATGAAAATGGTCTTCCCATACTAGGTTTGTCAATAACTTTAAAATAAAACCTTACTAATCGGTCGCAGAAACTAGGATTCCACCTTCTGACGAAACTTTAAGCTCTGGAAAAGTGAAGAATATTCAGCTCGTTCTTAATCTTGACATGGCTATTTACGAGGTATGTTCATCCCGATGTGCGTAAGGCCTTTAACATTTGCAATAGGATATAATTGAAACCTTTCATATAAAGAAAAGTCTAATTCCAACTCGGCCACCTCCTAAAGAGTTGGAGGAAAACTCTACGTCTTGGTATGGCTAAATACATAACTAACTACGCATTCATCGATAATGTTGTGTCGACACTCAAAAAATTTGATTACACTTAAATACAGATAAAGTACAACAAAAGAATCTGTAAACCCAATTTACACTTCTTTTTAGATGCCTAACTTATATATGCATCACTTTCTAAATTTCCAAAAAGACTTTTAAGTGCGCTTTCGACAGACCTTCCAGCTTCGTGATCTAATAATCCTCACTGGTCATGAATGCCTTTTTTAAACGCTGTTCTTCACGTCGTCGCTTATCACGGGTTCGTTCAAGTGTACGACGATCAAACTGGTCAATTGATTGATGTTCAATTGGTGTATCAAACTCATCGACATCATCTGTTAAAAGTGATGCTGACGTTGTTTTTGCGCCAAGACTTTGACGGACAAAAGAAAAGCCAGAAAAATAAAGACCTAATCCTGAACCAAAAATGTAACGATATCTTTGAAGGTGGAACAGCTTTTCCCAAGAATCAACGATGACAACTTTTCCAGCAAGCTTTATTTTTTCTTTGAGAGAACAGTCAGCGCCGTCCGATTCAACAGTAACAAGGGCTTCACGAGCAGTTTTGTGAAGTTGTTTTTTGTGTCCCTTGGATATGGTTTTTGAAGACTCTCTGGTGACTTCAACAAGTACTCTAATTAATGCGTCTTTACGACGTACAAGTGGATTACTGGCCCTTTCTGTTAAATCAAGCATGTTTCCGTATTTTTCGTATGCCATGGCAATTGATTCCGCCGCTGCTATTTGCACACCTGGTTCAGAAGACGACAATTGTTCCTGCAGCGTCTCCACAACTTCTTGTAGTGTTTCCAATGCAGACGTTATTGTGGTTATTAATAGTCCACAACAGAAACAAGCAGATTGAACAACCACCGCAACGTCTTCAGCGCAAACAACCGCTCCGTCAGAGTCTATAATTCCTTGTAAGAATTCTAATACGAACACCGAATCGTCTTCTGTGTCGAGTAATAACGTCAAAAGAGTGTAGGACATAAGACATGCGCAGACAACTTCCGTAGAAGAACTCTCGTTAACATGTCGTACCAAAACATCTTCAGCAAAAGACCATAATTCACCAATATCTGCAGAAGAATAGACAGATATGATGTTTAAGAGTTTACAACAGTAGATAATTTCCTCTTTTGACCGGCCTTGTTTTAATATAGAAAGGACAGCAGATGTAATAGCTTCAACGCTATCATGAACAAGTTTGTGTGAACAAATTCTCAACGAATCACGAAGTAATTCCTTTTTCTGCTCAGCATTTAAGCTTCTGTATTCCGACAGTTTGTCAATGGCATCCTGAATATCACTCGTTTGAACTTTCGCGCTTGCTGAGGAAGGTAATTCGCTGGTCACTGAGCCTTCTGTCGAGAAATTCGTATCGACACTAAAGCCAGACTCACTGAGCAAGTCGGAAATATCAAATATTTCGCCTGCATCTACAGTCTTCCCTTTGGATTTCCCCATTAAAATGTTCGCGAACGGAGAGTTGCTTCTCGCACACGCGAAATACCTATCACCCCGCATACGTCATATTAATGATGTCACGGCATGAGCAGTCTTTAGCGAAAACATTTTTCCTTGAGAATATTTGCGGAGAGAGATGAGTGTCTATAATGACAGTTTTTTAGGATAAGAATTAGTGTTTCGTAAGTTGTTTTGGTTGCGGACTGCCTCTTTTTTTTTTTTTTTTTTTTTTAAATGATTTTAGTCGAATTTTATGGATTTTTTCAATTTCCATAATCTCATTATCCGGAATATTAAGGAATAATTATTAATTCAATTTCTTTGGTCGGAAATTTCCATCGGGCATGTGTATATCTATTAAGCCCGAATTTGTCGGATTTAATTGGGTTTTTTATTAGTTTATATGATTAAATAATAATTAAATACCCTATCCCCACTTGATGTTTGTAAAATTTATATATAATTATTTTTTTTTCTTTAGAATATTTTTTCTTCACATTTTCACACAGAATTCGTGCCAGAATGCAATTCTTTTTGTTCATATTCCCTTTTATTTAATTTCCAATTATTCAATTCGTACTCTCCATTACCTCTACCTCGCGTGGGCATTCCCCTAACATTACCTCCACCATAGGATATCCGCACCTGAACAAGTTCTTCACCGAGTCGTTCTTCTTTGTCTTCCGTACTCAATTGCTTATAATTCACAATTAGTTATGAATTCTTTCTGTTGAGACCGTGTTTTGTAACTGGCCTCAAAGTCTGAAATTTTCCCGGTTTCTTAGTATTGGAAACAATCCAAAGACTTTGTTCTCACACATTGTCCCACGTGTTATTCATTTCATTACTCCTTGTACGCATTCATTCATTCTTATTTATTGCATTTTGTTATTTCAAACAACAATATCTTCATAGAACTGTTCTCGCTTGTTCATTTTACTATTAGATATCTGACAGCATCAATTACATTTACTCAAGGATGAACAAAGCGAACTCCGTGGACACGACGCCAAAGATTGTCACACTGTACAAACAAGTGTTGAATCCGCAGACTTCTGCAGATGAATTTGATGACCTATTTTGGCGAGAGTTTTTTCTGCTACAAGACCACGTAGAAGAATTGAGGACGCTATTGTCAGAATTCAATGACAACGATGTATATCATTTGCGGCACAAGTTGCGAAGTATGTTTTCGTGTGTCATTGTGCTCCTATCTCAACCTTCTGAAGAACGACGGGTAATAAACGCATTCAAGACGCTGTCTGTTGTTTTCCAAGATCTTTCTGCACGAAAAGTGCCTGATTTTAGTCTTACCGTGATCAGCTTTTTTGGCGGCATTGACAAAATCGACGAGAGCTTCTCGCGATTTGTATTTAACTTGGGTTCCCTAGTATTAAAGAAAATGAATACGGACTTTGGTGTGCAAGCACTTCTTTTCTTACGAAAAACGGTGTTCTTTCTGTATCCAACGACTCTAATCTCACATGTGTTCGATGATGACACTGTATTTCGTGCACTTTACTCAATCGTAGAAGCAAAAGCAGAGGGAATAGACATTGCAGTTACCACCCTTGGTCTGCTATCGGCATGCGATCGATTCGAAGTTATGAATACATGTCGCGTAAAGTTATCCCATGTCACCGACGAAGGGTTTATGACGAATTATCTGTTGAGCGTGTCAAAGGCGATGTCAAGCCTATGCGATACATACCGTGAAATTAAACCAGAGGTTTCCAATACTAGTGGGTTTTTCTCCTTCTTATCGTTTTCTCGTACAGTCTATCCGCCGACTGAGGAACAGGAAACCGCATTTTCTGCCTTACCTGATGACCGTACCTTGTACGTAATTGCTCTTTACGAAATGGCTACATGTAACAAAGTTTTTCTATTGCTTCTTTTTGACATGCGCCCTTCAGACACTGAAAGCTGTCCACTCTCTAACTTGATATCACTGGCATCATACATTGGAGCTCATCAGCGAAGCTCGCCGATTGCTGGACGGGTATCGGTGGTTTTCCTTAACCTGCTTCATTTTATGACTGACAAAACCTTCTTTGTCAACAATCTACTGAACGAGGACATGTCCATCAGTCCTACGTTGTGTAGCCAAAGGTTACCTACTTTAACATTCCCTTCTGCACCCGCGCCTCCATTAGTCTTTATGTTGGATGTTGTTGTGATATCTTTACAGCATAATTTGAAGCGCAATCTCAACTGTATAATGTACAACCTTTCCTTTTCGTATATACGACATGCAATATTTCTTCTATTCGATGAAGGATTACGGCTTCATTATCACTGGAAGGAACTTTGGCGGACGCTATTCTTTTGTCTTCACTTTTTCGCTAGTCTCTACCGAACCGAAGTGTCGCCGTCCGCAGTCGTAAATGAGACAGTTGATATATTCTTTGGACTGCTCGGCTTTGTAATATCTGAAAGTGGTTCTGTTGTAGAGACTACCGAGGAATTGGTCGATCTACTTTACAAACTCGTGCATGGCACGACTGCGATAAGAACGTTACTAGAAAAGCGGGACTGGAAGAATAAGTCATGTATGGAACTTTTGCTTAAACTCTCGGACGATTTGACAGGTGGTGCTCCCAGCGGTGAAATCGTCGTTACTGATGATTTATTGTCTGTCATTCAAAAGCATACTGAAAGTTTGCAAATCCCCAGCGACTTAAAAAACATTCATGAAGTTATATTTACGGAACGCAATTCCAAATCGATGTACAAAATACTATGTCGTGAATTAGCAGATACCGCTTTGGGTACTAAAGACATGGCCTACGAACACGAAAAATAATGACAGCTTTTTCATTCTCTTAATGTGCAAAGCTAATTACTCTTCTACGAAATGGTATCAACAAACTCCTGACGATGGAATTGAGTCCTTTTGTTATGTTTTGTATAACATCCTAACTTAATAGACAATTATAGAATTGATAATATGAACTGAGGTGTGAGTGTATTAACGTCCACTACTTTAATAAACATTTCATAGGGTTAGTAGCTGTTCTAGAGACAAAGACGTTTTAAAAGTGTACTTTGGAATTATTGTATTTCTGCAAAGGTTACCTATTTATCCAGTAATGAATTGGCAGTTAAGGAGTTAATAAACGAAGTTAATGACATTCATTAATTTATTTGAATGCCTTCTTAATACAGGCGGTAACGATGTACCAACAGTCCAGGTGTCTCAATGTATTTGCTTCATTAAACAACATTGACTAAAGCTGAATTATAGAAGTTCAATAGTCGAAGCTGAGAATAAAATTTACGGGACAGTCCTTATTCATTGTCTGCTCCATAGGTAAATTTGAATATTCACTAACTGCATTCTCGGATATTTGAGTGTGTGGAGCATTCTAATTTTAGCTACGATGTGAGTAATGTGCTTGAAAAGTGTTCAATATAAATTAATAAAGGTGTTTTTACTTAAAGCTGTATATTTGATGAGACTCTTCAAAAGATATTCGTGGATGATTGTCTATGTGGTTGGAAGGAAAAAAGTTTTGTTTAAAAAACTCGACTGTATCAACGGAATTGTTCTTTATCCGTGTAACTAAAACTATCAATTGAGCAATCAACTAACTCACAATGTGAGAAGACATTGAGTTATTAATCTCAAATCCCACAGAATTTTAACAAGAGTCACTATGTCCGAGCGGTTAAGGAGTTAGACTTGAATTCGTTCAGTTATCTAATGGGCTATGCCCTCGCAGGTTCAAGTCCTGCTGGTGACGAAGCTCTTTTGTTGCGCAGCTTTTTCGTCTTTTTTAAAAGCGAAACACAACAGCGGTTATTTTGTCTAGTTTTAGTGAAATGATCTGAACCCTCGCTTGAGACACCATCGGGAAAGTTGGTGAATTGTAGCAGCAAAAAATAATACTGTATTAAAGTAACTGTTGCATTAACTCATGAAGCTAACCAGAGTTCAATTAATATTTTACTTTTCATTATGGATTTTTTAAGATTTGGTTTTTTGTGACTTAAGGTTTCGGCCATGCGATTAAGCGAGACATAGAATCCAACTGTTTATAGTTATTACAGTAACCAATACTAATTTCAAAGCCTAAAAACTATTACTAATATCATTTAAAGTTAGTACTGACCGTTCGCCAAAATTTTGTTCAGCAATTAACCATTTTTTTTAGATTTCTGTAGGAAGTATTTTAAGGTTTGTATCTAGCGAACCTAATGTACGATATTTCTGTTTTGATTAAACATGAAAAATGGGACCTCGGATGTCCTAGGTTTTGTACTAAACTAGCGGCCTAAACATATTTCTTGCATTCATTTCTTTTTTCTCAATGAGTTGAGATAGCACAACGTTAAAATTTAGAGAACTTGTAATATAAGATAGTTCATAGCGCAATTGCTACAATAGGCAGTCAATACCACGGAACTTGTCATTACTGCTTGATATTGTTTGATAACACTGGCGTGTCTGTTTAAGAAAGACTAAAATGCTTTACTCGAAGTAATTTAGTTGGAAACCTAATTTAGCGAGACACGACAATTCCCTAAGCGACGAAAGAAAAAAGAAAAGAAACCGAACGCAGCAACAAAAACGAGAATAATGCAGCGAGCGAGGTTCGAACTCGCGCGTTTATCAACAGCAGAGTTTCCATCGACCGTTCAGTCAACTTAAATCTGCCCCCTTAGACCACTCGGGCATCGCTGCTTCGGATGCCCAATGTGGTTCGGGGGGCATTTTCTTCTACAATTGAATGCTGTGTGTCAATAGACTACTACCTTTGAGAGTGTCTAACTGTGCAGATGCACAGTGAGGACGGTCTTTAGTTGCTACTAGCCTTTCTTGAACTTTGCTTGGTCGTAGTGCTAAGAAGTTATTCTATTTCTCAATTATTTGTTTGAGGAAATTAGTCGTCACTCTCACCTAAATTTCCATAGTGGAAAGAGGTTCTGTGTTGATGCCCAAGACATCAGCTATTGTTCCATTACCTCCCATTTACCGACTTTGTTGCAGAATCGTTTGCTGGAACCCAAGTTTCCACAGGAGAAGGAGTAGTGTGTGTAAAGTTTAAACGAATGTTCTTTAGAATCTAACGGTTTCAAGGTTTATCTCATAATATTAGTAGTTGAACATCATTATTGCCGACAATTTCGGCTCGTTTCCTTTTTGTTTGCTTCAATCTTTATGATGCAAGCGAGAAAGAATTTGATTCAGATTGTTAGGAAGAGTTTCTTCTTTTCTTCCGTCTCGATATAGAGCATAATTATAAACGATCAATGTACCAAAACGAAATACTAGTGTAATAAAACACAAGTCAATAACAGTGGACTCATGACTAATTGACTACTCTTACAAATGACTCGTATATTCCTCCTTTAGCTAAATGATATGGTACTTTCTTCTCGTTCTTCTCGTCTTTTTTATGAATGTACGAAATGAGTTCTGAAATGGTTGCGATGTTACATTTTCGCCTTTACAATCAAATTTATACGTCATTTGCATATGTTAATTCTTGCCTTGCTTCTTATAGTATCTCATGACGTCTCTTTTTCTTCCAAGTTTTGCATAACATAATCTAGTAAAGCCAATGTGCAACGATTATTGCATGTCAATTACCAGAGACTGGTTGTTGAAATCAATCTTCTAAAACTAGACTAAATACTAATGATATAGCTTCACGTTAAGTATACACTCTACGGGAAGTTAAGTGTGAAGGTTCAAAAACTTGCCTGTAGTTTAAACTTGCAAAGGCAGTACACAAATCCCAGAGTGTGAGGGCTCAATGACATTAGAACTAGTACATTCGTAGCTGAAAAGAAACCTAGCTCAATTACTATCAAATAACATTATTATAAAAAAAAATCAATGATGACTGTCCGACCAGTACTTTGTTATTTGCTACTTTTCAGCTTCAAGTGAACGTTATGTAATTAATTTGCTGTGACACAAATGTGTTTGTATAATCTCATCCTTATCGTCAATGACCGTAATCACTTAGAATTACAAGAATAACTAACTGTATGCACCAAGCGAAATCTGGATTTACACGATTTGTCAATACTAGTAGGTAGTGAGGCTTGAATCTTACTTAAATGTCTTCACACAGTTTGGGGATGTCACTTTGGTTGGTATTACAGCTCTCAGTATCGAAGACAGAGGCTTACTGACACACAGCATTCAATTGTAGAATGTCGCCTGAACCACACTGAGCATCCGAAGCAGCGATGCCCGAGTGGTCTAAGGGGGCAGATTTAAGTTGACTGAACGGTCGATGGAAACTCTGCTGTTGATAAACGCGCGAGTTCGAACCTCGCTCGCTGCATTATTCTCGTTTTTGTTGCTGCGTTCGGTTTCTTTTCTTTTTTCTTTCGTCGCTTAGGGAATTGTCGTGTCTCGCTAAATTAGGTTTCCAACTAAATTACTTCGAGTAAAGCATTTTAGTCTTTCTTAAACAGACACGCCAGTGTTATCAAACAATAGCAAGCAATGTACTAATAATTTGAGGCATCCGAGCATTGCGTTGAAAGCCCAAGGTGTACAAGTTTGTCAGATCACATTCTACCAGTATGAATATTTTCTAATAAAAGAACTGTTACACAAGAACAACGACGCCACGTGCTTAAGAATAAACTGTTTAAGTTTGTTTCATTAGGCATTCCAAATAAAAATGAATTAATAATATTCTAAGAATTTGCTTGAAGACAATAGATCGACGGGAAAGTTTAGAGTTACTGACCCAGTATGGTATTATAATAACAGAATTATTTGGCAAAGGCGTTATTATTTACTTCTTTCTTGTGGAATTGCTTGCAGTAACAAAGTAGCGACTATATCAGGTACTATTTACTACTAAATTCAGTAAACAATAAGCCATGATACTATAAAAAAGTCTAATTAAAAAAAAATGAGTACTAATTATTGAGAGCTACTATAATATTCTCAGTAAAGTAAATTACAGAAGATCTTACTAAACAAATTTTTTATAACTTTGAGTAGAGAGTTGTTGTCAACAAATTCATTATGTCGTATCCCTTTTACATTTGCACGGGTCTTCTTTAACTCGTCAAATCTAATTAATAACGTAATCATAAATTGAAGTAATTGTTGCTTGAGGTTCGCTTAGCTTTATTAATATGTGTTAGCGAAAACCACGGTAAAAGACAAACTAACTAAATGAACAAATCACCAATGAATTGCGACGTTTAGGCATAAGTTTATTAGTATTCTTAATTGCCTGTTAAACCGGTCTACGTAATTTTGATACATACAGCAGAGATTAGATTTTTGTTGTTCGCTTATTTGCAGGGCCGAAACCTTAATCAAACTCGCGAAAACCTTAATACTGGGTTCAAACGGAAAGAAAAATTAACTATGATGATAATTAATTATTATTGAATGGATTTATTAATCAAATAGAAGGTCCTTGCAGAATTATTGTTTCCATGATTTTGATACACGAATAAACCCACGCGGAGGGTTAGAACCTTTCACTAAAATTAAACAATTTAACTAAGGCTTATTTTTCATCGCAAAAAATAATAGAAGAATGCGAAGTAAAAGAGCTTCGTCACCAGCAGGACTTGAACCTGCGCGGGCATAGCCCATTAGATGCCTGAACGAGTTCAAGTCTAACTCCTTAACCGCTCGGACATAGTGACTCTCGTTGAAATTCGGTGAAAACTGTTATTGAAATAAGAATAATTACGAACGCCAAACGTGAATCGCAGAGGAATTTATAAAGCCGAAAAGCCAACTGTTGATGACATAATGGTAATGGCTGAAACACACTCACAAACTGTTGATACTAAACTTCGCATGAATAATAAACTATCCAATTATTGACCAAGAATTTGATCGACTAATAATATCAGATAAGATCATGCATTAAACGTCTTGTACAAGCACAATCTTAAATAAATGCAAAATTGTAATAATGTAATTTCTTATATTGTAAGAAGAAAGTTTTAGTAAGGACAAAGCAAAACAAATCTAATTAATCAGTTTCATTATAGCTGAGCAAGAGAAATTTTTCAGTTAACTTAGTTAAGACCTCAAGCATACATGATATATCAAATAGGCAACGTCGATGTGTGTGTATTATCCATAACTTTGTTGTTTACAGACAGTATATATAGTTAACAAATTTACACGCTAAGTAGAATAACGAAATAAATTTATACCATGCCGTATAAAGTCGTTCCTCATTTTAAATGAATGAGTCATCGAGGAAAAAGCTATCTAAATTAGGTTAGCCCTTGAAGCAACTCGAAAAAGGTAATTTCTTCAAGTCCAGCTTCGTTTCGTAACTAAACTGTTCTCCTTATTTGTATACCAGAAAACATTCTCACTAAAAGTTCACTCTATTTGCAATCCAAATCTTATAAGTTTTCCTCGAGCCTAACAATTAGAAGATGCGTATCGTATTTCTCATTTCATCGCACATGTTCGGCGCGTTCAGCTTTATAGTATAAAGTTGGCGATGAATAATCTAATAGGATACATAAATTAAACATTCGGCTCTGTTTAACGGGCGACGAGTTAAAATTTATTAATAACTGTAAGCGGTCGGAGTCTACAAAATGATTGGAAGAGAGAATATGACTAAGCTTCGGCACCTTCGCTTACCGTCTAGAAATCAATATGCGAGACTGTTTAGAATGACAGAAAAGAAATCACCTTGTGTGCACAATTATTTTTCTTACTTCAATTAAGACAGTGTGCAAGTCAAGTAACGTCAATCAACGTAAAAGCACCAAAGTTCACATATAGGGTTTACGGTTTTTCCATTCGTATTCTTCTTGTTACTCACAAAATCGATTATTTTAAGCTCTTTTCAGTATAACACAAAGGCGTGTTTCATTTTAAGTGTACAACTTTTATAGCAGAAGCACCTGCTCCTTTATTTTGCTTTTATACATATATCTATTGAAACCCAATTATTGATCCATCGCCCTTGACTGGAAAATGAACGCCTCCGCTATATCGTTTTCTTCGGAAAATAGCATGTCTATGAAACGACAACATGGAATTTTGTGTGACAACACTTCTGCTACAGAAGTTTGCAAATCAACAGTTCTTGATCTCGAAAACCAGTCAGGCGATATTAAAGAAAGTATAAGCCAAGAAAATGAAATTCCTAAAAATAACATGCCAGTCGTCATGACCGGAATATTGCTGACTACGTTTCTGTCAGCTTTAGACAGTACCATTGTTACCACTGCTGTCCCAACCATTGTGCACGACTTGTCAGGCAAGGTCGATTATTCTTGGATTGGCTCAGCATATACGCTCGCATTGACTGCTGTCCTTCCCCTTCTTGGTGTTGCCTCAGACATGCTTGGTCGAAAAGTCGTGTTGTACAGTAGCATCTTGTGCTTTCTTTTAGGCAGTGCACTTTGCGGTGCCAGTAATTCTATGATCATGCTCGTCATATGTCGAGCTGTTCAAGGCGTCGGAGCAGGCGGAATAACGTCGCTGTGTTTTATTGTTATTTCTGATATTACCTCGCTTGCAAATCGGTCATTTTACACGTCATTCATCGCTTCAGTATGGGGGATCGCTTCAGTCATCGGCCCGCTTTTAGGAGGCATTATATGTCAAGGCACAACTTGGCGTTGGATATTTTTCATTAATTTACCTACCGGAGGAATCTCTATAGCAATTCTTGTATTCTTTCTTAATGTCCCTGTTCATGATCGAACAACGTTCCGACACTTTCTGGTGACATTTGATTTTATTGGGCTTACTACGTGCATTGTTGGAAGTGTGCTCATATTACTTGGGCTCTCCATTGGTGCGACAAATAACGACTGGGTTCGCGTGAATGTGCTTGTCTACATCATAGTTGGAGTTGTTTTGCTTATAGTGTGTGCTTTCTGTGAAGCTAAAACTACTAGAAACCAGATTCTTCCAACATTCATGTTTGATAGTTTGTCAAAATGTGCGTTGTTATTCACAGTCTTCTTGCATAATTACAACTATATGCTTTTCGATTATTACCTACCGGAGTTCTATCAGAATGTTAAAGGCGACACCCCCATATTTCCGGCATTCACATTATTGCTCCAGCGTTTTTAGTATCCTTATTCTCTTTTCTTACAGGTATGTTTATTAAGAAAACAATAACTTTATGATTCCTATGTATATTGGGTGGTTATTTATGACTGCCGGTATGGGGGCACTGACGGATCTAAATTACTCAAGTTCCGTCGGCAAGATTATTGCACTTAGTATAATCTATCCAATCGGCTCTGGATGTCTGTTTCTGCCCCCTCTTCTCGCAGCACAGGCGTCAACGCCCGTGCATGTGATGGCGATTGTTACTTCGGTTGTTATGTTTGTTAGAAGCATAGGTGGCAGCGTTGGCGTAATCGTTGGAAAAGTCGTTTATTCACAAACTTTGGCAGCTCTGCTTGGAAAAAATGCCAATACACTGTCGAATATGTCTTATGAACAAATTAATACTTTCCCCCAAGATGAAAGAAGTCAATTGCTGGATAAAATGGGAAAAGCATACCGAATGAATTGGATTGTTGGTACAATTATATCTGGTATTGGGCTTCTTTGTCTGCTAACTGTAAGAATGAATGGCGCTTCTAAGCAAAAGTAATTATAAACTCGTTCATGCTGCCATAGAAATATACCAATAATAATAATAAACAAAAAAAAAAAAAAAAACTGTCTGAAGAAAACAATTATACAAGTAATTGTATAGAAATAGAAGAAACAGCAAAGCTAAATGTGGAGTGCTAGTTATATGGCAACTTTCCTATCTAATTGAAGGCTTCTTGAACAAGTAACCAACACAACTACTACTTATGAACCATTAAACGATAAAAGAACATTAATTGCATTATCTTTCTCTTAAAAAATTCCTTCTCTCACAAGATTCGCAAAGCAAAACTTTTTACGCATTCGGAAACCTGTGATCTCTGAATAATCAAGATTGGTGCATTGAATTTCTAGCTAAATTATCCTCAAGTTCAACGATAAAAGGCTCATGAGTACTGCATGTTAATTTGGTTTATGTACTTACCGTGTTTCCCAATTGCGTAAGTTGCCAATTACAACTAAAATAAATGATAACTTTTAATTGAGGAAGTTGTTCAAATAAAGGTTTCAAGACTTAAGTTATAACCTTTATTAAATATATTAAATGCAGAAAGACTGTCTACATGTTAAACGATATACAAATTCTATTGATTTATTTCTTCAGATATCTAGTCATGACAGTTACAGAAAGTTTTTCCAAACATAATTCACTACTTGTCGAATATCAATTGGTCAATGCTGTTTTATTTTTTATAGTTCATAGTATACCTGCAAGCCTTTTGACCAGTTACATTAGAAAAGTCTAATCTTTCGTAAAAACTCTTACATCTCAACCTTCACTGTTTACACAAATATGTTATGGTTCAGGTCCAAATTATGGTTTAGTTATCTGGTAATCTAACTCAATCGACTTGGCAGTGCTTGGACCTATTCACTCAACAGTGTAGAATAAGGTATCAGTTAGTGCAACATAAATTAGTTGTTGCGACAACTCAAAGAAAACGGAATTTATGTGGTGGATGCACTCGTAGCATCGTAATTAATTGTTATCATTAAATCTATGAATAATAATATTAAATGATTAATGATAAAATCAAGCGTCAAGTATTGAAAATTAATCTAAAACTTTTTTATTAATAATGCGAAGTAGCTGAAGCAAGATAGAAAACAACAATATTTTTAGGCTTAAAGACAAACGGATACTAATATAACTAGTCAATCTGTTCGTCCGAAGTTCCGAGAGCAGAGAAGCAATTCCATTTGCACGGTCGCTATCCAAAAACTAAAAATACACGAAAAGACTACCTAAAACTAACAGCTTCACAACAGGACTGTCACAGTTCGAGGTCCCCATTGTCTTTGATTCGAGAGATTAGTTCTTACTTGGCTTCAAACGGTGATTGAAACCACTCACTCAGTTTGTTAACAAGGTTCGCTTAACTGAACCTTAAATAGTAAAATGCGACAATGAGAAAAGTAATGCGTTAACTGTTGAAATGAGCCTGTAGTGTTCCGCGGATTTTTGGCAATTGAACTAACAAGTATTTATGTTAATTGTCTAATTAACAATCTCCTACTAATCGTAATTTTTTGTTAAGTAATTACAAGATTCCAATAAAGCCGAAGTTCCAGGCTTTGCGGAACGTGTCGATAGTAGAATAGTTTAGAGAGAAACAATGCGGTCATTGTTTCTCTTCCGTTTATCCGTTTGTTTAGGCGGAAGCTTGCCGTTGGTTTGGCTGCTTAGTCGCCAAAATTCCAAAAGTACATGACATAAAGCCAACAATTTCATGACACTGGAACGTTACGCTTTGTTATTTTATATGCGGTTCATCAGAAATTACTATTACTTACTATTACCACATACACACACACTTTCCTACTTTTATCGTGCGTACCTGCTTGCAGCACTCGCTTTGCTGTCCACTGTTTAACATCGGTGACAGCAGCAAAAAGACGTGGAGACCCCCTTCCCTGCTGGGACGGCTCGAGTGAATCCTATCGCTGTCGCACTGCCTCTGACCCGGGGTTGACGTGCGTTGTTGCCAACCTCTGCCGGTGGCCCCGTGTTTAATCCCCTCCGCTACTGGCAGCTGCCCGCCAGAGTCGGTAGGGGAATCAGAGGATCAACAGCGAGACTCGAACCCGTGCACACCACCCCACCAGGTGACGAAGGGACTGTCTCTCCATCTGAGCCATTACAGCTTGAAAGTTGCCTTTCTTAGCCTACTACATAGCATTGCTCTTCTTCTTGTTCCACTTGTTAATTCTTGTTCATATTCAGTTGTACTAAATGATTACTTACTACTCACTAACATACTTAGTGGTAAATAGTTAACGTATACGAGGCAACATAACAAACTTTGAACAGCACACACATCATAGATAGTAGACTTGGTGCTGGCTTGTTTTATTTTGCTTTGTTTTATTTCATCCCAATCACCAGCAGAAGAGGCCAAAACCATGCACCCACATATGTCGATGCAGCACAGCCGTTTTATGCAAACAAAACAAAAAGCTATGCTCCCGGCGAGGATCGAACTCGCGATTTTCACGTAGCATACCTGGTAAGAGGTGTACCATATAAGCATGAGGCCTTTACCAACTTGGCCACGGGAACCTTCTTGCCTGTCGTGGAGCAGGTAAATTTATGTGATTGACTCCGAGTACTTTTGACCTTTGAAATGAAACAATCATTCAACTGATTAGTCTCTTAAATTGAATGACTAAGCATTCATTAGCATTCATTGAATAGGTAATATAAATATGCAAGAATTCAATGGCTACAATCCGTTGAACGCTACTTGTTTCTTTTAGCAATAACTTTCAGAACATATTGCGCATAACATAACATTTAGGTTTTATTAACCGAAGCTTATTGAATGGTTAAAGGAAACCAACAAACAGTAATCCTCAATCGAACTAAATATATCCGGCCTCGAACCGGGACAGATATGGCGATGTTACTATGTCCGAGCGGTTAAGGAGTTAGACTTGAACATGTTCAGGTATCTAATGGGCTATGCCCTCGCAGGTTCAAGTCCTGCTGGTGACGAGATACACGGGATTATCTGTCCCATTGCTTTTTGTTTTTGAGAGATGCAGTCTATATTGACTACTTTTAGTAAAAATGCTTATTCTTTCGGCTTGCATTTTCAAGTTTCATCAACATCAGAAGTATTGAAAGGTGTAAAACGGTATATAACTATTTAGAATTGCAAGTAATGTACAGATAATTACGTAAAGTTGTTGGTTCCATGGTTTTTAATTTTTTTTTAACAGTTTAGTATCCAAATTTTCGCATTTTTGAGTAAGGTTTCGGCTCTACGAACAAGCGAGAATCTGTATGTACCAGCTAATATGAATTAAAGTTATCAAAATTCAACAAAATTAATACTAAAAGTGATTTTGGATGAGTGGTAAATCGCCATTGCTCATTGGAAATTTATACAATGATTTGGGTTGTCTTTTAATTTCCTTTTCGTAAATATCAATTAAGGTTTCCTGCTAAGCGAGCAATATACAAAAAGGTCTGTATGAATGAATGTTCTACTTCTTGGATCAAGACACATACGAAAAGAGACAATATGATAGATTCGCCTAATTTTAACACATATTTTTTTAAAGAAAAATATGTTTAATTTGAAAAACGATCTGATAAAGAATGATGTGCTCAAAATAAAAGACGGTAGACTATGCAGCTTAACCCCATTAGTATAACAGAAATTACTATTCCTTGTAGTGCTTTGGGGCTTAGTATAATTTGTTCGTTAGTCCATATTCTTTTTCTTCTGTACTAACCAGTCATTCTGATGTTATTTTCTAGACGTAGACAACTTGGTACACTTGTTACTTTTAACAACTAAATGAGGAAATACAAGTTAGTATCGCTTATTTTAATAGGCCCGCAGGTGTCATTGTCACAGTTTACTCAAACGAGATACCTCGTTGTAGATTTAGGTTTCCAACAAGTCCAATAGTGTTTTATATTACACATTGTTTTTACGAACTTTGAGCCCTATTTTGAAATTGACTCTTGTATTTTGTCCGTGAGGTACTGCAAATGAAAGCGTATTGTTATTGGAATGAGAGTAAACTAATTATTGTTTATTTCGTCTCAAGCATGATGTTAAAGCCATAGCAGTAAACACAGTGATTAAAATTATCAGTTAAATATCTGTGTCCGTGCTTAGGAAAGTTTTCATGCTGAAGTTGAAGACGTATGGCCTCAATTTATTCCGACAAATGCTGAAGTAGTTTCAGCAACAAAAAACGAACAACAAGAACAATAATGCGGCGAGCGAGGTTCGAACTCGCGCGTTTATCAACAGCAGAGTTCCATTAGCCTTACGGCCGACTTAAATCTGCCCCCTTAGACCACTCGGGCATCGCTGCTTAGGACATTTTGTTGCGATTCGAGGCCGAATATGTTTAGCTCAATTAAGGATTCCCGTTCGTAGGCTTCAAATAATGAATAACTTCTTCCTTTCAACCTTTCCAATAAGCTTTGATTAATAATATAATATTATGTCACGTGCCATAAGTTCTGAAAGTTATTGCTAAAAGAAACAAGTAGCGTTCAACGGATTGTAGCCATTGAATTCTTGCATATTTATATTACCTATTCAATGAATGCTAATGAATGCTTAGTCATTCAATTTAAGAGACTAATCAGTTGAATGATTGTTTCATTTCAAAGGTCAAAAGTACTCGGAGTCAATCACATAAATTTACCTGCTCCACGACAGGCATGTCACAGTTCGATTGCCTGGTTACTTTGGTTCAAGAGATTAATTCTTATTTGGCTTCAAACGGTGATTGAAACCACTTACTCAGTTAGTTAACTTGGTTCGCTTAACCGAACCTTAATTGGATAATTGCGAAAATGGGAATTGAAGTTAAGTGCTGAATAAGCTTGTAAGTGTTCAACGGCTTTCTAGCAATTGAACTTACAAGTATTTATATTAATTATGTATTTGATAATATCTTAGTAAATGAGATTGCTTATTAAGGAATCACAAGATTCCAATAAGGCAGAAGTTCCAGACTTTGCGGAACTTATTGATTATAGAATTGTTTAGAGAGAAACAATGTGATCACTGTTTCTCTTCCGTTCATCCGTTTGTTTGGGCGGAAGCTTGCCGTTCGTTTGGCTGCTTCATCGCCAGGTTTCCAAAAGTCATGGAGTCCATGGCATAAGGCCAATGGTTCCATGACAAGGCAAGAAGGTTCCCGTGGCCAAGTTGGTAAAGGCCTCATGCTTATATGGTACACCTCTTACCAGGTATGCTACGTGAAAATCGCGAGTTCGATCCTCGCCGGGAGCAGAGCTTTTTGCCTTTTTCTCATTACAAATTGAAACTAAAATATAATTCCCAAGTAGTACGGCTTTTACATATCAATTCAAACTTACTCAACCCAACTATTTTTAGTGCCGAATTTGTGTCAATACTGCTTTCGCGTAAAAAAACTTAGATAACCTTAATACTCATTATCTCATTCGCCCAAAAAAACAGTCACGCGGGCTATTTGAAGGCCAGAAACAATTCCTGTCCTTCACCACAGCATCATGCGTGACAAGTGGAGAAAGAAACGTGTGCGCCGTCTCAAGCGTAAAAGAAGAAAAATGAGAGCCAGATCGTAAGTGCAACTCGCTCATCATATTTGAAGTAATTCAATTACTAACATGTTACAGCAAATAAGCGGATCGTTAGCGTCCTGAGTGTTTGAGCGGTGCTCGGCAGCTCTTACCGGAATCTGCTCAATGGCTCTTCATGTTCGTTTCAATAAAATTCTTCACCATAATGTTTGTGTTTTTGTTTGAGTGTTAAGTGTAGGGTTTGTACAGTGTTTGTTTTAATTATCTTCCCAATTATGAATGAACTTAAAGCTTTCAATGTGAATAAACCAATAATTAAATCAACAACCTGTAAGCCAATTACCAAAAACTAAATCTTTACATCGCGGAGCTGTCTCCGAACATTATCAAGTTCGGCCAAAGCCGCCTTCTTCTTGTTCTTCGTCATGCGAGAAGGCGCTTTTCTACGACCCATTTTTGATCCAAAGGACGTCAAGAAATCATCCATAACGTTGTTAAATTGTGCATCGTGAATGAGTTCATTGACGTCCTTTTGCTCTGGGTCAACAAGCTGCGACTCATCTCGAAGAGGAACGTATTCTTCCTCAATTCGGTCAAAACGGTCGTCCAACAGCGTAAGACCCTCATTTCGGAAAAGTGCAGAACTAGTCATGGAAACTGCCGACAAGGCAGTCTTGGCTTTGCGAGCTTTGGGGGGTTTTGTAGCAGGTGCAGCAGTCGTGGCAGATACCAGCTCAGGAACTTCATCAAATTCCTCTTCGCTATCAAAGTCATCGTCACTGTTGGCAGCTTTGTTCTTGCGTTGCTCGTGCTTAAACCGTTCAAACTCAATTTCCCATTCTTGTTTACCGGTTTGACGAACTGCTTCCTCGTTAAATTCTTCCAATTCAGGTTTGAGTTCTTCTCCATGAGCATAAAATTCGTTTTCGTCCACAGGACCTTCTTTGATAAGCTCAGCAAACTCTGCTTCTAGGTTGGTACCAATGCTGGAAGCCAGCTCAGCATCTCCTTCTTCACGTTCGGCTTCCTCTAGCGCTTCGAGTACTTCACGCAAGCGTGGATCCATATCAGGCTGGAAACCAGCAATTGCGTCGGGGACATTTTGTTGATTTTGATATGTCATAGGCAATTCAGTTGCCGAGGGATTCACCTCTTCGGGCAAAACAATATCCTCCTTCAGCTGGATAGACGAGTTTTTCTCCTTTGGTTTTTGCTTGCGTGCACTTGGTGCCTCAACCCAAGTAGCGTCCTCATTACCAATGTTACGCAAATGCTGCATATAGTCATATTCAGTGTCATCAAAATATACACCGTACATGGCAGCCTCGCCCTCGTTCGAACGAACATTGCTGCTGTATTCGTCGTCAAGCTCAGCACGTCGAATACTACGAGCCGATTTTTTCAAGACATCTGTAGTCACCAAAACATGTTCTGTGGTACCTTCTTGGTAGAACAATGGATCTCTTTGAGAACGGTGAACTAAGTGAAAAGTGGTGGCCTTGTTCTTATCAACGAATTTCTTTTTTCCCTTTCCCTAAATCATTTTGTTAGTCAAGATTGTCAGAAGAAAATGCAAAAGGCTTCTTATTCTGATTTGAACAACACAATTAAAAATCATGTGTTATTAAAGTTCATAACCAACAACCATCCTCCTCTCTTCTTGATGTCAAGTGCCAATGCCTCTAGTAAATAAATAACATACCATTGCTATTTTCCCTCTAAGAATACAATTTATGTCAGAAACTAAGGCTTATTTAAAGCAAAAATTCGCCCAATTCGTCTCCGCTGGTGTTTGGTTGAGGTTGCGTTTCCACTGTCCGTTTCGGTGGCCGTGACTGCCCCAAGCTCATCCTAGGCAGAGGCGACAGAGGTGCTTCACGTAAGCTTCCAACTACACGCTACCGTCACGGATTGCTTTTGTAATTTCAGTTTTTTTCAATAGAAACCAATAAGGTCTTTAACGTCTTGTACTGAAGGGTGTTTTACATTGTGATTCGACGCAATTGTGGCGTTTGCTGATTACGGAAACTTTGTTTTTCTGTAGGTTCTTTTTTCCTATTTTTCTGTATTTTTTTAAACCTCTTCTTTGTTGTAAAACATGGTATGTGTGAATAAAGGGAGGACGATTGTATTGTGACAATTGCTGGTTTCGTTGATATTGCTTTTATCAAATTACTCCTCGTCCTCTGAAGAGCCGAGATATAATTTTCTAACATGCATCTAGGGTTTACCAAAGTCCAAAAACCATCTTGGTTTAGGCCGTGCCATTCAAAATGACTTTATGAAAGGCCGTAGAAACAAAAAAGGTGGTCTTCGACACATCACCGATCCTAATGATGAACCTAGCTGGGTCAAGCTTCGTTCTGTTACACAGCAGACTGATTTAGATGAGTTTTTAAGTACGGCTGAGCTTAGTAATGTTGACTTTACGGCTGAGAAGTTGAATGTCAAGGTCATCCAAAACAGCGAACAAAATCCCTTCCTTTTAAATAGCGAACAGGAAGCGAAGTCTAAACAACAACAAGAACTTAACAAGGACCGTCTCACCATTCCCTGTCGTCCTCCTTGGGACGAAAACACCACTCCTGTGGAGCTCGAACGCAATGAGCGACAAGCGTTTTTGGAATGGCGTCGAAGCCTGGCTCAATTGCAAGAGATTCCTGGTTTCGTTGTTACACCGTTTGAGCGGAATTTAGAAGTTTGGCGTCAGCTTTGGCGTGTTATCGAACGTTCAGATGTTATTGTCCAAATTGTCGATGCAAGAAACCCTCTGTTCTATCGGTCGGCTTTCCTAGAGCAATATGTAAAAGAAGTTGATCCCTGTAAGAAGAATTTCCTTCTTGTAAATAAAGCTGATATGTTGACTGATTCTCAGCGTCAAGAGTGGGCCAGCTACTTCAAATCTCACAACATCACTTTCCTTTTCTTCTCTGCTCGTCTTGCCTCTGAGCAACAGGAGTTGGCCGGTGTCACTGGCAGCGACGCTCCTCTGAGCGACGCTGTCGACACAAACGATGATTACAGTCGTGTTAACCCAATCAAAATCGCTAATATCAACATGCTCTCCAATATCTTCAACTCTTACGCTGAACAATCAGCGAATGGAAAGAAGTCAGTCACCATTGGTTTGGTTGGTTACCCCAACGTTGGTAAGTCATCCACTATCAATGCCCTTGCTGGTGCGAAGAAAGTGTCCGTCTCATCGACCCCTGGTAAGACGAAACATTTCCAAACAATCAAACTCTCTCCTACTGTCATGCTTTGTGATTGTCCAGGTCTGGTGTTCCCTTCATTCGCAGATACACAAGCTGACTTGGTGCTGAACGGTGTACTTCCAATTGATCAGCTGCGCGAGCATACTGGTCCAGCTGCGCTCGTTGCCAGCCGGTTTCCTAAGGACGTACTTGAGAAAACATACGCGATCACTATTCATACGCGGCCAGTGGAAGAAGGCGGTTCTGGAATTCCGACAGCCGATGAATTTTTGTATCCGTATGCTGTTGTTCGCGGTTTCATGCGCGCTCATCACGGTAATCCTGATGACTCGAGAGCTGCTCGTTACGTTTTGAAAGACTATGTTAATGGCAAGATCATCTACTGCCACCCTCCTCCCACATATACAGGCACTGGTCTCGAGTTTAATGCCGAACATCATCGTAATGTTACCGCTATCGAGTTCGACGAGGTCACCAATGAATTGAAGAATGCCACCATCTCCGATTCTTCGTCGGCAAAACCGAAGAAGGTTCAGAATCCCCGGAGTAAAACAGAAACCCTTGACACAAACTACTTCCGTCGCAACGCTCTTATTCGTTCGCATGTGAACGGTGCTGGCGCATTGAATGGGAGTGACTATCGTGGCCGCACCATTCATCATGCATTCCAGCAGCGCCTAAATGATGACGGAACGCCTATGGACCCTGCCATTTCGGAAGCTCAAGCTGCTTTACTTCAAAAACCCTTGTCTCGCCGTAAGGCTCGTCAGCTTGCCGCAATGGATCTTGGAGTTTCGCCTGAATTGCTTGCCGGCTCCTCGAAGAAGCACAACAAGAAGAACAAGCGTGGCAAACAAAGAAGTGGTCAGGGTTATGACATTTAAAATCGGTTTTGGCAATTATTTGTTTTTGAAAAGTGTTTTCTATATGGTTTTCATTTTGGGCTTGATGATGACGCGGATGTTTTTATAGTCACTGTTGGCTTCAATGGTTTGTTTTATTAGTTCAATGCTTTAATATTATCCTTAAGGAAAAGAGCTAGATGAGCGAGAATGTGAAGCGGCTGAGGGGGTGTATTATGAACGGTGGCCACGGTAGATTAACTATTATCTTCCTGATTTATTTGTCGGCCTGTGTAAGTTACTTTCCCCAATTTTGTTTACTACGCGACGTGTTTTCCATTTATTAAGGTTATTCATTACATATCGTGTCTTAGTCCACCTGCAAGGACCAGCCAACAAAACCTGCCCTTTGCTAACTAGGTAGTCGATGCGGCTCGATTGTTTGTGTAATACTGCTCTGTATTAAAGCTGAAATCGTTGTTGAGTGTCTAAACATGGACGTAGGTAGCTTACACGACGATTGGGTCCTGGTTTCATTAGGCCACATTGTGAAACGCGCAAAACTTGTGACCCTGGCAAAACGATATGGTGTCTCAGCGAACGGAAAAACATCTGTAATTGTAGAACGATTACGAGAAAAATTACAAGCATTGCTTCAAGAACATGAGCTTATTAGCTCTGAAACGCCGCCCAAGGAAAATTCGCCCGTGTCGTACTCACCGGCACACAAATCACAGACAGAAGTCGAAAACAATATGGTTCAAGAAGCTGTATGCTCGCCCCCTCCAGAGCTTAAAGCCGTACAAACGCCAATTAAGGCCTTGCCATCTCCTGTTAAGAAAATGACACCATCACCTTCTCCACGCGAGCAAAAAGTCTATGAAGCAGCCAAACGGCTGTTTCACGATGTTCGTGAAGAGGAACCCTCTGAACTTGCAAGTCCATTGTCCAAACGACGATGTGTCTCTATGTCTCCGAGACGTCCGAGCAACATCGGATCTCCTCTCAGCAGAATGAGTGATGACAGGATACGGGCTTCAGGAAACATTCGAGCTAGCTTATCGTTCGGTTCTCCCACCGCTCGTTCTCCTCGAGGCTTGTCTAAGCTCCCAATCGTTCGGTCTCCCAGCCCTCGAAAAATGTCAAAGGTGATGCATGCAATTGCCAATGTCACAGATACACAAGCAGCAACTTCCAACACATCTCCAACAAAATTAAACAAATCAATTGCCGCAATTGCCTCCTCCGAACTTTCTTCTGCTCCAACTTCCCTCCCGACAACTCCCCGTCGTGACCATTCCCTTCGTCCGCAATCCACGGCTTCAGAAACCCATCGTCAAAACCGTCTTGCCATTCTCGCAACACCAAAGCACAAGCGCAAACGTTTCCAATTCTCGTCCCCAGAAAAACCGCCGTGGCGCTAATTCATCCGTCTTCGTGCATGCGACGCGTCACAATAAACTTGTTTGTTTATTTGTTTACACGTACACTTTAAATTCGCGTTGCCTTGGCAACCATATTTATAAACGCCAGCAGCACCTCTACAAAAGGCCAACTACAAAACGATACGCGTTAACAGTGTAAACAAAACAAAATGAGTGAATCGAAAGAGGAAACGAAACCTGCTGAACAAATCGAAGTGCCGATTCAACCTCTGCATCAAGGAAACTTAAACAACTTGCACAAGCAGGTGTTTCAAGCGAGAAACGTTCCAAAAGCTGGTCCTTCGTTTGCCAGTCCCACAGACAATTTGATGAGCCCTTGTACGGCAAAACTGCAAGCTCATAAGAAAAAATACTACACAAAGTAAGTGAAGACGCGACGAACGTGGAATATGTGTGCTGACGACATTGCAGGGGAAAACCGGTGTCCTCGCTGCAAGCATCGCTGTTAAACGCAAAGGAGAACCCGAAAGAAGCATAATAAGTTCATTACTTAGTTACGAGGTACTGCTAGCAGACCCGGCGGTAACGGAATGAACGCTTTTCTGTCTTAGAACGTTATTTCTGATGGAACCGTTCTTACAGCTTCTTTATACCCTCCACATCGTCTGTTCTTCCTTTCATGTTTTGCGTTCCTTGGCTGTACGTAAGTGTGTGGACGAATTACACAGTAGCGTGTATTTCATTTAGTCCATCCATTCTATCTCCTTTGGAACTTCCTCTTCCCTGTTTTTGTTTCTGGTTTCCTCTCATATCGTGTGTTAAGGTTGCTTATACTTCTTTTTTTTTTGTTGTTCGAGTCCGCATTGCCATAAACGTCCTTAATGAAATTCCTGCTTTGCTTTAAATAGTGGGGAATGGATCGAGGTGATAGTAGATATATGCATGCGTACGCAGATGAGTAAGTAGGACTAAGGTTGAGATTGCCCGGGTAGCATTGGTCCAGCGAACCCTTAAAACAAACATAACGTTTCATACAACTCAAGATTAAAAGATTAGACTCGTGAGAACATGTGAATTGCGTCAATCTTTTAAACTGGTTGGTTCCTTTGGTTGTTGAGAAGAAGATGCGACCGGTGGCTCACAGTCAATAAGCGAAGGTTCTTGAACAATATTTTCAGCGGGGACGGGGATTTGCATTTGTTCAAAGATTTTAGATTGCGCCATCATACTATTCGATTCTTGCTCTTCGAGTTCACGTTCAAAAAGCCGACTGTCATTGTCGATAAAAGTTCTGAGTGTTTCTGGCACAGTGGGATCAGCAGAACACAGGGCCTCTAACGACACATACACAAGAATGCGTGAGTGGAACGAAGGATGCGTCTCAAAAGTCAGACTCACGCTGTCAAAATTGACACGCTGGACATCGCAAATGTTATCGTTTTCTAAGAGTGAACCATTTGATACAAATGACACCTGATACCAATCGCTAGGAGGAGCTGTGTGGACACCGGTTGAAGGCTGCTGGTCTTCGCCAGGATTGGTTTCGGTATTCATCTGCATCAGATTGTTTTGCGGCACTCGCAAAAACAAGAGTGAAGGCTCTAATAGTACCGCTTGAAGATGACGTTCACAATCACCAGCAACGTCGTTATACAGAACAGAAAGCTTTTGTTGAGTTGCTTCAGTCTTTGCCAGCGTTGACCGTAAACGGATGTTGACCGATTGTTTCAACAACTCTACATGATCAGCAAGCGAAGGATTCCTTTTTTTCAAAAGCAAGAGTGCATCGTCGAGCAGGGTTGGCATGTCTTTCTCACTAATATTGCGACCCAACATTTTGTTATATGATGTTTCCCACCGGGAAAGGGCGTCTCTGTAAACACGTTCATGCTTCATTTTTTGCAGGACTTGGTCTCGATTACTTTTGATGAACTTTCCTAATTGGAGTAAAGGGTTCAAGCGCACGGGAGCACTGTTTTCGGTATTGTTACCTGTAAAAAGGATGCTACATACATCTGCAACATTTTCCATCCACAGCCAGTCATCGACAGACTTGTCAATTTGAAAAAGACGAGCTTGTAAACAGTCTTCGACAGATAATGGCGGGGCCAAGTATGAAGGTGCATCAAGCTGCAACACAGCATGGTTTCCCCAATGTTGATGATTTGTTGAGACGTAAGAAGTAAGGAATGTACGTGAAAAAAGGGGGGACGGTGAAGATGAAAAGTAGCTAAAGAACCGAGACAGACATTCGTACTCTGATAAACCCAACAAATTGTCTCCGAAAGCTGATGCCACCTTGTAGTAAGCACTTGTTACGTTTGTGTTGTCCAAGTATAGACGATTAGACAAACTAAGAAAGGCCATTGTCCGGCACAACTGAAGCTGCAATGCGGCTTGCGGATTCAACTTCGCGGGAAGACAGTCTTTCTCACCGCACCACCAGCCGTTAGGAGGTAGATTATCCTTTGATTGCTGATGCAACGTGTTGGCAGCCTCACTGTAGAATGCTTGAACGGCTTGTGGTATTTTGTGAAGGACGAGCAGAAATGGTGCCAAGATGGGAAAAATTACACTTGGTTTTATGATACAACCACAATCATTAGGCAGACGTTTACGGAGACTCGGCTCTGGATTAAAGAATGAATCCTGATAGCTGGGCAGACTGGAGCAGGATTGTGACATTTCTGAAGGAGACTCCATTCTATCTTGCTTCAAACGACCACTAAAGAAGTAGTCTGCAGCATTCGCAACATCGTTTTGACACCGACGAAGGGACTCACGGGCATCTTCATCCGACATACCCATAGACTTAAGCGTTTCCAAATGAACTGAACTATCCATTTCATCTGATGACATTATGTAAAAACAAAAGATTATTTCTTTACAAAGAGAGAAGCAACAAAAAAAAAAGAGAGATGTAACCTCAGGAAGTGAAAAGAGAAATTGAGGTACTGTATTTGTCGAACACAGTCAAAAGGCTAATTTAAAGCCAAAACGTATAGTTGAACGAGCGTTAAAAGAGAGAACAGGTATCCTGAAAAAAAAAGGTTTTATTAGCAAGCAGTTTCCTATTTATACAACATAGTTAGATGAAATTTCGTATATGCACATACAATTTGTTATCAAAAAAAGTCGTTTAAAAATAAATGTGTGTTACTACTAGTCCAAAATGACAAGAAACCACAAAAACAGATCAATTGCACGAAATCCCAAATGGAATACTGCAACAAAGTTGTGGAACGAAGTAGTTGGGGAAAGCTGGAACACAGCGAGCGAACCTTAATTTCAGAAATAAGGTTATCTATGACGTAGGTTATGTCTTTATGGTGGTTAGGTTTTATAAAGCCCTATGGCAAAAAGATTTACAAACCTAAAAGTTGAAAGCGATCATGTGAAGTTACCGACCACCACCTAGGCGCAGGTGCGACTGAACTTCCGTCAATATTTTACCTAACAAGTTTTTGTTATATTATATGTGTTGATAAATTGCCAATTTTTGGCTAATTAATTTAAGAACTACTTACTGAACATTTCGAGCGAAAAAACGGGAGGAATTACCGTATTTAAGGTTTTCGACGTTATCCAGCCCTTCTGAACGAGTCACTGCTTGCAATTGAAATACTTACTCATTTGTTAAAGCGAATTCTGCTATAAGTTTTGCTCTTTGGACGCTTCCGATAAGTTTTGTCCGTTCTTCTTATACTCTTATACTGCCATTGTGACTGCAGACAAAGTTCCCTTAACAAGTTTCTCCTTTGGTCGAACATCTCCTCTTTGTACTCCTCGTCATCTTTTCACGGACACTCAATTAAACTTGATCTGTTCTGTTACTTGCTATTTTTTGCCGACATTAATCCGTGATATTTTGAATATCTGTGTCTGGACTCTGTATCATTGAAGCTACCACTATGGAAAAGCATTACTACGTTCACGACTTTACAGGCACTTCCCCAATTACGCTTCCGCCGCCGATTCCCACAGGTTCTCAAGTAATGTACGTGAATGACGAGGCTACGACTACCGTCAATCCAATCTCGTCAAACGATTACAATCTGCCTCCCATTAAAAACATTCCACAAAAACCTGCGGCTTCAGACAGCACGTCGTCTTCTCCTGCAAGCGTGAACAAATCCAACGGTCCGAGTTATGACAGTTGGTACGAGGCTCGTAAAATGAGCCATCGGGAGGTGGAACGTCGGAGACGCGAAACCATAAACGAAGGTATTCAGGAGCTTGCTAAAATTGTTCCTGGTTGCGAGAAGAAGAAGGGAAGCATTATCCAACGCGCCATCCAATACATTAACACTCTGAAAGAAAATGAAGCAATGAACATTGAGAAATGGACACTGGAGAAGTTTGAGGCGGAGCAGACAATTCAGGAGCTTTCTCGTGCAAACGAAAAGCTGAAGAATGAATGCGAACGTGCTTGGAGAAGCGCGAATATGTGGAAACAAACGGCAGAAAGTCTTCAACAAGAAACCCCACCGCATGCTACAGCTACAGAAGAGAAGGACACTTGAACATATCGCTGATATGTATTCAATTCGTGTCCTTACGGCCGCTGTATCTTTCTCTGGGATTTTTATTTCACTATACTCTGTAAACTCTTGGTAAACTTTTGCCACACATGTCGTTAACAGATTCAGCTTCCTATGCTAAATCCGCTTACGGCATTCTTGTCTACCTATTCTTCCGCATAGAACACACACATTTTCACATGCATTCTCACATCTCACGTCTTCTACTATTGTGCTTCGCTTCTACTCCTTTGTGTTTATTTGCTTTGTAATGCTGCCTGTTTTTCAGCACTGTAAATTACAATTTGTCTGGTTATTTTTAAAATCGTCTTACTGAAGACGCAACAACTTCATCTTTGTTTTCTTCAACAGCTACGGACTAATTCACTTTAAGCTTCTTGTTCCCTAAGCGCTATCAGTCTCGGTTATTTTCTTAAGAAATCCCGACTCGGCTACTCTATCTCAATACGTTTACTGAACCAAAGTTTCCGCCTTAAAATCGCTAAGTGAAGAACGACGAATTTCGGTATTCAAAGATAACGTAATATAGCGTCGGTCTAAGTCATCAGAAAATCGCTCAAAATCTTGGTAGAAGGTTATTCGGCTCACGATACGTGAAGTGTGCTTACGTTATCGATTCCGCGCGCCATAAATTGAACGCAAGGCTCATTCTTTAACCTCGCAGAAGCACAATTTCTGCGAACTTCTCAAAACAATGGTAACACCTGGGGTGTTTAGCACTGAATCAGTGCTAAACGTTCGTATTGGAGAAGAAATATTCTTCCGTCAATTCAATCTCTTTCCTAGTTACATTTTGTTGTTGTTTGGTGGTTTCCAATATTTTCTCGACTTGAGAAAACGGGATCTTGGAATTCGATTTAAAAGTTATTGGACCATCTGGCTGAAACTGCTCAACATTGTTTTGCTGATTACCTTAGGTGCATCTTCTTTCGTTGATGTATTCGGTTGGTACGGTACAATTGTTGCATTTGCTGCTCTCGCATTTGCTGCTTTCATCCATGTCGTTGAACAACCTACTCTTCGTGTTCCTTTTGGCTCACTGTTAATGTTCTATGCGTTGTCTTTAATTTCCACTTCTACTTCATTTATTTTTCACAAATCAAAGGCATTTTCTTCCATTTCTCCTTCGACCTTTGGATTATGGACAATTTTCTCTGTTATCGGTCTTACTGCTGAGCTTTTTGTTCCTCCTCCTAACCGCGTTTGGCTTCCAGCGGACGAGGCAGCAACGAACTTGTCAGGCCTTCGTCCTGCTCAGTATACCTACGCAAACATTTTCAGTAAAATTACGTTCTCATGGCTGACTCCCATTATGCGTTTTGGTTACAAGCATTATTTGAAGGAAGAGGACTGCTGGGAACTTCCCAAGGTTGAACAAACGGACGTTCAGTTGCGTACTTTCTCCAAATATTGGAACCGCTATGGAGAGAAAGTAGGAAGCCAATCCGGCTCACTTTGGTTGGTTCTATTTCGTGCACATTTCCCTGTGGTGGCACTTTGTGTCTTCTACAAGTTTATTCAAGATTGCTTAGCCTTCGTTCAACCTCAGTTGATTCGTCGCATTATTATCTTCGTGAATTCGTACACCTCCAAGCACCCTTTTCCCGCTTCCAATGGTATCCTTCTTTCTTTGGGCATGCTGGTTTCCTCTGCTGTCCAATCCGCTATCTTCCATCAATACTTGCAGTTAACAATGATTATTGGAATGCGCTGGCGCGCTCAATTGATTGCTGCTATTTACCGTAAAGCTCTGCGTTTGTCTAGCGAAACAAGACAGGGCCGTTCTACTGGTGATATTGTAAACTACATGGCTGTCGATACTCAGAAGCTCGCTGACTTGACAATGTACTTGTTCATCAGTATTTCTGGCCCCTTCCAAATCGTTCTGGCACTCGTGAGTTTGTACAAGCTTTTGGGTTATAGTGCATTGTCTGGTGTCGTAATTATGCTTCTTTTGATCCCAATGAATGCGGTGATTGCTAGTTACGCCAAGAAACTTCAAGCCAAGCAAATGAAGAATAAAGACGCACGTTCTCGCATGATGACAGAAATTATCAACAACATTAAGAGTATTAAGTTATATTCATGGGAGAAAACCTTTTACGATAAGCTTATCAATTTGCGTAACAACAAGGAGCTTCGCATGCTTCGTAAGATTTTCCTTGTTAATTGCGGAAGTTTCTTCCTCTGGCTTGCTGCACCTATTTTCGTCTCTTTTGTTACCTTTGGTACATTCATTCTTATATATGGAAAGTCCAGGCCACTCACTACTGACATCGTCTTTTCAGCTCTGGCCCTGTTCAACCTGTTACAGTTCCCCCTCGCAATGCTTCCTAATGTCATTAGTTCTATTTTGGAAGCCTCCGTCGCCGTCCGTCGTATCCATGAATATTTAATCGCTCCTGAACTCGCTGAGGATGCTATTGAGCGCCACGCAGTTCAAGAATCTCCAGAAGGTGTCATTGTTGAAGTAAAGGATGCGACGTTTTATTGGAATGATCCCAACAGCGAGGGCGCTGCTCCAATTCTCAAAGATATAAACTTTATTGCTCGAAAGGGTGAATTGTCTTGTATCGTTGGACGTGTCGGTATGGGCAAGAGTTCGCTCCTGGAAGCAATTCTTGGAGATATGCACAGAGCCGCTGGAACCGTTAAACTTTACGGTAACATCGCTTACGCAGCCCAACAACCATGGATTCTGAACGCTACTGTTCGTGAAAATATTCTTTTTGGCCATGATTTTGAACCTGAATTTTATGAGAAAACGATTGATGCATGCTCTCTTCGTCGAGACTTTGAAATGTTCGCTGACGGTGATCAAACAGAAGTTGGTGAAAAGGGTATCTCTCTGTCCGGTGGTCAGAAAGCTCGTATTTCTTTGGCTCGTGCAGTATATTCGCGTGCTGATCTCTACATATTGGATGATGTTTTGTCGGCTGTAGATCAGCATGTTTCCAAGCACCTTATTGATAATATTCTGGGTCCTAAGGGTCTTCTGAGATCTCGCGCTGTCATTTTAGCTACAAATTCTCTTCCAGTACTTCAAGTTGCCGATTCGATCCACATGTTGCGTGATGGTCAAGTTGTTGAGCATGGAAGCTTCACTCAGCTTTCTGCAGATGAGAACAGTCAGCTTTTCCAGTTGCTGAAGGAGTTTGGCACCGCTCATTCGGAAAGTACTTCGTTACAGGAGAGCACTACACTGGAGGAGGATAAGGAGTCTGATGCAATGGAAGCTTCTGTCGGCACCACGGAGCGCCGTAACAGTACGATTACTATCGGCAAACCCGTCATTAGTCAGAACGGTCGCATTCGCCGTAAGGTTGTCGACGAGGAAGACACTCGTGTAACTGGTGTAAAGCGAGAGCTTCAAAATCGTGGCCATATTCGCAAGGAAGTCTACTTTGCCTACTTCAAGTCGGCATCCTTGGTTGCTACAGTGGCTTACTTTATCTGTATCGTTGCCGGAATGGGTATGAATGTTGCTTCGAATGTTTGGCTGAAGCACTGGAGTGAGGTTAATACGGGTGCTGACAGTAACCCCTCTGCGCCTTTCTATCTCTTTGTCTACTTTGGACTGGGTTTGGCGTTCTGTTTCCTGATTGCCGTGGCTAATGTTATACTCACTGTGTATGGAACACTTCGTGCTTCTCACCATCTTCATGACAGTATGTTGAAGGCTGTGCTTCGTGCTCCCATGAGCTTCTTTGAAACAACCCCCACCGGCCGTATTTTGAATCGATTCTCTAGTGATGTGTATCGCATTGACGAAGTCATTGCCCGTGTTTTCATGTTCTTTTTCCGGAACGCTACGCAAGTTACATTCGTTCTTTTGGTTATTATTTACTCTTCGCCCGGATTCCTGCTTCTCGTTCTTCCTCTCGGTATCCTTTATCGACTGAGTCAACGGTATTATACTCATACAAGTCGTGAGCTCAAACGTCTCGACAGTGTTACACGGAGTCCGCTGTATGCACATTTCCAAGAGTCACTTGGTGGTTTATCTACTATTCGTGCTTATGACCGTACTGGTACGTTCGTGCACGAAAACGACTGGCGTGTTGACACGAATCATCGTATCTTCTACCTCTTTTTTACATCCAACCGTTGGCTGGCCGTTCGGTTGGAATTCATCGGTAGTTGTGTAGTTTTTAGTTCTGCTTTCCTGGGCGTACTTTCTGCTTTGCGTGGACATCCAAATGCTGGTCTCGTGGGTCTCTCGCTTTCGTATGCCATTCAGATCACGCAGAACATGAGCTTCATCGTCCGCCAAATGGTGGATGTTGAGACAAACATTGTTTCTGTAGAGCGTATTCTTGAGTATTCCAACATTAAGAGTGAGGCACCTGCTATCATTCCTGACAGACGTCCTCCTACTGATTGGCCTTCGAAGGGTGCTGTGGATTTCAACCATTACAGCGTCCGTTACCGTGAAAATCTTCCATTGGTTCTTCAAGACATCAACATCAGTGTCAAGCCTCAAGAGAAGATTGGTATTGTTGGTCGTACTGGAGCTGGAAAGTCTACTCTGACAATGGCACTGTTTCGTATGATTGAGCCCACCAAGGGTAATATCAGCATTGATGGATTGAACACATCGACAATTGGATTGGAAGATTTGCGGTCCCATATCGCCATTATTCCCCAAGAGAACCAGGCCTTCGAAGGAACACTTCGCGACAATCTTGATCCCGCTGGTCATCATACAGATGAAGATATTTACGCTGCTCTCGAGGATGCTTCGTTGTCGTCATTCGTAAAGGGCTTACCTGAAGGTTTGTATTTCCACGTCACCGAGGGTGGTAGCAATTTGTCTTTGGGCCAACGGCAACTTCTGTGTTTGACGCGTGCTCTGCTTACTCCTACGAAAGTTCTTCTACTTGACGAGGCGACAGCTGCCGTGGATGTTGAAACGGATGCCATTGTTCAAGCAACCATCCGGAGCAAATTCCACGATCGCACCATTATGACAATTGCACACCGCATCAACACCGTTTTAGATTCGGACCGCATCCTTGTTCTCGACCACGGTCAAGTTGTTGAGTTTGACAACACACAAAAGCTGCTGAATGACAAGAACTCGCTCTTTTATTCTCTTGTCTATGGCACTCAACTGGCTTAATTGCGGGCAGTATCCCGTTATTAACTTTCAATCCCCCCTCATTAGAGTATTCTCGTGTATACTGTTTTTTACATAATCTGTCATATCGTTCTTCAATTTGCCGTATTTTATTTGTGTGCATGAAATTTTCATTCGTATCGGATTAAACGAAAGGAAGAATGTATTGTTTGTTTGCCTGCTACGGAATTAATTCTGCAATTGACAACTTTCTGTTTCACGCAATTGTTAACATAACTTCGATTGATTGTTGAACTTCGCGAGTATTATGCTCCGTGATTTTTCCCCGGTCGCTTATTCGGCGAAAATCGCGTATTCCGTTTAAAGTTTTTGTGGGATAATCTCGGTTCACATACATGACTGTGATTCGTCTTATCTTCAGGAGTATCCCCTACTCGTCAATTATAGTCAACCAATATAAAATAGCGCCGACTCGTTAAACCGCTATTGTTCCCATTATTCACTAAACTCAGGCGAAAGAATCGAGCTGATCACGCTAGCGATGGCGCAGAAAGGCAGCAGACCACGAGTCTGAAAATGTCGCTGTTAGAGACCATACTGTCGGCTTTAAACTGCTGTGTTTTCGCCATTTTTTTGGTGCGACAGGAAGTCTCATTGACGTCTCTTTTTGATCCTGTTTGCTTCATGCTGCGGCTCCACGTGTGCAAACAATGGCCCTGGCGTTTCCATTGTTCTGTCGGCTTTGTGACGTCATTTCATCCCAGAGAGTCCTGGATTTGGTCCCGTATGCTTAGGCGCAAAAGCTCAGACTTAGTCAAAAATAGTCAGTCTATGAATTTGCGATGGAGAATATAAATGCTGCCGCCGCATGCAGAATGCGCAGCCTCCTCATACGAATCACAAGCTGAGTCCATCGGGTAGTGTCTAGACAACGCGCATCTCTTGTGTCCTCAACTATACCACTACATCGATACGATTTTTTGAAGAACGGTAGTCTAGCAAAGTCTTATTACCGAATCGGCTCTGTGCGTATTGTTGTAGACAGAGCCCATTTTGTAATTGCGTTTTTACATTTTGTCGCGTGCACTAGTGCCGCGTTTCATTGAGTACCGTTGTACCAATTACTCGCGTATACCAGTTCTTTGGCCGCTTGGCACATTGAATTGGGGAACGGAAAGTAAGCAGTGCTTACTTTACCATAAGAAATCGCTTCCATTTCGGAGAGCACTCTAATTAAATCCCAACACTGATCACCACAACTCGCTGGTGCGTCTGTGTCGGTGTCTGTTTTCGTCCTTGGTGCTTCTCTAATTGCGTTTGCGCCCTTGAAGCAGCCGTCTTCTTTCTCCAAAGTTTTGCTTTCGTTTTCCGTTTTCTTTTGACCATTTTTTAATCTGTTTGGTTGTTTCCGTTGTACTTATTTAACGTTCGTTTCATTCCGTTTTCCATTGGCATCTTCATCTCATCAGCATGTATTCCGTTTGTGTGTTCTACCAGGTCTACGCCTACCTCTCTATTTTGCTGGCAATTCCTTTGGGCCTAATGCAGATGCGGGCTCGAAACGTGCCTTGCATAGCATTGCTGTTTTGGCTGACAGTAGCAACATTGATTTACGGTGTCGACAACGCCATCTGGTGGAGAGAAATAATCACGGCCGTTCAATGGAAAGGATTCGTTTGGTGTGATGTTACTAGCCAGCTTCTCGTCGCATCCGGTCTGGCCATCCCACAGTCTGCATTTTGCATGGTTTTTTATCTTGATTCGGTCGTTCGCAGCAACAAACCGCTTCCCATGTACAAGCATTTGGGTTTCAACATCTTTGTTTGCTTCATTAGCCCGTTCATTGGCATGGGTCTGGCAATTATGACCGAAGGCGCCCGGTACTACATTCTAGGAATGAATGGCTGTCGTGCAGCCATTATGAACACCTGGTTTGCCTTTGCCATTCTCACTGTGCCGCCATGTCTTGCATGTCTGTTCGGATTGTTCCACGTTTCACGTGTCATTTGGGTGTACGTCAAAAAGCAGAAACAGCTTGAACAGTACTTCAAGCGCGATTCATACCTCACATCTCGTCGGTTCGTGCGTTTGTTGTGTCTGGCACTCGTATTCTTCCTGGGCTATCTGCCTCTTACGATGTATTTGTTGATCAGCAACTGTATTGCAGAAGAGTGGATCCCATTCCGCATTTCTGACTTCCATCCATGGAACAAAAATGATATACTCGGCTTCGAAATGGATTCGATTCAAATGAACAGCTGGGTCCCACCCACAGTGCTGTATGTGATGGTATTGTTTTTTGGCACCAGCAAAGATTTTTCGAACGTTATTGTTCGTTACTTCTGGGTGCTCGTGTACTGCATACCAGGAATTAAAAACACGCGTCTGGGTCGTCATGCAAATGCACAGATCAGCAGACTGGATACCTCCAAGTCATCTTCACACACGTTGATTGACAATTCGGTTATGAATACGGACGGAAAGGCTTTAGTTCTCGAGCGCGTCTGGAGCAAATTCTCTGTTCCAAGCGACGACACTTTCGAAACTAAGTGAACCGCCGAAAATGTCAAGAGCGCTGCCGATGGTTAAGTCGACTTTGCCGCCGCTGAGCTTACTGACGAGTTCCAGGTCGGCAAGGCTGCGACCACCGCCAGCATACGTGCAGGGGATCGTAACCCATTTGCCCAATTTGACGACGAGCTCCTTGTCAATTCCTTGGCAAAGGCCTTCGACGTCAGCCGCGTGAATCAAAAACTCTGAACAGTACTTGGAGAGCATGTCCAAGTTATCCTTGTTAATTTTCATAGTTGTCAGCAGCTGCCACTTGTTCATGGCAGCGATCCACTCGTTTCCCTTTCGGCGACAACTGTTTGTTAGTAATGTGATTAATGAATACAAGACATGGAAATGAGCGCATGTAACCAAAGTTGGACAAGGCACCGCTTCACACGGCTTGTGCAGCTTTCTGCGGGGTCTGCAAGCTAACTGCTGCATCGACGAGCGTACCTGACATCGACAACGAGGCGATCACGACCGATGAGGTCGGAGAGCATCTTGAGACGAGATTCATCAAACTCGCCATTGGGGAAGAGCCAAGAGGTAACGATGACCTGAATGAGGTGAGCAAGGGGAAAGGAGGATGGAAGAGGAAGAGGAGAGAGTGGTTGTTCACATAGTGAGCGCGACGTTTGCGAGCAGAGACGAGCGACTAAGTCGCTTAACGCCTCGGTCACCTTTTGCGAACGCGTCTCGTTGTCCGAATCTTCCAAATCAGCACCGTACCTTGGAAGCGCCACGATCAATCCATTGCTGAGCATTCGACAGGTTGATGCCGCCGCCAACTTGAAGAGCGTCTAAACGAATGATTAGCCGACGAGAATATTTGACATTCACAGAGAAGCCAGTGTGACTCTGTGAAAGAGCAGCAAAGCTGACGAAAACGTACTGGGCCAAGCTTGAAGAGCCTCTGTGGCCGCTTGCTCACAATTGGGGCCAGCATGATGACATGACCGCCGGTCAAGTTGTTTTGCTTGTAGAGCTCAGCATAGTAAGAGCTCGATTTGGCGGACACGTAGTTTGTTTGGAGCGCGCGTGTACTTCCCAGCGAGCCGCCGACAATTTGTTTCACTTGGCCTTGGTGAATGTCAATGCAAGGGCGAAATTTCGTAGGCATGATGTGAGGAGCGGGGGGGAAGGGAGGGGCGGTAAGAGGTGAAATTTAGAGTTGGAAGTTGTGGAGGGTGAGAGAAGCGAAGGTGGAAAGAGTGCGGGAAAACGAAGAGAAACCTGGCCAACTTTTTTCTTTCCGCTTTTGTTTCAGTCGACATCACCTCTTCCCACAATTCCCTCTTCTTTCCTTTCCCCCCGTTTGTTGCCTCCTGCATCGACCACCTTTTTCTGACCCAGCTTCTGCTGCCCCTCCGCACACCTCCCTCCACCATGGCAGAAGACGCTTTAGCGGCTCTCCAAAAACATTTCGAGCAGCAATTTGGCGCAACCACTGACGTCTTGGGTCCGCTGCCGTCCCGTAAGACGGAAAGGGTCGAAGGAGACGAGGAAAATGCTGATGGCGTTGAAGAAGTGCCCTCATCGCCCTCTTCGGTTTCCTCTCACACATCGCCTCCTTCGTCGCCAGGCATTCTGCGTGTCTCTGCCGTTGAACAAGAGCGGACGACCATCGTACAACCTGGCAAAAAGTCCTTTCTGAAAAAAATGCCCAAGCTGCTTGTGGAAGAGGAGCTTGTGAGCGAACGCAAACGGAAGCTCAGCGCGGCTGCTGAGGGTTCAGCCCAAGAGGTGGAGCAGGATTCGCTGGAGGCAGAAAACCTGAAGAACGACGTTGCGTTGCAGAAGCTCTTGCGTGAATCCCACCTGCTGCATGAGGCTGCTTCGCGTTCAGGAACAGTGTCACTCGAAGCTCAAGGCAAGGCACGACACAAAGCGACCATGCAGCATATAGCCATGCTCGGAGGTCAGACCAAGGATCAAAAAATGCCCATGGCTGCTCGTAAGGGTATGCACGCCAAGCGTCAGCGCATCAAGAAACTCGTTGCCGCTGAGGCCCGTGAGAGTGGCACCGTCCTTGCACGCGAGAAAAAGTCGAAGCCTTCTAAACGGCTCCAAGGCTTCCAGCCCAAGTCCTTTACACCTGGTAAGATGCGTGGTGGAACCCTTCGTATTCCGAAGCATATGCTCCCGAAGGATTAGCCAGGGCCGTCAGGCAAAGATGGAGGAGGGACATCCAGTGCATATACAGCAGGTGATTCGCAACGTCCTCTCCTCCCGCAATTGTACTCAACTGGTTTCTACAAGACACGACCCTACTCCGCTACGCATTCCCTACAGCTCACACTCGCCATACTCCCGTGTATCCCACTTGTCCTCACGCAGCCGACACGGCTGCGCTACTTTTTGGTGTAGAAACCATAAAAAACCGAAACTAATTAGGTAGCAGGTTATACAGGTGGCTCCGAGCCATCGGGCACTCTCGCGACTCGGACCACAGGCTTGCGCAACGCGCAAGCAATAATAGAAATAAACGCCGGTGCTACGCCGTGCGTTGTACATAGTACATGCAATCGGAGTGGAAATAGAGAACAAAGAGAGAAACACAAGTAGAAACAGAAAAAGACAAGCAGAACGCAGAAAAAGATACAAACCTCGCGGATCAGCGGTGTCGAGGAAAACCCGCTTAGAAGCGACGGACAACCTACTTAGCCATGTACTTGGGATCGGCAAAGTCGTCGGCAATGGATTGTACTGAAGACGTATCCCAGAAGATGGATTCGGCAGCCAAGTCAGACTTAAGGTTAGACAGCTTAAGAGAGGGGTCGTGCTTCTGTTGGGGAAGTTCTGTCTGTAAAGTGTCATCCTTCTGATACGAAGGGAAAAGCTTTTGATCAAAGCTATAACCGTGTTTAACAGCTTTCCGAATACGGCAACCAACGTCGAACAATGAGGTCTGCACAATCTGTGGCAATTCCTTGCGGACAGCCTCGGCAGATCCACTGTTCACACTAACACTGGCGTTATTGCTCATATTTAGAAGGCGTAGAGAGAGTAAGAGAGAGAGATATATATAAGAGAGAATTTGAGAACCAAAGGTGAGAAATTAATTACGAGTCGGTATTCTTTGTCAATTGACGAGTAATAGATCGGTCAATCGCAATTGTAGCGCTCGAATGAGTTTTTCGGATTGTATTTGTATGGTGCACTGCTGTATGGTGTTGTGGAGTAGGTTCCGTCCAGAGTGCGGGGTGTCGTCTATTTATACTTGTCGGACACTTAATAAAATATTCCACAAATCAATTAATCTATTGAAGTTGTTAAGGCGGCGAGAACGAGACCCCGTTCCTTTCCCAAAACACAACGCGTACTTTTACGCGCTTTTTATGAACAAATGTCTTTTCTTCATTTACGAGAATGATTTACCTGTATGTTTCTGCTTACCGACAATGTCGGCTCGCGCTGTATTTTTTGTTATGGGACGACGCGCTAAATGAAACCTTAATGCAAACATGCGCGTGTATCGCGTCGTTGTCTTTTATTAGCCATTGCGCGCGGAAAAACAGATACGAGCAAGAACTGTTGCATATACGCGTTTTCGTTTGCTTCATGGATCCGGTGGGTCTACGATTTTGATGATTGCATGGCTTTTTTTTTTACCGCTTCTGAACTCAGCCTTTTGCTGTTCTCGCTCGTGTCAGGAACGCGAAATCAACGGTCTTATTAACTTATTAACTGAGAATGTGTTTCGCGATGCTGTTCGCGTCGTTTTTACGTCCGTATATCCTCTCAGTGTCCTCCACGCGTCGGCATGGACGGAATTTGACTCCGTGTTCTTGTCTTACAAATTCCATTACTTCTGCTGTTTACCGTGCCCTTTGGTTCTGCTCCCGTCTCGATTGACCGTCCTTTGTTTACTTTCTCCACCGGGTCGCGTCTCAGTGCTTATGACGTCGATTTCTTCCGGCTGGAGGAACTTCACCAGAGCCAACTACACGACACGCAGCACAACGCGACTTGCACGTTTTGCAATTGTGCGTTTCTTGGTCATTTCATACGCTTCTGACCCATTTTTTGTCTTTCTCAGACGGTTTTCCCTACTTTCGTACTGGCTACGGTACCTACGCGTTTTTCCGTTTTTTTATCCCAACGAACAGCAACAGAAACCAGTTTCTTTTCTATTATTGGAAGGTGTTGGTAAGGAACCTTTATTGAATTTAAATCCTCTGCGTTTTTTTGCTCTTTTTCGTCGTTTTACGCCAAAGAAATAATGATTATACGTATTGAACGTGACTATTCCATCTCTGGCGATATTTATCCACAATTTTGTACATCGTACGTGTCTGCACTTGAGCCGTACGTGCCACCGACTGAATGGCACACATTTGTTGTCACTTTGAACGATCATTTACGTGTCGCCTTTTGCCCTTGGACCTTTCAAAACGTAATGGATGGATTTCTGGCTGTCTTTACATTGTATCTCTCTGAGTTTCTTCTTGGAAGTTTTCACCGGAAACGTGTCGCTGCGTTAGAATTGTTTGTACAGGAGTTTGCAAGTGCACACGGCATGAAAGCCGCTAGTCTTCGAAATATGGCTTTTCTGTGTCTATGTTTCCACGTTACTGATGCTGAAAGCATTCGGGTATCTCGACAGAACCAGCTTTCTGTCTCTGTTTCTCCGACCCTTTCTCAGACGCCCAGCACACCGCTCTCTGTAGCCACCACGAGTTTCTCTGACAGTACACAAGTATCCCGAATACCACAATGACTACCGAATTGGAGTCGATCGACGTTGTCCAACGGCTCCATGTCCAAGGAAAAAACCCGTACGTAGGTTCGCATAATGATGCTGCAAGAGATGATACAATTTGGTGACCGAGTTTCATAACAAATGGACTTGGCCGCCGTCGTCTACATCTCTTAATTTCGGCTTTGCATGTTTCTGTATACGACGCATGCATAGCTGCACGTCTTCTCTCTCTCTCTCATTTTCTTTTCTTTTTCATTATTTATTTTGTTCCCTTTTCCCGCCTGCTCCTTTTACATGCCCGCTAACAATCTAGTCGCAACCGTCTTTTGTCCATTGCGCTGGACGCCAAATTCGTAGACCGGGTGCTCGAGCTGTACAACACGTTTCAGACTGTTGTGAATGAGCGTTGCGGTTCTTGGTATGTTCGTCCCGAACATCAGCCTTGGTCTGCCTATTTCAAAAGCACGGATGGCCATACAAACCAATGGTCTTTCAGCACCCGTCGACTAAACCTTCATTTGCTTGATGCTTTTCGCGACAAAGACGGTCTTGTCATCGTCGATTCTACACGTCGTGGTAAGCGTACGCCTGATGCACTCTCTAAAACGATTCCTATTTGGATTGCCACTATTAATAAGTGTGTTTTTGAACGCATCCGCCATACACACGAATCCCGATCCCTTTGTTTCTTCCCACCATACCTACCCAAGCAGGAGATCGCTGAAATTGAGAAACGCTTGGATGGGTTTGTTGACACTCTCATAGCCAGCGGTGTTGATTTGAAACGCTTGTCGGACGCGCTCCAGAAACCAATGCGTCCACTGTGGTTTACACCTGCCAGTTCTCTTTCACGCGCTGAATTCAATGACTATTATACGGTGGTTCTAGTGACAGCAAGTGAGCAAGTCCAGTCCGGTTACTCTCGTGAACACGGTTTTCTGTATGTGCAAGGAGCAGCAGATGACGAAGAGGAATGGGCTTGTCATTTGACACCGTCACTGTACTGGAAACATCAAGAGCAGCTATTAGCTGCGGATGAAGACGATTTATCAAAGATAATTGCGCAAATCGTTCAAGCATCCGACAAGCAACAACACGTTTCAGCCTCCACGCTCTCTCTTTTACACCAAGTCCAAAGAACTAAGTTGTGGCTTGGTGATATATCTTCTCTGAACGCTGCATCCGTTCCGCCTTCCACAATCATTGTTAATTTTGCCAAAGACGCCTTAAATGTGAAGGGGGAATATCATTATCCAGTAAGCTCTGGAAAGATGGGTGCTTTGAATTTTAAAAAGGCAGCCAAGGAAATGCTCAACGATTTGTATTCCCGTTATTCGATTTGGAGCTCTGCGGATGCCATTTTCATCGTCGACGCAGTAGATGCCAAGGAAGCTGCCCCTTCCTTTGCTTTGCTTTTGCTTTGCGTCATGTTCTCGCCCTCTTTTGAATCTTTGGAAGCGCCTCTGGAGTTGTCCCAAACACGGCTTCAACTCGATAAAACAATTATCCGAAATCGTCTCATCAAAATTATTGAATCTTCTCCAAAGACTAACCCTTCTCGAGCCTTTCTCATCGCCGTAAATACTCTTTTGCTGAGTGCCTAATCCGAGCCGGTTATTCCGTGGTGTTTCCGAGGATAGCTCCGTCCAACTTGACGGTAGTTAGTGTGTGAGCTGGTGTAACCAGTGGCCGCTCGGCGAATTTAACGTTACGTTCCTCACCTGCATTCTGCCTTCCTCGTTGGAAGCATGGTTTGTATTTGTGCACCAATTTAATGTCTTCGTTAACTGCTAACGTAAATGGAGACCAAATGTCGTCGAAGAAAGACAATCTGCATCCGTTGGAGCAGCCCGGAGGCAGTACAATTGGAACACAATACTCTTCAACACCTCTGCCGCCTCTTCATTTAGACAGATGGAGCTCATGGAAGCGTGATGCGTATTCGATATACTGGTCGTTATCCCGTAAAGTTGAACGGTTTTGTGCTCGGATGTGTGGTTCCTCCAGGATGGATGAAAGGGACGATGCCGTTGCAGGTGTGCATTCTTTTGAGGACCTTTCAAGTATTGGGGCTTCGAATGCCACGAAACGCGGCTCATTACAGAAGACTGAGAATAATATGGCCGTCGTTCACGATGAACAAAGTGGAAACGCCATCGTTGTCGATATGACGAAGCCTGTAGAGCCCGCCTTGCTGAAAGAAAATATGCCTGGTGTTCGTCGTAAGCATCTTCCACCTCGTCTGTCCTTTGTAGCTTCGTCGAAACAATTACCAAACGACGGGGTTATTGTGCTGGAGGATTGGATCAATCCTATGCTATCGCAGGCCACTCAGATCCAGGTTCAGCGAGAGTTGTGCCAACATGATTCTTACGACTGTGATGGTTACATTTGTGTCTTCTTATATGAAAAACGAACCAAGGATCCATTGTCCGAACATAGCCAACTGTCCAAATCAATTATTGAGGTAGCTCGTGTTTCTGACCTGAAAAAGCACTTTCGCATGCACTCGCCAATGTGCTCGTACTCGAAACGTGTTTTTGAAGTATTTCCTGATTACGAAAAATGCAAAGAAGTCTGCCGGTCCAGCTTTAAGATTGCAAGACTCATTGAATTGGAGGTCCAAGATGCATACCATTATATACCTCCCGCTTTTTGTGAAGCTTGTAACATGTCGCACGAACATTGGCTTGAAATCGACAATGGACAATGGGAACATATTCGTGGAATCATACTGCGGTGGATTGAATATTCCCGGGTAATGTTCAGCTGAGGACAGCAGTTGTAATATTTTACAATGGTTTCTTTCATTGTGATTGTTATAAAGTGTCCGGTGTTTCACTACGCCTTTACGAATTACTACTCTATTCGGGCGCCTGTTTCTTCATACATCTGTCGTTGTCATTCATGTTCCATCCTTAATTCCCCATCCACGTTTTTGATGTCTTGCATTTTCTTTCTTCCAAACCTTACCGTCAACGCATAAATCTACCTGTAATTGGAACGACCATACTCACTTACACACACATATATATATACAACACCCTGCATCCGATCACCCTCTATCCGCGTACCGCATTCCTGGTGACTTTTTTGTGGGTCATTTTCACCGGTCTATTGAGTAGCTAAAGAATGAATACACTTTACGCCTTACATTGTTCTGCGTAACTGTCTTTAATCCAGCAAGTGAACGCTGGAAAGAGAAGCGTAACCCGTTGCGACGCCGCCCTCAGAGACATTGATGGGTTTGGTACGGCAGATGTAACCAACTTGAGTGTTTTGTAACTCCTCACCAGTCTTGGAATTGTAAACGAGAGTACCCAAGATTCCAAGCTCGTCAACTGTTTCAAACTTGACAGCCTTCTTGCCCTTTAAGATGTAGTTTGTAGAAGGAATGGCATCGATGTGACGCATGAGGATATAGCTAGACCAGTTCTTCTTCTCGGTCTTCTCCAAGAACTTGGGAATGTCAGCACCGTAAACATTGTTTCCGCCACCCTCACGTTGAGGCTTCAGAACATAGTGTTCAGGCGACTCCAAAGCCAATTTACGACCCTTCAAACCAGCCTCAGACTCATCAAGAGGGTACATGTCGGCAAATGTGTAACGAATGGCCTTGAGCTCATTGCCGCTCAGGTAGTTTTCAAGAACACCCTCTACGGCAAGTTCTTGTTGTATTTTCTTTGAACCAGCAAGGTGGAATGCGATTGAGGGACACTTGATGGCCAAGGATTTTTCAACGGTCAAACGAGCGTTCCAATCGGCCTCGGAGGTGTACTCAGAAAGGGCATAAGCAGTGCGGTAGTAAGCAACGGCGACTTCGTATACCTTTCCCTTTACCTTGACGAAAAGCTTGTTGGTCTTGTTGTCGAGGGTTGCACTCTTGTCGAGTTCGTCAAAGTAGATACGAGCTGAGGGAACCTTGAAACGGTTGTTCAGCTCAATTTCGAGAGCACATTGATCCATAATGTTACGTTCGTTTCTGTCAACAATGAACAAAACGATCACCTGAGCAGCCGTCTTGTCGGGGAGTTCGTTGTTTTGTTCCTTGAGCAATTGCTCGGCTTGTTGCTTGTACACACAATAAGCCTTGTTCAGGCCCATAACGATACCGGTCGTAGAGGTGTTGATGGTAAGATGGTTAGGAGTCAAACGGTCATGATACAAGCCATAATCGGACAGATAGTTGTGCATGTTTTTGACGACCTTGCTTGCAGCACCGAACGATACGGAGATGGTATTGAACTCGACTTGCTTGCAGGAAGGGCCTTCCTTTGAGTCGGTGACCAAGTAATCAGAGCGGAAAATGCCCAGGGAGACAGGTTGTTGGCAAGGTTTCTTCAAGGTTGCAAAATGAGCACGAGACTCCTCGTAAACCTTCCACAATTTTGAAATGAACTCGTCCTGACCGCACATGTCCTTCAAGCAACGCTCCAAAAACCGGTGATCGTTAGAGACCTTGGCGTAAAGCTTGTTATAAGCTTGTTGAACGCTGAGAGCCTCAACAAAAGCCTCACGAGGAATAACAGTAGGAAAAAGAGTAACAGGGATTTGAGTAAGAGTCGTAGCTTCAGATGACTTTTCATCATTGTTCAAGAACACGAGTCCATTGGACACTGCGTAATTTCTGGCAGTGTACGAGAGATCGTCAATCTCAGAGGACGAGTATTTCTCAATTTCCATAGAAGGCATTTTCTGTACTTTTGTGGTGTAGTTACAAAACCAAACACGTAGACTATTATATAGACACAGCTGTCTGTTTACGAACTTTGCTCACGTCAGCAATCTAAGAGATAGTGTAGAGTACGAGAGAGCGTAGTGCTTCCGTTATAGAGTACCGTAGAAAAGGTATAGAAAAAAACAACAACAGAACTTGCAAAAAAAAAAACAAATACCAGTAACAAATGACAAGATCAGCACTAAACTCACTAACTTATTTTTTCCTTAATTTTTATATTTTGTTCACTATTAATTACATTTTGGTATAATTCATCCAGGCATGCAACAATACGTAATGGATTGGTAACATTTTCTTCTATGTAACAAGCTCTTTCTTTTCTAAACGTGCTGATAAATTGATTACGCTTAAGTATAAGCTATTTGTTGTATTAATCAACCGTGCTCTAACGACTAACATAGTTTACGTGAATAGAAACATAACCGGCTGGATAATCTACTCATTAGTCTTTGCACGTTTAATATGCCCCTCATAAAGCTGTACCAGCGCTAATCGAAACAACAATTATGGTTAGACGACATGACGCTCTAGAATAAACATATAACGTAAATTCATACTCTTTAGACACACCATTTCTGGACCACACACACAAACATTGTTTTTAAGTTCGTATTTTGTATACACATATAGGTATGTAGGTATCTCTAGTAAAAACAAAAAGTTAACGAAACTCACATTTCTAACCATCTTTTTCGTTTTAGTTGCCCTCTTGAACAGTGGTAAACTCACCAAACTTGTCGAGGACCTCAGACCAGGTAGTGTGACCAGCAATCAATTGAACCAAGGTAGCAACAATTTCATCGTCAGTACCACGGATTTGCTTGGTAGAATCACGCTCACGGAGAGTGACGGTGTTGTCCTTAAGAGAGTCAAAGTCGACAGTAATACCGAAAGGCGTACCAAGCTCATCGTTACGAGCATAACGACGACCAATATTGGCGTTGGAATCATCCACCTTGTTGGAAATACCGTTTCTTCTGAGCTTGGCGGAGAGTTGGCGCACAAGAGGGTCGAACTCGGCGTTCTTACTCAAGGGTACAATCAAAGCCTTGATGGGAGCAACAGCAGGAGGGAAGGACAAAACACCACGGTTGACATCCTCAGGACGGGTCCAGTAAGAGTGTTCCATCAACACATACAAGATACGTCCCAAACCAAACGAGGGCTCAATAACGTTGGGAATGTATGAACGAATGTGCTCAGTACGCTTTTGCTTCTCAATCGTAACCAACTCGCTTTCAACAACGAAGTTGACACCATTGACGCTGACGGGAATCTTACCAGTAGAAGCAAGCTCCTCGGCCTTGGCCTGACGCTCAGCTTGGGTCCAAGCAAGCATTGCCTCCTCAACAGCCTTAGCATCACGCTTAAACTTGGGTCCAAACTTCTTTTTGTTCACCTCGACAACAAACTCATCGACAACAATTGGCTCGGCGAGCTTCTCTTGCACAATAAGAGGCGTCTTTGTGGCAGCACTGTGAACGCTCAAATCATAAGCACTGCGATCGGCACAACCAACACACTCAATCCAACCGTACGAGCAGTGAATTTCAGCATCCCAACAGTCGCAGGCATAGTGAGCCATCTCGTTGCTCATGTGTTGACGGAAACGAACACGGTTCATGTCAATACCGATCTTTTTCAAGAACTCGTAGATACGGGCCATGAAGTAACCAAGAGTAGTGTTGTCCACAATACCCTTCTCAACAGCATCACCAATCTTCATCTCGACGAGCTTAGTAGAGCCAGACAACTGAACGTCACGAGGAAGCAAACGGAGGGCAGTGTCCTTGACCTCGTCGAAACGGTAGTGACTCTTGTCAAGAGGATCAACAAAATGCTCAATTTCTGCCATCAAGAACTCACGAACACGCAGAAGACCACTACGGGGGGAAATCTCGTTACGGAAGGCCTTGCCGACCATAGCACTGGCAAAAGGAACCTTGTTGTTGTTGAACTCCAACAAACGGTTGAAGTTAAGGAATTGACCTTGAGCCGTCTCAGGACGCAAGTAACCCTTCAAACCACCGCTGGGACCAATTTGAGTCTCAAACATCAGGTTAAATTGACGAGGGGACTCCAATTCACCACCGGTAACGGGGTTGCGGATGTTGTGCTTCACCATAAGGTCACCCAATTGAGCACCATCGTAGTTGTCGATCTGAGCCAAAATAGTCTCATACTCCTTCACGACCTCATCATCAAGACGAGTCACCTTAATCTCTTTCACCTTCTTCTTTCTTTTCTTCTTGTCGTCGCTCTCAGGAGCAGCTTCCAACTTTTGTCCACGAGCTTCCTTGTCACCCTTCAAACGAGACTCCAAAACCTCCTCAACAAGATGATCAGCACGGAAAATTTCACCAGTAGCGGGGTCCTTGCACATCCAGTCGGCAAACTTGTCAACATGACCACTGGTCTTCAAGACCTCGTGGGGAGTCAGCATAGAGCAGTCAACCTCAAGCATACTTTCCTCGATAACAAAGTGACGGCGCCAGAGCTCGACAATGTTCGTTTGAAGAGCAGAACCCGGAGGACCGTAGTCGAAAAGACCACTGATACCTCCGTAAATTTGGAAGGAAGGAGCGAAGAAGAATCTCTTCTTCATCAGCTCCTCAAATTGAGCGCGATCGAAAGTCTCAGATTTCGTCAAATCCGACATCTTGCGACCAGAATTACGTTTACCGAAGTTTAAAAAAGAACGTCTGCCGCAGAAACGTGTCCACAGAGCTTTGATTGACCTAGACGTGGTTGGCAGAGGGTAGGTTTGCGCGGGTGGTAGACGAGTGAAGGTGGAGTGGAATGGAGTGCACTGCAATGAAATACAATGTTTCCGCATTATTTATAATACGGCATCGTCAATTTACGTTAAGTATTATACAGCTGTTTAGTGAACTGCTAAACATTTTAGCGTATTGCAAAGCACATTAACACGCTCTACTGTACATAACACAACGTTACAACGCCCTAGGGTTTTCTCACCCCGCAAACCTTAAAATACGGATGTAAATCAAGCAACGCGATTTGTCAAATCCTTTCCTCTCCCTACAACAACGGGAATTGAGAACATGAACGTTAGCGGTGCTTAACGCTCCGTTTTCTGTTAAATCGGACCCTTTTTCTTTGTTTTAAGCTGCTTGAGAGGCATATATGCTGCACTCGTGTTATCTGCTACCTTGAAGCGTTCCGTAACGAGTTTTAACTCTGGACTTTTAACAGAGTCTGTCTCGTCTCGCTATAATTGTGTACATGGTTTCTTTTGGTCGTACCGTAATGGTTGTCTTCATTAACTAATAATTTCTCGCACCTATCTTCGTCTTAGTGGCTTTTATTATCCAGTTCATTTTCTGTACCGCACTGTTTTTGCCATTGAACTATAATCTTTTGATACAAGTCTGCCTTACACTTATCTAAACTCGATTCCCATATATTGATTATTGTCATTCGTCTCAGTGTCGTCAGGTGTGTATCTACGCGCGTTTTTTCTTGCGTAGATGTGGTTTTCTGAGCTTCGACGGGTACTTCCAAGATACCCTTTTCTGCTGTTCCACTACTCATATATCCTCTGTCTCACCCTCTTTGGGTCCATTCTCGTGTACACTGGAGGTACAAAGATTGACTATGTTGATGCTCTTTTCCTAGCAAGCAGCGCTGCAACCCAGGCAGGACTAAACACAGTAGATTTGAACACACTGTCTATTTGGCAGCAGTTCGTGCTCTATGGAATCACCATGATTACTGTGCCTGTCTGGATTAACGGTGCCATCTCTTTTCTGCGGCTGTACTGGTTCCGTAAAAAGTTCAAGTATGTCATTCGAAAAATGAGAGTGCAGCGACACTTACGGAAGGAGGAGAGAAAGAAGTGGAAACATCAGATTGATTTGGAAGACAACGGTCTTCGTGGGCGTCCTATTCGTGTGCTTTTGCCTCATGAAAATGTGAATAATAAAGAGGACGACGGGGTTTCTAACTCTACTTTCAGATGTCCAGATGGTACTACATCCGCGACACGTTCTTCCATGGAAATACACGAAACAAATATAAACGATTCACTATCTAATGGATTGTACGAGAGTCCAATGTCTTCCACATCCGGCAGTCGAAATGATCCGAATGCTGACGATGTACCGTCGGAAATACATTCTGATTATGCAGTTAATGCAAAGGATTACCGTTCAAATGATATCGAAATGGATGACCTGCACCCACGTCTACGTCGACAAGCATCAATCTCATCCGAAGGACAAAAGTCTAGTCGCACGCTACAACGAGGTTCCACAAGTTCTACAAGTGATAAGGACTTTTTGTCACCCCCGCAGAATGTTACCTCTTATTCCGATACCAATCTCTTAAGTCACTCTCGTTTGCCAAGCAACATGGACACGTCCACAGTCTCCATTTATTCTGCGCCTCCCGTTCGAAATTACGGAGTACATGAATCAGACTTAAGTTCATCTAGAAGTTCATTGTCCGGAACCAACGACGATGATGACGATGAAGACGAAGACCGGCGTTCTGATCCTCATATCGCTTTCACCAACATCCACAAACCGTCTCGTAATCAACGTCGCGAGCAAAAGCGAACTGCTAAGAGACGTCGGTCGTTTTACTCTCATCGCGAAGAATCAAAGCATCTTCCCCTTCCTTTACGCTGGAACCGTTCTTTTAGTTTGCACACGCGGACACTTACCTTCGATAGATTTCTATCCAATGCTTTCCGACGCAAACGGGAAGGAAGTATCATGTCTGGTCGATCACGTCGAACAGCTATGTCACTTCCGTACCTTTCATACAGTCCAACTGTTGATCGTAACTCTGCATTTGTTACTTTAACGAAAGAGCAGCGAGACGAGTTGGGCGGTATCGAGTACAGGGCCTTAAAAAGTCTCTGTTTTCTCATTTTGTTTTATTTTGTATTTTTACACTTGGTTATTTTCATCATGTTTCTTGTATTTGCCTATACTGCAAAAGGTTCTGAACGTGTAATTGAAAGCTACGGTTTGAAGCGAGGCTGGTGGGCTTTTTTCACATCTGCCTCTGTTTTTAATGATCTTGGCTTTACTTTAACACCAACCTCTTTCATTCGTTTCAACCTTAACATATTCATCCTGCTCACTTCATCCTTTTTCATCATCGCCGGAAACACCGGCTTCCCTTGCCTTTTTCGATTCGTCATTTGGTGCTTCTACTGCATTGTCCCGTCTTCTTCAGGGAAAAAAGAAGCATTAGCATTTTTGTTGGACCATCCTAGACGTTGTTTTACTCTACTATTCCCCTCTAAAGCCACATGGTGGCTAGTTTTCATTCTTGTCATCTTAAATGCCATTGATCTACTCATTTTTATGCTTTTGGACTTGAACAACTCTACTATCAAGAAAATTCCCACCGGTTATCGAGTGGTGAACGCACTTTTCCAGTCCATTTGCACTAGAACTGCTGGCTTTACCAGTGTTACATTGTCCGAACTTCACCCAGCTGTATTGGTCAGTTACATGGTAATGATGTATATATCTGTTTTCCCAGTTGCTATAAACATGAGAACTACCAACGTGTATGAAGAACGTTCTCTTGGTATTTATTCGGCCGAGGAAGATGGAAATGCTTCATTCATTGGCACTCATATTCGTCAGCAGTTGAGTTACGATTTATGGTATATTTTCCTTGGGCTTTTTATTCTGTGCATTTGTGAAGGTCATAAAATTACCGATTATGCTAATCGAGATTTTACAATCTTCAACCTACTCTTTGAAGTTGTGTCAGCCTATGGTACTGTTGGTCTTAGTACTGGTGTCTCTACTGCTAATTGTTCACTTTCTGGTGATTTTTGTACAGTTAGTAAGCTTGTTATTATTGCACTACAAATCAGAGGACGCCATCGTGGTCTTCCACGTGCCGTGGATAGAGCTATTATGCTTCCATCCGAGAAGAACTATCTCAAGGAAGAGGAAGATTACAGACGCAGACAACAAGGGGGAAACAGAATGTCTCGAACCTACACTTATTCAACGAAACAAAGCACAATGGGATAATGAGTATAATGATAACTTTACCACTATAATACTGTTCACATAATATAGATTTCACAATTGGAAGCAATTATTGACTGTATTTGCATACGGCTTATATCGCTTTCTTTAAAAGTGCAACGAACAATTTAAAAAAATCCATTATTAAATAACACTACATGCAAGGACATTTAAAAACAAGTTCATAAAATAAAAATTTAGACACCAGCACGATAAACTGTCTGTCCACCATTTCTCATTTGAATTGTTTCTTTTCCTGCTAGAATTTGCAAAGCCATTTCAAGTGCTCGTTGAGAGTAGCCATGACCGTTAACGTATTCACGGACAAGCATTCTATAGCTAGCTTGAAAACCAATAGGCAGACGCTTCCTAAGACTTGCTTCGATTTTTTTAACTTCTTCTGTGACCTCTGGTGAGTTTGACGTTGCAGCGGCCAAAGTAGACGTCAAAAACAGCCGAATAGCTTCATTTGCATGCTCTTCCGTAGCCACGCTGCTTAAGGTCATCTTTGCAAGTGCTTCAGTAATTCGAATAATGGCTTCTAGTTGACGAACGGTAATGGGAATCGTTGAACGTTCGTTACTTTCACTCTCAACCTGATGGACACGTTTTCGAATAGAAACAAATTGACTCGAGAGTTTTTCAGCGGCTTCAGCCGTCAGTACGGGAGCGCACCTATGCCGACAATAATTGATGTAACGACGGAAAATGTCAAGGGGAATCTCACCAATTGCTAAGGTTTCTGGGGCATCTTGCAAATTGGTATGCAAGCTAATAACATGCTTAGCAATGTTTTTATCACGCGTTTCGTCATGTTCGTCACGAACAATGAAAATCATGTCAAATCTTGAAAGAATAGTAGTTTGAAAGTCAATGTTCTCACCCGGAGACTTCATCTCATCGTAACGGCCAAAGATAGGATTAGCAGCAGCGAGAACAGATGTTCGAGAGTTTAAGATGGTAGTGATGCCAGCTTTTGCGATTGAGATAGTCTGTTGCTCCATTGCTTCATGAATTGCGACACGATCTTCATCACGCATTTTGTCGAACTCATCAACACATACAACACCTCCGTCTGCAAGTACCATGGCTCCACCCTCTAGGTAGAATTCTCGAGTGGCTGCATCTCGTTGAACAGAGGCAGTCAAACCGGCGGCCGAAGAACCTTTACCAGATGTGTACACGGCAATAGGAGCGGCACGTTCAACAAACTTCAGGAATTGGGATTTTGCAGTACCAGGGTCACCAAGCAGCAGAACATTAATATCACCACGTAGCCGCATTCCATCTGGTAGAATTTTTTTGGATCCAGAAAACAACAAACAAGCAATAGCACGCTTAATGTCTTCATTACCGTAAATTGCTGGTGCAATGCTGTTTGCGATAATCTGATAAAGATTAGGAGTACGTGAAATTTCTAAGAATTGTTCCTCTTCCTCTTCACTAAAAAGAGGAATGGACTTAGTTCCGTCATCGTCGTTTCTTTGTATACCCAGAACCCGAATGTAGGGGTTCCGAATAGCAACAGCTCCATTTGCCTTAACGGCTTTGTTTTGAAAGATGGAAAAAATTCCTGTAATGACACAACGCGTACCTGGCGAAATCAAGTTTGTTAGGTAGCGGTCTGCGTTCAGAAGAACGTGACGTGGCAGTTCACCAACCGGTACCATGTCAGGAGCCTCCTGGAGCTTCAACACTTGTTGGTCAATAAATGTGGAACGAGAGTGATCAATGATATAGGGATCCATAGGACAATCCTTGCGTTCGCCCTCCAGCACCGGGCTGTCACAGACACGCGGAATTTGGATACCGGAAAAGCCACCGGTAACGAAGATAGACTTTGAGTTTCCACAACTTCGGCATACCAAATGAAGTTTTGTAGCACGACAAGACAGTGTCGAGGCACCAATGATGATTCCAGGAACACGGACCAGACGAGATATGTGTGCAGCATTCAAGTCTCGAATGGAGAGGACATTAGCGTCGGAACGCAGGATAAGTTGGCACGTTGGAATCTCAACAGCTTCTTGATCGCGAGGAAAAAGCAGTCGTTTAGCGACAGTTGTAATAGCAGATTCAAACAAAGGCAGCATTTCTGCTGGTTCACTTGATAATAAGTGTGCGAGATCTTCATTGAAGCTGATTAAGTGTTTTACTTCGACTTCCAGGCAGTATTTTTTAACCAGAAGATTGTCACGTAGTTGCGTCCGATACACAAAATTTCCATCAATAACAAACTCTTCCAGAAAACGAACAAAACTCCGTTCATAGTTTGCCTTAGAATCCTCCTGCTGTTCTCCAGGAAGGACAGGGGTATAGTAAATGTTACTTTGCTCCCAACCAGTAGCAGCCATTTTTTTTTATAGTCTTTAACACCGAATGTAGAAAAAGAGAAATAGACAGAGAGAAAGGAAAGAAAAAGAACAATGTAATATACAGCAGAAATTATACAAACAAGCGTACGACAATACACGGGATTGAGAGCAGCACTTTTTATAACGAAATTCTCGAGAAACTCAAGTTTGGATTGGAAGACCGCCCTAATTGTCAAATCTCGTCAAATTTCGAGAAAAAAACAGCACAGGGATGAGCTGTTCTTAATAAGAACAATTGACAAACACGTACCGCGGTGAATATGCAAGATATTGCACAATTTTAGTCGTTAATTTCCCAGACAGAGGCTGGTTGAGATTTGGTCGTGTAGGTTAGTGATGTGGGATATATGTGGGGGTCACCAGCTTGGCTCTTGGGGATGCACATTGATAGAAAAGTCAAACGAATAGAGGCAGTTACAGAGAGAAAATGGACACCGTTAGAACAACAGCAACATTGTTACACAGGTCCAGTCTGTCTGTGGTATCAATGGATTGGAGACACGGGATTCATTCAATATAAGGTCATGTTCATCACATTCATAAATCATCAAAAGTACATAAACAAAAGGAAAGAAAGGAGGAGTCAAAGCGCAGTGAGTGAAACAGTTTGTGCAGGGAGGAAGCGGTCGTTGTTTGAAGAAGTTCGTACTCTCGCGCGTACAGAACCTTATTTAGAAATAGCAATTCCTTTCCATCGTGGAGGAGACGAATGGACTGGAACGTGATTAAGGGTCCTGCGAACGTTCACTGTTCATTGTAACAGCGACAGTCGGTACACACAATTGGTGTCGCACCAAAATCGGCTAATTACTAAACAGCTTCTCCTTTGTTGGAATAGAAAGCTCTGTCAACACAGGCTGCAGAACATGAAGATATTTTTTGTACTGTTGGGCATTACATTTCACTTTAATGCCCTCTAATATTCGCACGGCTACTGCGAAATCATTGAGCCGCCGAGCAGCCCGCAATGCGCTCTCCAAAACGTCAGAAGACGGCAAAAGATCATAAGCAAAGCAATTGTTTAAACCACGCTGCAATTCAAAAGGATCGTCAACCTCAGAAAAGAAATCACCATATCTAGACACGTTAGTAACGATATTGTTGTGTGATATTAGATCGCGCCTAAGGAGGCTCATTGTTTTAGTTGAGGCACGCTGAAGGCCTCTAAATCTTGCTTCAATTCATAAACATTAAATGTAAACAAACGAAGGACTAATGCGCCTGTTCAAGACACAAAACAAATGAGAATCACGAAATGCAGACCAGCTTAATGACGCTTACCGCTTGTTCAGCGCGTCCAAATCAACCTTGTGAGAATTGTCTTCATTTCTCCGCAAAAAAGAAGAAGAAAACGCGCGTGTACAGAAAATGTGATTCTGAGAGATTCGCTTACTTACGAGATATTTAGGTAGCTGAAGTAATTGACAACGATTAGACATGATCATACGAACGTGGCAGCTAGTTCCGAGGTTTTTCTGTGTTTCAGGCGATACTCTCGGACAAAATGCAAAGGCCGATGACTGTGATAATTCGCGGAATGGCCACAAGTTACAGAGCAAAAAATTTCTCCCAATTAGCACTTACTTAATTCAGCCAGTAGAAACGCAGAAAGGCTGAATGGTAGAGGACAGGAGTTGTTGGAGGCTCAATAATGTTTACACAACTTTCATGCTTTCAAGAGGGGCAGCCAGTTACGAGGCGTTTGTAACGCATCTTCAAAATACACATTATTACAATACTAAATACACAAATACTGTACGTTGATTTGGCGCTTTCAGATGCCGTAATATATGCAGTATGGATGGTGGCAGGGTGGTTTGCTATTTCCTCTTCAAACCCGCCAGGTGAAAGTCTACCGGAGCATACATGTTGAAGATCCACCGACCTAGCATTGACCATCCTTTCGGCGTGGACTTATGGTAATGATTAACTAATTTAAAGCTCTGCGATTAACTGAAGCATAGGAGCCTGTTCTCAGGTATCTGTACCAAGCTGATCGGATGGAATCCGTCCGAGTTTGAGTTTGTCTCTGGAAAGACACCCTTGTCAACATGGTCGAGTGCGATTATTAGCATCTCCGCGTACTATGCCATTATTTTGGGAGGACAAGCCATAATGAAGAACAAAAAACCTATGAAGTTACGTCGTTTTTTTCCAGATCCATAACTTCATCCTCACCTTCCTCAGTGGGTTGCTTCTTGCTCTAATTTTCGAACAAGTTTTCCCTAGTTACATGAGAAATGGTTTTGTTCACTGCATTTGCGATGCTCGCCAATTCACCCAGCCTCTTGTCACTTTGTATTATCTTAACTACCTCACTAAGTACGTTGAGTTGCTCGACACGGTTTTCTTGTTCCTGAAGAAGAAACCGCTGGCCTTCTTGCACTGTTATCATCACGGTGTTACGGCTTTACTGTGCCTTACGCAGCTTATTGGCCGCACCTCCGTGCAATGGGGTGTCATTGCTTTGAACTTGTACGTGCATGTCATCATGTATAGCTACTATTTCCTGGCTGCTTGTGGCAAGCGTGCTTGGTGGAAACAGTGGGTTACTCGCATGCAAATTGTGCAGTTTGTGCTTGACCTCATGCTTTGCTTCTTTGGTACGTACACGCACATGGCTTTTCGCTATTTCCCTTGGATGCCCCATATGGGTGACTGCTCGGGTTCTCTTTTCGCTGCTTTCTTTGGTTGCGGTGTTTTGTCTTCTTACTTATTCCTGTTCATTGGTTTTTACATTAATACCTACATTGAGCGCGGAAACAGAAAGCCTGATTCGGACGGCAGTGCTCCCACGCCTGTTAAGCAGGCTGAACCCGTTGCAGTCTCCACCGCCTCTGAACCCGCTGCATCTTCGCCCTTATCCGCTCGTTCGCGCAAAATTTAATCTAGCTTTGCCTGTTAAATTTGCCAAAAAACATCTCATACCGCCATTTGTTGTCATGTTCGCTTTGTTTCCTTCCAGACCTCTTCTTTTGTGTTCGGCTTTTAGCTGAAACGTTTGTGGTGTGGATGCCTTTTCTATGTTTGTGTGTTTGTCTTTCCTAGCAGGTTTTGTTCCAATTTGGTTACATTCTGAGTACGGAGAAGGATGCCGTCATTTCTTTCAAAAACGGAGACGGTTTACCTATTCTCGGGTTTTATGTTTACTTGTGTCATTGTCTTTTAATCCGTACTGAAGGCCCCCTGCACACTTTTGCCTTCACTCCTTTACGTGAACCAAACCTTTCAGCACGTCCGTAGCTGCTAAAGTTGGGATGACTAATCATTATTCTTATTGACGTCGTCGCTACTCTTCCTGTTAGTGCAATACACTGGTGTGTTGCAATGTGTATAGAAGTCTTCTTCTTCACACACAAGCGTTGACCCTTTCCCATCTTTCGTTCATGACTGCTCTACGATGCGTGGTTGCTCTGTTCTTACTTGTCTTTCGTTTAATGAAGGTTTAGAGCACCACGGCCCAGCGGCTTGACAACTCTGGCTACGTTAGTTAGTAAGTAGAACAAATTTTCATTGTATAGACTCTTGCAAAGACAGCTAAGGTTTGCTCGTCCTGCTTGATGAACCGTTGCGAGGAGTGTTGGGAGAGGGTCGAGTCCTCACCTATTGTTGCGTTAATGCTTTCGGAAGGGCTACGCGACTTGATTTGTTAAAAGAAGGTATTTATGAATTCCAGTAAGTAATTCTCGTCATTTCGTTGAACCCAAGTCTTAAACTGCAGCATTCCTTTTCTTCCTTAAATTAAGCACACACGTGCACACCTAAATTCTCGTGTGTCCTGAACTATTTTACACCACCAAAGGTTAAACACGGAGGAGCCCCTCGCGAAGTGCTCCTGCCTAGTGTTAAGGAACTTCGTAGTGCCAGGATTCGCGTCTTATGAACCCGAACAGGCCTTATGTCAAAATCGCAGGAGTTGATGATGATTATGCATTGTCTACTTCTGGAAACGCTCAAGATGTCTTTTCAGAAGATCGTGTTCGAGCTGAGGTAGGAGAATTATTAACAACTATGAAAAATACGATCCTTATAAAATACTTGTCGACGCTGCTCGTTCATCCATTAGAGATTTCGAAAACAATTTGTCAAGTGCAACGTTACAATCTTAAGAAAAAGAAAAAACAGGATCTTAAGGCTCGTGATACCGATGGAGTCGAAGACGAGGATGAAGATGAAGAAGAGCAATACGAAGAAAACGATACGGAGACGAATGATATGGAAGAGCATGACTTTGACGACATGAGATCATATTTTGAAACAAATGTAACTTCGCTTGACGTGGCTCAACAGGCTTCACGGTCAGTAATTACTGATAGTACTGGTTATGCCGTTGAAAATAAATCTCGTTCTGTGGAATCATGGCAGATATCACCGAAACCGTTCTCGATAAAGAGTATCCTATCGTGTCTTTGGTCAAAAGAAGGCATTCGTGGTCTGTGGAAGGGCCACTTGACATCTTTTCTTCACAGTTTATTATCAATGAGTATTGAAGGATGGATTTCCGGAACAATCTCTGGACTCTTTTCACTTCCAAATCCACTTATTATACCCCCAGCCGATTCCATACGACCTTTTACCAGTTTGGCTATTCGGCTCTGTTCTTCAGTAACCACCGCTTTGCTTTTAGCACCACTGGATATTGCTCGGACGCTGTTAATATTAATGCCCCTGTCCGCTAGACGGCTAGTCGGAACAACGAAAGAGGGCGCACCCGTGGTAACGAAAATTGGACTCATACAGTGCTTACGACGCCTGCCTAGCTTTTGCCCGGGCTCTCTTATACTTCCCACCGCTTTACATTCTTCTTTACCTCTCTTTATGTCTCAGATACTTCCTGTAAGCTTGCGTAATTACGTGAGTCTCTCAAGCTTGACTATGAACCTTGTAACTTCAGCATCTTCAGTCCTTCAGTTTGCTGTTCAACTTCCCCTTGAGACAGTTTTAAGACGCGCCCAAGCAAACGTCATCTACTCACTTCCTCCTCAACGTATCGTTCCTCTTGCAAAGTACACCGGTATCACCGGAACCATATGGTCACTTCTTTGTGAGGAAGACGGTGGAAAGCTTGGCATAGAAGGCCTGTATCGTGGTTGGAGAGTTGGTTTTTGGGGAGCTACAAGTGTATGGACCCTTGGGCTACTTACTGCTCCTGTTACGCAGCCCGTAGCAGTTGAGTTTTAAGAGCTTTTTTGCTTGAGATGAAATCTGCTCTTTACAAGAATAAAAAAGACATTTAGCCCGGTAGCAATAATGATAACCTGAATGAATACTCACACTCTAAACAATTTCCCTTCATCGCATATTCGTGGATAAGTATGATTTGTACCTCTTAGGTATACTCGTTAATCCATTCATTCTTTTTAAATACTGCTACTGGTATCTATCGCCTAAATAACTGCTATGTTTACAGTTCTTCCTCCTCCATGGCAGGCATATCAGCGGGTTTAACCATACCAGGAACAGACATAGCCTTTTCCATCTCTGCCTTTTGCTTCTCGGCGAGTTCGTTTTCTCTTTCCTCAAGATACAGCTCGGCGTTATCGCCTCCAAACTCCTTCAGTTGAATAAGGAAATCGCGAAGAGCAAGCTTGAAGCGAGTGTAATCCCGGTTCAATGAAATCACATTTTGCACGAAGTCTTGAATTTGGGATGGTTGAAGGTGGGGGAATGCGTTTGCCAACAACTCAGCAATGTATTGTCGCAGGAACATTTGGTTTGTCATATTTTGAGGAAGTTGTGCGGGGTCGAACAAGGGCGCTTCAATCTGGCCAGATTCAACAAGGTAGAAGAGTCGGGAAAGAATAAGACTTTGAAGCTTGAAGCCAGACTTATGCTCTGAATCAGTAAGAACAAAGAGAATATCCTGGAGGGTGCTGATGTAATAGGTTTGGAAAAATGCATTTGCAACCTGGGGTCCACTATTAGCCATATTGTTGATCAGCTCCAGAAGAATGTTAAGACCGGTTTCTTGGATATCGCGGCTAACGTGCTTGAAGGACCAGACAATACTGTTCATGACTAACTTGAATGTGGGAGCGGGAATGTTCAAAAGCGCAGGGAAACAATTTAAGTTGATGGCCCGCAGCAATTGAAAGAAGGAAGTGCGGTGTTCGGGATACTCAGAAAAGTCTTTGCTAATCATTTCCAGAGTTGAGCCAAATACAGCTTCAAGGATAATAGGAATCTTGTCAGTCAAGAGTTCACTCAATTGATTAACAATGGTCGTGATGAGATTCAAAACTTCAGGATCACGAGCATCAGGAACGCTACGAGAGTAGTCCAACAAAATTGCTTCCAACAAAGGAGGGATCAAATTATTGTTTACAAGCTCGAGGTCCTCGGCTCGGCTGATATAAGCGTCGATGAGCTTCAGAATCTCCTTCTTAATAGTACGCAAGCCACGAACATGAGGAGTTTTGGTAGCGATATTTCCTTGGGAGGCAACAACATCAGAAATAAGTTCGCTCACTGCCTTGTACAAACCGAGCATGTCAACGTAGTTACGCGCGATTTGAGGGTAGAAGCTAGCACCAATGGAGGTACAGGCGGCAACATTTGTTTTCAGGACATTAGCCAGCACCTTGACAATCTGGGGATCACCAAGGATAGCGGAATTTTGACCAGCTTGTTGAACGACGTTGTCCCAAGCTTGATTAGGAAGACTCATAAGATCAAAAATAAGGCGCTCTTGAATTTGCTTATGAGGTTGTGCAGAGACCATGTAACCACAGGCTTCATAGAAGGTGTGAGTTTGTTGGGAGGTTAAATCCTCCGTAGTCTTAGCAAGGTTGCGGATAATTTCATTAATGAAGGGCTCCGTTTCACCGTGTTGCTGGGCAACAAAGTGACGACGACATTTTTGGGCAATTTTAATGAATGTGTCGCAAGCCATGTCTTGAACACCTTCATGGTATTCGTGCATGAACTCGAAAAGTTTATTGACCACAGTCTTCAGAAACTTCCAATGCGCTTTCAGAAAACGGGGATACTGACCAACAACATACATAATGTTTGAAGCAACAACAGCCTTATTGTCTTTTCCACGCTTCATTTCGCAAAGGCCAAGAAGATCCTTAATAACATTCACAAGAAAACGCTTTTCCATTTCCTCGTTCATAGCACCAGAAATCGAACCAATGGCCCAGCATAAAGTATTCAGGTTGTGCCAAGACCACTCCGTACCGACGACAATACGGGCGAGCTTCTCGCTCATAGTGACCTCGGTGTCAATAACATCAAGATGGGTGAGATAGACCAAAACCTCTCTCATAGATTTGTACAATGTAATGGTGTCACTCTCTTTTACAAACTCGCGAACGATTTCACCCTCATCGTTTTCCACAATCAAAACCTCCTCGGGCTTCACCATGTTTTCAATCATGACAAGACGCAAGCTTGAAAGGATGTCTTTGTAGATATGCTTTCTGAGAGGAATATTAGAGAGCATGGACGATTTTGAAGCCATCATGTCGGTCGAACCACCGAGGTTCAACAAGGGACTCATTTCAGACATGGGCAATTGCTGTTGCTCTTCATACAATTGCGACACAAGTTTCGACCAGTATTCGAGACAGACTTTGAAGACTTCACGTTCGTTAACACGAGAAATATTAAGCAGGTAAGAATGACCATTAAGTAAAACTTCCTGGTTGGCAGCGTTTTCGATGAGACGCAAATGCGTGCTGAAGAATGTGCAGAGGAAAATGGCCAAGTTCTGAATAAAATCTTGCTCGTTCGTGCTGCTTTCTTCATAAGCCTCCCGGAAATCCGTACTAAGGGGGAGCATGTTGTTGATGGAGGTCATGACAAGATTGAACATTACAACAAACACTTCATTATACTGAGGTTGGGTCGTCAAGCCGGCAATCTCTGTCAAACACTTGATGGTGACATTACGGAATGCAGGAACTTCGAGAAAACGGTTACGAAGATTTTCAATAAGATTGGTTTCAAAGATGTAGCCGAGTGGAATCCAGTTGAGAAAGCGCAAAAGCGTCTGTAAAGTTGCGGTGATAAGACTAGGCTTCTGAGCACGTTCCAAAACTTGAGAACACAGTTGGAAAATCTCGGCAAACTCACCACACAGTTGATTCTTCAAGTTCTTTGTTTTTGTTTGAGTCATTTGCTCAGCAGAATAATCAAAAATTTCCTCACTCAGCAACAAAAGGATATGCATGTTGTTTTCACAAAGAGAAAGATTCGACTTACTGGCCGAGACAATCTCAGAGATAAACGTAGGCCAATTGTGAGGCCATTCCTGTTTTAAGATTTGGACCAGGGTCAAGTCAAGCTTGTTAACAAAAGTCTTTTCGCGATGCAGTGTCTCCTCATTGGAAGAGTTCTTAATTACAACTGCAACAATGTAGTTCCGAATGCCAAGACGCTGCTCCTTGGGCAGCATCTTCCAGCGAGTAGTGATCAGTTTGTCCAGAATTTGAAGAGCAATGAATTTTGTTTGGGGAAATTGAGACTTCTCAATGATCGAGTCTGCTTGCATCCATGCATCGGGATGATCCTGAAACTGCGTCAACACTTGCTGGGCCTGTTGCTGCTCAGCACCAGTTCCCATGTAGAACGTTTGGACCACCTGGTCCAGAACTGTAACGTCCAACTCCCGGTCTAGAGCAAGAATAGACTCCATTATTCACAGTTTCTTTCAGGTCAAGCTTCGTTCAATTTCTATATATAAAATTTCACAAAAAAGACCCTGTTTTGGTGAAAAAAAGAGGAAATATTACTAAAGCACTTACAGGTTGGTAGAGGGGAGAGCTGGCTGCAAGTAGTGCTACCTCTACACCTAGCAACAAGGTTGTGGGGAACTCGGACAGAAGCGCTGCGAAACGGTACGAAGCGATGTGTAGCGAACGGAAACGAATGGAAGCGAAAGGAAGTGCACGGTGGGAAACGGAGCGACGCAGTTTTAAACGTGCCGTAAATTAAGTCACTTAAACATCGTCATGTGATCGCTTAGTTATATCTAGTCTGGCTAGATAACGCAACAAGCAGTTACGTCAGCATTAACTGTTGTTTTCAAATTTTCGCCACAGCTGGACGATTCGCGCTACTCGCTAAGATTGTGAAATTTGGCGGCTTATCGCACCTTATTTATTGACCAGTGCCAATCAGTATCATGAATCCGCCTTCTAAATCCGGTGTGATAGCAGACAAAGACTTCAGGAGTAAAAAGTGTCACACCCTTCCCCTATCTTACCCGAATTCCTCTCGGTATATTACACTTAACCAGAGCATATATTAAGTACAACCAAGTTTTTAAGAATTGGTTGAAGTGGAGAATTCTTTTATTGAATTCGGGACTTCTCGTTTATCACATCACAAGAGCGTTTTATCGGCCCTTGATATCGGTTCTTTCTATTTGACTCTTTTTATAATCACTTTCTAGAACACGCCTCCATTCTTTTCCGTATCCTTTTAGAGTTTCTTTCGTTCTCTTCTCGTTACTTTTTTGTTTCTTGTCCATTATTCCATAATTGTACAATATGACTGCCGGATTTACTGCCACTGGACACACCAGCATGCATGCTGTTCCCATCCCTCACAGCGAAACATACAAAAATGCACAACTCGCACGTGAGTATGTCCTTGCCAACGTTCCTGGTGAGTTGGCAAAGCCTCGAGTTGCCGTTGTTTGTGGTAGCGGGCTCGGTTCGCTTGCTGAGAACCTTTTTGGCCCAAAATTTGTGATCCCGTATTCGGATATTCCTGGCTTTGTTGCTTGTCATATTCCTGGTCATGCATCGCGTCTCATTTTTGCCTTTATCGGTGAGAACAAGGTGCCCTGCATGATTTTTGCTGGTCGTTTCCATTCGTACGAAGGCCATGCACTCGACGTTGTTACCTTTCCTCAACGCTTTATGAAAATTATGGGAGTCGAGGTGATGATTGCTACTAATGCCGCTGGCGGTTTGAATTCGAATTACAAGGTGGGTGAGCTTATGATTATCAAAGACCATATTAACTTCCCTGGTCTCGCTGGTCTCAACCCTCTCAAGGGGCCTAATTTGGACGATTTTGGCACTCGTTTCCCCCCTCTCAGTGATGCTTACGATCTTGAACTACGTAAGCTCGTGTATAAGGCTGCCACTGAACGTGATGTTCATCGCACGATTAATGAAGGCTGCTATGCCTTTGTTTCGGGACCCAGTTTTGAGACACGTGCTGAGGCTCGGATGCTGAAGCTTTTGGGCGCTGATTGTGTGGGCATGTCCACTGTGCCTGAGGTTATCGTTGCTCGTCACTGTGGTATCCGTGTGTTGGCCATTTCCTTAGTTACGAATAATGTCGTTACTGAAGAAAGCCCTTCTGCCCTTAGCACTCCGGACGCCGATACCTCTATTATGTCTAAAGGAGCTGCAAACCACAAAGAAGTGTTAGAAGCCGGTTTGGCTGCTGCCGAGGATATGCGTATCCTTGTCACGACAGTCATCAACCACTTGTAGAACGGTACCGCTACGGCAGTGCTTGATTGATTTATGTATTGTGTAATCGTTATTTGACTAGAAATTTTTATTCCTCTATTTGCTTGTAATAATTACTTTTGGTCACTAACAAATAATCCATCGTTACTAAACATAACGCACCTCTTTCTTTGCGGGGAAATAACCCCTCTTTACGATAAACTTACCACGTGCTCATCCCCGGCGGGGATCTCGGATCTAACGTGGCCACCACCATGGACTTAATCTTATCTCCCTGAACTTAATTCACCTAGAGCCACGACACATCCGTTCATGCCTTGTATGCCCGTTTTTCTGGCTCAAATTTGCAATTTTGAAGCTTCTTCCGACTTGTTTTTCGGTTGCTAGTGCACAGACCGAATGGAGAATATACGGTTTGAACTTCAGCTGACAATTTCTCATTTAGAGGGAGTTTGGAGAAGAAACGTTTTTCGTGTCCGGCGACCGTTTGTGTCATTCAGTATTGATGGAGGGCAAGTCCAATCAACCCATGATGTTTCTGGCAGACTCATATATCGTTGGGATGAGCAATTCACGGTAATTTTACATCCGAAAAGTGTTATCGTCTTCCAATTGTTTGACAAACTAAAAACAAACAACGCCACTGATGGATTTCTTGGAATAGGTGCAATTCCCATAAACAATGTAATTCCAGCTCAATCCAGCATACTTGAGGCAACTACAAAAATTCCCATCCACGATTCGAATGGTTACTTTTATGGAAAGCTAGTATGTCATTTTGAATCGAAACACTTCAGTCCTCAACAGCTAGCTGCAGGTGACATTGCGATCAGCACTTCTCCAGACATTAATCTGAGTGTTTGGGAACCTCGGGTGGATGAATACGGCAAATTGTATTACTATAATCGTAATCATCTGTCCCAACAACAGCTGGTATCAAAGAACCATGTTCCTTGTCAATTGTCTTCCTCTTCAAGTTCTGTTCCTGACGAACAGACGAAACATGAATCCAGGTGCTCGAAAATTTTTGCCCGAATCAAACTCGATAAAGCTACCGTTGCCCATCTCTCTCAAAATCCTGTACTTGCACATTCTATATTTGATGAACTAGCCTTAAACAAAGGTCCCCTTCCTAAAGGTTGGGAAATGCGACTCACAGATGACTTTCACGTCTATTTTGTGGATCATGAAACTAAGACTACTACGTGGGAGGACCCTCGTGAACAATGTTCTATTCCTTCAAGTTCGTCAAAACTGCAGTTGTTACGTCGAAAGCAGGCGTACCTGTACCAGGAACTGGCCAAGCAGGTGAAGGAAGGTCAATGCCATATTAAGGTTGAACGAAAAAATATTCTGCACAATGCCTTTGATATAATACTACGGCTCCCTCCAGAGGATCTGAAGATGAAACTATTAATTCGGTTTAAAGGTGAAGATGGTTTGGATTACGGTGGTGTTTCTCGTGAGTTTTTCTACCTTCTTTCTCACCAAATGTTTGATCCTTCGACTTGTTTATTTGAATATTCCAATGCCGGCGACTACAGCCTAAGAATATCCATTCATTCCTGTATAAACGAGGAGCACCTTTCATGGTTCCGTTTCATTGGAAGAGTAATTGGTCTGGCGATTTTTCATCGTCGTTACTTGGATGTGTGCTTTGTTCGTACGCTCTACAAGACGCTTTTGGGGCAGTCGCCGGAATTCGAGGATTTGCAATATGTTGACAAGGACTTGTATCACAGTTTAAGTTGGATCCGTGACAATCACGTGGATGAAACGCTTTGCCTTACATTTTCAACGACTGTGGATCATTTTGGAGAAGCGGTGATTTACGATTTTAAGCCTAATGGCCGCAACATAAGTGTTACCGAAGAAAACAAACATGAATTTCTCAAGCTTGCTTCAGAGTGGCATATGTACAAAAACACCGAAGAGCAATTCCAGTCTCTGAAACGTGGACTTAATGAAATTATTTCGGACAAAGATTTGCGGATCTTTGACGTCGATGAACTGGGAGTTTTAATAGGTGGAACATCGACCATTGATGTCGAGGACTGGAAACGATATACAGACTACCGATCCTACTCAGAAAGTGACCTTACAATCAAACTGTTTTGGCGTTTGGTGAGTGAATGGCCCGAGGAAAAGAGGGTAAGTTCATCACAGTTCTTATATTGTTGCTTCATACACTAACTAGGGACAGGCAAGGCTTTTGCAGTTCACTACAGGAACATCACGGATTCCGTTGAATGGTTTTAAGGACATTCATGGCAGTGACGGACCCCGAAAGTTCGTCATTGAAAAAGTCGGAACAGTTGATCAACTCCCTCATGCTCATACATGGTACGTGATCAGATTTGTGAATTTATTTCATTACTAACCTGTTTCAGTTTTAATCGCCTTGACCTTCCGCCGTATCAAACAAAGCAGCAGCTAGATCGCAAACTAACGCTTGCTATTGAAGAGACTGCTGGTTTTGGCACAAAATGAGTCTCTTCACTCTTCTCTTTCATTTTTTGTAACTTATGTTCTTTTTTCCTACATAATGATGTTAAATGAGCGATGTATTCCATTGTACAATTGTATCACGCATCCTTTTTTTCGTAATCGTACAAAACAGCAACCCCCTCGTTATTAATTTATAATAAAGTGTACAATAATGTGTGTATTGAGAGTATTTCAACGGGGTTCCGTAAACGGTGTGACGAGACTATTGAAAGGTTATTTGAACCCATCAAATTGCTCAATTGTTTTGGGGAAGGGAAGAGATTTTTCACAAGAATTGCAATGCCTGGTGACGTTCTAAATTTGTTTTTTCGTTTTAGGCGGAGGAGTCCTAAGTCGGTTTGCTTGTTTAAAAAAGGAACTTCCGTGTGTCACCGTTGGCGTCGCCGCTTTCGAAGAGCTCTCGGAATCGCGACTTCATGATTATATAGCTCGTTATGAGAAGAATCTTCAAGGTAAATGTCCGTGAAAGAGACATCAACAGAGGCATGAGATCGCTTTGTGCCGACCGCCATGGGTGATGCTAGAGTATGGCTTTCTTGAAGAAATGCGAGAAACTGCGAAGCCTCCGGATCATCCTCAACCTCATACTCATTCTCCCTGTTTTCAACATCGTCTTCGTCGTAGAATCCACTAGCACGTTCCTCGTAATGAGAGGATGAAGACGCTGTGACAGAGCGAGTTTCTTTCACGAAATCTTCCTCGTCCTCATCCAAGTGAACGGAGTCGGTAGTGTAATGAAGAGAAATGTTTGAGACTTTTTGTAACCTGGAAAATGTATCTTCCACTTCGACTAACGAGTCATCATAGTCCAAAAGCTTCCCTCGCGCAAAACTCTTTAGTGTACTTGCAAATTCTTGGCTTTCCAATTCACCGTCATCACTTATGAGAGGGTGTGCAGGTCGTTCATGATCTAGGAAAATGTTTGTGCTCTCATGAAGAGAGGCATCTGAGTGCGGGGAGTGGGAGGATGTTGAATTTTCTCGTGTAGGTGTTTTGTGTATTGATTTTAAGGTTTCATCTTCATGATAAACCTCTAAGAAGTTTTTTGTCCTTTGTTGGAAGAACGTTGATTCGGGACTGTCGAGGGACGGCTCGCGAGTCTCGATATCGTAGTGAATAGACTCTTCGCTATCGATCTCAATAACGTCAGTAATTGGTTCTTCCCTGGACTTTTGTGCAAAGGCAGTAATGGCTGCGGCGGTGGATAGGGAACTATTGTTGCTGGAAAATGATTCGGCAAAGGGCTCAGTTTCATGTATTTGAGAGGGAGAGTACGAAAGAGTATGGTCTTGCATTTCATCTTCCTCGGTCTCATTAGAAATGAATGTCTGGTGTACCTCACTGGACATAGAGGCGTCAGCGTCTTCATCCCAGATATGAACATAAGAAAGACGTGAGGGCCGATGATGTTTGGACTGTTGTGAATTTGTTACGGAAGGAGAATTCACACCCTGGTTTGCCTTCTGTTTAATTCCGTCCACCCAGGTAATGAAATCGTTTGCCGAAAACATATCCAGGCTCATTCGCCCCTTGCCTGGCGTCAAAGTGTTTCGTCGAAACATGTGTAATTTCGTTTATACAGCAATAATATGCCTCATCAACAGATTTTACAAAAAAAAAATTAAGAAAACAAAATAAAAACACAATAGAAAGTACTCAAAATCCGAGAACTTAAATCTGAGGATCAAAGAGGAAAAACGTTGAGGAAGAGTGAATGGTTTAAAATACAAATCCAATCGAGTTTATGTATGTACAAACGAAAAAGAAACACAAAACCGCACGGTGTAGACGCGTAGAATATTAAATTGTTTTACTGGAATCCTAGAATTCTTATTGAAGTGAGCACACGATGGTGTCAGTAAGCGATGCTCTCATGGCGGCAGTGATGTGTGGATACGTTTCACCTTCCTCTAGTAAAACACTACACCAAAAATAAGAGGACAATGCTTTTTAGAGTGTGATTCTTTAGAGAGACGCTATATAATTTTTATGTGCTTTCGTATGAAACAGTAAAATTCCTTAAGCAGGTTTAAGGCAGATACTAAACATCACTCTATTTGTCGGGAATGGGCCCTGGCCAAGTCGCAGAGGGCAGCAATCTATGTACAGTAATGATAGTCGTTACGTTGTGAATTGAGGAGATGATGCGGGGAATGGGGAAATAACTGCGGGTTATAAGTCAAGAGAGTATTCAACCTGTTTGTTCTGGTAGTTTCGTAGGCCATTAGCGGGTTCTGTCGCTCAGTTTGATCCACCAACGCTTTGATTATGAGAGTCTAGCCCAAATATCAGCAAGAGCTTTCATTCTTGCAATCACAGGACTATCTTTGTCACAAGCAGGAGGTTTTCTACACAGACGTCTTATACTCATCATAATATTTGAATTCATTAAGTAGCTAACATCACTTCTACATTTAGTCCTGTGCAACTTGGACAATAACTTTTCCAAAGTTTTTGCCTTGAAGCATCGAAGTAAAGGCCTCGGGAGTTTGTTCCAAACCCACTTTCATATCCAATTTAAAATGAAGCTTCTGTTCGCTAAGAAGCTTCTTTATAGTAGAGCAGCATTCGTCCCAGTACAACGAGTAGTAGTAATAATACGAGAAACCCTCAAACCGGATGCATTTCGTAATCATTTGCATTGTATTTTTTAAACCGTATGGCTCCTTGGCACAGTACTGGCTCAATGCACCGCAATATATGATACGTGCATACAGGTTTGCATGAAGGAAAACGGTATCCAAAAGCTCTCCGCCAACATTATCAAAATACACATCAATGCCCTTGGGACAAGTTCTTTTTAAAGCATCTGAATAGTTTTCCTTTTTATAATTGAATGCGTCATCAAAATGAAGTTCATTTTTCAGGAACTCAACCTTTTCATCAGAACCGGCACTGCCGACTACATAACAGCCGAATGACTTTGCAAGTTGTCCTGCCATCATACCGACAGCTCCGCATGCCGAAGAGACCAAGACAGTCTCGTTAGCCTTTGGGTGACCAACATGCTTTAAACCGATATAAGCCGTATGGCCAGCCATACCCAATACACCGAGATAATCTTTCAGCATGCTGTCATCTTTGTCAGTGATCAGACAAGACGACTCGAGCGTTTGTGTCGACAGAAGCGTATACTCTTCCCAATTAGCAAAAGAAAACAGCCTGTCACCTTTCTTCCATTTCTCCGATAAAGAATCAATAACGGTGACAACAGCATAACAAGACAATGGTTTCCCTTCTTCAAACGGCTTTGTTACTTCCTCATCAGCATCAAGATTTTCTATCAGACGAAGCTTCAAAAATGGGTCCACCGATATGTAGAGCACTTTAGCCAAGACAGGGAAATTATCTGACAGCTGTAATTGGGAAGCGTCATATGGTCTCCGAACAAAGTCAATGTTTTCTCCAACTTTCGGATACCCCTCGGAACTCTGCATCAGCTTTCTAACAATGACGGCGTTATTCGACATGTCTTGCATAGTAGTAGTAATAGTAGTAGTAGTAGTAGGAGTAGTAGGAGAAAGAAACAATGGATGTCAGTGCTGCTTACAATGAATTGCAGCCGAAATACAATTCTTTTTATACATATACAATTGTTATTCACATACTTGCTTGTGACCGCCTCGGAGATTACGGTTTTGTCGGAAGCCGAAAACAAATGCTTTGACTAATAGGAAATAACGGGCCGACAAAAATTCGCTAACGCCAACTTACTAAGCGCTTTCCTACTTACTAAGCACTTAAGGGTCCCATGGGTCGGGAGTATACTATGATATAGTTTTGAACGATGGTTCACCTGTTGATATCTATCAATGAATTCTACCATGTTTCGTATACTAACATACCTTGAACATGTGCAGTACATACAATGCGATACTTTCCTGCCAAAAACGATTTTTAAGGTTTATTTAAGCGAAACTATTTACTTGCTTTGTCGCTTTCTGAGCAGTTTTTGCATTCCAGGGAGATGGTACAGTGACAAGACGTGTGTTGCAAACACCTGATCAAGGTTATATAAGGTTCAGAAACGCATTCTAAGTTGCCTGTAAAGAAGTTTATCTGTATACGAAAGGGTGCCGGCTATTTAGTTTTAAGCTCAGTAAGAATGTCGGTCTTGTTGGATATTTTCGGGCAATTCCCCTTAACAATATGTGTTCCATTGTGTCTATTCTACGAAGTGAAGGATCCTTCTTCGTATCCGTTAATGGTACAGACCATGAAAGATGGTCTACAACGACTCTCTGCAGCCTTCCCTTGGATCGCAGGAAAGGTCATTATCGAAGGTGTTAATGAAAACTGCACGGGAATAAGAAAAATCAAGCTTATAGGTAAAATCCCGCTTATTATTAAGGATTTGAGAGATGATCCTTCGGTGCCAACCATGGATGAATTTCGGAAAACTAGATTTCCCATGGCTTCTATTAAGGAGAAGGTTGTTGCACCATACAGTTTCCTCCCTCATTTGAGAGATGGAAACGACCCAGACACGGACTCGGATCCTGTCTTTTCTGTGCAGATGAATTTCATAAACGGAGGTCTTTTGCTCACATGTATCGGCCATCATAGTGTAATGGACATGACTGGAGAAACGAAGGTTATGCATTTGCTTTCAAAGGCTTGTCACAACGAACCGTTCTCAAGCGAGGAACTGAGAATCGGTAACTTGGATCGTCAAACCGTTTTCCAAAAAGTGACTGAACCTTTTGACCCAGAAGTCGAACTCGTTAATCAACTTACCAAGGTTAAGCGATCATTCAAAGAGTCAGTCGGAGAAGCACTCTTAAAGTACGTTCCAAGCACTTGGAAGTGCTTTCTTTTTGAACGCGATTCCCTTGATGCCCTAAAGGCACTTGCTTCTGAAAGCATCTCAGAGTCTACAAGTTTTGTTTCTACTGATGATTCACTGACTGCATTTGTATTTCGGGCCATCATTCGTGCTCGTTTCCCCCGTTTGAACCCTTCAACTGAATTAAGTCTGGTTCGCTGCGTTAATGTTCGAGACTATCTTGGCATCCACCCTGACTATCTCGGAAATGCCCTGCACCAAACGTATTGCAGTTGGAAAGCTGAAAGTGTTGTGAAGGCTCCGGTAGGTAGTATCGCGTCGCGACTTCGTTCAGCTATAAAGCCATCTGAATTGGCGCGCCAAACGCTAATACTTGGGACTTACCTTGATGGTCTGCAGGATAAAAGCACGGTTTCATACAGTGCCAACCTTGACGCAACTGAAACTGTGATGCTTAGTTCATGGGCGAAAATGAAAAGCTTCGACCTTGACTTTAATTTTGGTTTGGGAACACCAGAAGTTGAGAGATTTCCACAGTGTATCCCGGTCGAAGGACTGGTGTATTTCTTACATCGTGGGGCAAATGGAGAAATTCCAGTTTCAATCTGCCTAAGAAACGAAGACATGGAAAGACTGAAGGCTGATAAGGAATTCACCAAATACGGAGTCTATATTGGTTGAAAACTGGCTTATGAACGATGAGTAATGAGTAAAGTAAACACTTTCCGTTTTCATTATGTTATGTTTTTTGTTAATATAAATGATATCTATGTTATACCTTTGAACACATTTATGAATACTTGATGAATACTTATTACACAAAGTAGTAAAACTTGCTAAACTAAGTTCGCAAAGACGTCTTCGACGGACAAGAACTCTCGCAGTAAAAGAGAGCTCCAGTGGCTTCCGGGACCACGTACCATTGCATCGTTGCTACATTTTGATGACCAGAATGCAAGGAAGTTTGCCGTACTGGCAAGTTCAGCCAACATATCGGATTCCGACCGTAAAAAACGAAACGAAAACTACCACAAAAGCAATTACCCCCCAACAGAAGCAGCAAACACACACATTACCCCCATTCAGTTCACTACCAGTTGACCTACAAGATTCATAGACTATAAAATCTAAGCCTTGGCAAGAGCAACACGAACCTCGTTGCGGCGTTGCTTCTTGAGACGCATGACAGCGAAGCGGTCAAAGTCGCTAAGTTGACTGCGAACCTTTTGGGTCTCAAGCTTCTTGGCCCAAGCGGAGGACTCCCACTTCTTGCAGATTTCTTGAGCCTTCCACTTCTTAGCAACGACACCAGTACGAGCACCGCGAGGAAGGTCCATAACAATGGAGGTGAGAATAACATCACCATAGCTGATAACTTGGCGAGGGAAGTTAGGGCAAGGAGAGTCGAAAACGGCCTACAAGCATGTTAGTAAAGGATGAAGAGGAAGAGACGCGACGCGACACGACGTGAAAATAAGGTTATTCAAGGGAAACGAGAGCACAGACGGAACAGACGGCCAGAAACGCTTCTAACGAAGAGAAGGAACTGTTCTGTTCACGCACCAAGCTGCCAGACACCCTCAAACCTCCTGCTTGTCGCATGCCGCACCTCACCAACAACTTACTCTCTTGTGGTCAACAATGTCGACAATCACGGCAAGCTTGCCCTTGTAGGCACCCTTGTTGACAAGAGCAATGCGTCCAACCTCAACGTAGCGCTTGAATCCTTCCATGGTAGTTTGGTGTAGGTGGTGTGGTTGAGAGCAAATCGAGCGTGCGTGGTGGTCGTCGTCAACCAAAACCTGTGACTGTTATTTTTTGTTGTTCAGGTAACAAGGTAACAAAGCATTTGCATAGGCATCACCACCCATCTTCCTGCGTGACGAACGCAACTAGAGCCAATACCGCCAAGATGCAGATTTTCGTCAAGACCCTCACGGGCAAGACCATCACCCTTGAGGTCGAGTCCTCCGACACTATTGACAATGTCAAGAGCAAAATCCAGGACAAGGAGGGCATCCCCCCTGATCAACAGCGTTTGATCTTTGCTGGTAAGCAGCTCGAGGATGGTCGTACTCTTTCCGACTACAACATCCAAAAGGAGTCTACTCTCCACTTGGTTCTCCGTCTCCGTGGTGGTATTATCGAGCCCTCTCTGAAGGCTTTGGCTTCCAAGTACAACTGCGAGAAGATGATTTGCCGCAAGTGCTATGCTCGTCTTCCTCCTCGTGCTACCAACTGCCGCAAGAAGAAGTGTGGTCACACCAACCAATTGCGCCCTAAGAAGAAGCTTAAGTAGACAGTTTTCTTAACGCATATGGTTCTGCACGAATGAGACGCGAAGGATGTAGACGGTAGTGGGGGTCTGTGAGTGCTGGTGGGATGCTGTGTGGGAGTATACCGAGAAATGTGGGGTCATGTGGGTGCGTATTGGTCTTCGTTCCTGTGACTCGTTAGGGGGCGTTATTGCCGGTTAACGAGATACGAAGGGACACACTAAAACAAAATTAGCAGTCACACGAAACTTTACCCATACCAACACAGGGCGGTGAATTTGTCCTCTGCACCACCATGACTCAAAAGAGAAGAAACAACGGACGCAACAAGCACGGCCGTGGTCACAACAAGTTTGTTCGCTGCATCAACTGCTCTCGTTGTGTCCCCAAGGACAAGGCCATCAAGCGTTGGACTATCCGTAAGTAATTCTGTCTTTGTGGCGGCACTTTTTTAAATTGCTGGTTTTCTAACATGTGTTTGTAGGTAACATGGTCGAGACTGCCGCCATCCGTGATTTGTCCGAGGCCTCTGTTTACAGCGAGTACACCATCCCCAAGTTGTACATCAAGTTGCAATACTGTGTCTCTTGCGCTATCCACTCTCGTGTTGTCCGTGTTCGTTCTCGTGAGGGCCGTCGTATTCGTACTCCCCCTCCCCGTGTGCGTTACAACCGCGATGGCAAGAAGATCAACCCTGCTGTCGCCGTTAAGGCTCTCTAAACCTTTAACGTATGAAAACTAGTATTGGTGTAGTAAGGTTTCAGTACCACGGGTCATGAATTTTGGGATGCGTTGGTTAAGGTCGTGGAGGAGGAGTTTAGTGTGCTTGTTGTGTGTCTTAGTTGGGTTGCTTTTTAGTTACAAGGCTCATGCGTGTTTCTGAGTTGAAACCCAGTCGAGGATCGTGTTCAGGTAGCGAAGGGCCTTCGGGTGAAACTGCTCTACGGTGCCAAAGGTCTTCGTTTTCGTTATGAGAAGGATTGTGTATAACGGCAGTACAGGCTCGGTGTGATTGGCAAAGGTGGACCATTCACTTCTGTCTTCAGAGGGTGCGATTACCTGTCGAAGAATCCAGTAGCCTCGACGGCTTCGAACTGTTAACCGCTCGCTGTGCTCTGTCTGTTTGGACATTTGAATGTTCTCCAATACTTCCCAGAGATGATGAGCATCAACGGTCGGGAAGTTGAGCCTGGCAATCGCCTTGCATGTAGGATGGTGAACAAGTAAACCCCAAAAGGTTTCGCTCTCGGGGAAACAACCGGGCAGTCCTGTAACAGGAGGGGAGGGTTGTAGCACTTGCAGCTGTGCTCGTAGCTGTATCATTATATCATCTTCAAGTCGTAAAGGTCGTTCTCTGTCACTTTGTTGTTCAGCTGTCATTAAAGATTTCTTGACTTGCAGCTGACTTTGGGCAATTTCTGCCGGGCGGAGCACAATTAGTAGCTCCCGTTTCTCAATGCCCACTCGCATGCACAGCAGTTGAGCTTTTCGAAACTTGCCTGATATTTGGAGGGCAACGTCGGGCCACAGCGAGGACATGGTGCTGGCCGTAAATGGATATTGAGATGCACAAAACTCAAATAATGCATTGAGCTGGGCATCGTTTGCATACCCCTCACGCATTTTTCCCATTTGGACTACTGGTTGTCCTGCACGTACTTTTATAACATAAAAGGCATACCATGGGAGAGCACCATGCTCAAGAATACGCTCAATCGCGTCGCTTCTACTGGTATCTGCCGAATCCTTCTCAACAGCAACGGCTTGAAAACTGCGAAGCAAGGAACCGCCACATTCTAAAGGAGACAACCGCTGGTTCCACCAATGTTGTAGGCAACGCACTTCATGAGATGACAGTGTGCCATTATGATATGATCGTAAAAAGGAAAAATTAGTAACGAAAAATTGGTTGCATAGTGACTGAATGGTTGTATTCAGCACAAAGACACTCGGGCTTGGTTTGCACACCGAGAGGTAAATGTACAGTCCATGGGACGGAAAGGAGGCGTGTGAAGGGGAATGACTAGCGTCGTGTTCATTGGAATTCTCACTTGAACTGGTGCAATCAGACTCGCTGTCGTCATCATCATCGCTCTCTTGAAAAGTGCATTGCCAATCAACGGCAGCAACATTCCTTGGGGAAAATGGAAGGACTAAGCGTAAACTTTTTGAAGTGTCAACGTGAATAAGCGGGGACGACGGACGAGGAGGTGTAAGTACCATCGACCGGGACAGGCTCATCCAAGACTGAGACATTGTCTTCTGGGATTCCTTCGGTGTTGATTGTGCATTGTCATCGGAAAACTGAATGAGCCCATTCAACAAAGATATTTGACGTTTTAATTCAGAAACATTCGAAGGTTCAGAATCCGCATTTGCTTGTGATTCTGAATTGGGATGCCGATGATTGTACGACCACACAATAACAACCTTTTCAACTGACAAACACCGGTAAACACAGAATTGATCAACTAGAACCATTTTCCAACAAACACAATAAAAATGCAACGGAGGGGGTTTCCGCTGTCAAGGGTCGTGTTTTTTGGTACGGATGATTTTGCTGTGCCAATACTACGGAGCGTGGTGGAGCTTTTACGCCCACAAGTCGAGCAACGCTTGGTAGTGGTAAGCGGCAGTGGTAGAAACACAGGGAGACGAAGAAACGATATATCAAAACAAACCCTCGCGTCTAGTGTGTCACGAGAAGCACAAGAACATGGTATTCCTGTGTATCAATTTCCAGGGAAGGAAACATTGAACACTACAGCTTCCAATGTTGCACCTGATTGGCAAGCGTTAAAGAAATTCACTCATGGTGATCTTGCCATTGCCGCCAGTTTCGGCAGATTCATTCCCGCTTCCATTTTGAATCAATTCACTTATGGCGGTATAAACGTACATCCTTCTCTGCTGCCTCAGTTTCGAGGACCGGGCCCGATATACGCGGCCATTCTAAGACAAGTGTCGAAAACGGGCGTTTCCATTCAACGTATACATCCAGCCGAGTTCGACAAAGGTGAGTTGCTCGCTCAGAAAGCCTATGTGATGAACGGGACCGAGACGTACGAACAGTTGTGTCAAACACTGGCGCAAATTGGGGCAGGCTTGCTTTCTCGGGTCCTACGTTTGGGCACATACGACAAAGATAATGCCCCAGAAGGAATCACATCGTTTTTAGGAAAGCGAGTACAGGTAGCTGAAAGTTGGGCACCTAAAGTTGATTTAAAACAGGCTTTTGTTGAATGGGACAGTTACACTACTGCACAAGTGTATGCCATTAGTCGTGCGTTTGGTTTCATCAAAACCTGTCTTCCAACGGGAAACAGCATTACTCTATGGGGAATACAACCGGTTATGGTTGATGAAACAACCTGCGCAAATGTCGCTCCAGGTACGTTCATGCGATGCTTCAACAATGAGTTTTGGATAAAAACGATCGACGGTGCTGTACGTATAAATGATAGCATCCAACTTGCTGGGAGAAAAAGGGTTTCCGCGGGCGAATGGATTGCAACAAGTTTCAAAGGAAAAGGCGGGTTGTTTGTTTCGCCAAACAAAGTTCAACGCTTTTAATTTTAAGGTGCTTACACTCCTTTGACTGTTTCACGGTAGTGAGCACGGTTCATGTTAGCTATGATTGAATTGCTTCCCCACTCTTTTATTTTTTTTCAGTCCCTTTCATTGCTGGGTCACTTGGCCATCGTCTTTGCTGTTCTTCCGCAACCTTCCCTGTGTCAGTTGCTTAGAGGATTTCATAGAATAAGGAAACTAAGCTTGGATTTTGTTCCATGGTACCTTTAGATCTGTTAACAATTGCTTCCGTTACAGACTCCATTCAGCATGGACAGAAAGTAAGGCTGACTTCTTTGCAATTCTGGAGAGCACTTCACGTAGGTTCACATTAATGTTCTCACATAACGGAACCTTTCATGGGTAGATGCCGTTCCATACAGAAACGCCAGTGTAGACAGACTCACCCAGTTCATTTGTGCACCCCCCATACACACAGTATGAGGTAGTAGAGAGCACGAGCAATACACAAGGGAAAATCATCCTTTACGATGAGTGTACCCCGTCCTCGTCCAGGTGCCGAAAGCAAAGCTTCACAAATGCTCAACCCTTTTACCAAACTCATCATCCACAGAGGAAGGAAGAACAACACTCTTGTACTTTTTTCTTTCGTATCCTTCACCAAAACTCACTTAAGGACATAGTTTCAAAGGTTCAAAAATGGTTCATTTCTCAGACACATTCCACATAGAGCGATCAGTTTGTTGTTTTTGTATCCATTAAAAAATCGTAGTATTACTCATTACCTTCAGCGTAAATCTCCACACGCAGGGAGGGAATTTCTTTTTTTTGTTCCTCAGCGTCTGTGACTAGTGAAAGCAGATCCGTTGGTTTTGGTGAAGGAGAATCTACTTTGGTCACTTGATGAACACGAACATTCTCGCTCGCGCATCGTCTTTTAAAGAGTTCGGCAATCGTGACGACTTTCACGGTAGCAGTTCCCTGTCCGTAGAAGCTCACGCGCTTCACCTTGGCGAAATCCGTCCACAGATCATCCACCGCCCTTTTTGAGTTGGTTTTGGCTTCTATTTTCATGAAGAACTGCAAAAACCGAAAATTGGCCGGACAGACGTGGATGGTAGAAGACAGCTGTCTCATTAAGCTGCCTGTACATTATACCGTGTCTCGGGTAACATTGTAACTTTAACGTGTAGTAACGAGACTCGCTAAGATAAGATACGAATTTGTTGAGAAAAGCAAGCACCAGCCTAAGTTGAGCAGGAGGCGGTAAGGTTCGGGAGCAGAAGAGCCGTGGAAGATTTCAGTCAATGGTGGCTCGCGTCCCTGCAATAGTTACTATTGTTTCGTCATTTTGTGGGTTTCCAGCGGTATAAACTGATGGGGATAAACTTGAGCAAATGGGTAATTGGTACTAGTGAGAGTACCATCATCATCAGCAGCTTGCTGAGCTCCTGCCGGTAGTTGTGCCCATCATCGATGAAAACAACATATCTAGAAAGAGACAAATGTAATAGTCAATGTGATTCCGACAACGGGACTAGATTTCTTGACGACCAAGAAGCCATCTCTTTCGCAATCCCAAGATGCAGCCTGGGAAGCCGTTACACCCGCAGTAGGATGGCCTGCAGGGAGCTTTTGAACGACAGTGCTGTTAACGATCCATTTGTATGAGGAAGCATCCTTGTTCAATGCAGAAAGAACGAAGCGCTACATTCACGCGTGTTAGTAAACAAAGTACGAAATAGGACCACTGCGTGTTTCTACGTGATTGGGCGCGTTTCAACCGGGCAAACGGGTCTAGAACACTTACAATAGCTTCCTTGTTTAATTTAAGGATAGTGTCGTGTTCATAGACGGGTTCCTTCAGCAACGAAGTAACTGCTTCAGAGCAAATGGCATCGATCTTTTCTCTACTAAGAGGCTGTACGGTCGCACACGGTTAGTAACAGTAGAGACGTTTCAATTCCAGGAACGTACGCAGCTCATGGTATAGGAATATATGGGAGAATTTGTTCGTCGTACGCGTAACAGCTGGGGTGTTTGGAAGAGGACAGGGAGAATTGTATACGTCGAGGAAGAATACCCGTTTGTCACTATCTAAGATTCCGAATAAGCGAGGGGAATGCGGGGAATGTAAATAGAGGCATCAGCAAATCAGAGAGGGGGTTGGCGTGCGGGGCCAGAGAAGGCTGGAACCAATGAGAGCGGTTGTATTAGACAGGTACAGGTGGAAATGGAAGTATGTAAACGAGACGGTATTAAACGATGCGTATTGAGGTATTAAATCCAGCTGAATGCAGGAGAGGTGAGGGAATTTAGGAACATGTCCAGCAAATCAAGAAACGTGATTTTCAAAAAAATAAAGTAAAGTGAAATGAAATGAAATAAAATAAAATAAAATAAAAAAAAGCATAAAAAAAAACAAAAAAAAAAAAATTATATATATATATATATATATATATATATAAATAAACAAATAGATAAAAAAAATAAAAATCTAGCTAGTTCAGCTCAATCGAAATAGCATACCATCTTCGTCCCTCCTTCATCCAATTACTCCTATCTGAATGTATACGCTTTACGGAATTTAGGGATTTTTGTTTGAGCAGGTTTCTATGTAAAAATAGAATAGTTAATTCTTTAGTTGCTTAAACGAACTTTAAAATAATAGCTCAACACTAAAAAACCTTGGAACAAGCGAGAATCGGAGGTCCCCTGAAGGAATAGAGGGAAGCCCAAGACGGAAGTGGCACATGCAAGAGGGAAAAAATTTACATAAATAAAAATTAAATAAAAATCAATATTAAAGGTGGAGTAAAGACGTATGAATGCGATTTTATTTGAAGTAATGTTTATGCGCACATTTAAAAAATATACATATATGAATTAATAATAAAATATAAATGAAAATAAATGAAATATAAAAAAAATCGAAAAAAAAATCGAAAAAATAAATAGAATAGAATAAAATAAAAAAAAATAAAATAAAGTAAAAACAAATAACATAACATAACATAACAAAACAATATAAAACCCCAAACCCTAGTACTACTAATCGCAATAAACAGGACCATTCTAACTCATTAGATTATTACTAAAACCATTGTGAGCAATTATTCTTTGTTCAAGACGACACCGAATTATAACCCAACCTCGCTGCTTCGCCCTCCGTTTCCTCATTTTCATTCCATTCTCTTTGACCACAAACCACTTCATCCGCATCAATAAAATAAATCAACTTAATTTTTTCTTATGAGTCAATAAATTGCTCTGTTTTCTCTTACCAAACTCCCTTACTCACTCACTCGTTTCATTTCGTTTTCTTCCGACCTGTTCACCTCTACCTCACCATGTCCAGCTCGTTAGCTAAGAAATTGGAGGAAAAACAGCATGAATATGCGTCTGTTTGTAATTTACGGGATTTGTCGCGGGATTTAGCTGACCGTTTTGAAAAAATGGCAGTAAAACTGGAATCATTAAGTAATGGAACGGAGGGTATGATCTGAAAATTCAATACTCATCAAACAACAAACTAATCTCGTCTCAAACAGCCGTAGCAAGCGTTCTAGATAACTGGAAGGAAATCTTTCAAACTATACGGTTGGCAAGCTCTCACGCAGGAACTCTTGTTCGGATCCCTCAAACAGAAGATATCCCAAAGAAGGCGAACGAGTGAGAGAAAGGAGGACGGGGACCAGGTCGAAACTGAACTTCGAAAATGAACATCTACTTTTTCTTGTTTCAGGTCTATAACATAGCTCCTACTGCTCTTTGACCACTTTTGATATCTCACCGTTCCCGGGTTCGTGCCCTACAGACGCCATTGACGGAACATAATAAACGACACACCCAATACATCCGTGTCATTGCCGTCAGCCGTCTCGACCACGAATCAACTCCTCTTTCTGTCTGTTCTCGCTGCCTAGTCACTCTTCGCCTTCTTTCCGTGTCCTCCACTCAAACATAAGAGCTACAGCCGACTCAAAAATCGTTCTATCGGCTCTTGCTCATTCTTACTACATCGGTCGTAATCTCTTAGTGCGCCTTTTACCGGGCGAAAATTTTTTACACCAAACCGATATTTCTTCGCCGCGTTCTCTTATTCGCCGCAATTCAAGAGTAAGCCCCTCCTCAACCAGTTCTCAGAGTCCTGGAGTAAAAAACCGCCCGTAAAACTTTTTGTGTTTTTGTTTACAACCTCGTGCATCATGTCCAACGTTTCCTCCATATTGCATAGCGGATATCATATTCCTCTTACTCGTGAATGGCAAAGTGTGCGTCCGTTGACAAAGTCGGCTCTGATGTATCCCATTTTTATTTCAGACAAGGACGATGCCAAAGACGTCATTTCCAGCATGCCCAACCAATACCGCTGGGGCGTGAATCGTCTTGAGGAATTGCTCGATCCACTAGTAAAGAAGGGCCTTCGCAGTGTTATTCTTTTCGGTGTTTTGGAAGACTCATCAAAGAAAGACTTCCGCGGCTCCCTTGCTGATTCCCCTGACGGTCCCGTCGTTCGCGCCATCAAGCTCATTCGCAATCGCTTCCCTGACCTTGCAGTCGCCTGCGATATTTGTTTGTGTGAATATACTGACCATGGTCACTGCGGTTTGTTATTCAAAGACGGCACAATCAACAACACCGAATCGGTCGCTCGTATCGCCGAGGTCAGTGTAAACTATGCTCTGGCTGGTGCCCAAATTCTCGCACCCAGTGATTGTATGGATGGTCGTATCTTGGCTATCAAGGAAGGCCTCATCCAAAATCAGTTGTCCCATCGTGTGATGCTTCTGTCGTACGCCGCAAAATTTGCTTCTTGCTTTTACGGTCCTTTCAGAGACGCTGCCGACAGTGCCCCAGCGTTTGGTGACCGCAGCTGTTATCAGTTGCCTCCTGCTTCTCGTGGCCTTGCTCGTCGTGCTATTCAACGTGACCTACGCGAAGGTGCAGATGCGATCATGGTCAAGCCTGGTACTGCTTTCATGGACATTATTGCCGATGCCGCTAACTTGGCTCCCGATGTACCCATCGCTACGTACCATGTGTCGGGAGAGTTTGCCATGCTCCACGCTGCAGCCAAGGCAGGTGTCTTTGATCTGAAGCGTGTCGTACTGGAAGTTATGAACGGATTCATGAGAGCTGGTTGTTCTATCATTTTGACTTACTTCACTCCCGAACTTTTGGACTGGTTGAGTGAATAAAATGGGAAACATCATTGTTGTCCATTGCTGTAAACGTACATTAACACACGCATGCATCTCTCGTCTACGCTCTCCCACACATCCCATTCCATAATGACTTTCTCTCTCTAATTCATTTCCTCCTTACTCGTGATTAACTTAATCAGTCCACGTGTTCCATCTCTCAACAAATCCATCCTCAGAATGAACTTACTTATGCAAGTGCTTCGTTTTTCGACTAGTGCTAAAGACAACAGTGGGGAAAAGAGTTTGATACGAAGATGACAGTTGCTGAAAAGAAACGATTGTAGCTATAGTGTGTTGGCAACACGCGAGATAATAAAAATTAAAGCGATCCCTTTCTTCCTTTTACAAAAACAGAAATGAACGGATGATTTGGATATGCACGCTGGATGCATGCGATTAGTCAGCCATGCAGCAGAACAGTATTTTCCAACCAAGCTTTTTCTTCCGTGGAGCAGGTTCTTCCTGTTGCTTGCCGGAGTACCGTTGTTGTTGCTGCTGTTGCTGTTGTTGCTGCTGCTGTTCAGCATGACGAGGGGAATTGTAGTCCGCTGCGTGAGCAGTTATGTCTCTATGTGCTTGAGGAGCAGGGGAGGGAAGACCATCCTTCGTGCGAGGAAGCTTTGGGTCTTCTTGATGCTGGTTCTGATGCGACGGTAAGGCAAGTCGAGAGTATTGGGGGGTGCTTTGACGTTGACGGGTTGCATGGCTTTGACGATGCTGTAAATTTCGTTGTCTGGAAGCGCTGTATTGCCAACCGCGACCATTATTCAAGAGAACCCAATCAAAACGTCCATCCTCCTGTTCGTTGATACGTCGCAGAACGGAGTCGAACAAAGAGCGCAAATAGTCATAATCGGGCGTCTCTTCGTAACCCAAGTTTCTCACATAAGTCATGTACTGGAAAAACTCCTTGGGGAAGCCATTGCAAAGTTCCTTGAGCGGTGTAGATTGCTTCTTCTCACCGATCTTCTCGTACTTTTGCTTGTTGGTAGCAGCCTTCAAACCCTGCCAAGGAAGACTTCCGCGTAAGAAGTACATAAAGACGTGTCCCATGGACTCCAAATCATCACGCCGAGACTGTTCACGACCAAGATGTGTGTTAATGGACATATAACGAGCAGTTCCTGAGAGACTCTTGTGTTCGTTGTAAGGACGATGAACTCGAGTCTTAGGATCACGATACTGCTTTGCCATTCCAAAATCGACGGCATAAATCATATTCTCCGTCTTGCTTCCAGGTGGTCCGATAAGGAAATTGTCTGGTTTAATATCACGATAAATAAAATGTCGCTCATGGACAGACTGGATACGAGTGATCTGACAGGTTAGTAAGCAGTAAGATATGAGGCAAACGAGAAAACTTGGAGCGGAGAAATTGCAAGTGCACTTGTCATTCGAAGAATAAATACTCGCAATCAACGACGGTGCTCCTAGCATGCAGATACCACCCAGACTAAACGGATGGACGTATCACAAACATGCCCATCGTCTTCTCCCTTGTTCAATGCTTACCATTTGCTTAGCAATCATGGCAACGGTCTTAACGCTGAAATGACGACCACTGTAATCAAAAAGATCCTCCAAACTAGGTCCAAGAAGATCCATCACCAGTAGATTGTACATCCCTTCCTGTCCATAATAGTACACATTGGGGACACCGGCTGAACAAGTTAGTACAGGATGCCTTTTTTAAATACTCAAGCTTGCGGAAGCCTTTACAAACTTGTAAGACCATGCAGGAACCCACAGGAACCCACAGAGGCTCACAAGAGCCCACAGCTCCTTCCACAACTTACGTAGTCCCATCAAAAGCTTATATGTAAGATATTCATCACGGAGTTGAGGTACTTCACTCTTCCTGGATTCCTGTAACAGGATTAGCAGCCATTCTATCGACTCAATACTTCCGTCCTCAAGTCTACTTACAAATTTAAGAGCAATCGGTTGATTGTTCACCAAATTCACTCCCTGGAAAAGCATACCAAAGGAACCCTCGCCAATTTTCTTTCCAACCTTGTAGTGAACCCCTACAACATTGGACTGGGACGAAGACGCCGACATTTCGTATTCGTTAGCTGCTGTAGCAGCTCAAAAACGAAATGAAAAAAACAGTTAACCTCCAGCCGCTGCAGGAGAACCGAGCAAGTACGGGAATTAATCAATCCACAATAGAACAGATAATTCTGCAAATGTGGGATTTCCAAACACCGTACAAGGTCTACGGGATGCTTCTTAGGAGACCAGCGCTGATTGTTGCTGTGGAATACTGTGTGTACTGGATTGGCGAGTGGAGCCTAAGTAAGGGTAGGACGGAAGGAGGCAGTAGCAGCCCAGTCAGAGCAGCGAGGTCAGCCGCACTGAAAACACAAGATAGTACAAATTAACGTTTATTCTTAGCCGAATTGCCATTTTTGTCGATAATACACTCGGTTATTGAATTCATGCAAATTGTGAGAATGTAGAATAAAACTTCAAATACATCTTCTATTCATCCATATATACTACAAAACTATCCTAAACGAATAGAGGCGCAAATGCTTTGAAACCATTCATCAAACTGTGTACGATCAAGGACTTTTTCCAGATTGGCAGTTTCACGGTTCAACGTCTTCACCACCTCTTCTGCATTTCCATAGAGAGCCAGTGGATAGAATGATTCAACCTCTTGTGCGGTGCCTTTGAAAACCCACTCTCGAGGCTGCAGGAGATGGACACGTCTGGTCTCAAAAAGATCATTGACGACGCACAACTCAAGCGTTTGATACAGAGCAGAACTCTGTATGTCCGCCTCAATAGCAGCGTCAGTCTTGTTGCGCAAATCAAGAATCCGAGGCCAATAGTCTTGAAGCATGGCTCGACGCCAGATGGTGCGCTCGAAGAAATCGTGTGTGGCTTTCGATAATTGAGTGTACGACAGAAGACGTAGGGCCAAGTAGTAGTCAAGTTGCTCCTCCCGCTCGATGCGTGTCCGATAAAGCGAGAAAGTTAGGTAGTCAATCATTTCAATAGCGGTAACCGGTTCGTTGGACAACAACCGTCGCAAAACTCGTTGCATTACTTGCTTAGCAATGGCGGGAATGGGTTTGTTGTCACAAACATGATCGATCGTTGCTTCGATTAAGAGACGCTTCTTTCCCTGATGCTTCATTTTCCGTAATATGGGCTTCATTTGCTTGAGCACATAATTTTGAATATCGATGAAGTCTAAGTTTTGTTCAATCTGAACCATTTCAGTCTCTAGAGGTGCTGTGTTTGGCTCTGACAAATAGCATAGCTTTCCCAAACACAAATCGACTTTCTTTTTGTGAAGGCTTACATCCTTTTGTGAAGCCAATGCTATTAAGCGGTGAGCTGCCGACAAATACTGTTCTTGATGGAGATCATAAATCCAAGCAATCACGTTGAAATCTGTTTTCGCGAAGTACTCGGAAAGATATTCCGAATGAGACGTTTTTTCATCCAACAATTCCTTTAACATACCCTTTTCCACACAATAGTCATACAAAACAAACGCAAAATCTTTGCCAAACTTCTGAATGTACAAGGAAAGTCGCTCTTCCAGCTTAAAATCAGAGGAATTCTTGTGAAATTGAAAACACAATTCCACAAGTGAACGATAGTCCAGATTTTTTTCCGCAATCCGCAATGTACTGTCTTCCTTTCCAATGTCAATAAGCGTTTGGATCCAGAACTTTCTGTTGACATGGAAAATCTCTTGGATCGATTTTTCTTCTTCATTAAACTCGGCACCCTTCACTTTGTACCAGGCAATTCGTTCGGAAAACGCATCAAAACAGACTTGTGTGAGAGCGACCAACTGAACATTCATATTCGATAAAGCAGACGAAAGCTCGACGCGTTTATCGTTTTGCAGTTCAATGTCAGTAAAGACGGAACCATGTTGATACTGAGTTAATGCTGATTGCGTCAACTCAAACTGTTTTGACAAGATACTCAAAATATTGCGTGTGGACGTCCAAGGCTCAACTTTTCCATCAGGACTTGATTGAATGTGAAGAAGGTTTGTCATTTTCTCGCGGAAACTTGTTGCGGAGGCCTGGATAGCGAGAATGATTTCGTTTGCTTCGAGAATCACATTGAGGACTAAAAATGGGTCTTCCTGGACGCGCGATGCCGAATCAACACAATAATCATGAGCTTGCGTTATAAGATTCTCAATCTCATTTACATGTCCGATAAACCATTCTCGAGTTGCATTTGCAGAATCGTTACTTTCAGTCATTCTTAGCAGTATCCTTGAGAGCACCAGAGATTGGGAATAACTAGTGTACCGAGCATCCACACTCATCCACACAGACTTTGCAGCATAGCATTTTTCGGCCATCGTACGGATGGATATAACAGTCGTACTATCAGCAGACTCGCCCATAGAAAGGGCGTAATGTATGAGATTCGTGAGGTATTGAACTCTTAAGCCCAGGTGATGACTGATAGAGGGGAGAATGGATGGTAAGTAAGAAGAAGTTGAGCCCATAATCTCGTTACCAATAGCTAAAAGAATAGTACCGTTGTCTCCATTCAAAAGATGTTTGTAGTGCTTTAAGGAAAAGTCCAAAGGAACACCCGGAAGATATCCATAGAAAACGGCTTGTTCAATTTTGTTTTTCAGAAGGTTTTTAAGATCCAGTATTCTTGAAGACTTATTCGCTTCAAAACGCAGAACGCCAGAGCCTTGAACGACCAAAAGACAGGCGGGATTTCGCAAGACCTTGCCAGAGGATTCATCTACAATGATATCTTCGCTGCCAGAAGCTATTACCCTTCCGTATTCGTTCTTTTTTATGTAAATAGGATCTTCATGCAACCAGTTGAGACCCGACGCCGAACTTTGCATATCCAACATGACAGCTGCGCCTTCAAAAACACAAAATGCAAAGCATCCAGGCTTCGGAATGTAAAGCTTTGGTTCTTCCATGTGTGTTGAAGTGTAAGAGGAAAGGGAATAGATGTATATAATTTTCGGTTTTGTAGTGTCCAAAAAGTCGCAAGTATAAAGGACATAATGACGATGTTGCTTTTTCTGCCACGACGTAAGCACCATTATCCGGCGCAGTTTATTTGGAACAGGTGCAAGGTCATGGACCATGAAATCGTGTGTTGAAGCACCGCCTTCTTTTAAAGTTTTCAAAAACAGTGTACGTAAGTCCATTTGGGCGATTAATCGAGGATGTGTAGGATGGAAGTCATACAGATCGATGAGGCCAGTTTCATCTGCGGCATATAAGATGGACTCCTGCGCGTGTCTCTGTTCGTGTGTTTTGAGATACAGAAACTTGGCACAATACTTTGGCGATAACAGGTGCAGCGATTTGAGGCATTTTGTCATCCATTCTGAAGTGCCGGAGAACAGATGAACGGAAAGGCTGGGATGACCAGTTGCATCAGTCACTTGAATGAGGAAAAAACGATTCAAGTTTGTCGCGACGACAAACGAACACCGGCCGGCTACTGTGAGGGAAAGACAGTACTCGTTTTTTGTAAGTGCGAGCTTGGCTTCAAATCCTTTGGGTCGCACTAGGTATTGAGCAGCTGCACTAGCAATGGTATTCCAGTAACCAATTCGTCCACTCACAGGCAAAACAATGAGAAGACCCGTATCTCCTGTTGAGGCACCAGCTGGTACGAACGAGGCTAACGGCCTGTATTGTGTGTTGATTGCATCACTGTCATTAGGCAAGGGAAACACAACTGTAGGAGGTTCGTCAATTCCAGGAGAATATGTGTAAGAGAAGACATAACATGCTGTTTGGGATATCAATAATACATTACCACTTCTGTGATCCACTATTCCGTGTATTCCAGTATCTAGCACTTGTTAATCACCCACATTCCATTTTACAGTCCATACCATTCCGGATTTTGGGATTCAAGCTTTTTAAAAGAATCCTTACAGAGCTTCGTTCACCTCGAATCCATTCGAAGGCAGGAAATTGAGTTTTTTGTGAAGTCGTCCCGTGTTTTTCTAAAAATAAACGTTTAGCCCTGTTTGTATTAACAGGTATAGGGCTTTTTCTCTTCTTCAGTATGTCTGACATTCGTTAGACTCCGAAGAACCGAGAATTCTTAGAGGAACAGAAATTGTTGTTTAGAGGTTGTCGGTCTGTGGTAACGAAGCTAGACGTAACTGAATGAAAGCACAAAACAGTGACAATTTGAAGAGTAGATAGTGATTTAATATGTTTTGCGAGTGTTTTACAATTAAATTAGTATAATGACGATGGTTAATGGTAAAAAGGTACTTATTCTTGACAACTGTATTGCTTTCAAAATTACATAAAGGAAATGACTGGTTCGTCCAGTACGATGTCCATTACGATGTCCAATACAGAATAGTACTTCTGTATGAGCAATGAAAACAGCAGCATTTAAATGTGCCAGTGCTTTTGTTCTCTGTATTGATTATTAGAAAGTAACTTACTTCTATTAACGAAGTTTGACATTAGATTACGGAGAATGTTACGAAGGCTTTCTTATAAACCAATAAGACTAAATACTAAGACAGATGATAATACTTCTTTATTGTTTCAAGTTTTTATCGCTACACCAGGTTTTGTTACTTTATACGGATCTTCAACTTCCCTCTAACAGTACACTTTATCATCGTTATATTAGAAACCATTTAGTTATAGCCGTTATAAGTAATTTTCTATCACAGTTTAAACCATTTATTTAGCATTTGCACTCCACCATTTCGTTTACTCAACGTTTAATTTTTATGTATAATTTTTCTGGTTTTTAGAATTAATTAAAACGGACTTTTTTTACCGTCGACTGTGAGTATTGGAGTAAAAAATGAGCACGATCTTGGATAAACAGGTTCAATGCCCAATAGACGGCAGACACACGATTGCTGAAAGCCATTTGCAGCGACATATCAAACGATGCAATACATTGCCAAAACCAGAACTGCTACCATATTACAAAGCAAATGTGAATGCACCGTCATTAAACAAGACGGCCCAATGTTCCACAACCGATAAGTTTGAGCTAAGACAATTGTCTAAAGATGAAATTCAGACTTGGGTGTCTAAATTTAAAACGCTCTTTTCAAATCTTCCTATTCCAAAAGAAGAGATTTATCACCATCCTGCTATGGATGAAAGAGAGTAAGTGAAGAGTGATCATATACGGCTTGTGCTAAAGCTGCCACAATGTTCTAGTGCTAACTTATTCTCCAGGGCAGAATGCACAAATAAGAAAAATCCGGTTCAACAAGTACGTGCTCGGTAAAAGCGAATTCATATACTAAATGCATTAGGCATCTATACTAGGCCACATGGGGCAGTTGGGCTTGTTTAATAACAAACCCGCAGTATTCCTTGAGTTTGGAGCTGGAAGAGCAGAATTATCGCGTTACGTGCAACGCTGTAGCAATCAGCCCAACTGGTACATCCTCATTGATCGAGGTTCGGCTCGTTTGAAACACGATTCACGAATTGTGAAAGACATGAAGGAACGTGGGTTTCCCGAACCATCCATTACTCGTTGCAAAATAGATATCAAAGATTTTGACCTGGGCTACTACCTTGACCGAAAGCCATTTGAAGGCCCTATCCATGCATATTCTAAGCATCTTTGTGGAGCTGCTACGGATCTTACATTATCCTGTTTGAATCAGTGGAAAACGGACACTATTTTCATTGCATTGTGCTGTCATCACCGTTGCCAATGGCACCTTCTGAATCCAACGACAATGTCCATTTTGCAAGAATGGGGCATTGATAATCCACATGCGTTCCAGGTTTTGTGCCAGATGACTGGCTGGGCCATCAATAGTCTTCGACCCAATATCACAGAATTGGGTGGAGCCGATACTCATTTTAGTGGAATGTGCCACAAAGATCGTACAGAAATAGGTCTTATGTGTAAACACATTATTAATTATGCTCGATGTTTGACGCTTTCACGTCTGGGCTACAATGCTTGGCTCGTAAAGTACGTTAGTTCGAACGCTACTCTTGAAAATGTAGCATTGATAGCTACGAGAAAAGAACAATAGACTTTGGAGGGAAATTAGAAGAGGCATTGCGATATTACCTCATCAAGAAATACGATTCTACAAAATTTAAATAATATAATATATTCACTGGTAATGTCAAATCTTTGTTCATAAACAACACTCCTCTTCATTTCGTACGTATAATTAATATTGCCTCTATTAGTATACTGTAAATGCAATGACATGTCAATTAGCGAAATTGTCTCTGAAAATGCGTCCAACCGCACAATCTCGTCAATTGCAATTGAATCTTTAGTCTACGTTTATTCAGCTCTCTTAAACGAATAAGCTTGCACTAGAGCCCGATTTCTCTTCCGGCCTTATAGCCACTACCGAGTAATAAAATGCAAATGACCAACACCACCACGAATAAAAAACACGCATTGCTGTAAGACACTTGTTTTTCTGCAATTACGGCTCATTTTATGTTTCTTTAAAGACAATCTTCTTAGATGTCTCAAGGTTTGCAAAAAAAAACGAGTTTTTTTACTGACGTTTAGGCGTCTTCGAACACTTTGCTGGAAGACATAATCGTCATGGGAGATCAAGGTACTGAAACATGTAATAACACTCTCTAACACTAATAGATCTCAGGGATCCATTCAGAATGAACTCCTGACAGATTTTTGGCATGATTATCTGAAGAAAGATTCTTCGAGTGAGCTTGACCAAGAATTCCTCTCCTTTCCCAGCAGTGCTCTTGAGTCGTACACTTATACACCTCTTACAAATGGCTCTGGGGGAACGTTACCGTTAAGTCTGCGTTCTAATTACATGCAATCCCCAAGAATGAGAGACCAGACGAAGGCCGAACAACAATACTATAGTGCTGCCTGTTTAAGTCGAGAAGCACTAAACTCTAGACACTTACGTTTGTTTTTCGACAACCCTAAAAAACGACGCTCTCTATCAGATATAAGTTCCTTTCCTTTTCCTTCAAACAAACGTACCCATCGAAGTTCTCCTCAGCTACAAGCAATAATTACTACCCAACACAAAACATTCGATATATGGTCTGCGAACGATTACTTTTGTCTGTTGTTTGGACTTGCCGGGTCACAATTAAACAAGTTTAAAGTCTTTACCATTTTCCCGCCTTACTTTGCCGAAGAACTGGGCGCACAGTTCTCATCCTTTCCACCAGCAGAACCCGGAATAGAGGAAAGAGTCATCTATTGTGGTGACACATTTCCGGTCCAAACTGTAGACGGTTTGCGTCTTATGGCATTTTGGGTGAAGGAAAAGGGTGACCAGCTCATTTGGATTCTCGAAGCTGTCGAATGTACATATCATGACTTCACTGTTGCTGAAGACGGGCATGTCTACAGTATCACTTCCGGCAAAGAACTCGACATTTCCCTCCTTTCGTCTCGATTCCCAACAAGTTGGTCCGATCGAGTATTCACAACACACCATAACAAGTCGGAATCGGCTTTTCCTAGTGTTATATTTCCCATCGGTGAGAGTACTTACCGGTTCAACGTGTTTCAACATATGGCGGGATTGCTATTCTTGAATTCCCGGCTAATTATGTTTTCATTGAATGAAGCACTCATGGAGAACTTGTTGGGACTAGATGATTTGTACGGAAAACACATAAGTGTGATTATGCCAGAATTTGAAGCAGTGTTATCGCAGCTCTGTCAAGATGGAAACACACTGCTTCCTGGAAAGGTTATATCTGAAGTTCACTTTAGACATGCATATAATAACGCTATGCATGCTGGCTCTTCCGAATCTATGAATCCACATGTTTGTCATGCTGACGGTTCGTTGATTGAAGTTAATGTCAACATCGTGACTTTACCGTTCGTTTCTGCGGGCAGAGAGGACGTAATATATGGTGTTTGGCTGAGGTTCACTTCTGAACAATTAGCGTATAATGAACTGCTTCCTTATAGGGTATTGACTACTTTTGCTGAAGATGCTATTATTGAAGATGCAGCAGAAAACCAGCAGCCAGCTTCCATTCCTGATGAAGCTGAAGACTGGGAATCGCCCCCAACAACAATATCTGCATACCATACAATCAAAGAATTGGGTGTTGGTGCCTATGGCCGGGTACGCCTAGCTTCATATAAACGAAAACGGGACCATGAAATTATTGTCAAATGTATTATAAAGACTCGCATCCTCTTGGATGCTTGGATGCGTGACAGACAGCTGGGCACTGTCCCTATGGAAATCAGTGTTCTTAATTTCCTTATTGACCGGCCGCATCCGAACGTTGTGAAAATGATTTCATACTTTGAAGATGATGACAACTACTACCTGGTGATGGAGCCACACAGAAATGCAATCGAATTATTCGACTACATTGAAGTCCGAGAAAAAATTCCTGAAGAGGAGTGTAAAGCAATCTTTTATCAGATGGTGTTAGCCGTCGCTCATCTCCACTCCTATAATATTATTCACAGAGACATTAAAGACGAAAATATAGTCATAGATGATCGTGGGTGGGCCAAGCTTATTGATTTTGGAAGCTCTAGTGTTACTTGGAGAGGCCCCTTTGATACATTTCGAGGAACTGTTGGCTTTGCTGCACCAGAATTACTTCGAGGAGAGAAGTACCTGGGTAAAGAACAGGACATCTGGGCGCTAGGCGTTCTTCTGTATACAATACTGTATCGTGAAAATCCTTATTATAATGTAAGTTTGACTTTCATTGAGTCGCCGTGAATGAACTTTCGATTTTCCTAACAGGCATAGATTGAAGAGATTTTGGACGCGGAACTGCGCATACCTTATATAATTTCTGAAGAAAGTGCAGATCTTATAAGAAAGTTGCTTGATAGAAACGTTGAAGCCAGACTTACTATTGAGCAAACCTTGCAACATAAATGGTTTGACAACATTCGAGACCTTGACGAAAAACTTATCCCAGTTCCATTGACGCTCACATAGCCGCTAGCTTTTTTACGATGCATTAGCAGTAGTATCATCGTAATTAGATGTCACAATTTAGTTGAATATTTGTTCTATGAAATATTACGGTCGTTGAACATGTCTAAAACTTAGAAAAGAGTGATTGTTGAAGGCGAATTAAGAAAGAACCCAATTGTTTCAATTCATTAGGTTGAAAATCGTCAATGATTTGTTCAACATTGACGATTGCTTCACCCAATGTATCAAGCGCATCCCGTCGAGTCATCAATTGCTCAAGAGACTTTTTGTCAAGCTTTTTACGAGGGCTTGTAGGAACGGTGACAATCGGCTGCACAGCTGTTTTACGCTTTTTTGTTGGTTTGGGCGAATTAGTTACAGGGGGGGCCTTATCCGAACGTCTTTTTCTGGATGAAGACGTAGCAGAAGCAATCCATGCAACAGGAACATCATCGAGCCTTATTTCTTTCTCCTCAACTGTGGGCTCTACAGCCTCAGTGGAAGACTGGGAAGAGTTGATAGCTTCGTCATTATTAGGCACAGTGTCAGCATTGGTGTCAGTTTCAGGAGCAGACAATATATTGATTTTCTCTTCAACGTGCACCTTCTTTTTAGCATTTTGTCGCGATTTTTTTAACTTTGAGACACGAAGTACTTCAGCAAGTGAGTTTTCCTCGTCCTCCGTATCATCATCGGAATACTGCATATCTGTTTCATCAGTTTCAACGGAAGGTGCCTCTTTGTTGAGTTCGACAGGATTATCAGCCAATGGTTTTGCCTTTTCTTCGGTTGATGTTTGTTCCGTAGACTCATCAATAATTGCAGGGGCAGTATCTGGAAACTTAGTAGCATCAATAGATGACTTTCCGTGAAGATCTTTTATACCAGGTAATACAATTTCTGGAAGTATATCGAAGTGGTCTATTTGGGATGGGGGGATGACGATGTGTCCGGTTTGTGAAACCTTGATTAGCGTCTCCAATAGTTGGGTTGGATACTCATTGGCATCGAAACCGCCGAGTACTTCGTTCCAAAAATTAATTGCGATAGCTTGGTTGGCCTTGGATGTACTTGTTAAGCCATCAATGAGAAGTGGGAATAAATATTGTAGAATGAAATTGGGTGAATCTGAAAGTTCCCGAAGTCGATCGAAAACTGTAGCAGAAAGTTTCTCAATAATTTCCCTTTCCTTTGGCAAGTTACTAAAATCAATTTTAATCCAAGCTCCTAAGCTATCAAGCATAGTTAAAAGAAAGTCAGCTAAAACAACCCGAGGTACAAGCTGTAGAAAGCTGATTATTTCCTTAATAAAGCGCAACTGGAGATCAGGCTGTCCGGTTGAACGAAGATAAAGCAGTACCTTATCAATAAGAGACAATGTAATTTTGGGAAATTTACTAAAAATGTTAGCGGGTACTAAAAATGGGAAATTAAGTAAACCTACCATTCCGAAAGAACGCTTTCCCCATGTATAACTTCCATATGTTTTCCGGCTAGCGGCGCATATAGAGAAACTGGAAAGACAGAAAGCTTCATTAAAGTCATGGTAAACGAATAAACACGGTAGTTTTCAACGGACAATTTCTCAAACAGAACAGCAGAAAAAGGTTCAATGACAATATCAATAACACTAGCTTCACCCTCCAAAGAAGATACCATCTTCGCAAAGTGTTCAAGTAAAGTATTTACACTGTCCGAGTCACTAAGAGAACAGTTTTTGGCGCACCAACATAGGATTTGAAATAACAAATCCCATTCGTTTTTAAAATCATCATCAATGGAACCAGTTCCCCTGCTAGTCGATAACTTATCAAGAACAGAAGATAGCGAACGAATAGCGAGCGCAGTAACTTCATGAGAAACAAGCACCCTAGCTAGAGTCAAGTCATCACTTTCACCTAAAATGGAGGTACAATCGAATAAAGTTTGTAGTTTTGTCGTCAAACCCATTGCTGAATTTGCTAAGTACTCATACACGGCAGAGAATGCAGTATGCACAGTAGTAAACATACTACCATTAGCTAGAGGCAAAAGCGTCTTTAACCAATATACAAATGGACTTGTGAGCGTAACATCCGAATTTGCATCTGATCCTTTAGACGCAAGAGGCTTTAGTTCTTCGGATTCCTCATAATATGCCTTTTCGATGCAAAGCTTCACACCAAAAGCCTCTAATACACCTTTTACAAGCTCTGCGTACCGGGGGATCCGTTCAACCAGCGTTTCAAACTCCTTTAATGGATTTTTGTGTAGGAAACGGAACAGGGCATTACTAATGCAACACATGGTCAAAATGGTTTCATCCGAGGTTTTAATTTCCTTCAAGCCCGCACTAGCCAAACATTTAATGTAGGTATTCCATAAACGATGACTTTGTTGGTACGGAATTCCACCAATTAGATAATGTTTTCTTGGAGTGGAACGTAAAGCGCGTTGCGGCTTTGCTACGTATAAAACAGCCTCAACAGGTTTAACTGTAAGATCACAATTCGTACGAACCCATTTTGAACTTATTTTAGGTAGCTCGTCAGACTGTACCAAATCTCGACTCAGCAACCGATCCTCTCGCCAAAAAATGGTCGAAGATGTGTCGAAGAGAGCAAGTAGGATATTAACTGATTCCGCCATTGAATAGTCATTTTTTAGGGCGGTATTTTCAATAAGATTTTGAATAACCATATTCCACAATAGATCCATGATACTGTTTGTAATACCCGGACGTAATGTGGCATACAGCAATGCAATTAAAGCATTCATTGCAGCATGCTTTACGGTAGATGAATTCCGGGTTTTGAGAACCATTGCAATTGGTTGGCACAAAAGAGCAAATCTCTTGGAGGCTTGAGCAACACTGTCGAAACTGGAAAACTCATGAATGAGGCGGATCCAGGCAGTTTGTGCTGCGCATTTTGTTAAAGGATTAGTTGAGTTAAAGCACACTTGAATTACTTTCAGCCAAGTGTTAAAATGCTCCCAGGATGATATGCGAGAACCTCCTAAAATAGTGATAATTGCAGCCCAAGCATGTGAGACAAAAACACCATCATCTTCTTCTGTGGCTATCGTCTGAAACCGTTCGTATACGAGCTGAACAAATAATTTTTCGTTCACGGCTTCCCGCAAGCATGCTAAAACAGCTCGTGCAACAAGTTTGTCTCTATACAACACATGACCCGTTTCCAATGACCACAATAAGGCTTTTTCACGAATCGCCTTATTAGCATCAATAAGACAGCTCATCAAACATGGAGCCCAATCCATAGCCCTGTGAGACAAGTTCTGTGGACACTGAGAAAGCATTTTTATCAATACGGAGATTTGCTCTTGCCCGACCAAAATGGATGGAAAGGAAACACCTAAACAGGATGTGATAATTCTATCACACAACGCTGCAGTAATGACTGTATTGCAGCGTTGGCATGCAAGTAAGTGTAGGTGTTGAACGGCCGCAGGCTTTGTCAGTTGTTTAGACTCTAAAGCAACAACCGAATGCTCTATAAAAAATTTGGCATCATCGAGTTTAATATTCTGAGAAATGCTTGGGTGCCACAAAAGCGTACTTAGTAAGCGATTAGCTTGAGTCATAAGTTGGAAATCATGTACGCCTGTATTCGACACTGAGGAAATATCGCGTTTCAACGCTTCACAGAAACGATCGAGAACTCGAAGAAAAGGATCATTTTCTGGATGAACAGTGTAGCTTTTTATGAATGGAGTAACAGCAGAGTATGTTTCAACCCGTCGCCGTCGGTCGCTGTCCTCAAGAGCGACCAACCATTGAGAAAACAGACTACTGAGGTCCTTAATGGAAGATTTGTTGGTTACGGGAGGAAATGCATCTGAAGGATTGTTTTCAGAATGCAAAGTTGAGCTTTTTAAAATGCTTTTTTTAGGGATTCCATGTTTTGGCAAGAATCCACCTGGTGAATTATCTAGTAAAAATTAGTTTTCCATATTAAAATACAAGATGAATTCGACAATTCGTTACAAACCAGGATGAGGACTGAAGACAACCCGTTTTTTTTCCGTAGAGAGCGCAGAGTGTGTCGGTTTTTCTGCAGGTGTTCTTGGTTGTTCAATAACAGATGCAGCACTCCCTTTCAAATTAGTATACTGGGTCATCACATGAGATGGGAAGGTCAAACGACAAGGAGATTGAGGTTCCGCTAGTCAATTCCAGGCGCCCAACCGAGTACTTCTTTTGTGGTTGGTAGAAGCGATGTTTGTAGCTGGTGGTGACCAAGTCGAAAGGAGTTGTCTCTATACAAAAAGGCTTTGTAAAGGATTACGAATAAAACCAGTGGAAGGAAAAGAAACTGTATTGTATTAAGGGTCTGAGTCCGTTCTTTTCTTCTTACTGGCGTTTGTAGTTTCTTGGTTCAGGGTACTTAGTCATGATATACCATTAAAGTTAGTGTGCTTAATATGGACCCGTAGGAAGGACGCATTAGAGTCTGTATAGGGCAGTAATGGTCAGCAATAAAGAGAATCCGGTAGTATGGGAATAAGAAAGGAGAGAAGGGGCGGCTTAAACATAATCAATTTTGCCGCAGCTGTAACATTCTGGCGATACGATTGACCATTCGTATAGATATGAAACCGCCTGTAATTGTGTATGTTACTACATCTTAAAACTGCTCGCTCCCTGGTAATTGAGAGTTGGACTGGAATTATACTCTGTGAACTGAGACAGGCTAAGTTCAAGACATCATCGAATCCTATACGAAGCAAGTTTAACTCATTAATACTCAAATTTCAGTTTACCGAGTTTCTCATTTCTAGTATGCTATTGCTTTACATATGCATTTGCAATTTCTTGAATACTGCACTTTTATATCTGATAACTCTAGTTGTTTTAAACTTTCACGTGGTTGATAATTTTAGCGATGCAACCTTATTCATGCCAAAACACTGTGAAACGTCAAGTGCAGTACTATTGAGCTTTATTTGCTGATTATTGCGTTTTCTAAGCTTGAAATCATTGTTTGTACTTTGCAAGAGCATAGCACTTTCATGCAGGAATGTCAGGTCTTCTTAAACCTTGGCTTGAAAGTCAATTGTTTAAGAAACTCAACGATGCGAATTACATCCCATTGAAATGCGGTCAAAGCCTGCCGCTTCAAATTTTTAAAGTACGTATACTGAGCTGTTATAATGGAGCTTATATTGACGTCGCTTGCAGTTTCTAAGATTTGAGATGCCAATTGTTGCACTTTTATCAGACACGGATTACTATATCGAGGCTGTCTTTACGGAAGAGAGCATAGCCGCGTACAGAAAGTATTATCTATATACGCTTGTATTCCTATCGAGGCTTTTACTGACACTTTTAGGAATTCAGAAAAAAGGTTAACCTCGTTACGAGGGGGAATTATATGTTTGCGACGTTATTTTGTATACCTTTCAGATGTAAACCAAGTTATCTCTATTAGGATTGTCGTCAACGACTTCAATTACCTTGGTTGTGAAGCTGGTGCTCTTTATGGTGACCCAAAACGGATTTATGCATCAAATAAACTATGTCAATTGCTTCAATCTCCCTACCTTCAAGCTCTTATTGCGCAAGCCCAGCCTTCTGTCATAGTCTCTAATTCCTCCATTAATTCTGGTACGATAACGGTAGTGGTTTAATTTGCAAGAGGATGCTAACAGACATTGTCAGATTTACTTCTTACTCAGAGCTCGAAAAAGAGCTCGGCTGAGCAATCATCGGTATGTTTGTACGGTAAGTTTTTACTAATATCTTGGAAACTAGAATGCTTCCCTTAAAATATCCTCTTCTTCTCTTAACAGTCAACCCGCTTTTTTATGGAAAACAATGACAAATCTCAAACTTGAGGATTGCCTTGTTCCAAAAGAACAACAATGTCTATTACGAAAAAAAAAATGTAAGTAAATTTTTCACATGTGTTTTTTTTTATTGGTTGCAAGTGCCGCCATACTAATGAATGTAGCATGGTATCCCAGCATTTGTGATGATCTTTCCAGCGAGGAAACCGATAGTGAGCCTCCAGCAGTCGAAGACGAGGATGTTCCCGTAATTAAGCACGAGCCAGATGTCTCGGCAGCTGATTTCTCTTGGTCCTCTTCTCCCGACACTCCCGCTAAAGACCAAGTCAAAGCATTAAGGAGCGTTAACGCAGACATCCTGAACGAAGCCTTGCGAAAACAGCCTCAAAGTCCGGTTTCTTACGCTGGCTCGCATGCGTCCGAATCACCAACTCAGTTTCCTGCTACTACTTTCTCTCAGCACGTCTCTAATAGGTTGGTGCCCATTGCAGCCTCCACACAGCTGAGTGCACCTCAACCCGTGCAATCACAAAGTGACCTTCCCCCCATCCTGCCTCCATCCACAATCCCCGTTCCATTTGTTCCCACGTGTGAACAGACTATTCCTGACTCTATTATTAAAAACCCAACTCACCTTCAAATTGCCCCTCCGGCTCGTACGGAGGCGGTATCTTTTCACAATGAATCAGTAATTTCGGAAACGCCTTCTAAGAAACACATAATGTCCGCACCAACGTATGTTGTGCCTAAGGCTCCGAGTCGTTCCTCTTCTATTACCTTCCTTCGGAAGGCACTACCTTCGTTCGATATAGACACACAGGTTCAGCATGCGCTTCACGAAGTTTATCGCGACTACTGTACAGGAGCGTGTAATAAGAAGCAGCTCTCCAGTATTTCAAATTGCAAAACCCTAGTCAAAACAAAACAGCAACTAATGGATATCTGTGAAGGTGAGTTTCATGATCTGCATAAGAATTGGCTACGAATAAAAAAGTATCGTGAAAGGATGCTTGCGAAGGTCTAGCACCATTATCCAAATCAGTGCTTCCTAAGAGGCCTTTCTCAGTTGACAGTCGATTTTTTTGAAATTAACTCTAATAATGTAATTTACAATTAATTTATTCATTTAAGCAAAGCGTAAAAAAACCGAACAATTAGATAGATGCAGTGTGAGGCCGACGGTTAGGGTGGGGTAATTATAAATGTTACTCCTTCGAATTAGCAGGCACAGGCGCCATTGGTTTGTGTAGCATTTCTAGCTTGTGAAAGGTTCACTCCACGGGGAGAAGCGTTCTTTGCTTGAGTCAATTGTTCCTGCAAAGGAAGTTTATTCGCTAAAAGGGAGGTTAGACCGGTTCTGGAAAGGCATAATTAAAAACATACCAATTGCAGTAAACAGTTCAGTGACATTCTCTGCTGTTTTAGCCGAGGTCTCAAAGAACAGGAGGCCCATCTCATTGGCATATGATTCGGCATCCTTCAGAAAAATCGTTAGTAATCACTAATTCAAGCAATAGTTGAGCATACAGATTTCTCCACAGCACGGCGTTCTTGTGCAAGATCGAGTTTGTTTCCTGCCAAAGCAATAACAATTCCCTCAGGTGCTTGACGTTGAAGTTCTTTAATCCAAGACTTTGCCTTCTCTAAGGAAGCCTAATAACGGTTAGAATATGTTTCCATTGTAAAAACAGACGACGTAAAAGCCGCTATAAAACAAAACACATACAGCCTGAGTAATATCATAAACGACAATAGCGCAGTTTGCGTTTCTGTCTAATGGAGAGTTAGCACTAAAGATCATATATAGTTTAGGAAACAGCATACAATACATAGGAGCCAAAGACTTATAACGTTCTTGACCAGCAGTATCCCTACAGTAAGTTAGCATTCTGAAAAAGAGTAGTAAATTCAGCAACACAATATTCGCCATACCAAATCTCATATTTAACGGCTAATTCATCATTGATGGGCAATGTCTGAGTAAGAAAAGCAGCTTTGTTGATGTCAGCACCACATATACAAGGAAATACAATATATATCTGCCTATTTACCTCCAATTGTGCTTTCACGAAAATCTAATAAACATTAGCGTCAATTCATCCTTTAAAGTCCAACTTACCATCGAACTGATCTTTGACAAAACGCAAGACAAGACTACTCTGTAAAATTTAGTTAGCATTTACTCGTACATCGACAGCTCCAGTGAGACAAACCTTTCCAACAGCTGAATCGCCCCAGCAGAACCAGTTTTTGGTTGATTGTGGGTGACAGGTTTGTGTAGCCGACATAACTCTTTGAAGAATTGATTTATAAAGAATTCAAATATTATCAAAGTTTACGTTCTTACAATCCAATGTTATGTAGTTGGTGAATGGTACGACGGAAACACTGAACTCAGTTTATTACTCGACGCAATGCGTCACCACCATTTGCCTGCATAGAAGCTAAAACGTGTTTAAACTAAGAGAAACTATATAAATTCGTATACGTTACGTGTGCTTAAAGACAGTATATGCTGACCGTGAAAGTTCTGTTCTAATTTGTCTTTTGCTTATCGTTTTTGAGACTTCAGAAAAGTTAGAGCTTTAACTCTTGACCACTAAGCTTAAATATACGGTAGGTTTCAACGAGTTTCAACTGAATTGTATTATTTTCATTTTTTAATTGTGTACTTTTAAGCAAATCACCAAAGAAAGACGTTTTTCTTGGTGAGGGCATATTTGACTATTGATTTTTTTTGTGTTAAAACCCTCTATGCGACATTCGTCGACAGTATTTTGAGCAACTAAACAATTATTCACTCTTTGATACCGTGTACAACTTCATCATGTCCAATGAATCGTCTGAGGCGGAGGACTACATGACAATGACATTTGAAGATACCCCATCTTCACTTCTTCCCCAAGAAGAACGCCACGGAGAAACAGAAATTGGGAAAGAGGGAGAACGAAAAATCCCGCTGTGCTAGAGGAAGAGCATCTTCATCAAGGACTTTCTCAGAACTTATTTACGCGAAATAGCAAAAGCAAGGCAATTAAAATGATGCAGTCAATGGGTTTCAAGTACGTTGTATGAGATTCAAAAAAAGAATGCTAACAGCTAATGTGTTATAGAGCAGAGGAAGGTTTGGGAAAACACGATAGTCAGCCAATGTTGGAACCATTAACTCTAGAAAGAAAAAATGATAAATCAGGATTGGGACATGTCAATGAAAGAAAACGTTTATTAGAGGAACTGCTGGTTGAAGAACAGCAACAATCTAAAAAGCAGGTTGTTGAGATTGAAACATTTGAAAAGCATCAGCGGCAGGTGTATTCGGAGAAACAAACTGCAAAATATCTTCGAGGTGCTCTTTCCGTACTGGAACGACTTGAGGAAGACAAATTGGAGGCCCAAGGGAAGCCGCTAAACGAAACGGATTGTCATCCTTTTCTAAAAACTATGATAGAAACTCGCAAAGCAGCGGAGGAAGAACGAAGAAAGCGAATTCGTCGTATGAACGGTTTACAATCGAACAGCGACAGCGATGACGAGTTATCCTCTCAATCTCCACAGTACCTAAGTGAAGATGTTCCTACTTCGGACGATGAGACGCCAGACACTTCTGTGTCCAAATCGCCGCGAACAGAATTCGATACAGCCGAGGTAAGCTATCTCACTACAACACTTAAACTAACACACAGGATTCTATGAAACTCAACATGTTATTAAATGAGCTACGGACTAAATATCTCTACTGCTTTTGGTGTGGCAGCAAGTACACAGACAAATCCGACTTGGAAATGAATTGCCCTGGATTGGATGAGGAATCGCATTAAAACGGCCAGTTAATATCGGTTCACAGCTTCAGCGACAATTGTAAAACACCGTTTATGGCGTTGATATCTAAGTCTCATTCTTGCGGCAGCGCCGCCCATACCCAGCCCCAAGACTACACCACTTCAGCAATTACAAGGTACGTTTACGGTTTTGTGAGATAGAATAAACTACGGTTCAGTCTCAAGACGTTCCTGATGCTTGTCGCGTTTTGTAAAGGCTGGTTTTTCCTTCTGTGAACTCAAGGTCTGTTGAGTGTTTGTCAGAAATTCAGGAATGACACCAATGGAAGCAGAACGTAAGTTTTTACTTCCTAAAACCTCGCGAGATGGAGAAGAAACATTTCCTCCGCAAATCAAGTCTAGTTCGCATTTCACACAATCTTGTGAACTTGATGATCTGGACACGCTGAGTATCTCGAGTCGGACGTCTTCTCATAGAGACGAATATGGACTTTCGGGCACAGGAACACTGACGGAGTTATCCATTACTCAAGAGAGTGACACTGCGGCTTCCTTGTCTACCATTGTCAACGGTGATATTCCATGCAGCGGTGACACAACGGCTTCTGGTGAGCATTTACCTAATACAAGCGATATTATTCTTCCTGCTGAGAAAATAGCTTATGCCGGTATATGCAGACTCGTGCTGTCATCAATGGTGGATCGATTGGCATATTTGCATCGACTTCCATGGTACAAAGGCGAATGCAAAAATGCGCTAGAGAGTTTTATCCTCTGGTCCGAATCGTTGATTGAACAGATATTCGAGCACCTGGAGCTGAGTGCCGAAGAACAGAAGATGATAAACTCTTTACAGAGGCACGGTATCAGACCTTCTGACCTGGCGCCACAACTTACCCAATGTCGTCAAATTGGAACGCTACATTCTCTCACTGAGAATGGTTCTGATTTATTCACCAACACTTCCATCACAGATGATTCAAGTGAAATTAATGTTCGGTGGACAGTCATTTTTGATTTGTTCGTCTTATTGTTATCCAAATTTAACTATGACTCTCGTTCTAATGCTTTCCTAAACAAAATTGGATCGTATCTTGGGGCATCGGTGATAGAAGTCACTAAGTTTCAGAACAAGGTCATAAACATATTCAGAGTTTATCATAAGGAAACGCCAACTGATACGGTTGCTCCTCCTACTGCCTTGACAGCTGTAATGAAGACACGTTCTGCTTCAAATCGGAAGCAGCGTTATGTGATGATGGGGTTGGCGACCCTTGGCGGAGGTCTTATAATTGGACTTTCTTCTGGACTGCTTGCGCCAATTATTTCAGCTGGAATCAGTGCTGCTTTTTCAACGGTTGGTTTGACTAGCGTGGCTGCATCGAGCTTTTTCACGACTGGAGCCAGTGCCGCCATGGTCACGACTGGCGGCGTAATAGCCGGTGGTCATCTTGGATGCAGTGGAATGATGCATAGAAAAGCAGACGTAAAAACCTTTGAGTTTAAACCTTTGTATGATAACAAACGTTCATCACTACTTTTGACTATTTCCGGATGGATGTCAAATGCCGATGAAGATGTTCGTCTCGGTTTTTCTACTTTGAGTGACATGACTGATGTTTACTCCCTTTATTGGGAGCCGGAGATGCTACAATCTGCGGGACAAACAATTAACCTGCTTGCAACGGAAGTTCTGTCCAATTCTCTTCAACAACTTCTCGGCGCAACAATGTTTGTTTCCCTCATTGGTGCACTCCAATGGCCCCTCATTCTGACGAAATTAGGCTATCTCATCGACAATCCTTGGAATAATTCTCTTGACAGAGCAAGAATATGTGGCTATATACTTGCTGATATGTTGACAATTCGTTTCTTAGGGCGCAGACCAGTGTCACTTATTGGGTTTTCATTGGGTGCCCGCGTTGTGTATTATTGCCTTAAAGAACTAGAACGGAGAAAGGAATTTGGCGTTGTGGAGAACGTTTTCATTTTTGGAACGCCTGTCATTTATAATCAAAGTTCTTGGGTCAAAGCAATGTCAGTTGTTTCGGGCCGTTTCGTTAACGGTTACAAAAAGAATGATTGGATTTTGGGTTACTTGTTTCGAGCCACTTCAGGAGGAGTTGGTACTGTTGTTGGACTTCGCAATATTGATGATATTCCGGGAATGGAGAACATGGATGTTACGGATTTGGTCGATGGTCACCTTGGGTATAAAAAGGCGATGCCTATGTTATTAGCGGAACTCGGTTTTGAGTTAACAAGCGATAATGAACACGGCATTATGGACCCAGAAGTGGATGCTGATCTGGAACAACAGCGTGAACGACAACGAGAGCTTCTTCGTGACATTGAAATTGTCAAATGTCAAAACAAGCAACGGGAACTTGCCAAGGAAGCCGTTAAGCACGATCCCACAAAGAAAAATATATTCTTTAACCCCAATAAGATTCGGAAGTTTCTTGAAAAGAATCGTGAGAAGAACCTTAAAAAGAACAAATGACAAAATCAACATCATTTGTTTTCACACATTTTTGTATTATTTATTGCGCCATACATCATTTTCATTCAAATATAATAATATTACCTACTTCGTTACTCATCATTTACTTAGAGCAATAACATTCTGTACATTCTTCTTCGCAGATAAAATAAAGTGTAAGATATGTAGTCTAGGGTTCTTGTTTGTTGATCTCCCAGATGTCTTTTATGGCTGAGAAGAATTGGACATGAAGTTTTGCGTACTTGCGCATAACATCTACCATTTCTGCCTGACGAACAGCATTAAAAAACTGTGCCTCCTCGTTGACACGCTTGTCAAACAACATACTGACCTCAGTAGCTTCTTGGATGGCTTGCTCGACGGTATTAATCTCAGTATCCACTTGCTCCATTTGTTTACGAAGGCTTTCCTCGTGATTGATACCGCGCAAGTCGTTAACTGTTTTCATAAAGTTAAGCCCGCTAGGCTTATCGTTGAGAAGCTTCTCTTTTTCTTTGTTGAGTTTCACAAGAAAGTCTTCCAGAGCCTCCACATCTAACTGCTTTTGGTCTCGGCGTTTGAGTAAATCTCTGTAAGCCAAAGTGTATGCCTCTATATCCTTCAAAGCGTCCAAAAGGGAATGAGAATTGTCAGCTAAGCCAGCAAATTCTGTTCTTGTTCCACGTAAAGCTAGCTGCATTTCGTCCAATGAGACATCTGAAATACCATTCATTGCCATCAGTTTACCAAATTGATCAGATAATTCGTGGTAATTCTGCTCCAGAACACGTTCCAACTTCGATAAACGTTGCAAAATTGACTCCATATTTACGATGCCCGAGGTGATTTGCTGAATGTGCTCCTTTTGCTGAGCATACTCCTCCTTCTGCTCCCGCAATTTCGTGAATGCGTTCAGAAATGCGTCTGATAAATCTTCCAGTTTAGAGGTAGCATTAAGTTTTGGTTGAATAGTCAACTTTACGTAGTTATTCCAGTTAGAGTTAGACAGGAACGCAATGAAATGGGGAGAGCTGTGCAAGACGGGGTGAGAAGAACACCGTTGAAGGTATCGGTTCAGTAAACTTGCTCTTCTGCTGATAAACTCATCAGAAAATCTTCCACCCTTAATATACTCTGAAGTAAATGGTTAGTGCTGTGTCCGGACTTAAACAAAACCATCAGACTCACCAAGACGTTGTTTTCCAGGTAAAGGGGGGACGATGCAATCCTGATACATTCGAGAAATAATTTCATGAAGCTTAGTGAAGTCTGAAAAGCGTCTGCGAATTTTGATTTCTGATTTCGGGAATGAAGGCAATGTAGACTAAGACATTAGCAAGGGACATGGATCGTGATTTCCAAGAAAGCATACTCTTGTAACAATTAAATATGACACGTAACAGTCTCTCGTCCCCTGCAGTTCTTTACGGGGCTCGGACAAGCTGCAAACCAAGGTTGGTAAGTTCGATTCGTAATTTTCAGCCATTGTAATATAATTCGCCGTTGGTAAACTCCAAGAGCTTATTTACTGAGATATTTGAGGCTGCTGTCACTAAGAAACGGCCTAAGGGTGCGGAATATTTTGCACTTTCGGGTCGTCGGTATAGGTGGTAAGGGACAGTAAGAAGGCGGTCGAGCCTTTGGACCCTCGCCTCGCCTTACAAGAGATGCTAATAACCGCTTTTTCTATGCAAAACAATGTACAGTGAGTGTGATATACTGCTGCAAATCGTAAACTTTTGTTAATGGTTTATGCTTCGTTGTACTCTTCCAGGAAGATATGACATTGCATGAATAGAATTGGTTGGTATACACTATAGTTGAACGGACTTATCAAAGTACTCTAACGGTGTTACTTACAAATGGTAATTGCATGAGCAGATTTGGTTCTTTGTGTCTCTTTACCAGGAGTAGTATACATTTAAAGGAGTTTGTCAGTAGACTTTAAAAGCAACAAGTAGTTAGATCATATTTTTAGAGACTACGATCGTACTCGTACTAGTTTGAAGTAATTGAATAATGGTCACATGCTAGAAAAGACGGTCGGTGCCGTTTATGGTTGGATTCAAAATATCGGTATGTCTTACAAGACTATGGTTTCAATTAACATTTTGTTGATAAGAGAACGTGGTTTCTGAGTCTGAATCCGTAATAGACCAAACAGTTTTACGGGCAGCAAACTATGCAAGCAATAAATTAATTGTTATGAATATTTAATGTCTAAGCAATTCCATTCCCCTAATAATTATACCACACATGAGCATTATACAACTCTAAATGACACTTTCAAACTTCATAAAACTCGTAGAGGAAAGTATTTTATATGAATTGGATGAAGTAATATATAGAAAGTCTCCAAAAATACTGTACTATCAATAGAAGGAGGGAACCATTCACAACGGCTTACTATAAGTGACACGACTGTACATGGTTACATCCATAAATAGTTTCTCGGCGCACAGAGATATCCACAGATACGATTCAGTTTTTTTAGAACAACAGCCTCAAAAATAACTCAGTTTTCACTAGGATATAGCGAGAGTGCGTTCTATCTGGAACTTTTCTTGATATTATCAGAATGGATGAATATATCAATTCACATTGGACTTAGCTCTGATCCTCCGCCATTAAGATGACTACGAAACGTTTATTGTGCATTCAGGTTAGTTTTTTGCCATTCCAACTATTAACGTTGATCAAATAGTCTTCTGTCTGCCACGGATATGTTGGAAGTCGCTCAGCTACGTTTCCTTTGCAGTTGTTAGGTTGGGATGTCGATGTTATTCCAACCGTCGAACTTTCAACTCATGCAGGTATACGAAGTGCAGTTTCAGTTACAGGGAAGGAGAACTTGTGCTAAACAAAGAAACAATTAGGCTATCCGGTTGTTTATGGCAGAAAAGTTGAGCCCGATCAAATAGCCGACTTGTACACAGGAATTGCGAAAGCAAATCCTAGTGGATTTGATTGCTTGTTAACTGGATATGCTCGTGGAAAACTGGGTGTACAAGTCATTTTTGATACTGCAAAACAGGTGAAACAATCTAAACCTGACACATTTTGGGGTACTTTTTTTTTTGCATTAGCAGATTACAAATTAAGCACTGTAACTAACGCGACGGTTAGTCCTTGATCCGGTGATGGGAGACAATGGAAAACTTTATGTCGAGCAGGATGTGATCCCAATTTACAAGGAGATGCTTCCGTATGCAGACCTTATCACTCCGAACGCATTTGAAGCAGAGTATGTTTTGGTGAAGATTTTCTCGTTGTTAACTTGTCTAACGGAAACTAATGTAGGATTTTGGCCGATGTCAAAATCACATCCCTTGATTCCGCCGCTCAATGTGCCAAGACTCTGCATCGACTCTATAAAATGAAGTTTGTCGTCATCACTTCGTTCACAACCAGTGATTCCGAAAAGGAGGGAAGCTTGTACACACTGTGTTCTTACTCCGAAAACGATCAGCATTTCGAGGCATATTCCTTTAAAGTCCCCATCATCAAGGGTCTCTTTCGAGGCACGGGTGACTTACTAACTGCCTTGCTTGCATCCTACATGGGTGATCCTAAGAGGGAAAATCACGAAGGCTTATTTTTGGCTACAAGCACTGCCAAGGCTCTGTCTTCTGTTCACGCTGTCATTCGGTACACAGCTGAAAGAATGAAGGCCTTGGGATTGAAGGGTGTTCATCCATCTGAGACAGAGCTTTGCTTAATACAATGCCAAAATGAACTTAAAAATCCGCCTCACACCTTTAAGCCGATTCCTTATCATCTTGAGTAGGAAGTAACTTAATACATTTTTCTTGGTTTTTCTTAATAAACAGTTAATTTTTCATTATGTTTATAAAATTAGTAATTGCATTTCTGCCATTCATTGCATACTCCTCGGAAAAGGAACGTTATGAATCATTAATAAAAGTAGTATTGCATTCCGTATATAGTCATCAACGTTTATGAAGAGTATTGTTCATGCTCGTCATGACGCCTTTGTCAACAATTTATGTTACAAAATTTAGAAAAACAAAAAAATCGATTAACATATACATTGTTAAGAGAATGAGAGGTTATGAAGCCATATAAGTATTCCTCAATGCCTCCTTTTGCTTAGTTTAGGTTTAGGACTTGAGTCGCGTACATGCCCGCCGGAACCTTTCCTTCACCAACCACGAAATATTCAATATGCTGAATTTGGATTACAATAACATTTTCCTTTATGAACTATTGACGGAGCGCTTGTCGAGGTACTTCATTTATTAGGAATTGAACGCTAACAATAGTCCTACGCCCGTTGGCATCGATCAAGTCGTTACGGATTTTGACGGGGTCCTATTCCATGTTTCGACGCCAGAGACAAAGACGAAGATTGTCGTCAGTTTGTTTATGAAGTGTTTTGCTGAATTGGAGCAGTACGGCAGTGGCGAGCTGTTAAATGCTACTTACGGATCCTATGTTCAAACACCCGCTGAGTCTGGTTACAATTTCAGTATCCTTATTGACCTCGAGAACCTCCCCGAGTCCATTGAAGAGCGTCAAAAGTTGGCATTTGACGTTTCCATGCTGAAGCGTAATGCTCTTGCTGCACCTTTTCATCGTGCTTTCGCTAAGCAGGAAGAACTTGCTGCAGCTGTCGCTCAAACGCCTGACAACGCACAATTGATTGATGCCGAATCTAGAAAGAATAACATTATGGCTATCCACTACCGTGCGGAGGAGACCATTGTTATTTTGCCTGAACACGATCGGGTTACTATCGTCTTTTCCACCAAATTCCGTGAGGAGACCGACCGTGTGTTTGGAAAGGTCTTCTTGCAAGAGTTTGTTGATGCTCGTCGCCGTCCTGCCATTCAAACTGCACCCCAAGTGTTGTTCTCTTACAAGGAACCTCCTTTGGAAGTCCGTGATGTTCCCGACATTAGCAAAGGCGAAGACGACATCGGATACGTTACGTTCGTGCTTTTCCAACGCCATTTTACTCCTCAAGTGCGTGAAGCCTGCATTTCTCACATTCAAGTATTCCGCAATACTCTTCACTACCACATCAAAGCCTCCAAGTCTTACATGCATCAACGCATGCGCAAGCGTGTTGCCGACTTCCAAAAGGTGTTGAACCGTGCCAAGCCCGATGTTGAGACGGAGAAGAAGACAGCTTCTGGTCGTTCGTTTGTTCGCGTCTAGAATCATTTTTGTCTTTCCATGTTATGTCCGTTATTCCTACGTCCACTGCCCTACACTCTAAGTTCGGCACCAACTACTCATTCCTTCAGGCAATTCGTGCACTGTGCATGCCATCATCGTATCTAAACACGCGCTTATTCTACACTTTTTTGTCACACACCAATTCGGCACACACATTAGCTGTCGTATGAAGACTTGTCCAAATGTCATTGCTCTATGCGTCTCGGAACGTCAATCTTCGTTTATGATCATATGCGTTATGGTCGGCCGACTTCCTTTTGCGGCGTCGGTTGCTCGATGAAGTGTTTTCGTCTCCATCCTCGTCAGTGTACAATCGTGAAAACATCTGCGTGCCCTTGACACCTGCTGTGCTAGAGGACAACGAAAATAGTCTGTCAGACTCGTGAAATTCATTTCTTCGTCTCAAGTTGTTGGATGTTGTGGACTTGAGCAACCCATCAAAACCATGAACGATATTTCCCGTTCTCGCAGTGCTCTCGAGATACGTTCCCTCGAGCTTGTAGATGGAATCTTCTATGCCCAATAACGACGATTCCAATTCTATTTTTTTTTCCATCAGTTCGTGCAGCTCTTTTTTACATTTTTCGTAATAACTTAACGAATTTTCGGGTTCCTATTACAGTCGGATATTAGCGTAACGATTCTTGGTGAATGTAACGATGAATCAATCCAATTTTCTATTTCAAAATAAAACTCTCATTACTAAAGCTTCACGTACTTTTATTTTTGATTCCGAAGTTTCAGAGGTCATACCGTATTCTTCAAGAGCTTCTTAAGAAACAGAACTCTTTTCGTATACCCTCCCTCTCTTCCTGTTTGAAGGACCGCCTCCGGCCTTGGCTTTGTTTTTCCACCCGCTTTTTGGTGTAGTGTTTTTAGAGTTATCACGACGTAAATTTAGAGTGTGTTATCTGATCTATGACATAATGCTCCACCCGTAGCAGGACCAGGCCGAAGCTTTCTTAGGCCAGTGTAAACGAGGTAACGAGTTGTCTAACGCGTTTTCTGCTACTTAACATAGTTTGCCTTTTTCTTATTTATATTGCTTGACAGAAACAATACAGCATCCGAGTTACGTGGTCCGCTATTCTTGATCATTTGTAATTACCTTTTTGTTGCACTGTCGCGTTGAATGACAAGTGGAAAACGCGTTGCAGGTTTTTTGTGGATTTCTCTACGGAATTCTGCGATATCGTACTTCTCTAACTAATGGGAAAAGTCGGCTATAAGCATTTATTAAGCTTGCGACCAAAGTCTAAGGAAGATCAGCAAAATGCTATCTCAACATTGCGACGGGACGTTATGCTGGAGCAGGTAGAAGCAGAAACAGACGGTACATCCACTACCAGAGCATACATTTGGAGCATATTTCTTCATTCAAGACCCAAAAGTAGTGAGGAGTATATACGATACGTGCGTCAAGGTCCTTCACCGCTTGCTGAGAAAATTCGCAACGATGTTTCACGTACACTCGTCACCGATACCTTTTTCCATACACGTGTTTCCCAGTCTTCCCTTTCCCGCGTTTTGAATGTGTATGTTTGGAAGAAGGGAACTACGTATGTCCAAGGAATGAATGTACTTGCCGCACCCTTCTTGTACGTGTGTAAAAGTGAAAGCCAATCATACTACATGTTCGAAAAGCTTCTCCAACACGAATGCCCTCTCTACGTGGTGCCGAATTTGGATGGTGTTCACCGAGGATTGAAGGTACGAGTATTATCGGCAGCGACCAGTTCCAGCTAATTAGCCTTGAATTTTAGCTCTTGGACAAGTGTCTAGAACTTTTGGACACCAAACTCTACGCTTATCTCATCAGTAAAGGCCTTCCTGCCAAACTCTATGCATTCCCATGTACGCTACTGATACCGCCAGCGCACTCTTCTCATTGATACTAATACGTTTACAGCAATTCTTACGCTGAGCGCATGTACTGCTCCACTGTCAGAGGTTTTGAAACTTTGGGACTTCCTTTTTGCTTACGGCGTCCATTTAAATGTTCTTTGTGTTATCGCTCAGCTACTGGTCATTCGCGACGAACTTATTAGTCATCCAAAGTACGATGTACCGGTTGAATTCCTGCTAACCTCTTGCTTCTAGACCCATGAAGCTCCTGCGGAAATTTCCGCCGCTGAATGCCAAGGACGTGATTCGTCTTACTGTTCTTCTTATTACCAAAATTCCCAGAGACCTCTTCGACTTGCTAGTACGTCATTGCTGGGACCCCGATGTTGGTGTCGTCATCGATCGCTTATGAAAACCTTATTATTCCTTAATAAAAAACAGTCACACTACCACAAATGGATCAGTGGGGACGAGGTGAACCTGCGCGTTTCCTATCACTTTTCTCGGTACTTTGAACTTAACGAAAATTAAACAAGATGGGTCGTATGCACAGCAAAGGCAAGGGTATCGCTTCCTCCGCTCTCCCTTATGTTCGTCAGCCCCCTTCCTGGTGCAAGGCTGATGCCGAGGCTGTTGTTGAGCAAATCATCAAGTTCTCGAAGAAGGGCATGTCCCCTTCCCAGATTGGTGTCACCCTCCGTGATTCTCACGGTGTTCCCCAAGTCCGTTTCATTACTGGTACGTGGAAACTAAAGCTCTAGGAGCATTACATCTGTTTTTTTTCATTTGCTAACTGAAGCAGGTCAGAAGATCATGCGTATCCTCAAGGCCAACGGTATGCTCCCGCGGCTTGTGTATTGAGTTACACAAACATATGCCTCTGTTTGGTTCTGTGTGCTGACAGAGAGATAGGTCTCGCCCCCGAAATTCCCGAGGACCTTTACAACCTTATTAAGAAGGTACGTGTTTACTGCGTGTTGTGATGATGCGTACTAACCTCTTGCAGGCTGTTTCGGTCCGCAAGCACTTGGAGCGCAATCGTAAGGACAAGGACTCCAAGTTCCGCTTGATTCTCATTGAGTCTCGTATTCATCGTCTTGCTCGTTACTACAAGAAGGCTGGAGCTCTTCCTCCCACCTGGAAGTACGAGTCTGCCACTGCTTCTGCTTTGGTTGCTTAAGCGGCGTGTTAGATAGTGAGAGTACTCGTTGTATATCGTACAGCGTAGGGCTGTACGAAAGTGGAAATTCGGGTTTCCACTGTAGTACAACAAACAAAATTTACCAAAACATGATAATGACCCAGTAGCCACCTGTGAGTGTCCTGACGACTTGGTTTGTTTTTATGGGCTTGTGTGCGCCGTTTATTCAGTTGTCTTTTACTGTTCGCGTATAAGTAGTTTGCGACTTAAGCTTTCTATTCTGATTGGCTCGCTTGCAATAGCCTCTGTTGGGGTTTGGAGTGGTGCCGATCCCCCGCCGGTTTATTTCCCACGTGACTACTCGTGCGGAAGTCAAATCCGTCTCGGACGTATGCAGAGCCTCACCGCTTCAATAGTCATTCCATACTAGGTGCATAAGCAATTCCTTAGCATAAGCGGGGTTTGCCCTTGATGAAATACTAACTTACATTTTTGGCATCGACTCTTCTTGGCTCTTATGCGAATAAATTCATTTTTTTTGTGATTGCATGTTAGCGATGCACCGGTACGTCTCCTCGTGTCCTTTGTACCGAATCCTCGTTTTTGTTTTTTTATTCTGTTGTAGATGTGTTGCATCCACGTCCAGCAACTTATCGTCTGCATTGGTTGGTGATTTTATTGCATACGAATGGATTACAGACAATTCGTCCTTCACGCCCAGCACACATCGACGATTGCTGAAACAATCATCGGACGGATCTTTTTTGACATACAATTTTGGTAAAAACGGCGAGTATTTTGACTGTGGGTTGTCGTTGAACAACTCTGACTTTGTAATTCCCTTTTATGGAATTTTAAATGGCGTTAAAGCTTCGTATTCCTTTTACGTGCGTTCAAATGCTACAACACTACTTAAGCTTGATGACACTAATGACTCGGCCGTCTCCTTTTTCTGTGACGAAACGCACCAGTCCATTTATGCCGTGGATTACAGTGTCAAAAATGCAGTCTCAAACATTTACGAATGGAAAGGACTCCCCTCGAATAGTTCTTACTCTTTTGTCGCAACTGTAAACGGCGAAGTCACCTCCCTGCGTTCCTGGCAGAACGGTTACATAGTTGTCGGCGGCAATTTCACTCGTTTATCACCATACACAAAATCGAATCCGGAACAGCTGGTTGAAACGACACTCACCTCCGCAACTGCGTATACAAGCTCTTCCTACTGGCATAATATCTCTGCGCTTTCCTGTGACTTAACCGAACCTTCCTACCGCTGGATTTTGTCAAACACATCCTCAGCTTCCATGCGGGCATCTTTCACCTACCCATTCACTCCTTCTCGTTTGCGCATCTTTTTCTCTTCTTCTGGTCTCAATCGTCCTACCACACTTCAACTTACCGCTAGTAGTGGTACCTCACCCGTAACCTTGTCATACTTGGATGACTCCTCGAATGCCTGGAAGAACTGCTCTATCGCATGCCCTGTCAATCAAACCTCGACGGCATGGTATCAGGACTTTTATCTGGCGCAGTCTGTGTCTTCAGCCGCCTTCACGGCTTCCTTCTCAAACAATGCTACCTCTATGATTGAAATTGGAGGCATGACGTTCTTTCAGGAGGATATTATCGTTTATGCCGACAATGATCTGAATGACGACAATTGTGATTCCGATGCTGTTACATCTTATACGGCAATCGATGGTGACTGGACTTCCGTCAACTCGTCTACTTATCCATACTATGTCACCAGCAGTTCGGATTCCAACAGCACCGTTTCTTTTTTCCCGAACATTACGTATTCCGTAAACACATCGGTGAGCTATTACGTCCCTTCATGCCTTAATGATGGATCTTGCAAGAATCGCTCACGGGTCGCTGTTGACGTGTACTATGCCAGTGGTCAGCAACCTGTCCATAGCGTCATTTCACTCGAGACAAAGTCTGATGGATATGTCCCTGTCTACACTGGTTATATGCAAGGAATGAGCACTGGCTTCAAACCTTGGGTTGCCGTCACAGCTTTAGATCCCGACAGAATGGTGACAACTATGGCTATGAAGTTTGAGCTTCACGATTGGGTGGGCACGCCGGGTGGTCTGGCATTTTTGCAATCCGGTTCTTCACACGGCATTTACACACTGTCTGATGTTTCCTCGCAAAACATTACTCAAGGTGCAAGCATAACCGATCTTTCAACATGTATCGGTTGCAGTGACGAACTATTGTTCCTTGCTGGCCGCTTTAACTCGAAGGATCATTCTATTCTCGCTCTGCATCCTAATCTTAGTCTTGACTCTATCTCCAACGGAGGTTTGAATGCAGCAGTTCATACGGCATACTCCGCAAACAACGTCTTGTACGTTGGCGGTGAATTTACATCGTCGTCGGATGGCAAAGTTTCCTTGAAGTATGCCGCTAGCTATAACCTGCAAAACTCCTCTTGGCAGTCTTTGGGTCAAGGTGCAAATGGGGCAGTTACAAGCATTCAGCCATTGACTCTCGCAGTGAATGGACAAGAAGAAATGCTTTTGGCTTTTTCTGGTAATTTCACAAATGTGGTTAACGCAGATGGGGTCAATATTTTGGCGAATGGGTTTGCTGTTTGGAACTCTTCATCAAACGTTTGGCTTCGTCCTGCAGATTTGGGCTACTACTTTTCTGGCGACATTCATAATCTTAACACTCTCGGCGACGAACAGTTGTTAGTTGGATCGCTCACCGAATTTATGCCCAACGTATCTTATGGACTTATTGGCACTTCAAAAAACGTTCAGTCAAAGTCTTTAGTGGGCGATTTCCAGAAATCGCTCTCGCCCGGCTCACAATTGTTGTCCGCTGCATATCCTTTCAGCGGAGGATCACCACTTGTTATTGCAGGACATTTTGCAACAGACACTAACATATCTAATATTGCCTTTTTGATTGGTGAGAAAAATCTAACCATGACAACTTCCATTGGCATTGACAAAGCAAGCAACATTTCAGACGTGTGTTCGCTAAACTATACTCTTTTTATATTTGGCAACATTGTTAATAGCACTACACAGACGCAAAGGGGCATGGCACTTTACGATTTAATTGAGGGCTCTTTTGATTATTCCTCTTTGATCAGCACGTTGTCAGGGGATGTGAATACTCATTTAGCGTTCAATGATACAACTTCTATGCTTATTGCTGGAAACGTCACTGAGAGCACTAGCCAATGTCGTGATATTTGCGTTCTCAATTTGACCAGTTCTTCGTGGGAAAGCCTGGATAACCCGTTTACGAAATCGAATATAACGAGCTTGGTTTGGTTGGAGCAGGATAAAGTAGTTCTAGCAGGGGGAACATTCACTTTGAATGGTTCGACCTCGCATCTTCAAGTCTATAACTTTACGAGTCATGTATGGTCAACGCCTTCACTCGCAGAAAGTTTGCGAGGACCCCCAACTCATATTGCTACAATAACAGCGGCTCAAAACGATACTTCGAACAACGCATTTATTGCATATGGTCTGGGTCAACAGAATGCCTCACGCTATTTCGTATCGTATAGTGAAAACTCTACCACTGATATATCTTCTAACTTATTACTTAATGCCTCTGTCGTCGAAAAGCTGATGTACCTGAAGGCTGATTACATCCTGCCTAAATTCTCCGACGAGAAACTTCTTCTTGCTCTTGGAAATCTCACATTTAGTGATGGTTCCGTTTCCTCCTTGGCTTACTACCGCAATCAAAAATGGTACTCCCTTTTGCGTACCGTGGACAAATACGGGACTCCAGGCTCCTTACGTCGGATTGCCATACCAGACACAAGTGTCCTGGCTATTCAAGTACAGACCAAGACACCCACCCTTGTAAAGTACATGAATAAGCAGTATATTATTATGGTGTCACTGGCTTCAAGCATGGGCACTATGTTTCTAATTATATGGTCTGGAATCATTCTGGACAAGTTAAAGGATCTAATCTTCAAACAAGAAGGCTCCAAAGTCGAAGAAAAGAAGGCTCTCTAAACGGCGGAGGCTTGCTCTTTTACCCAAACTATTTAAGATACCCTCATTCATCTTCATACTCTTTCATAATTTGTAAGATAATATAAGCATTCATTGCATCAAGACAAAGAAATCATTTTATTCATGCAGCGTTACAGAGGTAAGGATTGTCCATAAGAGAGCTAGTGTAGCAGAACATAACAGGTTCAGCTCCTCAACTTTAGCTTTGTCAAACTTTCTGAAGTTTCCTTTATCCAAGGAAATTAACGACAAAAAAGTGGAACACAAGACTAGAGATACAGTACTCCAAGAAAGCTCTGTGAAATAGTTAGCAACATTAAAACAAAGGACTGTCGTTGTGCTCAGGCTGACAAACCCGGCTACGAACCTTTTCGACGAAAATGCAGACTTGGCAAGCTTGGGATCCGAGGACTCAATCAATTGCGAACGAAAACTCACAGTGAGAACGAATTGACCAACGGCAGCGATGAAACCAGAGAGAAAAGAATTGAATGGGTATGTACCGACTAAGACAACATATCCAAATTGGACAACGCCGATGAAGACGAGGAACACCAAAAACACGTCCAACAGCTTAATAAAAGGATCTGTCTTCTTCGCATACACGTTGAACAAGGTAGACAAGGCTCCTTGGAAGCTCGTACTTTTCTCCATGGTGAACTCTCTAAATATGGTGGAGGGGAAGGACAGAAATCCGTCTGCCAAAAGCCTTCCAGAAAGTGCAGGTTTTTGAACCAGGAGAATCCTCGTGTTTTTTTTTGTTTTGGGCTTTAGAATCTCCTAGTTGCAATGGTTTACTACTTTACGAGTGTTCGTCACAATCCTCCCATTTCACTTTATATGGGAAAGCACAAGGAAGAGAGTAAGGAAAAAATACAACGGAATACAAGTATCTAACCAAGTTGAAGACGAGGATCTCATTAAATGTGGTGTCACCGAAGATGTTTGGTAAGAATAGACCGTTGCACAGTTGCTTCTCATTGAGTTTTGTGGGTGTTCTCAACGAAAAAGGGAACCATGCGCAAGTCTCCTTCCTTGGACATTGATGAACAAGACCATTATCTCATTAGGGATGGGATTGAAAAAGGATTGATGATGATTGAAGTTATACAGTGTGCTCGGAAATGGTGTTTTTTCATAGGGACTGACCGGTGAAGGGTATGAAAAAGGAATATTGCTCGTATCACTTGATCAGCTGGTCTGACAACAAAAAGTTTCACGTAGACAAACTTTCCTCTGCTCACGTTTACGCCCGGCTACCTATTGGAATGGACTGGACGGCAATTCCCGAAGATGTTTTGATTGATTGTGCTCAATTGACAAAGGCGAACTCTATTCAGGGTATAGAGCTGAAAGATCAATACTGCTTCGACCTGCTCAACTGCTGACCATCTTAGGAAACAAAATGAAAAACGTGGTTATTATCTATACCCCTTGGGCAAACTTGAAGAAGACCGGCGACATGGCGGTCGGTCAAGTCTCGTTTAAAAATCCACAACTGGTAAATGCATCCATTCGGCTAGTTGCTTACGCATAGGTAAAACGAGTCCATGTCGCTGCTCGCGAGAATGCCATCATTAATCGTTTGATGAAAACTCGTGTTGAAAAGTTTCCCGACCTCATGGCCGAGCAAATTGCTTATGACAGTGAGAAGAAGCGAAAGGCCAAAGCCGAGGCCATCAAAAAGGTTTGTAACTGACAATTCACTGAAACTCCCACTGACATTTTAGGCCAAGGAAGAAGAAGCAATTGCGAAGGAACGTAAGGCTGCCTCCGACGCTTACAAACATGCCTACGATGATTTGTTTAACGAGGAAAACATGCGAAGCACTGGCTGGGATGAGGACGACTTTATGTAAGGTTTAGCGTCTTGTTTTAAGCAATAGAAGAAAAATAAAAACGGAAATTGTAAACACATTAAATGAAAAAATTTATAACTATTTACTACCTAGTTACTACTTAGTTACCGGGTATAATCGGTCGAGAAGCTGGTACAGAGAACAGATACTATAATTGCTGTACCGTTCTATTGGTAGTACAAACCACAATACTCGGTGTCTCGTACGGAACGCCAGAGTGACATTTCACCAATCGGCCGTATCCCGAACCAAGCCTACTTCCTGTTAAATTTCTATTTCTGCAGCAACCTATCCCACATACAACCCCCACAAATTCGTGGTGGTGCCTTTTTTTTTGCTATAAATTCTGTGCGTGTATTCGAGAACTTATCCTCCGCCAACCACTTTTATATCGTGGGGACGGACGAGCGAAGAAAACTTCGTTCTTTTAGCATTTTGTTCCTTGGTCATGGGTACCTTTAAAAAAGAGAAGAACCGGATCACCCGTGAGGGTGTGAATAAGAAGCCTGGCAACCTTCGCGTGAAAGGTGAAAACTTTTACCGTGATGCCAAAGATGTTGCCAAGGTGAATATGTACCGGAGCGGAAAAGCAAAGTACGATGCTGCCGGAAAAATTGTCAAGGATGCTGCTTTTCAGTCGAAAGAGGTCCCGAAAGCTCGCGTTCAACCAGACCGTCGCTGGTTCAACAATACACGCGTAATCTCGCAGGATGCCCTTACCCAATTTCGAGAGGCGTTGGGTCAAGCTGAGAATGATCCCTATCAAATTCTTCTCAAGCGCAACAAGATCCCCATGTCTTTGTTGCAAGAAAACTCCACAATCCCTAAAGTCCGCGTCATTGACTCTGAACCTTACGACAAGACGTTCGGACCTGGTGCCCGGAGGAAACGTCCCAAATTGGCCTTTAGTTCCATCGATGAACTCGTAGCTGGTTCTACGGATAAACAGACGGCATACGAAGAAAAGGAAGAAGAGCGGTTTATGATGAACCAGGACGCCTACAACGGTGTTTCTACCGCTGTTCGCGATGCTATCTTCAGCAAGGGTCAGTCTCGACGCATTTGGAACGAGCTGTATAAGGTCATTGACTCTAGTGATGTCCTCCTGCAGGTTCTGGATGCTCGTGATCCCATGGGTACTCGTTGTCGCTCGGTTGAAAAATATCTCAAGAGAGAAGCTCCCCACAAACATATGGTGCTTGTTTTAAACAAGATTGATCTTGTTCCTACGTCCATCGCGGTAAGTTTATTGTCCCTTTCCCTTCCGTTCATTGCGCTATGCGCATCCCACTGTTAAGTCAAGACTTGTTCCGTGTCTTTATGGCACTCTACCCATGGAACTCTGCCTGTTACAACTTTGGGAGAGTAGAAGTACAGTCCTCAATTTTTGCAGGGCCGTTCTGGCTCCTGTCGAGGACTGTGCTTTCTGTTTCATTTGAGTTGATCATTTCTAGTTCCTCGTGAACATTTTTCCGAAATGATCTTAGTATCGAAACGCACACCCCATTCCCTTTCCGTTTTCTCAGAACCTTTTTTACTAACTTTTTTAGGCTGCTTGGACTAAAATTCTTGGAAAGGAGTATCCCACGATCGCCTTTCACGCTTCCATTACGAATCCTTTTGGAAAGGGTTCCCTCATCCAGTTACTCAGACAGTTCTCGTCTCTGCATTCGGATAAGAAGCAGATCTCAGTTGGCTTGATTGGCTATCCCAACGCCGGCAAGTCCAGTGTGATCAACACTCTTCGGAAAAAGAAGGTTTGCACGGTTGCCCCTATTCCCGGTGAGACCAAGGTTTGGCAGTATGTTTCTTTAATGAAGCGCATCTTCTTGATTGACTGTCCTGGTATTGTTCCTCCCAGTGCATCCGATTCGGATGCCGATCTTCTTCTCAAGGGTGTCGTCCGTGTGGAGAACGTTAGTAACCCTGAGGCGTACATCCCGGTCGTGCTTAGTCGGTGTAAGCAAGCCCATTTGGAGCGTACTTACGAAATATCTGGCTGGTCCGATTCCAACGAGTTCTTATCTATGCTCGCCAAAAAGGGTGGCCGTTTGCTGAAGGGTGGTGAGGCCGACGAAGCCGCCGTCGCTAAGATGGTCTTGAACGATTTTATGCGTGGAAAGATTCCCTGGTTCGTTGGTCCGAAGGGCCTGTCGTCTGCCGAACCTGCTCGTGAGTCAGAGGAGGTTACTGAAGAGCAGGAGCCTTCATCAGAGAGTCAAGCTTCGGAAGAAGAATGGACTGGCATTGGTGAAGATGACGACGGTTCAGCTTCTGCTGCTGCGGCAAGCGCAGCGGCGGTCGAAGTCAAGGAATGAGTGTTTTTGTCTTTATGCTTTTGTTCTTTCGGTTTTTTGGATATGAAAGGGTTTCATTGCTGGTTTTCTGTTTCAGTTTGCTGTCAATGACGGCGCGTTAATGATGTATATTAATAACAGGTTTTATTATTCTCTTTTAACTAGTGTGATGGTTATGTATTGGAGAAGTGTTGAAAGGTTTGAAGTTAGTGCTGAAGAGTTGGGCGTGAGGGAGCAGAGTGTGTGTACTTTGTTCATTGCATCCTACGGTGAATAAAGTTCCTCGTAAGTGCGCTTGTATCTCCTCCATGGTGTGTTTCACCTATTGCTGACTTCACGTCAGTAAATCTCTCCAGAACCATTGCGCTGCGAATTGGACGTAGACTTGGTGAATCTACGAAAACGGCTTCTTTTTGTATATAAAACCGTGGTGTATTGGCTGTTTTTCGTGCGGTTTTTTGGCATTTTTTGACATACTTTTTGTTTTAAATGAACAAAGTGTATTATAGACAATTTTAGAACCAATTGCACTTTTTGTTCGGAGAAGAGGTAATTTTTCTGACATTAGAGAAAACCGTCGCCGTGAGAAACCGTACGGAGTGTTGTTAAAACGTTTTTTTTAGTGAAAACGAGTCAGAGTCATCTATATTATTATTTGGTAGACAATTGTCTTTCTTCATATACGGTCTATATTTTTCTTCTATTAATAAGGGAAACTAGAAAGGAAACTTACACCTTCTCCTCCTTTTTGTACTATGTGTGAATCTTACTATAATTCGCTATGGTCAACTTTCCTTCAGAGATTTGGCTTCGAATATTCTGCTTTTTAGATGTCAATGGTACAAAGCAAGAGAAGAACTATGGACAGCTGCTTCGGATTTGCAAAGCTGCATATTATGCAGGTCTTCGTGTCATTTATTATTATCCAAAAATTAACGCTCGAAATTATGCGAGCTTCTTTTATGCAATTACTCACAGGCCCTACGGCATTTTTGTGCATCATTTAAATTTAGTCAATGCAACCTACACGGCTAAGGCGAGCATGACGTCTCGAATGCTTCGTTTGTGTTCCAAAAACTTAATCTCCTTCTACTCTCCACAGTCTGGTATCGGGTTTACCGCCTTTCGTGCCTTGTCACAATGCACTAAATTGGAAATCTTGGATTTGTCAGTACTTACTCTAAAAGCCGACCTTTTTTATTTATTCGAGGGTGTCAAGGATTTGAAAAAATTACATTCTATTATTTTCCCTCCAATATCTCAGGTCTCCATGCGGAGTATAAACTGCTGGCCTACTTCGCTAAAAAGCGTCTCTTTGTCCGGTGGCTTCACAGACGAATTTCTTTCTGAATCCTTATTTCCATCATCCATACGCCGACTTGGCATCTCACATTGTCCTTTTGTTACTGATACGGGAATTCTCATGTTCTTGTCTCGCATAGGCCACCAGCTTTCTTCACTCTCGATTTCGTTTCCCATGCCACAGTTATCAAGAAGGGGTCTCGATTCTGTTCTTTTACTATGCCCCAATTTAAAAAAGCTTAGCATATCTGTCAATTACATAACGTCGGATTTTATAAGTGCCATCCCGGAAGAGGGTCACGGACTGGAGATTCTTGACCTAACGTTTTCGGGAAATCTTATAAGTGGTATAGAGCTTTTAAAACCAGACAACCTGTCTTCAGCTCTTGTCGATGAAAAGTTACAATCTCTGAAACGATTACGATGGTCTATCCAGCTCGGTTGGCGTGAACAGTCAGATGAAGTTCAGGATTTGGTCGAGCTCATGAACGACCAAGGCGGTGAAGCTTTCGTAGCTTTTCAGTAATACTTCTAATCTTGTTCAGCATACCGAAGGAGGCTTACTTCTCAACAACTATGCCAATAGTTCTGATGACATGTACACTGTTTAAGATGCAATGGATGAAAAATATCTATGAGGACGTATGTATAAGTATAAATAAAAAACAATAGACTAATGAGAACGTGTGTTTGGGGGTGTTTAAAACAATGAAAACCTCAGCAAAAGTAGGCCATTGATGGCAAACAAAAAATGAATTTACGTCTTATCCAAGTAATCATCAATGCGATGCACCATACGCGAAATGGTCTCCGTACTTCTTGAAACGTCCAAATTCGTGTCTGCTCCAAAGCCGGCTTCACCGAATGACGCTTCAATTTCTGCACTCGTTTGTGATTGGCGACGTGAACTGCCGCGAAGGATAGCAGTTGAAATGGATGGTCTCCGACTAGCTGTCTCGCCAGGAACAGTCAAGAATGTAGAGCTTGGTTTCCGTTGGGCTTCATATTGATCCGCTTCGAGAAGTTCAGACCCTCCAGCAGGATCGTTGAGTGAAATTGACGAATATTGAGAGTGCTCTGTTAGCGGAAGTGAGACCATGCTGTTCGAAATAATACTATCAGCATCGTAAATGCGTTGGCGACTTTCAGCATTCAGGCCATTAGGATCAGAAGGCATGGCGGCAACATCCTCACTTGAGAGGAAGGGGTTCAAACGAACACGACGAACAGACTCCAAGTATTCCAAAAATGCTTGTCGACATTTGATAGTCTTAATAATATTGGTGAGTTTTTCCAGGCTTATTGCTTCGTCAAGCTTCACAAGAACATACGCCCTTCGGAGGAAATCACCAATAGTAAGAGCTTGCTTATGATCTACTACAACGTGTAGAACAACCAACATAAACATGTCAGTAAAGCCAACGTACTCACCAGGAAGCCTCATAATTTCTGTGTATAGAGCATTGTACACGTTCCTCCTCTTCGCTATAGTGTTTTTGTCGATTGTTGAGATCAACTCAAATAACTTCTTGTAGTCATACCGATCCACAGTATCATCATCCACATTTGAAAATGCAGTGTTTAACTTAGGAAGTTCTGCTTGCAAAAGCAAGTTTCGGACAGTGTGCTCATTTCTGTAAATTCTGCATTCAAAGGCACCCCGCAACGATGAAAGGAACTTTCCAACATGACGCTTATGCATGAGTCCTGTTACCTTTGTGTCATAAGGTGCCCATTTATCCTTAAACTCACGAATATCCGAGCGTTTCAAATCCTTAATCTTTGAAGAATGACTGTAGACATATGAGAAGTTTTCATACACAACAGTAATGAACATATTTACGAAGATGTACATCGACAGAACATTCCAAGAAATAAAAAGCGTGTAGGACCAAGGCTTGCTACCGCAATCCGAGGCATAGAAATCTGATGCATTCACACAATTAGGGAATGAAACTGTGTAATCGTGCATGATGCTATTCCAACCTTCACCACATGTCATAATGAATAACAAAACTAACGAGTTGCGGATATTTCGGAAGTTTTTATTAACGCCTCCATTTTCTCCAATTCTAGTCAAACCAAAAATTTGGTTGAAAGCAATAGCAAACGTAATGAACAACACAAACCAGGTTGAAATAAGAGAAAGTATTGATGGAAGACCTGCAACAACAGTTTTAAACAACTGATCGAAGCTATCAAACCGAGGAATTAAATGGAATGTTACGGCAACCAACATAATCGTTTGCAACTGAAGAATAGATTTATCCGAGTAGCGAAACATAACAGCAATGTTGCAGGCAATATTACCACAGGTAATAAGAACGTCGAACAAATTCCATAGGCTGCTGACATAATGATAGAATGATAGACCGACGACTTTAACAACTATGTTTACAACATAGAGGAATGACAGAACAAGAAATATTGCATTCCGAACGTATGTAAAACTGATTGGAGATGGATAAAAAATGGTCATTAGCATGAAGAAATGGAAAAGATATATGGCTGTGAAGCAATGTCTCCATTTACCATGTTTGTCAACCGAGAAGTCATAACAGTAACCACGTATACCGTCCGGCCGGATCAGCGGTCGTGTTGTAGGTTTCGTCTGGCTAATGAGCCTTTTCATTTCAAGCCATGCCCTTTGCTCTGGAGTGTAGTATGCAGAACCAGTACGTTCTGTGTAATTGTTAATGATGATAGCAATGAACAGGGTCAAAATATAAATTGTCGAGATCAAGTTAAACACAACAAAGAACATTGCATTTCCAGGTTGAGCATTGGCTTTTGGTTGCGAATCAGCTCCAGATATATTCATTACTGATCTCATTACATCAATCCAACCCTCCAACGAAACAATTTCAAAGAGAATGAGCAGTGATCGATGAACGAGTCAAAGTTCAATCGTCAGGATTTTCCAGACACGGGGGGCCAAAATAGTCCATTCGCTAGGAGATGAAGTAAACTCATTTATGCAATCGCCCTTATTCATAACATCTCCGTCAGTACAGGAGTACAGCAAACCACCGAAGATACCTTTGGCCCATAAGGCGAACGGTACAAGAAGACTCACGGAAACCAGAGCTGCAGTTGCAATTTTCACAAAACCACTAATCAAAACGTCATGAAAAGTCTGTTGCGATGTTGGTGTTAAGTTTACGAGTCGTAAAACACGCAAGGCCTTAAACGCCCGAAAAGCGCGGGAGAGAGCTCCCCGATTTGTCAATGTTGCAAAGAGATTAATCCACAAAGTTAACAGAACGAAAAGATCGATACAGTTCCAGGTGTTTCTCAAATACGCATTTGGTGTATGTGAAAATCCATCTGCAGTGATTTTTATTGCAGCCTCTAAGGAGAAGACTATGGCGAAAGCAATTTCTGTCCAGACAAACCATGCAATCTTAACATCCTTTTTCGCATAGTACTCACTCTCATAAATGGGGGTTGTAATACATGCAATAACAACATCAGAAATAATACATGCGTAAATAATACCTTGAAAAATACGGTAAACCCATGGATTTGGGTCAACACCGTCATAACGTGTGTTAGCACCCGGCTCCACAAGACGCTGACAGAACCTACGCAGCTTATTTCTGGGTTTGTATAACCAAAGGACATCATTGTAACTCGGATTGTTTTTCAGAAACTCAGTCTGCTTAATACGAATGAAGGCATTAGCGGCTGCCATATCCTTTGTCGCTGTACGCAAATTCATGTCCTTTTCCCATCTATATCCAATGACTTTCTTGAAATAAGATTGAGAAAAAGGATCATCTTTAAACAGCATCTCCTTAATCTGTGTAAACCAAGCAGTGATTTTAACCCATGGCGATGAGCTAGAGTTCACGGTAGACGTCGTTTTCAATGAGTCGTGATCATTCATGGATGCCGTCTCATGCAAGAAGCCATGAATCACATTTTCTTTAGCAACCCAATTAACATCGGTCTCACCTTCTTTTGCCGATCGACTGACGCTTGTCTTCAGCAATGCTTTCAGCGTAAGCGATGCCTGGAAAGGATTGTGGTTTCTCAACAACCGTGCCATATACATTTTGAGTTGTCGCAATTTTAAGTTCTCTGAACAACCAAAGTTCTGTGAAATAATACCAACGAACATACTCAAAACAATATTGTTTGAAAAGATGAACCAAGCCGTAAAAAAAACCACTGGAATCCAACCAAGATGAGTATCTTTCATACTCGCCTGCAACGCGTACATTATCTCCGTCCAATTTTCTGAAGAAAAGACTTGATATATACCTAAGAACGAAGCGTATGTATTATCAAAAGAAAACTGTTCGTCACCGGTGCCAGTCTCAAAGTTTTTGAATAAACGAGCAGCAAATACAGAGGCGATAAGTAAAGCGATCAACAAGAAAAGCATAAGGTTGAGCAATTCCCCAAGATTAGAGAAAAGCTTGATGGCAGTCTTCTTCATAGAAGGAATAATGAGGACGAAGCGATAGAGCTGGGCGATTGAGAAGATCGCAAGCCAGCCGGATACATACCACTCTTCCAGTTTTTGGGCAATAACATAACAGTGTTTGCCATAGCAAGGACAACATCAATCAAGTTGCGCTTGCTGCGGAAAAAATCTCGCCAGTAAGGCAAGGTGACGAAGAAACGAATAATGACCTCGAGTATCAGCAGCATGAACACCACGAAATCAAACACATAGTATGCGTGCAGATTCTTCTCGGTTGAATAACCACGTGTAGCATAAACAATATTGTGAACTACAATCAGGCCGACCCAAAAAAATTCAGACCACATTAAATAAACGCGACAAGCATTGTATTTAATTCGAGGGGTTCGAAAAAAATTATCAAAAACACCATGTTCGTTGGTCGACTGAGCTGGACTGCGCAAGATCATAAATGAAGTGGTCACAACGGCAACGACGAGATACATGAGCCAGAAGGTAAGAAGAAACGTAGCGCAGACGAAAAACAAACACGAGACAAAGTAGTCGGCTTCCATCACGTCGTACATAATATCGGTAAAGGTGTTGGAACTCATGATAACAAAAATGAGTTCAAGGGAATGCAAGAAATTATCGAAGCTGATAGTGCCGCTGTTTGGATTTTCGTATTCCTGACACACGCTGTATTCAGGACATATGTACCCACGCACCTTGCTATTGGAAGACAGGCCGCTTTCGAGAAGATGTGATTGTTTCTCGCCATTGCTCCAATAGCCTCCGCACAACTGACCGGTAGCGATCCTTTGAGAGTTATCGGGGCCAAGGTATATACACTGACGTTTTAAAGAGTTTTGAAAAAAGCGGACACCAAGCACAGCAAAAAGCGAGCCGAAGAACCCAATGAAGGAGACGACATGCAAGAACAAGTTGGAGGACTTTTTTAAACTTTCAAGGATGGACGAAGTGCTGCGAGTCAGATTCAAAAGACGAATCAGACGCAGACACGACACAGCCGCCAATATATCACTAGTGCTTCTATACTTGTGCAGCGCAAGTGACAACCAGTACGATAGAATGGCAACAAAGTCAAGACGATTCCAAGAGTGTCGCAGAAATGCATAGCGAAAAGTATGATGCTTTGTTTTAAGGCTTTTGAAAAAGCCTGAGGAGGGTGTTTCTTCGAAAAGGAAGCCAAAAACGTAAATCTTGAGAATCATCTCAAGGGTGTAGAAAAGGAAAATAACAAAGATTGTAAGGTCAATAGCCTTGAGGGCTCCTGGCATACTGCTTGTACGACATGCAAGGACGATAGCATGGTGAACGAGGAGGAAAAAAATGGTAAGATTGAACACCGGCGAAGAGAAAATCTTTCGGCATTGTTTAGTGCCCGGGCGGGAAATATGCTCGGGATACTGTTTACTGGTATAAGGGCTGTTGACAACGCGCACCACAGAGGTGTAGAATTCGGCGAAGAGAACGGAAAGTATGGCACGAAACTGAGAGAATTTGAGACGTCGCTTGGAATAGGCTGCAGAAGAGGCGTATTTGGATCTATGTGCAGAGTCGGACTTGTGGAAAGCGGAAGGCGTAGATGAGGTGAATGAGGTGGTAGGAGGAGGGGTCTGCTTCCCTTGGGAAGCGTCTATGCCCAGGGAATGAGTGAGAAGGGCCTCGTTGTCGGCGAAACTGGTGGATGACCGTTGACGTGCATGGTATGAAAGAAACGGGTTCTCTGTGGTTTGCATGGACTCTGGAGTGTCTGTCATCCGCTCATTGCCCGACGTGGGAAGAGCCGCAACGGGCGAGGACGAGCGAGGAGTAGAGGAAGCTTCAGACCGGGCTCGTGCTGAGCGGCGCTCCCGGCGTCTATGTCATCGAGCGTGCCAAGTCCATCGAGTTGATGGATTCCCGGAAAGTCGCTGGGATCGAGGACTCTGCTGTTGATATCCTGTTCACTCAGGTCGGGACTCGCTGGATCAAGGAAAGGCGAGTGAACGTCGACGTCGGTTTCGACATCAACGTCTGTGTGGATACCAACGGTGGATTGTTGTGAATTTCGAGCAGGAGGACGCAGGTCGCGGAGAGGAATAGAGTTTGTAGATTCATCATCGTTGTGCATGTATGGACGAGCCATGAGCGAGGAAATGAAGAAATGAAGGAAAAAGACGAAAACAGCAAAATTAAATCACAAAAGAAGGAGAGAGACGCGGAGAAAACATGGAGAGGAAGGAGGTTTTAGAGGGGAGAAAAGAGAGAGAGTGAGAGAGTGTGTGTGAGTGTGTGTGAGAGAGTGAGAGAGAGAATGTGTGTGTATTTGTATGTAAGAGAGTGGAAGGAACAGGCGTAGGAACAGGAAGTAATGAAGGAAGGAAGGAATGAATGACAAAAAGTTTGAGTATGGGGGAGAGAGCTGGTTCCTTTTTGCTCTGACGACGAGATCAACAGGGAAACAGAGATCCAGGAAATCCGAGAAAACAAAATTCGAAAAAGAGACAGAGACGGTAAACGAGGCCAACCGAAGCGGAGGGAGGCGGACTGACAGCGTACGTTTCGTTCGGCTTTTGGAGGTAGTGGTGGATGGGCAGAGGTGTGGAGGAATAGCGCAAGAAGGAGCTAGATGCAGCGCAGATTTGTCGTTTTAGGCGATATAAGAACACAGAGCCGTGAGAAACAACAAACTAAGCCACAGCACAAAACGATAGAACGTCAGTTGGCCTCCACAGGCCTCCACAAAGCCTGCAGGGCTCTGTAGACTGGGGATAGACCCCGCCTGCCTATGTGGCGGCAGAGTGGGGCTTTGTGGGATAGTGTGGGGTTTAGCACCAGCCCCACAGCACCCCACTGGACATTCCATGAGCCCCACAACCCCGCCCCCGCAGCTTTTCCTGCACCTGCCCGGCGGGAGAGCCCCACACAAAGCTAAGCGAATCTTATTACAGTGATTATGAATATTATTGCATGCAGTGCCGTGCGTGGTAGTTAGCTAAAAACAAAGAGAGCCGAGAAAAGCGAGGAGGCTCGCTGACGAAGGAAGGGACGAATAGACATATCGTGGTTAAAAAGCCTGGAGCACGAGCGGGTCTTTCCAGCCCTGGCTGCTGAGGCTCTGAGCCCAGCGAAGCGGCTTGCCGAGAAGAAAAAGGCGACGCGACGCAGGGAGACCCGCCGCGTCCAAAGCAGCCCTGCAGTCGTCGAGCGGTGCGTCCGGGTCGACACGAACGGTGTAGTCTCGGTCATCTGCGGCCGAGCGTATGACGACGAGTGCGGTGACGTCGGTGACGTCGGAGACGATTTCGGCGGCATCGGCGACCTCTTCGGTCTTCAACGCCTCCGAGCTCGGCTCCGGAGTGACGGGGTTGTCCGGGATGTCGGAGTGATGGCTCGGGGTCGCCTCCGCCGAAGTCCCCGCGCAGGCGTCGACCTGGACACGGACGCCGGCCTCAGAGCTCGTTTTGGCGTCGAATCTGGCCGTGCTCGCGCTCTCGCTGGCGTCGTCGACGCCGATGTCACTGTTCAATGTGTTGTGCTGTGTCTGCTCGATTGGGCGACAGCAGTGCTTCAGATGTGGGGCGCCCGAAAGACACTGGCCCATGGGGTGATGCAGCAAGAAGAGCGAAATGCGAAACTTGGGTGGTGCAGGGACCGGAGGGAGGCAGAGGAGGAACAAGGAGAGGAGGCGGCAGAGGGGGGCAGTAGGGGCGGTGGAGGGCGGTAGAGGGCGGTAGAGGCGGCTCTTTGTTTACGCGGTGACCGAGTCGGCGACGACCGAGTCGACGGCTTTAGCTCTTCCACCGCACAAGGTGCTTGAGGTATTTGGCGTAACGAGGTTCGACTGTGGGGTTAGTGGGGGCACAAGGGTCCACAACCGCCGCGGAGGGCGAGTGGGGGAGGTGGGTGATGAGTGGAGGAGACAGCTGACCGGGAGAAGGGCGCTGAATACGCGCGGCGGTACCGCGCATAGTAGACGGAGGCACCGCGCCCGTCCCGCGCCCGTCCCACGGCCTCCCTTCGGTCAGCCGCGGTCAGCAGCGGTCTCGTTTGACTTACCAAACAACGCGTCGGCAATGGCGACACAGGCGGCTTGTTCGCCCCTATCATCCAACTCAAAAGCCTCGCCGTGAATCTGAGCTTTGCGGCCTTTTTGCCATGTGGCCTTTGTCTTGAGCAGATAGAAGCGGTTCGCCTGCGCGCTCTCGGGAAACGACAGATCCAGTGATGCCGTGACGCCAATTCGGTTTGGGAACACGAGAAAGCTCTGTATGTCAGCTCAACTGAGCACGCACTCGCGCACGTACACTCATGGCCAGTCCTTCGTCCATTAAGCTGCGGGGTTAGCGAAATGCGGGGTTTAGTGAAGGGGAGCGCGGACGTGGTAACCGCCAAAACGTGCTGGAGGGCAGTGCAGTGCGGGCCACTCAAACTCGCTCCCGCTCGCTACTTACGTCGCAACAAGTCCGGGATGGATCGTCCGGGCATGATCGGCGCGTCCGCTGCTTGGCTCGATCTGCTTGCTCAGGCTGCCGTCCCTGCAAACACCGTCCCCCACATGGGCGATGGCCACCACCTGGGAGGTGGTGGGGTCAAAAAAGGCCAGTGGGGGCACGGTGATGCGTCCAGGGCCAGCGAGCGTGTTCCGAGTGAGACCGTGTCGTGAATAGTCGACGGGACCCCGCAGCTCCTGATAATTGGGGCTGCTGCGCATGGCCGTTACGAGTGGCAGCGACTGCAACTGCTGCTCGACGCGCTCATACTCAGCTTGCTCTTCATCAGTCCGCAGCTGTCCACGGGTGAACCGCTCCTGCAAGCGACTGCCCACCCAATACCCAGCTGCACCGAAGACGCCTACTGCAAGGAGCCGCGGTCCAAGAAACGACAGTGAGAAGCGGCGGACGCGCGAAGTGTGGATTTGGCGTGTAAGAGACATACAGAGGAGTAGGAAGCGACGACGGCTGTCCGCGGCTGACCGAAGGGAGGCCGTGGGACGGGCGCGGTGCCTCCGTCTGCTATGCGCGGTACCGCCGCGCGTATTCAGCGCCCTTCTCCCGGTCAGCTGTCTCCTCCACTCATCACCCCCACCTCCCCACCACCCCCACTCGCCCTCCGCCGTCTGGTATTAACAATATTATAGACCAATTACTCGCCCAGTCTAGGCACTGGCGACGCTCTAAAAGCTAACAGAATAAAACACAAATGGCAGGTACTCCTCGTCGAGACTCACGTCTGCCAGCTTCTCCTCCAGCTCCTTTGCTTGAGGCTTGCTCGTAGGTGTCTGCGCGAGATACGAGTACTTTTTGCTCAAAAGGTTCTTGAGCTTGCTAGCACTCTTGGCCCGGGGCTGTATGGTCGTTAGCATTCGTTCCTTCATGTTCACCGTTCTTGTTAGTCATACCATCAATAACACCGCAGAGAAGTCGGGGGGAAGGCCGTAGCGTAAAACAGATTCGACAAATACACGTAAACACTTGAGATGCATCCAGGCCTGGAATGCGTCTGAGTAAGCGACAGCAGCGTAGCGAACCAACGAGGTCCAAGAACGCTTCTCTTCCACCGAAGCATTCTCCAAATCCCGCTGCTCTTCCTCCTTCATGCCTGAACGGAAGGAAAAGTCGCGAACAATGTAGCTACAAAGAAGGGGTTAGTCAACAGCGTGTGCGAAAAGCCATTTGGAAGCCAACACTTACTGCTTCTCACGGGCCTTGTTTTCGAATTCTTCGGATGTCTTTTTGAATACAACCACCGTGTACAAAACAAACTCCTCATCTCCGGCCAACACCTTGGCTGAGCGAGGTACCACGAGATTGGTCATAGTTTCATAAGAAGACTCAAACTCGTTTACCAAGTTCCTGTAGGCATGGGTTAGTAAGAAAAATAAAATAAGAAAAATAAATAATAAAAAAAAACAAAAAAAATGCATCTTTTGTGTGCATTATCTTTTGCTGAAAAGACTTCTGAACAACTTACTTTGGGACAGCCAAAAACACATTCGTCAAGTAATCCGAATCCTGAACCACATCCTCTTCTTGCACGATGTCTGCAAGTGATTTCTGAGAGAGGTTGCCTCTGCAATGGGTTAGTGTGCCGTTTGCTTAAAACTCTCGACATCATCTCACGTACGATTGCTTGCGTTCGATAGACTGCAACGCCTTGCTGGCTTGTTGGTATGCACTGAACTTGGCCCGCACATCATTCTCCAACAATTCCGTTTCCTGAACACGATTAGCACGCTCGTTCGTTCTCACGAAAGAACCCATCGTACATTTGTTATGCCAGCAGCAAGTGCAGTAATGCCACGAGACGGCGAGAAACGGCCGGTGTTCCATTCAAACGACGTCACATATTCTTGTGGTGCTTCTACACAGGTATGTTAGCAACGAAGAACCAAGAATTAACCGGCATCAAGCTCATCAACATACTGTTTTGCACCGTCAGGTAGGCCTCCATGCTCTCTGTAGAATCCACAAAGGCAGCATGGAGCACCTCGGTGATTTTGCTCACGGCATTCCGGCACGTAGCGTCTTGTTTCTCCAGAGTCTCACTTTGTGAAATCAATGTGTCCAAGCTGTCGATCTAACAATCGGTCAATGCTTTTGTTCCCGTCAAAATCGTGAGGCTACGCCAACGGGAGGCCAGATCACGCTGCATTTTTCACACATACCTTGAAACCAGGCACACGAAAAGGAACGACCAAGTCGACTAGCTTGTTGGAAGAGTCTGGTCCGATTTGGAGTTGAAATTCGTCACACAATTCACCGCTCGTGCCCGTAGACGGCACGGCAACAATCCAAAACTCGTGGTTGGTCATCACAGCGTCGAGAAATAAAAAATGTTCTCTGAATTCAAATTCGAAGAAAGATGAGCAGGAAATGTAGTTGCTCCAAACTCTACGTTTATAGCAAAAATAGTAGTATTAGTTGAGGTATTAGTAACGATTAGGCAACCGTAGCGACAGCAACGATAGTCGTGTGAGGATGAGGGACGGAGAGGAGCAAAAGAGTCAGTGTAGAGGAAACGCGTTTGTTGTGTCCACGAGTTGTGAGTGAGTGAGTGTGTGTGTGTGTGTGTGTGGGCAGGGTTGTGATCGAGGGAGTGGTGAAGGAGAGACTGCAGAGACGAAGGAGAGAAGAGTGAAAAAAGACGTGAACGACGCGTGAAACGCGTCGTTCTGTAGGAGAATGTGTTCTCTAAAGAAGCTCTGAGAAACCTACGTTGTTATTTGTTTGTTTTTTTCCTGCTAAATGCGCGCAAACGGGCACAATTGCGAAGAACGCGTGTAAATTCGTTTCAAAAAAAAAGAACCATTCATACTGCTTAATTGATGCATAAACAGCGTTTCAGAGGGCGAAAACAAGCTTCTGCACGCTTGGAGACGCGACTCTAATTTACAGGGTATAGTGAGCCCGCGGTGCGCGTCGCAAACACGCGCTGCGTTTCGCTGCTGTGCGGTATTGTCCTTTTGCGAGATCCACCACACCAAGCCCGCCCCCGTGCCCCCACTACCCGCCGCAGTGTGTTGAGGCTCACTGATATTTCCGCGGTTGTCGCAAATCGTTGGGATCCCCCGTCGATCACTCCATTCCCCACATCCCCTCCCTCGCTCACTGCACCGCGCTGCTCCTCCTTTGCTGCCCCTCGGCATGAAAGCGTGCCGACCCCCTGCACGTGTTTCGCGTGGCGTTCACTGTTACGTCATAACCATGTTTCACCTATGTTACAGCCATTGGGTCAGTTACATCGCAGTATGACTGGACTCAGCCTCATGCTTTGGATCTACCACGTAAAAACATTCACTCCCCGGCTCTTGACTCTCGCCCTCTGCACACCTCACCTTTCGCACACACTCCGTCTGCGGACTCGACACGCCGGCTCTGGACTTGCACACCGCATCATTTATTCGTGCAACCAAGCTTTTTTCGCGCGTGTGAATGCGAAAATTACAACACTGACCGCCGATTGTTTAGGATTCGTCTTTTCGCCTGTTGACGAACGCTTTTGCAGCGCTCTACGCTTATCCCTTTATTTCAGCGTCAGTTCTACGCGCATTTTCGGCTAAGGTTTCATTTAACGCGTTTTTTTATATTACACTGGTTTACCGCGTTTCTGTGGTTGAATTGTGTTTCTACGATCAACCATTGCTTTGTACAAGTGCAGCTAGTGTATCTGTTACTGTTTGCGATCTCAACGTACCGCGACTGCAGTCTTTCTTCCATCACTCTAGCAACAAAAACATCATTGAACTCGGTTGTCAACAGATCGTTCACGAGACCGGACCTGATTTGTCTAGTATTGCCTTCTTGCCTTTTCTCTGTCTCTGTCTGTCTCTGTCTCTGTCTCTCCACGTTCTTCCGTCAACTCATTGCTAACGTCATATTCTTTTTTCGTTTCCGTTCAGTTTCCCATTTTCTGCTTGAGTTTTTCTCGTTGTTTCATTTAATTTGTCACTTACTATTTACTTACGACCACAAGACGCGTGCAAATTCGTTTTCTCACACGTCTCTACGCTGTTTCCTGTGTCTCTCATCATTCGTACATTCATCTTCTTTTCTTCTGTGCTTGATTGCCGTCGCCTATTTTTTGTTCTCGGTTTCACTCTGCTTTTCGACTCACATTTGTGCTTCTTCTCATTGCCGAAAAACTCCTTGTTTTGTTGCATTTGACACTCTCATCATTTCATTATGACTCCTGCTCCTCGCGACACCTCGTCCAGTGTCACCGCTGGTCATACGGACGACGAAGAAAACGGTGCGGATGCCAATTCGCATCCGTCTCCCCCAGCAGCAGCGACGAACCCGTTTGCCGATTGTAACGGCTATTCTCCGCAACAGCGTCAACCCGAAGCGGACCAGCCGTCCTCTTCCGCGACCGCTGCTCGGCCTAACACTGGCTCGGATGGTCGCAAGTACCTAACGGTGTCCACGAACAATCACTTCTCCAAAAAGTCTGAGGATGGCAAGCTGTCTCCTTCGGTGTCCGTTCGCTCTACCGAGCGGTCGCCATCCTCCTCTTCCCTGTACTCACATACCAACGACACTGCGTCGCATTCCACTGCACGCACTCGCAACGGCTCTCCTTCTAGCGAAAGCATTCCTGTCGAGCAGTTGCTGACGACAGAGGATGAGGACAGTCCGTTCGCCTTTTCTGTCCCGCTGCTCCAACGACTTCATGACCCCAAAAGCACCCGCGTGTTCCACGAACTGAACGGTTTGTCCGGTATCTGCCATGGGTTGCACGTCGATCCCAACTACGGAATTGATTCCACTGAAACCCACTTTTCCAAAAAGGTTACTCTCGATGAGGTGCACCACGCCGAGGTCCGCAACTCGCTCCAGGACTTCAATGAAAAGCACGCTTCCTCGAACGGTTTCTCTTCGGGTTCCGACGACCACTCAAGTGTCGTGCCAGAGGATTCGGACCGTGTTCGTGTGTATGGTGCAAACCAGCTTCCAGAAACCCAGACGAAGGGTCTCCTGCGGCTGATGCTCGAAGCTTTGAAGGATAAGGTATTGATTCTTTTATCGATTGCCGCTGTTATTTCACTTGCACTTGGACTCTATCAAACGTTTGGTCAACCCCCAACCATCGACCCCATTACTGGCAAGCCTGAACCCCGTGTCGACTGGGTTGAGGGTGTTGCCCATTATTGCTGCAATCTTGATTGTCGTCGTCGTGGGCGGTGTCAATGATTGGGAAAAGGAGCTGCAATTCAAAAAACTGAACGCTAAAGTCGCAAACCATTCTGTCGAAGTACTGCGGAATGGACGAGTCATGACTATTTCTGTTTTCGATCTCGTCGTCGGCGATGTAGTGTTTTACGAAGCCGGCGATGTTGTGCCTGCCGATGGTGTCATTATTGAAGCCAAAAACACTGTTGTAGACGAGTCGGCCATGACCGGTGAGTCTGATACAATTAAGAAAACTGATGGTTTTACTGCTTTCAGCAACAGTTCCGCCGATGTCGAATTTAATAAGAAGGCCGATCCCTTCCTCATCTCGGGCAGTACTGTCCTTGAGGGCGGCGGAAAGTATATCATCACCGCCGTTGGTGTGAACAGTTTCAGTGGAAGTACCATGATGGCTGTCCGCGAGGAAGGCCAGGCTACTCCCTTGCAGATTCGTCTTTCTCGCGTTGCCGATACAATTGCAAAACTTGGCGGTGGTGCTTCAATGCTTCTCTTCTTCGCCTTAATCATCGAGTTCTTGGTGCGTTTGCGCAATAATCATGATTCTTCCAAGTCAAAAGGTCAGGAATTTATGCAGATCCTTATCGTTTCTATTACTTTACTGGTTGTTGCGGTGCCCGAAGGTCTTCCTTTAGCCGTTACGTTGGCTCTTGCTTTTGCGACAAACAGAATGCAAAAGGATAACAATCTCGTGCGTCACTTGCAGGCTTGCGAAACGATGGGCACTGCTACCAATATCTGTTCCGATAAAACTGGAACATTAACACAAAACAAAATGACGGTCGTTGCCGGTGGATTTGGTACCTCTGTACGGTTTTTCAACAATAATACGGATGTGGCAACGGACGACTCTGACGGTAACCTTTTTGAGGAAGCCGACTCAAGTTCTGCTGCCTTTAGAAACATTGACGGTGAATTCAGAGCCTTGCTTCTTGATAGCATAGCTCTAAACACTACCTGTCGCCAAGTAAATGACGACAGTCTTCCTGCTCCTCGATTTGTCGGTTCCAAAACTGAAATGGCTCTGCTCGATTTAGCGGTCAAGGAGTTGGAACTCGTTGATGTGGATAAGCTTCGTACCGATGCCGAGGTTATTCAGGTGTTCTCGTTTTCCTCCAATCGCAAGGGTTCGGGTGTTGTTTACAAGAAGGGTGATCAATATATATTCCTCGTCAAGGGTATGCCTGAAAAGGTTATCGGTCGTTCTACGCGAATCATCACTGGTCATTCTCTTAGTGATGAGGGTTCTATGGATGTTGACCGTGATTATGTGCAAAAAATGATTTCTGGATACGCTTCTCGTTCCCTTCGTACACTCGGTTTTTGCTACCGCACTTTCCCTAGCTGGCCTCCGAAGGGTGCTAATGTTTTCCAAGAGGATGGAAAGACTTTAGCTCATTGGGATTCGGTTTTCAGTGAGATGACTTTCTTGGCCTTTTTCGGAATCGTTGATCCACTTCGTCCCGATGTGCCAAATGCAGTTAAACAATGTCAACAAGCCGGCGTCACTGTTCGAATGGTCACCGGTGATAATGTTCTTACTGCCAAGGCTATATCTAAACAGTGCGGTATTTTGCAAGAAGACAGTGTTTGCATGGAAGGACCAGAATTCCGGGAAATGGAGGATAAAAAGCGTATGGAATTGATTCCTCGCTTACATGTCCTGGCTCGTTCATCTCCTCTCGACAAGCAGTTACTGATTGAGAGTCTTCAAAGACTGAATAATGTTGTCGCCGTAACTGGTGATGGTACAAATGATGCACCTGCTCTGAAGAAAGCTGACGTTGGTTTCTCCATGGGTCAGTCGGGTACTGAAATTGCAAAGGAGGCGTCTGATATCATTCTTATGGATGATAATTTTTCGTCTATTGTCAAAGCTATTGCTTGGGGTCGTGCGGTTAATGATGCAGTGAAAAAGTTTTTGCAGTTTCAAATTACCGTTAATATCACTGCTGTCTTTCTCACTATAATTTCCGCTCTGGCTTCTTCTGATCAGACATCTGTTTTGAGTGCCGTCCAGTTGCTTTGGGTGAATCTCATTATGGATACTCTGGCTGCTTTGGCTTTGGCTACAGACCCCCCAACTCCTGAAATGCTTCAGCGTCCTCCGGAAGAGCCCAATGCCTCGCTGTTTACGTTCGACATGTGGAAGATGATATTGTCACAGTCCGCTTTCCAGCTCGTGATTACTCTTATTCTTCACTTTGCTGGCAACTCGATTTTCAATTATAGTTCCGATTCTGGAGAAATGAACACTATTGTGTTCAATACGTTTGTCTGGATGCAATTATTCAACGAAGTGAACAACCGTCGTCTTGACAACAAGTTGAATATCTTTGAGCACATCACGCACAATTGGTTGTTTATTGCAATCTTCATTCTCGTTGCAGCCATTCAGGTCGTGATTGTGTTCTTCGGCGGCGCTGCCTTTTCCATCCACCGTATTGATGGTAAGGGTTGGCTGATTTCTATTATCGCTGGCTTTGCTTCGATACCTTTGGGTGTACTTGTGCGTTGTGTTCCCAATTCTTTCATCCGTCGTGTTCTGCCTATCCCCTTGATTGATCGTGTTACGCATTGGATCTTGCATCCTCGATTCGGTGAGCGTTCTCTGAAACTGCCCGACCATTTGCAAGAAGCAGACATGGGCACTTATGAGCCCGCAACGCCTAGTGATGTTGTGGAGATGCTTCGTGAGTCATTGTCTTTTGTGAACAAAATTCGTGGAGGTCGTATTCGACACATCTTCGAGCGGAATGAAGACGCTTTTAAGAACTTGCCTCCTGGCGTGCGTCCAAGTTTGCATCGGAGAATCATGCGTTTACGCACCCCATCTGTGTCGTCCATGACGAGCATGGCACTTATGGTGCCTTTCTCTACCCTTGTTAGTGAGGCCTCTGGCCGTTTGGGAGATGAACGTATATGGACTACTCGGAGCGAAAGCTCTCGTTCTGACTAAAATTAGTAGTAGTTTGCGGGTTTGACTACTATATCCTTTTTATTTACCTACCTACCTATTCATCCACAGTTTATGTTTAATGTCGACCAAAAAAAATGACGCTCGTTCAAGTGTTTTGTTGTTTTCGTCTTTATTAAACCCGCTTTTACTTAATGAAGGACCACCTACTTGGTCATTGAATCCCGATCAAGTTTTGTGCTTGTATGTATTCTGTGTATATAATCGTCTTGTTTGGTTTAACATTTTCTCTCTCTGTTTTATCCGTTTTACCCGTTTTTGTTGTCTGTTTTCCCCCGACTTAATTCTTCGCCGTTTGGTCATTCGTTTTGTTTAGTGATACGGGATATTGTTTTTCTATTAGCTGCAGAAATGAGAATTTATTATAAGTAAAAAATACGTCTTTTTAAGAGAGGTTTGTCAAAGGAATACGAAAGTAAAAGGGAAGAAACGAGATGCTGAGTAGGTACACCAAACCTACGAGAAAGATGGTACACGGTCGTTTGCGTTACATTAGCAAGTCTTACAGAAGAGTGGATTTCATCACGGCGAAAGAAATGAATCCGATTAGAAAAGCGTGTGTGAACAGCAGAATTAAGCGTCTGGGAATTGCAAAGGTTTCGTCCGCCGAGCGATACTGAATAAAATGAATATGAGAATGTTGTGGAAGAAATGACGGTAAGGATAACGGTGTGTGTGTGGATAACGATGAGAAGATGGGAAAAGACAAGGCAATTGGAAAACGGAAGAAGAAAAGAAATACATCAACGCTGTCGGACAAACGTTTTTGAGGGCAAAGAGAGAGGGGACGGGCGAAGAGGGAGAAAGAGGGAGGGAGAGAGAGAGAGGGAGAAAGTGGTAAGAAATGCAATAAAGAGGAACTCACTCGCGGACACACTGGTTCATGCTAGCAGTGCATAGTTACTGCAAGACGATTTCCTGCAAATTCAGACGCACGACGACTTTCCTTTATGGTCATAGGTTCATCCGTTCAAGCTAACGAAGAGGATGGCTCCGAATTGGCCTCATCGTCAACATTGTGAGAAGGCGAGTAGCGATTGCGGACAAGCTGATGGACAAAGATGCTTGCCTTGAGGTATCGCTTGTTCGCGTACTTGCGGAAGAAAGCCTTGTGCTCAATGCCGCGGCTGTGGTACTGAAGCATAATGTATGCAATGGGTTTCAGACGAGCCTCTTCATAGCCACAGGAACAATCCACAAGCTCAGACGACCAAGGTCCACGACGCAACAGACGACGGGCAAGGTACATCGCAGCAGCAGCTACCTCAGACAGGCGGTAACGCAGAAGCGAAGGCTCAAACATGTACACCTCTAACAGGTACTTGCCCAGTGTACGCGTCTGGTAGTCAAAGCTGTCGGCTTTGGAGATGCGACGGAGAAAGTTGTAGGGGCTAGGAAACGACAAGTCGTAGTCGAGGGTGCGCAGAATGTAGCGTTCGGCTTCAAGCATTTCTTCCTGGGTATATCCGCCGTTTGTCATGTAGACAAAATTTTGAATAGAAGGACACATCACTTCTTCGTATTTACTCGCAATAAACAACGCGGTGATTCCAACGAGTTGCAGTCGAGACAGAGAGCATGCTCTCAGCGACAGGAAGCGATCAACAATGTTGACCGCCATAAATAAGGTCTCGGGTGTAAGACAAAAACTACCGTGGATTTCAATGAGCCAGTCGTTCAAGATACCACGCATTTTCCACGTCAATTCGCGCTGTCCGTCCATGTAGTTTGCCTTTGGACGGCAGCGTTCCTCAAGCCGAAGAGCATACGAGAAGATTTCGTGTGTATACTCGTCCACCATAAGCGGGTTCGAGGCAACATCAGGGAAATTGGCCGAACTTTTACCGAAACGAGCATTCTCCTTGCTCAGGGCAACCTCGTCTGCCTCTTCAGACAGCTTGGTTCGTTTTGGGTGGACTTCCTGGCCAAAGTCATCAACACGGCCTTTCAGCTCTTTCATATCGCGTCCTTCGCGAGAACGACTTCTCGTTTCTTGCTGAACGCCGCCCTTGGAGGGTCGGGAAACATCGTGTGGGTCCAATTCCCGGAGTGCTCGTTTACGAGACGGAGCTCCAAGTTCTCCTAGTTTGTCTTTACCTGCCGTACTCGACCGGCCGTCGGGGTGCTTGGCAACATTGGAAACGTCGACAAGAGCAGCTCGTAAAGGCCGAGCAGTGGCCTTGGTAATGGGCTTCAGCGGACCCTTTACACGGTTTTCGTCCTGAATTGGCAGCGCCTGGTGAGAGTTCATGGCATAGGAAGAAAGAGAGCGGGCTCCAGCTGTTTTAAAGCAGACGCGTCGCGTCGCGAGTTTACGTGACTAGATCAGGCACGATCTGGGGGTAACGCGTTTGGGAGGCGCGACGCGTCCCGGCGCGCACGGCAACGCGTCCTAAATAAATGCAAACGCGTGCGCGCCCGACGCGACGTGAATCGCATTAACGCAGGCGAGTTACGCGTCGTGCACAAATAGTTTAAATTGAGCACAATTAGCAGAAGCGAAGCAGCAGCAGCAGCAACGGCAACAGCAACTTTTCGTATTACTATTTTCAGTACATATTTCATCTATGTTTTTTGTCTGCCGACATTACGACATAACAAAGAAAAATTAAACAGGGGCAGGAGGAGAAGCTTTCTCAGCGTAAAGAAAGATCTGAGCAAAGAGAATTTAAAAAGCAAGCAAGTTGGGCTGCTGCGAGAATCGAACCCGCGTCCTCCATCACCCGAAGATGGAATCATACCACTAGACCAAGCGACCGCTCGTTGAAATGTCGCGGCGGGATTCCGTCAGGCTAGTCAGTAGAGTGGACGATGGAGAAGAGGAAGAGAGTGGTCAGTAGAACGGAAGGAGCGTTTGCTCTTGTAGAACGTGATTGTTGTTACGGCTTTCCATGAAGCACTTTCGCTTAATGAAAGCTTAAAACCTTAAAAATTTCATGTCCGTTGTAGTCGTAACTTGATGAAAGCGAAGAATTCTGAACTGCCAACAAAACAGTAGAATAAATTCAGAATAGCATTGAATGAGCATTTTATTAAGTATCTCACATGTAACCCTTTTGGTACCGAATCTCCAGTGCCGTGTACGAACTTCCTAATGAAGCCCAACTGCTCTTTTTTAGTACGCAGCGGCTGGTGTTGAGAACCAGAAAGGTAAGAAAAAGTATTATCAGTTCTGTGCTTCCTCTTCCTATCATCCTCCTTCTCGTTTTTCCTCAGAACATCTCTTCGTTACTGATCGTGAACAGGTTACGACTCGTCTCATTCTGCTCTAGAACCCCAACTAGGCGAAACCAACCCTTTTTTTCCGGCACAAATTTCTCCTCTTGTTCGTTGTTTTTCCCCGTGTCTTGTTGCTGTCGTCGTCCGTGCTTCAAACTCAACTGTAGCATTCTCTGTTCTTCTTTCTACTGTTTTTTTTATTTTGTCTCTTGTATGAGCTTTCTCACGCTTAAGTTTTATATAAACAAGACACGATTGTGTCTCATATCATTGCCTCTACTATGTCTGTAATTGGAAAAAGTCTACGCGAGAAAATCAACATTCTGGCACACTACCCCCAGACGGGTCTTTCCTTAAAACAGCTCGTCTACTTTGGTATGCGATACGCGAGGCGAGAGCCGCCATTGGCGACGCACTCTGGAATTGCTTATTCGTTTCTCTGTCTCTTCCCCTTTCTGACACATTGCTAGGTAAAAATCCCACAGCCGGTAAAGTCTACCGAGCAGGTCTGTTCTTGCGCGATGAATTGCCCATTCGGTTTGCCCATCGCATCAAGGAACTAGAGGATCTTCCTCCTCCTCTGCACGACATGAAGCGAATTCAAGGCATCCAGCAGGCATACGCGAAATCAATGGAGGTACGTTTTTTTTTTTTTTCGGGGGAAAAAGATACAGAAAAGGTTGGCCAGGCCAGTGAACATTTTGCTTTTGCCGCACCTCTGTATCCTCGCAAATTGATTCCAACACCTGTACTCATTTAGTAGGAAATTATCGAGCTCCAAAACATTCCACTGCCAGAACCACCTTCTTCTTTTGGCATTCCCGATTCGAAGGCTCCTCGACTAAGTAGTAACGTCGAGGATACGGATATTCACAACCCATCATTGCTCGATACACACCTTGACTCGTCAAAAGGACGGTATTTCTTCACAGACTTCAGTTACGAATGCAACAGCGAAATCTGCGTTGACAAAGATTGTCCCAAGTCTGTTCACCTTTTCAATCACAAGTTTGCTAAACTACTCGACATCATCCAACAGAGGCATAATCGCGTGGCCATTGAAATTGCTCTTGATGTCCTTGAGTATCATTCACGTGTGAAACGCATCGATCCGGGGATCCAAAAGTTCCTTGACCGATTCTATATGTCTCGCATTGGCATTCGATTTCTGTTAAGTCAGCAAATCACATTGGCCACAGAACCTCTTCGGCCAGGATACGTCGGCGTTATCAATACCCACGCCCGCATTCGTGAACTCATTGAGGTTGCTGTCGAAAATGCTCGTTACATATGTCAACAGGCATACGGACTGTTTGAAGCGCCTGAAGTACAAATCGTCTGTAACCCAAACATTACAATGATGTATGTGGAGTCCCACTTACAACACGCTCTCTTTGAGATACTTAAAAACAGTTTACGTGCCGTGGTTGAACACCATGGTGTGGACAGCGACACTTTCCCGCCCATTAAGGTCATTGTTGCTGAGGGTGCCGAAGATATTACCATCAAAGTTTCAGATGAGGGAGGCGGAATTTCTCGTCGGAACATGCCACTTGTATGGTCGTACATGTACACAACTGCTAGTCCTCAACTTCGTGAACATGTTGATTCTGAAGCTGGACCCCCGTTGGCGGTAGGTATTGTGAGCAATGCAATGCTTTGTTCCCTGTGACGGCTGTTACTAGCCCTTGTTCTTCCGCTTAACTAACACATATAGGGATTTGGTTTCGGTTTGCCTATGGCACGACTGTATACTCGATATTTTGGAGGTGACTTGGAATTAATCTCCATGGATGGATATGGAACAGACGTTTTTGTACATCTAAACAAACTCTGTGAAAGCGCAGAACCGCTGCAATAGATCCTTCAGGCTCTCGCATTTCTCTTTCTTTCTTTCTTTCTTTCTTTCTTTTTTTTTTTTTGCTCTCGCTTGGATGGGCTGGGTGTCGTCCATCCATAATTTATAATTTACATTTTTTGCTAACCAGAATGACTCATATCTTGGAGAGCTTCCCACGTTTGTGCTGCGAGTGAAGCATTCATTTGCTGCTTTTTCGGCGGCAGAAGCGTTGTTGGCGTTTCAACCTTTTCAAGCTGTAGCACCTGACGGGAAAGTCCCGTAGATACGAATTCTACTGTGGAGAAGAAGTCTCTTGCATGTTGTTGAAACTTCTCAATTGACTTTTCCTCCTTAATTGCTTCAATGCATGCACTGGCTGAGGTTAGAATGTCCGGAATTCTTCGCTCAATTTCTGCGATGGTTTTTAGCTCTGACGTTTCATCGATTTCCGGGGACGGACTCGGTGAAAATAGTTCCTCCATTCTGTCACCAAGGCGAACGAAAAAGGATGAGAATTCCTTCTCGTCGACAGCTGGAGGTAGTGGTAGACAATAATATTATCAGATGGGGTAAGGTTCAAATAAGGTTTAATGTTTTATCTTAACGAAATTGAGCGGTCATTTCAAGGTTTCACGGGAAATACCTGAGGATGTCTGCCGAACTATAATGAATAATGTTTTCAATTATTATGTAACGATAAGTTAAAACATTGTTTTATACTTTATTAAGTATGCTCGATGATTCGCGCTGCGTTTACTGGGACTCGGTCACACGTTTTTCTTGATGAGGGTTTTCGACAGGACGCTCGCCAAAAATGGTACGGCCGACACGAACATTGTCGCTGCCATACTGAATAGCCAATTCGTAGTCGGCACTCATACCCATAGACACTTCTAACTTACACGAGAGATCGTTCTCGAGTTGTTTGCGAAGTTGGATGAGTTTCTGTGTATACTCGTTAGTAAGCCGCACAACCGAATTGCTTAAGTTGCTTCATTGAGGAAACATACCTCAAAATCCGGGTTCGTCTTCTCATTGAGAGAGTTTGTGAACGAACCAATAGTCATAATTCCCTGCAACTGCAAATGACTACAGCTGTCTTTGATGAATTTGCACAAGGGAAGAGCGTCTTCTGGTGCAACACCGCTTTTGTTGTCTTCACCGCTGGTGTTGACCTGAACATAAACACGAAGTGGTTTGTTCAGCTCTTCGCGAGCACTGTTGATTAACCGAGCCTTTTTCTCTGTGTCGACTGTTTCAATGCACCACAAATTCTCGATCGATGCAATTTTCTTGCATTTCGACGATTGCATGGCCCCAATAAAGTGCCAGTTAACATCCTTCGGCATGACCTGAGCCTTGGCCAGCAGCTCTTGCATGTAGTTTTCTCCGAAATGTCTTTGTCCGGCATTGTATGCTTCCATAAGCGACTCAACCGGATGGAATTTGCTCACAGCGACCAAACGAACCTATAACGCACACTCAGGTTAGCGACCTCAACCCCTTTACTACGGGTTTGTGGAAGCGTCTCGGCACTAGCTTGGATGCACACTTCCTGCAGACGAATCATCGTCTGCCTCCACTACAGAAAGAGGCCCAAACGAAGCAGAAAGCACCGTTCAGCAGACTTACATCACGGCCTTGAGCAGCGGCTTTAACATGTCCTTGCACCTGAGCAAGACGGGATTGAAGGGGCGTCGTCATTTTTAAACTTGAGTTTGAGTGGATCTTCCGAGCAAAATGGGAGAAATGCTTGACATCTCTCGGGCCGAGCTGGCTTGTGCTGCGGTACACAGCGCAAAACGGGATAGTGAGTACGAAAGATGTGTAGCGAGATATACCGATATGGAAGGATGTTGAAAGGGGTGGATGCAGGAGGAATGCCGATGGTTCAGGAACAAAAGCACCTTGAGAAACACCAATTGGTCTGAAGAGACGGAAGAGCGTGAGGAAACGAAACGTAATACACGGAAGCATTGTTTACGATATCGCAAAAACCTGATACCTTATGCCGTGCATCGGGCGAATTCATCACGAGCCTGAAAATGACCCCCAGGAACTCCCCGCTTTAAAGCAACGAGTCAAAGGAGCCGTACTCAGAATAGCCGCTAGAGGAGACAGGTTCGTTTCCGGGACGAACAGCAAGACCGACTTTCAGGCCGCTTTGGCGAGCAGCGTCCAATTCGTGGACATTGTCGCTGAGGAAAAGCCATGTGGCAGGATCATCGGAACCGACAATGCGCTTGTAACTGTCTGCTTCGACCTTGGGACCAATGCTAGTGTCATAGTATTCAGAAATGTAATTGGACAGGTCGCCGTACTCTGAGTAATGAAAGTAAAGTTTTTGAGCGGGAACGCTACCGCTTGAGTAAATGCACACACGAACGCCTTTGTCAGCAGCACGCTTGAGTAAGGGAACGACGTCAGGAAACAGATGAGCAACCACTTTTCCATTCTCGTACGCATCCTTCCATATGGAGCCTTGAAGTGCTTTAAAGGCCTGGTCCTTGCTTCCCGAGTCGTGGAGAGTATTGAGCTTGTCGACTATTTCGTCTAAACTGTTTCCAAATACACGAACAGAGGCGTCATCCATGTGTTTATGGACGTATTCTGCATACTGTTGTTTTGCAAGCGGAAACTGAAAGAATGAAGAGTTAGCACCTTCAACACACTGAAACATAACAAATAGGGTTCTATCATACCAAAACGTTCTTTACAAACGATATACTTCCAACGGTACCTTCAATATCAAGCAGAATGGTGCGAATCGGCGTTGGCATGTTGACAAGAAAAAAGGTTTGAGTGCGACAAGTACACGCGCAACCTAATTTCGTAGTGTGTCAGAAAGTCGAAAACCTGAACACCAAAATGAAGGGATACAGGAGGGGGGGAGCAGGGAGTTAAGCGAAGAAGATACGATAGGAACGACTCGAGAATAGTAAGATTGAATAAGACAGAGCTCAAGGGAAAACTTCGAGCAGAGCTTTCAACTGTAGTAAAGTTTCCGTGCGGATCAGTCGTAACTTGCAGAACGAACAATAGTAATGATTCATCGCATTCAACTGCTGCTTTTCTGAGAAGTTTGTAAACGTTGTTTGGCCATCGCCAGTGCTGCTTCTGGACTTGACTTGTTGGCGACAAATATCTCTTGCAAGTATGCCATGCTAACTTGTTTGGGACACACTAATGCACAAAGCTCATCGGCAAGCTTCTTGTCTGCGCGATAGAAACGCGAAAATAACTCACGGACTTGTTTCGGAGAGGCATTTCCAAAATATGCCTTATAGTCAACGCGTCCCGGACGGATGAGGGCGGCGTCGAGTCGTTCAGGGTGGTTTGTAGTCATGAATACAATCCGTTCTTCCGAAGAAGCAACCCCGTCGAGGGCGTTTAGTAATCCGCTAAAGGTGACAGCCGACTGAAATCCCATCTCGTCTGTGATTTTTCGTCCTCCGAACGCCGAGTCCACGTCCTCCAGGAGTACGACCGAACGCGGAGGAAGGTTGGAGAGAAGATGGTTCAGTCGGTCATCGCTCAGGCCACGTTCTGCGAGGTTGATCACACAAATATCATAGTCCAATTCGCCGGCCAAAGCGAAAAGGAACGAAGTCTTCCCACTGCCAGGAGGTCCATACAGCAAATAGCCACGCCTATATGGAATTCCGCGCTCTGCATACCATTTCGAGTTTTGCAGGAATTCCCGCAGGTCGGCTACAAGCTTTTCTTTCACGCCTGTGTCTAGCACAACGGTGGAGAGAAGTCGCTTCGACCTTGGCCGTCCAAAAGGCCGCCATTCGGCCGCAAAGGCTGTGTAGATGATGGTTTTATTGGCCTTCGCACTCTGCGTGTACGCTTGGGCTTCAGCGAGAAGTTGTGAAAATACGCCTCGATCGCGGTTGAGCGTTGTAAGCGTAACAGTTTCCCAAGGCGTTCCTGTCGTCAAGTCCTGCAGTCGACCACTGCGCTGTCGTTCAATCTGAATCCAACAGCCCTGGTACTTAATGTAATGCCTGCCGGGACCAGGAACAATCCCAAACAATCGATTGGCTTTGTTTTTAGCACTTCCTGCTGCCTGCACCGTGTCCAAGGACGCCGCGCTTGTCTCGACAGCCAAATTGTGTGAGTAACGACGCGGAACATTGGCCATCCATCGCAAAAAAGCGGCATAGCTTCTGTCTTTGCTTGGTATTTCTAAGCTGACAAGCATTCGACGCTTCATCGCCGATGCTCCTGCTACAATTGATCGTCTAAGGATGGCGAGACCCGCTCCTAAACTCATTAACCCTAGTCCAGCACTAAAGATCGAATTGTCGCTTAAGAATGCCTGAAATCGACCAGGAGGAGAAGGCGGAGAAGTAATGTCATGAGGAATTCCTGAAGGTGCTGACTGGGGCGTTCCTTGTTGCATGGACTAATGCACAGAAAGCGAGGATGGAGAAGCGTCAAAAAAGGTCAATGAATCTCCAGTAAAAAATAATCACATACTCTGTCGAATTGAGCCAGCAATTGCTATATGAGAGAGGTATTTGGTGTGTTTCCGTACAAATGCACAAGTGCTAGGTAGTGGTTTTCGGTCGGTCAGTTGTCTCTCGCCAGTTGCGTGTCGCCAGTCGCGTCCCCTCCTGACGTCATAGTCGATGCTTAAGGAGAAATAAGTTACGCGGGGTCTGTAAGCCCCACACTCGCTTCACACCAGGGTCGTCGTCCGGATTTAGCTTCAAGCGACATTTTACGTCATACCGTGCGTTTCGGTATCAAGAAATCGCCCATTTAGCGGCAATGAGCGACCTGTGTTGTCTAGACCATATGTAGAGAATGAAGGGGTGAGTTTATTACGTGAGGAATGACAGCTCAGTCAGCGACGCGTGATTCAAACGGTGTAAATGTGGGAATCGCTATTTTTGCGCTGTGTTGCCATACAGGAGAATATGTTTTGTGAGTTGTCCCGTTGGTTTACAGTTTTTTAACTTCTGTATGATTGGTTGTTATCGGTCGGTTCCCTTGTCGCACCTGCTCCTCCCCTCGCTTAGTAAGCGAGCATTCAAATTCGCGACACGAGCGTATCTGTGTAAGATATCGTCTAAGGAAAACAAAACAGTTACTCATTGAGCCACCGCTCACCAAGTGCTCTAAATTTCTTAAACAAAACCACATCATCACAAAGCGCAAGATGTCTTCTCAAACCCTCCCTTTGCGGAACTGTTGTTGCTATATCGCAGACCAAATGCCACGTTGCGCTTTAAAACCCTCGGAAAGCTCTTCTATTGGTTAGGGAAAACTTTTCGCTTCAGACCCCAATCATGGGGTGCGACCGCATCATCTCATCTTGATGATTCGCTTCCTTGGTCTGGAGCTGTGAACGAGGGGGTGGTGGCTCTCGCCTGGCTGAAGTTTTACAGTATATTAAATGCGAACTCCTGCCCACTTAAATCCACCACTCATAAGGTTCTTTCCAGCTGCTTTAAACAGAATCCCTTAGCGGCAAGTTCCACACATAAACAAGAAGAAAGCTTGCTGTCTTTTTCTCACCAATCTCTATTCACCACCACGAAACGTTATACATTCTTAACGCAGCAGCTTCCACCCAACGGAGAACATCTTGGGACGACTCTTTGGTGTAGTGAAAATTGAGTTTGTTTGACTACAGAACTCAACCATCCCACGTAAACAAAAGTTCGTGAAAACGATTTGACATGTTTTGTGACAAAACAGCAACACAAGCGGCTTGTTAAATCGGAAAACTTGTGTTGTAAATATATTCCAAGAAATTACTTTTGAATTAGACGTCTAAAGGTTCTTGGACGAAAGTTTTGACGACTTTTGGATCTCCAACAAAAACGAAAGAATTACAACTGACCTGTGCTTGAATTGCTCTCAGTTGTTTTCTTCTTGCTTTTTGTCTTTTAATTTGCCTGTCTTTGACAACATTAACAGTCTGTAGCACTTTTTTGGCTTTTTCTTGTTGTCCGAACAGTGTCGGCTGTTTATTCGCACCATTTCATTTGTTTGTTTACTTCTGTGTGAGTCTGCGTCAATCTGTGTTTGTCACGTCGTCTCTAGGTCTGTAAACAACACCGTAACTGGACGTCAACTTTCCAATTAGCGTTTTCTTGTTCTTCTATTACATTTATTTTATTGGTCTACTCTCCCATCTCTAATTTCTCTCTGCCTTCGCAATGTCTTCGGAAACGCCGACTTACAGCTCTTGGGCGAGCCAACGGTACAACGAATTGATCGCTTGGAACGTCAAGGGTCCTCGCTTACCCATTGCCCAGCGTCTAAAACACTTCACTTGGTCCTGGTTTACCTGTACCATGGCCACCGGTGGTGTCGGTATGATTCTGGCATCGCTGCCCTACCGATTCACAGGCTTAAACACGATTGGTAAAGTCGTGTTCATTTTCCAGGTCGTTTTGCTGGCGATTTTCTGTTCGGCGATGGCCTTTCGGTTCATTCGTTACCCCGAAACCTTCAAAAAGTCTATTTACCATCATTTGGAGAAGCTCTTCATTGGTACCTTCCTGCTTTCCATGTCGACGTTCATCGATATGCTCGCCGCCTACGGATACCCCAGCACTGGCGAGTGGATGGTGTACCTAATTCGCATTTTTTACTGGATGTACTTTGCCGTCTCGTTCGTATACGCCATCTTCGCATTTGCTACCACCTTTCACATGCATCCCTACACCCTGGAGACGGCTTCCCCAGCATGGATTCTGCCTATTTTCCCAGCTATGATTAGCGGCGCTGTCGCCGGTACTGTGGCCTTCACACAACCGCCGCACCAATTGAAGAATTTGGTCGTGTGCGGTATCATGTTCCAGGGCTTGGGTTTCTGGGTGTACATCATGCTGTTCGCCGTGAACATGCTCAAGCTGTTTACGAAGGGTATGATGGGTGCCTCTGAACGCCCTGGTCTTTTTATGTTCGTTGGTCCTCCGGCCTATACCGGCTTGGCTTTAATCGGTATGGGTAAAACTGCTATGGACTCCAAGATCTCCATGTTTTCTGCAACCCCCGTTTCTTCTGAACACCTTGCCTTTATGTGTACCTTTATGGCCTTGTTTATGTGGGGTCTTGCTGCTTGGTGCTATTGTGTGGCCATGGTCTGCTTTGCTGCTGGTTTCATGTCTCGTGCTCCTATTCAATTCAAACTCGGCTGGTTCGCATTTATTTTCCCAGTCGTTGGTTTTGTCAACGTTACTATGAAGATTGGTGAGATGATTGATTCGGCCGCGTTCAAGATCTTTGGTCATGTCATTGGTGCAATGCTTGCCATTCAGTGGATGTTTGTGATGTTCTTCATGGTCCGCGCCGTCTTACTGCAAGAGATCATGTACCCGGGCCGCGACGAAGATGTCAAGACACCTCCCGGTGCCACTCCTCCTCCCACTTTGGTGACGAGTCCCTTGTCCTTTGCTTCGCTGCAAGACGTAAAAGATGGCCATCCCATTCAGGTCACCGTGTCCCGCACTCGAGACAGAAGCAAACAGCACATGTCGCAGGGCTCTGATGAAGAAAAAATCTAGTATGCCCAAGGCAGTCCCTTTTTTCCATGACTTAGCTTTTACGCTCTTTCTTCCTTGCTCGATAATGAGCATTCATCTGCTAGTGGACGTGCGCATCTTCCTATGTACGTTTGTATAACCATCTTTTTCTCATTACAAGTTTCTTTCTCGTTTCATTGGATTGATGTTTTTGTTTCTATCCTAGCCACCACTAATCGTTCTTGTTAATTTTGCCTTGAGCAAGGTTTTTGCTTTGCATGATACCTACTGCATACACTAGAACTGCTAAATAGTTGTTCTCGGAGCACTTTAGGAAACTGTTTCGCTTTGTTTTATCCGTTCCGTTTCTCGTTATTGTTCCTTCATCATCGTCTACTATTTGTTTATACAATTTGTTTCCGGACGTATTGCTACATCTGGTTTCTTTAATTCATACTTGCTGTCACTGCTGTTGTTAAACTATCTACTCCAGTGCCTGGTATTACTAATCTTGTCACTGCTAGTATAGAACTGCCTTCATCCAAGATGTTGCGCTACAATAGCTTAAGTACTGCTGAAAAGGCTCAATTAAAACTGTGTAGGAGTATAACAATATATGTATGAAAAAAGAAAAACGATAAAGACAATTAGGGCAAATAGCAGTAGTTCGATTAGGCCCTAGGCTCCAACAACAAAACGAGAAGAACGCAGCGACCCTGATATTTATAAGTGGTGCATAATGCGAAGAGGAAATGTTAATTCAAAACAAGTTGAGTATAACTCTTAGTGTCAATGCTTAACATCTGTCCAAGATACCTTTTTGGCATTCATTATGAACTAACCAAAGTGTCTGAAAGAAACGGAGGCGGTGACGCAAGTCAATTGTTCGTCATTTGCATTGAAGACACGAGCATTAACATGGTATGTGCCTGGAGGAATGGCCCAAGGGAGAGGAACTTCAATCGTTTTCGTAATAAGGGAAGGTCCAACAGGGCACTTGATACCTGCGAGAAGATCTGCTTGCTCGCAAAGATCCAGCTTCTCGTTGACAATGCGAACGAATCCATACTTTACTTCAGCCAACACGTAGCTGCCTTCCTCAACAACAGTGTTGACGGCGATTTGCGTCTCAATCGACAGGTTCTTACCAGCACGAGGAGGATTAGGAACAAGGTTCAGGTAGTTAATTTGAAGCGTGTCGAGAGAATGGTCCCAGTTATTGTTACAAAAATAAGCAGGATTGTCTCCAGGAATCTTCAGCTCTTGAAGCTCGTAGTATTTCGGGCGAATCATCGCCTGACAGAGCATTGGCAAAAAGGACAGAGCAAACAGTAGCACCGAGTACTTCATCTTGACAATTAGAATTGGAGAATTGACTCGGGGAGAGGGAGATGGTAGGTTTGCATAGCCAAGGTGTCGGGGTAGTCTACGTAAGATTTAAGCTATTGCCCGCATGATGTAACTTCGAACAAGGTTTAATACTGGTATTGTTTTTAACAGAATTTAATATGTACAATTCCGTTATAAACTGTGTATAAGTTTTATTTTTATTTTTACACCTCACAAAGGAGTGTTTTCGCAATAATCAAAAAGAGTAGGCGTAGCAGGACGTAGTTGAAGATTGATTTACAGCTAATCTAATGATTACAATCACACCCAATTATCATTTTCGATTACGATTTGATAAATCTTTAATTGCATTCAGAAACTTCTGAGTTGATTGCCGCTTTATCTATTCTTTATTACTTAGTAGGGTTTATTTTTATTTTTTGCGTGGCTGCCAGTATTATTTCCCTATCGTTTTACTCCACCACAACCTCACCACCAAAGGCGCCTTCGGGCACACATGCACATGAAATGCTAACGGTGAACGCGTCTATCGGTATCAATTTCACTTAAAATACCATGTCCTTGTCAAAAGGAGGTTTGTAATATTGTTGTTGTACGATAAAAAACTAACTTCTTAGGTTACTGGAAAAACACAGAGGTGTGAAACACGAAATAGTCTTGTCATTGTGTTATTATTTACTAACAAATTTTAGGATGAAATTTTAAAAGTAAAAAACCCCAAAAGCTTCGAATACATGGCTTCTAACAGATACAGGCTGCTGTCAGTAAATACGGAAAAAACCAATGGGCAAGAATTAGTTCTTTGTTAGTTCGGAAGACTCCTAAGCAATGCAAAGCTCGTTGGTATGAGTGGATAGATCCAAGTATTAAGAAGGTTTGTGATTGCCTCTTTTGAGACGCACTAACCGAACTGTATAGACTGAATGGAGTCGAGAAGAAGATGAGAAATTACTTCATTTAGCAAAGCTGCTTCCAACACAATGGAGAACAATCGCGCCTATCGTTGGGAGAACCGCGACACAGTGTTTAGAACGGTATCAAAAACTTCTGGACGATTTAGAAGCAAAGGAGAATGCTCAGCTTGGTTTGACAAGTGGTGAGGGAGCAGAGGCTGCTGCTCCGGCGGACGATCCAAATTCGCGTTTGCGTTTTGGGTCTGCTGAACCTAATCTTGAAACGCTTCCCGCACTTCCAGATGCAATAGATATGGACGAAGATGAAAAGGAAATGCTTAGTGAAGCTCGAGCTCGTTTGGCAAACACACAGGGCAAAAAGGCAAAGCGAAAGGATCGCGAAAAACAATTGGAGCTTACTCGTCGTTTGGCACAGTTGCAAAAGCGACGGGAATTAAAAGCCGCCGGTATAAACATTAAACTCTTTCAGAGGAAGAAAAATGAAATGGATTATAATGCCGCAATTCCCTTTGAAAAGAAACCAGCCTTGGGTTTTTATGACGTTTCAGAAGAAGAACGCGCTAACTTGCGTGAAAAACGTGATATTGATGTTAAGCTTTTGGAAGAGGGCAAGCGCCGTCAAGACGATTCTAAACAACAGAAGAAACGATTGGAGCGAGCTAAACCTGCAGCTGGTCTGCGTACGATGAACAAGGATGCTCATGAAGAGAAGATGAGGCGTCTGGCTGAAGCTCAACAAATGAGCAAACGTCGGAAATTGTCTCTTCCAGCTCCTCAAGTTAGTGAGTCTGAGCTAAAGGATGTGGTTAAGCAAGGCATGGCGGGAGATCGTGCTCAAACCATGGCTACTGTGACTCGACCCGCTACCACATATAGTGAAAACATGATGGGACGCTATACACAACTTGAACGGTCTGCTTCTCTCCGTACTCCGCGTGCTGGTGAACTTGAAGGAACTGAGGATACAATCACTGTCGAGGCTAAAAATCTTCTTATACGAAGCAGAGAGCAGTCTTCCTTGTTGGGCGGAGAAAATGTTCCATTGCAACAAGGTGGAACGGGATACTCCAGCGTAACACCTGTAAGAACGGAAGTTACAAGAACTCCGCAGACAACTGAAAAGCAAATTACAATGTTGCAGGCTACTCCTGTTAGAACGGCGACAGCCGTGTATAAAACTCCCCGTGATACATTAGCGCTTAACCAAAAAACGCGTTCAGAAAAAGCAATTGAAGAAGTAAAGCTCCGAAAGTTTCGTCTGCAAGAATTGAAGACTGCATTCGCGACATTACCAAAACCCAAGAATGACTATGAACTTATGGAGCCTCAGTTTGCTGAGGAAAATGATGTTGTTTCTACCGATGCAGTAGGTATTGAAGACGCAGGTGAGCGAGAAAAGCGTCTTTTGGAACAAAAGGAAAAAGAACATGAGCTTGCTCTTCAACGACGGACCCAGGTGGTACAACGCGACCTTCCGAGACCTCATATTATCCGAGTGGACGCAATAATAAAAGCTAACACAGTTGTTGATGAGAACCAAAAAACAGTTTTTGACGAAACTATAAAGCTAGTGATTTCAGATGCAAAACGGTATCCGCAAGAGAATACTAAAATTTTTGGAAAAGCATTTGTGTTACCAGAGCTCAGTAATGAGCAGCTTTCCCACTGTTCACAATTGATTCAAGCGGAACTGCAGGCTGAGGAACAATTATCGGTGGAAGACTTTAATGGCTCTGTTACTGAAGTACTGGAGAACTTGTCGAAAACGAACAAACCTTTACCCGGTCTTTCTATTTACGAGGAAGATGATGAAGATGTATCAAAATATGAGGCAGACTACACAAAAATAGTTTACAAGGCTTTGGCGAAACGTGCCATGGAATGCAATACTAAAGAAGCAGAATTAGCGGAAAAACTAAAACCATTCGTGGAAGAAGCTTCTTTACTCGCTGCAAAAACAAAAGAAGCGTGGTCCGCTTTGGAAAAGAGTACTTCTGACTTGCAGTGCTACTCTGAATTGGAGACTTTAGAACGTGCTGGTTCACAATTCCGTTTAGAGAATGCTCGCCGAGAACTGCAGTTGGTGACACAAATTGAAGCCTTTGCACAGCAAGAGTATGCTCGTAAACAGTTAAATCAAGCATGATGCACTAATAGTTTTCCTGGTATTACGTTCATTCTACACTACTTTTTTTCGTACTAATATGTTCATCGTTGGTTTGCATTAAGCTCATTCATCTACAGAAAAATAATCCATGAAAGCGAGAAGTAGAAAAGAAAAAGAGGATATGAAGCAAGTAGTTTTTTCTCGGGAATGTTGGAACGTTTTAATACTCCCATTGCTGCGAACATGGTCCAGCCGTACATAAGCAATATTATTGGGACGCGAACATACTCAGTGCGTACGAAAGCACAGACTGCTGCAGCAATGGCTAGAGGAAATGTAGAATATCCAAGAATGCACACAGACTGGAAAAAGCTAATGGTAGCACCGAGTAATTTCAAGTTGATAGAACACACAGCCTGGCCAAACCAAATTAAACCAAAGACAACTGTAAACACGGCTTCAGACTGGTTTTCCGGAGCACTTATAGCAAGGATAATGGCAATGCCAAGAGAAAAAAGCAAAGGTCCCCATAAGTCCCAACTGTAAAGTCCGTCGGAATCTTTCGGATAGAGTGTATACAGAAGTTTTCGCCCAATTGACTTCAGATCATTCAGCAAAGTTACGACTATGGGTTCTTCAAGCGTGTCTCCAGCTTTCAATTGTGTGTCTACCACTGTTTCCGAGCCGATTCCGGTGTTTTTATTAGCAGGCCGATTTACGTCGAGACTTGCTCTGGCGGGATCCATTCGAAGCAGATCCTCAGTCTCGTCCCTTTCAATCTCAACACTGTATAGTTCATGCTGTTCTGATGACATTTTTTCCGGGAATTATATGAAGGAAAGAATTGGCTGTCTTTCGCTGAGTCGGTAAGAACCCGAGGATATCTAAGGTTTAAATGAAACACGCGACGCGATGCGACGCGCCACGCTTAATGAACCTTAATTATAGAGTGTGCGATATTCCTGAACGAGAGCTTAAGAAGAATTATAATGATTGAACAATAAAGAAGATAGTGCAAATAACATATCTATTTAAAAGACAGCAGATCGTAACCATTACCACGCCTCTTTCATCACATTTTTAAGAACCGAATTGCTTACAGTTAAGAAATAGATATTCACACAAGTTATGGAAGGAATGGCTAATAGGTGTTTATGGAAGCTAATTACCTTTTGAGAGTTTAAAATTGTGTTCATGTGCGCGGAGAAGGATATGCAGGAGCGAGAGGAGGGCGGGGATGTCGTTTTCTGAAGGACAGGAACCGGGATGCGGATCAATTTCCTGAAGTTGTTTTTGGGAGTTTGAGAAATGGACACAAAAGGGAGGAAAGATACACGATAATTACAGCTCACATCCTTTTTTTTCCAGGTTGTGCTAGCACAATGCTCTGTTTTAAATGGGTGCCGAAATGACCTCCTTGGGATCACCAATACCATCAGAATTGATAGCGAAGATTGCTTCGCTTTCCGGTAGACAAGGACTATCGTAAACCTTGCAAATACGTTGTTCGCCTCTGCCTTTACGCAGTGACAAACGAGTAGTACTGGAATGAGCCAGAATGTTACCACCAATGGGTTTCTTAGGATCAGGATTGAAGGAGATGCCGTCCACTTGGGCTACCACTTGGTTTGTGATAACCACTGCAATGCCGAATTCATCTGCGAGTCGTTGTAACGTTCGCATAAACCGAGCAAGATGCATTTGACGGGCGGAAAGTTCGCCTCTTCCTGAGAAGTCTGTACGATACAAGGCAGTACAACTGTCGACGACTAGCAGAGAAAACCGAGATTCTGCCATCATGTTCGCAGCCTGTTGAAGCAACTCAAGTTGGTGATCGGCGTTGTATGCACGAGCATACGCAACGTTGTCCAACACTTCTTCGCCGTTCAAGCCATAACGCTCGGCAACAGCGAGCAGACGAACAGGACGAAACGTTCCTTCTGTGTCAATGTACAGACACTTGCCCTCACCGCCACCCATGTCAATGGGAAGCTGGCAAGTAACGGCCAGAGTGTGACAGATTTGACTTTTACCGGTACGGAATTCACCGAACAGTTCAGTGATACTACCTGTTTCTACACCGCCCTGTAGCAGTGTATCAAGTTGTTTGGAACCCGTTGTAATGGTGATCAGTTCACTACGACGAATGTGATACTCCGTAGCTGTTGTAAATCCCATGGGCACCAACTTGCTCGCTTCAGACAACAGCTTATCGGCTTTTGCTTCCGAGATACCTTTAATATTCAACAGTTGACGTTTCGGCGTGTACGCAATCGATTCAACAGTGTAGTATCCTGCTTCATGAACTTTCTTCAAGTCACCCGTAGTAATTCCGTTTCCAACGAGAAGCTGTAGCGGCATCGGTCCTGCGACGCCCTCTTCTTCCTCCTCTTCAACCTGCAGCTCTTGCTGTTGTTGCTGATTCTCCACTGGATGCTCATAAACCTCGTTAGGAGCCATGTCCGTGGTCAATTGATCCACGGAGACCGCGTTCACTTCAGTCATTCTTTATCCGACAATTATTAGAAACAAAAGTATTACAAGGAAAGGGTATTGGGTATCAGTAAATGCCTACAAGTTCTTTTATTAAGGTGTTAACGAGTATTCACGCGCAATTCTTGTTTTTTGTGCTGAGTACGTGCATGTACGTGGTGGGGAGAGGAAGTGTACCTTAAATGCAGATACAGACGCGTAGCACCGGAGCGCGTGCTAGATAGGGTAGGGTTATGTGAACAGTCACAATATTTGAATCACTAATGAGACCCACTACAACACAAACTCACCACGGACCTCGCACCCATCTGGAAGTCAAAATGTCTGCCTCTGAACTCGCTACTAGCTACGCTGCCCTTGTCTTGGCCGATGAAGGCATTGAAATCACCGTATGTGTTTTGACGAGCAAGGCGTGAAAGATGACGATACTAACGGGTTTTGTTTTTTAGTCTGACAAGCTTTTGACTTTGACCAAGGCCGCCAACGTTGAGGTTGAGCCCATCTGGGCCTCCATCTTCGCCAAGGCTCTTGAGGGCAAGGACTTGAAGGAGCTTTTGTTGAACATTGGCTCTGGTGCTGGTGCCGCTGCCCCTGCCGCCGGTGCCCCCGCTGCTGCTGCCGGTGAGGCCGCCGCTGAGGAGACCAAGGAGGAGGCTAAGGAAGAGGAGGAGTCCGATGAGGACATGGGCTTCGGTCTCTTCGATTAGATCTGTCCGTCCAACTCAGATACCGAAAAATGTTTATTCAATTCTTACTGGACATTTTGCTTTCACATGTCGTCCATGGTGCGTGAATGCGTTCAGAAACGTTTAATATTAACGTTTTGAATCCGAAAGGGAGTGATGGGAGGTTGTGGTTGAGTGATGTTGGTGAGGTGAGTAGTCTTATGGTTTAGTTGAGCTCGAAGTGGAATTGGATAGCCACGAGGTCGTATTGATGAGGAATGAAGGTGTGTAGCGCCAGGACGAGTGGTGTTCTTGTGTATAACTGAACATGAGTTTCTACGAGCAGTTCTAAGGATAGCGGTGGTAGTGAATTCATTAGTATCATAATTTTAACGATTAAGTTTCGAAGGAATAAAGAGTAACGAACTCAATTATAGACAAATGAGACGTTATAAATAAAACAGTCTGTAAAACGCATTCAAAGGAGACTAAATGAGTGAGACATGATAGCAGACGCTATATAAAATTCGTATAAGATTATATAAATTGATGTATTCACAAAGGTAGCGGTTATTTAAAAAATGTAAGCATTCGTTTATGAACAGTCCTTAAATTCTAACAAATAATACGGCATTATAGCTGTCGTTATAGGAGAAAAAAGGGAGTATCAAAAATAATAGTAATATCAATAATAATGATAAAGAAAAAAAAAAAGAAAAAAATCTCCATACCCAGTCCCTAAATACAAACCTTACAAAGACCACCGTCCACAGCATCCAATGTTAACTAATTACCCGTACCATCGACCTAATCAATTCTCGCACTTTTATTGCGTGCACCCTCTGTAGCCCCCACATCCCACCCTTCTCAAAACTCACCACCAAAAAATGCTCTGCTGGAAGCGAACACAGTCAATCACTGTCGCGACCGAAACCGGCTCACCGTTCACCAAAAGCAAATTTCGGTTCAGCAGTAACTGCCGCCATGGACCCATCCTGCGTCGTGTATGGTACGTAATAATGAATTTATAGACTTGTGTTAACTCAATGTCCCAATGCAGTGGGAAATATTCCGTACGAAATGGCAGAAGAGCAGGTCGTGGACATTTTCAAACAGAGCGGTCCTGTCAAATCATTTCACCTGATGATGGACAATGAAACGGGTCAGCCTAAGGGTTACGGATTTTGTGAGTATCATGACAGAAGCACAGCAGTTTCTGCTGTGCGGAATCTGCACAATTACGATGTTGGCACGCGTAGACTTCGCGTCGACTTTCCTACTCCAGACCAAATTCGTCGATTGGAGAAAATGGGTGCTGCACAACAGGCTCCACCACTTGCACCAGGTGCTGTGAATGCTCCTGTCTCTTCTACACCCCTTCCCGGGCAACCAGGCAGCTTGCTACCTCCATTGCCAGCCGGTAAATACCCTCCTCCAAAAATGCTGGTTCCAGAGGCCATCTCCCGAGTGCTGTCTAGTTACTCGGCGGCAGAACTCGACTCTGTTTTGATGTCAACCAAAACCCTGTGTCAAGAGAACCCAGATCAAATGTGTCAGCTGTTTGACCTTTGTCCCCAATACTCATACGCCATCTTTCAAGCGATGCTCATGAAAAACTACACAGAACCGTCTCTGTTACCCACCATTCTGGCCGCTCCTCCTGAGCGTGCCACTCCCAGCACTTTTTCGCCTGCTAGCGCACCTATCCCACCTGTTGCGCACCATCCTTCATACCCTCCGTACTCCGCACCTCCCCCTTCATACATTCCTCCTCCTTCCGTGAACCCGTCTGGCATTCCCTCTGGCCCTGCAGCCATGGCGGGAGCTCCTGCTGGTCCATACGGTGGCGCCGTTCCCGGTTCCGCTCCCATACCGTCTTCGTACTACGCTCGTTACACACCTCCTGTTCCCGACTACTACAGAGGAGGCACACCGATGGGCGGCCAACTGCCTACGGGACCCGCGGCCATCCGTCGCGGCACGACTCCGCTGAACATGCCTCCCACAGGACCGGTTGCAACATCGATTGCTCCTCCACCAGTTGCCCCCGTTAGGGCTCCTTCACAAACACCGGCACCCGCAAATGCTTCCCCTTCGCAAGCTGCCCTGATAGCCCAGCTTATGGCGCTAACGGACGAGCAAATCAACATGCTCCAACCTCACCAAAAAACACAGATTCTCCAGCTACGCGAAGCTCTTATGAAGAAGTAAAAAGACTCTTAAAAAAGAAGAAGAAGAAGCTCTTGTTCCCGGATTAATGACTCGTAATAATTCCTCACATCTAACCCTGTAAAAAGGAGGGTTGACGATGCGCGCGTTAATTCATTTCAGTTCTACATTATTTACAGCGACGATAGCTGCTAGGCGCTTGGCCGCTTGTACAGTTGTATGATGGAGTCGCTGACATATACGACGCCTTCCACGGGACCAGGAACGGCACCCTTTACAAGTATGCAATCGTGTTCTGGGTGCACGGCCCAAACAAGCATGTTTTGTACAGTTCGAAATTGGTGGCCCATGTGTCCAGACATTTTCTTGCCTGGCAGCACACGTGCCGGGATCTTTGCCTGACCCGTGCCACCAGCAGAGCGATGTGATTTCGATGCACCGTGCGAATCGTTGCCTCCAGAAAGCCCCCATCGTTTCATGACACCGGCTGTGCCTTTGCCTTTTGTGAGTGCTTTGACATCCACGTGCTGTCCAACCTGAAAGTACTCGGGTGTAAGTACCGTTCCCACTTTCGGCAGGCAGCTGTCGTCCTTCACCTGGAATTCCTTTACGTATCGCTTCGGATACACGCCGTTCGCGCTGAAATGTCCCTGGAGCGCTCGAGACACATTGTGAGGCAACCTTAGACCCGCGCCCATCTGGACCGCGCTGTATCCGTCTCGTTTTTCTGTTTTCAAGCCGACCACCTGGACGCGGTCAAACTGAAGCACCGTCACCGGGACCTGTTGGTGTGTGCTTTCGTCCCAAACACTCGTCATGCCCTTTTTGAAGAGAATTGCACCCGGACGAGTCCGCAGCAACCGGCGTTTGTGAACGGCCTCTGGCGTGTCAAGAGGCAATTTAGAGGCAGCACAGGTGGTAAGCGTACGGAATAGTCCATGAGAAAGCGAGAAAGGGGAGAACGAGGGCCGCAAAAATGGGAGCATCGTTGAGGTGGTCGACAGAGTGGGATAATACGGATGAGTAGTGTGTGTGTGTGTGTGTTTATTTTTTCCCCCTTTGACAGTAATGTATGTTTTCGACCTAGACCCCCAGAGCTAGACACAACAAGCGTGTGTACTACCCTACCCTGCTGCTAGCCGACAAAATTGGTGGAGAGTCAGACAGTTAGAGTGATCATGTGCAGGGATGAAACCACACGTGCTGCGCACTTAAACCTTATTTTAAACGGCGCACATAATTAATCCGAGATCGTCTCTGATTGGCGGAGCTCACGATCTCTCCGCCATCGTATGCCAAGTGGTGCAGGACGGGACTAGTCGTAGAAGCATCCAGATCCATTTCAAAGTTTCTCCGAGCCCACCGGCGGTCCGGCCGGCTATCCCCGCCGCTAATTTTTTGTATAAATAGGCACTCACAAATCCCCAGTTCACCACGAGTTTCACACACTCAATCAATTCAATGTCTATCCCTGCTACTCAAACTGCCGCTGTCTTCCACGAGCATGGTGGTCCCGAGAACGTTAAGTTCGAGGAGATCGCTGTTCCCGAGCCTGGTCAAGGTGAGGTCTTGGTCAACATCAAGTACACTGGTGTCTGCCACACTGACCTTCACGCCCTTCAAGGTGACTGGCCTCTTCCCGCCAAGCTTCCCTTGGTCGGTGGTCACGAGGGTGCCGGTATCGTCGTCAAGTTGGGCCCTGGTGTCACTCAACTCAAGCTCGGCGACCGTGTCGGTGTTAAGTGGTTGAACTCCTCCTGTGGCAACTGCGAGTACTGCATGGCCTCTCAAGAGTCTATCTGCCCCAACGCCAAGTTCTCTGGTTACCTCGTTGACGGTTCTTTCCAACACTACTGTGTTGCCAACGCCGCCCACGCTACCAAGATCCCCGAGTCTGTTTCCTTGGAGGTCGCTGCCCCCATCATGTGTGCCGGTATCACTGTTTACCGTGCCTTGAAGGAGGCCGGTGTTCACCCCGGTGAGTGGGTCTGCATTCCCGGCGCCGGTGGTGGATTGGGTCACTTGGCTGTCCAATACGCTCGTGCCATGTCTATGCGTGTCGTCGCTATTGACACTGGTGTCGAGAAGGAGGAGCTCCTTAAGAGCTTGGGTGCCGAGGTCTTCCTTGACTTCAAGAAGGTCCCCGACATGGTTGAGGCCGTTAAGGAGGCCACCAACGGTGGTGCCCACGGTACTTTGGTTCTTTCCACCTCTCCCAAGTCTTACGAGCAAGCTGCTGGCTGGGCCCGTCCCGGTTCCACCATGGTCACTGTCTCCATGCCTGCCGGTGCCAAGTTGGGCGCTGACATCTTCTGGTTGACCGTCAAGATGCTTAAGGTTTGCGGTTCCCACGTCGGTAACCGTCTTGACTCCTGCGAGGCTGTTGAGTACGTTGCTCGTGGCCAAGTTAAGCCCGTCTACAAGGTCTGGCCCTTCTCCACTCTCCCTGACGTTTACCACGCCATGCACGAGAACAAGATCGCTGGCCGTATTGTTTTGGACTTGAGCAAGTAAGCACAACCATTTATGATAGAAACAGACGGTAAATGAAATTATAGATCCATGCGTTAGAGAAACAACATTGCGAGTTTTGTAGCCGGGATAGAGGTGGTTTCCTCCTGCGATTCAATGGCTGTCTTCGTCTGTCTGTTCTTGTTTGCTGCCTGTGATCGTCTTGATGATTTTCGTGGCCGATGATCGCCGTATTTATACCCTGCAAATCAATGATCTGTGACGGCTTTGTCGATCACGCAATCGGATCATCGGGTTCGGAGATCCGCGTGTGAGAAAGGGGCTAACTGAACTGCGACAGCAGCGAGTGGATCATTGATCGACTGAGATCGACGATCGACGGCATGAGCCACGGCGATCGGTGTCACTTGGGTTGCCTGTGGTCACTCGCACTCGCTCGTAGTTACTTGCAGTAGTTTATTAGATGTGTATGGTAATTGTGTATAGTAGTGCTATGTGATGCCTGCGTCTGCGTATGCGGACGCATGCTTGGGTACAAAAGTGCACACTTGCGTGCACACTTCTCACTTGTTTTACATAAGGCGGAGAGAAGGGGGGTATCAAAGAGAGTTACGGACAAGGTCATAAAACCTGCTTGTTACCTGTTCCAACTTACTCGTCACCGGGAGGGACTTCGTCGTCGATGACTCGGACAAACGAAACACTTAGCTCCGTGTGATCATCACCTCTGAGGATATCCTTGATAAAGCGTGTATTCACTTCAATTTGAACCTATCCATGTTAGTGACAGCCCTCCGAACCCAAGAACTCTCCACCCGCGCATACCATTCGTAGGGCACCCTTGATAATTCCACTGTAAATATTCGAGTACCACAGGATCCCGCGGGCTTCAAGAGGCAGTTCGACAAACTCTGCAAGTGGATTCTCATCCAAGTTCAAAACAAACGTTTTCCCGTCTTCAGACCAGCTGGTAATGACAGGCATGTAGTTCAAAAACATCTTAAAACCGATTTTCGAGATTGTCTCGGCCGTTTCGCGGAAATCCTGACACCGCTCACACTCGGTTTTGGCAAGAAACTCTTCAATCAAACGAACACCAATGTTTTCGCCCCTAAATGGTTTTTGAGGTTAGAAAGAAAAATAAAAGCATACACGACAATGGGCTACGGTCGTACATCTTTTCTAATTCCGCGTTAACCTGGTCGTAGGGCATCTCCTTGCACAATTGTGCAACGATGGAGCCATAGGTCAAGACGAACAGCTCAGCGTTCTAAGCGTTTCCCAGTTAGCACAAGATCCACACACACACAGACGTTCAACAGCATCCGCCACGCGTAGTACGAACCACTTTGTCTGCTTTCTTGTACACATCCTCGCCCAATTTACTTTTCGGCATCGTCGTGGTCGTCGTGGGCCTGTCGGCAACGCGTGTGCCGTATTCGCTGACGCACATAGCAAGTGGGGGTTTGTTTGCGGGGGCATTTTAGCAGTCACAAACGTGTATATAAGGAGGGGGTTGCAGACACAGTTTACCATCAGCAGAGCACATTGCCTCGTCTGCCATACAGCGACCTGTTTCTGCTTGTACACGCGTGTCGACTCTACTCTTGTGGAGGTGACTGTGTGCTGGAGAAGAGATGGCACGTGTGGAAGCAGTGTCCACTTTGTTAGGGTGTTGTGGTGATGACAACCTTTTTATGCTTGAATACTATGAGAGCATAAGATTTCTCAAAGACTACAACGGTATCTGAGCAACATCCTTTCATTTATGTGGTTAGTCCTAGTATTTAGTAGTGTTAGACATAAATTGAATGTTAAGTGTTTTGTTTATACTCTTTGGTGTTTGTGTTTGTTTAAGTTTTTTAAGGTTTGAGTAAGCGACCCTCAGCAGTGTTTTTTGTCACTCAGTCGTCATGGGACCAATGTCATAACTCCCCCTAGCCCCGCCAAGCTTGTTCACACACCCCTCCTGCCCGGCCAATCTCCAATCCCTCTCGTTTCATCCACAATCATAAATTTACTATAAAAAACCCCAAAGAGTGTCAAAACGCTCAAAGACGGATCCTGTCCGACAAGCGTAGGAATGATATCATACAACCGGGAATGGATGGACAATCCGGTGGAGCACATGCGCGAACCCCACATTTCCCCACATTATCCCCGCTAGAGTTCCCGACGGAGAGAGTTGGTGCTCATGTAACGAGACAAACTAATCCAGATTTGACGGTACCAGACCATCTGGCTCTTGTGTGCCTCCACCATTGCATCGCGAATCCGCGCTTGCGCACGGTGATCAGCGCAGACGACTACCCGGCGCTCGGAGCCCCAACGGTAAGTCAAGTAGGTGAACGTCGCGTCCAGCAGCGTCCAGTACTTGCGCAGAATATTCACCGAGTCCAGTGTGTAGACGCGCAGACCGCGGTGTTCCCGCGCATAGTCAATGACGCCACGGTGACAAGCACGGTGATTTGCATGGCCAGAGATGCCGTAGCCGTCAAAAGTGATGACCAATGAAATGGAGCGGCCAGCAGACTTGGCGGACTCTATAGCGGATCCAACGGCACTTGCGACGGCAGTCGTCGACCACGTGTTCCGCATGCCGTCCTGCAACTTCGGATCCTCAACAACGTGGACATTGGACGCGGGGATCTTGTAACGGGAAGCGGCCTCTACGATCTCTTTGGCGCGAATAGCTCCTAAGCCGTCGGCATTTCCGTTAGAAAGGCATAGCAAATGGACGCCTCCGTGCCGGCGTCGGCTAACAAAGTCTACTGTGGGCCCGAAGAACATAGACTCGTCGTCAGGGTGTGCAAACACAAAAAGAACGTCATGGTCGAGCAGCTGCTCATGTCCCGGGGACGCCGCATTGAGGGCGAAGGTAATGCCGGCAATGGAAACGGCGATCGTAATTAAGAGCCAGTTCATGGTGGAAGCTGGATGATGCCAGTCTGCTCCAGTGGGGTTTTGAGGGAAACGTTTGATGAGGCGCTGCGTGGGTGTTTTACAGTGAGTCGCAGTGAGATGCAACGAGGTTTAAGGGAATGCAATGTGTTTTAATGTGATTTAGTGAGACTGAATAACACAATGCAGGTTTGCGCTAGTGGCCCCTGTTGATCATGAATCTTAATATAAATAAGGTTTCGCTTGTTTTGGCTGTCTCCCTTCCTCCTCTTGCCTTCATTTCGTCTCCAGCACTCATCTTCCTTCTGCCATGTTCCGTTCGCCCATTCTACAAACCATCCGGCGTCTGTCGACGCAGACGCGTCAGGCCATTGAGCAAGCCCTCAAGGAGGATCCTGTGGTCCTCTTTATGAAAGGAACACCCAGCAGACCAATGTGTGGCTTCTCCCGTGCGGCTATACAGGTCCTCTCTCTCGAAAACATTGATCCTCGCAAGCTTGCCACATACGACGTCCTCGCTGACAACGAGCTCCGCCAGGGCATAAAGGAGTTCAGCGACTGGCCCACGATCCCCCAACTTTATGTCCACGGAGAGTTTGTCGGCGGCACCGACCTGCTGCTCACTATGCATAAATCGTACGTACATGACCGAATCGGGCTCACTGGAACGCGTACGGACGCGCTGGGCTCGCACTATCTTTCGCTTCGCTAACTAATCCCCAGGGGTGAATTACGCAAAATGTTCAAGGAGGCTGACGTCGTCGACGAAGCATCTGAGGAAGCTGCCGAAGAAAACGGCAACGAGAATTCCGCTGAGACTTCAAATGCCGAGACCAAGTAGCAAAGGTTCGGCAATTGGCAACCGTACAAAATGTAATGAATGAATGCGCAGGCAACTGGAGCTTGTACTAAAAGTGGAGTTATAGATTGGATAAATAAAGATGTTTTGGTATGTGGAGGGGGGAAGAAGCGGGAGGGAAGGATTGTTGTATCGGTAATTGGCGGTCGTTATTCGCATCGCCGAAAACTTTGATTGGGAATGCGGGAATATGAAGATATAGAAATCGTGTAGAACAGCTATTGGCATGTAACAAAAACCTCAAGTTAACCGTTTCCCAGACGGGAAGCTTCAGATAGGACAGTATAGAAAAATGATTTGGGCACAGGATTGCTGAGGTTTGCTGCATCGTTTTCTCACTTTGTCAAGAGTTAATGCAAAGTAAAGCATACTTCTATCCCTTCACTAATCTATTCAAACAACTATGAAAGATATAAAGTAATCTCTTAGCACCGCGACTAAGCGAAGCTCAAAAAAGTCTAATAGCAACTAAAGACTGTTCTCCCTATGCAGATTCCCAGTAATAAAGATACTAGTTACTCATGCACAACATTCATTGTAGAAGAACTTCCTCGAACTATGGGGCATTGTCACGGAGCAGGTAAATTTATGTGATTGACTCCGAGTACTTTTGACCTTTGAAATGAAACAATCATTCAACTGATTAGCTTTTTAAATCGAATGACTAAGCATTCACAGCATTCATTGCTATTACGAAGCAAAGCAATTCTGAGTTATTGCCTTATATTGCACAGCTTGCGAAATTATAATTATTTTATTTTCCAAGAATTAACAAACATTACAAATACGAATTAGCAACAAAAGATAGTATCAATTAAATAGTCAATATAAATATGCAAGAGCTGAATGGTTATAGTCCGTTAAACACTACTTGTTTCTTTTTTCAATAACTTTCAAAACTTATGGCACGTGACATAATATTATATTATTAATCGAAACTTATTGGAAAGGTTCAAAGGAAGAAGTTATTCATTCTTTGAAGCCTATGAACAAGAATCCTTAATCGAGCTAAACAAATATGGCCTCGAACAACAACAAAATGTCCTAAGCAGCGATGCCCGAGTGGTCTAAGGGGGCAGATTTAAGTCGGCCGAAAGGCTAATGGAACTCTGCTGTTGATAAACGCGCGAGTTCGAACCTCGCTCGCTGCATTATTGTTCTTGTTGTTCGTTTTTTTGTTGCTGAAACTACTTCAGCATTTGTCGGAATAAATTGAGGCCATACGTCTACAACTTCAGCATGAAAACTTTCCTAAGCACGGACACAGATATTTAATTGATAATTGTAATCACTGTGTTTACTGCTATGGCTTTAACATCATGCTTGAGACGAAATAAACAATAGTTTTTTTTACACTCATTCCAATAACAATACGCTTTCAATTGCAGTACCTCACGGAAAAAATACAAGAGTTAAGGTACTTTCAAAATAGGGCTCAAAGTTCGTAAAAACAATTTGTAATATATAATACGATTGAACTTGTTGGAAACCTAAATCTACAACGAGGTATCTCGTTTGAGTAAACTGTGACAATGACACCTGCGGGCCTATTAAAATAAGCGATACTAACTTGTATTTCCTCATTTAGTTGTTAAAAGTAACAAGTGTACCAAGTTGTCTACGTCTAGAAAATAACATCAGAATGACTGGTCAGTACAGAGAAAAAGAATATGGACTAACGAACAAATTATACTAAGCCCCAAAGCACTACAAGGAATAGTAATTTCTGTTATACTAATGGGGTTAAGCTGCATAGTCTACCGTCTTTTATTTTGAGCACATCATTCTTTACCAGATCGTTTTTCAAATTAAACATTTTTTTCTTTAGAAAATATGTGTTAAAATTAGGCGAATCTATCATATTGTCTCTTTTCATATGTGTCTTGATCCAAGAAATATTCATTCATACAGACCTTTTTATATATATTGCTCGCTTAGCAGAAAACCTTACTTGATATTTATGAAAAGAAAACTAAAGACAACCCAAATCATTGTATAAACTTCCAATGAGCAATGGCGATTTACCACTCATCCAAAATCACTTTTAGTATTAATTTTGTTGAATTTTGATAACTTTAATTCATATTAGCTGGTACATACAGATTCTCGCTTGTTCGTAGAGCCGAAACCTTACTCAAAAATGCGAAAATTTGGATACTAAACTGTTAAAAAAAAATTAAAAACCATGGAACCAACAACTATACGTAATTATCTGTACATTACTTGCAATTCTAAATAGTTATATACCGTTTTACACCTTTCAATACTTCTGATGTTGATGCAACTTGAAAATGCAAGCCGAAAGACTAAGCATTTTTACTAAAAGTAGCCAATATAAACTGCATCTCTCAAAAACAAAAAGCAATGGGACAGATAATCCCGTGTATCTCGTCACCAGCAGGACTTGAACCTGCGAGGGCATAGCCCATTAGATACCTGAACAAGTTCAAGTCTAACTCCTTAACCGCTCGGACATAGTGACATCGCCATATCTGTCCTGGTTCGAGGCCGGATATATTTAGTTCGATTGAGGATTACTGTTTGTTGGTTTCCTTTAACCATTCAATAAGCTTCGGTTAATAAAACCTAAATGTTATGTTATGCGCAATATGTTCTGAAAGTTATTGCTAAAAGAAACAAGTAGCGTTCAACGGATTGTAGCCATTGAACTCTTGCATATTTATATTACCTATTCAATGAATGCTAGCGAATGCTTAGTCATTCAATTTAAGAGACTAATCAGTTGAATGATTGTTTCATTTCAAAGGTCAAAAGTACTCGGAGTCAATCACATAAATGTATTTGCTCCACAACAGGCAAGAAGGTTCCCGTGGCCAAGTTGGTAAAGGCCTCATGCTTATATGGTACACCTCTTACCAGGTATGCTACGTGAAAATCGCGAGTTCGATCCTCGCCGGGAGCATAGCTTTTTGTTTTGTTTGCATAAAACGGCTGTGCTGCATCGACATATGTGGGTGCATGGTTTTGGCCTCTTCTGCTGGTGATTGGGATGAAATAAAACAAAGCAAAATAAAACAAGCCAGCACCAAGTCTACTATATATGATGTGTGTGCTGTTCAAAGTATGTTATGTTGTCTCGTATACGTTATTTATTTACCACTAACTACGTTAGTGAGTAGTAATCATTTAGTACAACTGAATAGGAACAAGAATTAGCAAGTGGAACAAGAAGTGGAGCAATGCTATATAATAGGCTCAGAAAAGCAACTTTTAAGCTGTAATGGCTCAGATGGAGAGACAGTCCCTTCGTCACCTGGTGAGGCGGTGTTCACGGGTTCGAGTCTCGCTGTTGATCCTCTGATTCTCCTACCGACTCTGGCGGGCAGCTGCCAGTAGCAGAGGGGATTAAACACGGGGCCACCGGCAGAGGTTGGCAACAACGCACGTCAACCCCGGGTCAGAGGCAGTGCGACAGCGATAGGATTCACTCGAGCCGTCCCAGCAGGGAAGGGGGTCTCCACGTCTTTTTGCTGCTGTCACCGACGTTAAACGGTGGACAGCAAAGCGAGTGTTGCAAGCAGGTACGCACGATAAAAGTAGGAAAGTGTGTGTGTATGTAGTAATAGTAAGTAATAGTAATTTCTGATGAACCGTATATAAAATAACAAAGCGTAACATTCCAGTGTCATGAAATTGTTGGCTTTATGTCATGTACTTTTGGAATCTTGGCGACGACGTAGCCAAACCAACGGCAAGCTTCCGCCTAAACAAACGGATGAACGGAAGAGAAACAGTGATCACATTGTTTCTCTCTAAACAATTCTACTATCGGCACGTTCCGCAAAGCCTGGACTTCGGTTTTATTGGAATCTTGTAATTCCTTAACAGAAAATTACGATTAGTAGGAGATTATTAGACAATTAACATAAATACTTGTTAGTTCAATTGCCAAAAATCCGCGGAACACTACAGGCTCATTTCAACAGTTAACGCATTACTTTTCTCATTGTCGCATTTTATTATTTAAGGTTCAGTTAAGCGAACCTTGTTAACAAACTGAGCGGATGGTTGCAATCACCGTTTGAAGCCAATTAAGAACTATTCTCTTGAATCAAAGACAATGGGGACCTATGTGACAGTCCTGTTGTGAAGCTGTTAGTTTTAGGTAGTCTTTTCGTGTATCTTTAGTTCTTGCAAATGGAATTGCTTCTCGACTCTGGGAACTTCAGACGAACAGATTGACTAGTTATATTAGTATCCGTTTGTCTTTAAGCCTAAAAATATTGTTGTTTTCTATCTTGCTTCAGCTACTTCGCATTATTAATAAAAAAAAGTTTTAGATTAATTCTTAATACTAGACGCTTGATTTTATCATTAATCATTTAATATTATTATTCATAAATTTAATGATAACAATTAATTACGATGCTACGAGTGCATCCACCACATAAATTCCGTTTTCTTTGAGTTGTCGCAACATGTAATTTATGTTGCACTAACTGATACCTTATTCTACACTGTTGAGTGAATAGGACCAAGCACTGCCAAGTCGATTGAATAAGATTACCAGATAACTAAACCATAATTTGGACCTGAACCATAACATATTTGTGTAAACAGTGAAGGTTGATGTAAGAGTATTTACGAAAGATTAGACTTTTCTAATGTAACTGGTCAAAAGGCTTGCAGGTATACTATGAACTATAAAAAATAAAACAGCATTGACCAATTGATATTCGACAAGTAGTGAATTATGTTTGGAATAACTTTCTGTAACTGTCGTGACGAGATATCTGAAGAAATAAATCAATAGAATTTGTATATCGTTTAACATTTAGATAGTCTTTCTGCATTTAATATAATTAATAAAGGTTATAACTTAAGTCTTGAAACCTTTATTTGAACAACTTCCTCAATTAAAAGTTATCGTTTATTTTAGTTGTAATTGGCAACTTACGCAATTGGGAAACACGGTAAGTATATAAACCAAATGAACATGCAGTACTCATGAGCCTTTTATCGTTGAACTTGCGGATAATTTAACTAGAAATTCAATGCACCAATCTTGATTACTCAGAGATCACAGGTTTCCGAATGCGTAAAAGTTTTGCTTTGCGAATCTTGTGAGAGAA